TGGATGAACTTTCTATGCTGATATTCTATGGCAGACCTTACATGATAGAATGAAATTAGCCTATTGGCTGAGTCAAGAGAGTACTAGCAACATAATAACAATTGTTATACAGCTCTGCCGAATGTACCTCCCTTTGTGTTAGAGAAAAAATGACCGTGGTTGTCAACCAAGGCTGAATATAGTACCTTCTCTGAACACAGAGTAAGAGCCTAGATTCGTGATATCATGCATCAGGCCTATATCAATTTGATATATCACTAACACCCCATCCTCACCGACAAAGCAAAAGTCAAGGCCATGCTACTGATCTCAAAGCGGCTAGTTGAACAGCTGACCATTTCCATATGCACTGTCAGCAGGTCTTTGTGGGTCTTGAATGCATCCTTCCCAACACCATGCGGACTTTCTACCCATGATCTCTTTCGATAGATGCAGGTAACCGACATACCTACCAGTTAAGATCGTGGGGATGGTGCCACCTGAGACAAGGTAGGGGTAGAGCCAGGGTAGATGCAATTACATTGGCTTTCTGAGCGTACAGGCCTCTGACCTAAAGTCTGACCCGGGACATAGAGGGCGCTTAGACAGCAACCTAGGCACCTAACTAACCAGGGACTACAGTACGATATTGTAATACAAGGTAATGTAGTACACAGTAATGGTGTTGCCATGGTTATTTTGATTCGCACATATATTATGGATTAACTGGGTTTTAAAGCTCATCTTTGCTACATTGAATTCTTCAGGCCACCGAGTTGTTCAAACTAAGTCCGTCGTGACCTACAATATGGAAACAGTCTATTTGTTACGTCGGTGATGCTGCAACATGAGTCAATTAGAGGTTGGTGCGCTGGGCGCTAAAAATAGGCAATACGAGTATTTCTCTATTTCCTATTTTCTTTGTAGTATTGTTGCTAAAGTAGAAAGAAATGCTGCTTTATACAATGTTTCTAACCTATAGAATCCCCGCTTTCTATTTTTCGTCTAATCCAAACCGTTTTTGGAAACGACGCGCATCTACCTATTAAGGTACGTCTTCAACCTTCTCTGTTTTTCTTTTTTTTTTTTGCCTCTTCTCTTCACTTCCATATACGATGATTGAATTTAGCAACATGACGTCATACCTTTCCTGCAGAAACTAAGCCACAACCACCGTGGCTACTTCAACAACGTGACAGTTGTCCCAGTGAGGCGCAGCAGTCGGCCATCGCCGAGATTGACAATTCTGGATACCTGCACGGGTCGCATATGGTCTTTTTTTTTTTTCTTTTTTTTTATCCCATCTCTTTCGTCTGCGGTGGCCACGCTTGTGTCATACAGAGGAACGAATAAAAATTATGTCGAACCACCCAGGCCAGGCTGACGACGCGTCGATAATTCGCGCCGAAAACAAAAATCGTCTGTAAAACCGCAGTTGCGGAACCGATTCCAACCGACAAAGCGATGCGCCTACATTACCGCTAGCTATCTATCCAATCAGTGTCGTGACTCGTGACTATCCTCCGCATGTATACAAAATTTGTTGCTGAGCGCCTGCTGAGACTGCTGCAGCATCCTGGATCAACCCCGAGCCGATCGGCTGTTGCCTGTTGGGAACATGTCAAGTGCAAAAGGGTAATTTGATGGCAAATGCCAAAGAATCTCTTCCAGATCCGCCCGTTCCGGACTCGCTAGGTTGATACCACCTGAACCGTCTTTCATCTGCATTGCGATGAAGCTTGATTAGGGGCAGCATTTTTGAGCTACTACTTCCCCATGTATACACAGTCGGAAGCCCTGCGTATATTCCCTGTCTGTATGCGTGTGAGCTATCGACGATGCCTACGCATTCGGTATGTACTCCAGGGCGGCGGGACAGGCGCTTGGATGCAAGTCGGGGCGGAGATTCTACGGAATGAGCATGGCAGAGCCATAGCCAAGGTCCCCCTCTTAATGCTTGTAACAAAGGAGTATGGGGATACTACTTACTACCATTGTTACAAGGTTGGATTGGCGACCTGTTCCAGAAAGTCTGGAGATGACTATCGACGAGGCTCAGTCCAATGGTAGATCGTAGCAGGGATCTCAGCTGCAACGCAAGAGCCGGACCGTGAGAGCGCCAGCGAATCTGAGGGCCGAACAGGCATGCTCCCTCCCTTTCCAAGACCTTTTAGCTCGCCTCACGAGACTCGACCCCTCCATGATTCATCAGCTGAGTTGCTGAGGTCTTTTTCTCATTTGCCTAGAGAAACTAGACAGGTCCGAATGGTGAAAAGTTTTTCTCTGAGGGAAGAATAAGGTCATCGTTTCATCCGTTGTCTGTGGAAGGTAGAGTTCATCCGGTCGTATAGATCCATTGCTCAACCGTCCTCCTTTCTATATCCTTTTATTATTATAATTATTATTCATTTCCTTATCCAGTCCCTCTGCTGGAATGAAAAAAGGCTTAGGCTCTTTGTGATACTGCAATACTCCTGGACCGTCGATGGCTTGGTTACATTAGCCGTGCATGATCTAGTCGAGCCTATTGAAGAGGTGCCATACGGAGAATATACAGAGCCATAGAACATAGTACAGGCTGTGGGATACAGTGCGTATGAAGAACGGGAATATGAGTTATTAGAAGACTTTGTGCAACTGGCCCGTGCTTTGTGAGCCCTTGGGCCTTCTGTCCGACGACGCCTTCGACCAGATCTTGGTTGCGGTGGAGTTAGGAAGGAGGCATAGGCACCCATTCTATGGGTCATAATAGCGCTTGTACGGACTCTCAGCGAGATGGCGAGTCCAACCAGAAATTGGATGATCCCCATCATGTTACAGGCGAATCTTACCACATTGTATACACTATGTGTTTGTATCTACGTTCCTTTCTACCTGCCAGAAAAGACGTATACGATGCACCACAGGCAAATTTAATACACACTTTACAGAGCCAGACGAGGTATGTAGGTATTACCACGGTGATAATGGTTAGGTTGGGTTTTCCTCACTAGCAGTTGGCCCTAAGCTGAATAGGGTGTGTACTTCCCAGCTGAACATGGAGGACTAACGTGGACTAAGGTCCCACTGGTGGCGGATTCAGCATTTCTCCTGTATTATCACGAAGGCTTTGGCTGCACATCCCAAACCACCATCGGATGATCTTCATAGCCTTGGAACTGTTTCTATTGTCAAGAATTGGCCCTTCATTATGCTATAATAAATAAATAATACTTTTTTTTTTAAAAAAAAAAAAAAAAATATTAAATTAAATAAAAGAGAGAGAGGTCAATTGCCAGACATTTAACTGCAATATACCGTGTGGATCAGCAACGGGGGCTTAGCAGCCAGCCCTCCATCGGGTTGGGCCATTCTGTGCCCGCTATCTAGTTATGCTCCTCCGATCTGGTGGGCTCTGGACATCCAGGTGTAACGAGGCAACATGGCCATTGTAATAAGATTGTTATCATCATCAGGATGTATTACTTACTTACTCCTGGAGGGATTTGCCCTGCTTACTCTGCAGACTGGATCCATGTGGTTAGAGCAGCGACATGACAGGTCTGATGGAACAATGTTTGTAACACTTCTCGTCTTAGGCAAAAGTGCCCTGGATCCCATACAGCCTGGGGACTGGTTCTTATACGATTCCTTCCTCAACGATTTACTTAACCTTCGGTGAAAATTAGATGCGATTTCCCCAAACGCCGGGACTGACTCGTGAACCTCCTCCGACCCCCTCCCAGATCAACCCCTCTTAGGTCTCTCTTTGGCGGAAGTTTCTTTTAATTTCCTCCCATGGTTGGAAGAGACCCGACAGAAATACTCCGTACTTCCCTTTAGTTACCTCATTATTTACAGTTTAGAGGTTCTGTTCTGTTCACCTCCCTCTCAGTGAGGGAATGACGTCTTGACCTGCTGGGCTCCACCATCCGCGACGATTCTGGACGCCTGCATGATACTAACGCCCAAGTTCCCAGGAGAAGAAGGGTGCACAGCTGAGATCGGACGGTGAATCCGGTATGGTGGGCAAATCCCCGTATCTTATCCATACTTATCCATATCTTCTTAGATGGACAGACGGAGTATGTATGAGCCGTACAGTAAGAACGTAGTATGTACTATGTATACTAGGTCGTTCCATACGATCGGGATTTCGCGTCCTGCAAGAGAAAGTTGCCGGACATTGCCATCCATTCTGCATGCGCCCAGTGGTAGACCTTTTTTTGGGGGTTGTGGTTTTAAAAAATGATGGTTTGGTAGTACTACATTCAGATGATTCTTTCCAGTGGGTTTGAATCCTTGTTAAATTTTGATTTTTTTGGAAAAAATAAAAATAAAATAAAATAAAATAATCATAATCATTCTGATTTTACTTGTGTTTTTATTTTTATTTTTTTTTTCTGCTGTATAAGTGATCCAACTCCAATCATTCTCCTCGATTTTCTCCAGTTCAAACAATACGACTTCCTGCTCTCCTCTTGCCCTTTCGGGCCATCCCTCTTCCGCCCCTCTCTTTCTCTCTCTCTTCCTACAACTTCTTTTCGTCGTCTTGTCTCGTCTCTCTCTCTCCATCTCATCTCCGCCTCCTCCCTCCCCCAGTCGCTCTCCTCTTTCTACTTCTTCACGACAACTTGAACTTTCTTTCCTTAACACTCCTTCGGTCGTCAGTCATCTAGACTTCTTGACGCTTTGCCCCCCCAATAATTCGGTTCCCCACTCCACATTTGAACTGTGCGTTTCCTAATAAATAACTTTCTTTATACGGTGCCATTCGCTTCCGACTGGATCAGGTGGTATTTCCAAGCTGGGTTGCCCCTCAGCTCAAAAGAGACTTTTTTTTGCCCCTTCTCTCCTATCTCGTGACCTGTCTCTATCGGAATCGCAACCTATATCGGAAAAGGAACATATCGCCAAGAGTGGGCGAATGCCGTCTTTATGATCTTTGTGCCGTCTCATTCTCGTTTCTTTCTCTGAGATCTCTTTCCTCTTCATCATTCCTTTCCTTTTCCAATATAGTATTGCCTCGCGGGGTGTCAATAATGCCAACGGTCTTACTCCCGTCGTCGGCCGCTGCTTTTGCTCCACGGTCGTCGCCGAATGTGGTGTTGAACACCAGGATCGAGCCGTGGCTGACGGCCACCTTGAAGCGAGTCAACCGGGTCAAGCGCCCTCTAAACAATGTAACCCAACATACGAGGTGTCTGACGGAGACACTGTCCTCACCCAACGCCATCTGGACACTCTGTTCCATGACATTTCCCAAGGCCCCCGAGTCAGAACTCAGGAAGGATGAGAACCCATTAGTGGAGGCAATTTTCAACTACCAGATGGTCCATATGGAAGCCTATGTGGTGCATGTCGACATGGTATCACAGAACGAGGTTGCTTTCAAGCTGACCCCGGAAACGATCGAATCCTTAGTCGAGTTCCATAAGGACATTTACTCCGTGGATACCGCCGCCAGTACCTGGGACTGGTCTGAGAAGGAAAGCCAACTGAAGAAGTTGCAAGAGGAGTTTGTCCAGGCCGCCAACAAATTCGTCTATCGCTCTAGCGCCCAGGTGCTTGAAGGCCTAGAGGAGGACGGTGCAGGTGAACTACTGGGTGGTCGGAGTGAGGATGCAAAGACTGCAATCTCGAGCCTTTTTGTGCCATTACTCCCCCCACCGCCACGGGTCGATGTGCTTCGCTCCACGCCCCTACTTCCCAGCTCCACTGGGCCGGAAACATGGTGGCAAGAGCCCATGCAACCATCCGTGTCGATGGATTCGTGGAAAGTACTGCCTTCCAGTCCAGCCTCGGCCAGTACAGGGGATTCTAACCCTAACATGTGGGCCAGTTTCAACAGTTTGAATGAAATACCGCTTTCCTCGCCACCGACGCCCTACAGCCAACCGTATACCACCTCGCCGTACAACACAACACAGTATTACAGCGCCGCTGCCACATCGGCCGCTCTAGCTGTCCTCCCGCTTCCTAGCATGCTAGTGCAACCGTGCAGCACCGCAGCGAACATGGTCGGACTTGGATGGGGAGACCGGTACCAAGATTTTGCGTTGTACGGGACAACAATGTGATAACCGAATCAAAACACTTGATATGGACAGTCTCCCTGTCCTCATGTCTGGGCGAAGATCTCAGGACACATATCAACAACCTGATCATGAATATTGTGCGCCTCCGATACAGACGACAGGCTAATTGGCATCACTGACGGCGTTATCATTGAGTGATTCTGCGAACTATGATACTCCATCTCGTCTTTTTTTTTCTCTTTCTTTTTTTTGTTTTTTTTGCATGTCGGCTCGTCGGACATAATCTCTTCACTCTTTGCTTCCTATTTTTATCGTGAGCCAGCGTTAGCGCTTTTGTTTTGTTCCTTTTGTGCATGAAGAAGCGGCGGGTCGGCTATTTGTTTCTTTTTTTTTTTTAATTTTTTTTCACATGGGATAGAGTCCCGCATATATGTCATGAAGACCTGGTAAGCCTCGCGGCTTGGGATATGATTGGATGAGGAACGGTCATTTTATTTTTCTTCGTCGTCGCTCACTGCCACCTTGAGATAGAAAAGGTGATACTGTGGCAGGAATCCACAATTTTACCTTTCAATTTCGGGAGCACCCTCTCTTTCTGGTACAGGATACCAGGCTGGTGACCCGGCCGCTTGGGTCTGGAGAGGAGGCAAAGTGAGCCATTTACATCAGGTATGTATATGGCTGAGTTTTAGACGACACGAGCTATGGGAGCGTGGGCAGTCCAAGGAATGCGGCATTGGCCTTGAAAGTTCGAGAGAGGCGCCTGTGGCGGACCCTCGGCGACGTTGGGAACAAGTTAGTCTGAGACACACGGTTCCCTCGTATTCAGACCCGCATCCTTGGCTCTGTTTGCGTGTCCTAGAGTGTGCTTCGTTAATAGGTTCATCCCCTGTCGTCCAGGCTGGGTTATTTGATTTCCTGGATACGCTCGTGTTTTTCATCTTCATTGAATGAAGAGTGGGATGGCGAGAATCGGATGCTGGTATCGCTGGTTCCTTTAGGACTGGTTTCCTTTCAGTTCTTTCGTTCTTCGTCCTTGCTACTCTTGTGCTATTCATTAGTTGCTTGAGTATGATGTATCTAGTTTGAGCCATCCTAATTTAAGACATAAATACAAGATTGATGGACCATATTAGCGCGTTCTCCATGTTCTCGAATGCCTAGTGGGCTGCTAGTATTACGGCCCGGGCGGATGTGGGTAGCCCATTTTACCTGCTTCCGGCCATGACGTCAGGTCATCCTGGCAGGCAGAAACTGGACAACTTCCGGGAGATTCGGGAATACTCGAGTCCTATTCAGTTTGTAGTCTGGAATTTTTTTTTTTTTTTTTTATTTACTATATTATATCTTGACCGATCAGGCTACTGTTGGGTCAATTGCACCGGTAGCACCATATCTCGTTGATCTAAATCCTGGACACCATCAGCGATTAGCAAAGATACCACGTATTCCTACTCTTCTCTTCTCCGCCAGCCTCCAGTGACCTGCGCTATAATAGCATTTATTCTTTTCTCTTCATCCAGGACGGTGACAGCAATTAAATGGCCGCCCTACAAGAAGCCCTAGAGTCTCTAGGCCCAATATCATGGGACGAAGTCCCCACAAACCCAAATTCATTACGCGACTACACCAACGACCTATACACCAAGGCGCAACTAATCGTCGACTCTGTTCCGGAACCTCCATTCAACGAGACAGCCCATCATATCCCCCATGACTCGTCCTCTTCCTCCCCATCCTCCCGAGTCATTACCGCCTCAACCGCACGCATCGGCACGCACGATCCCACTCTACTATCCCTCCAGCGAGAATGGGGCAAACCCATCAAAAACACCAATCCGAAAGACAACCCGCACGATATCCTCGTGCACAAGCTCCCCGCGAAAGACGGCAACGGGGCATGGTTTGCGCGCCGCAGCGTGCACGCGGGTCTGTCGTTCGAGAAATGGCAGGAGAAATTGTCCAGTGAGATGGTGGAGACGTTGAAGGCGAATCAGAAACGTGTTCAGAAGGGGAGGCCGCCGGATCGGTCGATTCGGGGAATTGGGGCGGAGAGGTTAGTCGAGGAGTTGGTGGTCAGAGATGAAAGGGATAGACGCATCGGTGGTGTCAATGTATTTCATGTTTCGGCGCAGTTTCCGAAACCGACAACTCCGAGGGATTTTGTTCCCTTGATTCTTAATTGGGATATGGGGATGGGAATGGGTGAGGGTGAAGGTGAGAGTAGGAGTCAGGGCAAGAAGACGACGCAAGGTGGTGGTGGTAGGTTTTGGATGATGGCTTCGAAACCGTGCACACATCCTGACGTTCCTCCGTCTCAGGGACATATTCGCGGGCTGTATGAGTCGGTTGAGTTTATTAGGGAGATTCCGAGGGAAGGAGCAGGCGAGGACGACGAAGATGTCCATGTCGTGGAATGGGTGATGGTCACTCGGAGTGATCCCGGCGGAAACATCCCCCGATGGATAGTGGAAAAGGGAACACCCAAGAGCATCTGTTCGGATGCAAGCAAGTTCCTGGACTGGGCGTGTCAAGAGACAGATGCTTCTTCGTCCGATGTATCGACCAAGGATGAGCCTGTGGACGCCGGGGCGACTCAGCGTCGACGATCCTTGGATAAACACGATAAGAGTCTGTTCTCTGCCGAGATTACAGAGGGACATGAGAGCGAATCCAACGAGTCCGATCTCTCGAACGTCGAGGACGAACATCATGGTCTGATCGCCAGTTTTGCGTATTTGCTGAACGCCGGACTGGAACGATATGCGCCTCAGGCTGTGTTGGACTATCTACCACTTCCGCAACACCGGCCGTCGCGCAGCACCACTGACAACAGTGGATCATCGCAGGGTAGATCACCCAGGGCGAGCAGTGACCCTACCAGACCAGCGGAGGCGAACCACTGGGGTGAAGAAAAACACCACAGCGATGCCCAATCGCAGGCCTCGCAGGGCAAGGCATCGGTGGCAGACTCGACAACTTCGGGACTTGCCAAGCCACTCGAACACGGCACTGCAGCCGGGGAGATTATGAAGACGGAGAAGAAAGAGAAGTTATCATCGCACGAGAAGCAGCTCGCGAAACTCTTTGAACGCAAACGCAAAGTCGAGGCTCAATTGGACCAAGTCCGATCCGACATCCACTCTCTCCATCTCCCTTCTGCGGACGAAAGCTCCAAGCGAGACAGGGCATCAGCAGCAGCATTGTCAACCGTATCAAGAGACCCAAACAGCGACCAACTCAGCAGCAGCACTGCGAGCAGCATCAAGAAGGGCTCTGAAGGCGGAGCAAAATCCGTTCAACTGCAGAAAAACCCCTCCATACATGATACTGCTCGGCTGCACAAGGTCGCCTCGGGGCTTTTCAGCGACGAAGCGAAACTTGTCAAGCAGCTGGGCAAGATCGAAAAGGATCAGCTCAAGGAGACGTCCAAGATCGAAGCCCGACAGCGAAAACACGCCAGGCTCGAGGAAAAGTCCCGCTCACGCACCGAAACGGAGAGTCTACGTCATGAGGTGGAGTATCTGAAAAAAGAGATCGAGAGACTTCGAGGCGAGCGTCGACAATGGTTGGATCTGGTCGGGACGTTGCAGGCAGAGAATACAAGGCTGGCTGCTCAGCATTCCTAGTCGGAAAAGTGATTGAGTTGTGCATGTAAATTTTAATTTAAAATGTACAATTATATCCTTCCATGTAGTTGGCTGTTCTGACCACGGTCCTGTGTTGGTGCTATGAAAATTGTTCTCGTCATTTGGAGTCGACCGTTTCTAAGTAGATATAAGGTGTGATAACTATACTGAAAATCCTTCAATCTGTTTCCTTAATCCATTTCAGGCTCGCATAACTCGTCAATATCTCCCAGCATTATTATCAGATAACATCCCCAGTCGTGGGGACCCTGGCACGGTATCACAAGTCCAGTGTACTATCCCATCCACCATACCAGGGCACAGTAAGCTCGTCAATGGGACGAATGAGCTTCAGCAGTCCGTGGTTGAAAACTGTACACATAGATGCGTAACTGTAGCACGGAATTCCATCAATCACGACCTCCAACGCGCAGAAAACCGGTCGTAACATCGTTAATAATAGAACCAACCCTCAGGTAGTATGTTATTCTTGTGTCTAAATCAAAAGAAAAGAAAAAAAGAAAACTCTTAGCTTAGTCCGCTTCCGTTTCATAAAGAGTGAAGAAAAAAGACCATACCTCTGGCGGATTCCCTGCCCCTCTAACCATCTTTTCGATCATCGCCGCACGAACCCTCTCCTTTGGCTCGCCCATTCCAACAGCCATATATGACAACATCGGCGGATGACCAACATACGAGGCGTAGCTGTCGCGAACAATATTCGAGACCCATTCGTACTTGGTGGTGTCGGCGTGACCCGTCCCGACGTAGCGGGCCTGCATGGCCTCGAGGTTTTGGAGCGTACGTAGTTTATCTGCCATTCTGAATGGGGGTAGGAGGATGGGTGTTGTAAAGCGTGGGAGTTGTATAAGTATGAGTTGAGGTTGGCTACCTGCTTGTTGGTAGAAGATCCGGATGTGCATCACGTGATATCAATCGGCGATAAAAGATCCGGAGTTGTTGGATTCATCCATACTACAACAATGGAAAAGAGTGATTCTCGATGAATGCAGGAGAGCCCTTAGCCTCGCGGATAGCGTCTCTGGTGCATACGCATTTCGATGGCTTGCCCAGTCGCAGTAAGCCGACTGTTAGGCCGGATGGGACGAAGGAGTGGATTCCCATGTCGGGAGTGGTTGTTGTAAAGGGTGGGTATACATATTCCTGGCGATGATTTTCTGTATTTCCTGTTTAATCTATACAACTGGGATGGTTGAATCAGACTAACCACGCTACAGGAGAGAATACGCCCGCGGAAAAGTTGACCTGCGTGGCGGTCACGTATGTTCACCTACTTGGATACCACGATGTCCAAGTGAAGATGAATTGATTCATCGTCCTGACCAGTCGCTAGATCCGGGGCAAAATGTCTTTCTGCATCCCAAGTCCCCAATTGCAAAGGCCTCGTGCTACATGATTGGCACGCAGAGATCCTTGCCCTGCGAGCATTCAACTACTGGCTTCTCTCTGAATGTCGCAGTATATTAACCCAGAAGCGACAGCACAGTTCGTCGTCCTCCGACGGAAGTCAGGAATCACCTTTCTCACCTTCTTCGCCTTATCTCCGTTGCAGACAACAATACCCTCCTTTCGAACTCCAACCAGACCTCACAATCTACATGTACTGCACCTGCGCTCCGTGCGGCGACGCCAGCATGGAGCTCTGCATGGCAGCGCAAGAGGATCCCACGCCCTGGGAAGCCAATCCCGACAATCCCGACGAATCCAAACTTTCACTTCTCGACGGACGAGCCCATTTCTCTCGTCTAGGCATCGTCCGTCGCAAACCCGCTCGCGCAGACGCCGAATCCACCCTCAGCAAGTCCTGCTCCGATAAGCTCGCCCTGCGCCAGATCTCGTCGCTGCTGTCCTACGAAACGAGCCTTCTCGTGGCGCCCACAGAAACGGCTTATCTAGCGGGGGTCATCCTCCCGGAGAACGAGGTCAGCAGCGTCGGCTGCGCTCGCGCATTCAGTGACAAGGGCCGAATGAAAGTCCTGAAGGGTCGGTTCTGGCCGCTGCATAATAATAGCCATAGCTCTCCTATCCCGGATCAAGAGAGTTCCGGGTACCGATTCCGTCCATTCCGGGTCCTTTCGATTCCCATGCAAAAGTATGCTTCGCTTTGGAGGTATGCTAAAACCGGTTCCTCTGGGACCGATGCCCAAGAAAAACGCAAACCGGCGGTTATCTCTGCGGTTTGGACGGTGGCACCGTCTGGTCCCCCGCCGTCAGTGGTCGAGAACGGGGTGAAATCGTTACCGGTGCTGCGAAGATCGAAGACGGGTCTGTACGAGACTCTCATCAATGGCGTCAAGCAGGGAAATCGCGTCTCGACTCCTCTCGCCCGGGGAGCGTCAGCGTTGTCCCGCGCGAAGCTATGGGATACCTGGCGGGAGATCGTTCGGTTGTCCTGCTCGGGGACTGATGGGGAGGGAAACGGCCTGCAAGGCCGTCATCCGGCGGCGTTGTCTATTCCTGAACCAGTCGTCGACGCAGCTTCGTATCGCGAGTTTAAGAAAATTCTGCCCGTGGTGGCGCAAGGCATGGTGGCGCAGGGCGTGGTGGCGCGAAAACGTGCTATACAGGAGGCGAAGGACGTCTTGGATGGTTGGATCTCTAACGCGAGAGATGAAGATTGGGGGTTAGAGGTTCTGGTGGATCCAAAGAAGCGAAAGCGTTGACTAGGATGTGTTCATCTTACAGATATATTAAAATCTTAATTGTCTAGTATACTAAGTTATATACCCATTTTCTCTCTACGGCTCCGACCCAGCTCCAACCTAGAGATCCTAGTACCATCCAGTCAAAGTATAAACTGAAAGCAACGATACTTAATTGAGATATTAAACAATACGAGTAATATCCATCAATATATTCTGACTAGTAAATGCCAGGGACAATCCGACTGCGAACGAGAGAGGTATAACGGTCCCAATCGGCACCATACTTCCTGCGGCACTTTTCCTCGTCGCGCCGTTCGCGGTGGATAAGCAGCACACCAAAGTAGATTAGGAAGAAGTAGGTGAAGATCATACCCCAGCCGCGAGATTCAGGCGTCTGCACCGCCTGCCTCAGCACATCGCCCGAGACGGGATTGGCGCTCTCGATGATAGCATATCCTGCCATCCCGGTTGGCAGAGAATACGACCACGACATGATCCAGTCACCCAGGTAATTGATATGACGTGCGCAGCCCCACCACCCGGAAGTGATCAGCTTCGACCCGGTAGCGGTCTCAATGTACGTGAGATGCTTCACGCGCGGGTCGGTGGGATCTGTGCGGAACCGGTTCTTTTGGTTATTGGCGCCCCGGAAGATCACGTATCCCACCGCGGTTACGCCCAGGACGAGGAGAATGCCTCTGGGGCCCAGCTCGAAGGGAAAGACGGCGAGATAGCGAGTCTGGAAGTTATAGATGAACGGGACCCAGACCATGTCGCCGAAGGAGAGCATATAGCCAAATCCGTCCATGATGATGTCCATGGTAGTCAGGAGGGCCGGCTCCATGTACAGTCCATCCAGGACGTAGAAGGCCTGGAATGCCGTGGAGATCACGATCGAGTCGGTGACGTAGCCGTAGGTCCTGTACTGACGAGCAACGTTGGACAGGTTCAGAATGATCCATCCCAGTAGACCAGGTCTCATTTCACACCATGTTTTGATATCGATCGTGCGCGAAGCTTCGCTGACAAAGGGAATCGGTAGGCGAACGCGCGGGTTCAGCTCACGGCCGATGAAGAAATCGTACAACACATTGCCAGTGTGGCCCCCCGGCGCAAGTTGTCGCAGTTCGGGGTTGAGTTGACCAGGAGCCGGCACGGTAAAGCTGTTCACGTAGACGAAAATCGCGATCGACGAACAGATGATCAGATTCGCAGTGATCACCTGTAGGTAGTTGTCCCAGAGAAACGTCCACACGGCGAACTCCGCTCCATACACGTACGTACCGAGCGCGAGTCCGGAGAGAATGACAACGGCGGAGGGAAACGCTATAGACCAAAACCACCGTCAGAGTATGTTCCTCGGGCTGGAGAGAAGGGGCTGGGACACATGCCGTTGAACTTATACCGGAGCCTTCCTCCACAAGCCAGCTCTGTCCCCTCCACCTCTTGGCCGGGGAGAAACACGTAAAGCACCAGACTGAGGATGTAGTAGCCCAGCACCCGCAGCGTCACTCCCGCGTTAATGAATGCCTTGATTCCTCCCTCAGGCCAGTTCACTTCCTTCTTCAGCCGTTCAAGCGACAGAGTTGACGGATGTAGGAGCGACGGGGACGGACAGCCAGAGACATCGTTACACAAGAAGGTGAAGCTGTAGATAAGGATGGGGAGACCGAACACGATTCCAAATGCGCCGACCCTGGTTCCTTATCAGTATTCGCTTTCTAACACCTGTAAGACCCCCTGACCCCCTGTTCGAGGGGGAAAACGTACGGGCCAGCGAACTCGTATCCTCTCTTCTCCGGAACTGGTTGGACGGGAATATTGGTCTTGGAGTTCTTCTTGGACGCCATAGTTCAATTGAATTTGAATGAATCTGGACGGTGTCGCAAAGGCTGCGAACCCTGGTCCTTGATATACGGCGCAAAAAAGGGACAGACGACTGGGCTGAGATCGGAGACGCTGCAGCCGACGGGGCCCGCGGAACTTTCTAAGGATCACTTCGCATGTTTCGGTGACGTTCCATCATCTTTCGTCCAACGTCCATCTATCTGTTTCTTCCCCCCTCCGTTCGCCGTCCTTGCTGTCGCTCTTTTGGATTGGGTTTCTGAATCGTATCTCCACTTTTATTTATTTTGGTCTGGTTTCACTGTGGGCTTATTGTTCTCTCATCCCTCCTCATCTTGGGATTTGTTGATCCCAGTCATGAAGACGCCGACTGCCTCCATTCTCAGCCTCCTCTTCCTTCTCTCGACGCCTTTCTCATCAGTAGATGCGACATCTGATTCATCGAACTCCAAAAATGCCTTGTCTCCCTGTGTAGCACGTTCCCCTACATCGGGTCTATACTACGACCTGAATGCGATCTCTATATCCCCGCCCGACCCAGACAACGGAAAATCTCGAAAAGGCGCTCGACATGAGAGCTGGCATGCCAAGGGTCACGATTACCATGCGAACTTCACGCTCAATATCTGTGCTCCGGTGTTGGAGAATATCAAGAACGTGGTGGGGGTAGATAGCGAACGGTGGCAGAACGTCAGTGCGTACTATGAGAAGGGCGGTCGGATTTATTCCATAGGGTATGTTCATTTGGAGCTTACAACACGATCGCTATTCACTTGGTCTGATAGAAGAGAGCTGACCATCATCCCAGGCAACAAGCGTCTCAGCCGTTCTTCCGCGGCCGCAAGCTGGTGTTGAATTACACCGACGGCTCCCCCTGTGTGGGCGAGTATCTCGGAGTCAAAAATGGGTCGCGTACTAAGTCCACGATCATGTCTTTCCTTTGCGACCGTGATGCCCCTGGATTGCAGGCGATTCCATCCTTTGTCGGAACCATGGATCATTGCACCTATTTCTTCGAAGTTCGAAGCGCTGCTGCCTGCGGTGCTACAGCCCGTGCCGACGACGGTCAGGGCCTGGGACCTGCCGGCATATTCGGCGTGATGTGAGTTGATCCGTCTTTCCTAGTCACCAGGAAGAAAGAGGAAAAGGAGAGGGAAAAAAAAAGGGAAAAAACTAACTCTGAGGTAGTGCTTTGATTGCCGTTGCAGCGTACCTCATCGGCGGCTGCGCCTACCAGCGAACGGTGATGCACCAGCGCGGCTGGCGACAATGCCCAAACTACAGCCTCTGGGTGGGGATGTTTGATTTCGTCAAAGTAAGTCTACTGGCATTGATACCGTTCCGACATGTCTATTCAAGATCCCGACGGAGGGAGCCGGTCTCCTACAAAGAGCATGGCAAGGTCAGGTTACCTATTTCGAGGATGGATTGAACTCTGCTTTGGCTGGTCTAGAGCTCAACTACATCAGAGGCGATTACTGTTGCAATCTTTTTTTTTTTTTTTAATTTGTTTCGTTTATACCTGGGATATATAGAACCTGTACCTATGTTGAACATAGGCTAGAGCTTTTATTCGGTCTATTTTGTTAGATTCAAGCGGACTGCGTCTGCTAATGTCAATAGCCCGGTCATTGAGAACCCTTGCTTGATTGATTCAATCGAATCGCCTGCGTTTTATTTTTCTTGTCTTTCTTTATTTCACTCCCACTCACATTGACATGCATACATACACGCATAGCTAGAATGAATGAACGCTAACAACCTGTCGCTAGGACATGATCATCATCCTGTTCTCCTCTCTAGGCCGTCTCTTCCAGTTCCGACGACGATCTCCTACACTCGGCCAGCGCACAAATAGCGGCATGAACGGCGGCCGACGGTCTGACATCGACGCCGAAAACCGGTTGATAGATCAGCTGGATGAGCAATGGGAGGATTGATGTTGATTTAAGGCATTAATGTCATTCTTTTGGTTTCGTCTATAGATCTTATCGTTTATCTATAACTATGTATTGGTATTGGTATTGGACTAAGTTATGTGAAATTGGCGCTGTGTTTTTTTTAACATTTTATTTCCTGAGATGGATCTAGACATTCATTGTATATGTATGAGTATATACTCGTTAAATATCACATCCATCTTGACGGTATGCGCTATATACTATTAAATTTCAATACTGCAGAAAAGAATATTGCCGTAAACAAAGCGAAATAGGAAAGCTGGCGGTAAGGCCTAGTAGTCTCTCTAGCATATAAATCCATAAATGGAATGAAACAGAATATAGCATCATTGGTCTAGTGGTAGAATTCATCGTTGCCATCGATGAGGCCCGTGTTCGATTCACGGATGATGCATTCTTTTTGTCTCTCTTGAGCTCTGTTTGTATCATTTCTTTTTTTTTTTTAGAAAAAATAATGAATAAATAAATAAAAATAATGGTATGTTCTATATATATATGGAATGAGTATGCTTTTATAGCTATTAAGAGTTTATCTTGTCTCTGATAGTTACATATGGTGAAGTTATCCATTTCAGCACCAATATATATAGTGAATGGATAGACTAACAGGCAATTGATTGGTTCTGGGTATCATCTCAGTATTAACTTAGACTAAATGCTAATTCAGTTGTCATCGGTGCTTGTATTTTAGTCGAGTGAGACATTCGGATAGCGGTATTTGGTCACGTATGATACTCCAACATGAAATAAATAATACATACTGTTTGGTGACAAGCATATACAAAAGATACTCTGTACAAAATGAAGAGGTATAGGTATATAAACGCTCCTAGATAGGGCAAAAACAAAAAAAAAAGGAAAAAAAAAAAAGGAAAGAATAGTTATACTCCGATTCCATTCCATTCCGTCAACCTGTACCCTCGCCAAAAACAACAAAACATCAATCAAACGTCAGTATCAATGCTATACACCTGTAGCACCTACTCGTTCGTACGGTGAGTTACTCCCGCCATTCCTAAATCATATCCCCCGAGAGCGAGGTGTCCTGCGCCAAAGCTCATGTCCGGGGCTGCGCCGGCACCACTGCCGGGTCCTGTCGTCGCATCGAGGTTCACGCCGGTGCTGACGGGGTCCAGGTTGAAGGGTAGGAACCAGGCGCTTGGCTGGTAGAATTCGCCTGTCCCGGAGGGAGCGCTGGGGTCTAGCTGGCCTGTGAAAATGGCGGGGTGGTCTTGCGGTGGTGGCGGAGGGGGAGGCGGCGGAGGTGGTGGTTGTGGTTTGGTGTTGTTCATGGATGGCATGGCTGGGTGGTCGGGGGAAACGAATGATGTGGTCGGGGGATCGAAGCCGGAAAAGGAGTCGTAGACGAACTGTCGGTCTAACTGGGGCAGTTGGTCGGTTGGCATGGAGAAGTCGAAGGGGGATTGTCCGAAGAGTTGTTCCTGGTTGAATATGGCGGGTTGAGGGAATCCAGTCCTGGATGTGTCCAGCATGCCTGGAGTGGCTTCCAAATTCATATCTATCATGGACTGCGAGGGCGTCGGCTGGTCCAGGCTCGGGACGGTATCGACCCGGCTGCTCTTCCTGGAACGTGATCGCCGTGTCGTAGTGGCCTGCGGCGAAGGGGAGAGGCTGGCGAAGAAGGCTTCGACGCTCTGGAGATCGGGCTTTTGGCTCATCACCGCGTCGTCGTTCGTCTCACTGCGCTGGGAGTCCGGATCCTCCCAGTGTAGCCTCGATACACCATGGGGATATTTGTCGAACCAATCGCCGTACTGGAACATCGGGGTGGTTTGGCCGCCGTTCTGCGTGGGTACCGAGCCCTTGATGGCGGCATCGGCGAACTGTCGATAGCGATCCTTGGCACTCTCGACCATATAGTGGAACATGCCCCAATATTTCTTCATCTTGTTTAGATACCGATACGCATGGCGTAAGTTCTCCTTCGACCGAGCCTCCAGCTGTGCATTTTTGGAGAAGATGCCCCAGATGTGGACCGTACTGGCCGAATAAGCGCAATATCCGGCAAACGGGACAGTCAGAGGATAGGCAGAGGCCCGGTCGATCAACACAGAGATGTGATGGGCTGCCTCAACGGCTGCTCGCCCGGCATTGCTCAGAAAAGCCTTTGGCATGTCCCGTGGGGGCCGCCCGCCCGGCGCCAATGGGATCGCAAACTGGTTTAAGAAAAGCATGTTTTGATGAATGACAATATGGAGGAAGAGAAACTGGTTCGCAGTTCTATCGGCTGCGTGGACCTGAAGGTTCTCATACGTGAAGGCCAGGTGACTTGGGAGACTCGCGGAAAATTCCTCGATCTGCCGCTTGAGGTGCATGTATCCAGACTCGGGCGACCACAGTGGATGCGGATCCTTTCTCTTCCCTCCCAGATTGAGGTAGTCAACGATGCGGCCCCATATTACTACGGCGCGAATGATATAAGCCGATACGCCCATGTTGTCTTTGGCATTGGACAACTGCCCAACATCCTCGGGAACCGGGTTGGGAACGTTCCCATCCAGATCTTCCGTAGGTCCGGGGATTTCCATTTGGAAGTTCGGCTCCTTCGTTGGGAGTTGTATGTGCAGGAACTTTTCATTCCCAATGGGCGGTCTTTGGCTCCCGGACGAGTTATATCGATCCATCAGAAAGCATGCCCACATAGTCCGCCTCCTGATCTCGCGATCGGTGAAGCTGAGCTGCTGCGATCCGCTGTCTTGGCTCTGACTTAGCAAAGGATCATGGTCGAGCTCCCTATGCAGTTGCAAAGCGTACGCCATCCGTAGCGCTTGGCCCCCGAACGACCAACTCCGCCCTCCATGACACGTCCCGAATTCATGTAGACCCAGGAGCAGAAAGACGGTCAAAATAGTAATATTTGGTTCATCGTGCCGATCCATCGCAATAGTGGCTGCCGGATTGGCCCAGTTCTCTCCGCGCAAGAAAGGAGGGTCCGAGTTGATCTGCGGATGTGTCGAGAATCGAGCCGACACGGCACAGACGGCCAGGATCAACACCGGCGGAACCGTCCTGGCTTTTAACCGTCGCATAAAGCTGGGTTTATGAAGAAGGAGGTACGATTGTCCGTAGACACAATCGAAGAAGACCTCCGCCAGATGTTCCTGGATCTCCAACGAGGGTAGAAAATCCGCACCCTCCGTCAACAGACTGGATACCCCCTCCCCTGGTTTACCATCACGGTGCATGGGAAAAGTATCCTGCGGTGCTTGACGGTCCCCGCGAGTCCACTCGTCCATCTCTGCAGCAAACGCTTCCTCGGCCGACCGTTTTTTCTGAGTCTTAGAAGTCTCTCCGGGCTGAGGAGGCCGCACCACCGACCGCCCAATCGCCGCCATATCCCTGGCCTCTCCCTTGGGAATGGTCTTGATCACCCGATCCTCCATTCTCTTCAACCGTTTGTCCAGCATGGCCATGTAGTCCGTTCGCGGGGCTGCTTTCCTCGTGGTGACCTTGTACACGCACGGGATCCGAGAGCGCGAGCAATGCTTGCACGCGGGCTTCTCGCCAGAGCAGCGGATTTTCTTCCTTCTACACGCGATACACGCCAACGGTAGACGTTTTCGTTCCTTGCCGGCTTTCGTCTTCAGTTCACTCCAGGCAGGTTTCTCGGTCTTCTGCTCTGTCCCTTCCTCCTCCTCTCGCGGACGGCCCTGTCCGCCGGTCTCGGGTGCGTCGCCCATCGGATGCAGGCTGTCGGGACCTCGCGAGCTGGCCCGACTCTGGCTGTCAATGTCTTCGGGGGGAGGAGCATCGTCTGGCCCCAGGGCATGCCCCATGCCGGCGGAGAAGGCCAAAAGGGAATCGTCAGATTCGGGAGGGATCATGTTGGGCGCGGGTACCCCAAGATCCAGACGCGGGTCATCGTTCGATAGGATGAGGGACGAGGTGAGAGGGGATAGTGGAGTGTTTCTGCTCTGGGACTGAGTCTGGGGGAAGAGAGACGGGACGAGATTGCGGGATGAAGTTCGAGTCGATGTGGGTATGGGGAAGGCTTGGCATCGGTCATCGGGAACGATTATTAATCTCATTCTATAGACGAATTCATTCTATCGACTTATAATGGTGAATATTATATTATCGTAGTCCTCGCATCTTGATCTCAACGCTTCCATCCATGGCATGTACCTATATAGTATAGTATGGTACTTCGCACCTATAATCCCATCCTATGACACACCAGACTATCAAACTGGCCACTGTGCATGGCTCTTCTCTACTCAGTGTCCGATTACCCAGTCCATTCATTAACCCCCTTCCAGATCTTATGATGACTTCGGCCGTCCAGGTCGCTGACGTGGTGCCAGACTATCCAACGATCCGACAATTTCAGAGCCCAAGAGATAAACATTGTAGCTGGGAAAGACAATCCAAAGTCCACTAGTATTGTTAATAACTGGATGAACACAAAGGGAAGGAAGAGGGATAAGGAAGCTCACTTTGGGATAATCCACAGGAAGACCAATACCCAAATATCATTATGTCCAATATTGTGGAATCCAGAGAAAACCTCATTCAACCCTACGGTCCTCGTCAGCTATGAGATGACATAGGGGAATGCGACAAGCCAGAACTCACAATAGATGATGGTTTTGCCCAGGGTCATCAGCGATGCGCTATAAGCGACTAGAAGCGCGATCGCTCCCTTGCGCCCGTGGACCACTTTCTCATCCTTCAGCAGCCACAACAAGCCCTTCTGGACCTTGCGCTGAGACCTGCGACTGGTCGAAGTGGTGGTCGTTCCATGTCGATACACAGTCACCAGGTAGTAGAGATAGGCTAGGGTTTCCACGAGATTTAGGACCGTCTGCGCGGCAGTGAACCCATTGCGGGCATTGTAGGCCGGCCAGCCGTACATATGATCAATGGTACCGTACAGCGCGTATGGGGTCCAGAGAGGGGCATGCAGATTGTTCCCCGGCATGCTATGGGGGCGCAGCAATACGTACCCGGAATCCCAGAGGACCAAGGGGATCGACACCACGAGCCAGATAGTCACGGCGGCAGAGGGGGTATGGGCCCATGTTTTGGCTGTCGCGGAGCCCCGGGTAGACGGGGACGACGGAGGCGAGGCGGACCTCGTGGCAGAACCTGGAGGGGGGAAATCCCGGGGATGATGTCGCGTGGAGACCATAGTGATCGTAGGCAGAAATGGGTGGTGTGCGCAGTAGAGATACTATAGAGAAGACAATCGCTCGACAGGGAGGTCGAGCGCCGAATTGGAAGGTTGTCAAGAGACAAAAACCCCAAGGGATGATGGATTGGAGTAAAGTAACCGCTGGACTGTCGCATTCCAGAGGTCAGTGACGTCGATCACGCATGTGGAATCGACGTCAGTCCACCATAATTTCTACCAAATTTCTTGGTGACTTTTCAGGTGGATTTTAGAATCTGGAATACTAGAAGTTGAAATAGATAAAAGACTCTATATGATGGATTATAAAGAGAATAAATGAGCATGCACTAGTGCGGCTGTCAGGGTAATTATTCCCTGTACCGCTAACGATTGCTTTAGATTCCCCTAAATAAACAACGTAAATGCTATTCACAGACTTGCCCGCAGTATAGTTATTAAAGTTACTTGTTTTGTATTACTATATTACATGCTTCCATTCTCTGTACTTCGATTGACCTAGTCATTTTGTCCTGGTGAAATATCAACGTAGATACACCTTTTCTTCCCTGGCAACTCGTTGCCTGGTTGCCAATAATCTGCGATACAATAAGTCTGATCACAATAATCTATATCATGATTATTGGCCGAAGTGTACTGGCACTGGAAACAGTGATTTCTTTTAGCCCGGAAGGTGGCAAAATGCAGTCTTGACAACCATGACCGATATTTCCATGCATTAGAGCTATGACCACGCAAAATTAGACAATGTGTCATTACGACACGCATCACTTCTGTCTTTCACCTTGATGTTTGAACAATTTTATAGTGTTTACAATCCTCGCTTGTATATGTGTTTCCTGCTTATACTGCATCCCGGGGTGCATAAGGGACATGTTCTCGAACCATCATTGGTGATCAACTTAAGGGTATAGTAAACATAAGCAAATCTGAATACAAGGTGATAGCAAGCAACAGTAAAGGTCCCAATCCGCGAAAGAAACAGTAGTTGCGTAGAGTGAAGACCATCCAGCATCTGTTGTCCCGGGCCAGCTGCTCCAAAGTCTACCAGAACCGAGAATACGGCAGCCAGCAGTCGACAAAATATCTGGAGATGAAAGGTACTGTTTCATCCAATAATTTCTCTCAAAGTCGTTGTGGTATGGATAAGATCTACTGTGATTCCATGAAAGAGAAGATGTACAAGCAGTTGTGTGAATGCGCGATGGTCCAGAACAAATATTTCATTATACGAAGCTTTTTCAAAGAAGCTTGTGATGAATAGCATCTCGAACTGGCTGTTGAAGATATACAAGGATTGATAACAGGGGCACTGGAACGTGACTATTGTGATATAATCAGCACCGCAGAGGATACTTCCCCTCTGCAGTGTGCACAAATCAACAAGAGAATTCAGAGAAAGAGCAGTGGAATAGGATTCTCCGGCTAACCTTAAGAATGTCTGGAAATATCTCCATGAGGACAGTTATTTCATACGACAGAGCACCGTCAGCACAACAAGGAGCAATTGTTCAAACGTTCTGGATTTCTGGATAGTGTCCATTCTTTCAAAGAGCGTGAACTCCAGGATACGATCTTTGTGACCGTGGAAAACTCTTCAGAAAGTGAAGTAGCGCGCTGGCTGCAATGTGATGCTGATCCTAGAGCAGGATCAGATCCCCATAATATGCCACTTTATTTAGCAGCGCAGAAGGGCAATGTGTACATTATGGCGACTCTGCTTGAGAGGACACAGAGGACTGACTATCCGGAGAGTCCAATCATAAATTCCTAATTAAACATAGCTCTTGGGAACGTACACCCATCTCTTGCAAGAATGCTTATCAGCCTTGGGGCGGGTAATGTTTGGATCTCTCTGAAAACAGCTGTTAGAGCCGGTTATACAAGAATAGTTAAAGATGTCTGATAAATAGGGCAAGGACAGACGGGTTGACTATATGTGGCCCGTTGCTTCAACTGGCATCTGTGCATGGGCAGATGAAAATTGTAAAATGTCCTCTTGACCATGGGCTCCCACTAAATCCAGACAGTCCGATGAATTTAGGCGGGAATAGTCCCTTGATGGGGGCAGTCAGTGGCAATCATCCAAAAGTTGTCAAGTACCTAATCAAACAAGGGGCTTTATTTAAAGCAGCAGGCACCTATGGTACTGCACTTCAGACGGCTGCATTTTGGAACTACGTAGAAGTGGCAGAGATTCTGCTTGCACACAAGTTCAAGGTGGACGGATATATACTGGCAATGGCTCTTCGGAAAGGAATGCGGCAATGGTACAGTTACTTGTGAAACGCGGCCCGTCCAAAGCCAAATTAGATAAACATGATCGATTTTTGATGAAGTGAGGGAGGCGGATATCCTGAAGTCTCCTGTATTCTATGTACATAGGATTCATCCTAGGACCATAGCCATCTCGGTGACTACCATTCTCACATCCTGGTGTTGCTACTGTTGGTATCAATAACACTGCTGATTTCCCCGATGGCCATCAAAAATACACTCTGACATACCTCAATTGCGAACCGACGGTCTAATAACCCAGTTTTGCACGGCTACCCCGTCAGCCTCGACGCCCTCACCCACAAACTCCCAGCCTGCTTTGGTGAGCACCCTGGCACTACCTGAATTTGTCTTGTCAATGACTGCGGATAACGCAACCCCTTCCACCCCATTTCCATTGACGAGAGAACTATCAGGGAGCGGGAGTTGCCACCATGTCTCCGTAAACCATCGGAGAGCTTCAGTAGCGTAGCCCTTCCCCCACGAGGACGGATGAAACAAGTATCCTACTTCTGGGCCATCCGCGGCCGACATGTTGACAATCCCTAGAACCCCGATGATCTTGCCTTCCGCCGGCCCGTCCGTGGTGGTGGTGTTGTATTCTTTTTGCAGGACTACATAGTTGTAGGTTTTTCTCTTGTCGGTTCCGCCTTTGTACATGTGCTGGTCCATCCACGTCCTTGTTTCCTCCTCGTCTCGATCAGCGCGTCCTTGTCGCGTCCATTTCATTACTTCCGGGACAGTGCGCAGAATGTGGAGCTCGGGGAGATCCGTCGGTCTGAATGCTCGGAGGATGAGGCGATCCGTGTGGATTGACTCTGGTTGGGAGGGTAAAACAGGGATAATTGGCATGTTTGTGTTTGAATATACTTTGATTCTGTATGAACGAGAGAACTGAAGGAGAGAGAACTGTCAGAATGGTAGTCTTGGACTAGTTACTCCAAGTATATATAGTCTACGGAACAGACGCTTCGGAATAGATTGGTTTGAGTGATACACGAAAATGAGTCACGCTAGAGGCCTTGTATACGCAGTATCCTCGTGTCGAAACCAAAATTTGTGCATAATAATACCAAGGCAGAGTTAGCATGGAGCCCATAATGCTTTTGGGCCCTTTTTTTTTTTTTCCCTTGTAATAACATGCCATACAAGCTAATAGGTTGCATCCTGCCACTTCAATCAAGTATAGGCTTTTTGCATTGTCCTGGCAATAGTACGAAGTCGCTCTGATTCACGCCCACAAGAAAAAATTGTGGGTCAATCCACCTGGAATATTAAGTTAGGATCTGACTGAAATGCCACACAGGCGTGGACTCTATCATTCTAAGCTGATTGTGGAGTGGATTATTAAAAATTCCGATTTGTCATGTTTGCATATTTAACCACGTGATAAATACGAAGCTTACTCATCCTGCAAGACTCTTTTCGCTCCACATTGTGCAGTTTGACAAACCACTAATCCAGACCCTCAATCACAATGGGGCAGGAGAATTCACAAAAGGTTACACCCATGGCCATTAAACCGTGGTAGAGGCCTACTGACAGCTTGTTGCTTAGAAAATCGACAAACTCGCTCGAGTGAGGGAGAACCAACGGAAGAGTAGGGCAAAGAAACAAGCGCATATCCGTGACTTGGAACAGAAGCTGGCGTTATCTGAAGAGCAAGCACGTCGCAAGGATGTCGATCATAGACTGGCTGTCCAAAAACTCCAAGCAGAAAACCGTAGACTGAGACATTTTTTGGTTTGTTCAGGCTTCTCACCCAGCGAGATCGACGGGTATCTACAGACGGGCGATGATCCGGCTCGGTCAAGGAAGATTGCAATCCCTCCACTACGACCGTCTGCGGGTGGGTTTGAAACTCACTGTCGGGAGGGCGTGTCCGCGTGTTCTTCTGCGTCGCCGGAGAATCAAACGGATTCTCAGACTTGTTATAAGGTCGAAGGGCCGGTAGCTAAGAGTGACCCTGGAGTTGAAACGATTCCTCCTCAGAAATACCCCATTGAGATGCCTACCAAGCCGCAATCCTTTGGTCAAGAACAGTCCATCTGTGGCTGCGTTCCTGGAGATGCAGAATCATGGCCTAAGAACGAAGATGTTCTAAACACTACGCTCTGCGCAATTGCGGAAGAACTTATCAATCAGTACAACACGTGCGGCATGGACATGGCAGAGATCCGGAGAAAACTCTGTGCTGGTTTCTCTAAGGGACTTACCACAGAAGATGGTTGTAGGGTTCAGAATCAGATTTTGTTTCAAGTTTTGGATGAAATCAGCAACTAAGGAGATTTCTCTGATTGCTATCTCTATGATTATAGCACTTCAAGTCCATTTCTTCCTCCTGGCAAACCATTTGACGACATACACCAGAGCCAGAAGGACGGGAACTTCAATCAAGGGTCCCACCGTCGCCGCTAGGGCTTGGTCACTGTCAACATCAAACGTTGCTATTGCCACTGCAATTGCAAGCTCAAAGTTGTTGCTAGCCGCAGTAAAGCTTTGAGTGCAAGACAGCTTATAACCGAAACCAAAGTGACGCGTCACTGCTAGGGTGGCCATGAAAATGACAGTAAAGTACATGATGAGCGGTGCAGCCACTCGTATCACGGACACAACCTGATGCACTACCTGCCTTCCCTGTGAGGCGAACAGAACTAAGATTGTGAACAGGAGACCGATCAAGGACATCGAGCCAATCCATTTGAGGAAGTACCGGCCGTACCACTCCTTACCTATGAAGAACCGCAGAACCAACCCAGTGATAGTGCTGCTCCTAACGGGATTCCCAAGAATGCGCCGACGCTTTTGGCAGCTAACGAATAGTCGATTGCCAAGCCTTCGTTAGAACCGCCAATAACGCGAATGAAGAGGATGGCCATTGGTGCGAACAAAACCATTTGCAGGATCGAGTTGATAGCGACGAGGATTGCGCAATACTCGCCGCCCCCTTATGCGAGCCCTGTCCAGACAAGGACCTACAAGCTTGTTAGGGAAAACTATCGAAACAGGTCTCCGAGGGACATGCCTGAGCTCACCATGGCGATACATCTTGCAATTCCCACTAATATAAGGCCTTCGCGGAGGCCCCTTTCGTCGGGAAGAAATATCCAGGCTAAGACAAGCTTGGAGCAGGTTAGCCGTTGATAATGATGCATTGGAGCAAGTACATACCATGCACAGAGGGGCTATGATCCAATTGACAATAATACTGAACGCCACCGGGATTCAAAGTGACCTTTCCTGAAATGACCGATGTGGAGTTTCGTACCGGACTTTACATAAGATGGGATACATCATAACAAGCAAACCAATCGTTGGCGTCGCTTAGAAAAAAAAAAAAAAACTCGGAAAGGATTGGAAATTCACCTATGGGTACTGGAACACCACGAATTTCCCCTTTTGAAGCGCTTTGCTTGTGTTGGGTACGAAATTTCCCAAAATGAACCCACCACCATGGCCAGGAATCTCCAAATCGCGAAGAAACGGTCTAGAATGGCTAATTTCTGGAAGGCGGATTTTGGACCTGTATCTTGTATATTCTAGCATTCTGTCGTGGAACATCCCACTTCTAGCGCGATGGAGTTCTTGTCCTGGCCCATTTGTAGTCAAGAAAAGGACATATTAAATTGGAATCAATACATATCCTGACTCTATGCAGATCGAAGGAATATATATAGCATGTATCCCAGAATCAACAGAATTCCCATCGGGTGTGTACAGGAATTATGGCAGACCAACCAATCAGTTCCTGCGAGTGACATACTATCACGTGACATACATTATATATTTACAAGAGCTGTTGTAATAGGTTCATGGAATTCTCCTTATATATCTGGTTAGCTTCTTCAAAAATCCCAAGCAACAAAGCCGGTGGTACGGAACAAGGGTGCTAACCCCTTTCACATCACTCTGCTTTACGGAGAAATTTGCCAATGGGTTTTTAAATCATTTCAATAAGAATCGAAAGATATCCAAAGTATCCCTATCCAGATTCTTCCCATGTCTTTAAGTGTTGATGGGCGTGCTTTGCTCCAACTCCTTGCTTCTTTGAACCATACATGAAACCGCTTCAGGATCCTGATGCCGATGAAGCTTACCCACCTCACAATCGATTTGGAGACACGTCCTATGCCCCTATGGATGGGTGCGAGATATGTATGGCTATTTTGAGGAATACATTCTGACACTTTTGAGAAGTAACGAGTCACCTGGAAGGCAGAACTGGCCTACAGTATGTGTTTGGGGGCAGAGGACCCCTATTCACGATAGCTATGGCATTGATAAATATACAGACCATTAAAATTTAGGCGCATGCTTTGTGAGTATGACCGTCACTTCAATTGGCGCGCTACGGCCCTTATGGCTTTCCAGGAACACCCCAGTTCTAGTGCACGATACTCAACAATGTCAATGCCGGTGAGCAAGTTCCACGTGGAGAATTGCTGTGCATCTGCCGAATCATGATAAAAAAACTTCTCAATGCCCGTTGCTCTGCCCAGCATCTAATTGCTCCGGGCTAAGTTGTCCCTTACGGATTTTATAGTACTAGCCATCCTTACGGCCATGAGGGAATGAAGTGGAATTGCTAAAGACAGAAAACTAAATATAGGCTTGCTATTGTGCTAAAAATATTCGGCAAACTAACAGGGAACTATGTGACCACAGTCACATACACTATGCGGCAAGCGGGAGACCCAGTGTTTTCCGATTAAGGATTTTGTAAGAATATTGGCCATAACTATCGCGTATAGTCTCGATTCTAGGAGAAAGCCTACATTGATCAGCATCAAGACTCCATTTTTTAAGACATCTTCCTGTATAGGTGCTAATTACTGTTTAGTATTAAACCAACGCGTGGGGTACGGCCATTTAAGTAGGCGCTTAGTGTAGTCCGAGGCACTCCCTAGAGCTTAGCTGCGGGTGAAATCGATTGAATATAGCCTGAATTTATTGCTTTAATTACAAGTAGTATTATGTCTTTATTTGGAAGAGATAAATAACGCGTCTTGGTGGCCATTTTGGAGGTTGAAAATTGATCAAGAATTGATTGAGGTATACAGGACGTTTAGTTACCTAGTTAGCGTGGCTGCTTAAGTTATAAATGGACCGCTTTCCAAATGCGGAAGAGCTAAACTATTTTAGTCGAATATTTATATAATTTTTATTAGTTAGTTATTGTGCCGAACCTCTCTCGTAAATCTTCGAAGTACTCGTATTACAGTGCAGAGCTTGACGAATCCGCCCCGCGCAGTTCCCCACAACCCCAATATTGTCCCGAGTCATGCACCTTCGGACTTTCTCCGGAAAGCTGCCGGTGGCAAGAAAGACAGGACAACAGGACAGGAGACTGGAATCTCCATCGCCATGTGGCAATACAGTGATTGAACGGGGAAAATGTTTACCCATATTGATTTGGGAGATTCTTCAGTAGACGAATTTTCTTCAAACACATAATTCGGCTGGGTCTATGTTTTCATTTCTGAGATGTGAGGGATTCTCCGGGCTCGTAGTCTCTCCCTCAACTTTTCAGATCCATGAGCGAGCCGAAGTCTGTTGGGTCGTCTTGGTAATTAATCTCAATGACGGTTGAATACTCCGTCCCAAGAAAGACCTGATCCAGACTGACGGAGTACCTCCCAGGGTTCTCTTCATATGTACGGAGTATAGTCTGTATGGAGGCGGAAATTTTATTCCGTTGGCCTGTCCAGCCATAATATCTCATTGTTATTTTGGTGCCCCTCCTTGCTGTAGAAGAGGAACTTATCATTATGATTATTACGTACTATTATTTTTATTGCCCTATGCAAGGGTGCTATCGATGGTCAGACACGTCGTGCTGGGGATGGAACATTCCTGGATATTTCCATCCTGTCCTTACTGAGTCGCACCTCTCATTTGATCAGTCCATGGCGAGTCAAGAGGCTGTCAAGGGAGATGTGGGGAACAGAGTGGCACGGTAACATCTTAAGACAGACGCATGTAGGATTCCTTGATGCCATATTACTGGTGGACGTTGAGACAACACCCCAAGAAAATAAGAGCCGGAGAGTTGGTTGGCGGATGGCAAAGACCGCTGGGATTGAATGGCTGGTATTGGGATTACAGACATGCTGTAGATGGGACTGTGTACCCTATTCTGCCTAATAGTAAGCAATAGTTACTGTTAACGTAGTTAGTTAACTAGTTGATGTCGCTTAGTAATTATAGTTAATGTCTCCACGTAAGGAACCCCAGAATGAATGGCATGCATAGATCGATCGTGGATGTGTACTGTACTTACCCGAGGTATGGTATCGAAGTACAGTAACTATACAGTTCCATCATCCCTCTAGTTTATCAATATTAACTCGCCACAACACCGCAGTCCAAATCATTGATTAAGATTGCAGAAAGAATTCTGATCTGTCCTCGAGTGTGATGCTTTTAAAGTTTTAACGTTCTGTCGCGTCAGAATGCCGTGGTGTACGGTACGGCACTTGTATTGGAGAACCGCCGGTTCTCACCCCAGTTTTGATAAATTACACCCTCTGGAGCAGTGCAGATTTGAGAGCCGCCAAGCACAAGTCTTAGCTGGAATCCATCGGGGCTTTACACAGTATCCCTATTATTATCCTAGTCCCACCAGTCTTGCTTGATCTGGCTCCTCCGTGTCGATCAACATGCCGTCCCAAGCATCCGTGGGTCTCTCCTGCCCCCCTCTGCATGCGAACCTACCGGGACCTCTGCCGGCTCCCATACAAACATCCATCCGTTGATGCACGTACTGGACTGGAGGGAATGCACTACTCGTCGAGGTCGCTGGGTGGCGTTCCTCTCTCTTTGTTTTGTTATTAATATCATCTACTTCCCCCCCTTCTCCCTTCCCATTCCTCTCATCATCTCTCCCCCTCGACTGGTTGCCCCCTTTACTTTCCCGCAACGATGAGGTTTGGTTGGTTTGAGGCGGCGGTCGTGACCGCTGCCTCAGTGGTCAGTGCCCAGGTATGTCTGTCCCTCCCCTCGGTCGATTTTTACAACGGAAGGGACTTAGTTTGACCCTGCATCACCTGTCACAGGATGATCTTGCTTTCTCTCCTCCGTACTATCCTTCCCCGTGGGCCAATGGCCAGGGAGAATGGGCCGACGCGTATGAACGTGCCGTCGACATCGTCTCCCAGATGACGTTGGCGGAGAAGGTTAACCTCACTACTGGAACAGGGTAGGTGGATCGGAGTACCTCGCTGGGTCAATGGTAGGCTAATGTTGTCTAGGTGGATGTTGGATAAATGTGTGGGTCAGACAGGAAGTGTTCCCAGGTGTGTACAGATATATTCACGTAGTACATGGGCCTGTTGCGCAGTCTACTGATTCCGGCACATCACAGACTCGGACTATTAAGTCTCTGCTTGCAAGACAGTCCCTTGGGTATTCGGTTTTGTATGTCATGGAGTAGCTTGGTTTTGTATCCCGCTTGCTGACTGAACCTTGTAGCGGATTACAATTCGGCATTCCCCGCAGGTGTTAATGTCGCCGCAACATGGGACAAGCAACTGGCGTACCTCCGCGGTAGGGCAATGGGTGAGGAATTCAGCGACAAGGGAATCGACGTTCAATTAGGCCCTGCTGCTGGGCCTCTCGGCAGACACCCCGATGGTGGTCGGAACTGGGAAGGTTTCTCCCCTGACCCTGCCCTTACCGGTGTACTTTTCGCAGAAACCATAAAAGGCATCCAGGATGCTGGTGTGATCGCGACGGCCAAGCATTACATTTTGAATGAACAGGAGCATTTCCGTCAAGTTCCCGAAGCCCTTGCGGCTGGATTCAATATTTCGGACTCCCTGAGCTCCAATCTAGACGACAAAACCATGCATGAGCTGTACCTCTGGTAAGCAGACTTTCATTCGAGCTGGCTGTTGTTTCCAGACTGACGTGAACAGGCCCTTCGCAGATGCAGTGCGCGGTAAGCAGACCGGGCGATTCTCTTAGTGTGCGTTGCTAACCAACTATATATGGGCAGCGGGTGTGGGTGCTGTGATGTGCTCCTACACTCAGATCAATAACAGTTACGGCTGCCAGAATAGCGAAACTCTGAATAAACTTCTCAAGGCGGAGCTTGGCTTCCAGGGTTTTGTCATGTCGGACTGGAGTGCGCACCACAGCGGTGTCGGCTCTGCCTTGGCGGGGCTGGATATGTCAATGCCCGGGGATATCGCCTTCAATGACGGCAATTCGTACTTCGGGGCAAACTTGACGATTGGCGTCCTCAACGGAACCATCCCTCAGTGGAGAGTGGACGACATGGCTGTCCGCATCATGGCTGCTTACTATAAGGTTGGCCGGGATCGCCACCACGCGCCTCCCAACTTCAGCTCATGGACCAGGGACGAATACGGCTACGAGCACGCTGCAGTTTCGGAGGGCGCGTATGAAAGGGTGAACCAATTTGTCGACGTGCAGCGGGACCATGCGGAAATCATCCGTCGTGTGGGTGCCGAGAGCATTGTTCTCTTGAAGAACGAGAACGCTCTGCCGTTGAGTGGGAAGGAGAAGAAGGTCGTTATCCTCGGAGAAGATGCGGGATCCAACCCTTGGGGTGCCAATGGCTGCGAAAACCGTGGATGTGACAATGGGACCCTTGCCATGGCTTGGGGCAGTGGCACTACAGAGTTCCCCTACCTCGTCACTCCCGAACAGGCGATCCAGAACGAGGTCCTCCGAGGTCGTGGTAATGTATTTAGTGTCACCGACAACGGGGCTCTGAGTCAGATGGCGGCGCTTGCCTCTCAATCTAGTGTCGCTCTTGTCTTTGTCAATGCCGACTCGGGTGAGGGATTCATCACCGTGGATGGAAACGAGGGAGATCGCAAGAACCTCACTCTCTGGAAGAACGGAGAGAACGTGATCAAAACCGCTGCCCAAAACTGCAACAACACCGTCGTGATCATCCACTCCGTCGGAGCCGTTCTGGTTGACGAATGGTATGACCACCCCAATATTACCGGCATTCTTTGGGCGGGTCTGCCTGGTCAGGAGTCCGGGAACTCCCTCGCCGACGTGCTGTACGGCCGTGTCAACCCTGGCGGTAAGACCCCCTTCACCTGGGGTCGAACCCGCGAATCGTATGGGGCACCCCTGGTCACCGATGCGAACAACGGCCACGGTGCGCCCCAGTCGGACTTCGAAGAAGGGGTGTTTATTGACTACCGTCATTTCGACAAGTTCAACGAGACTCCCATCTACGAGTTTGGCTACGGCCTTAGTTACACCACTTTCGGCTACTCGGGACTGCAAATTGAGCCCCTGAACGCGCCCAAGTACGTCCCCAACTCCGGGAAGACCGAAGCGGCGCCAACTTTCGGCGATGTTGCAGAGGTCTCAGACTATGTGTATCCAAAGGGACTGCGGAGAATCCGTGAGTTCATCTACCCCTGGCTGAATTCCACCAATCTGAAGAAGTCCTCCGGCGATGCCACTTATGGAGGGGAGGACTCGACGTACATCCCCGATGACGCCACCGATGGTTCTCCTCAGGACCTTCTGCCTGCCAGCGGTGGTCCCGGAGGCAATCCAGGTCTCTACCAGGATCTGGTGCGGGTGTCGGTTACGATCACGAACACGGGCAACGTGGCCGGCTACGACGTGCCTCAGCTTGTAAGTCGCTGGCCTCGATGGCTATAATATAAGAATGTGCTCGATGCTAACGTTGTTTGCGCAGTATGTTTCCCTTGGTGGCCCCAACGAGCCGAAGGTGGTACTCCGCAAATTCGATCGATTTAAGCTGGATCCGTCGCAGCAGGTGGTGTGGTCGACCACGCTGAATCGTCGCGACCTGTCCAACTGGGACGTGACGGGGCAGGACTGGGTCATCACCGAGTATCCCAAGAAGGTCTTCGTTGGTAGCTCGTCCCGGAAATTGCCGCTACATGCTTCCTTGCCGGAGATGGAGTAAGGCCTGTTTGTACAGGACTGAGTTGGAGGAATTGGGATGTATATTTGTTGGATGAGACGTAGCATTTGAAAATTATTGTTATGTCCTAATTAATTGATTAGTGCATGATTGCTCTCTTCTCTTTTGCTTGTCTGTAGTTGGTAGGCGGTGAACAGCGACGTCATTCTCAGCTGGGGGATGGTTTTCCACCTGTTCTTCCTCGGCTTCATCAGGATTCACCTCTGCATGTGCTATTCAGAGTGGGATCTGGGCTCTGCAACTCGATGATTGTGGGAATTCTGGAAGGAAACGGGAGAATTCCACGACGAAAAGGTCAGATCTAGTGGACGGATATATCCCAAGGGGAATAAAAAAAAACAGCCAGCATGTCCTCATCCGACAAACGTCCCACAACCACGCGACTCATGCAGCCACCGGCGACGGCGCTTCTGATTTACCCAGTGACCTTGGTGGTTGGATCACTCTTTTCTGTTTTATCCCCGACGGCCCAGGGCTCGAGAGACCACGCCCTATACGGTACGGCTGGTGGCCCCTTGACTCCAGCAACGCCGGTCAATTATTTTGCCCGTAAGGACAACGTTTTCAATCTCTACTTCGTTAAGGTTGGCTGGCTCTGGACGACTCTAGCGTTCGCCGTGGTTCTCCTGAGTCTCGATGCCTATCGGACGCCGTCGAGCCAACGACTGCGACGAATGGGCCAGGCAACGGCCCGGTATGCGCTGGCCACGCTGGTGTGGTATCTGACGACGCAATGGTGCTTTGGACCGGCTATTATCGATCGCAGTTTTGTGGTCACGGGGGGCCGGTGTGAGCATATGGTTCCGTCGGTGGGAGGCAGCGGCAGCAACCACGACGACGATGACCCCTTCGGCTTCCACAGTTTGTTCACGGCGGCAGCGTGCAAGTCCGCCGGGGGAGCGTGGCGAGGCGGCCACGATGTCAGTGGACATGTGTTTATGCTGGTGTTGACGACGTCGATGCTGGGGTTTGAAACAGTGGGTGCCTTGGGCGCAGGCGACGAGGAGTCGGGGCGGAGGAAGTGGTCGGTTCGTTTTGTCAGCGTGGTGGCCGCGTTGAGTTGGTGGATGCTTTTGATGACTGCTATTTGGTTTCATACGTGGTTTGAGAAGGTATCTTTTTCTTTTCTTTTTGGTTTTAGTCCTTTGTTTTCCTTTCCTTTTTCTTCTTCTTTTATCCTTTTTTGTTACTGACAGCTAATGTAGTTCAATGGGCTCCTGATCGCTTTGGGCACGGTTTATACGATTTATATTCTCCCACGACGGGTCATCCCTTGGAGGAACGTGGTGGGAATCCCGGGACTATAGAGTATCAGATGGATACAGCGGGATAGGACACAATCTGATATGGAGATATAGATGCTGATGATGATGCATTGTAGAATATCACGAATGTACAATATGTCGTTTTTACTCCTCCGATTCCTCTCGGGGGATAGGTTCCGTTCCTAGATAACCATAGCGAAATGCTAAATCTTAGCATTCTCTCTATCTTTTTCTCTCTCTGTCAGACTCACCTCCCGGAAGTACCGCCGATGCATACATAACTTTGTTGATGGGCCGCAGATCGTCCGACATTAGAGATTGCTCCAGATACGCCTCCCAGCCGTGCAGGATGGAATCAGCTAGTGATCGATAATCGACGGACGCCTCCTTGTCCGACAATTGCTCGGAGATACATTTGAGGCCCATACAGGTGCCAAATTCGCGGAATGCCAGACGAGAGGAACGATTACGCTCGAAATAGCGCTCGATTTCGACGAGATCGGCTATCTTTGTTAGCACGTCATCGAAGAGACAGAGACAGAAACATATAAAGAGAGAGAGAGATACTAATCCGATCCAGACATTGCACAGCCAATTGAGTCGCCCATGATTCCCGATCAACAAACCAATGTACCGTCCATAGCGTCATTCCTAAATCCAGCGGATCTCGCGACAACCAATTCACACCCTTCCGACGCATCACCCGTCGATAATCCTCCATTTCGTCCTTCAGCACTGCTCCCTCGCCGCTCTGCATCGCCGCCGCCTGCAGCAATCGACACACTACGTATCCATCTACGGGATCCAGGTTCCCCTCTGAAGCAACCAAGGGCTTTGACAGATCCATCGCCATCTTCCACACCATTCGCGGCCGTCCCGTATGTCTGTTGACGAAGAATGGTGCATGGATCGCTCGCGCCAGCGCCACGGCCTGGCGGTTGTATTTCGGATCCCCCGTCGCTAGCGACAGTCGATTGAGCGCAAACATCCACAGTGTTAGATAGTGATGGTATTGGCCGTCTCCGTCTGGTCCCGTAGCTTCCTTCTTGCCGATGCGGAGTCCGCCCCCGAGGGGATTCTCCTCCGTCGCGCCGGGGAGGAGGTCTTGTCCGTCGCGTGTGCGTCCCAGTATCGAGTGCACCGTCTCGACGAGTCGACGCGCGAGGATCAGGTATCTGTCGTCAGGCGCTGCTGATGCGGTCCCCGAGATGGACGACCGCATTGCCTGTTCGTACTCGCGATGCAACGTGATGAAGTTGATCACCCCGAAGGCGTCCGTCCATAGGTATCGTCCTCGATGACCTCCGGCCCATGGTGGCGGCGTCCAGCGGTTCGGGTCGTCGATAGTGGTGAAGTCGCCGAAGACGGACTCTTGGGCTTGGTGGAAGCGTTGAAGTTGGGGGGAGTTGGGGAATGCCATGATCATGATATATTATTCTCAGAAATAGAAAAAGAATTAGAATTAGAAAATGGAAAATGGAAAATGGAAAGAATCCGTCTATTCTCAAGCAGATATCCGATGGTCCAAGTATGAAGTCATTATGACCAATGTTGCCACCGCAAACAGCAAATTCTATATTCTATATTCTGTTTATATTTTACTGTATTTGTATTTCTTCTCATTCTATTCTATTTTCCTATGATTTATTTTTTATTATATATTCTTCTCTTTTGTAGATGCTATAGTACTGTATATAGAGGTACTCACCGCCCGGCATTATTTGTTTACTTCTTCGTCGCTTCTTCTCTCTCTGTATTCTCTTCTCTCCCTCCATCCATTCGCTTCTCTCATCTATCTCTCATCATGGCGGTGCGCCGATCTGCTCGCCTGCGTAATCGCCAGGTCTCCGAGGTATTCCCGATTCCCCCAGTCGCATTCCCTTGCTTCTGTTGACCTCGCTTTAGGAACCACCCGTTGACCTGGACAACACAAATAATAACAACACAAATAACAACAATAGTAATAATAATAACAACAAAAAGAACAACCTCCCACCCCTCGTGGAAAACGATTCGCCTCGCACTCCCCACAAAGAAATCGCCCAAGATATCCCCCAAAGTGTCCCCGCCAAAACTCCCCCTGGTGTCCTCCCGCGTCCGTCCCATCCAGAAATGCACCCCAGCAAGGTCCATCAGAGTACCACCAAACAGCCCAACTCGGGTCTGATCCTGGGGTTCAATCCCATCCCCAAAGACGCCGATGGCAACCTCGTCAAGGGCGCCCTCGTGCAAGACACCCCCTCCAAGCCGAAACACTCGCCCGCCCCTTCCTCCCATTTCGGCACCCCGGGCTTCGATTTCAAGTTCGCCTGCCACGAGTCACAGCTCAGTGACGAGGCCAGAAAGCTCATGGAGACTGTGCGCCAGGATGCCGCCCGCATCAAGTCCCAGATTGCTCGCGATCAGCCAAGCCAGTCCCCCGCGTCCAACGACGCTCACGACGTCGGCGATCGGAAGATCGCTCAGCCCAAGGGCAAGGCCGGTCGCTTCAGCAACGCCCATATGGCTGAATTCAAGAAGATGGACTCCATTGCCGGACATGCGTCGGCCTTCCGTGCCACTCCCGGACGCTTCCAACCCGTTCAGGAGAAGACCCTCAAGCGCTCCAACTCCAAGGCGCGTCTGGATGAGTCCCCGGCCAAGGCTGTCCCGTCTGTCCCCAGGTCTCCTGCTCCGTCCGCAAAACGCGTGAAACACGATACATCCGATGATACGTCCACGCATCGTCCGGTGGAAGGCGAACCTAGGACCCCCAAGCCCACGGCTCATTCCCGTCCTCGTCCCCGGTCCACCACGCGCGCTTCCCACTTCACCCCGACCCGGGCGTCGGCGGCGCGGGCCACCGCGACCAGCATCAAACCGCCTCGTTCGTCCATGATCCCATCGCTGGCTCGCTCCCCCTCGCTGCAGCATCCGTCGGCTCCACGAACCCCTCGCACAGACTTCAACCCCCGTCTGAAGACCAACATCCCCACGCTGCCCAATCTCAAGTCGATTCTGCGCCGTCACCAGCCCCTCTTTTCCAAGGATCCCACCAAGATCGCCGCAGGTACTCATGTGACGGCGTCCGACTTCAATTCCAAGTTGTTACTGCAGAGCCCCTCGCGGCAGGCATCCGACGATGTCGTGCAGACACCCTCGCCCAAGAAACGCGTGGAATTCTCCTCCAGCACTAGGTCCCCCGGCCCGCAGGCGTCGCCGTCGCCCTCGAAGATCCCCAGTGCACGTCCGGCCACCTCAGACGTTGTCTATCCTTCTCTGCCGGCCTTGACACCTGAAAAGACCGCTGCTGCTACGCCCACTGCTACTTCCGGTGAAATTACGAAATCCACCATCCGTCAGGTCCGTCCATCCGATGTGCCATCGACCACGAGGCCGCTGCCGAAGGTCGCCGGCGTGCCACACGGGATCGGGAACAAAAAGCGATATCGCGAGACGACCGAGCACGGCACTGACAGCGAGAATATGCCACCCGTTGATACGACCGACGAGGTCCGCAGTACGAAGCGAGTTAAGTTGGGCTCACCGTCACCTACCAAGATGCCAACCCCGAGTCCGACCAAGCCTCGTTCCCACACGCCTCTGCGGTCGACCGCGAAGGGTAGTCGATCCGGGACTCCAGCGAGCGCACGTGCCAAGAACCGCGGCGTCCTGAGTGTCAGCCGTTTGAACATGCTCGCTCAGCCGAAGAATCGCTCTTGAGCTGACCGAGTTGATTGATTGATTGCATTTACGGATTGCACATAATCTTTTTTTGTCAATTCCCAGGAGAATGGTGTTTTTTTTTTTTTTTTTTTTTTTTTTTTTTTGACGTACAATCTCTTGACCCGACAATCTTGACCTTAATGTATTTAAATCCTTCGTCGGATACCGAGGTATATCCCTGGATTGTCCTCAACAATGGGTCTATCTCGATGGTCTCCACAGGCGCTTGGATGCATCCGGTATGCAGTTACAGTTGCAGCATAGGATAGGTCAGGATATTATTGACCATGGAGGCGTTCTCTCTTTTTCTCAAACATAGCAGTGTATGTGTCCTTCATGTTGTGAATTGATTCATTTTTCTATCTTGCTCAATGTAGCTTCCATCCATAAGTGAGACGATCTTGATTGCTAGTAGATACTCTATTTCTTATGTTATACTTATAAATATGGAATTTAGGTACTTAATCTGTGGATATTATTTATGCATCTGTGTTATCTTTATTTTCCAATTCTTAGTTATATCCAGAATCTATGCATGTACATACACAGGTAAGAGGTAGCTAAAGTACTCTATATCATCATCTAGAAAGATTAGTAGTAGCACTCCGTAGTATCCATACAATTCTATAGAACGTACAAGCATACAAGACCATAACCTAACGCCATGCACCTGCACCGTCCATCATACCATACCGTACAGGCCAGATCAGATTAGATCAGAATAGAAACCGTCACCCATTCGAACAGGCACAAAGAGAACGAACGAAGTAGACGATCTAGAAACCAGAATACAGCAGAGAGAAAGAGAGAGAGAGAGAGAGGAGTGGGGGAAGAATAAAGATCTCCACACCAGATGGGATCAGTGAACATTAAACAGACAGGGGTCTGAAAATAAAATAAAATAATAAAATCATAGAATAAGAATAAGAAGAATCTCCATCTCCATCATCTCTTCATCTTCGCCAAGAACGATTCCAGATTATATTCCTCTTGGTATTGTTGATCGTCCCAGAGTTCTTCGATATCGTCGAGGTATCCCTTCTTGCCCTTCTCTTTGACTTCGCCGTCGATATCGACCATGTCGACTTCGTTGCCCATTGTGAGTTCGCTCGGCTTCTCTGCGTTTTCTGCCGTTTCGCCTAGGTTGAAGAGGTCTAGGAGTTGGTCTGTGTCCATGGTATTCAGGCCTGCGTTTTGTTGATTGACCACCGTCGATGCGACGTCGATTTTGAATCGTTGGAGACTATTTCATTAGCATCCAGGAAGAAAGAGTGGGGAAAAAAGAAAAAAGGGAACATACTTCAAAATCTTCTCCTCCAGAGTACCTCTCGTGATCAATCGATATACATTGACGACCTTCTTCTGGCCGATTCGATGCGCCCGATCCATGGCTTGGATATCCTTCTGCGGATTCCAGTCGTGTTCCACAAAAATGACCGTATCTGCTCCTGTTAGATTGAGTCCCAGTCCACCGACGCTGGTCGTCAGAAGCAAGACATCGTAGCTAGGATCAGTGTTGAACCGGTTGACAATGTCCTGTCGTCGCGTCGCTTCCACGCTGCCGTCCAACCTGAGATACTGCACCGAGGGAAGCAGTTTCTTGAGCACTTCGCTCTGTACAATATCAAGCATTTCTTTCATCTGACAGAAGATAAGAGCTCGGTGAGGGCTCACGTAGCTTGCCCCTGTCCCCAGGTCACCTTCGCTGGGTGGGTCGATGCCGATGCCGCAGTCCAGCAGTAGGTCGCGCAGGGCGCTGAGTTTGGGGGCGTGCGCTACATCACGGATGTACGAGTTCTTCGCGGTCAGGTAGCTCTGCACCTCCTCGTACTGCTTGTGTCCGTCTTTGACGACAAGCGCAGGCGAGTTGCAGAGACGCCGCATGTACTGCAACGCTTGGAAGATGTGCTCCTTGTCTGATTTTTCTGAGCTTCCCACCTTGTTCGCCAGGGTCTTCTGCTCCTTTTTGGTAAAATCCTCGAATAGCTTCTTCTGGAGCTCACTCGGGTCACAGTAATAATTCTGGATAATCTTCGGCGGTAGATCATTGAGAACCTCTTCCTTTAAACGACGCAGTAAGAACGGCAGCACTTGCTTGTGCAGCGCCTCAATCGCCAATGCCCCGGCTTCCTGCTCCTTCGAAGACGACTTGCTGAACCGGCTGGCGGCAATCGGCTTTGCGAATCGGTCCAGGAAAACTTTCTCCGTGCCCAGGAACCCGGGCATCAGGAAGTCGAAAAGGGACCACAGCTCCAGCACATTGTTCTGAATAGGGGTACCAGAAAGGATCAACCGGTGGTTGCTTCCAATGCGCTTGACCGCCAGTGTGACCTTCGCCTTGGGGTTTTTGATCAGATGCCCCTCGTCTAGCACGCAATAGTTCCAGCTTATCGGGCAGAGGACGTCGCTGTCATTCCGGCAGATATCGTACGAGGTCACAACGATATCTGCGTCCGTGAGGGCGCCTCTCAGTCGCGCACGTTCCGCCGGAGGTCCAACATATGCGACGCTGTTGAGGAAAGGAGCATACTGTTTGATTTCCTGCTGCCAATGTCCGGACAGGGACGGGGGGCAGACAATCAAAGACGGAAGCTTCCTGGCCTCGGGCGTCTGGGTGCGCGCAAACTCCTCGGCACGCATATGATGATCGCTAGCAACAATGCATAGTGTCTGGAGCGTTTTACCGAGACCCATGTCGTCGCAGAGGATACCGTGAAGATTGTAGCGATTGAGAAAGGCAAGCCAGTTCACTCCCTCTTGTTGGTAGGGCCTAAGCTCGGCCTTGATGGAGACCGGTAGCTGGAATTCCTCCACTTTTCGTACATCCAACATCTGAGACATGAATTTCCTTTCTCGCTCCCGCCCCTTCAGCAGCTCCTCGGAGAGACCAGGCGGGTCGGGAATTCCAGCCTCTAGAGGGACAAGTTTGACTAGGGTGGCAAATGACGTCGTGGCCAGCAGTCTCACATCGTTATCAGAGTCGCTCATTCTTCCCAGAACAGGTACGACAAGGAAGATAACATAGGGTAGGATACCATCCTCCATCACATGGATGAGATGGTAGATACATTCGACAGCTCCTTGTCGGTGATGAACATCCAAGGCATTGTTGATAGCAGGCAGCACTTTCTCGACCAGCATGGTCATCCCTTCCACGGTGATGACGCTACATATTGTAGCAAAGCACTTGGCAGCAGCGTAACGTATGACGGACAGCTGGCACTGAAGTGCTTTGGCCACAGTTGGCATGAGGCCGACCACCCAAGGGTAGAGGCCCGGGTCGAACTTGGGCAGAATGGCACGTAACGTCGATAACCCATCCACTACTTCCTGGCCGAGTTCATTGTCGGGGTCGTGGATGTTGGCCGGTAGATCCCCAGCGAGAGCTTCCTTAAGAGGACGTTCGACGAGGGATGCAAGGTTGGGGACTTTCTCCATCAGCTCCGGGCCAAACTTGACAGCCAGTTGTTCGAGAGCGTCCTTCGCGCCCCGGCGCATGATTCTCGCCTCCTTGGCTTCCTTCTCGAACTTCGCCGCATCTGGATGATCACGCCGATCTTCTTCTTTCCGGAGGGATAGGATTGACTTCTCCAAGCCGGCATTGTGGTGGAACTCCGGGGTTTCTGACGTGTCCACACAGCAGTATTTGACCAAGTTTCCAATCACCTTGTCGACGGGGCCTCTCTTTGCGGCGGTTGTGTAGTACTCCACGAGAGTTACAATGGCCGTAGCAGAGCGCTGTTGAAGCTCGGCATTTTCTTCCTTCTTGATGTTATCCATCATTCCCTTGATGAGGTGGCCCGGCTTCTTAGGAATATTATGCAATGCAACCAAGGCACCTGCCGCCGCCGCCGTGATGCGCATGTCTCTTTGCTCTCGGGCGCCCCGCGCCTCGGAGACAGCACTCTCTGCGGTGGCGCGCGTATCGTTCAATACTTGCAGAGCAGTGATACGCTGAGCCGGCGCCAGCCCCTTCTTCAGTCGCTCGAAGTCGGGCCCAATGACCTTCTCGGCATCGGACAGGGAGAACGCACTGGGGCCAGCTTCGGCGTCCCCTTGCACGATAACAGCCAGGACCGGCAACCTTGACCCGGGCACATGCGCATGGTCCCGGAAGGTATTCAACAAAGAATGGCACTGTGCACGGGCAACATGGAGGTAGCAAGCAATATCACTATACCACATGGGGCGCTCTCCTTCAATGACGAGGCGCAGCTTCTCACACAGAGTGGGAGCATACTCACCACTGGGTCCGGTATGCTTGGCATATTCTTCAATCACCATTGCAGACGAGAGCTGCGAAGTGGACGCGGGGAAGTCAAGGCCTTCCAAAACATACGGCCAGAGGCTTGAGAGCCCGTGCTTGTCCCAGATATGAAGGAATTCGCCAATCGCCTTTGCCGCGTGAATCTTGGACCGGAGCATGGTATCTGCGCCGACCAGGTCAATGTCACCCTGGAGCATATGTCCGTCAACGTTGTGGGCCGAAGGAGGTGGCGGGACTTCCTTCTTCTCCGCTTTACGTCCTCGCTTCTTCACTCCATCAGGTGCAGCACTATTTGAGGTTGGGGAGGACTTTGCGGGGGCAGCAGCGCTTGTTGGGAAAGGCACACCGGATGGTTTGATGAAAAGGGAGGCATTCATAGGGATAGGGTAACGAAGTACGCCAAAAGGCGCCAGGGTCAAGGTTATGAGAGGCTGGACGCAACTCAACAAGTCGGAGTCCGATTTGAATAGTCCCCGGGTCTCCAGAGCCTTGAGTAATTCCGACCACACCTGTAGAGACAGCTTCAGGACTCCCTCGTTCCGCTCCACCAACAGGTTCTGGAAGATGAGACGCAGTGCCTTGCCATTGACCCAGTCATTAGTGCCTAAACCTTCGAGCTGCAGGAATGTTATGAGAGCCCGAAGGACGGCGGAGCGTACACTCGTTATCGTATGTCGCAAGAATGGATAAAGACGAGGGACCAGGTTGCCAAACGAGGACTCGGAATTGACGGCCGCATTGGCTTTCATCGCTTCGAGAACCTCCCGGAATGTGCAGAGCTTTGCCAGCAGATCCATCACCGAGCCGGTACTTGCACTCAGGTCGTCCTGCAGATTCGATAGGCAGTCCCATACAATCGTCATGAGCGGGCCCAGAGTGCCTTGTCGAGAGGTGACAAATTCTTCGGCAATGGGAACCAAAGTCGCCGCACTCACTGCCCGGACATCGTCGTCATAGTCCCCTAGGCCTTTCATAACGGCCTCCAGGACACCATCCATGAGCTTGGCGTCCTTCACAAGTAGATCCTTGCGCACTGCCACCAGGTATCGGAGGCCGATCATACCACCGTGACACACTTCCCAGATTGGTCGCTCCAGGTCCAAGTCGTTTTGCATGATGATGCGATAGAGACATTGGTAAACCGCGATGACCGTGCGTGCGCTAAGCTGAGATAGGAGCGCACCGAGCGTTTGGCCGACGGTCTCCCGGATGGGAGCAACAACATTGTCCGAGATGTAGTCACCAAAGCGGTCAAGCATGAGCACGCAGAGGAGACGACAGGCAAGGTCGTCCAGCCATTTGCGATTCAAAGTGTCATTTTCGGCTCTGCTCTTCCCCCGCAACCGACCAGCACCAGGGCCTTGCACCCGGATGACCTCTCGGAGGGCCATGGCAGCACCGTGGCGGACTTCCCAGTTCGGGTCGAAGACATCTACCATGAGGAAATCACACATGGGCTCGAAAGGCCAGACCGGACTGGGACCTTCATCTACCAGCTCGGGTTGTATCAGAGGCTTTTCCGGTGCGGACTCCCCTTTAAATTCGGTGACAATCTTCGAGTCATCATCGCCGGTCGACCGGTCCAGGGAGAAGTAATCCGGCTTCGAATCGCCGTTGCGCTCCTCTCCATTTTCGGTTTTCACGGGGTGAGGCGTCGTTGCTGAAGGGGTGGTGACATTCTCGGACGGCCGCCGCGCAGACAGATCCACCACACGTACTTTACTCGCACCCATCTTCGCACTCTGCTTGTTTTTTCGTTTTAGCTGGTTCAACTGTCGCTTGCTCAGTCCCGACTCCTCCCCATTGGCCGGTTCGCAAGGAGAAGCCACGGGGGGTGCATTCAGATTATGGTTGTGGTTCTGGTTATTGTTGTTGTTCTCGCGCGACACAGAAGGGTCCTCTTTGATGCCCGGCGTCTTCAAGGCCAGATCATTGTCATCGATCAAGTCCTCTTCGATGTACTCCCCAGCAAGACCTAAACGAGAGGTGAGAGTTTTCTTCTGGTGCTGTAGTCGTGACGCTGGATCCATGGCAGCCAGAGAATATTCATATTCTTTGCCGGCACTCCCCAGCAATCGCTTGCCGTATTTTAGAACAGCGGTCAAGTCTAGACAGTCCAGCTGGAGCAACGAATCATTGGAAGACAGCGATTGTTCCTCATCCTCTGCCTTAATGTCGACATTCAAGTCGCCTTCATCATCGTCGTCATTATCATCTTCGGCCTTCTTAATATGCTCGCCATCTTCTTCGTTGGGGTCAAAGATATCAGCATTAGTGACGATGAGGCCGATGGCCTTGGCCGCGGCGGTGCGGGTATCCCATGACTTGGACTTGAGATAGGGGAGGATGCGACCAAGGAGATTAAACAGTTCATCTGGATGCTGCTTCTGGACATCGGCCAGCTGTTGGGCGGCGGTATTGCGGATGAGAGGCGTGCTGCCTGTCTCCAGTAAGCTGTGATGAGGATGATTGGTCAGTTCGGGGCTACATCGTATCGGTACGGCAGCTACTCACGTGACCAGACGATCCAGCCTAGCGCACAGCAGTTAGCGTCATGTCATGTATAGTAAGTAATCAGGATTCGCGTGGTCGCAGGGAAAGGAACTCACCTAGAAGTCATGGCGGACAGACTCGCCTCCCACGGAGGGACAAGAAGAGACAGAGAGGGTCACACCAGAGGTCAAGGTGAGGATTTGCGGAAGGAACAGAGATCTTCTTCAACGGGCAAAAAATCAAAAGCGCGAAAAAAAAAAAAAAAAGAAGAACAAGAAAATCCCTCGAGGAAATAGTCAGAATTGTCGTAGTCGTCGTAGTAGTCAAGAGCCGGAGGTTAGGTATGTAATATACAGGACCGTTACGCGCCCGTCACCGCCATCGATCCAGTCACAGAAGAGAAGTGGAGACAATCAGGGCCAATCATGAGTCGGAAGGAAAAAATAAAGAAAAGAAAAAAAGAAAAAAGAAAAAGAGAAGGGTATTACTAGGAGTAGGCACAATCGTATAGGAAAGTAGTAGTCCAGCAGATCGTCATGAGGAGAGAAGCAAGTGAAGAATGACGAAGAGTGGAGGGGAGAGAGGATTCCAAAGTAGTAAGGTGTATAGTAAAAAAAAAAAAAAAAAAAAAAAAGAGGATACAATATACAATTAATTTTTGGTTGTTCAAAAAAAATAAAAAAAAATAAAATTTGGAGCAGGAAAGTGCCGGACACAAGTCGTTCCCCGTCGGGAAGCTGAAGAGCTGGAGCTGGAGCTGAGTTGAGAGGCGCAAGATCGGGACAGTCACCTCAGTAACTCAAGTATCAACAACTGCTCGAGGTCACGCTGGCTGTTTATATCATTGGGGCGTCTTTCGCTGGGCGTGCCGACCCATGCTTGGGCCCTGCGCGCTAGTCCCCTTGGGGCCTAGCCGCCTCCACTCCCACAAGAGGTTTTTCGTATGTGCATGCACGTGACTCCCCCAACCTCACGAGCAGCGCAAATGTTGCTGATTGACGCGCATGTTGTGATTGCCTGGGGTACCTCCCTAGCTTTGTAGTAGTCGTGACGCTGAGGTTGATGACTCGTACAGAATGGCGCCACTCCCACCATTCGCAACCGTCACTAGTTCCGATCAGACCAGCCATGTTTTGAGGTTGTTTCGATCCCTTGGCTGCGTGCCAAGAAAATGCCAGATGGCCTCATAGTTCCAGAAGGGGGATTCTTGTCCTCATCCATGTCGGCATAGTGACGACTGCCGAACAATCCCTTCCATGTCTTAGATCCGGCTGGTATCGTCAGATCACGAGATTTCTCCGTCCTTTGCTGCCTCAGGCTACTCAAGCGTGATACATTACGAGGATTCTACTTCGTAGTAGATAGATATAGACTGGGATCATCATGATTCTAAGGCCAATGTCTCCAGAGTGAATATCTAGCCTGAACACTGGAGGACAGAATTATTACTGCTGAATCGGCATCCCTACGCATCTTCCTCATTCCCATACGTCTGAGTGATCCAACTGTATCCTACTACATAAAACCGTTCCCATCAAACCATCAACCAACGGAGAAAAGCTAAAAAAAAAAATAAAATAAAAGAGAGAAAGAGAGATATCGAAAGTCCATTCTATACACGGCAGGACTATTGTCGCAAGAACAAAACAGCATGACTTTGGTAGTAGTAAAACAATCCAGCACCGCACTCCCATCATGTGCACACCACCCTCTCCTAGGACTTTGCCAAAAATGCTGCTGCCTCATCTTCTTTCCCTAACAGCCCCAGACTGCGGATTTCTTCTGCCTTGGGCGCATTCTCACGCGGATGTGCCGCTTCCGCCTTGCGATAGGCAGCCTGCATCCTCATCGTTCGCAGAGCCTATCCAATCCGTTAGTTCCAATATACCACTGAAACCAGTCATAAAAATCAAGTCAAATCAAATCAAACAACGGGTATATAAACCCCGCTATATCCGATTCCATCTCCAGTCGATTCCGGGAGTCGTCTTGAGGGGAGGGAGAAATCGTACCTCCTTCTTGTGGTGCAGACACTCGTAGTAGTCCTCCAGAGCGGGCATGCACTTCTTCTTGCCTGTTTCGCCCTCTCCGGCATTGACAACATAGCAACCTAGGACCTCCTGCCAGAAGCTGAAGCAGCGAGACGGACCTATTGACAATTAGCTGATGACGACCGCAGGGAAGAACGACCAGGTTAGGAGACGGAATTTCCGGGGAGAATGACGGGGGGGGAAGACATACCGCCATTGAGACCGAATCCAGAAGCCATTGTAGATGTGTGAGTGGTGGACAAGGAGGAGACGAACGAGCGTGTAGGGGAAAGAGAGAGATGGAGCGACAATGCGAGGTTCGTCTCTTTCCGCCGCGTGGCCCGTGCGCCGCCGGCGGTCTTGATGTCTGGCCGTCGCCGCTCCCGAACACATCACCATCATCATCACCACCATCGCCATGGCGGCTTTCGCAGGGCTATCTGCTGCTCATGCAATTCTTCTGGCAACGCATTGGTGTGCCACGGGGAATGCCTCCCATCTCCCGCATCTCCAGGCTCGATTCCCTGTCGGTCTACCTCCCGAACGACTGTTGCGCATCATATTGACCTTCCTTCCCGAGAGCACGGAACCGCAGTCCTACTCATCTGTGGTCCAGGAGATTGTGGACGGGGGATCTTCTCACTGGGATAGCGAGGAGATTGATATCTCTCCTGTCAAAGACTTGACCGAGACAGTTGTGAGGAAACGCGTACGGAAACTCCGACTACTACCACTGAAGTATCCCGACGACGAAGATAGTCAGGATCCCACCGACCTCCTAACCCAGTTCCTGATTCACCGGGCGCACCGAATTGACTCGGAGACCGCTCTTCAACCGCTGATCCTCGATCTTCTCCTGCCGTTCTACCAACGCTCCTCGCCCGTGCGAACATGGCTCATCTCTAGTTTACTACCACTGCTCCGTTTAAACTACGAGTACTACCCTAGTCAAGACGATTCCTTTTCTCTCGACACGCTGGAGTCGATGGACGAGCACACTGCCATCAATGTGCTTCTTTCTATGACGGGTACTCAAAAAAACAACATGGATTTGGTGAACAACTTGCGTGGATTGGTTGGTTCGTGGATGTACGGCAGCAACCGCTCGAAAAGGCGTAGGCTTAGTCAAGCGGCCCGACAGAACTCGATCGCACCCCCTCCGGGAGAACCAGAGTCACGAGCAGAAGATGGGGCTGGATGGCAATTTGTGAATGAATGGCTGGTGTCGCGGAGCTTGGTGGATCGCGAGAACGTCGTAAGCGCTTTCGTCAATTGGAATGGACCGGAAGATGTGGACCTTGGAGGTTATGACGAAGGGCATGACAAACCACAGGACGAGGAGATCACGGATTTACGGCTTCGCTATGGTCAGTCAGGACTCGCTGTTATCTATGCGAATACCGACACCAGCGGGCTATCCTTGGAGGGATCCACTCAGATCTTTATTCGGACTTCGAAATTGCTGGGCCATGCCGATTCTTCTTTCCTGTCACCCGACAGCACAGCACTTCCTTCGGTGAGGTTTGATGCAAGTCATATCTCATCGTCGTCGAGGGTGTCTCTTCTGCAGAACGCTTTGCTCTTGGCTTCGAATCCGTTAACTTATCCCTCGGCATCTTCAATCTCCTTCCTGAGTGCCATTCTCCTGTCACTTCGGATATTGAACAAGCTGGGGCACGCGATGCAGTGCAGGACAGCCGCAAACTTGTGCCTCCACAGCCACGAGGATTTGCAATTGATTGAACTGCGAAACGCGATCGTATCCACTGTCAAGTACTCCAGGTCTGGTCGGGACTGGAGCAACATCCGCCATCAGTTACTCTGGCTTCGTGACTGGGGAACGGGTCAGGACGGGTTGGCCTGGCATGGGATTTTTTGGAGAGTTCCACGGGATGTTTTCGAGGCAGAGATATTAAAAGCGTTGCTGGAGGCTAAAGGTGAGCGAGGACACCAGGCTACATGGCTCTTCATTGAGTGCTAACGGATGGATATAGAATATAACCTGGCCGTGGAAACATATATCAAGTCGGAGCCAACTCTGAGCTCCTCTCAGGTAGAAGAGGCCGTCAAAGAGGCTATATTTGCAGCATATGACAATGCCAGCAATGGCAACCGAACGCGCGGCGGAATGAAGAAGGCATATGACATGTAAGCTGCAGTGCAAATGGATGCATCAGATGGATTGATGCGCCAACTGACATGATCTCGTATAGTCTGCAAGCATTTCAGCCACACCTCCCCGACTCCGTCTCATTCAAACAGATCCATGCCCTTATCTCTGCCACGCATTCTCTGTCGTTTTACTCCCTGACTCTGCAGCATGGAGTCCCCTTTCAACCAGTCAGCATCCGCGTGCACTCGGACCCTCTTTCGCTGATCGAAAAAGTCCTCGATCAGAACGCGAAGGCATACACGAAACTGGACGACCTCCTAAGCATTGGCCGCAATGTCGTTGCAGCGGGGTTCTCGCCTCAACTGTCCGACAACGAAGGCGCCGTACCTGCCGATCCAGAGAATGCCATCGTCACAGCTGAGCGACGCATCATTTCTCTGGCTATTTCCTCAGCTCTCTCCGACGATGACTTCGGCACCGCTTACTCCTACATCCTCACTCGTCTCACCCCTCCATCTCTCATATCCACTTCATCCCCTGTCACCAACCCTACCATAAAGGATGATATCTCCTGGCGTGCCGTCTACAACGCCGGTCGCTACCGTTCGCAGACAACATCTACCAGCTCTACCCTCCAGGCCCAAATCACCCAACTCTCTCAACGCATGGAACTTCTCTCCCTGGCTCTAGTCCTGGTTCCCTCGCCGGACCCCCTCCCTGAAATCCTGGGCGCCTGGCGCCGCTGTGACGAGGAGATGACCAGCTTACGTGCCCGAGAGTCCGAGGAGGAAGAAACCTGGGACGCCCAAGGCGACAGACTGTCCATGGTCCCGGGCGGCTTCGGTCCCACGGACAGCGAACAAGACGCCTTTGAAACCAAACAGCACCATGTCCGACGCGCCTGGGCGCAACACCAACAGAGCCGTCTCAATCTCGAAGAAGCTCCCATGGGTCTATTCGAAGTAGCCCGCGGTGCAGCATTAGCTCTTCACAAGAATGCGTTTCCCCTGCGTGGTGCTGCCGTCACCTCCGTTGATTCTGATCCTCCCCCCACAGAGGGACATCCCTCGTCTGATGGACGTGATTCCAACGATACCGCAGAGGAGAGAATCCGTAAACGAGATGTCGTTAGTAATATGGTTACCGGTGGGTTGGCCAGTGGGATTGGTTGGGTATTAGGTGCTCAGCCTGTGAATCGTTGATTTTATTTATATTCCCTGATGAGAGTTATGATTATTGTTCTTCTTTCTTACTCTCTTTATCTTCTTTTAAAACTGGTGTAGTTAGCATTTGTTGATATCTTGCATTAGTGGCGTATACTTAATATCATCATCATCATCATCATCATCACTTGACTAGAGCTGGAGGTACTAACGTACTATGTAATTGTAGGTAGACCTGCATACGGCTGATGGGTGATTCCTTGTCTTGGGTCCAAATTAATGTTATGCCATCGGTAAAGAATATGATTGATTAATCTACCCAGTTCATCTCATTACAGTTAGGCTTCCATAAAAGATAGACAGCAGATGATATGATTTAAGATTCAATTTAACAACCATATACAATATGTACCGGCTCATTCATGAGATAACTTGAATATGTGAAACATCAAAATAAAGAGATATAAAAAAAAAAGAGGGAGAAAGCGTCAGCTCCGCTGGCCGCTGCAGAGGCTATGTATTATTTTCAACGGAAGAGACGAAAAAGAAATCGATCCATCAACCGAGACAAGAATCAATGCATGGGTAAAATCGAATCAACGCCGGATCAGCCAACTCAAAATCAAGGAAAGACATGATCGTAAAGGAAATCCCCCAACTCCATCAGGATAGACAGTGCAAATGCGGGAAAAGGAGTGTCGTCAATGATCACAATTCGTGTATGCTTTTTTGACATCCTGGTCAACCAAGGGCCAGCCACTTGTAAGCGTAAGGAGGGACCGTAATACATGCGATGCATTATGATGATGGCGAGGGAATATGGATATGGCCGAACAATAGCAAAAATCTACTCGTTCCAGCCCCACACTTGCTTCACGAAGTTTGCCATGTTGACTTTTTTGTTTTTCATGTCCAGCACCCAAGGATGTTCCAGCATCCGCCATGGAGTCGCCCTTCGTGGAGGCTCTTTCTCAAGACTGGGAGAAACGTTAGCTCGACACCAGTCCCTGGATCGTCCAACGGGCCCACACATACCAGCATTCAATAAAATATTTGAAATTATCGGACCAGCGAATTCCACTCTCGGACTCATCTTTCAGCTTGGGAATTGGCTGACGAACAATGTAGGTCAGGAGATCGATCAGTCCGGCGCGGGGTTGCATTTCAGTTCCGTCGGCAGGGAAAGGGAAACGATGCTGTGCCACCTCAAGCAGAGTCACCCCCAGGGACCACACATCCGACGTGATGGTGTATGATTGACCAGTGATACGCTCCGGAGCCATGTAGTATGAAGTGCCAATGAATGTATTGGCATCACCCTTGGTGCCGAACTCTCCACTGACTCCGAAATCACAGAGTTTCACTTGTCCATCGCGGCATAAGAGAATATTCGACGGCTTGATGTCTGTAGTTGCCATGAGCGTCTTCCATCATCCCGGATGCGCGTAGATCAGACACATACCTCGGTGGATGATTTTCCTGCTGTGGAGATATGTCAACCCGTTCAGCACTCCTTCGGCCACTTTACCCAACACCTTTTCCCCGGTCCGGCCCCCTAGCTTCTTGACCTCTTTGTAGATGCTGTCCAGACTGCCCCCTTCGCAAAATTCCATTGCAATCGAGATCGTCCCCGTCGACTTGTCCATGAAAGCGCCATAGTAACGGCAAATATGATCCGATGCGCAGTCCTTGTTGAAGTTGAGCTCGCGAACAATCTGCTTCTTCACATCGGGGTTGGGATCCGTCGTGATAATCTACATACGTTAGCAACAATGACGGTCTGCGGAGACCCGAAAGACTCACCTTCAGAGCGAAGACCGTCTTCCCGCCCTTCAGCTTGCACCGAGTAACCGCTCCGCCTGCACCCTCACCTAGACTGCCCAACTCCACGATCTTCTTCTGTTCACTGGCGGCCAACCAGCCTTCGTCGTCCAGATCGTCGGGTTCCAGGGGCCTGCCCTTTTCCAAACTCAATTTGCCCAGATCCGGGATCAGGCTGTTGACGCTGTTATCTCGCTCCATAGGCACTGCACCCTCACGGTCGGAGTAGACGGAACTGATGGCGGACGAGGGATCGGGGGTGCTCCCATGCGGCTGTCGAAGGCCCATGGGGAACGACAGGGTCGAGTAATTTGAGGATGACGCCGACGCGGGACCACTTGCCTTTCCATCCAGATAGGTGAAACTCCCCGATCTCGAATGCCCGTTGAGATCGTTCAAACCGTTCGTGGCAAGCGGGGGAGGGACTGGCCGACCATTCGACTGCGGGACCTCTTTATTGCTGCCCATGGGGGTCGCGAGGCGTAGTTGAGGGAGAGCCGGGCGGTTTGACGGACGCTGCAGCTGAGGGCCATCAGGGGCGGGAGCTGGCGCTTGCACTGGAATGGGCGCCGAGATGCCATTTCCAGCAACGGGGCGAGCATTGGGGGACGGTGGGATGCCCAAGGTGAGTTTGGGGGGACGAGATCCGTTGCTGTTGGTGGGGTTGGTGTTCTTGTTGCGATTCCCTGGGACGGGTGGTTTCAGGAGGGGAACGGCGGCGGAGGTGGTGGAGGATGACATGACGAGATTGTTTTGCCTCTCACCAGGCAAAAACAACTCGTTGGGATCAGCCAAAGTAGCCAGATCGGCGGCTTTTGAGGTAGACACTTTGAAAGATTGGACGAGAAACGAAGAGGGGGGAATGATGACAAGGTCGGAGAGACGACGGTCGCGAGAACGAAGAAAGAGGTGTGGCGCTTAGGATGAGGTGGGCAGTGGTGACAAGAGGCGATGAGAGGGATTATGGCGTAGTATGAGGGGTAGTAGGTAGACTCGATGCAAGAGAAGGAAAAGAAAGTACGAAACGGAGAAAGAACGAAAAAAAAGAAAAAAGAAAAAAAACGAGGGAAAGAAAGAGGGCCAGAAAGTAAGCCCAGAAGGGGCCAGTGGATGGGAGGGAGGCGGAAGAGAGAGAAAATCAAACAAGCGAATGTTGTTTCGAGGGGGGAGGATCGAAATGGGACGAGATGGGGATGGATGAAAGGCAGGATGGAGTGATGGTTTTATTGATTAATAGATTGATTCAAGTTGATCGATCGGAAGAGTTGAAGATGGACGGGGCCGGAGCCGGAGCCGTTGTTGGATTTGCTAAGGAAACTAGAGGAAGCTTTGCACCTGGATCAGGTTGAGAATAGCAACGTCGCCAATCATCGGGGCGCGGGTGGGACGGCGAGCCGATGGATGATGGTGGAATGATGGAATGATGGGATAATGGGAGACAGAATGGACAACGAAGGAAACGAGCGAATGTGTGTGTCTGTCTCTCTGTCTCAGTGAGTGAGTAAATAATGATGGCCGATAGAGACGGAGTGGGACCCGCTGTTTTCAAAAGGCGCCTAGAGAGTCTTCATCATTTGACAGACGGGGTTGATGGCTGTGGGTTTTGTCAATAATAATTATATTCTAATCCTAGGCTTAGAGATTGTACCCCAATTTTGATAAATAATATCCTTATACTCCGTAGAGTCTTACGAGTTCAGCTTCATTTACTAAGGAAATGTATTGCGTACAGGAATTCAGGCAGGTCTCTCCGTCTTGTTGTTTCTCACTTGCCTAATCAGGACCTCGGCTGCCCTACAGTGTCTGAAACTTGAAGAATAATATTAATAGCAGAAAACCCTCCATCCTTGGTTCTGAGACCTGGTGACATCGTCAGATCTGATTATAGTCCTACTCCGTACATCGTCAAACCTCACAGAATACTGTAACTTCATCATTTCTGCTCTTTCTCCTACTTTAATATTTCTGCCATATTGAAGGTGCCGGACAGAGTCAAGCCAGCATAAAATGACTAAGCCAGCGACGCGTCAGCCGTAGTGACGCTTGGACCTGGGCACGTGAACATTTAGCCTTGTGCCGAATCCCCTTTCTATGGAGAGTCTCTTGTCGCGATCGATATCAATAATACAGTGTACAGAACACAGCCAGATAATCTGATTCTGACATCATCCTAACTTGCAACATCGTCATAACTTCATGAAGTCATAGTTCTCGAAACATGACACCCGAATCTTCACCTGAAGTCCGACCCACCGCTTTAAAATAGTACCTGCTTGCGCCCCATTTGCACGGCCATAATGCAGTGCCCAGCCGGAGCTACGTTCATTATTGTGTCCGCTCATCAGACTGCTAATAATATCAGAATAATTACTGTAGCTACAGTTTACCTATTTTGCATTCGGTAACTAGATAGATACTCCGAATGGTGATGTAATCCATAGCTGTACCATACTCCGTAGTATCCTGAAGATATGTATCTGTAGTTTTTATGCTTAGACATCTACACACTCTCTAGTATCTACAGTTTGCCCAGAATCGGTAGACGCGCGACATGACGATCGTCGCTTGGGACTCCACCATCATCCAACTTCTGCGCAGATACTCCGAGTCGGTTCACAACAGAGACAGTTTCTCGACTCGGAAAAAGCCTGAAGCTTCATTATCAGCCAGTCCTGACCGATCCCGACAGGCGGTACAGTATATCCTGTAGAACTGGAAGGTCAAGAGTCCAGACCAAAGTTTGGGAGCCCCGGATCTGAGACACAAAGCAGCAAACACCTCAACAACCAGTTCCTTGGGTCTCTCCGAGCCCTCTTCCCTTTGTTGATCGGTGGAGCGATAGTATATTTTCGCTCGGATGGCTGTCTTACCAGAGTCTGGAAGACCCTGCGTACGTGGTCCATCTCAAATTAGTCGAGATTCTATTTCTGAAGATTAGCTATCAGACGCGAATTGATCATTGTAGAAGGCAACCTGTTCCATTTTAATTACTATTTGGTGAATTATTTTTCGGCGTGTCTAGTGGGGCTACTCTACCCCTGATGGAGGGACAGTGGGCGGCGCTAAAAAGAAAAAAAAACTGTGTTGACAGAATCTGGAGAAGGGGTTAGAGACCTTGACTCTTCGAATACATCCAAGAGCTGTGAAGGTTGCTTTTAATACTTCCTATTTTGTTGATAGTCCCATGAGCCGATGACTTCGTTTACTACCAGCTCTGTACTGATTCCGAACTCTGTCTAAATTCCTAGTTTGTTACCTAATGCGAACGTTCCTACGGAGGACAAGTAGACACCGACTGTATGAGTATGTGTATCCAAGCGACGCGGTATATTCCTGCTTGAGCTCATACCTCATGCATTATGCGGCACTCGATAGCTTAAGTTTAATTAAGCAATCAACGAGACTAGCCGCGGCCAAGGCTTCCTTTATTGACGCCGCCAGTTTCTAGACCGCCGACAGGGGCGTCGATGGCCACGGATACTACCTCGATCCATACTCCGTACATACTATCCAAGGAGCCTGTCTGTTGGGCGGCTGCATGGACGCAGGTACACAGCTGGTGCTAACCAAGTAAACACTAGTATTTAGTAATATGGATACCCAGCTGGCCCCTACGTAAGTGCTGCTGATATACCTGCCTATCAGAAGGAGACTATAGGGACAGTTGGAATCTCACCAAGCAGACAGTGGATTGGAGGTTGGGAATTATGCAATTTCAGGACCAAGTGAATTGTCAATTTGCAGCCGTACAAACTTAGGTAGTACTCAATCTATAAATTGCAACCTAACAAATTCCTAGGTAACTATAGTTAGTACCGGGTTCTTAGTTGTTTGTCTGTTGTCACCATATTTTTAGTCCACCAACAAAATGGTTTTCAGATAAATATTGGTATGAAAGACAGGGGAAGTGGGGCGTGTTTCCCACCTCCGTCCCCATCATTGGCCAATAGTGGAGTATGTGATCCATCGCGGGATTGATGGCGAAATTCATCAGTGGATGGTGGCGCAGGAACGGACCCATCAGAGGTTGATTATTGGCCCACAGTAGGAATCTGAAACAAAGGATAACTGGGGTACACAAACGTCCTACGGCTTGGCGATTGTATCTTTCCCCTGAATGGGATGAAATTTAGGTCGTCAGCTACCTAGAGGATGGATGGAATGAACAGAGAGGGGAACTCTGGAGAGCTGTATGATTCAGTATATTCTGGAGTATTATAGACATGGCCTGTACACAATGGATAGAGGAATAGGAGAAGGACGCGTGGACGACACCGCCATCCATGGTCCACAGGTGTGACTGGCCTCTCAAGTTGTAGTCTTGTCTGAAAGAAGCAACAAAGCGACAATCATCTAGCCCAGATTATCAGAGAAGCAATGACCTGGACAGGAGACTAAGCGCAAAACTAGTGTCTGAGGACGGTCTCATCCACCAACCACGACCTCCTGACTGAATCCCACGAGGCCGATATGGATATCGGCCCCATCCGGTTGGATTGATCATTATTATTGTTCATGATTATTGACTCGACTTGTACTTCTCCACCGGCTTACAAGCGCCCTTTTCTCGCTCCCCTTTTCGACCCTGAGACGATCTCCAGGGTAATCTCCCGCACCATACAAAGGCTCCAGAGTCCCCCTACCTCCGTCTCCTGATTTTAATCCATTTCTTCTTTCTATCAAGTTCCAACTAACTTGTTTCAAGAATCCACTTGACTTCGGTCCGCCACTCTTTTAAACCAACTACCCACGCTCTCTTGGATTTTTAAATCCCTACGGAAAAAACACAAAACATCACCTAATACGGTTTTATATTCCATTTCTTTCTTAACCGAACACATACCGTCACCATGCGTTTCACCGCTGCCTCCATTGCTCTCGTTGCTGGCCTCGCTGCTGCTCTCCCTGAAGGGATTCAGACCGTCTATGAGACGGAGCAGTTGACTGTCACCTCCTGCGCTCCTGAGGTCACCGACTGCCCCGGCCGTAAGCCTACATCCGCCCCCGAGGGTGTTGAGCCCATCACCACTCCCACCGGCATTCCCTCTCAGCCAACTGGTACCGGTGGAAGTCCCAGCGGGAGTGTGCCTGTCATCCCCAGCGGGTCTGGCTCCAGCAATCCGGTTCCTCCTGCTTCTAGCACTCCCGCTGTGCCCATCGTCCCCGGTGTGCCCAGCGGCAGCACCACTTCGGTCATTGCGGTGACCACCTGTGTGCCTACCGTCAGCTACCACACCATCACCGTTCCCACCGGGGTCAACCCCACTGGTCCTGCGGGCCACTCGATCCCCGTGATCCCCACCGGAACCCCTGGTGTCCCTGGTCCCAGCAGCAGCTCGACGTAAGTTATCCGTGCGAATTCTATGATGGATAAAAATTGACAGATACAGCCCCTCGACCTCCGCTCCTGGACCTCTGCACACCGGTGCTGCCAGCTCCGTCAGCAACTCCTTCGGTCTTGCCGGCGTTGCTGCCGTTGCCGCTTTCTTCTTGGCTTAAATTTACATTTACCCTTCCATGTGTATAGTGGAGCCTCCAGGTTACTCATGAGTTTGTGAGTCTGCGACTCCGGAGAGTTCAAGGGACGAAACTTGGGAGGAAGTTCGGGGCTTGTTAATTAGATTGGAGAGGGGAGGAGAGTAATATGACTTCTTTTGTGTGATGTTTTTATATTATTTTGATTTTCGATATCCACTTTTTTGTCTTTCGTTCGGAGTGTGAAGCACTTGGCTGGATACGATTAATGTAAACCTGATGCTTACACTGGACCGAGCTTACTTTACATCCTTATCTTCCTTTAAGTTTGCCAAGTAGGCTAATTCGGTAATTGAAGAGTTCAGAGTATCTACTATATAATCAGGATTCTCTCGTTCCTGACAATTTCGGAGACGACATTTGATGGCTCTGCATTAAAAATCATTTCTGTTCTGAATAATAACCAACAGAGGCAGTGAAAGGCAGTATCCTTAGCCTTCCTGCAACCAACATGTTGGCTTAGCGGATCCAGTTTCTTCCCGATGCGGCAAATCCACAGAAGCCCGTCAGCCCTGTCTGCGTTTAAACTCGTTGGACCCCAATTCCTGACGGTCCATCTGCTGGGTCGATCCCGCGGGGCTTATTCGGCCTGATAGTTGGTAGTATAGGAGGGTATATATGTCTGTAGAGAATGTATATCTCATCTCATCTGGAAGACTGGAACAGAGAATGACCTCGTGTCGTATCCACCTTATTTATAGTTCGTGCTCGTACTCGTTCATCACACGAACAAAGAACTTGGATGGCTATTATTTAAGACTCTTCTCGAAGCCTTCGATTTCCGTGATTCATCTTACGGCTTTTCACATCGATATCACGTCTACCTTTACAGCCACATCCACATCGATCAACTTCTATACGATCTATAGATCTATAAAATGGACCTCTCATCCCTCGAAGGCCCCCCAATTCTCGATCGAGACCCCCAATCAACGCATCTCAACGCCCTACCATCCCTGGGTCTTCCTCCTCGTCCGGCCTCTGCTGACGCGGTGGCTCATATGTACACGAGCCAGATACAACCGCGATATCATCCTCGCCCTCACTCCCAATATCAATCTCAATCACAGAATTTGACCCCCCAATCCTCTCTCCCACCACATTACAGACGCGCAAGAACACCCAGTCCTACGCCGTTAGCACGGTATCCGCCCCGCGCCCAGAGTCGGAGTACGTCGTCGCATCAACTCATCTGGGTTGAGGCTGAGAAGACCTGGGCTGTTGTTTCGAGGGAGAGGTCAGGTTCGGTAGACTGTGTGACTATGGATACGAATATGAATATGAATACATACATAAACACAACCATCCATATGAATATACCCAGAAGAGTGGATATAACAATCAATCCAGCCGCAGACATCTACCCACCTTCGAACGTGGACGCTCCCCCGCCATACGAGAGACATGTCTATGATCAGCCAATCCCGCAGAGACCGTCTACTTCGACTTCTACATCGACATCTACGTCGACGTCGACGTCGAGATTATCGGAACAAGACGAGGAGCCATCCAGAGGACGGACTTCCGGATCGAGATGGACAGCGGTGGCGAGAAGGTTAAGAGCTTCGCCGGTTAGATGATATCTCCTATCTATCTATCTATGATAGATCTCCAGTGGCGTCTGGGAAGAGACAGGATGGAAGAGATGTACCGGATTGGCTGCATAATGCATGTCTAGTTTAGTCTACTGCATGCTCTGATTGGGTTTGAAACTTATCATCTGAGTCCGTGTGGCTAAAGTAGGTACATATTCAAGTACTTACTATGTACTCGGGGATGCATGCAACGGCAGAACAGTATGTACATAGTACACACTACCATGGTTAAAGCTGCAGGCAGCTACTTAAAATACAGGCAAAAACTGCAAATAAACAATAGCGGGATGAATATATTTATGCATGGATAACCCCCTGCATACGTTCTTTTTTCTTTATTTTATAATGTAACAAGATGGACAATTAAAATTTACTATTAATGCAATCTACCTAGTTAGCAACCAGTCTATCTACTCACCAGTAACAACCCTTGTTAACAGCATGCCGAGATTATACTAGTAAACTAGTCCTGTTGACTTTTATTACCTGGGGCAATTGTGAATGAGTCCCTTAATAAAAATAACAGTGAAGGAAATATCCTTCTCACTATCTGTTTATTTGTATCTTCTCTTCACTCCTTTAATTTCTCTTCCGTAAACTTTTATTCTCTACTTCTACCTCTACCTCTCCCTCACTATCTTTGTCTTGTCACCCCCCCCTTCCTTTAATCTCCTGTAATGAATTAGTTGACATTTCAATGGATAACCAGCTCTCCAAACAGGCCGAGCAGAGTCCTCGTCACGTGCGTATCTGGGAGGGTCAACATCCAGGTCAGTCAGCATATAATATACTTATATTGCAGTCTCCATCAGTTATGGTATAGCATTCCTCTGTCCAACTTTTAAAGAAAAATGGTCGTCCGTGAACCCGAAGCTCTGCGAAGGATATCTCCAACGAGCTCAGATTCTTGCCTCGTCCGAGTTGTACGGGCAGGTACAGACTAACTACGAAGGCTTGCTAAGATATTGTATGCAAAGTGTTTTGAGGACATAGATCAGCTGGTTGCTGAGATGACTTCTATTTCTTGTAAGCATCACCACCATCCTGGCTGTGCTCACTCTTCAAGTATCCGACTTCCAGGCGAACCTGGAATAATTAAGTGGAAATAACTTGTCCGATTTTATCAGTCATTACCAAAGATGAAAGTGATGGTAACCACTCAGATGGCATGTCTGTAGCCAATGATCCGCTGGAGTACGATCCACGTGATCGCGAAGATCCCACGATTCCTACTCTTGTGTTACCAACGGAGTGGCAGCACTACACCGGTTACATAAAGTCCTGGATAAGCCGGATGCCTGCATGGGCGACACATACTGGAGGTCTGAGATCGATCAGATCCTGCCTTGCTCCCAGATGGCCCAGGTGATTATCGCGGTGGTCGGGAGTACTGGTGCTGGCAAGTCCTCTCTCATCAATGCCGTTGCCGACGAGGAAAATATCATCGCCACAAGCTGTATGCGAGCATCCCCACCAAATTGGCCTACAACAATGGACCGATCGAGATGTGTGTTAGACGGAATACTTAGAATCTCGCTGAGTTCCAATACAAAGCAGAGATTCAGTTCATCAAGCGCGACGAATGGGAGCGAGAACTCCAGATTCTGATCGATGATCTGAATGATAACCGCGAGGATGTCATACAAAACAAAGACCCAAAAGATTCAGAGGCCGCTGTAGCTATGGATAAGATCAAGGCCGTCTATCCTTGGCTGGAACCCAGCGAGATTCTAAGTATTCCGACTAACACACTTCTCGATCATCCCAGCGTGTCAGATCTGCTCGGGAGCCAGCTGGTTATCGAAGAAAATAGTGCCCGTGTTTTTTCCCGTAAAGTCAAGTCTTTTGTCGATAGCAAGGGCAGGAAACGCATCCCTAAAAAATGAGGGGCCAAAGCCACGTCTAAAGGGAGCGACAGCGACATGAGTCTTTGGCCACTAATTCGAGTGGTCCGGCTCTTCGTCAAAGCGGCGGCTTTGTCAACAGGGCTAATCGAGTCCGCGAGGGTCTGCTCGACTTGCACAAAAGCACGGAGAAGAGTCTCCAAGGAAACCTCGACAAGACGATCCAAGTCGTGACGCGCGACTACCATGTGGCCATCATCGAGCCACAGATCTGCAAATTCTTGGACGAACAAATCCGCGTCAAGGTCAAGAATGAAGTCACCAACATAATTCGGATTGCCCAGAAAGAGCTGCCACTGAAGCAGTTTCACCAACCGCAGGGCGACCGCCGTCGTGGCCAGTCCGACATGGGTACCGCATTGGAGACTACTAGGGAAGTCAAGACGAAGGTGAAGCATGAAAGGATATAATGGTCAAGAACATGACTAGGATAATTAAGAATGATTGGAGTGGATGGGATTGGTAATAAATTGCTGGGATCGTTGATGAAGTGGGTGAATAGGCTAGTTCTGAAGGCGTGATACCGATAAGTAGAAGTAGTCCGTATCAAGTCTCTGGATATGGAGTAACTGACAGAATTGATTAATGAGAATTGATTAATGATGGATGATTATTTGATGGGTGGATGGAGCGAACTGTACGGAGAGGAAAGATGGGATTCGACGGCTGCACGCTAAGAAGTGGTCGTCACCATCACTTCCCAGCCTCCATGATTTCTGCAATATCAGAAGAGGGGATCATATAATATAATCGATTCCTAGGATTTAGAATTGTCGACTGTTTTCTTCTGTCTGTGTTACTCTTACTCTGTACTCTATATTCTCTGACATTCTCTGACATTCCGTCTGTGATTATCTTGTTTATTCTTTTTATATTATCCTATCATTGTCTTATTCTCTATCATGCAGTGACTCTTCTTTCCCTCTTCATTTTTAAGATATTCTTAACATATTCTTTCTCTCTAGTGTTGGTGTAATGACAATACCGGCGAGCTCATTACGAAATCTTGAAATTTCAACTTTTTTATCGATTTCAATTACATTTCAAGGGGCTTATTTTGATTAGTCATTATATGCGGTGAGAGTATTGCAGCCAATAAGAGCCTATCCAGCCCAGATTCTGCCCAATTCTTTATCTTATCTAAAATGCCTAGTGTCACTGGTAGCAACCATTACCAATATATATATATTGACGGGGAGGATTTTAAACTAGTAATATTATCAACATCAGCATGGCTGAAGATTCTCCTGACAAGATCCATTACACCGAGATCGAGCTTCAGAAGTGCTTTGAAGTAGTAAGGGGCAGCACAAAGGTGACTGTACACCCACGTCCACACGTACGCTTTATTAATTTTGGCTAGGTCCCGCAAGTAAAATGCCTTGGGTGCTTCAAAGTTCGAGCGAAAAACACTACACGCCAGTGCGAGCACGTGAAGAAATGTAGCAGCGCGCAGGCTCTTATGGACCCCGAGAATACTCCTGGAAAGAGACAGAAACCATTAAGCTTCCCTACCTCTAAACCAAGTAGAAGTATTGATCGCTTACTAGCTCAGGTGTGTTTTACAGGAGGCAGGCCCTTTAGCCTTTTCGAGCAACAAGAGATGCAAGATCTTATTCATGCTCTAAATCCCGTATACCAAATCCCATCCCGCCATCGAATCGCTGATGACTTACTGGAGGAATCATATATCGAGATACAAGGGAAAGTTCGGAAGGAGCTACAGAGAAGTCAGTTTCTAAATATCTCTGTAGATGAGACAACAAATATACGTTCTCAACGGGTTATTGCTATGACTATTACAACACCCACAAAATCATGGTTTCTTCATCTACATGACATGGAAGATAAGACGCTTGATGCTGCTACAATTAGTGAATGGATTTTGGAAAGGCTCCATAATATTCTCTTGGAGCTTGATAAAGTTGTTGACTGGAAGAGGATTAATTCCATTTCAACGGATACCTGCTGTGTTATGAAGGCAGTATGGCAAATTTTGTCAGAGAAACCAGAGCTTAAGCATGCCTTTATGATTCCCTGTGACTCTCATGGTCTACAGCTGATTATGAAGGATATTCTTGATCCTAATGCTTCTAAGATCCCTAAAGTAAAAGGGGTTTTAAATCAGCTCTTGAAGTTGTGGTGTTCTTTCACCAATCTCCTCTTGAATATGCAAGGCTGCAAGCAAAGCAGATTGAGAAATGGGGCCATCGAAAGGCTTTAATTGCAGCAGTTATTACCCGATGGGGTACTCAATATGGCATGCTTACTTCTCTTTATGATTGCCAGGAAGCAGTTTGTGAGTGGGCTCTTATTACTCCTGCTGCTTCTACCATAAAAGGGAAAGAGGTGATTAGAACAACTAAATCTCATGCCTTTTGGTGGGAGCTAAAGGAGTTAATAAAAATCCTTAAGCCTCTGCATATTGCTCAGAAGGAATCTGAGGCCCAAAATTCATCAATCATGGAGGTAACGCAGCGGTGGTTAACCCTCCATGAGACTCTGCGGACGCTTGCTGCTCAGACATCCTTTAAAGATGATTTTTATTCTTATCTAGATGGCACTGGTTGGCAGACTCGAATGCTACGTCAACTAGAGCCACTTCACTGGGTAGCGTATCATCTTGATCCAGCAAGAGTTCCTGGCAAACTTGATGAGAGCGCACGACGCCATATTGAAGGTGCTTTACGACCACTTCAAAGCGAAGATGGAAGATCTACTGCATGGCATGAATTTCTGGCATTCCGGCAAAGAACAGGTGCTTTTTATAATTCCTCTTGTTGGGAAGCAAGAACACCAGCTCTCTTTGGCTTGAGGCAGTAAGTTAAAGCTATATGCTATTAAGCAAGATACTTACCTATATTAATTTAGGCAGAATTTGCTCCTACTCTTGCTCCTTTTGCTCGCCGTCTGTGTAATACTGTTGCTAATTCTGCTGCAGCTGAGAGAGCATTTTCACAGATGAATCTGCAGCATACAAAGATCCGGAATCGGCTTGAATCTCACCGAGTTGAGAAGCTACTTTATATACAGATTAACAAACGACAATTTCGTGCAGACTCGCCACCTACCGTTACCCAAGAGATGCTTCTTGAGGAGGAAGATCAGGAGATAGAAAGAATACTGCAGCGTAAGCAGGTGCAGGACTATCTATTAGAGGTGCTTGATACTTCAGACTCTGAGGAGGATATTCCACCGGACCCTGTGCCGAACCCAGTACCAAATCCAGCACCAGAACCAGCGTCGAATCCAGCACTTATTGCAGTATTAAGTTCTGCATTAAATTCAGCTTCAACTGCAACAAACCCGGCACTTGTTTCTGCATTAAATTCAAGACTGAATTCCGTGTTAAATTCAGCCTCAAGTCCCCCCAGCTTTCGAATTCGCATACTGAGACAAAATCTGTACCAAATCCCCTTTTAACATGTCCCAGGCCTTCAGCTTCTATCAGAACGGGCGAAATCCATGGTATTGAAATAAGTAGTGGTACTGGTAGCGGAGTAAAGCGTCAGTCTGAATGGTCTCATGGGGTGGCGGACCATTATCAACAACCTACTCAACAGCAGAGGATCGGAGCTTCTGGTAACAAAGCACATGACCTTTAATATTGCCTATTTTGGATTAGCTTAATTTCAATTTCAATTTCACAGATTTTGATTTCATTTCAGGAGGCCAGATTTCATGAAATTTCAATTTTTGAAATTACATTTTGCCTTCCCTATTTCTCTCTAATAAGTCAAACAAATCAAAAAAGTCAAATAAATCAAATAAGTCAAATAAAATAAAAATTCCACCGCCTTCGCCGCCTTTCGATCCGCCTGGCCAATCACCGCCTTTGACGGCCTCAGTCATCCAGGAAAAGGAAATGGTTCTTCCGCTTCTTTTCTCTCGCAACAAATCCAAGAAGAATCCTTCCAAGCCTTCTTCTTCCTCTTCCTCTTCTTCGTCTTCTATTCCGAGGGACATTCCCGACTGTTATCCGTCCTCGTCCACCTCTTCCTCTCCTCGTCATTCTTTCTCCAGTACTACTCCTAATCTTCCCACCCCTCCCACCCATCCTCTCCCGCGCAAATCGTCGTCTCGTCCCTCTCATACTCGGACGTCGTCGACCCCCTCCAGGTTGTCATCATCCTCTCGTCATCCAACCTCAGCGACCGCGAGATTCAGTTTCTCGTCTGCCTCTCGCTCCTCCACCAGTCACCGGTACTCGCACGACGCCGACTCCCACCCATTAAATCTTCCGCCCGACGAACTGCGTCGACTGTCAGCCATGGCCGCCGCCGCCGCTACTGACCGGAGTTCGATGGACATCGATAGCAATGATCCTCGTTTGTCCTCACCGTCGTCCGTAACTAATGGAGTCAATGGGACCCAGAACGAAAGGAGCCCTACCCCGCCTCCTCATACCTCTAGCGGCAACACCGCCGAGGCCGATTCCTTCAAACTAGCCGGAAATAAATTCTTTAAAGATGGGAACTACAACCGAGCCATCGAAGAGTTCAACAAGGGTGTGTATTTGAGTTCCTGGCTGTGGTACCAACTGTGCATACCATTCATTTCCTTCTAACCCGGTCGTTAGCTATTGAAATCAACCCGAATTCATCCGTCTACCTATCCAACCGAGCGGCAGCGCATATGGCCGCTCATCAATACCTGAATGCTATAGAAGATGTCGAGCGAGCGCTCGAACTCGATCCGTCCAACACTAAGATTATGTATCGTCTAGCCCGCATCCTCACGAGCTTGGGCCGCCCGTCGGAAGCCCTAGAGGTCCTTTCTCGGATTGATCCTCCTGCCTCGGCGACCGACCGTGCTCCTGCCGAGAAGATGCAGCGTTTCGTCGCCCAGGCGGAGGAGACCCTGTCGCTGGATCGCGGAGTGTCGATGGTTATTTTCTGCCTCGACCAGGCCCGACAGCTCTTGGGTCGCGGGGTCAAGGAACCCCGCAAATGGACTCTGATGACTGCAGAGGCTCAGCTGAAGATCGGAACGGAGAACTCGCTGGGGAAAGCCCAGGATATCGCTATTGGCATGCTCCGGGATAACAGCCAGGACCCCGATGCGCTGATGATCCGCGCCCGTGCGTTTTATTGTCTGGGTGAGACCGATCAGGCCGTGAAGTTGCTGAAGATGTGTTTGGGCCTGGATCCTGACATGAAGCCGGCAGTCAAGCTGCTTCGCACGCTGCAGAAGCTGGTGCGCACCAAGGAAGAAGGCAACGCGGCGTTCAAGGCCAAGGACTACCGCAAGGCGATTGAACGATACGCAGAAGCCGTGGGGGTGGATCCGGCCAACAAGGACATGAACGCGAAGATCCTACAAAACCGGGCACAGGCGTATATTAATCTGAAGGAGTATGATAATGCGATCAACGACTGCAACGAGGCCCTGCGCCTGGACCCGTCGTACGTCAAAGCGCAGAAGATGCGTGCCAAGGCCTACGGTGGATCCGGCAATTGGGAAGAAGCCGTGCGCGACTACAAAGCCGTGGCGGAATCCAATCCCGCCGAAAAGGGCATCCAGGAGGATATTCGCCGGGCCGAGTTTGAGCTCAAGAAAGCGCAACGAAAGGACTTCTATAAAATTCTCGGGGTGGAGAAGGACGCCTCGGAACACGAGATCAAGAAAGCCTATCGCAAGATGGCCATCCAGCACCACCCGGACAAGAACCGGGACGGCGAAGCTGGCGACGAGAAATTCAAGGAAATCGGGGAGGCATATGAAACGTTGATTGATCCTCAGTAAGTTCCTCTCTCTCCTTCCATCCGCGTCCCCGGTCTGACCATGAATAGGAAACGTGCTGCCTACGACAACGGGGACGATCTCATGGATCCCGCCGACATGTTCTCCCGCGGCGGCTTCAGCGGCATGGGCGGTATGGGCGGTATGGGCGGCATGGGTGGTATGGGCGGCATGGGTGGTATGGGAGGCATGGGCGGCACCCATATCAACATCGACCCCAGCGTCCTGTTCAACATGATGAATGGAGGTGGAGGCGGCGGATTTGCTCAAGCCGGTGGTAGTCCATTTGGTGGGCAATCTCGCGGCGGATTCCCCGGAGGATTTCCGTTCTAAAAGTCCCCACATTGTTCGATTGATGTTCCACATGACAGGACGAAACAGACGGATAAAAGTACGGTGACTGACAGCCTTGATTTTGAGCCCTTCCATATTTTCTCGTTGCATCTGCTATGGCTGTCTCTATACATGGTCTTTCGATATTCCCCGGGGTGCGTTGCATGATTTCAGACTGAGATGCGATAGACTTGATCTTGTTTCTTTACTTCTCGTTTCGTTTCTTTTTTTTATTTTATTTTTCCTTGTTCTTCCCATTTCCATCCCAGCTGGCATAGATGGGACATGTTTTATTGTGAATTTGCTGCAACCCTACGATCAGGATGGCTCTGACGAGGGATTTCCAGTCATTCTGGCGTTATATACTCTTGGGTCATGTTTATGTTGATAAGTGATGCTACGGATGGAAATCCGATGGCTTTATTGGGTATTTGATGATTAATATGTTGATGATACAATATCCACGTAGGACCTCTTAAGGAGACTTAGGCAGCAGGCACTGTGCCATGATGGATTCTTCAGGAAATATATTACTGGAAGCGTATTTTATAACTAATCAATAGTTAATACGATTCATACAGAAAAGACACTAGTCCAGAAGAAGAAAAATCAAAACAAACAGAGTCAATTGAGGGGTGTATATTCTTTTTCGATGCTGTCAATTGGTGATCAGTATCTATCATAGACCATATATACTCTATAACTTATAACTGGTATGTCTATAGATTAAGGTTATAATAGCCTTCAAATCCCGGACGTTATTGAGATTTACTCCCGTGGTATTTGAGAAAGTAAATATTTCTACTATATCTCCTGGTATGTTGAGTCTCAGGTTTAAATAACCATACCTACTCTGTACTATAGATAGGTACCTAGGTAGATACTTGGTACAGATTTAAAATAATACTGTATATATGTACACAACATTCTATCTCTATCCCCCCCAGCGTCCCAGTCCATCGCAATGCTGACCGCTAGACACAAGGACAAAGGACATAGGCAAAATAAACAATAGCTAGCACATTCTTATTGTCTAAATCTACTCTGTACATAGGTAGACCATACGAATTAATTGATATCCATGGGTTATACCACTGTTACACAATATTTCCAGACAATAGGTCGCTCACAGGAGCCAATAGCCCGAAGAGCGGAGGACAGTCGTACCAAGGTTAGGCGCGGATCAACCGTCCTGAGATTAACAGCACAGCACACCATCAGCCGCTTTGATTTCCCTTTTCCTTTCTTCCTTGGCTATTTTTTTTTTTTTTTTTAACAACTTTTCCTCCTGTCTTCCATCACTGTCAGTCATACCTACTTTCATCTCATTTCATTTATTTGCCCAGATTTTATCGGAAGGAGGTCTGTTTTGATTTTCGGCGGGGTACTCCGTACTCATTATTATTGCCAATTGCCAATTAATTAATAGGTAGGCGGCACCGTCCCACCTCATCTCCATACCTAAGGTACGAAGGCTAAGGTAGTACTGTACTTGTTTTATCTATAGATACAAGCGCTGAGTGACATACCTCAGCGTGTTATCCATGTGGTTATGAATATGGTCTATCCATTGTTTACTCCCTACACCGGCTTGCTCCATCTATAACGCATTGGGGACCTACTATCTAGTAAGGGAGACGTAGTGTCCTCTCTTACAGCAGCAGACTTAAAGACAGAACTTTGCCAACTGAAAGACTTATTTTTATCCTCGATAATTCCACGAAATCATGGACGGACCTCCACCGCCGCCGCCTCCTCACGGGGAGAAACCCAGCACCACCCAAGGCGAATATCGGAAGTCGTCAGACCTCCCCCCCGGAAACTACGATATCTTCATCATCCCGCCCCATTCCTCGGGTTCCGGGTTCCTCTACCTGCCCTCTTTGCAATGTCATCGCAACAGCTTTATCGCCGGTTCGGTATGCACACTGTTCGTGGTTTTGCTCTGGATTACACTTGCCCCTCTCGTGAAGACCTGGTACGCCGCTACAATTGCAAGTGGAAGCGGAACTGGCATGGCTGTTCTCGCCATTGGGGTCGGTATTGCGGGATGGGCGTTTGGGGTGTCCCAGGCGGACACGGGTGGCTCTCAGCAAGGCAGCCGTCCGGGACCTGGGGGTTTTGGATCTGGTGGATTTGGGACTGGAGGTGCTGGCGCCGGTGCGAGATCCCATCAGTCGTCCGGTGCCGGGACAGGCTACTCGAGAGGCGCGAATTTTGGAGGCCAGTCCGAAGGACAACAGGGCAACTTTGGTGGAAACTTCGGCGGTCCTCCTCCTGGGAACCAGTACGCAGGGAACCAGTATGGTGCCGGTGCTCCTCCCCCTCATCCTCAACCTGACGCTGGTTCCGGACCAACCGACGGCGGTTCCGCTTCGAATAAAAATGAAAGCAAACCCCAAACTGGGCCGGACTGGGAGAAGGCCCGCGAAGAGACCAGGCGAAAGGAGGAGCTGCGTCGCAAGATGCAGGAGTTCAAGCGGAAACGGGAGGCAGAAGCGCGAGAAAAGCAAAAACAACGGGAGCGTGAGGCAATGGAGCGAGAACTGCGAGAGCGCCGAGAACAGCTGGAGAAAGAGATGGCTGCCGCCCGGGAACAGGCTGCGAATGAAGCACGAGAACAAGCCGCGAGAGCAGCCGCGGAAGCGCGAGCGAAGGCCGAGCGTGAGGCCGCTGAGGCGAAAGCGAGAAAGGAGCGAGCTGAACGAGAAGCCAGGGAAAAGGCTGAGCGGGAGGCCGCTGAGGCCAAATCGAAAGCCGAGCGCGAGGCTGCAGAGGCAAAGGCCAAGGCAGAGAAAGAGGCCGCTGAGAAAGAGGCTGCAGCCAAAGCTGCGGCGAAGAAGGAAGCCGATGCCAAGTTTGCAGCCCTCAAGGAGGCGGCCGCAAAGAAATATGCCGAGAAGAAGGCCAAAGACGCCCAGGAGGCGGCGGCCAAGGAAGCTGCGGCCGCGAAGGAGACAGCATCCAAGGCGTCCAGCCAGAAATCCGCCGGAGCGGGTTGGACTCCATCACCCAAGAAGCCGCCCTTCCCCAATGCGCGGACGGCCACTGCCACCATGGCCCCCGAAGACGATGCCTATTCCTTTCGGCCCTACGACCGGCCCCGACGACCGTATGCTGCTACGTCTAAATCATCCGTATATTCTGAGTCGTCCTATGCTCCCTCTCAATCGACCGCCCGAACCTCGCCCCCACCATCCCAGCGAGGCCCATATTCCACCAAGGATCCCGATAAGATCGTCATCCGTGGCGTGTTCGCCTTTAACAACGCCTTTCCTCGTACTCCCGTGACGCAGTTGGTGTCAGGTCAGGGGATGGTGACGGATGGGTTGGTCCTCCGCATCACCACGGAGGGACTCTTCATTGACGACGACGTGCGAGGAGTACCTCAGCGGGAGTGGGATGTCAAGGCGTGGACGATGAAATTGGCTGAGGTGTGGTGCCCCCAGTACCAGTCCCAAAAAAAGGAGCCGCCCAAACCCAGCAATCTGTTCTTCCGTCGAGGCACGGGGGAGCCCACGGCGGAGGAGTCGGATGCGTACCTGAATAGTCTACTGAAGGTGTGCAAGAACACCTGCCGACTGGCCTCTCCCGCGTGTTTTAGTCGCAACGGCAGTGCCGTGGACAGTGAGACGCAAGGGCTGCATGTGTTACGGGCCAGCATCCGCGACCAGGAAGGGCGACGTTATGTGTTCGTGCTGCCGGAAACCGAGGGATGGAAGGTAGGCATTGGCCTGCAGCGACTCCGGGGAGGCACGCAGGTGCGAGCGTTGGGGGTGACCAACATGGCGGCCAACGAGAGCCGAACTATCCTTGGACATCTAAGCTTTGCATGAGGAGTTGATTGTCTAGTTCCAAGCCTTGATATTGGTTTTGCACTGAGATTCCCCTTGTTATTCGTTTTGCAGCAATGATGTTTTATGAATTGCTTGTTTTGACCGGGTGTACATAATTTCGCATATAGACTGACTAGTACACAATATTCATACATGCCTGATGAGGTTACGTTGACGTACGTTACTCGTAGATGACGCTCCGGGAGTACCTTCCTATTTCCCACCTCCCCGTCTTTCTTCTTTCGACAACAACCCCCATCTTCATTAAAAAGGACTTTGACCTTCTAATCCATATGAGGCATCAAGATCTATCATCCACCATGACAATCCAAACGAACGAGGAAGATCCACGATTCAACATGGCAGACTCCGGCCAAACCATAACCCCCAACAATAACGGCCCCGCCGAACTCCCCCAAATCCTCAAGAAGTTCTTACTGGGGATGATATGCTGCTTTCTGGGCCTAGCTGTGCTCGCGCTGTGTGCGGGGATGTATATTATCCTATCCCCTATGATTGGTACGTCTTGGTTCTGATTCTAATCCATAGAACTGACGATCCATCCTAGAGGCCTTGATCCCAAGCGAACATGCAAAATGGGCTCCCCAAATCGCCTTCCTCATGATCTTAGGCTTTCTGGTTTGGCTTTATCGAAGTTTACCTCGAATAGATCACTGGTAGCGAGCCCACAGTTCCTGTAGCCCATAACCTACTAGACATTGTGTCTATAATTGTCATGTGGCCACAATCACCCCCCATTTCCTCGCGTTCTTTGTGCAGCTAGAGAGACAGGATCAAGAAGATATGCCCCATCGAATGCACATTGCATCTTTCCATCCTCACTGCACTTCTGTTTGCTCTGGGAGTTTTCCTCCCCGTTGGTGTATTGAAAGCCCGTTCGGAGTGCATAAACAAGAGATTCATGACTCAAGTACTGGGGTGTCGAGGTGGTCGTAGTATTATAATCCAGGTATCGCATGATGCATGGCATGTATCTATTTATGTTGAGTACAGGCATGAATGTACCTGATGATATCCTCGGCTGATTACTCACCCCGTCCCGTGACCTTGACTGTTCCTGTACTGAATTCAGGCAAACCGAGAGAGAAAAGGAGAAAGATGAACGGCAGAGAGAGATAGAAAGAAAACAAGAGACAGAGTGACGCCATCCCTAGTCCTCATCTCTTGTATTCTCATCTCATTCTGTAGTTAACTGCGGAGTAGTTAACTATTGCTCAAAATCCTGACTAAGCCTCACCGCCAACCAGCCAAGTGACTCCATTCCAGCTGCCAGCTTTCCCATTCTCATTCTCTCTCCCATTCATATTCATTCATCCATCCATTGCTTTGGGACCTTCTCGCGGTAGCTGCTGGTGCAGTTGAGGCTCTTTCCTGCCCCGATTTGTGGGTTGGTTCTCTCATCTCCCTTCCTCACCAGTCAGCGTCCGACTCTTCTCTCCTCTCCTCTCCTCTCCTCCCCGCCGTCCGCCGCCATCTGTCCTCTGAACCAACCCTCTTCGCTGTCTCTATGCAGCACCGCTAGACACTGCGCCAGTTCGTCCGTTTCCCACGCCCTTCGAGGGCACTCCCCTCACCTACGATCTACTCTGTCTCATCCCTCCAACCCCATTCTCGTTCCTTTCAGAGTCTCGCCGCATCCTATCGTCTAGTCTCGTTCTATAACCCATGGATGCCATGGCCGCTCCTGCGGGCACCTTTCTGCCCGGTACCAAAGTCCAGGTGGGTAACCACCGCGTGGTGGTCGAGAAATACCTCTCCGAGGGTGGATTTGCCCACGTCTACGTCGTTCGTCTGCCGCAACCCATCGATGGGGTCGATCGGGCAGTCTTAAAGCGGGTGGCCGTCCCGGATAAGGGAGCCCTCGCTAATATGCGCACGGAAGTCGAAACCATGAAGAAGCTCAAGGGTCACCGGCATATTGTCAAGTACATCGACTCCCATGCATCTCAGCTACGAGGGGGCGGGTTTGAGGTCTTCCTGCTCATGGAGTTCTGTTCCGGTGGGGGCCTGATCGACTTCATGAATACCCGGTTGCAGAATCGTCTGACGGAGCCGGAGATCATCCAGATCTTCTGCGACGTGGCCGAGGGGGTCGCCTGCATGCACTACCTCAAACCGCCTCTGCTGCATCGGGATCTCAAGGTCGAGAATGTGCTCATCTCCCGCCAGAGGAGCTCCTCCTGCTACAAGCTGTGTGACTTTGGCTCCACAGCTCCTCCTCGCCCCGCGGCGACGTCGGCCGCAGAGGGTCGTCTGATCGAGGACGACGTTCAAAGGCACACGACCCTGCAGTACCGCAGTCCGGAAATGATCGATGTCTATCGGAAGCAGCCAATTGACGAGAAGAGTGATATCTGGGCCCTGGGGGTCCTCTTGTACAAGCTGTGCTACTACACCACGCCGTTTGAAGAGGTCGGGCAAATGGCAATCCTGAATGCCAGCTTTAAGTTTCCCTCCTATCCGGTTTTCTCAGACCGTCTCAGAATGCTCATCTGTACGTGCTGGAACGGGGTTTCCCCATGTTAACGATATTGACTGATATTCCCTTAGCCTGGATGTTGAAAGAAAACCCACAGAAACGCCCGAACATCTACGAGGTCCTACGCGAAGCTTGCAACATGCAAGGAAAGGAAGCCCCTATCCGAGATGTAAGTGTCCCTGCGAACAACTGCTGTTGCTTGGCTTTTACTGTAGATATCTTACGGTGCCACAGATCTATGCCAATCGTTCCAAATCGGAAGCTCGCCGGTACCAGGAACTTCCGCCTTCGCCCACCGACGCGCCGCAAGTGGGTGCGGTGTTCTCCCCGCCAGTACAGGAAACCCAAATCATTCCGGAGATTGCTCCCATGCGGCGGGGGCGTCCAACTCGACCGACACACTCGCAGCACAGCTCTGCCAAGCCGAGTCCGTCGCCATTCCGTGGTTCTTCGGATCCCTTTGCGATCCTGGATGGTAGCAGTGGGTACAAGCCGCAGGGTTCCACCGACGATTTTTCGAATCGATTCCCGTCTCTGGATCATTTTAATATCCTGCACGAGAAAGGGGGCAAGTTCGATTTCGAGCCGACCATTGCTGAAACGAAGCAGGAGGACGAGGATCTGGCCCGGAGACTTACCAATGCGCTGGCGGACGAGGCCTTTGTCAAACGCCCTTCGCCGGAAAATGGGCAGACCCCTGAGCCGTCGGCCGCGAGGCGCTCTCAGCCAACTCCCTTGAACACACGGCCCTTCGAGCCACCGCGAGAGGAGTCGGCTCACCCGCAGGTGCCGCTCTACCAGCCCGTCCCTCAGAAGCCCACCATGGTGTCTACGGGGACCATGACCTCGCCGCCTTCAACCCCTGGCCCGCTGGAGTCGAAATCGTCGAGCCGTCCCATTCACAAGTTCCCTCCTGTTGACCATCAACGCCGTTCTTCCAGCCAGCCTTGGATCGGCAATACGGACAAGCGCTCCTTCAAACCGACCAAGCCTCCTTCACCTACGGAGTCGTCGTCCAAGCTCGCGCCTAACCCACGGGTCTCTGCCGACAGGATCTCAGATCTCTCGAGCTCCTCACCCCGACCATCCTTGGAGGGCACTCGACCGTCGAATTTGGAAATTGGCAACCCCGTGGGTCGGTCCAAGTCGGCCAACAGCAAAACCCGCCCCGTGTCGGTTCATGCGGGAACTCTGTTTGAATCGGGTCGCGGCACAGAGAGTGCGCGTTCGTCGCTCGACCTGCCGAGGACCTCGTATGACATCGGGACACCATTACAGCATGCACGCACTGAGGCAGACCTGACTTTCGACCGGAGCAATATCTCGTCGGACATCGATTACCTCCGGGCGCGAGAAGAGGAGAGCAATCGGAAGCGGGAGAAGCGCTACAGTGGCACCGCGAAGCATACGAAGCGGTCGAGTCTGTCGACGCTGTCACTGTCAGGGACCAAGACGCTCTTTGCTGGTCGATTCGGGGAGGCGTTCCGACGGTTCGAGCACACCAACTCGGACAGCAAAGCCCAGTCCCCGGCCGTGGAGGAGGAGACTCCCAAGAAGATACTGTCAGTGACTGCCTCCGAAGTGGAGGAGCCTCCCGCCGAGTACAGTGACGACGAGAACAAGGACATCTCGCCCGAGATGCGCCGGGAACTCGAGCGGCGCCGTCTCTCGCAGGAGGAGAAACGGGTTGCCAATGCGGCCGCCGAGTACCGCCGTCAGGTGGCGGAGAAAGGCGAAAGGGGCTGGCGAGGCGCCGGTGACACATCCCGGTCGCAAGCGATCCAAAACCGTGTGCAGTCTCTGCTGGCCGAAGGGAACAAGTCCGCGCCTCCTCCGAAGACCGCGACGGGCTACGGACGGTTTACCGACGAGCCGACCCCCGCTTTGCAGGCGAAGCAGGCGGAGGCAAGTCCCGAACCTCGAGGAAATCTGAGGAGTGCGGCGCCGTTTTATGGGTCGCCGCAGAGCCAACCCACTCCCGGGGCGGATCGATGGGAAACTCCGCCGGGTTTGCCCAGGCAAGAGACGGCGCGAACTGGGTCGTCGCGACCCGCTGCTCCCCCGAAACCAAAGAACCTGCGGGTTGGGGGACTGGGGGCGGTGGGCGGCGATGACCGGGGTGTCGCCGTGCAGGAGACGCCGGCGAGTCCTAGCGAGGATTGGGAGGCTAATTTCAGTCGACGATTCCCCAGTCTCTCAAGATTAGAGATGGTGGAGACGGAGATTGAGGTGTGCAAGATTCCCAACCTGCGGACGAAGGAAGTGTAATTGTAAGACTTACGGGTTGGCAAGGGTACGTTCAGCGAAGCGGATTGATAGACTCGGTGGGACCTAATTTCTGTTCTATACATACGGGTATATATATCGTTTTAGACAATGCATGTGCACTTCCATTTGATATTTCCATTAGTGTCTTGTAGAGTATTTCGGGTCATTTCGGAATATTCATTACGTAATCCGCCTGGACGGGAACTATCGAAAGAGATTAGCTTGGCACGTGCCATGCGGCTCTGACCCCGTGATTTCACGAGCATCAATGTATTCTTTCTGGCCGTGCGTCTGGCGACCAGAACAATGGCGCCCATCACCCTCGGCAACGTGGATAGTTAGTCTGTCCTTCTCTTTTTACGCTATCTCTTAAACTAACTGTATGATTAGATGATCTCAAAGATGTCATCCAACATCTTTTTGAAATCCAGTCCGCCGTGCACGGCTACCTAGGCCCGGAGACGCAGCAAGAGCTGGTCCGAAAAATGTACACCTTCCCTCCCAGTACAAAGGGAAGAGGCCAACTAACAGGGATAACAGTAAGAGTCTTACAATTGGACTATCCACCCTCTCGAACCATACCCGCGATGACGGCACGGAAGGAAGAGAAGACGGCGAGACAAACACAACGAATACTGGACCCGACCCTGGCAGCACCAGTAATCACCCGTCCGACGTGCCGGTGAATCGGATCCTGTTACCACCCGAGATTATTGAATACGTGGACGCGGCGCGGAACCCGGACATCTACACGCGGGAATTCGTGGAGCTGGTGCAGCGGGGGAACCAGGATCTGAAGGGGAAACAGGAAGCGTTTGCGAGTTTCCGCGACGTGTTGGCGCGGGAAATGAGGAGTGCGATGCCAGAGTGTCGGGGGGAGGTGGATCGGGTGGTGGTGCAAACTACGAAGCTGTAGGATTCTTCCAATGTACAAAAGGTCGAAGGGATCCAGGCGTAGGAAGGTGTTTGTATTTTTGTTTGTGTGGTCATGGAGTTTGGTTTGACTCTGGAATGAAATGGAATGTTTGTGTGACGGGTGCACGGAGTCGGGAATGCTACCGACGGAGTTTTAGCCTTTTGGGTCTAGGATTGAGTTCTACATATCTATACATAGAGAATCCCTTGCGTAAACACGTGTGATATTTCTGCACGTGGGGATGTAAGGGCTCTTTCTCTCTTATACTCTGTATATATCTCTCTCTCGTATATATATCTCTATTTCGCATAGTCTGATACGAGATGACGTGACTCGGACACATCCCCCGCATGGACAACCAATCCATCGCGGCTTGGCGGGGGTGTGACCTGTCTGTACCCTGGTACGGTATCGTACCCGTACGGGACTTGGCCGATGGTACCAGGGACCCAGAGGAACTTTGGAGTACTTCCTGGTACTGAGGTCTCAGGACTCCAGATTTCTTAGGCTCCCCCAACATTGACCCCAGACTCACCTGACACACGATCTTACTCCTTCTCGTTTTCAGTCTTTCTCTTCCTTTCTCTTTCTCACCTCTCTCCCCTTCTCTTCTTCTTTCCCTTCTGATCCCATCTTTGGTCTTTCCTATTGGTCGGCTCATCATGTGTCCCAATTCATAATCATGAGCTCCAGTAATAGCACTCAATCCCCCGGAGATGGCATCACCGGCGGCTATACAGGCAACAGCTTGGCCATGAAGATCGCCATTGCCACCCTCGCCGGTATCACCTGGTACAATGCCATCGAACTCATCATCCTTGTCTTCGTCACCTTCAGTCAGTACCGCGGCCTCTACTTCTGGTCCCTCTTCGTCTCCTCCTCCATCGGCCTGGTCCCATACTCCATAGGGTTCCTGCTCAAGTTCTTCAACCTCACCAACCAGACCTGGCTCTCCGTCACCCTCATCACCGTTGGCTGGTACTGCATGGTCACCGGCCAGTCCATCGTGCTGTACTCGCGCCTTCACTTGGTGCTTCCCAGCCACCGCGTGCTGCGCCGCGTCCTGGCCATGATCCTCGTCAACGCCGTCATCCTCCACATCCCCACCACTGTGTTGACCTACGGCTCTAATCTCGCCAGCTCCCACCTCGCCTATCGCCAAGGCTACAATGTTATGGAGAAGATCCAGATGACCGGCTTCTGCATCCAAGAATTCGTCCTCTCCGCCCTCTACATCTGGGAGACTACTCGCATGCTGCGCCTGGACCCGGACCGTGGGAAGCGCAAGATCATGTACCAGCTTGTCGCCATCAACCTGATCATCATCTTCATGGATGTTGGCCTGCTCGTCATCGAGTACCGAAACCTCTACATCATGGAGACCATGATCAAGGGTGTTGTCTACAGCATCAAGCTGAAGCTCGAGTTTGCCGTCCTTGGCAAACTCGTCCACCTCGTGCGCAGCCACGTCTGGAAGACTACCGAATCCGCCGCCGCCGCCGCCGCCGACCCGCGCCACCACCACCATCATCACCACCGCGCCTCTGACTTCCCGGACTTCGTTGACGCCTCGCGCGTCACCTCCGACCTGACGCACGCCGCTCCGACCGGACGCCGTCGGTCCCACCCCTGGATGGACTCGGACGACGTCTCGATCGCCATGTTCGAACACGCGGGTTCGGCCTCGGGGCCCACCATCCGCGACCAGGAGACGGGACACTCGGAGGTGTCGCATTCGTGGAGTGGCGAAACGCATACCAATAACAGTCTCGTCCTGCATGGCGATCAAGAGCCTAGTCCGGTGGATTTTACCGATCCGTGGCATAAATCGAAGGATCATTTTCAGCGATATGATCCGGGGTGAGAACATATCATTATTTCAAATTAGCATTATTATTTTGCATATTTGCATGCAAACAAACGACTAACGACTTACGAATCATGTTCGGTATTCCAATAGGATAGTATGTATATACATCTATTGCATGGACATTGTATGATTGATACCCATTTGTTTGTGGGTCAGACTCAGCCAGAACCAGCCCTGGAGAGCGGATAACCCGCTATGGGTTCAGGAACAGGAAAGAAAACATGAACAGGAACTGGAATGACCGGGTCCTGGGTTTAGATCAAAATGATCTATCTACTTTCTATCTATCTACCTATGTATTATAATAGATAGATCGACAAAATATAATAAATAAATATATAATACAATTATATATAATGCAAATAACTATAGTGAAGAATAAAGAAAATCTTACGTATCTTGATCCGTTCTAAAAATATCTGGACAAAAGTACCGAGTACATCTATCAAATCACTCAGCGTACAGAACACAGAGCATATCTCGGAGTACGGAGTACATGGTCCATGCATATAGTATGGAGTACGGAGCAAGTACAGAGGGGGTACGAAGTTACCACCCCTACGGAGAACTGCGTACAAGGCTAGAAAAATACAGTAAATACGGAGCATCCCGGAGAGATACATAATAAATACGGAAGATATAGGAATAGGAACAAAAGTACCCTGTACCCCGTACCACTACCCCCACTAGTTACTATTCACAGGAAAAAAAGACACATGATTAAATAATTAAAAACTAAAGGTAACTAAGTGCTAGGTACTCCGCACTACAGGGAACTAACTAGTTACTAAGTACTAGGTACTAGGTACTAGTTAGTTACCCACCAATTGAAACGCCCGACTGCCCTCAACTAATCCATCTGACAACTTACTCACCGCCACCCACCCTGGCGAATACTGCATGACTTCATCCAGTGCGGGAATCACCCCGGCCGTGTTGTGGTCACTCCAGAGACATGCCACCCGGCCGCTCAGCCCCAGCCCCAGCCTCCCATCCGTCTCCGCATTGGGCTCCGCCCATTCAATGTCCACCGTCCAGGTACGCTGCCATGTGCGACTCCAGAGACGAATCTCGCGGATACCCGTGGGCGAGGTGTGAGGGAATCGTGGATCAACGGCGCCGTCGGCGACGTGAAAGGTAGAAATGGGGGAGTCGAAGGTGAGTTTGCAGGCGCGGGTGTTGAGTCCGGAGACTTCGAAGCGGGCCCGCGGCTGATTGGTGGATCGGGTGATGTTGAAGGTGACCCAGTCGGCTATATTGTTTAGTCTCGGATTTGGGGCGTCATCCTTGGTGACTACTGGAGGGATTCCGACCCATGAGCACTGTGATCGACGCCCCAGCCAGGCGCAGCTGATATTCTGGCCAGTCGCACTGGGCAGTCCCCGAGCCACTTCGTCGACGAACGGTGGCATGCCCGTCAGAGACGCCCGGTTGATGCCCGTGTCCAGATCGATTTCCTGTAGGAAGAAGAGTTTTACCCGATTGGTCTCCGAGAACGGGAACGCGACGAGGTTGTAGATCAGCGTCCCCACAAACACTGCCAGCAAAAATGTCGGTATGTGATACGTATACCGGTGGATGAATGGCAAGAGTGGCATGAGCAAGAGCGTCGTAAGCACCGCCAACGCGAGATACACTAACAGACGAGGACTTCCATCCTGGCCCGTTTGATGCAGCCCACTCGTGAGCAGCAAGGCCAGAGGGCCAACCAGGATGAGCACCACTGGCGCAATCAGGAGGAATTGCAGGACCCAGGTCCATTTGGGCATGCGCCAACTCCAGGCCTGTTCGCTGCCGTAGACGTGAGGGTTGTTCTCCGCCTCGTCTTCCCCATGCATGAGATCTCCGTGGTCGCCGTTCACTCGTACATAGTTCGCAAACGTCGTCCGCTGTCCGCTGCCCAGCAGGGACGTCGATTCCGTCGGTTCTTCCTCGACATCCGCGTCGTCCCCGTCCATAGGCTCGGCGGAAGACGTGCCCAGCCGACTACCATGGCTGCTGGCGTGCCCGGAAGCGGGCAGTATCTGACCGGCATAGTCGGACTTCCGCGGCAGGGAAAACAGCTCCAGGTACGAGATCCAGGTGGCGACGAAGATGCCGGCAAAGAGAAAGAAGACAGGGTACCCTCCAGCTAGTCCCCGCTGGTTCTCGTACACCGTGGTGATCACCAGCAGCACCCATGCCACAACGAACAACCACGTCAGCGTGTAGACACGGTGGAAGGCTGACGGGCGCGCAAAATCGGCCACCCGGGAGACAAACCAGGCCAGGAACACCCAGGCAGAGATCATCATGCTCCACACGGCGTACCCGCTGCTGTGCACGATGAACGGGTTCACTTTCGTCACCAGGTACGCCAGCCCAATGGTCACGGCGATTGGGATCCCAAGGAGGAAAGGGAACCGGAAGAACCCCCGGACGCCCTGCAAGGCGACGGCCTCGAGACCGGCCTCCGGCTTCACGGACGAGCGGAACAGGTACATCTTGTCGGCCCTGGTGAGGGCGATGCTGGTGACGAGCAGCGCTAGAGGAGCCACGACGAGCAGCGTCACCGACAAAGCAAATAGCGTGTGCAGACGGAAGACGACGAAGGTGCTGCCGAAAAGGTCAAACCACACGGCCTCGGTACCCGATCCACTAGAAATGTGGGTAGGATCCTTGGACCGCGGACCGTCGAATTGGTCACTCGAGTCCGACACCAGTCCCGTCGTGGTAGCCACTGCCGCCGAGAGCATATGCCAGAGCGAGTCCTTGCTGGTGTGTCGCGAATCGTCCTGGTCCGTATGGTATCGGGACCGAGGCTCAATGAACGCCACGTCCAGACCCCGCAGGCCCATATCCCCCTCAAAAACCACGTAGTCTGTCTGGCTGCTGATCAGGTGCATGTCAAACCCATTGGCGGCCAGGACCGACCCGAACGGATGGGGTGATCGCATGTAAGAGCGAGTGACTTCGGTGTCGGAGCTGCGGAACAGGGCGGCGCGTCCCCCGGCACCGGCCCCCTCCAAGTTGAGGAATGTATGAGGGAGACGGGAGATGGGATGTTGACTGTACACGCGAGCTCCATTGAGGAAGTCCTCCTCGCCGTTGTTGAAGAGCACCACCAAGCCCTTTCGTGGAGCGTATCCCGGCGTCGTAAAGTACTTGATCAGTTGCAGACAGGTCACGACGCCTACTCCGTCGTCGGTGGCCCCGTATCCCGTGGAGACACTGTCGTAGTGGGCATTCACTAGCACACCTCCTTTGCCCGTTGGCATCCCATCCGGGTCCTCCCACCAGCGGTCTGGACCGTCTTCCAAGCCACGAATGTAGACAATGATATTGGTACCCTCGAAATATACACCCAGACTGGCAGCGGTCAAAGTATCCCCAGTAAATGTCAGGTTCGAGTGCGTATCGTCGAAGACGAACACGTCGGGCTTCTTCACGTCGACGGAGTCATATTCGCCCGGGGAAGGAGAGTCCACGATCTCGCCGATTCGTCGCAGCAACCAATCGTGAACTGCATCATTGCGGTGGGAGTTATATGGGTGGAATCCCGCAGTAAGCACTTGAAGATCGGCCCAGGCTTCTGTGAGATTCAACCCTTCGCGGGAATTCGAGCTCGGAGCGGACGGCACAACATGGTGAATGACAAGTGAAGGGATCAATAGGGCTAGGTACACGAATGTGGTGATGAGGGTGACCGGGCCCGGTGTGAACGCCAGCGGATTCGCCGGCGATCGCTGAGGAGGCGCCATGGAACGAGCACTCAATGTATACTCAGCAGTGTACTTCAAGAGTCTACAATGACGACGACGAAGTGATGCAAGAAAGCGGAAGGCGGAGGGAAAGGCGGGGGAGCAGGTGACCTCAACTTCTACAGCAGTCCGGAAATGATGTAATCACGTTTTACTGTTAAATAGGTATAACTAACTAGTTTTAACTAGCGTTAGTGAGCTAACTGTACTCCATAGTTTAGTCAACAATAAACACAGAGACCGCACCAGCCTCAACGCCTTCGATGCATGTACCACTAGGAAATAGCCGGAATGCCCATGCTTATATAAATCCAATCCGTCCATCCCATCTCTACACGCTACCGCCCCGCTCGGCGAGCATCCTCATTCCAAATAGCTCCTACCAATCACCGCCGAACAGTTCGACCTCGCCAGGCGTGGCTCGCTCGCCAGAACAAGGTCCTGGGATAGTACAACGCTATGACCAATAGGGAAAGAAAGATGTAGAGGATAAATAAAACAACACGGAAACAAAAGTAAGAATAATGATAATGTCGGAGAATAGGGTTGAAAATGATCGTAAATAGACACGCTCAAGTAGAAGGCAGCGGAGGGGAGAGCGGAATGGGGGTATCAACCATGCGGATGTCCAATGTCAATGTAGTCGTCGTCGTTAATCGCAGCCGCATGCATCAGGCCAGTCACCTGGCCCTCATCTTCGTCTAGTTCGTCGTCGTCGTCGTACATGGTAACCTCGGTCAGATCCCGCTGAGGAGTTACGTTTTGATTCAGATAATCCCGTAGTCGGCACACCCCCTCGCCGCTGAAGACACAGAAAACGTCGCGTTGCTGGTGCGTGAACTCCGGAGGCGCCTCGCGACAGAATACTGTGAGCTCCGGCAGCAGAAACGCCTGCACTCCGGTGAGACTGAGATGGGTAAGTCGAGGGCAATTGTTGAGCAAAGTATGGATTCCCTGTGAGAGTCCCGGTCAGTATGATCTCTCCCCAAACACCTCTGAGTGTCCGCAGGGCAACTTACATCCATAGTCAGTTTGATGCAGTAGCTGAGATGGACCCGCTCCAAGCAACTGACTCCCGTAGAAACCTTCGGCCGTGCCAAGGCAAGGATGCTCTCGTTCGTGACCAATTGGCACTTGACCAATCCGATGCGTCGCAGCTTCGGTAACGTCGCCAGCTGTTGAACGCTCACATCCGTCAGTCGGTTGCAGCATGCCAGATCGATATACCGAATCCGGTTGCACGACTTGACCAGCTGGATCACTGCCGCATCGGTGATGTTGGAGCAGTGGCCCAGGTGAACGTAATGCAGGTTCTTCCCTAGTTTGCAGATGGCCCAAACCGCGCGATCGGTGATGAACCTGCACTTGGCCAGCACCAGGTTTCGCAGGCGGGGCGCCGCCTGAATGATCCGCTCCACCGCGTCATCTCGGATGCTTTCACACGCTGTCAAATCAAGGATGCGGAGACTGTCCATCGAAGCATGTTTCGGTAACTCTAGGAAAGCCGAGTCATCGATCTCGGTGCAGTGGGCGAGCCGTAGCTCACGGAGGCTGGGTAGCGTAGCCATGAGAGAGGTTATGGAGGGACTGGTGACAAGCTTGCAATCGTGCAGGTCGATCTCAAGGATGGCGGGGCAATTCTGGGCAAATGCCAAAATGGCGCGCCCTGTTACTTGGGGAACGCCATTCAGTTTCAGCTGTGACTCACATTAGAGACTGATCCACCCCGAAGCAACGAGAAACCACTCACCCTTTTGATCTGTCGACAACGCTCCGACACCGCCGTCAACGAATCGTCCGTCACTTTCACGCATCCCGTGATGTTCAACCCTTGGAGACGGGGACAATTTTGAGCCACTGCGTACAAGGTGTGGTCTGTAAGAGAGCGCAACTCTGAGACATCCAATGCCTGTAGATATCGATTCCCTTCCACCACATCAGACACTCCCTTGTCCGTCAACTGAGAGCAGTTGGTCAATGTGAGACGTTCGATCCGCTTGCATTGTGCAAATGGAACCACGGTGCCGTCGCTGACGGCCTCCGTGAGAGCTGATAGGTTCAATCGTCGAATGAGCTCCGAGTATGGGAAGAACCTGTTCGGAGCTCCCACCGACCTCGTGATGCTTTTGAGATTGTCCCAGTTACTGCAGGATGGCCGGTGCCACAGTATCCCTACGCAATTGGCGGCCCACCCTCGGCACACCAACATGCAGCTCAGCATATCTGCAGGGGAGCTGAACTTCGAGAATATGGAAATCAGAAGTTCGGGTGGAAGGCGGCCGATCGGCGGGAGCATCACATCCTGCTCCATGTGCCCATTCGTGTCCCGAACGGTCCCCAGCCCAACGGATGATTGCGAGTCATTTGCCTGCGAGGTGAAGAAGTCGGTATCATCATCGATGGTGCGGTCTGGGGATGACGAGTTGGAGGACTCCGAGGGAGCTTCGCTCGAGAACCGAGCTGGTTTCCGTGAGTGGTGCATGAGGCCTGCTGCGAAGGTGACGATTCTCGAGGATTCCAAATACGTTGAGGTGTCTATCCAGATCTCACCAACTGAGAGAGACGTGCCGGCATAGACGACGCTACCCTCGTAAAACCATAGAGAAGACCCAAGGGGGGAGGCACTGGGAAGAACTCTAATTCGAGATCGCTCCCGCAAGTCAAGGCCCAAATCGTTTTGTCTGTAGGGAGGTGATGGATTGGAGGGCTATCTGATGTCCTTGAGGTGACTAAAATTAGAATGTTTGTTCAAGAATGGCGAGTCCAAGAATCGAGGGCGCTTAGAAAGGGGAGCGCGCGTCGAGTGCTGAAGATGGAAGGCAAGGGAGGGCAGCGAACGGGGATAGTGGGGGGGAAACCGAGTGGATGCTAGGGAGGAGGGACTTAATTCTCCAGAAAAGGGAAAAAACTACTACCTCACTAGGAATCCGGCCAACGGAGATGCAGAAGAAGCACTATGCAAATCAATAAGCCGGTGTGGGTGAAGGAAGGCGATCGGGCGGCTGTGAGGAGTGCAGGGAAAGGAAGGCGGCGGCTGTAAAAAGCGGGTGGGAGAGGGGGCAAACGTACTAGAGATCGAGGGTGATCTGAACCAGGAGAAGATGAGTCACTTGGGAAGAAAGGAGATGAGGGGATGAAAGTAATATCAAAGGATAGAGGTTCCTGATTTAAAAGAGCGTGAGCGACAAAGAGTGTGAGAGAGACAGAGGAAGGGGAAGTGGTTGGTATCTGGTCCCGTGCCTGCGATAGGCTGCTGACTGTGCACGATCTAAGTTTAGCACAAATAGAAGGGAATAAATGAGGCAGATTCCGACGAGTCTAGAATATCTTCTATATTTCTTTCTTGTCTTGATCCTATTCTCCAGTCCACAGTGCATGGACACCCATTTCTAATCCCGTGTCTTCTTTCCCAAATGGGATGGCATTGCTGATGCCAACTGGCGAGCCTTCTTGGGCTGATACAATTCATACATACATTCAACGTAGGACAGGCCAACTCGCATCCTAGGTCCTAGGTCCTAGGTCTGACTCCCTCCCTTGGCCCAATCGCGAAGAACATTCTTCCTTACCTTCCCTGTGCTGGTCTTGGGGAGTTCCGCCACCACCTCCACCTCCCGAGGGATCATAAACTTGCTGATCCCACTGACATTCCGCGCCCAATCGATCACCGCTTGGCCCTCCAGCTGTTGTCCAGGTTTCACGGTCACGTATGCTTTGGGCCTCTCCCCCCAGTGGGTGTCTGGCACCGAGACCACACCCGCCTCGAGGATGTCAGGATGCGTGACCAGCATGGACTCGAGCGCTACCGACGAGATATTTTCACCGCCTAACCCCAGGACGAATGAGCGACAGATTACACTATGGCGACCTAACTGGTCGTTGCGGGGGAGAAGAAGAAGAAGAAAGCTTACCGCTAATAATGATATCCTTGGCCCTGTCAAGGATCTGGATGGCTCCGTCAGGATGCCAGACTGCCAAATCCCCGGAATGGAGGACCCCACCAGCAAAGAGCTTCCGCGTAGCCTCCGGATCTTTATAATACCCTCGTGCACAGATGTTACCCACGAATACAATCTCGCCAATCTCGGTCCCGTTTCGGCTGACATCAACGACCGTCCCTTCCGGGACATCGGTCTGGATCACTCGCACGGGCAGACTCGTCACGAAGCCATGACCTTGCCTCGCCATTCGCTTGTACTTTTCCTTGGGCGGTAGGTTGTCCCATGAAGGCATGTGGTAGCCCTTAGTAATAGGACCGTAGGTTTCTGTCATTCCGTACACATGTACAGGATGTAGGTTCAGGTTGGTCATTTGCTCGAAAAGGTGAGGTGTGGGTGGGCTTGCCGCCACCGTGACCTGGACAGGTGCTGGAAGACACTCGGCATCGCTGGAGTTGCAGAGGAGCGTGTTCACTGTCGGTGCCGCATTGAAATGGGTGATATGCTCCTGCTTCAGCAACTTCCAGATTTGAGGGTAGTCAATCTTCCGCAGGCAGAAATGGGTCCCACGCACCGCTGTAACGGCCCATGGGAATGTCCAGCCTGGAAAGAGTTAACCAACGAGCCTTTCAGATTATGTTTAAAGGCTCAAAAAATAAAATGAAATTAAATGAAATGAAACAAAAAAGTAAAAGTAAAAATAAAAACCGACGACTAACCCATCGCATGAAACATAGGCAAGGTCCACAAGTAACCACAGCGCCCTTGGTGGAAGTTAAGCCCCGACTCGATCACATTAGCCATAGCGGCGAGATAGCAACCCCGATGGGTGTATTCGACCCCTTTCGGACGTGCCGTGGTGCCACTAGTGTAAGCAAGGGCAATGATATCATCTTCGGTGGCAGCCTGACTCTCGAGACTCCCCCAGCCTTTGGCACCCGTGTCGGAGTCATATTTCAAGCCCTCCAAAACCGCCTCGTCGAAGGGGCCCGACAGCTGGCCCTCTGTGGCGTCCGTATCTGTGTCAACAATGATCGGCACACTGGGGTTTACACTCCTGTAGGGTTCAAGAAGTGGTAGGTATTCCTGATCTACAATAATAGCATCGACCTCGGCGTGGGTGAATATATACTGAATATCATCGTACTTGAGACGGTAGTTGACAGCTAAAACATCCCATCGATGCCCTTAGGTTAGCCATTGAATTGCATCCAGCAAAGAGAAAGAAAGAAAAACAGAAAAGGGAGCTGGGTAGATAGACTACTGAGAAGCCATACCAACATTAACTGCGCCCGCAGCAGCAATCCCAAAAATCGACTCCAGAAAAGCAGGAGTATTCGGACACAGAATCCCGACTCTCTTCAATCCATGTTTCTTCAGATAGTACGCCAGACCTCGTGCCCGGTCTGCTGCTTCCAGATACGTCCTCCGGAGAAGTTGGCCATTCGCTGTGACGTGGACTATAGCCTCGGCCTTCGATTACTCGACCAAAAATCATTAGTATATCTCCGACTACAAGCAGATCGTTCACAAGCAGACGAGCACTCACCTCTGGTTCGATGGCAGCCGCACGTGGCAAGAAAGCCGTTGGCGAAAGTGTATGGTAGTTGACAGGATGCTCGCTGCCGGCCTGTAGTGTAGCAGTAGTAGAGCCCTTGATTCCCGTGGGGACCAAATGGCCTAACAGGCTTGACAAGCGCGAATTCGCAGCTGACATGATTATTTCCTCAACGGGAAATCAGTACAGGAGGAAACAGGATGACTGTGAACACACCTGCCGCGACTTAGCGGTAACTTGGTGTCACGACTGAAGAGAGGGCGCGCGGTATTGAAGACGAATCCATGCGGGGAAATAACCCTTTCTTTCGGCCCGCGGAGAAGCGGTGGCTGGGATCCGTTCCGCCCACTATAATCATTAATCATTAATGCCATCCATTATCCCTCACTTGGATGAGGGATCATCATAAGGACGGGTACTGCTACGAGACAGACTACTGTACACATAGACTCGAGCCAGATGAGAGACGGAGAAGTGAAGGAACTCATCACCTCACAGGCCGCGTCGCCGAGATCACTGCATCATTGCATCACAGCTATCGCATGCAGAGTTGGTCTCGCACGGCGGCTAAAAATGACCTGAAGAGAACATCCTTTATTGTTGTTGAATTATCTTATTACTTTGCTTTTCTTTACAAGCACGGGTGTTGTCGCACGGGGCACAGCGATGGGCTCGCAAGATCCTGGGTGGCAACTGCATATCGGATACATGGAATGGCAACTAGGGAATATCATCACGAAAAAGGGACCCAAAGTTTAAACAGTCAAGTCGTAAGAGTCATTCTTAACTCAGAAAAAAATTCTTTGGATTAAAACCGCCACGGCGCGAAATAACGGTCAGCTATTTTGAACAACCTTTTCATCCCAAGCGACTCCGTATTTTATATTTTTTTTATTTTTTGCAAATAAGAAATCGGCTCCCTCCAACCACCATGTTCGTCACAACGTGATAATTGTGGATATTCATGACAAGGTAGGGATAGTGAGAAAAAAAGGTCGATCGGCTCGCCGTCCCAACTTCGCTGAAAGGAAAACCGCTCGCGATCCCAACCCATCCCATCATAGACACAAGCAACCAGCCGCGCAACCAGGTATCTAGAATCCGTACTGAGCAAGCTGGCTCTTGGTCTTCTCGCTAACGACCGCCGACTTCTGGGCGTGCACCAGTTGACGGCGAGCGGCCTTCTTGCGCTCGTAGTATGCACTGCTCTTAACCTTTCTGCGCTCCTCGAGTCTGTAGTGGTAGCATCTCCGTTAGTCATCACCATCTCGGGGGGCCAATCTGGACCTCCCAACTGCTGCACGGGGTATGTGGCAACGCACCTTGCGACGACGTCCTGGTACTTCCAGCCAACCTCGTGGCTCAGTCTGCCCACGGTGCAGTACTTGCGGCCAGGGCGGAGTCGGAGGACACGCAGAGCCTGGGGAACGACGACGCGCTTCTTCTTGTCATAGGGAGGGGGAACACCCTCGAAGACCTTCAGCCTCTCCATGGCAGCGGTGCCACGGGCGGTCTTGTGGGGGATCATTCCACGGACGGCCTTGTAGAAGATACGAGAGGGAGCACGGAAGTGGAAGGGACCTGAGCACATTCAACGTTCAGTACGAGTCCAACCAAACTCTCTCAGGGAAAACAGGGTGACTCACCACCGCGAGTAGGGTTGTAACGAGTCATCTTGCGAAGGTAGGCGTGGTACTTGACTATATCCCAGAAACCTAAGTTAGCCATCTGTAACTCCAAAAAGGTGCGATGTCCTCCAGTTTTGCGCGTGGAAATTCCCTGTTCGTCCTTCTCTCCATCACATTGCGCTAACAAAGAAACATCCCAGATAACATATAACTGAGCAAAACTCGGGTCGGATCACGTACGCTTCGCGCGGAAGAACTCGCCGGAGATGTTGAGGGCTTCACATCTCACAACGACGATCTTTTGGCCGTTGAGCAGCTGCTTAGCAACAGTGCTGGCCAGGCGACCAAGGAGGTGTCCCTTGCCGTCAATGACGACCTATAAAAAGCAGACCAACACAAGTCAGCCAAGATCGTTCAAACCAGACGCATCTTTAAACCATTTCGACAAGGCACAACAAGGATATCAAGATATCACGATAGGCGTCGGGATGCTTGAGAAGGGTTGTACGCACGACTGGATCGATGGAGGACATCCTGCTCTGTCGTCTCTAAAGGAAAATATCCAGCGAAAGGAAGAGCACTGCTCTAGGATACTCCCTTGGGATGTATGTTGTCGGCTGTTGTTGTCGTTGTGGGCAGGTTCAACGCTCACAACGAAGTCGAATGGGTTCGGCCTGTCGTAAGTCGCTAAGCGAGGCTCACTTTGTGGAAGACCGAGGGCCACAGCCCTAACTACCAGCCAATCCGGTCCCACCGATCACGTGTCAGGATCCATTGCCACCTAAGGAAAAATGATTTGAGTATTCTTGATTGATATTTGCTCCACTGAGCCTGTTCGTAGGCGGTCTCTGGCGTTGGTGATGTCAAACTGGGTATCCCCGCAATACAAACCTCCACAGGTAACAGTTATTCTGTCTGTATACTACGGAGTGGACACGATTCTCAATCTCGGTTACAACGAGTGATACTAATTGATTCCTTTTTCTCTCGCTTTTGGTTTTTAATCAATTTACTTTTTGTATTTTAATTTTTTCATTTTTTCCCATGAGAGAATAATCAAATTCTTGAATAATTCCTTCAGATGAATATAGATATCTATATTGCATGAGCTGCTGTATTTCATTATTACATAGATTACTAGAAATTAGTTATTGGACATCCTCGAAGTTCTATAAACTTCGGTGCCAAATATACAAAACATTTGCCGGGTAGGGGAAAAAATGTCGGTCCCATCATAGTTGATGGGTTATACAGCATAACATCGTATCCTTAATGCAAGGGCAGCTTGGCATCCCGAGCTCCGCGTTCGATGACTTCTTCCAACGACCAGCGAGGAGGCTCTATGGTTTTCCTACCCCCATTATCGGACTCAGCTGCCAAGGGCTCTTTCAACCCACCTGCGATACCGGTCGAGTATTTCAGACGCAAGACATTTCCGATCTCATCACACACTCCTAGCAGACGGTCCAGATCGTCCTTGGTGTGTGCTGCGGAGACACAGAATCGTACACGCGAGAGCTCTAGGGGGGTAGCAGGGTAGGTCACCACGACAACCGAGATCTTACGTCGCAGCATTTCGTGCGAGAACGCCGGCATCTTGGCGGGATTGTACAGCATCAAGGGAACAATAGGGGAATCGTCATGGCCATAGACGATGAACCCAAGCCTTTTGAGCCCAAGTCGGAGATACCGCGAATTGAAGGCCAAACGTTGAATCCGCTCGCGGCCTTGACCCGGGTGCATAGGATCCTCATCGGCAATGAGACGGAACGCTGAATGGATTTGGGCCAGGACCGAGGGTGCTGGGGCTTCACCCAGCAACTGGCCGGCATTGGTGGCACGCAGTTTGTCAATAACAGCCTTGTCCGCCGCGACATAACCACCGTTGGCTCCAAAGGACTTGGTGAAGGTGCCCATGAGAATATCAACTTCAGAAGGGTTAATCTTGAAGTAATCACAGACACCACGTCCACGCGGCCCGACCGCCCCAATGGAGTGAGCCTCGTCAATAAAAAGGTGGAATTTGTATCTCTTCTTAAGTTGAAGAATCCTAGGAAGATTACACATGGTACCTTCCATGGAAAATAGGCCTTCCACGGTGACGAGAATCTTCTTCCACGGCCGGTGTGTTCGAGGTTGCCCCTGCGAGATTGCTTCCCTCAGTCTTTTCTCAAGGTCGACCATGCTATTGTGTGCAAAAACCTGGATGGAGGCACCCGAGAGACGTGCACCGAATCGGATAGACGCGTGATTAAGCTCGTCCGACAGGATCAAGCAACCCTTCTCAACAAGAGCGGGAAATATCGTGGCATTTGTGACAAATCCCATGGAGAAGATGATCGAGGCTTCCTTTCCCACAAACCGCGCAACCTGGTTTTCCACCTCAACATGGAGCCGTGAGGTGCCAGCTTCACCGCAGCTCCCCGACATGCTTATGCCATCTTGTCGAATAGCTTCTTCGGCACTATCGGAACAAGGTCCCTCTGACTGGGCAAAGCCCAGATAGTTGTAAGAGCTTAGATTCAATGTATCCGTGGTCGTCCCAGTGAATTGGAAACTGAGGTTGTTGTCGTCCGACTTCCGATCCAGCAAGGTAACGTATCGTCCGGGGACACCCGTCGTAGGGCGATCAAAACAGTCACTGATCCTCTGCTTCAGACGGCGGGTATAGAAACTCTCGAAATCACTATACAGCGACGCATATCCGTTGCGTGGCCGCAAGTGTCGATAGGTGTGTGACCGGAACCACTTTGCAAAGTAATCGTGAAAGTGACCAAGGAAGATCAGAACAAGGAAGCTGATGTACGTCGTCAAGACGAAGAAGTAGGGAGGCTCGTCGATAACCGGATCGGGGATCTCTCCACCGGGATGCTCGCTGCTGTATAGATGGGATGGATCGCCCAAAGGCCCGAATTCCGCATGCTGCTTCGCCAGCTTCTGAACCTCAGCAGGGTCCGGAATTCTCTGGGTTGAAAGAGGTGCTGGAATTCTCGTTGCGTCGAGAGAGCCACCAGACGCCGCGCGAAGAGATGCAGCAGCCGTCGTCCGCGCCCTGAGAGCTGGAGACCCCTGGGAATTGTCGGACAAGGCAGCTAAATTATTGCGCGTGGGTATCTCTTGACCGGAGCTGGATCGATCTCTAAGTTTCCACCGCGGCATTCTGTAGTGGCTCAGAGGATGACCTCAATAATAGCGAGAATATCGATGGTCAGGGATGTCAGTCAATCAGTCAGTCGGTTGAGAGTGACATCTGGGCTGATTGAGTGGGACAGAGTCAGTCGACTCGGCCTGGATCCTTCCTCCTTTTACTCTGACATGGATGGAACCTGAATCCTTCCCCGGGCAGATCCGGCCATGATTCTTGGCACTTCCAGCTGTCGATTATTAGATAAGCTCCGCAGTACTTCATCAGTCCCACAGGACGAATAGAGTGCTACATACACAGTGACTTGTGATTCTTCGAACGCAATCCTGGCGATGGGTTGATTTTATGGTACAGGTAGACTCTCTCCAAATTGGAATAGTCGGGGCCTAACGACATATTGTAACGCCCGTGCCAAAGATCTCTAAGAACTATCGTGAATTCATGCCAAAACCTGGGCAAACTATGCTTCAGAAAACACGCCTTGTCTGTGTTTCCGATACACATGCCTACACACCCTCTGAGGCAGGGTTCAGGCTTCCTGCTGGCGACGTCCTGATTCATGCAGGCGACCTGACCAACCAGGGGAGCAAGTCAGAGCTTCGCAAAACGATGGGCTGGATTGCCGCGGCCGACTTTGAGGTTAAAATAGTGATAAGTGGTTAGTTATATCCTACTAAGTAATTGATAGCAGTCAAACAAGACCGACTACCCAAGAAGACCGATCCGATATATTACTAAGGTCGAAGCGGATGTAGGAAACCATGACATATCACTCGACGCAGCCTTCTACGCCGAACACGGATGGAAATTCCATAACCAGCATCTAGAAGATCCCCAGGAATGCATTGAAATTGTGACTAGAGCCTCGCCCTCTATAGTGTTTCTCAGGCACCAGTCAGCACTAGTCCGCTTGGCCCAGCCTAACGGTCCAAACACCATCTTCAAAGTCTTCGGCTCCCCATATTGTCACTCCCCTGGCACATGGGCCTTTGGATACGAACCTGCCCATGCGGCTGCCCTCTGGGATAATATCCCATTGGACACGGATATCGTCGTAACCCACACGCCGCCTCATTCTCATTGTGACAGCGGAGCGGCGGGCGCGCGAGGGTGCAAGGCGCTGCGTCGGGCGTTAAGCAAGGTCCGACCGTTGTTAGTAGTGTGTGGTCATGTTCATGAATCGCGAGGATATGAGCGAGTACGATGGGCTCAGAATCGGCCAATACCACTACCCTCATCAAATGCGACCCATGACAGGGACGCCGACCAAGTAGTCAAAGGGGCGCTACCTCCCCCGGGAAGTAAAAAGCAAAGCCTTGTAGACTTGACGGGCAAGAAGGCGCCTCGCCTCGACAATGATCGCTATGCGAAGACTGAGCCTCCAAAGTCGCCGTCCCAAAACATCGTGTTGCTCTCACCTCCCATTGACCAGCCACAGTCATCCCAACAGCCTCTCAGCCGAGAGACCGACCGGCTTTCATTTCCACCTGCCGACACTCAGGAAAACCAAACCCAAAGGCGGGAAACATGCGTCGTCAACGCGACGATCCTCGCATCCAGCTGGCCTCACAAGGGAGGGAAACGATTCCATGCCCCTATCATCGTCGATCTTGAGTTGCCAGTTTGGACAGGGAGCACTCACTGACAGGTTCTGAAGAAACCTTAGGCCGCTTCGCGAAAGGCACTTAGATATGAGCTCATTTTCCGATCGCGCAGTGATTGGACTGGATTGGGTTGGATCCAATCATAGGAATCTTGCTCGATCTGCAGCAGGTAGGTAGCATGAGCTTTGACCTGGAGTTGGCATATGGTTCGTCTGTCAGTCGATGCACGGCTGCCTTGATGAGGGGAGTACAGAGTACTCTCGATCCATCCGTCTCCGTCAGTTTACCCTTTATGTCACTTGTCTAGGGAGACATTGATGGTTGATTGGAAGGGATAACACGGTAGCTATCTAAGTGAGGCATTATATCATGAGAAAGTCCGATAGTTAACTAGTTAACTACATATCATATGCAAGAGCTGTAGCAAGATGTAGTCAACTCATAGGACGAGATGAGTAGCTAATAATTCGGCACTGTTTCAGAACGTCATAGTGTACAACATTGAAGGGCACAAGTGTATTCTGTGGTAGGAAATCAAGTACTATATGTCATTCCAACCTTTAGCTCTGAAACACTAACATCGTAGTCCTACATATCACCACATCTTCTAATCATGATGGCAAAAATCGGCATGGACGGACTTGACCCTATCTGTTAGATTACCTGGGTATTCTCCCCTCACACCCTACCTACCTACCTACCTACCCAGGTACTACGACCAACGCTGCAGCCGCCGGACCACGGCCAAGACATGGAGACGTTGGCGGGCGGTTAAATCTAGTCCTCAAGAGGAACCTAACCCCGATACATGGTTAGAAGCTGGAGGGTTTGTTTGCAATGGAAGATACCTACACCAACTACTGATGTGCAGCAAACCAGTACTTATGTAACTTATGGAGTACCTAGATTCAACACATGGATACCCAGACTAAATTGAAGATAAGGTCCATGATGCATAGGCTGTTCGTCCCGTTGCACAGGACACAGTTTCAGCTAGCGTAGAGCAAGCGCATCGAAGATCTCGTAAGTACCTAACATTCCCGTGACCATACTTCGGAGTGCTGAATAGAGGGGCAGGACTGGCGCGTTAACCTGGAATATTAGGTAAGCTATTGTCTGGATGGGGCAGTTCTCTCGATGTGGGGGCGTGGTGGAGTCTCATTGACTAATACTTTGTATGTATGTACTATGTAGTTAAGTCGTTCGAGACAAGATCGGCCAGTTGGATTGATAAGATCATAGAAGCAACAGTGCATAGGTAGTTCCTGCTCGGGGATATAGTGCAGCTGTATTCACTCGATCGGGTTGGTTTAATAGGCTATAGCTTACTCCATTCGTACTCCGTCTTTTACTCTGTACAGTAAACGAAGTCCACTCCACACGAGGTTCTATCCACCTGCAGAGTACTCCATACAGAATGAAAGATTCAGACAGCAAAGTCCATGGCAACTCTCCACACCCCACATCGAAGAAGCTGATGTGAGCCAGCAAGGTACGAGATCGCCCATTCCCCGGCAAACAAATCACGTCGCTGGTCACATCGGCACGGTCAGATGTCCAGTTCGTTGCCGCAACACCATCACGACATCGTTGAGGCTCGATACACGGAGTACCTAGTATCACCATGGGTTTCGGTTTGTGCTCATGGACTCGATCGAGCGGCCTCGACCAGCGTGCTGAATTCATCTGATACGATCATAATGCTATCTGATCGACATCCACTGAGAAAGAAGCTCTCGCAGCGCCGAAACTCCGTACGATGTACGGAGTAGGACCCCCCCTCTCTCTCTCTATTAATAAAGTTTCCGCATCACTATCAACCTCCCTTGTTGTTCGAGACAAGTCACAGAATGTGCCTCATCTTCTAGTTCACGGCGTCTGAGCCTATTATTGGAGACAAGACCCATGGCGAGTGAAGCACGATCCACGCAGTCTAATGCCGGGACAATCACTGCATGGCGCGGTGGTTGGTCTGTTTCGTGGAACGGGCCCATGTGCAGATGACTTTGACGAGGGTCCAATTACGCATTCAAGAAGGGTCAGTGAAAGTCACAGAGTACAATAGTTAGTTAGTCTAGCGAGTGGGACAGGCAAAGGCTGGTCCTACTAAGATATTATGTACTCTGATGGGCCCATTCCTGGTACGATTGGTCAACATCAATAGTCCCACGCATCCGTCGCTCAAGATTATGGGAAACTCAAGCGATGATTTGGTTGTAGCCGACCGAGGTAATAAGTCAACATGATTCGAAGCCCTCCGGCGCCACGAGAAATGTGATGGTGGCAATCTTGTGACAGAATAGCCGCCCGGAGGAACGCACAGTGTCCCGGAATGGGGAACATCAGGTACGCCATATCAGCCCGCCAACGGAACCAACCGGGATTGATCCATGGGACCGTTTCACGCGAGTAGATTATTACCCCTTCCAGGCACCATGTCTACGTTCTAGGGAATTTGCGGTCGTGATAGCGGACTCTAGTGCTACACTTCAGAGCGCTTAGCACTAGTAGGTGTTGGCAGACAGTAGTATCCTGTAGGGAAGACGATCAGGAAAAAGGAACAGACATGGATCAATGACGAGCCAATTCCAGGCTGCAGAAACTGCAGCATCATCCTGGGTGAGGCGACCAAATGGAGACATCGTACGGAGTATGGGTGAGAGGGGGGGAAGAAAGAAAGAAAATGAAAAGCCACAACGAGTCTGGGGGTTCTAATTGGATAACTCTTGTCTGATGGGGAGCAGCCTGAACCTTGAAGCACCAGTGACGAGGCCAATCCAGCCTATGAGAAATCAAAGGTTGTCCCCCCTCCAACTCCCAAGAGAGAAATATGGTGGGAGCGTTGCAGTCACAGCCAGGACAGAAATAGTGCGGGGTTTATGCTCACGGGCCGAAAGCAGGGATTTGATTAGTTGGTACTTGGAGATTTTCAAATTGCTTGAGATCAATGAAATTCCATCCTCACGGGAACAAAACCCATTATGGTGGGCTGGTGACGGGCGTCCTGCTGCTCATCTGCCAGCAACATGGACCGGCTGAAGGACAGGATGATGACCAGCAGATCGAGAATCACTTCTGCAGACGTCCTTCCATACATGGTCAGGGTTCAAGGCGAGGGAATGGGGCAGCCATGGAGAAGAGGAGAAGGAGGAGGATGAAGGATGATGATGATGATGATGCTGCACGGCAGGTAAGAGTCCAAGGAGGCTAAGCGCCCACTTCTAGGCTGATAGAGGTGATACTGGCTATGGGGAATGTGTAATTGATTCCCACCCTCCTCATCAAATCGCCTTGAGTATTTGTATCTCATCCGTTCCTAATTCAGCCCTCGCTGCAACCAGTTGGGGTCCCATATGGAATGCATTAGAGACCAACATTGTTACAAAATATTCTTCTTATCCTCCTTTCTCTAATTAGATATACTACTACTTGTCAAAGAGAATTGATGCCGAAACTGATCTATTCTTAATTCTGGCCAACAAATCAACGATTGACCGCTCTTTACTTTCTCTTTTGAAGTACTAGACTCCAATCCTTTCCAACATCTCAATTGCCTGTCTACCAAAGATTAAATGGAGTCCTTGCTGTAAAGTCTCCATCGCTGGTTTCATCCTGCTCTAGTTGCTCTAGTTGCTCTAGTTACTCCGCCTACTATTCACCGCTGCTTTGAGACAGCGAGAGCAAGCAACAGCACCCCCAGAGGGGCAAGAGATCAAAATCACTCATTCCCATACCTTATTTTCTATTTTACAATCATTATTCTATCATTCTTGCCTGACAGCCCAAAATAAATACCGTCATCCAGTGCCCATACTCGGCGTGGCATCATCGAGCATCTTCCAGCAGGTCCATCGACACCTCTACTACATTTATTGCTACTACATTCGTTACCCTTCGTTACATTGGGAGAGCATTATTCATCGCAGATTATTGATCACCAGTCTCCAGCCCAGCATTCCTCCGTCAACGTGGTGGTGCCACTTCATCGCATCTGTTGTTCTACTTTTATCTTAGTGCCTGTTCCCAGCGTGGCAGTGTGCTCTTGGGTGTGACTGGTCCATTGTCTTTTTTTAAATTTTTTAATTTTTCTCGCTTTTTTGCCCCTCGGCCTGTCCGCCTGTCCCGTAATCAATTACCGCCCAGGCATCCATACCGCGTTGATACCAAATACCATCTAACTAACAACAGAGTTCGGTACCTAGTACTTCCCATGCCAACGTGAACTTTGCAGCCACAAACATACCTAATATGAATAAATAATCAAATAATCAATAATAATAGTGATAATAATCATCAGATCATTATTATTATTGTTGTTGTTATTCATTATTTCTTCGGATTTCTGACCAGGACAATTACTCTTTTCCCCCTCCTGCGCCAACTGCCAATCATCGTGAACGGCCTTTTTTTCCCGTTGCTGGGCCGAACTACCGTCTTGCCTCCCTTCTGTTTGCCTTCCACCATCTTCCCCTGGCTGTGTTGCCATTTATCATCATCATCCTCTTCTTCCAGCGGCCTCCTGCCAGGTGAATGCATATTCTTCTTGCACCATTGCGTGGTCTCCTATTTTCACCGACATTCTCAAGGAACTGGTCATGTCCTGGCTTGGAATCTTTGCAATGAACTGATCGACCGTCACGAGAACCCACGTCACCCCATTCATCCCATCCACCCAGTCAACCTCAACTAACTATCCTGATTCCTTCGCCTGTCCTCCGCTTTCGCCCCTCCCTCCATATATCATCCCCTAAATATACCCTCCAATTCAATCACATTCTGAGCATTTTTTTGATGGTAAATTTATGTCATCCAATCATTCTGAATCATATCTCACATCATGTCATCCGCACCCGATATCGATCCATATGCCGTGTTAGGGGTCCAGAAAGATGCGACGTTACAGGAGATCAGAACCGCCCACCGAAAGCTTGTGCTGAAATGTCATCCTGATAAGATCAAGGACGAATCCCAGCGAAGTAAGGCCCAGGATGAGTTCCAGAAAGTCCAACAAGCCTATGAGCTTCTGTCTGATGAGACAAGGAGGATCAAGCATGACCAAAAAGTTCGACTGGCTGAACTTCGGCGCGAGATGATGGCACGCGGAGGAATGCCACGGACCGGTGGACCGAGTGCCCGGGAGTATCGCGATGGGCGCATCTATGAAGAGAGAACCCCCGCCGACACCTTCGATGAGGATATCCCCTTCGTCGAAGAGCCGCGAACCATGTCTCGCAAATATGAAGAATTTGGAAAGCGTCAACGCCCCAAGGGAACAGAGGACAAAAAGAAGACCAAAAGCGTTCCTGTTAGCACTCGTGCTGCGAAGGAAACGGCTCGCGACAGCGCAAAAGCAACCCACTCCAATCGGGCCAAGTACCGTACCAAGGAACGACGACGGGAAGCTTATGAGAAGTATGAACAGACGTATGGGGAATCCGACGATGATGGTGCCTCCGACTCCTCAACCTCATCCATCTATGTGCGTGTCAAGCGTCCCTCGGAGTCACGACGAGCCCGGGAGTCGTCCTCTCGAAAGCCCAAGCCTGCCGACTCCCCTCGCAGAGCCAATCCTCTACGATATGAAGAGGAAGACTATGCCGACGAATGGAACAAACATGACAAACTACAAAGTACCGCCCGAGATTACATACTCCGTTCCCGGGGAACGGCCCCAGTTGAGATCGATGGGCGGCACCGCTCTTCGCGCTCACCTCTTCGCCATCGCGAGTACGAGTCTGCTGAGCCAGAATCGTCCGCTTCCAGACGCTCGGGCCGATCAGCCCGGTCTAGTAAAGAAACTGTGCGAGGGACCTCCCGCCATGGTTCGTATGAGCATCTCGAACCTCAGGCCCGCTCCTATGAACACAAAGTCCCAAGCATGCCAACGGCCGCCACCTCACCAGGAATCAAAGGGTCCTCTGCTGCGCGGCCTTCTCTGTACCCTTCGCGGTCTGCAACTACGCATTCGCACTCCCGATCTAAACGGGACTCGAGCCGGTCGGATCAAGTTCTTTTGGGCATGGTTTACCCGGATGGCCCTCCACGAGCCTCCAAACTAAGAAGCACAGACCGGTACGACTCGGGCTATTCCAGCCCTGGTACTCCGGAAATGACACCCGGGGAAAGCCCTTCCAAGCCCTCCTCTACCCGCTATAAGATAGTCACCGAACCAGACACTGTTGTGGTAGAACCCAGCATGCTGTCGCCTCCCCATCCTTCTCCGAGACGCACGAGGACGTATTCACCACCACGCCAAGAGCGCCCTTCGCGGCCTGCTCCTAAACAGGTTCGGAGTAGCGCGGCCTATCCTTACGCACCCGATCCGTCGTCCACTCGTTACGAAGCCACCCGACCCAGCAATTCCCGACAGTCGTCATCTCGAACCCTCTTTAATGAGGTGGAGTACAGTACGCGCGTGAAGGATAAGGACGTCAAATACGCCCGAGAAATCGGGCCGGAACATGTCATTTATACCACCCGTGATACCCGTGATGCGTACCCCCGGAGTCATTACGATGATTACCGCAATCCACTCATGGGACGACGACAATCAGCTTACGCATAATGATTCAATGATAACGACAGTATATTTGATTGTACTCATGGACTGACATAACACAGCAGAAAGAAAACAATTTAGCATATGTTGACTTTTTTTCTCTCATTCTTCCTCCCTTTCTGGTGTGATTTTCACGGCATATGTAGGTAACTTTGGCCGGTGTTGATTGATTTAGATGATTCTCGATGGCGTTTGAATGCTCCATCCCGTCCGAGTGATCGCATCTGCCGGCGTCCGGTACAAGATGGCAGTTCTTCCCCCCCCCCTTTTTTTCCCCTGATCTTCATGTTGATCCTCACTTGGTATTTTATAGCCCCTCATGGCCATTCCTGTGATTATTACTTCTGGCGTCTGGCTGGGACAATTTGACTATACTTGATATGTGTAATCAATTGGATTCGGAGTAGTAGTAGTCTCTTGATATATATTACAATGTAGATCGATGGACTGATGGTCCGCTCCATATCTCGTTTCCACCTCACCCTAGTATGATATATGCTATAGAATAAAAGTAAGCAATAATTTCGAAAACCAGCGATAGTAAATAATAAATAGATTAACTATATTGGACTTGATAAATTAGATAATATGCTATCTATCTAACAATATATTTCTTAATGTGTGAAGCATAGGATGAAACGAAAGTTTGTACATTTATACATACTTGGTTACCTAACCACTCCAGTCCAAATTAGACAGATGGATAGATGAATGATGGATGGATGATGGATAAATCTCGAAGACGAATTCAGAATTACAAGGCTTTTGCGTAACCTCTTCTACCATGCGCTAATGGGTTCATCCAGTTAAATCAATGTGCAAAAGAAAGACAAAATGAGAAAGAAAGAAAAGAGAAGAGAAAGAGAAGACATCGAAGGAGTCACTTGAAATATCTAGTCAGGCAGGACAGGGTTTGGGATTAGGGTTGTCAAAAAAAAGAATAGGTAGATAGATAGATAGGTATATTGTACGTCTCTTGCCAGGGCACCCTTTGCTACACTTCCTCTTCATCATCATCATCGTTGTCGTCCTTATATTCTTCTTTCTGATTCTTCCTCCTGGCTATATTCTTACGGTTCTGACCAATCGACCTGATCCATTTTGGTGTCTGAGCCGTCTTTGGCGTATGAAATACGAAGACGGAGACGGAGTTTCGGGGGAAGAGTCTAATAATATGAAGTATATATGGTTAGTGGATTACAAGGATAGTACGTAGAGGAAACGACTTACCCCATTCAAAGCCGTCACTTTCAGCATTTGAATGCCTTCTTCGCCGGAATCCAGTTCCGCCTTATTGATCGCACTGAGTTGGAGTCGCTGGCTTTTGGGCACCGCAGCCTGTAATCCAACGTTGGAGAAACGACCGAAGCTCGACCCATTCCGGAAGCGAGCTTGGATCTGCGCATTGGAAGTACTACTCCGCTGCACTTGCAAAGTGAGGCTTAGCTCGTTCTTGTCGAATACGGCATGGGCAGCTGGTGCCGAGGTTGATGGGGCGGCAACCGGAGATACGCTGGATGCCATGCCTCCTAAAAGATCCAAAGATGAGGAGGCCGGCTGTGCAGGGTGGACAGACGACGACGGGGCGTTTCCGTTAGAGCCAAATAGGTCCATGATGGCACTGGTGTTGGTCTGCGCCGCTTGCTGGGGCGCAGGCGATGAGGAGGAGAGCCCCGAGTCGCCACCGAGAATATCTGCCAGTAGGTCGGCTGTGTTCTGCGATGACCCGTTGCCAGTTGGCCCAGTCGCTGGCTCATCCGAACCACCCATAAGATCAAGAAGCATGTCCTGCTCAGCCTGCTTGGCAGGCTTCTGGGTCTTGGTCTTGAGGATTTTGCTCTGGCGCTTCTTGGCCGGAGCGCCCAATACTCTCTGCTCCTCGCGGATTTCGGGAGGAGGCATTCGTTCCAGGACACCACGACGAATTTGATCATACCCAAAGAGGTTGGTGTACTCCACAGCTCGCTGTTGGATCTCGACGCTCAAATCGGCTGTCCGGCTGTTCAGGAAGAGACGAAGCCGCTCGATCTGGGCAGGATCGGACATGCGCACCGTCAATTTCATTGACGCTGTAGTGATGTATTCGATCACCGTCGGAGACGCATAGGTACTGTTGAGGATGTTACTGAAGAGATCCACGATATCACTCTCCTTGACCTCCTTGACCAACTCCTCTTCCTCGTACTGGCTACCGTGAAGCAGACTATCGCCGTACTCTCCAATGACCCAGGTGGCGGCCAGTGTAAGCCCCTCTTGGGAAATGTCCTCCTTCAACGATAGGTAGAGCTTCTGCACAGAGTACGTCTGAAGCTCCGGGGTGGTAGCAATGAGACGAACAAACGACGACAGGATCTGCTCCTTGACGTAGGCACCAGCCAGCTTGAGCACTCGGAGGATCGTGTCGACATGCCAGCGTTTGTTCGGCGCGAACCGATCGGCCGCAATACCAATTTGAGTGGTCATCGCCGGTTTGAACTCGTTATCGGCGGCTTCTAGGAAAGCGAGCAGCTCTCTGACAAGAACCCGGACATTGCTTTCATTGATCAACATAAAACTCAGGTCCAGAGCGCGTCTTCGGATACTGATGTCGGGGTCCCGGAGACACTCCAGGATAGTGTTGCGGTGTCGCTGGACGGCGTTGGGTTCGATGGCGATCACCTTGTTCAGGGTGTTCAGAGCGACGTAGCGAATGTTGTTGTCCTTGTTCGTAAGAAACTTTCCCAGAATGTTGACCCCCAGGACCCGCAATCCGGAATCAGCCTCGATGTCGAGAATCGTGAGGACAGCCTCGTAGAGGATGGCGTTGCCGACATTCTTCGTGGAATCGGTGTTGGTGGCAACCTGGGCCAGGATGTCGTTAATCAGTTCACTGGTCGCCGCATCCCCTCTTCCTAATACCCTCAGAAGACGCAGGATCTTGACTTGCACGAAGGGGTCCGTAATCCCGGAGACGTCATGCTCGGGGGCGTACCCGGAAGTCGTCAACCCCTTCAAAGCACGCACGAGCCCACCGGCCAAGGGCCGGAACATCTCTATCACACCTTCCTGGCCTTCCTCCGCCTCTTCTGCCTCACACATGTCGATTGCCAGGGTCAACCCGCACAGCAAGACGCCATGGTTCCGGTCCGATAAGAGCGTCTTGGCCTTCTCAAAGAAATGCTCCTGTAGGTCGGGGACCTTACGACATACTCGCATGGCACACAGGGCGGCTTTCCGTCGAATGTAGGGATTAGCGGTAGAAAGGAGGTTTTCAACTTCGGGAAATAAGTCTCTGGACATTTCGACGGAGGCAATATTACCCAGGGCACACAGGGCAAGTCCGACAATGTATTGATTCGAATGATTGAGATCGCTTGGCCCATATCAGCTAGATGGTCGGGGTCAAAGAACGACAACGGGGCCGCAACTCACTTTTTCAGCGAATTGGTCACCAATGTCAGTACTTCCTGGTTCTCGTCCAACAACAACATTGTGCCCAAATATCCCAGCCGCTTGTCAGCGAAGCGGTGGGACGCCAACAGTTTCAGACATTCGATCTGACCGAAATGTGTCCGTTCCCCGAGCGTGAACAGATAGAGAAGTTTGGCCACGTTGTTCCTCCTGTCAAAAACAAAAACAGCAAACACAAATATGAGATGATGGCTCCTAAAGGACGACTGATGAATGGAATGCTGACCGGATACCTGAATCATGGCTCTCTTCCCTGAACGAGGCACGGATGGCGGCACTTTCTTTCTGAATCACGGCGCGCTCATCGGCAATGGTCTTAGCCGATCGGACATTGCGAATGAATTGTTTGACTAGTCCATTGTGCGAGGGCGAGGGGAGGCAAATCGTTAGCAAGGGAACACGCCGATGATAGGGGATAGGAGTGTGTGGGGGGAAGTCTTGGGCATCTCAATACGTACGGGATGCCATGGCGGTCACAAGGACCCCCAACGGGGAAACGGGTCACGAAAGGGAGAGACAATGAGGAGCGACCAAGGGCCGGAGATGAAGGGAGGAATGCGAAATGGGCGTCTTCTCAGCAAGAGAGAGAGACGTTGATAGTCGTCGGTTCGTCTGTTGTTTGAGCCTCGCCCGTCCTTTGCGACCTGTCCGTCTTGGCATCTTTCCCCTTTCAGCCTAGTGCATTCGTGCGGTCACTTTACCACGTGATAAATTGAAGCCTGACTGGCAAGGCATCCATATTCTCGTTCTCGTATTGCGTATTGCGTATTCCATGCGTATCCATATCGTATCCGATTCCGGTTTGACATCTCGGCGGAAGTCGGAGTCCGTCGCCCAGCGTCATGTGCGCGCGAAATAAGAAATATGACGTAGAGTCTCCGCCATCGTTCCTCAACTGCCGCGCTGCTCGACGAGTCAATTGTTGTTCTGTAGCTTGTCCGATGTTCCGAAGGCTGTAAGGAAGTCTAAACTCTAGACACATCCGAAAATGCCGGGTTTTCCTGCGCTTCCATTCGACTCCCAACAACGGTCTCAGGCAGTTTCATCAGCCTTGTAAGGAGGATCCACATAGGCAGCACGATTTCCATTCTGTTGCGGATCTTCTTGGATGCTGTAGCTGGCCATATATAATCATCTCACCCACTTGCCTCGGTTAACCACAAAAACTGCCAAATAAAATAAAGAAGAATAGCGCACAGGGGATCAATGTGAATGAAGATCGATCTTCTTTCTGGTGTCTGTGACTTCCCGTCAGCAGCATGTCTTCGGCCGTCTCCCAACATAATGGCTCTCCGGGGTTACGACCACGTACCCTCCTTGCGGCGTCAAAGAACCTTGAAGATCCAGCTATCCAGAATGGTCTGGACAAGGTGACCCTTGATTCCAGGTAGGAAACCCCTCCGTTGAGGCGACGAGGCGCGTTGTACCATCCCCGAGTGCTAACGTGCGACGTCTCAGTGGTCGATCGACTCCTGTCGCCGAAGATGCACCTCCTTCGGCACATTTCCTATCAACAGCCAGAAAACAAGCTCGGGCGCGGAATCGCCTTTTCTACACCATTGAATATGTGCCTCGGGTCTCCCATTTCGATCCGCAAAGTGACTATCACAACTTCCGCGGCTTCTTCACTCTCTTTTGGATCGCATTGTTCATTATGGTGGTCACTACGGTGCTCCGAAACATCAAGGACACGGGTTATCCGCTGCGAGTGACGGTTTGGAGTCTGCTCTCGGCCAATGTTGTGTCAATGGGCTTCAGCGATCTTGCCATGGTGGTCACAAGTACTTTCGTTCTACCCCTCCATTGTCTCTTTCGGAGCAGCAATGGTTGGTTGCGATGGGGAAAAGGTGGTGTGGTCGTGCAGAGTATCTTTGAGGCAGTGTGGGCTATTCTCTGGATAAAGTGAGTTGGACTCTTTCCCGGTGACTTCGGCTGGAGGAGACTAACCAGCCCATTTAGCTGGCCGTTCATGCTGCAATGGACCTGGACAGCACAGGTCTTCTTTACCCTCCACACGTTGACCTTCCTCATGAAGATCCACTCCTACGCGTTCTACAATGGACACCTCAGTGAGACCGAGCGCCGGCTCTCCTCCCTCGACAAACCAGGGTTGGTGTCGATGGATGCCGCCGTACGATATCCCGACCCGACATCACGAAACCGACGGCCAAGCAATCATCCGCGTTCCCCATCCATTGTGGACCTGCGCGAGGACCTCGCTACGGAGCTAACCTCCCCGTTGGGCCGTGTCACTTACCCGCAGAACCTCACTCTTTGTAATTACGTGGACTACATGTTCTGTCCAACGCTTTGCTACGAGTTGGAGTATCCCCGAAGCCAGAACCGGCGATGGACAGAGATCGGATTCAAGACGCTCGCAGTGTTTGGGTGCATATTCTTACTGACTCTCATAAGTGAAGAGTTCATCCTTCCGGTTCTCAGCGAGGCCAATGCCCAGCTGCACGCGGTGAACAACGTAGCCGACAAAGCCTTGATCCTAGCGGAGTCCATCAGCATGCTTCTGTTTCCGTTCACAATCACCTTTTTGCTAGTATTTCTGGTGATCTTCGAGTATGTTCTGGGCGCATTTGCCGAGATTACCTGCTTCGCCGACCGTCACTTCTATTCCGACTGGTGGAATTCCTCCGACTGGTAAGTCTTCCCTGTTATTATCTATGGAGGGTGGTGATTAAACAGTCTTCTCAACAATTAGGCTCGAATTCTCGCGCGAGTGGAATATCCCCGTCCACCACTTCCTCCGTCGACATGTCTACTTCTCTTCCCTATCTCGTTTCTCCAAGCCCATGGCCACGTTCATTACCTTCCTGGTGAGCTCCATTGCGCACGAACTCGTGATGAGCTGCATCACAAAGAAACTGCGTGGCTACGGCTTCATTGCCATGATGCTTCAACTTCCTATTGTGGCTGTCCAGAAGTCCAAATATTTGCGCGGCAAGACGACCCTCAACGTAAGGCCACCACCTACCTACCTAGTGGCTCCGTTCTTTCTAACCGGTGCGAATGCATAGAATGTCTTTTTCTGGTTGTCCATGATTTTTGGACTTTCCTGTGTAAGACCCTTCTCTCCATCAATTTTTTTTTTTTTTTTTTTGCCTTCCACATATCTAACCTTCTATTTTTATAGATGTGCGCACTATACGTTCTCGTCTAAACTAAGAGCTGGCAGAACCAATACCATATCCCCTGGACTAGAGTCTCCTGTCTGTATTATACTACCATTTCTTATCATCTATATTATACCCCGGTTTTTCTATCCTACTGTAAAGTATATCAGAGTCTGATGTCTGTCAAGATAATTTAAATTTACATCCAGAGACGCATCTACCTGGTTTGAGATAGTTGTTTGATTTGGAGATGAATGAATGAATAATTAAATCGTTCTAGATTTGGTTATATACCTAATAAATTCTGTCCGATCATTTTGTATTTGTTTCACGGTATGATGCTATTATATATTTGACCTCGATGACTGCTGGGGTTGTGTATTAGATGAGTGGAGACAATAGTGGAGACAATATTAATTCTAATTGAACCCTATAAGATCATCATATGTGTTGGAGTTAGAATAAAAAGCAATGTATTCAATCTGTAACTTCCAGCTACCCAGGATTCAAAGACAGACACCCCAACGCCTTAGAAAAACCATACTAGGGAGCTAACTACCAGCCAAAAAAGACCAAAGAAAGGAGAATAGGATACATCAATATCCTGAAAGCCAGGTAACCTATTCTATAAGGTATGTGATGCTCCCCATAACTTTAGAGATGTTCAATCGGCTCTTCCGGTAATAACATCTCCCTCTCTGTCACCTCGCGAGGAAAGCAAGCTTTCAGCGGCGGACGGATGATATCGTTGAACAGAAAGGTTCCGTACACGAGCAATGCGAAGCCCAATACCTGTAGCCACTTGAAGGATTCCCATCCCAGGACTAGTGACACGAGCCAGATGAAGAGCGTCCGGCAGGTGTCAATGGTACTCCGGGATGTGGCGGAGACGTTTCGCGTGACGGAAAGACCGAAGAAGTTGAATCCCCTATGAAACACGACGGTTAGTAGGTATATCAAGTTAGGAAAGTAGAATACGAAGGAAATGGGGTGCATACCCAATACTAATCATAATCAACAAGCTAGAAACAGCAACCGCACGGTTCTCCAAGACCTGTCTCCATCCCTCCTTCGCATCAAAGTAACCGTATCGACCTGCTTCTGTTCGTCCAACGGCAAAATACAAGATGATCATCCCCACGACAGTAACGGAAAAGCCGAAGATGCCTTCCCACCCGACCACCCGGAGAGGATCCATGGCATAGTTTTCCAGAATCCATTCTTCCAACACGAATTGCGAGGCCGTGAAGATCTGCGCAGCGGCGATGAGGAGAACCCCGATGATGGCCTGCACCGCTTCCGAGGTTCGCGCAACAGCCCGTACTTGAACCGCAGCAGCATACAAGGTGCTCTCCTGCGTCAGGTCCTGACCTTGGTGATCGAACAGCGCACCCGCAAGACCGACCAGCGCGACGCCGAGGACCACCACGCACAGTGAGATCCACTGGTAAAGATAGAGTTTCCGATGGAGGAAAAGAACGCTGAAGAGACCCACGAAGAGCACCAGAGCTCCACGGGTCATCTGGTAGATGCTGGCGGCAACAAAGAGTAGGCCGACATTCATGAGCGTCGTACCCGCAATGTCACAGCACGCTGGTGCAGCAAGAAGAAAGACTTTCCAGCCGCGGAGACGGATACGTCCGTCGTCCCAATCATCGGGCTCCGAAGGGCCATAGGAGTAATGGCCGTTGATCGTACCGTTTTCATTACCGTCGTCGGCCTCCTCGTTCGAATTTACTGGGTGATATCCACCGGCCAAAAGAGGCGATGAGCCGTGACGAGACAGGCGTGGCGAGATACAGCTTCGATAGACGAAGGAGATAAACACGACGAGCCAAGTCCCCATTTCTCCAACAAACATCTGCAAGCTATAGCCATAAGCCTAAATTCAATGATAAATATAAAACTTTACACGGATTAAAGCCTACGTCTGGATAACAGGCTGTTCGAAAGTATGACGATCCTTGGGATCGGGGGAATCGCAGTTTCGCACGCATTGCATGTCCTGAGCAGAGGGGGTTAGCAAAGCCAATAACAGCTGCAGTCAGCGGGTTCCAACCTGATACTTGTTAAGAATCGTATTGCAAACCCCAGTCACGAGCATCATCGTGACCAGGACCGGAATCAGCGCTTTATTTGCCATATTGTCGTATCTCATTCCCACAGGACCGGCGAGGAAGGATAGTGGCGGACCAGTCAGACGTTAATAGGGAGAGTATTATATATAAGGTATCAATAAGGGGGAAACAAACACCAACTAGAGGGCGCTGGGTCGGATCGTGGATTCAATTGAGAACCCCTCCTGGACAAAGGGGTAAGGAGGAGTAATAAGGTGAAGGTTGGCCCGAACTGTTTGGGGTGTGCTTATCGGCAGCTGATCTGATCAGCCTTGGGACGGCCCGTATGGTAAGAGGCAATACAGTCTAGCACGGTATGGTATGGTACACATACCCAGAAATATCATGAATGTGTCCCATGCACAGAAGGCACGGCACAGTTGATGCACCGGCATAAGGAACACAAAATCAATCGAATAATAATAAATAATAAATTCGGAGCGCCAACAGCTCCCACGATGGCCTATTCTTAATTAATATACATAATCCATTCGTATGTGTTACGCCGTTCTCCCGCTTAGATCATTAAACAGTTCTCATAAATCACCAAGAATATCACCCAACTTTACATGGCACAAATCGCAATCCCACTATCATCCACACTCAGAGATGCATCCTTGCGATCGAATGTGTCCCAGTTGACGTCCTCCCAGGTGTCATCCATTAGCATCCCGTCCTCAAATCGGCCCGGGAGATTAAGCCAATCGACCGGGATCCAATTGTTGTCTGACATATCGCCCGTTTTGCCATTGATGTCACCAGTCGTCGGCATGTCGCAGTCCTTGGGTGTTTGCGTGACCACCGCCGTCTCCACCGAATCCGGAGTATCTTTCGATTGTGTGTTGGCGAACATGTCGGCATTGAGGAATTCATCCATGGCGCCAAACCCTAGCCCGCCATCATCACCAAACGTGAACGTATCGTGGATCGTTTCGAGAGAAATGGAGCTCGTTGCCCAGGGATCAGGCGCTTCACTAACCGGCTGTTGCTCCGCTGGTCTCCCAGGTTCCTTCTTCTCGTCCTTACCTTGGGTTGATTTGGCTGTCGACATAGATGTTTTAGTTGCAGAAGGGGCTTGAGGGGTGGACAGCTGGTTCGAAGCGGGAGAAATAGGCTTAGGCCCAAATTGGCTGGGCCCTCTTCCCATCGGAGTCGTGCCCGCTGTGATAGGAGTAGCTCCCTCAGGCTTCGGCGGCTGGGGAGCCTCCATTGCAGTTCCCTTTCTCCCTCCCAGAGCGTCCGGGTTGTCTTCCGTTTTAACAAGGCTGTTTCGGAAACTCTCCAGGGCAAACTCGAGGGGATCCTCAATGGACTCCTCAACCTTGTGGTTCTCCTCAACATGCTTGTCCAGGGCGTTCTGGCTTGGGAAGCCGTGGTAATGATACTGGCATTCAGGCACACTACATTTGAACGCACCATGTAAGGCTGCGCCAGCCGACTTGGCAGCATCGGCGGCGCCCGGTTTGGTCGCTGGGGTCTTGGAGCCAGCGACCCCAATAGCTGTCGGTGTGGCACCAGCATGAGATTGCTTTCTCCTCTTCGGCTGAGGTAGCTTTAATTGGTCTGGGTGCATGTTGGCAGGGCCATATGCATGAGGGACACCCTGAGGAGATGGAGCTCCAAACGGTGCGGGCGGAACTGCAGGAGTGGTCGAAGCAGCAGTCTGACTCGAAGCTCTTCGCGCCCGTTGTAGAGCCTCCTGTTCCTGTTGGAGTTGTTGTAGATTGTTCGCGTTTAGAGGGGGCATATTGTTTTGAGTCGCCGCTTGCCCATTCGAAGGACTCTGCGAGGCACCAGGTCGCTGGTGCTGGCTCACATGCGTAATCATGGCGTGGAAGAGTTTCTTCACATAGTTGATAGTCATGGTAAGATACTCGGGGCGGATAGTAAGATGGTCATTAAGGGCCCACTCATTCCCTGGCTTGAATTGCCTCATTAGTTGTATGCGCTGTGAATACAGTAGATTAGTAAAGCTGATCTATTAATGGGCAGGGGAAGGTATAGTAACATACCATCGCGAGCAAGCTTCGCACATTCTTCTCCTGGCCGGGGATCTTCGCAAACCACTGAACTAACGCATCCATCCTTCCCAGCATATCTGTGGATTCACGAAGCTGTTGGGTCATTGTGGCCTTCTGTTCCGGTGTGACTGTGACAGGATCTGCAGGGGGTGCCTGTCTCGCCGTGTCATTGTACACTTGCCGGATCTTTTCCGGTAGATTGTTCCATGCTTCTTCCGCAGCTGCCCTGGTAATGGGGGGACGAGCCTGGCCTTGCTGTCTCCGTACTTGGGCCTCTAGTTGTGCGCGTTGCTGGGGTGTCATCGCTGCCAGCTGCTCCCGAGTGAATGGAAAATTTGGTCTGGAGGGCTGTGGAGCCTGTGGGCCTCGGGGGGCTGCCGGTTGGGCCTGTGCCACGTTATTCTGGGTTTCCGACGGCTCCTCGTTTTGTAGCTTCCTCTTCGCAGGTGGTTTGGCAGCAACCCCCTTTGCGCCCTTTCCAGATGCTGCCGCCGGAGCCTTTGTTGCCTGATTCTGTTGGCCGGGTTGCGTCGCGGGTTGCTGCGCCTGCGGCTCTGATTTCACATTAGGGGTGGTGACCGCAGGTTGGTGAGTTGGTTGGTTTTGTTGGCCTTGCGGATTTGCAAGAGCTGCCGCCGCACGATTTTGGGCAAGATGAATGAAGTTTTTCTGTCTGCTTTTATGCATGACCTCCCGGATCTGATCATCACTGAGATTTTGCAAGGTGGCACCAAATCGCTGACGAGCAAACTGAATATCTTGTGCAGTAACTGGTCGCATAGGGGGCATGTTCATCGGTGCTTGTTGCTGACCAGCTTGGAATAGTTGCTGATTCATAAACGGCTGTTGCTGTCCTTGGAAAGGGGCTGGCATCCATGGTCCTTGGCCACTCTGATCTGGATTCCGAGCGTTTTCCTTGCCTTGAGACAGTATTTGGGCTAGGTGGAACTTCTGTAAAGTCATCAATTTTTGTAGATCCATGCCTCCAAGAACCTGCTGGTTCGCCGCTGCCCATTGCTTCAGCTGGCCCCAGGTTTTGATATGTTTAGGAACCGGAGAGACCATGTTCGGATTGCTACTTAATATCGTCGGCGGGAAGTGCAAGCGATCCATCTCCTTGATTTGGTCAGGCGACATGTCCATGCCTCCACGAGGAAGTTGCAACTTGTAAAACTCTTGCTGGCGCTGTTGCTGTTGCTGTTGCTGCCGTTGTTGGGCAGACATTGGCTGTCCCTGCAGCATCTGATTGGGTTGTGGCTGGGAGCCACCCATGCCAGCAGCAAGTTGCTGTTGTAGATTTAAGGAAGCCCGCATGTTTTGGTTATTGCCCATCTGGCCGTTCGTCATCTGTTGGCCTTGGCCAGATTGCGATAAATTCTGCTGCATTGGCATCGACTGCTGTGTGGCATTCGCTCTCGCCAAAGCTTGGTTATTCGCTAGAGCACGACGTTGCTGGTTCAAGAATACGCTCAATTGTTCTGGATTCATCTGGGCTAACTGCTCTTGAACCGCTGGCGGAAGACCGGACGGGATTTGAGGTAGGGCCTGCATCGTTGGCTGTCCTCCCAAGCCCGGCTGTTGGCCGAGACCTGGGGGACGCGATGGAGGCCGCACCTGCGCAGCCACCTGCGCTGGAGACATCTGGCCAGGGGCCATGGGTCGATTCAACATGGGCATGGCGGAATTCTGCTGTGCCATCTGCTGTTGTAAATGTGAACTGGCTTGGCCAGCTTGTGAAATAGCCATCTGCGCTTTCTGGGCCGCTTGTGCACGAGCTTGCGCCTGCGTTTGCGCCTGCGACTGAGCCTGGAACTGGTTTGCTGGTTGCGTTCTATCTTGTTGGACAGCCTGAGCATTTTGCAGTTGCTGCTGTGCAAAAAACTGGGGGCTCATTCCGGCGCCATTCATGCTGGCTTGGCCGCCCTGACCGAGCTGCTGCCCAACCTGAAACATATTCTGAGGGTTGAAAGGCTGCTGATTCATCTGCGAGGAACTGGCTGGGACAACAAGCTGGCCCGCTTCCTGCGAGCGTAACCCATCGGCTTGTTGGCCTTGGATGTTTTCCACATTGCCCATGAACGATGATTGATCATGATGTTGCTGATTCGCCATTGGAAACGCCGAATTCCGCTGAAGGTTCATCATATTTTGGAATAATTGACGTTGTTGGGGATTCATTATCTGGTCATTCATCACTGTATTAGGGTCTGCCCCAGCGTTCGGGTTACGATTAAGTTCCAAGCGAGCCCGTTTATGTCGCCTCAAGTAGGTCAGGGCCTGTGAGCGAAAGAAGTAGGTTATGGGGTCCATATTCTTCCTGTTGAGATATTGTTTTTGCTCGGAGGTCATATTTTGCAGATTCATCTTGATCTTCTCGATGTCCTCGGGAGACGTCTTGGACAGAATCTGATTCGCTATTCGGCACACGTGGTCATACTCTTGGGCCGACAGTGTGTTTAGATCATCTGTGAGGGACGTAGTCCCGTTGGGTCTTTGCTGTGCCCGCTGCTGTTGCTGCTGCTGTTGCTGAAGCATAGCTTGTTGCGGCTGCGGCTGCGGCTGTTGCGGTTGCGTTTGCTGCGGCTGCTGAGGTTGTTGGGGTTGTTGGCGGGACTGCATTGCCGCTTGCTGGTTGGGATCGCCCATGTTCATTGCCATCTGTTGCTGACCGGACATCGGGGATGCTTGTACCGCAGGACGGTTCATTTGTTGGGGGAATTGGGACTGGCCGACCCCAGGCATTCCGGAGCCTTGGCCTGCCTGCGGCATGATCCCGTTTTGCATGACGGCAGCCTGTCTGGCACGCGTGTCTCGAATATGTATAAGCTTTTCGTTGCACTCCTTATCGTAATCAACCTAGAGGACATGAAATGTTAGATTTGGTCCCTCAAAAGGCCTGGGAGGAAGTAACACCAACCTTCTCTCTGGCTTCCTTGAAAGCTTTTTGCTCGAAACTCAAGGCCGCTTGGGCTGCGCTCTGGAGATCGACACGAGGTTGGATCAAACGAAGAGAAGTGAGCCTGAAAACAGAACGAGGTGTCAGTTTCGGATCCGTGGAAAGAGGAGATGGGGAAGCAAAAGGATGAGGGCCAGATCAAAGCCAAAGCGGTCAACTGGGCGGGAACCTCATTATTACGGCCGGGCCACTCACATTTGATATACCTTCACGGCCCGATCCTTCACAGGGACTTCTGCTCTCCATCCGCTGAAGGGCCCTTGAGACTGCAGCGCCTGGGCAACAAAGTTCATCATCACTTGATTATTCTGTGGAGCTTGCATCTGCCCACGTGCATTGGCACCACCAACATTGGGAAAATTTGCGGGATTCATGTCAACAACCCCCCCCCGTCAATGGGGATCGAGGAGCAGTCCGCGCAAGCCTTCGTTTGAGGTCAGCATTCGCTGTTGGGAATGCCAACCTTCACCGTGTCTCAGCGCGGGATCGTCGGGTGACAGAGCGCAAATAGCTAGTGGTTCCTCGCTGACGTGGCGGGGGAGGAGCGGAAGAAAAGCGACGTCGACTGGAGAGGAGAGTGAGGGAGGAGGAAAGTGGACTAATGCAGATAATCTCGATAAGGATACCGCAAATTTAACTCGGGGCGGGGGGCGACGACGGGCGTTGAGCTTTGCGGAGATGTAATGTAGGAAGGGTCCAGCGGTCCAGCGTAGAAAGTAGGACGGACGGAAGAGAGAAGAGTAAGGTAGGTAAGTGAGTGTATGGGAGAGACCAACGCAGCAGGGAAAACAAGGCGTTCGGGCACCAGCGTTCGATCAAGGCGGTTTTCGTTGGCAGGAGCCGGGGGAATGGCCTGGGGGGGGGGACTAAGCAGGACGGCGGCGAAGGTTGGATCAGTGACAGGGATGTCGCACCGACGCTGGTCACACTGGATCCAGTGATTTGCAGAAACGGTCGAATCTTCGATAGGGTCGGAGAAAAATAGTCGAAAAATAGAAGGAAAGAGAAGAAGAGAAAAATAAAAATAAGGTAGAAAGGAAAAGGAAATTCTGCAAACGTTAAATTTTCGTTCATGAGACGGAATCCATTTGATTTGTGCTGAAATGTAAGAAGAAACCGTGATGTTGGTGGTGGTGGGAATAGTATCCGTAGGTAATTTCAAGGAATTGGAAGGGGAGACGAGGCAAGACGAGACGGTCAGAGGAGGGGCGGGGGGAGGGGGGGACCAGAGAATTGTCGAGGGAGGGGGCCAGTAGTGGTGGTAGCTTACAGAATACTGTAGGTAATGAATGCAGCTGTTTTAACTGGATGATGAGAAGCAGGATGACCGCTGCTTGGAAGAGGAAGAGAAGAAGAGAGAAAGAAAGATAAGAGGAAGAAGGAATTGGAGAAGAGAGCTCGAGGGGGGAAGAAGAGAGAGAGTACGGGCGAAAAAGAGTAAGTTCCCAAGAAGGTAACAGGAAATCAAATCGACTAACTAATAATAACGATGGAATAATAAAGGAGGAAAGACAAAAAAGAAGAGAAAGGTCGAATAATTATTTTCGTTCTTTTCTTCCTTTTCCTTTTTCCTTCTTTTTTCAAAAAAAATAAAATAAAATAAATAAAATAAAATAAAAAGAATGCCTTCGATGAAGGGAGTGAAAAAGTAGGTAAATGAATTTAGGGAATATAAAGATCCAGGATCATCATCATCATCGCACCAAAAATAATTGACGGGTTCGAATGACCAGAGAGAAAAAAAAAAAAAAAAAAAAACCGTAAAATAGAAAGATCCAATCTCTAACAAGAGGCAAAAAAAAAAAAAAAAAAAAAGAGACAGATGGTGTGGACGACAGTACAGTACCTACACTTCTCGCACCCGAACAAGGTACGAGGAGACCAGACGAGACTTTCTCACAACCTCTGGATCACCCTGTTGGTCGTCGTCAGTTGAGTTAGTGACGGGAGCGGATGGAGACCAAAGCGGGCCATCTTCAGCTTAGTACCTTACCTAGTAGTTACCTAGTTCCTCTCGTCACCCTCCTTCAAGTTCAACCTTCACCTGAGGTGTGTCGTGTACCTCTGGAGGAGGGTTCCGATTCCACTAAAGTCCTACTAGTAGCCCCGTTCTATTGGCTTCAGGTAGAGGAACGGGCTCGAAGGGGACGCAAGGTCTTGCAGGCCAAGACTCGCGGTTTCGCAGGATACCTTAATCGTCCTCCATTTGTCGGAACTACGTTGGACGCGAACTGCCTTTTTTTTTTTTTTTTTTTTTTTTTTTCACTATGTTTTCCTTTCCCTTCCCTCCCAGATTTATTCTGGTTCTCGACACCAGATTCCAGATCGATGATCCTCCAGAGGAGGAAGAGGAGGAAAGAATGGGGAAATAACGGTGATTGCCCCTCCCAGGCCATCCAGGGATGGTAATTTGGGGGATATTGATCTATTTCTAACTCTAATTAATATGACGATCCTTTTCGCTTTCCCTGGTTGGAGAGAAGTGAGACACCGTTTGGTCCAATAATACTAACTACTAGAGAAGACCTGAGAAATCCACAAGGTTCTAGATACTGAGACGTGCTTTAAGGTGGTGTCACCACCCATGGAACCTCCGTGTACCCTTCACCTACCTGTAGGTCCAGGAAGTCCTCCATATATAGAAGAGGGGGGGGGGGGTCGTCGAGAAGGACTCGGAAGTGTCCTCAGGTTTGCAATGCGATCGATCTACCAGGGGAAGCCTTACCGAGTCTGGAGGCGTTTCTCTTTTCGACTCATGTCCAGCTCTGCTGGGAACATCTACCAAGGACCAGGTATTGGGAATGGCATATGTAAAGTACATACATACTAGCGGTATTTGAGTTACGTGACCTCAGTGCTTACCTACTCTGTATGGAACACTAACTAATTAGTTAACTAATATTAGGTTAGTGACCCACTTCACTTGTTATCAGGTCTTTGTTTTTGGAGCTCACCGATTTTATAACTATGCACTGGCTTGGATGATAAATCACGGGAATAAGCAGCACTTCAGAAGGCAAAGGGTGAAACCGGAGGACAGAGACATATTGGTTAGACTCTGTTGAGATAGTCCTAGCAATACCGAGTTTAATTTACTAGATACATCCTTCCTTGTCACTGCAAAGTACCTACGGAGTACCCATCTTTGCAGTTATAGAGCTCTGGACCAGTTTAAGATTCAGCTTCATAGGTATCCACTTGGCGATGCGACTTCAAGAGTTGAAGGCAGCAGCCAACACTGCTGACCTGAGGAATTTGTTGTGGAGCCATTATTTCGTATATCACCAGTGCCAAGAAAACTACCCATCCTACTGAGTAGAAGACGACATACGCTTTTGTTTGACGGTATTATTATACAGTCAAACAGTCAAGTAATTCTTATTCCTTTTATAAGTACCACAGTATGAGGCCAGCTGCTTTGGTCTTCCTAGAGAAGCATGTTGAAGTACACAATTAGCAGTGGTTACGATTAGAAATGTTGTTGGTTGGAACTAATACATTGACCACAGCTCAACTGAGAAAACAACCGAAGCGCTATTTGTGGGGGTAAGCAGTTATAGCTAACTAAGAGCATTGTATCTAACTATATAGAGTTGCTTAATACTTTTTTTTTTTTTTTCTTTCTTCTTTCTATTTTTATTAGTATCTATTTTCACTATGTTAATATTATAATATAAACAAATATCTATTCTTAATCCAAGATCCTTTCTTAGTCGCCTATTATTCCCTGCCTTTTATACTAGTATCCAAAAAGCACTGTACATATATAAAGTATAATCTTAAAAATATAGTTAGTCACAACACAGAATTGCGCAACTAACGTGCCACGAAAAGAAAATTCACTAGTACTGTGAAGCTACAGTACTATCCCTAGATATATTAATCATTATAAAACTTACATTATATAATAGTTGGGCAGTAACAAGTTAATAGTACTTTAGTTAATTAATTTAAACTATATCTTGCTATATTAAGTGATTTATATACTTCCCTCTCCTTGAATTTTTAAGGACTAAAAAATGCTTTTCTAATTTATATCAATCCATTCTTCCCAGGTAAAATAGCTACAGTTGGAAGTTTTAGATCACTCAGCTGCTTTTGTGAGAGAATTCTGCTAATATTTTAGTTTTACAGCTTGGTAGGGAGCGGGGATTGTGGTTTGATCCATATTCCGACCCAACCATTCAAAGGCCTCCGCTCCTCTGGCCATGGCTCTGCAGCATTTAACTTTGAATTGATAAGGTCTTAAATTTCTCCGGAGCAGCGACTCCGGCTGCATTATATGTATAAAATTAGTGCATATGTATAGTTGATATTCATACCTTTCTCTACTAAGAAGTCAATACAGGTTTCAGTGAGAAGTTAAATTTGAATTGCAATGTATTGAAATGAAGTCTAAGGAAGTGGAATCGATGTGCTTAATGCATGACCTACCTAGCAGGGAATCTAGAAACTTCCCAGTGATCAGTATAGGGAATATTCTTAGGTTTAATATAAAAAGTGCCTATACAATAAGTAACGGAGTATAGAGTTCCCTGATTTAATATTAACTGAGGAGCCTATCTGTACTCCGTTATTCCTGATGGTTCCTGACATTGATCTATTTTACTAATATGAAAATATAATCTATTTACCTATAACCACATACTGTTATTGTATTGTTCTGTATAGGTAGATCACTAGTGTATATAGTACCTATTGAGTGTGATTATTTTTATCCCTTATATACAAAAACGGCTTATTTTGTGGTACTTGTGTTAACTACCAAAGCTTGGTCAAAACCAAACACAGGCTTTTTAATTTAAAAACAAAGTAAAAATGACATGGATTTTCGCATGTATAATTTTTATAAGAGTTCCATGCTTAAAATTCAGAACCCGATCCAGGTGTATATATGCTATGTGTATTAAACAATTACTACAAAAGCATAAGGAAAACCACACATATAAACTAAAGATTTAATCTGTTGTGGCTGGTATGATGTATAAACAATCTAAACTTACCATTTAAGATATTTTAATTTAGAGGAAGAAAGGAATCTTCGAGCCAAAGAAAGGGAGCCGGGCTATACTAAGTGTTTAAGAATGCCTCCCTCCCTCTCTATCCTCTGTGATCACTAGGGATTTACAGTACGTGGCATGGAATTCGGTACTTCTGCTGTACGTACATCGCCAAGCTTCAGCATGGAGCATCGATAGTCAGCGGACTATTCCAATTTCGGAAAACCTTGTTGTGACACGTGGGGCAGGCAATCGGCCTGCATGAATATACACAGAGTACGGGTATTCTCGTCTACACAAGTAGCCTTCTGGAAGTGGGCACATTGACCTGCAAGCAAAAATTGTTGAGAATACACGAAGATGAAATTTCACAGTCTCAACTGATGGTGGAATGATACCCATTGGGTGCCTGACTAGCACTGCCTAACGCCCCACTTCTTCCTAGCAGGGACAATGCTGGCCTGTTTCTTTTTCTGGAAACGGAAGTGTCAAGTGATATCACGTGACATGGCTGCGTCACCAGGAGGCTGGAGCCTTCCGTTTATCTCCTGACGGAAGGTTTGAATAGAAATGAAAACGATTCATAGCAGGTGCTTGGTTGGTTAAATTAATTACCCTCAACCCATCCATCGGTCCACGTCCCGATCCCACTGATCACGCCTTTTTCCTTTCACCGTTGAGCTTGCCTCTTTTCATTATTATCCCTAGTCCGATCTCGACAATCCGTCTTTTCAAACTGATCATGGTCACTATTGATCGATCTAGTCCCTGAGTCTCTCTTCCCCCCCGCCTTTCTATGAGCCTCCAGTTCTCTCCCAGAACACCATGGTTTCTACATCGCCTATCCCCGTTGGGTCCAGTATATTCTTCTCCTTTGCGCTCTTCACGATCTCGGTCCTCGTGTTATTACTTATCCGGCGCTTCCTAACTCTGCGGGCCACACCGGCCTACTTGATCATACCCGTCTTTCTCGCACTTGCGCTGCCTGCTAGTGTCGTGCTTCTGGTCCCTATTGACCTAGCATCAAGCTCGCGTGACGGAGGGAGCCCTCAGGCAATCTGGCTTCCCGATCGATTGATCTTGGTGTCCTGGCGTATCGCCTACTGGCTCATTTTCGTGCTAACGTGGTGAGTACTGCGCTCGGTTGATTTTTTGCAGCCATGGCTACCTATCGGAGGACTGACCTGTCTTCTCCTTTACTCTAATAGGGCCATTCTCCCATTACTTGGCGAATATATTGATTCGGGGTATCGTGATCCAAAGAGTCGCATCCAATACTCGATTCGTTCGAATGCCCGCTATCAGCTGATTGTTTTGTGCTGCGCGCTTGTGGGGTTGGTATATATCTCTATCCAAAATGGCTTTCAATTCAGGTCTATCAAGGCACTTGTCATGGCTCTTGCCTACGTCTGGGGTCTGGTTCTTGCAATCTATTTAATGGGCCATGGCCTTGTTTCTATACCTCGCACGCTGTTCCGCAATGCTAGTGTCAGCGGTCGGCTACGGAGACTCCAATCTCATGCCCCGCGACTACATGACCGCCTCATGGATGCAATCAATGACCTTGAAAACCTTGAATCCCAGGTCAATCAGCTGCAACGTCGTAAAACCGGTTCCGCTCGCGACTTTCAAGATTGGATTGAAGAGTTGGGCGAGTCGTCGACTCCGCCAGAGGCACGGTCCCTTCTCCAACCTACGGAAGGGTCGGACACCGTGCCAGCTGTAATCACAGAACGTTATATGGCAGATCTTACTCGACGGCTTCAGCGCGCTCGGCACCAAAGGGCCCGCTTTGTGGACGAGTGGGACCGCTTGGTGTTGACTGCCGCGGATTTACAAGCGATCATCAACTCGTCAGCGTCAAAAAAGCTGGAGTTTAGCCACTCTTCATATCGATCAACATCCCTGCCGCGAGTGAAGTTTTTGACTCCCTATATGCGGTACCACGTATACGTCCATCTCATTCCCAGTTCACGGCTCGCCCTGGGAGCACTGTTTTCGGCTGCGTCCGTCTGCGTCGTTTGGTCTGAATTGATCAAGTCATTGGCACCCCGACTGTCAATCGTGACGCTCTCAGTAGTCTCTTACCACAAGAACCCGGCGCCTGTAGGTTTTGGACGACAAGTGGCCGCCTCCGTATGGTTGCTGTACATGTGCTGGGCAGCATTGGTGGGTGTCAATGATGCCAAAGTCTGGGGCAATCGTGCATTGGTCCGCCGGAATACGTACGGCGAAAGCGCATGCTGGTACGCTGGGTTGGTGGCTCGGCTTACTGTACCGATCGCATACAATTTCCTGACCTTTTTACCGGAGAATGTCCGACTTGATACCACTTTTTATCAATTTCTTGGGCAGTACATCGATCTTACGCCTCTAGGAAAGGGGTTCGATTACTTTTTCCCCGTCTTCATACTTTTGCCCATCTGCGCTACGCTTTTCAACCTCTACGGCCGAGTAAAGAATGTCTGTGGATTTGGCCTCTTGGAAGAGGAGGAAGAGGACCTAGAGAACAACCCTGCCGGCTACGGGCTGGGCGGCTGGCGGGAAGGCCGTGACCTTATCGACAGGGAATTGAATGGCCTGGGGTCTCTGGCGCTTTCCACCCGCAGTGGACAGTCGCCGCGGCCGTCGAGTCGAGCGGATGAAGGCACACGGGGGTTTTCGTCCTCGCGCAACTCGGGGATCGAGGCTATACGATCGTCTCGGCCAGCCCGGGGAGCCACTCCCGTGTCTGCTCCGTTGGAGGAGGGGGACCAGGAAACCTTCTTCCAATCTTTTGCCCACCGGGTCAGGAACACGTTTGAAACCGCCAGTAAACCGCAGTGGCTTCAGGGCGATGCATTCCGACTTCCGCGGTGGATGGGCAGCGAGGGCAACGGGGGCAACGATGGTAATAGCGGTCTTGCGCGATGGTTTGGAGGCCGGCCAGAGCCTGGCGGAGTTAGGCTTTAAGACTTGGGCTACCATGGCAAAGGCGTTTGATGAATAGATGTGCGACGTCCACATGTATGATATCGGGACCGGGATAATATATAAATGCTCCTTGTGATACTTTCTGATGACCATGACCTAAGTATGACTGATTGGCCATCGTGGGCTGCCTACTGCTGTTGAGGCGCAGGCAGCTAAATACCTAGGATGAACCTAAGTAGGTTAGCTAGACAGCTGCATCTTGCTTGCGCCAGACTAGACTTGAGCCCCATGCAGTTCAATGCTCCCCTTCCTTGCCAATTCCTAGGTGTCCTCAAGGTTGACCCAAAAAAAGTGGCGGTTGCGGCAAAAAATCAGCCTGGGGAGGCTCTCCGCCTTGTTTCACCTCCGATGCTGCTGCCATGACCTCAGCAGATGTGTTCCCTTCTTTTCCTTTCCTTTCGCCGGCTCGTTCCTTTTTTAACCCTACAAATTCCATGACCCCGCTGTTATCGCACGTTTCTCAGTCCTCCCTGGGCGAGACGTGTGCTTTCTACCTGGATTACCTTGCCGTCCACGCTCCCCAGTCCCTTCGTTCACTGCAGCGCAAATTTGTCCCTTCCCTGTCCTCTCCCCCGCCACACCACGCCTTTGTCGTCGCTGATAGGCCCACGCTCATCTTCACCCTCCTCGCCTGTGCCATCGCCGCCGCCGTCGTGATCGTCATGTCTTGGCGCAGCCAGTTCACCAACTTTTGGCGCCGCTCCCCTCAATACTCTGGCGTCCCGAACCCGCCGCTCGTCAGTGACGGCGATTACAGCTACATCTCCCCCAATGACATTGTGGGGCCGCCAACGCGGTCATACGGGAACCAATATCCCCAAGACACCGAGCCGGATACCCTGCTCCTGAAACACCGTCGGAATACCTATGAGCTGCATTTCCCCGCGTACGCGATCAATGACGGTGCGCTCAGCGTGGGCCAGTTGAGGCAACGAGCTGCGGAGGTGACACGCACGTTGGATCCGAAGCGGATCCGTCTGCTCTACAAGGGGAATTTGTTGGATGATGACTCACTGCCCTGTCGGTCGGAGGGACTCAAGCAGCAATCGGAGGTGCTCTGTGTTGTATCGGAGGTTCATCCGGGAGAGAGCACGCCTAGTGATGCCTCTGATGCAGAGGCGGACAAGCCCCCGGAGGATGCGCGTGAGGGCACCGAGAAAAAGAGGACCCGTAATCGCAACCGGAACAAGAACAAAAATAAGAGGAAAAATAAAGATAAGCGGGTCAATGACACCAACGGCAGTCTCGCTCCGCCATCAGCGGATCAACTGCGGCCCTCGTCTTCCGGGCTGCCAGCGTCCTCTCCCAACTTGAAAGCCTTCCGCACCTCAATCGAGCAGGTTCAAGCATTGATGTCGTATTTTCATACTGAGCTGGTACCCCTATGTGAAGCCTACATCGCTGATCCGCCGACGGAGCTGAAATCGCGCGACTTTGAACATAAGAAGCTGAGCGAGACCATCTTGGCCCAGGTGATTCTGAAGGCGGATGGCATTGAACCCGACGGCCATGAAGAGACTCGAAACTTGCGCCGGGCTCTAATCAAGGAAACACAGTCGATCCTTGCGAGACTGGATCAAGCGGCGAAAGAATAATCGTTAGCAACCGCGCCCATTTCTTTGCTCCGTCCATCCCCATTTAGTTGGATCGCCCTTTATCCACTGTACATGTGAAACAATATACGCAAAGATGTCTTCTCTATTTTTTATTTTTATTTTTTGGTTCTTTCATGTAATTTGACAGATAGAGGCTTTCAGCAAAGACGGCATGGGGTTTTTGGATTTTCTTGGATCATGTACTACGAGAACTAGATGACGTCCGCCACATGGTGGAAATATGGGCTCGGATGCTGAGAACTGTCAATAAGAGCATGGTAATGGCGTCTGGGATGTACCTGAGATATGTTGCAGATTATTGATTATTGGATTTGGCTTGTCACACCGTACTATTTAAATCCCAACACACGTGCACGGCTGGCCACATTAGAGCCGGAACCGGTAGTGAGTGACCATATCTTGTGTCAGTCCGAGTCTGTTTAGGTAAGGGGAGTCCATCAAGCCTGGGTGGGTGGCATGGTGGCGGAGGTTTCCAAACCGGCTTTTTCTGACTATGAATGCGGCCTGCGCGCTTGATATGCAAATAAGAGGATTCTTCGTAAATGAAAATTTCCCCGAAAGAGGAGGCAGGTGGTTGGGAGTGTGTATCTCAATTGAGCCGCTGGTGTCGCACACCCAGGGGGTGGACGCCAAATATGACCTCGGAGGATTTAAACAGCTCTGAAGAGGGGCAGTCAATCTATTGGACCCGAGGCATATATGTATCATATCATACATATCCCCCCATGAGACGACCTCGGTCAGGGAAATGACATATTCGACTGATCGACTGCCACTGGACGAATTCGCATTTCAGAGATTGTCTCAGATCTCATGAAGGAATGAGGGATGGCCCAGTTGGGCAATGAGCTGCAGTCCAGGGGCACATTAAGTTGAGACAGACAGTTGTGAGCCATGATCGCACATGGACAAGAAGATAGGTGAGAGTTTGGCCAGGAAGATGCAAAAGAGTGTATATACAGACTTAGAGCTCTGGTCTGTCTCCATCCGTCCCATCCATGCATGGTACGCCAACGGGAGCTGCTCACCCACCGTTATTGTGGTGGCCTGCAAAGTATACTTGGGGATGGAGCGATACAACCTATGTTCTAGGCTGTCTCCACCACTAGCGCTGCTGTCTAACTGTGATGGCAGAAAACTAGCGGCGCCCCGTGTCTCTCGTTTCTTTCTTCCTCGCTCTGTCTGTCTCTCTCTTTCTCTCCCTCTCTCTCTTACTTTGCTTCTTCTTCTTCTTCTGCTTCTTCTTCGTCCTTCACTCTATCCCATCCCCTCAATACTTTCCCTTCTCCTAATCAACGAGAGACCACAGACAGAGCTCATCAATCTTTCCCTGTGTGTCTCTCTCCGTCCAAAGAATTCATTCGACTGACCGCCAAAAGTCCCGCCACGACTTTGCTTCCACTCACTCCTTTTCCCCGTTTCTTTTCCTTCCCCTCCTCATTTCGTTATCTCTTGCTCCCCTCAGCGGGTTTCAACCCCCTCTATACTGTCATTCATTCTCTTTGTCAGTGAATTACTTGTCTGTCGTGCTTTTACTTTGTCATTGTTTGTCCTGGACCGATTATCCCTTTGATCAATAGGACTGGACCCGGAGTTCCCTGCCATCCACCGCTGGCCTATAATATCGAGCGAACCTGAGGCATATCCACGGTACCGTGTTCGCCACGACCCGAGAACCAGCAGCTGCAATAGCCATATCGAACCTGGAAAAACAAGCTAATCCCCACTTGGGTCCTATTTACAATCTACTGCTTCGGGTCGACTTTTACGTCCTTGCTTCCTCTACCCCTTTTCTTCTTCATACGACCGCTGTCGATATTGTTAATTGCCTCTTCTTCTCTGGATCTCGCACGGTTCACATAAATCACGATTTAGGGCTTCAGCTCAGTGGCAGGTGAGAATTTCCTGGGTGGTCCGTAGTGAGGTTTGGTACGCCTAAGGGAATGGCCTGATCGGCAGGGACTCTGGTGAATTAATTCTCCCTTAAAAAAAAAAAAAAAAAAAAGCAAAGAGAATTGCTCTCCCCCCAACCAACCTCTCTTCAACCGCCAGACTATTTGACAAAAGGTTCCAGCTGGACTGGCCTTGTTTTTTTGAATTATCTTTATGCACGCTGGAATGGCGGGGACAACCACTGCCGCGTATACCGCAGATGTTTGGACGTCGGCCGGCACTGTAGATGGGAGCCAGAACCAGTGGGATTATGCCGTCCCAGTTAGACAGAGTGTAAGTATCTGTGGTCGGATATCTCTTCTTCCCTGTGCGGCGAGATCGACGGGGTATGACGTTTCGGTATCTGCCGACGTTTCTCTGTTACCCCTCCCCCCCTCCCTTATTGTCTGCCTTGAGGCATGTGTAACATATGATTGTGCTGACATGTGCTTTGGTAGAGTACCGTCCGTCGCACCAAGTCCCGATCGTCACACGACTCTACCCATGCTCGGTCGCGAGACCGTGCCTCCAGAGGGTCTCGCAGTTCATCTCTATCGAGACATGCCTACGCACATGACGCAGCACACCTAAATTCTCGTGGCCGTCATGATGCGAACCTCAGCCGTCGCGGAAGCGAAGCCGGGAGCTTGCGAGGCGCGTATGGACATGAGATGGTAACTCACAGTGTCGGGAATATCAGAGACTCGGCAGATACACACAACGAGGGACCTCTAAAACGAGGGGATATGAGGGAGGGCATTGGGTTGTATTTGAATGAGCTAGACAACGAGAATTGGATCCACCGGGACAAACTGGCGAAGATCGAAAGTGAAGAGCTGCACCAGGCTACGATCCTATTCCACCGCCGAGGGGGAATAGAGTCCAGTAGGCCTCAACGCGGGAGGAATCACGATTTGCACCACCCCGGCACCAGCGTGTCTTCTGTAACTACGCCGCCAACGACCGAGAAGTTGGAGCCCTGGCCAAATCTTCACGATGAGCCTCGTGAATCTACCCGCTCCTAACCGATTTGAATAGCGGGGATGAGCGCCAGAATTGGGATCTCCGAAGGCCCGAGGAGATTGCCGCTGATGACAATGCATCGAGCTTCTATCAGAATCCCGGGCTGCGTAAGAGCTCGTCCCGTATCCCCATCTCCACGGCGAGCCCGGCACCTATTTCGCCCGAGCAGCTTGGTCGTGAATTTCCAATGCAACGCGCCCGCGGACTCACGAACGGAGAGGAGGATGTGTTGACGATCGGGAAACCGCGCAGAGCCAGTGAACCCATTGTAGTGGATTCGATTGGAGATTCGACGCCCCCGGGTGGGAGTAGACCGGGGAGCCGCGGTATTCAGACCGGTCAGAATGGCCCGTCCAAGAAGACAGCCACCAAAGGGATGTCGGGATCAGGACCTCGGAAATCGTCTGCCCCTCCCGCGACGAGAAAAGCTACACCGAGAAGCCGTGCTACGTCCAACAATCAGCGTCCTACAACACGATCAGGCGACAACCGTCCAACACAGCCTGTCAATCGACCTGAAGGTGATCCTCCATGGCTGGCGACCATGTATAAACCAGACCCGCGTCTTCCTCCGGACCAGCAAATGCTTCCCACCCACGCACGAAAGTTGCAGCAGGAGCAATGGGAAAAGGAGGGCAAAACGCCGACAACGTATGATCGCGAGTTTGCCCCGTTAGCCATTGGCCCTGATGGCATGCGTCCTATAGAAGACAAGCTCGAAAAGCAGGAAGAGCCGCAGCCGCAGCCGGAGCCGCAGCCGGAGCCGCCTGAACCATTGAACCCTGATGGCGCTCCAGAAGTCCCGCTGCCGTCCAAAAGCCCCGAACCGAATACACGACCGGGGACGGGATATAGCACGATGCCCAAGCTGCAGGAACCTCCAGCGGGATTGACGCCTAAATGGAGTGCGCCTGTTGTCACAGCGCAGGAACCACCCGAAAAGAAGGGTTGTGGATGCTGCATTGTGATGTGATGGTAATACCTTCGGGACTTACTTTGCTCAGAATCTTTCCCTTTCCATTCCTGTCTCTTTTCTTTTTTATCTATTGGCTTGTTTATTCAGCGTATCAGGTGGTTTTGGTGTTTGTGATCTTGAGAATCTTAGGCATTTTTAATCCCTCCGGCCTTTTTTTTTTTTTTTTTTTTGTTTTTCCGCAATATTTATCATATATCTCATATCTATCAACCTTCACATTCCTCGTCGTTGATTTCCTTGCGGCTGTGGCATCGTCGTTCTTTGCAGGATTCCTCGTGGATATAATCCGATTATATTCGTTCACCTTTATCTCTCTTAACATGGTCAAGTTACCATTTCTTTGCAGATGGCGCCCGGATCCAGGACAAAGCGGAGTTTCCCTGCAGAGTGTCAACGTGACCAGTCCATTGCCTAACGATTTAACGATGCATTTTCTTCGGGGTCCTTGTCATTGATCTAGACTGATACTAATACCTGCGGGGTTCTCGTTCTGCATTCATGCTCATTCTGTCGTTGTCTTAGCGTGGCTGGGTTGGATCTATGCAAGGATAGAAGATTGATATCCTCTATATGAACACCGAGTAGTACAACAGATGTAGTTATACTAACTAGCTACATGGCTTACGGTGTAGTAGTTTACTAACTACTTCCCTAGCAATTAGTTAACCACTCTATGGGTGAGCTGCGAATACAGTCGAGCGCGCATCTGCATTCCCATACAGAATGATACTTTTAACTTGGGATATCCTAGCCATTCTACCTCTTTATTAATAACAATTTAATCTGAGGAATCTGTGGGCGCTGAATGGAGTGTATAATAATTTTTAAATATCTAGTATTATTAAATAACTACCTAGATATTACAAATTACCCAGTACTTCAAACCTGTTATATGTATCTGAGACCAAAATAAATTTCTTTTACAAAATATTTAATTACAATATCTATTTACGTACTCATATAGAATGAATTTGTCTGATATAAACCATAATAACGTAATCGGTAAGCGAGCGCCGCATGAAAGCGAGCGCCGCACCTTTGTATTCCATATAAAATGACACTTTTTGAGAGTCTAATATCATCTCAACAATAAAGCACCTAGGGGACATAAAATTAAATATACAGTATAATATAATACAGTGTATATATATATTAAGCAGAGAAATTTCCAGAATGAATATTTCTCCAGGTAAGATAAATTACAGCTGTATTTTTTATACTTTCAGTTGTCCTAGTATTTAAAGCCAAGAAAACTACCTAAAAACATGAAAATATAAAAACACCCTTTTTAGAGTTCATATATATGTTACTATCTTATCAAGATGTTTCTATATCTACTGGTGGTTGAGATATTAAGGTTTCAAAGAGTGCCATTTTATATGGAGTACAGAAGTGCGGCGCTCGCCTTCAATGCGCGGCGCTCGCTTACCGATTACGTTAGTAGAAAGTGAGTTACCATAACGTAATCGGTAAGCGAGCGCCGCATGAAAGCGAGCGCCGCACTTCTGTACGCCATATAAAATGGCACTCTTTGAAACCTTAATATCTCAACCACCAGTAGATATAGAACATCTTTATAAGACAATAACATATATATGGATTCTAAAAGGTATTTTCATGTTTTTAAATAGCTTTCTTGGCTTTTAAATACTAGGACAACTAAAAATATAAAAAAATACAGTTGTAATTTATCTTATCTGGAGAAATATTCATTCCTAAAATTTCTCTGCTTAATATATATATATACGTTATTATATTATACTGTATATTAAATTTTATGCCCTCTAGGTGCTTTATTGTTGAGATATTAGACTCTCAAAAAAGTGTCATTTTATATGGAATAGAGGTGCAGCGCTCGCTTTCATGCGGCGCTCGCTTACCGATTACGTTAATTAAGTAAGCATATCACATGACATCATCACGTCAGTCCTTAGCGGATTGTGAATTCCCCGTCATTATGTCCCTCCATCTTTCAACCTTTTCTTCTCTCATCTTTCTCTCTCTACCTACTCTAACTCCTCTGGAGCCCCGTCGCCCAAGATAGCGTCTATATTTTCTCGTCTTTTCGGGTCGTTTGCCGGTCCCTCTCCCGCAATGTCTGCCGCAAAGACCAAGGCTCAGACCCTGATCAATGAGAATGGTGTTGGTATGACTGATCTGAACTATATGTATGCTGAGGATTTCCATGTTAATATGATATGATTTGGTTTAATGTAGTTGTCTTTTCAAAGTCATACTGTCCTTACTGCACCGCAACTAAAGAACTCTTGAAGGAACTGGGCGCGAAGTATCGTGCTGTGGAGTTGGATCTTCTTGGTATGCCCTATCTTATTTTATGTTGTTTTGTTGTAATATAAGAATATATGGAAGAAGAGAGGGAAGCTAATAAGAATAGATGACGGCTCCGCTATCCAAGACGCCCTTCAGGAACTCACCAGCCAGCGCACCGTGCCTAATATCTTCATCAAACAGAAACATATCGGTGGGAACTCCGATCTGCAGGCTAAGAAGAAGGACCTGCCAGCTTTGTTGAAGGATGCGGATGCGTTGCAAGCTCGATCTATCTGTTAATTTCGATAGATAGATAGATATATTACTCGCTACTTATTATTTACTATTAGCAGTATGAATAAGGAGTAGTGAATAATATCTACAATACATACTATACAGAATCATTAGATCACCTTCTGAAGTACAGTTCCCACCGGTCGTTCCACAATCCCCATAACTCCGTCCACCACGCTCTGTCGCGCTCCCTCACTCGAGACATTCTTTCCCGCTAGATAATTCAACCAAACTAGTCGGCTGATGCGCTCATCCTGTACGCGACCCAGGAATCGAGCCGGTTTGGACTCATCCGGGTGGAACAATGCGTCCAGCTGGCCCTGGGCACTGCGCACAAGAAGCAGCGTCTGTCCCTTGGGCACGTTCTTGCGCTGTCCACCGCCAAACAGACCCTTGAAATCATTCATCGCTGACCCAAATGACTCATTCTCAAACTCGCTGGGGACTCCCGACTCTCGCGCCTTAGCATCAGCCTGTTGCGCACGTCCGGTGATCCCACGGACCCAGCCATCACGAAGATGCAAGAAGTCCGTGTTCCGTGTAGGAACAATCCGGAAGGCCGTCCGGAGACCGTCCTGCTTCAGAATCAAATCCCACACCGCGTCGCCCTTCTCCGGATCTAGGAGTAACCGTCTCAGCTGCTGTCGCTCCGTCTCAACAAGCGATGTCGCCGAGGTGGCCCCTAGCGCATCAATCACCGCACTGTCTCCCGGCGGGTTCACCGCCGTGCGGACCAGTCGCTGCTGTAGTTCTGTGATATCCGACTTGGCCACATACATGCCTACCACGTACACCTGGATCCGTAGGAACGATACCGTGCGGACCCCCAGTCCTAGCAGCTGGTACTCCTCCTCTTCGTTAGAGGGGACCTCATCCCCTGCTTTCAGGATGCTCGTATCAATCGATTTCGGCAGCGTGATCGTACTAGGGAAAAACGGAACGGAACTCGTGCCCGTAGCTACCTGCTCTGCACCATCTTGTCCCTGGATCCGAATCACAGACGGGCTGCTTGTAAACCCATCCGGTCCCTCCGTCTTCAATTTACCGTCATCATTTCCCTTTTCAATACCAGTCTGCTTGTTCTCCTTCGGTTCTTCCACCTGCGACAATCCAAATAGATCCAGCTGAATCACGCCGTACATCGCCACAGCGCAGACCGCGATCCCCGCCGCCGATCGCATCATCGACCGCTGATACCGCGAGACATCTTGCTTCTGAAAGGGCGTGTTCTCCGGTGCTCGAAGCGGGTTCTTCGCGGTTGGTGTCCGGAGACGGCCCGTCGTGGAGAGGAATCGGATGGGTTGTCGTACCGGCGCATTAGCTCTGGGGTATAAGCGACGGAGACATTGTCCGCAGGTGCGCCAGGGCATGGAGCCCGGGATGGATGATGATACTGTCATGGTTTTCTTCAAAAGAGAGAGAGTGTGTGTATGGGTTGAATTGACTTGTCGGGTGGTTTAGATGATGTGGTGGACGGAGTTAGAGATCCGGATCCGGATCACTGACCCACGTGACTGATTCTGCCCTGTTTCCTTTTTGGGGTCTGGGTATTCTGGAGGCTAAGGGTAGGATAGTAGAGGTGGTGAGCGAAGATGGTGTGCATTTGGGTTTATGCATATTGGAAAATGTAGTTGATTATAGGAAGAACATATTCATGTAAGTACTGTTCAGGGTATCCGCTAGTCAAGCACAAACAATCTATCCACACAGTACAGTACACAGGAGCACCCAAAGCTAGATACTGTTCAGCGCACTTCCACTTTGTGCGAACCTCCCCCACTGACACGAATAATCGCCCTGTCATCCGTATAGTTCACGCCTCGGGAAATATGGATTCCATCGATCGTGATGGATGGCCTCTCCAATCGCTTGAGAAACGGTAAGGCTAAATCGCCTCTGGTGCCCTCCGGAACTGACAACAACAAAGTGTACTGGTCCGACTTCTTTTCCCACGCCGCTTGGAACTTTCCAAGAGAGGTAGTGAACCCCCCCTGCACTGTCGTGAGATCGCCAAACTGCGGTGCAATCCTCCAGGTAAGGCCCCGGGGTGATGTGACAGAGAGACCAAGGACGTAGTTGGTCAACGCGGAGGTAGGGCCAGTAGACTGTCCATGAGCGTGAGAGACGTACGACTCGTCGTTGGCATATCCACGGTCATATCGGTATCCAAATGTGCCATTCTTCAGATATCCTTCGATAACGGTGCTCTCGGTGCCGTTAGGGTTGGTCAGATACCACCCCCAGCTGCGTCGGATGAGCTCCAGAGCTCTAGCCGGGTGGCCCGCCTCGAAATGTCCCTGGATTTCAAACGACGAGATGAACGGCGAGATATTCTCTGGTAACTCTGGGGCGACGGCCCCGATTGGGGTCCAGTTCTTAGTCAATATTTTCGAGATCTTCTTTGCTCGCTCCTTGTTCGTGACCCCGTAGAGCAGTGCCATGCTGTTGGCGTCCTGTGGATGAAGGCTTGTGTCTGTAGCGTTGTCTTTGAATGCCCCGTACTCGTTATCCCAACAGTGCTTGTTGATTGCTCTCCGGAGGTCTTCAGCTTGGGTGTTCCATTTGTTGGATGTGACTTCTGAGTTCTCTGCCCAGGAAGCAAGTGACACTCCGGTTTTTAGAGTGTGGTACAGGCTGTGGGAAGGTTAGCTGTGCGAATGAGGGAATCGAGATCGGAATCCCGGAAAAGGCACTCACATCATCTGTGCTTCGGAATTATTGTAGCCCTGCTGCCATCTGGCCCAATCGCGTGTGCCTGTCACATTCAGCAGGCCGCTGGACTCGTCCACTTTCCCGTAAATGTAGTTCATGGCTCTCTGATATCCCTTCCAGTTGTTCAGAAGAAAGTCCGTGTCATTGGTATAAAGGAAGTAGTAGTACGTTCCGATCATCGACCACATGTGATAGGTGTCCGAGTTCTTCTGGCTCAGTGGCGGTCCTGATTCATCGAATGCTCCGGTTGAGTTATCCTATACTGGCAGTCAAATCATCTCATTCTACAGGGACTCGAAATTGTAGAATACTCACCTGCGTATCGTACATCACTTGAAGAGCATTCTTCATACTCTCCAGGTCTCCAGTGCTAACAAATAAAGAAGGGATCGATATTCCCATATCCCCGGGCCATACAGCACGGTCTCGCTTCGCTCCATCCACAAAAATCGTATTTCCAGGTCCCATGGTTGCGTTGTTCACCCAGCCTTCATTGCGTATAGGAACCTGACGACCTGTGTTCACAGGGACCGTATTCGTCTGCAGGGTATAAGCGCCACTGTACCAGATTCGATTCAGCAGTTCGTCGTTCGAATGGAAGTACCCCTGGTAGGCTTGTAAATTGGGCCAGGTAGGTTGGAACCCGATTTCCAAACTCACATCCTCGATATGGACAGTTGAATCATCTTCCGCAATCAAATACACTGTCAAATATCGAAAGCCACCGCGGAGGTATTTATCGGACATGACAAACGACCCATCCTCGGGGTTAGAAAATGCCTCAAACAGCGCACCGTCGGCACCTTTAAAAGCTCCATTGGACGAATCGGACCACTTTCCAATCCACTGCTTTGCCTCGGTGAATGCCAATCCCAAAATGCCTTCGTCGCTGGACGAGTAATTCAGAGTGATAATGCCACCGACTTCAATCCCAAAGTCGAATACAACGCTCGACCCATTCCCGCACAGGGTGAATGGGATTGATCGGGAATATTTGTCGGGGGTTGATGGATTCCAAAGCGACAGGACGCTCTTGGGTTTGACAGTTCTCGAAGCGGGCGCATAGACATTTTTCTCCCAAGCACCTGAAAAGGCAGGGTTTTTAGGGCCGGAGCAGACAGTATCCCTCCAGCAGCTCTGCGCCGGAGAAAGAGTGGCCAAGGCTGAAAGTCCGACGAAGCCGTGTAACCAGCGCAGGATCGCCATATAGCAGTCAGGTAAGCATATGGGGGACCTGAGATTGAGCCCATCATCATCCGGCGTCCACGGCCGTCCATATAGCTAGTCGCCCGACATGACTAGCGTGGGCCAATGGTGGTCTGTGTTGGTGCGATTCTTGCGCAAGGAGCCAAAGAGGGGTTGGGATTTCTTGTGTTCTCGCCAAACTTATTGGGCTCACCCACGATGCTTGTCCGGTCACCAACGGCGTCACTTGGGGGTGGCTTTGGTGAGATGGTAGGGTACTAGGCCCACTTGGACCCTGCATCAACGTAATGAAAGTGGTCGAAGGGGGTCTCCTAGTTTGATGCGCCAAGGTTTAGACGCTTCTTACTCCACACCAGTTGAAGAAATCCTGGTCAAAAAGCAAACGAGTCGGTCACTGGAACTGCAGACACCCAGCACAAAAAATCATGATCACTGGGGGCAAACAGTGTCGGCCGAGCATCATTGGTTGAATTTCCATCCAGTATACCAGGCCAGCAGTAATGGGCTCTAAGTTGATGCTTCTTCGTAATTGACCTGACCATCTCTGAGGATATCAGTACCATGATGGAACTATGTGTATCAGGATGAAACTGTCACTGAAGCGATGAAGAACAGAATGTTGAGCATAACTAAGAGGAGGCAGGATGGAGAAGAGTGAAGAAGAGTAAACGCTTCAACAAGACGGTGACACACTGGCTTTCAAGAGCAGTAAAGGAGAATTCAGGCCAGCATTTCCTTCCATTTTCACGTCTGTCTTTGTCCTTTCTTTGGCTCTCACATTCGTCAGTAATACTCCCAACGTCAAGTCAAGGACAGCATCTGCACTATCAAGGCAGACAGAAGTCAGTGGATGATGTGCTAACCCCCCGCAGACGGGGGCATCCTCCTCCCAGAAGATTAGTCGTACTGGATCGTATCAAGATTAGATCCGGTTCTACATCATACAGAGACCCAATGGGAGGCGTCTATGGCGATATAGCGTCTGGTACACAGCCAAATCAACCTGCCCTTTGGAGTGTGTGCGACGTCGGGGTTGAGAATTTCTTTATCAAAGACTCGCAACTTTAGGCTCTAAGCTATATGAACGGCGCCAATTTGTCCCTCGCCAATATCTACTGTCATGCGACTGTGATAGACACATTATAGGCCATAATTGGGTTCAGAAATACTGGTGGCTTTGGTATGCCGGTGTTAGTCATCGAGTATTCGATTGAAACGCTGGCGCCTGAAAGATACAATGGATGCTAATAACGTCTATTTCATTATATTTGTGTACCAAGGAGAACGCAACTGCATCGCAATCAAATCCGGCTTTATAACATCAATATGCAGATGGATCGTGGGGATATTGTATTGCTAATGGCAGTTTTGGGTTGGTGTTTACATGACTCGAGCGTAGAGATGTGCGAGTGGACAAAGTCAAGTGTTTGGCCTCTATGAATCTAACTATTCAGCTGCAATGGCAACGATTGTTCGTTTTCTTGATTGACTCTCATGACCATCTCCAACATCTCATTCAAGAAATCCACTGGCTATGTACAAGACATCAATTCCATGTCATTTCCAGTAGAATTGGTTTCGTTGTTTTGTCTTTATTTTTCCCATCTTTTTTTTTTTTTTGTTTTTTTAGATCGTACCATTTGTTTTACAAATATAGAAATCTAAATATTGTCTAGACGCATGCATAGACGGGAGGTTCTAGAGGGGCACTTTCCATCTAGTTGTCATTCTAAGGGCGCGGGGAATCTGAGCCCCCTCGAGAAATAAAGACCGGTTTTACTACTAACCAGTGTTTCTGGAGTCATAGTTTATACATTTTATTTGCTACTCACCTGGCCAACACCAGTACATACCTCACCTATATTCTCCTTTCCCTTAGTATTTTGAAAATTCAATTGTTGGACAGCCATGAAGACGCCTTGGATCGAGACCCCTCTAATTGAGTCGCCGGCACTGTCAAAAACAGCCGGATGGTATAGAGCTCTTCCCTCTATTCCCGAGCGAAGTTTGTCTATGTACTAATAATTCATCTATAGTAGAGTCTTCCTGAAGTTGGAACTTCTGCAGCCTTCAGGATCCTTCAAGTCGAGGTCATCCCATCTGTTAATATTCTACACAGAATTATATCACTGACACTGTACTAGAGGAATCGGTTTCCTAATCCTTCAAAATCGCATCGATCCAGCAAACCATGGCAAGGAACTCCACTTCTATTGCTCCTCCGGAGGCAATGCAGGGCTAGCTGCCGCCATGGCAGCCCGAGATGTAGGCTGTGCATGTACAGTCGTCGTGCCACATAGCACAACGCCTGCCATGATCCAGAAGATACGTGTGGCTGGGGCTACTGAAGTCCTTCAACATGGAAGCAGCTGGTACGAAGCCGATATCTATCTACGAGAGAAGTTCATAGACAATCAGTGTGATGCAGCGGACCGAAAAAATATCTACGTGCCGCCCTTTGAGCATGAATATATCCGGGCTGGGGCAGCGGGAATAGTCTCGGAGATTGCAAATCAGTTACTGCCACGAGAGAACACCACTGATGGAGACTTCCCGGCCGACGCAATTGTATGTAGCGTGGGCGGCGGTGGTTTGTTCAATGGGATTGTTAGAGGGCTTGATGAATTCTTCCAGTTTCCCAAGCCACCAAATGTCATTCGCAATGGGCCGAAGGACGTCTACGTGATAACCACAGAGACCTTCGGGGCGCATTCCCTGGCGTATTCGCTGGAGCATGGAAGTCTACAAACCCTTCCAGCGATTACGTCACAGGCTACCTCTCTGGGAGCTTTGCGCGTAGCCACCAAAACCTTCGAGAATGCAGTATCACCTCCTGCTGGCATCCAGGTTCGAAGTGTTCTTGGTACAGATATGGAGGCTGCTGACGGCGTGGTGCTCTTGTCGGACGAGCATCGATTGCAGGTGGAATTAGCCTGTGGGATCAGTGTTTTCGTTGCGGGGACTCTCAACACATATAATATCGTGCCGGATCTGACACCAGACAGTCGGGTTGTAGTGGTCGTGTGTGGTGGAAGCAACATCAATGCCGAGATGATTGCAGAGTATCGCCAGAAGCTTTCAACTGGATGGAACTGAAAGAAGAAGCATGCATTGTATAATGTAGTTACATAAATGGTTTAAGGTTCCGTACATAGATACCTGAGGCAACAATCCCTATCCGGAATAATGACGGACCGAGCGGGACGACGTTTTCTCTGCTGCGTTCACATCATTCCGGACTCGAGAATACACAGCGTTCCCCGAAGTGCCGTCGCAAGAGCAAGCACAACAATACCAAAATAAGGTAAGGTATTATTAAGGGCCAAACGTGGTTTCCGATCTCCTGCAGAATGTCAGTCCTGCCAGTTCTTGTCCCGGGTTTGCCTATTTGGGTTGATACCTCTTGCATCTGGAATGATTCATTACTCGTAGTTGGCCACGTCTGTCCTCTATTGCCCGTCGTTCCCTCTATACCTACCCTCCCCTCCCTGCTCCATCAATCGCGCGTTCACCAGGTTGATCAGCCGACTAATATGGTACACAGTCTCGTGACCGGCTCTGCCCGGCCTAGGGCATCACCATGCCTGCTGTTCATGAGGATCTGGCTTCCGCGGTAATCCCAACAGATACGGAGCTGTCGCCGGAGATCTATCCTCGGCAGGTCACGCTCAGGGACCGTGTCACCGTTGCCACCCTAGTGCCCTTCTCGTCCGCCGACGATGTACCCCGGTCCCTGCTGGCGTATCTGTCGGACCAATTAAACAAGGAGATCGAGAAGGGCGACACGTATGCGATGATTGATCTGATCCCGCTCGACAACTTTGGGCCGTATTGGTTCTCCAATTTCGGCGCCATCATGCTCCTCGGGGACATCAAGAGCGTCCAGGAGATGCAGGCCATGGACAGGGCGGGAGTCAACTGGCCCAAGATCTGCCTGGGCAGTTTCAACGTTAGACCCAATTATCCGGGCCGTAGTAGTCATGTCTGCAACGGCATGTTCCTGGTCACCGATGCAGCTCGAAATCGGGGTGTGGGTCGCTTGATGGGAGAGATGTACTTGGAGTGGGCGCCGCGACTGGTCAGTGTTTCCCGTATCGTATGGGGGAATGATCTTGCATCTCTAACTATCAACAGGGATATACCTATGCTGTCTTCAACCTCGTCTATGAGAGCAACGTCGCTTCCTGCCGAATTTGGGATGCTCTGGGCTTCAAAAGGATTGGCAAGGTCCCCGGAGGCGGTAGACTTTTATCTAATCCGGGGCAATATGTCGATGCGATTATATACGGTCGGGACCTGGGTCCGGAGGGCGGGGATTCGTTGACGCAGGATCGTTTCGACAAGATTAGATATTATCTCAAGCATTCAAAATACCCCAGGGGGGCCGACCGGGCTGAGAAGAGCCGGCTCCGTAGTGCAGCCACCCATTACAAGCTAGTTGGGGGAACTGACGGGGACGCGGAGAAATTGATGCTGAAAGACAAGGAGGTGGTGTCAGACCCTCAGCAACAGTACGAAATAGCGCGGGATATGCATGTTCAGCAGCATGCAGGAATTAACAAAACTACCGCTGCTATTGCGGTTAAGTACCATTGGGTGAGGATCAAGGAGACCGTGAGTCGAGTCATCCGCGATTGTCCCCAGTGCAAGGAAACCCTCAAGTTGCCAATGGTCAATGGTCTTTTCCAAGCTGAAGATCAGCCTGATAATGATGACCAGCCCTCTGCTGGTGAGAGCGATGTAAAGCAGGAAAGACAAATGAACCACGAGAACCATGTCAACCATGATAATGGGATGAAGCACCCGAGTGACATGAACCACGACTCCGGCATGAACCTGCCATCCAGTGCGGCCATGGGCACGAATCCACTTTTGGACCACACCTCGCTCGATGCCCACCAGAGCCATAATCCGTTCGTGACTGCACATCCATCAATTGTGCAAGGGCCTGTAGATCCCATTGGCGACTACACTGCCATGCCTCTCGATCCGCAGATCATTGATATTCATCACCAACTTCCTCGATTCCAAACCCATGATGCCATGACTGATCCCTATGCCCATGATCCTCATGCTTTAGCGAGTAGCCATTTCGATGACGATGTACGACACCATGCAGCACATGATTACCACATGATGGTCGATGATCCTGGCGATGCGGGTGCCGCACTGCATCAAGAAGCGCTGGGACTTGTCCATTCGCAGGCCACCGATGTACATCATGAACAGATCTTAGCCAAATATCAATATGTCGGACCGACGGATGATGATTTGGACTTTACATAATTTTCTTCTTTTTTTCTCTTTCATTCCTTTATGCTTATGCATCCCTGGCGTTGAGCGATTTGGGTGAGGTTTACCATCCATCATGTTACTTTTCAACTGGAGGAAGAGAGGGAATGGAACACTTGTAATTATATTCCAGACTTATAGAGGAATAAGATGCTTGTGGATCAAGCATATTGCATTCAGCATAATTTCAAGCCAGGAGCTGTAGAAGTACACAGGCTGAAGTTGAGGGGCTGCTAGTAAGGTTGCGGAGTGCGGCATGATTGGTCACCGCCTGCTTTGGCGGCATCGAAGAAGCTCCAGGAAATTTTGGTCAACAGCATTAGTGAGGGACTGTCAGGGCCACCTTCCATCACCTTCTCTTACTCTCATCCACCCCTTGACCACCGGCACTTGTCTCAGTTGCTTTTACTCCTTTGCACTAATTAATACAAAATGGCCTTCTCTGGCCAAACCCCCACCATCATTGTGCTCAAAGAGGGTCCGTACCCGCCCGCATTTTGAACCAACCTTCTGTGTGTTGATAGCTGACATGGCTCTTTCTTTTTCTTTCTCGAATGTGTAGGCACGGATACCTCTCAAGGAAAGGGCCAGATTATTTCCAACATCAATGCTTGTGTCGCCGTGCAATCCACGATCAAGAGCACTCTCGGTCCGTATGGAGGGGACTTGTTGCTCGTCGACGGCAACGGCAGACAGACCATCACGAACGATGGAGCTACGGTGATGAAAGTGCGTGACTATCTATGAACCTGGGGACTTCTTTTTACCGTACTCCCTGAATAAAATTTTTTTTGACAAATCCATGGGTTGGCTCTGATTGTGGTACACGTCTAGCTCCTCGATATCGTCCACCCCGCCGCCCGTATTCTCACGGACATTGCCCGCTCCCAAGACGCCGAAGTCGGTGATGGAACAACGTCGGTTGTTGTTTTGGCCGGCGAAATACTGAAGGAGGTCCGGGAATTGGTCGAACAGGGCGTTAGCGCACAAACCATCATCAAAGGTTTACGGAGGGGAAGTTCCATGGCCGTCAACAAGGTGAAGGAGATCTCAGTGGACATCATCCAGGCGACGGATAACGAGGAGAAGAAGGTGGAAACGCTACGACGATTGGCTGGAACCGCGATGAACAGCAAGCTTATCAAGCGCAACTCGGACTTCTTCACGAAGAGTAAGCTGGTCCCCTTTATTGTAGGGGAGCGAATACTGATATGGGATTGTCATTTAGTGGTTGTGGATGCTGTGATGTCGCTTGATCAGGATGATCTCAACGAGAAGTTGATCGGTGTCAAGAAGGTCACTGGTGGTGGTCTCCAGGAGTCTCTGTTTGTCAACGGTGTGGCGTTCAAGAAGACTTTCTCCTATGCCGGTTTCGAACAACAGCCCAAGTTCTTCAAGGACCCTAAGATTGTGTGCTTGAATGTGGAGCTTGAGTTGAAGAGCGAGAAGGATAATGCAGAGGTTCGCGTCGAACAGGTGTCCGAGTACCAGGCCATCGTGGATGCGGAATGGCAGATCATCTACAACAAGCTCGAGGCTATCTACAAGACGGGGGCCAAGGTTGTTCTCAGCAAGTTACCTATTGGCGATTTGGCTACGCAGTACGTCTTCTCCTCGGGGGAGGTTGAGTTTGGAATGTGTACAGGATGACGGGCTTGCTAACCACCCCGGATAGGTACTTTGCGGACCGTGACATTTTCTGCGCTGGCCGTGTCTCGTCGGATGACATGGACCGGGTGTGCCAGGCGACCGGTGCGGCGACGCAGTCGACGTGCAGCGACATCCACGACCGGCACTTGGGTACATGTGGCGCGTTCGAGGAGCGCCAGATCGGTGGGGAACGCTACAACCTCTTCTCCGAATGCCCGGGGGCCAAGACGTGTACACTTGTTTTGCGGGGTGGTGCGGAGCAGTTCATCGCCGAGGTTGAGCGGAGTCTGCACGACGCCATTATGATCGTTAAGCGCGCTCTGCGGAACACGACCATCGTGGCGGGCGGTGGTGCCTGCGAGATGGAGCTGTCGAGCTATCTGCACGGCTTTGCTGACCGCAACGTGCCTCACAAGCAGCAGGCGGTCGTCAAGGCGTTTGCCAAGGCCCTTGAGGTTATCCCCCGGCAGCTGTGCGACAATGCCGGATTCGACGCCACTGATATCCTGAACCGTCTCCGGGTCGAGCACCGCAATGGCAACGTGTGGGCTGGTGTGGACTTTGACCACGAGGGTGTCCGGGATAACATGGCGGCGTTTGTGTGGGAGCCCAGTCTGGTCAAGGTCAATGCCATCCAGGCCGCTGTCGAGGCCGCCTGCCTGATCCTGAGCGTGGATGAGACGATTAGTGAGTTCAACCCTGCCCGTGTGCACACCGATGGATAGGTCCGCTAACGTGAAATCCCTGGTACAGAGAACGAGGAATCATCCCAGCCTCAAGCACCAACCCGGGGTCTCCCGCCGGGTGCGGCGCAACGGGCTCTTGGAGGTGGCCGAGGACGTGGCATGCCTCGGAGAGGTCGGTAGAGGATATAGAGTGCAATATGACGGATGGGAAGTTAGAAAATAGTCATAAAAAAGCAACTAACTAGTACAATCAATCTGTTTGAATGACTGGTCGACATTTTTATTACAATCTATTATTATTTTACTGTGTATCCTGGTTGTTGGTGTGACCCTGAGATCCCCCTACTAGTCCATATTTGGGCTTATGTAACAGAGTAACATTGAGATATTTAGAAGATCGATATGGCTTCTAGAACAACCTTTGACATTTTTAAAGGGGCTGCAGGTTATCAGAAAGAAAGAAAAATCTGCACGTTCATAGCCCCGGAAATGGATGATCTCCACTTGAGGTAATGATGTTACGTCAAGTAAGGCTGAGCAAAACAGAGACTCCTCTGAAAAGTGTAAACAAATAAACAAATTAATTGCCAAAAGGAACGATTCCGAAGATCTCCGGATGGTCGCTGGTTGGTTCATACTAATATTCATTGCCCAAAGACGCTGACTTTACCGGATTCGGAGGAGTGTGGCCTGGGCTGGCTGAAAATGTGCATGCAGTCGGAACGACCGACAGATTTTCAGAATTTTCTGATCGTTGATATCAAATTGTTTATAAATATTCACATAGATAGATAATACATACTTGAGATATATAGGAAAGTATTCCAGACGAACAACCATCACTACCTATTTACGGAGTACGTTTTAGAGAGATCGAGATGGAAAAATAATACCCGAACCCAATCGCCTTTCTCCACATGATCTCGGCGATTTCGTAGGCTTCCTCGTCCTCTCTTTCGTTCGTTTTTCTATGCTGCCACAACCACAGTCCCTCTGTGCGTTGTTTCACCTTCTTCCAATTTACGCCCCCTTTCTTCCTATTTGGCTCTCATTTTCCCTCCCCCCACCACCGGAATGTCCTATTACCCCCCTTACTCGGGCCCGCCCGGTTACCCCCCGCATCAGCAACAGCAACAGCAACACCAGCAGTATTCCTATCCTCCGCCAAACTACGGTGCCCCACCATATCAGCAGTGAGTTCGATTGTGGTTCACTTTTCACATCGGAGAAGACGTTGCCAGGGCCTTTCAGCTGATTTGATTTGCTTCAGACCCATGCAGCACCACCATCAGTCCTCCTATGGCGGCGGCGGCGGGTATCCCGGCCAAGCCTATCGCCAACAACCGCCTCCCAACAGCCCCTACCCTTACGGTCAACCTTCTCCGCAGCCTTATCATGGATCGCAGCACCCTCAGAATGGCTATAATGTATGTATACTTGTGTTGATGTCGTGGTTCGTGGCTGGTGATCCATATGGTTGACCGATTTCCCCGTAGCCCCCCCCGCCGGGTTACGGCCAGGCGCCGCCGCCCAACGGAGGCCCCATGTACCAGGGACGACCCGGTATGAATCTCTCTTTCCCCCTTCCCCTGAACCTTTTGCGGTTGACTTTCTCCCTACACCGTGCTAATCACGCAGGGGTATAGTCAACGCTTATCAGAACCCCCAGGGTCAAGGTCGCCCTGCCCCTCCCCCCAGCGATCCGGTTGCCTTCGGTCATGGCGCTCCCCAGGGATATAACTTCCAGTATTCTCGCTGCACCGGCAAGAGAAAGGCTCTACTGATCGGCATCAACTATTTCAACCAGAAAGGCCAACTGCGTGGATGTATCAACGACGTCAAGAACATGTCCACATACCTCAACCAGAATTTCGGATATGCTCGTGAAGATATGGTCCTCTTAACGGATGATCAGCAAAACCCCATGAGTCAACCCACCAAGGCCAATATTCTGCGCGCCATGCATTGGCTGGTCAAGGATGCTCGGCCTAATGACTCTCTCTTTTTCCATTACTCGGGTAAGTGGGTCCCTCCTGTATGTCCTCCAAAGGTTAGTGAGATTGACAAGAAGTGCAGGCCACGGTGGCCAAACCCCCGATTTGGATGGAGATGAAGACGATGGGTACGATGAAGTTATCTACCCGGTTGATTTCCGCCAGGCGGGTCACATTGTTGACGATGAGATGCACCGGATCATGGTCAAGACGCTGCAGCCAGGTGTACGGCTGACAGCCATCTTTGACTCATGCCACTCGGGGTCCGCCCTGGACCTGCCCTATATCTACTCGACCCAGGGTATCCTCAAGGAGCCCAACTTGGCCAAGGAGGCAGGCCAGGGTCTTCTGGGTGTGGTGTCGGCCTACGCCCGTGGCGACATGGGCAGCATGATGTCAACGGCGGTCGGATTCCTCAAGAAGGCTACCAAGGGCGACGAAGTGTACGAGCGCAACAAGGTGACCAAGACCAGCCCGGCGGATGTCATCATGTGGTCAGGCAGCAAGGACGACCAGACAAGCCAAGACGCTCAGATCGCCGGCCAGGCTACGGGCGCCATGTCGTGGGCATTCATCTCCGCTCTCCGCAAGAACCCACAGCAGAGCTACGTGCAGTTGCTGAACAGCATCCGAGACGAGCTGGCCACCAAGTATACACAGAAGCCGCAGCTGAGCTGCAGCCACCCCTTGGGTAAGTGATTCCATGAAGTATTGTGGACCTGTTCCACTCGCTGACGGAATATAGATGTGAACTTGCTTTATGTGATGTAAATAGTTGGGGGTTCTGGCTGGGGTTATGGTTCGGATTGCACCGATTGCATTGGGATTGGGCTGAACGAAAGGTTTATTTTTTATTTATTATTATTTATTATGTTTTATTTTACTTTATTTTATTTATCTTTCACAGCATTGTTGTTTTGCTTTAGCCCTCGACAATTTTACTGTCATTCGCCTTTGGCTTATATAGAATAAGTCAGGTCCATGTTGCTCAGCGACGGGACTCCAGCACAGGAGTAGCATAAATAACGAGTGTAAACTTAAACTTGCCCAATATTACTTTTGTAGAAGCATTTACAGAGCAGATAAGGTATATAAAGAGGCACCACTCTTTCTACTTACTATCATATACTATTCGATTTTCATGTTATCCTATTTTTTTGCTCCACGATGGAATCACGTGGGTATATGCCTTCAAAGGGCGACTTCGGCTGAAACTTCATGACTTGTATCCATTTGCCAACCCATCCCTTTTGTATATATACACTTTGTCGGTTTCCTATCATAGAGTATTCATATCTTAGAATAAGCTCTAATAGAGCAGCTTACATCGCCACAACACATGACCTCGTCAAACCCGTGAACTCCAATGAATCCCTCCGCGACTTCAGAGCTATACCATACTGTCTAATATCCAACCGACGTCTACCTTGCGTGTAGATCGACGATCAGGTCGTGTCTACATCGAAGGGGACATGGCTTGGGTCCACGCCTATGGTCCGTCCTGGGTACATGAAACCCCATATTTGCCTGAGGGATGGGAAGAAACCAGCAAGACTGGTGCACCGACGCTGAAACATGCCGCTATGAAGCAAACGCTCTCGAATCAGAGGAATCTTACCCCTGGATTGTTTGCCGATGTGCCATGGCCGATAGCGAGTTATCTATGGGATTGCCTTGGTCGAAGGTAAGTAACTTGAATTTCACTCAGGGTACGAAGAAGTGCCGCCATGTGCGGTGTCATAACTACGGAAGCTGATGCCATGGAAAATATCAAGCCGGAATCGGACGCTGTATATGTGGAAACTGTTCGCTACGGCTTATCCAGATGCATTTGCGCGGGTGGCCCAGTATCGCCTGATGAAGATCGGGAGTCTAAAGCTGTCCCTGAGGGACTACCTGGGTATGGTGAGGAGTGATTCCTTGAACTGGCGGGTGGTGTTGACTCTGGCGACTTCGTTTGCCAAGGTCCCTGAGCTGGTAGAGATCTCCAGGGTTAGGAACCTGGTTGCGCTGGAGATTTCCACCCCGCGGGAGGTCCAATCCGTTGTTGACGGCGATTCTGGGGACCTAGAGATGTCGGTGACAGCGTTGAGTGATCGGATTTTCCGCACGTGGAGTGAGCTGGCGCAGGGTGCTGGCGCTTTTGCACATCTTCGGGTGCTTAAGCTGTATTATCAGGAAGATCTGTCGAAGGGTGTATTGCAATATCTGATGGAATTTCCGTCGCTGCGATTTCTCATCGTCTACGAGTGTCCTGGCCTCTCTTCTATTGGCATGGATGAGGACTTGGACGGGTGGGAGGTGACTGCGGAGCCAGTCGTCTCGAAGGAGTGGCCCGTTATGTCACTCTATTCATCCTACCAGGCAAGTCTGGTAGCGGATATTGACGGCGAGCCATCTACCATCAACCTGATCTGTCCGATTTTGGACTTCCAGATTGGTCCCAGAACGGGTCCTTTGCCATCTAGGGAGCATGACCGAGCCAAAACCCTCTGTCTACGACGCAGAACCGAGCCCAGACCAGCCAGCAAGAAGCTCAAAACAATCCAGAAACCGTCTGGGCCACGGAAGCGGATGATGAAGGATCGTAGGGGCAAGGATATTGGCGAGAGCCTGAGGGAGTTTCTCTAGCTACTGTCTAGAACTCTTGCTGTACGGAGTACATACACAGGATGTACAGAGTATTCGGTAATTCTGGATGCCTTAGGATCACGGCAGACATATGACGCAGGGATGAAGGCCCTCCACGCGCTGATTGGCTGCTGGACGACCACCAACCAGACACGCCGATTCCCCCGCAGCTCGCTCTCCTCATTCCTCTCGTCTCTCTGCGATCCCAATCCTCTGCCAGTGATCGTGTATTGACTCTTGTCTTGTCCTTGTCATTGTTTTTATCCTACTCTATATTTGTCATTGCTGTTCTCCTTTTCCGTTCGGTCGAGGACCCCGTCCTCCAACTACCACCATGACAGATCACCGTGCAGGTGAAATGGCGGCAGACACTTCCAACGGGTCGGCTGGGGCATCACCTCGTACCAGCACCGACTCTCGCTCGTCCTCCGTGCGCAGTCAATCTCTCCGAGTCTCTCACGGCTCATCGAACCACCAACACCGTCACAGCTTGAGCGAAACGCTGCGCGGGGCACCGGGGTCCCCCCGCAGCCGACGACAGCCTTCGATCACCCAGTCAGCGATCCAGAGTCTGATTGACAACCCCCCAGCTCCGAATAACGCGAATCCCGCTTTTGTCGGTCGGGACTGGAGGGAAATTTCGATCGGGGAGCTGGTCAGCCCGGACGATTTGAAGTTTGTGGAGGTCGACACTGGAATTGAGCAGGCCACAAATGTGAGTGCGTGCGGATGTCTGGTCAGATAGAGAGCTGACTGGCGTTGTTATTTTTCGACAGGTCTTAATAGATACGGGGGCACCGGTGCTCTTGATTCGGGAAACTCCTGAGCACAAGTCGGTCGTGGGTACCTTTGACTACGCGGATCTAAATGCATACCTCTTACTCGCGGCCGGGGTGACGCGTCCGGACGAAGAATGGCTTGCCTCATACGAAGAGTTGGCCCGCAAGGCTCGAGAAGGAATCACGATACCGCTGCGGGATGTGAAGGATCTGGCGCGGAAAGAGCCGATGACGACACTCCCGGCTTCTGCCAACGTGATGACGGCGGTCGAAACGTTCGGTGGAGGCGTCCATCGCGTGGTGGTGGTGAACGACCATGATGGGAGTGAAGTGGTGGGAATCTTCAGTCAATACCGACTAGTCAAATTCCTGTGGGAGAATGGACGCAGTTTCCCGGTGATCGATCAGCTGTATCCACAGGCTCTGCGAGACTTGCAGATAGGATCTCACGAGGTGGTTGCAATCAAGTGCGCTCCACAAATCCTTGTTGGGAAGTCGATGGCTAACTGGGCGTAGTGGAGATAAACCTCTCAGTGAGGCGTTGGGCATTATGAATAACGAAGGAATCTCGTCCATTGCTGTGGTGGATAACCATTTCAACGTGGTGGGAAATATCTCTTCGACGGATGTCAAGGTATGTGGACATATATATACGTAAGATGTCCGGATGGAGACTGACGGTAGCAGCTTCTAACCCGCTCCTCCTCGCTTCCTCTGCTGCACAACACCTGCACCCACTTCATCTCAGTGATCCTATCGACGCGAGGCTTAATTGACGGCAAAGACTCATTCCCCGTTTTCCACGTGAATCCCAGCTCTACACTAGCGCATACTGTGGCCAAGGTGGTAGCCACCAAATCACACCGGTAAGTCTACCCGACCAGCAGCTAAGATAGGTCTACTTATACGGGGAAACTAGACTGTGGGTAACTGACCCCATGTCTCCGTCTTCGTCGGGGCCTCCCACCCCCTCACATTCCGCAGTCCATCTTCCCTCGCATTCCAACGCAACACAGCCACCGCCATCACCACCAACCACGACGATAAGCATGACGGGCAGCATTAATAGCCTGCCGACGGGATATTCGACGCTGGCACACCCGACCTCCCCAGCTACAATGGGACCGTCGATCCCGGCATCAGCCCTTCCGGGGGCCCGACTGTCGGGACGACTGGTGGGGGTGGTGAGCCTTACCGATATTTTGAACCTGCACGCTCGGGCGAGCGGATTACGGCCGGCGGATCCCGCGGACAGTCGTAGTCGACGACGACGAAGCAGTAGTTCTAGTTTGAGTGTGCGACGTAGTGGGGAGATTGGTCGGGAATTATTCGGACGGTAGTTGTTCCTTACTTTGTGATTAGAATATAATGGTTGACCATATCCTCCACATCCTGCAAATCCTATCCTACCCAGGAATACTAATAGCGGTATCTTCCGCCGACCAATAAATAGATAGTCTAAAACATGGGGAATGGGGGTAGGCGGCTAAGTACATAACTGGGTGGGTTGAGAGATCAGCAATAAAAATTAGCAATAGTTTAGGTTAATTAGTGGATGAACGCAGATAAGTGGGTACAGAACAAGCAGCAGCTATATAACTGGCCCACAGAACCAGATGTGGATAAACTGAGCAGATTCAAATAAGTGGAAGTCAATGTAATGAGCGATAAAGTGGATCGCACAGTAGACAGTAGATACCGGATAGGACAGGATAAAAGTGGATAAGCGGATTCGCAACCGTCTATTCTAAATGGACAGCGGATCCAAGAAGTCCTGACTGGACGAAAGATTAAATGGATATAAGACACCGGAACAAGCCATGACTGGACAAGATGGAGCATTAGTCTTCGGCATTCCCCGTGTATGCGAACTCTATAGCCGGATTGAACTTCGGTCGAAATGGCGGGGTTATGGATTCCAAGGATCAAGGTCTACTCATGTATTTGACAGGCTTGCTGGTGTCTAGTACTAGGTGGGAGAGTGGCGAGATTAATAATCCATTATATATATTATTAGAGGATGATTAATTACGGGCTGAAGACCAATATCTAATAATACAGATGTAGTTAGAAGATAGACTAATATACCTAACTACTGTATCCCTTGACTCGAGACAGAGAGACTGGAGTAGATACATCACTCAAGAAGGAAATTGAGAATGCAACCTACGTTATTTTAGTCCCCACAAGCATATGACGGGACGAACCAGATCTGTCCAGTTTCCCATTTTTACGGAATTGGTCAGATACTATTATTGGATACCTCTGTGAGCTACCTACCTAAACTTAAGTAGCTACAAGGTTGCTCTTAGGTTAATAAGTAGATCCTTGGTAATAGCCTACTGGATGTATCGCGAGTATCCAAGGGATACCCATTTTGGATGTCGAGTAACCTCTTGCTATTTCTAATACTATACTTTTACTTTAATATTACTTTACTATGCCTATCTATATAATGGTAGTTCTAATATAGACCATCCACAAGTATATAATATAATATTCAGCAATAAAGTAAGACGAGAGACTCCTACGTAGAGTCGAGGATCGACTACTCGGTGTTACAATACACACGTGGTACACTGTACAGTACGGTCGGCCCCACACAAGCTGCATGTAGATGGTCTGTGCGATGCATTGCACTGTGGATCAATCCCGTCACTTTGGTTTAAGTTTGCTTGCTCGCCAAGCCTGGTTCTTAGCTGGTTAGATTACTCTGTAGATATCTCAATCTATCTTTATTTTATTTATCTGTATATTCTTCTATTGTCTAGTCTCTGTAGTTTATATCTAATAGGTAAGAACAGTAAGTACTAGTTTGATTAATAATCACGTACTAATTTAACTAACTATTAACTGCGATTGTATCACATATAAACTCTATCATGCTGTTTGCGGATCTTGGCACCGGATCCCCTGCAACCCTACCACCCCTGTACCAATCCCGGATCCTAACCTTCAAAACCCATGGAATCAAAGAAACATTCCAATTTTAAATTCTGTCCTCATTATTGTACAGTATACCCGACACCCTGAACCTGGAGCAAGAGCAGTAAACGCCAACGATCCCTGGGTATTGTCCTGACCCCATCCTCGACGCATCGCGTCATCCAAGAAATAGTAATCATCCAGACCAGAAGCAGAAGTAAAAGACAGTAAAATACAATACAGTCATGCCGTGATGGAAAATTCATCAAGTGTAACCAAATCATCGAATCTAAAATCCCCCTCGGCCAATTGTGGGGCATTGCCCAACCCAAATGCAAACTGGCTGAATTCGGCAAAATCGGGATCCAACCCTTCGTGCGAAAAAGATACACTGTCCCCATCCTTGCTCAGTGACTCCAACCCCATCGCCTCCGTGTTCCGGCTGCTGGACGTCGGCGAGTGAGGAGTACTGGGGCTGGGGCAGAGATCAGGCGTCGGCAGGGGTTCGGAGGGAGCTATCTCAACTTGGGGAGACGTCGTCCCTGAAGGAAACCCCTGGGGCTCTGATCGGACGCGAGTGTGCTGCGACATGGTCCGGGCCAAGGGGCCCGGACCCGCAGAGGCAGAGGCAGAGGCAGACGCAAGGGCATGCACCGGGATAACGGGTGCAGAGCCCATGCGATCTCGGAACGGATGTCGGGCAGGCGTCCCCATGTCACCTGCCCTGGTGGGGATCTGTTGGAACCCTCCCCAAGGGGAACGAAAGTGCGGCGGTCCGAGCGCCTGCGACTGCCATCCGGGGCCTGCATGGGCAGTGTGGGTGAGGTAGGATGGGATCTGACCCGTTGAGGCAGGGACCACCTCTGGATACGACGATGGTGTACTCCCGTCGTATGTGGGGGACATCATATAGCTCTGGGTTACCCCAACGGGGCTAGAGGCGGGACTAGCGTTCATGCCCTCGCAGAGGGAACCACGCATGCCGGACAGGTCTAGACTCATTTTGCGGATTCCGCCATTCATCGAGGCACGCGGTGTTAGGTTTGCGGCCCGACGCTGTTGGAGATTCTGGTGAGCCTGGTTGGGAGGGGGGCGGACGGCAAGGGCCGCGAGTACATGATGGTGAAATTGGTCTTGGATCTGCAGGTTCTGCGCCTGAAGCATGCGGTTGATCTTCTCCTGGTACCGATCATCCACTTCCTCATACATGGCCTCTTTCTCGACAATATCTCGGGTGATGAGGAGACCTTTCCCGGTCCGCTGCTTATGCAGAGCGGAAGCACGGTTGGCTGATTCTACCCGAGCATCTAGACTCCGGTCTTTGCGCCTCGAGGCGGCGATAAAGGCCCTGCGAGCTCAATCAGATTGGGGAGTTCTAGTAAAAGAGCTTTTTTATATTTTGGAAGCTCACCGTTCCTGGTTCTCTTCCCGCGTACGAGGATTAGGAGTGACCTCCAAATCAATCGATCGACAGGCCATTGTGGAAATTAAAAAAAAATAAGTAAATAAAATAAAATAAAATAAAATAAACGAAAAAGAAAGGAATAGAGAATATGCAACTGACAATAGGCCAGCCTAGTAGTAAAAACCCAAGAAGACTGTGGTCATTCCAGGTGCTGCTTGCCAAAGTATGGACAAGAAATCGAAAAGACGGACGAAACGACCGAAGGGAGAGAAGGGAGGGGGAGGAAGACGAAGAGATGTTAAATAAAAAGATAGGGCCAAAAGTGGATAGAGGAAGAGGAGGGGCATCCATCCGTACCGATCCATACAGACGTTGCACCCGCGGTAGTAGCTATCTTTCTTCTGCTGTCAGGCAGGGAAACCGACAGTGGCAGCTCGGGCGAGGCCTAGACTGGCCACCCATGGGGAAGTAAAAGAGTTAGAGCTGGCGCGGCGACTGGAAGGCCGGTCAAAGTCTGGCTGTGGTGGGATCCATGGTTCACGTTCGCCCAGACTTGCCTCACGACTGGATCCAAACGAACCGAGATTGGCCATGGATGGAGGGAGAAAGTGGACTGGGAGGTTCACGAACTACCATGGAGGACCGGGACCATTTTCCAGGACAAAAGGACGGCAATCTCAGGAAGCTGCAATTATCTCTGGATGAAGGGCTTCTTTTCTTGGGGATTTGTCCGACAGAGTGAAAATGGCCAAAAGGAGGCAGTTCGAATTTTACGTCGGTATTGTCGATGCCTAAGGTATCTAGGCTATAGTATAACTAGTGGTATTCGTAGTGGCAGTGGCACGTACCTCCATATTAACAGCAATAGAATAAGCCTTTCAATCCAAATACGTGTCTCAAATTGGCCAACCGTTGACCTTCAAAACCTATTCTTCGCCTAGGCAAGAGCATCTCTCAAAATCCGGGGAAATTAATGAAAGTTTCTTGACCCTCCTCTCGCCGGCTGATTGGCCTGCGGGACCTGCCCAGAAAGGAAAGTGCTGCTGATCGATCGCCGCACGAGCCATCCTGCATGGCCCCCCGGCTGACCGTACAGTACGGTATTTTTACCAGCGGGACCTGTGAGGATCGCGACGATCACTGTCGGGAGGGGGGGGGGGAGGTAATTCAAGGTTTAATTTGGTCTCGTATGCGATCGTCGATCGTATCTCGCATGACTCGGTCTTATCACAAGTACCTGGTAAATAGTACTTCCTAGTAGTACATTCTAAGTACCTACTGTACTAGGCCTGACTACACAGAAGTACCGATAGTGCCTGACCTGAAAGAAGTTTCGTTTTAAGTTTTTGCCACCCCTCCCGATCACGGATTTTGACGCTGCAACCTCCGGTGTCATTGTCTCGACGGTTCTTCCGATCAATTCCATCCCCAAAGGTAGATGGATTCTCACGGATAAATGGATGAACACGGAGTACGCATAAAAAGGAAAAGGTTGAATCACGCTGAAAAAAGTAAAACTCAACCCAAAAAATAAAACCCAGTCAAATCAGCCGAGATAAGAGAGTGGGATGGCTGGCATGACACGACACAACACGATTGCCAAGCATCTGAGAGACCCTGTCCCTGGAAGTTCTTTCAGGTACTGCGTTTTCTTCCCCGAGCCGACTCCCCCCCTACACAACCTTGGAAGCCAAGAGGTAGCAGTAAACCTTTAGACTTCCATAGTAGGGAGGGATAGAGCCACTAACCAGAGCATGGTTACTTCCATCCTATGGGAATCACCGTCTACTTGAATATTAGGCCCAGTTGCCGATAATGAACTTGGTTTAAGAAAGTAAAACCCACCCCACCCCCCACACTTCCCCGAGGTAAGGAACATAGGAGAACTCATCCCAGCCATAACCACCCTCGGCTGAATCCTATGCACAAAGTGTCTGTGAAGAAACTAGGAAGGATGTATTCTTCTTCCTAGTTTGGGTAGGAGCTGACTCAATTTTCGTCTCTCGATTCATATCAGGAGGTCTACAAGGCACTGGTAAGGATAAAGATACATACATACATACTAAGGAGTAGGTGGCCCACCCAGGAGAGTTTCATCCGACACATCCTTCTACGTTCCTGCAGAAGACTCCTCTGGAGGATTCAGACCGAGCGAGTTACCACCGATTAAGGTGCGCCCGAGATCCACCAGACAATCCCCTTATCACCGACTCGCCACCCATCATTCCCCGAAGTGGATTACGAGATGTGGCCAAGGCGGGTTCTAGCCATCTTCAGTTGGCCGATCGACTGAGTCCTACGGAGTAACTACTCCGTTGGAGCATTTCCTTGGCCGTTCTTTAGGCTATTATGTCTGCCTAGTACGGATAAATGCAGTATTCGGGGAGCCCAAACATAGGTCCTTACTACGTGGGCACCTAGGTAACTAGTAATAAATCAGTTTACAAAGCTGTATCAAATGTATCACGAAGCAAGCCCTAGGTACTGACGCCAAATGCAGTAAAGGTCCGAACGCCACAGAAACGCCACTCCGAGGAAAGACCAATATGGTGAAGGAGGCCGTGCCTGGCTCCTGTCAAGAACTCCGGTAACTTCTGCCCAGTGGCGGGTTGGGGTAGGGGGGGTACAATCCATTGGTTCGCAATCACCGCGGGGGGATGAGGTATCTCTCTCCTACCAGATCCTCGACAAGAAATCTATACTCTGTAGTTATACTCTGTAGGTAGGTATGGGTATACTCGGAATCAATGCAGGCACGACATCCTTCATCCAAGCACGTTTTTAGTGGAGTCTCTTATCCCTCGAAGAAAGAAACAGTTCACGCAAAAATTAAAGATTGAAGAAAAAAATTTCATCTCAAATCAGGTATACACAAAATGCAGGCTGTAGAGCTGGGACACACAGACCGTTAAGATAAGACAAGTGGGAATCGTAGTCAAATCATCCTCCCCTTGGTACGTACCTACCTACGCAATCCCTAGCGCAGGTACCATGCCCTGTTCCTCCTTCCGTTCACTGCCCATTCGGTACGACACCTTGAACCGCATCTTGATGGAGTTGCCCTTACCTGTATCAACTCCGTCCACTAGCATCTCCTGCTGCACCCCGTTCGTCTGATGCGCCCCAATCTCCCGCCCCGACTGCGGTCGTAGTTGCAGCGTGTAGGACTGTTCGGTTTTGTTAGCATGCTCCGTTTAGACCACCCTCAGAGTACACTCTTACCTTTTCGACTGCCACTTGGAAGTGAAGCTCGCTCAACGGCTGGGCAGTAGCGTTGGAGAACAAGGCCATCACATGAATCAATCGCGCCTGCTGCTGATGTCGTCGCACCACAAATTCAATCTTCAGCGACGAGTTCAGAACTTGTACCCGGTTCACGCTAGGCAGGGCGCTAGTCTCCGGCAACGACGATGCAAAATTCCACTCGTCGTCCTCCGCTCCCTTCGCATCGCCACTGGCCGCCCCCGTAGCAGGCGTCCCTATCAGGTCGAGGAGGGCAGAACCGGCTACTGCCGGCGTTGGACTTTGGGACGGGATCGGGCTAGCATGCCGGGGACTGGCCGAGACCAGCGAGGCGAAGGGATCGACCGCCGGGGGCGGTGTAGCCGTGGTGTTTTGAGGCTGTGATACCCCGGGCCCCGGCGACGGCGACGGTGAGATCGATTGCGATGCATTCAACGAAGACAGGATATTATAGCTGGGCCGGAGCGCTGCAGAGGCCTGTTGCACGGGTGGCGTGGCAGAAGCCGCGGGTGGGTTGGCTAGATTCGAAGGTTAGCAAATGCAGGCTCGGTCAGAGTTACTAGCAAACTCGTAGCGCTTACTCGGTCCCAGCGAGATTCCTCCTCCTAAGGGCACCGGCTCATCGATCGAAAGACCAAGCAAATCGTTCTCCAGGGAGTTACCACCTGGGGCCGTCCGGGAGGCACTGCCGTTGGAGCTGGGTTCCGGGTCGAAATCGATTAGAGACAACTCATTATTGGCGTTCTTGGAGACACCCGTCGTCGTGCCCAGCGTACCCTTGGGAATCCGCGATGCAGCTTCCAGGTCGCCTTTCTTGACCAGTTTGTACCGTTCAATGGTACGGTGTATGCTATCATTGATCTCCAACAGCTTGTTCACAGCCTCCGGATCGTCCGACTCTTCCTCGCACATCTTCTGGATTTTCGGATGTGCACTCTGCAGTGCATTGGCGAGTTCCTAGTTGCGGAATCCGTTAGCCGGGTTGAGTGCATCCTCCAGCCTGGGGTCCTACCTCGAATACGTCTCCTTCGGGGATCCGGTCTCCCCGCTTCTGACTCTGTAACATCTCCTCGAGGATCTTGGCCTTCTGTTGCACCTTGGCCACTTCTTCCGCGGCCTTGGCCCGGTAGTCGGTCTTGTGCCGGTTGTCGAAACCAGCCATTACCTTCATCAACCGGTTGGCTTCCTGTAGATCGGCCGGTGTACCTCTCCGGATAAGCTCCTGCAGTTTGGCCGATTGAGCCTCCCGCTCTTCCTCCTCCATCTCCTCTGCCGAGCGAAGGTTCTAGCCATGGTCAGTCGATTGCAATTGTAGTTGGGCGCGAGAGGAACGGGTCGAGACATACGTCGCTGGGATTTAAGACGGCGGCATCCTCAAGGCGAATTTCAGGAAAGACGTAACCCTTATAGAGAAGAAGACGATGCATATCGCGAATGAATCCCAGATCTTCCTTGTATCTCGATGTCTGACAGATAGTCTGTCTCCACTCCTCGATTGACTCTAGAATGCGATGCTGAACCCTTGTAGGGCGCAACGGTGGCCTCTCGGGAAATCGTCGCACCAACTCATTCAGGAATTCCTTGGTGCTGATTTGAAGATGGAAAGGATAGCCGCAGTTCTTGACGCAGATATCGAGCAGCTACCGTGGCATCGCGCATTAGCCAGCTTGCTGTGAGGGTCGTGGGGCCCGGAAACCACCTACCGCCAACGCCAGGATGGCAACATTCTGATTCCGCGAGTTGATCAAACGGACAATTTCGAGAGCAGCCTCGCGCGGACTATAGAGAACGGTAAGAATTGCGCCACCTCCTTCTCCGTCCAGGACCAGATCCGCGACTCACGCATTGCCTTTTTTAGAGTTGACCAAGTCCGCAACTTCGAGGTTCAGGGCGAGATTTGGTTCGTAGTGAGTAATATCACAGGCATTTCCTAATTCGATGTGACCGTGTTAGCCAATGTATTCACCCGAGGGTCCTGTCGGAGCATGCATTGCCCAACATACGAATAGCTCGCTGCAGAGGTGTCAAGCCTATGTCAGCGTAGACACCACCGTAGCGGTCCCTAGCTGCCATACGTGCTGATGCAGCCTCCAGGGTGACGGTGGAGGAAGGAAAAAGCAAAAAAAAAAAGTAGAAAGAATCAAAAAAGCCCAAAGTCCCGGAATGGGATCCAACAATGGCCGGTCAGAACTAGGACGAGACGGTCGATGACGATGGGAGAAGTTGGTTCGTGCTGATGTCAGTTAGGAGTGCCTTAAGTTGGTGGTTTAGTTTCCACGTGTGGCGGTTCCGTCGTCAACCTTCGCTGTGTTTGTTAGCTCTCTCTACCTTCACTCTCTCCGCGTCAATCGGCTCGAATTATTGCAGAGAGACGCTGGGTTTCATTTTTTACGACTTTATCCACCATGGTCCGACACAAAAAAGACAACTTCTCACGTGGAGGGAAAAAGTTCACCAACCCCCGCCCACACCCTGTACCCCGCGGCGCCGAAGCCGCTGCCTCCAAACCTCCCTTCAAGGCCGCCTGCTGGGATCTGGGCCACTGTGACCCCAAACGATGCTCGGGGAAGCGATTAATGCAGTTTGGATTGATGCGAGAGCTGTCCATTGGGCAACGATTTCCCGGGGTGATTGTCTCGTAAGTTTTCTTTTCTTTTTTTTTTAAAAAGTCCCGTCACGATCAAAAATCTTCTCACAGAGAACTCATGATGGTTACAGTCCAAATGCCAAAAAAATCCTGTCTCCTGCCGACCGCGAACTATTAGAACAATTCGGAGCAGCCGTGGTGGAATGTTCCTGGGTGAGGGTGAAAGAAGTGCCCTGGTCACGGATCGGAGGAAAATGCGAAAGACTCTGTATGACGGGACCCGTTGAAAAGAATACCTGTTCTATATGCTGATGGAGAACAGTACCGTATCTCATTGCAGCGAACACAGTCAATTACGGAAAACCCTGGCGACTGAACTGCGTGGAAGCAATCGCGGCCTGTTTCTGTATCTGTGGCCACGAAGACTGGGCTCGTGAAGCGCTTAAGCACTTTCCCTACGGCGAAGCATTTCTTGAAATCAACTCGCAGCTCCTGAAGCGGTACGCCGCCTGCGAGAATGAGGAAGACGTGAAACGGACGGAGGAGGAGTGGCTGGCTAAGATCGAGAAGGAATATGAAGATAGTCGCGCCGAAGAGGGCGCAGATGATATCTGGACCGTAGGGAATACTAATCGGAGAGCAGAGGATTCTGATTCAGATGAGGCGAAAGACGGCGACGAAGACGAAGATGACGATAGGAGCGATAAGAACGAAGACGAAGAGGGGGAAGAGGAAGAGGAGGAAAAAGACCCGTTTGCCATCTCGGACGACTCAGAAGACGAAGAGCAAATGGCCGAAATCCGTCGCAAAATCCTCAGTTCCAAATCCTTCCAAAATCCCTCTATTCCCGACAAGCCGCAGCCGGAGAAAATTGCACATCCGGATCCCAGGCCGATGGAGGATTCGGATGCCGAGTCCGGGTCTGCAGGGGAGAGTGACGACGAGGCTTTTGACAATATCATTAATGCGACGCCCGTGACAGATCGGACTGGAATTATCGCTGCGTCGCAGAAGAAGAAGCGGGAAACGTATACTGCATCGTTCTCCCGCACGACGATTGATGCTCCCAAGAGATGGTAGATGCCTTATTGTCATACGATATGATCGGTCGGCAAATGCTGTTCAGGGATGCAGGTTGATGTTGTATGAATGAATAATGCCAATCTGGTCATGTTCTACATGATTGATCTATCTAAATGAAGCCACGATATTCGGCCCTATTTCCATACTCCTATATAGTTTGTATTCTGTCACCTCTACGACGATCTAGTCACTGGACTATTAGTATTATTACTCTAATACACCTTAATCAACGCGCTGACTTCTTGTATTCTAAAAATATAAACAAAGAGCGTGGACAAGACACCTGATCGAGACAACCTCTACAGCCTTCCATAGTAACAAATAATAATACATACCATCGTATTCTTAAAATAGAATATAAGACAAAGCGACAACAGGAACCGATAAATTTTTAGATAGTCACTTAGTAGTCTTGATATTGTGCTACTGTACCATCATTCACATTCCAGGCCAAGAACAAACCACACATTGTACCATGACCCATGATTGCAGTCAAAATTCATCCTAAAGGTATTCTGATCAGTTCTTAGTTGGTTTATCTCAGTCCCACTACCAAGTTAGATAGTTATTCCCTGCATGGTCATGCGCCGCGAGAAAGAGTTAGTCACTCCCCGACTGATGGATCTGATAGAGTCACAAGCGTCACTAGGCTGACTTCTTTGACCTACTAGGTAGTACAGAGTACTTATTCCATTTTCATAGTGATTTATACATATGAGAAGAATTCCTCTCGGCCTTATCGTATCCTGATGGTTCGCCTGACTCTTCCTGAGGATAATGACTCAGGCCAAGTGTTGTTGCTGAGGTATCTATTCGGGGGGAATGTCTGCCTCGTGGCTTGGAGGGCTGCGATGATCACAGGCCTATACCGTAGTATGTATGGGTTCTTATAAGAATGTCTTATTGTGTTTTTTATTTTTTTTTTTTTTTAATTTTCTTCTTTTTTTTAAAAAAAAAAAAAAAATTGCATAATAAGCTAAAATACTGCATAATGAGACGCCCTACAATTATCAAAAGATCCGGCTCGTCCACTTCACGAATCAAAGATTCTCAAGTCATCAAGAAACTTGAGCGTCTGGGCGACCGGCCGAGGAAACGAGAATGGACCATGCTCAACCTGCTCCCATCTTTTCTATGGAGACAGCCATCAATGCGACCCGCCGACAACCAGCACCATACCGTGTGGCTGTTCGACAACACTGCATATCAACGCGTCACTCTCAAGACGCCCGGACAGAGTCGGTCGTGGCATGCCGAAGTCGTCGCATGTGTCTTCCGGAAGGATAGTCGCAAGGATATCAGTGCGATCGTGGCGACGATCGCGGACCTCATCGGTCTCGATGGCGAGGTAGGCACCGAGAGAGAAACCCGTCATCGAATGGCAGAAAGACTGCGACCATTCCTACATCACGTTGCATCAGCTCATTTGATGATGCTGGAAACTCCCCTGCCCAACAATACCACGTTGATACAGCAGATCGGGCCTACAGATAGTAACGGCATCACTAGCCAAGTCGTGACCACAGGGAGCCGGCAGATTACCGACGGGACATCGCTACAATCATCCCTTCGAGGTTGGGCCGGCAAGGTGTCAATGAACACAATCTTCGCAGGCCCAGAAGGTTGGCTCGTCATATCTGATATCGACGATACCATCAAGTATACCAAAACTTCCGAGTCGACTGGAATCCTGCGAACAACGTTCGCAGAGGAACCAACCCCCATTCCCGGAATGCCAGAGCTTTATTCTCACATCCACAGAGAGCTAGTCCCAGCGTGGTTCTATCTATCAGCGTCTCCTTACAATCTATATCCCTTCCTGCGGAGCTTCATCCATGCGCACTTCAAGCCTGGTACGTTGATCCTGCGGGATTCGTCCTGGTTGGACGTTAGCGAGTTAATCAAATCGTTCACCGTAAATACGATGGAATACAAAATGAGTCGTATCGACAAGATCCGACGCTGGTTCCCTCAACGACAGGTGCTCTGTATCGGTGACTCGACTCAAAAGGACCCGGAGGCTTACGCCGAAATCTATAGGAAACACCCGGATTGGATCAAGGTCATTTGGATCAGAAAAGTCACTGATATCCCCCACTTAGAGGAGCAAAATTCCCCGGAGAGATTCAAAGCGGCATTTCACGGTGTTCCAGACACTATATGGAGGGTATTTGAAGACCCCGACGAGATGGCGAGCCTGGTGGAAGGCCTTCGCCTCCATTCAAATCCCTATATCTCTCAGAAGGTGAAAAAAGTACTAAAAGGGCAAACAGAAAAATAAGCAAAAAATGGCAAAAAAAAAGAAAGATATAATAATACTTGGAGCTAGACGGGTTCGTCCTAGCGGCAAGTTACGTCAATCTGAGAGTATTTCGTCGTCATTGTGGATATTTACATCGCGCTGTTCTCGTTGGATGACCTATTCACCGCCAATTTATGCTAAATCGCCTTCTAGAATATGTTAAACTTCCATGTTGGCCTCTTTCTGGGCCTGTAATGCTTCATTAATCGGTTTTTCCCCGGCTCTTCTCTACGTTGGTCCGAATAATATTCATCGAGACGCCATGAAACCCGCAAAACAATACTCGACCACAATGGATGAGCAGACGTTCATTCCCGGAACTATGAGAGCACTCTATCACTGCCCGGCCTCGACGGCCAGGGACCTGGACCTCCCTCGAGTGGATTCGGAGATCGTGTTTGACTCTGACTTCCCGACTCCCAAACCGGCGCCGAATCAATATCTCATCAAAGTCCAGACAGCTGCGTTCTCTCATGACGAGTTACGACTAGTTCGGGAGCTAAATCCTTCGAAATCCATTCCCCATATTCCCCTGCATAATTTCTGTGGAACGGTCATCGGCACCCCTTCGGAAGACCTCTATAAGCCGGACGGCCCCAAATTCAAAGTCAGCGATGTTGTGTTCGGACTGATAAACCACATCCGCGATGGCGCTGCGGCCGATTATGTTGTCGCATCCGAAGACGAAATAGCCCTGAAACCGAAGAACATCAGCGCGGCAGAGGCAGCCACCATCCCTCTGCCTGCGCTCACGGCATGGCAAGCCCTCTTCATGTACTCACATCTGGACCCAACCAACGCCGATGACCCGCGCCGTGGCCTGCGTGTCCTGGTGACAAATGCTCACAGTAACCAGATAGGGACGCATATGGTCCAGTTTCTGCGGTCTCCCTCGCTGTTTCCATACTATCGACCATGGGTTTGTGCCACCTGCTCCGGCACTGCGCAGGAATATTTGCGGACCGAAGCCCTAGTCGACGAGGTCATTGACGCGCCTCTCCCCGTGTCACAGGAGTTCGATCTCCCGTCGTTGTTCCGCCAGAACCGCTGGGATCCAGTCGACATTGTCCTCGACTGCGCTGGCATGCAGACCTTCAAACAAGCCCACTCCCCTGAAGTAGTCAAAGACTACGGCGCCGTGCTAACGGCGGTCGACAGCAGTCCGGTGCATGGCCACACCCCGGAAGAAAATGCGCAGTGTCAAAAGAGGGGACTTCTGAGTCGATTCATCGCTGTGCAGCCGGACGGGAAAGCTCTGGGACGCATCGCCATGCTGGTTGAGGAGAACTCCGTTCGTGGCCGGGTCGAAACCATAACGGATTTCGTCAATGGGGCAGATGTCTTAGAGTCTGGTGCGGCGTGTGCCGGAGGGGGAAGACGGGGAGGAATGATGGTTTTCCGAGTAAATATTTAATCCTATTTTTACATTTTATTCCCTCTGTTCGTCTCTTTTCCCCCTTCTTTTAATTAGATAAATCTGCTTGTTCTATCAGCGCGGTGACTAGTACTTACTTATGCATGCAAGCAACGTTGTGGGGAATATCTGGATAATAATGGACATCTGTTTTTAGTTTAAACACAGGTATCCTCATAGAATTAGACGGGACTGTTAACAATATCTGATTGATGATACTCATGCATAATTAACAACAAGGTGGAAGATGAGGTTAAAAGGCGCTGTAGAAAGATTTAAGTGGAAAAAAGATCCCCCAACACAAAGTAACGAAATAAAATAAAAAATTCGGCTTAGAAGAGTAATCACAAGCGCAAGCCATACTGAACCCAGTATAATACACGCACACATATATAACGGGAATAGGAGAGGTTACGATAGGGCAAGGTAGGTTAAGATGGGAAGAGGAATAGAGATGTGGACAAGAAGAGGAAGGAGACGGCAAAGTCAAAGACAAAAGGCAGAAATACAAGCGAAGAAGGGAGAATAGAAGAAACATTGTATTTTATTAGAGGACAAAATGAAGGGATACCCGTAGACATGTTAAAAGAGAAGCAGAAAGGGGAACAAAAGTCATGAATTAAAAAAAGCTCTGCTCCCTCTTCTGCAGTGCTAGAATCGCCTCTTTTATTCTCTTTCACTCGTTATATCCCTTTTTTTTTGTCGTCTTTATTCGGTTTCTTATTTCCCAACCTATGTCTATGACGAGGCCCCAATCCAGTTGGGCTTCAGGAACAAGACTGACTGGCTTGAATTCAGATGAGAGGGCGAATCAAGGCTTGTTCGTTTCTTTTTCTCCTGTCTCTCTTTCTCTGATGGGCTCGGTTGATATTGAGCGAGGTCGATAACATGCCATGGCGCGCACTCTATGGAATATACTTGCCATTTCATTAGGATGCGAAAGAGCATGTAGGGAATGCTAGGTGGGTGATAGAACATAAGGACAAAACAAGCAGACAACAAACAGATTGATGGAGATCGGAAAGAAAGAACATTCCGTACAATAATAATGCATTGGACCGCATTCGGCGGTTAAGTTCATAGAATGTAACTCCGCCAAATCAATCAAAGTAGCCAAAACCTCTCGTGTCATTTGCGGAAGAGGGAAGAATTTTGTAGTAAAGTGAATGGATAGAGAAGGGAAATAGAGTGGCAGAAGAACTGTGAGATATGAAAACAGAGAACTCCTCTTTAGAGTAAGGAGTCAAGTCTAGTAAAAACGCTCAAACATGCTGCCACAATCTATATGTACACGCTGTTAGCCCCATCCAGAAACGATAACTGGTATGAAAGCACATACCTCCAATTGAAGCTCTTTATCCTTACACCGATTCACCTCGTCGTTGATCGCCTGGGCCAAGTTGGCGCCGATCGCCTGCGAGCCGCCCGGCCTCCGGGCAAACGGCCACTGGGAGTACTCCGCCAAGAGCTCATCCACCTGCGCAAAGGCCCTCTCTCGAGCCTCGTGGCTCATCGTGATGAGTGCGTTCTCCAGGACGTTGGCAGCATAGGCGGCGCAGACCATCGAGATTGAACGAAGGTAGCGGAACTCCGTGTCTTCGGGCAGCCACGTACTCGCGGGAATGATCACAGTTCGATTGCTGCAGATGTTGCGCACACGCCGGTGGATGTCATCCTTAGCACCCCCGTCGGCGACCGGGTGGGTGGCCATATCAAAGAGAAGGAAGTTGCGCTTCTCCGTTCGCAGGATGCCCTTGTCGACCAGACCTTTCGCAAGACGTTCGCGTACTTGCTTCAATTGGTAGCCGATCTTCATCAGATTCCAGGTTTCACCTGCATAGATGCGGAAACCCCGAAAATTAGCCTGGTTTGGGGGGAAAAAAATATGTCGATGGATCACATCCAACCGTACGTACCGCTCATCAGGTCGATCCAGGAATTTACGCTCATCTTCTCGCTCGACTTCATCATCTTCAATGCCTCGTCCAGCAAGACCTCCCCAGTCAGAGTGTCATCGATGACTTCGATCACCCGATCGGCCAAAGGGAACCGTCGGCGAGAGGAATCCTTCTGCATGCTGATGCGACCGCGGAGGGCCAATTCGATGACAATGCATCCACGTAAGGCGTAGGAAATGTTCTCATTCCAAAACGACAGATAACCCTATAGACGAGAGCACACCAGTCAGCGATCACGGACCACCAAACATAGATTTCAGAGCGAACACACTTGTTTGTCCTTCAACCCCAGCAACAGGACTTCCTCCATTAACGTCAGCTTGGGCTGCTTGCTTCGTTCTTCGGTTTCACTGATGTCTCTCGGGTCAAATGCGATCTTGTGGCCATTTTCGGTGTTGGTAAACGAGGTCTCCGGGACACGGTTGTCGAGAGAAGAGCCGTTTCGAGACATGGGCGACGAGACTTGGCTGTCGTCGTTCTCATCTCCGCCAGCGACTCGACCGCCACCTCTTCGGCGAGTCAAGCCCCCGGCTGAGGCCATGGGTAGATAAGGGATCTGAGACCGGAAGCGGGGAGGAAATATTCCAAGGAGGAGAAGGGTAGGAGAACGTCAAGAGATCGGAGGGGATTTATGCCGCTAGAGCCTGCGACATGGAATTTAGGAGGGGGAGGGGGCCACCGACGTGAGAAATTCACGGGTTAAACTAGGCACGAAAAGAAAAGTCTGGAGAGATAAAAAGAGACACGGATATCCCAACACGGAGAGGGTTGTAGAGCGGGAAATTGTCAGGGGGTGGTAAAGGAAGAGGGAAGAAGAAGAACCTCGTGAAATGAGAGAGACCGAGGGATTGATTGATGGAAGTGAGAAGAGGGGGGGGGCGACTAGGGGTTGGTCTCGACAGGGGATTACCGTAGAATGTCCAACTGATAGACAGCCAGGCAACCAGACAGACAGATCCAAGATGGACAAACAAACGGCGTCGTGAAGTCGGTCAATGGCCTGCGTCGAGAAAAACGAAGACGAAGATGGACTAAGGCTATCTGGTCTCTAGCGCTGTTCCGGTTACGGAACCTCAACAAGAGCCTTGTGGCACGCGTCCGTCCATGCATCTCCGTCTATTGATTCTCCTGAAAATGTACAGTTATATTACTACATAATCTGTCGTCAGTCCTATTCTCTGCATCACTCTCACTGATCTCGGTTCCATAACACATCCTCCTCGCCTTTCTTGTTCACGTCCATCGCTCCACCACAGCTACTAGAGCCCTCCCGTTCGAGACATGAATACTCGGTAGTAATCAATCTGAATCACTCGTAGAAATCCCAGAGTATACATTTCATCATACTACTATAACACGGATAGCTTCTTCCTCCTCCTCTTCATTCTCTCTCTTTCTCTTTTTCCAAAAATATCTAACCCCAAAATCAAGGTATACATTCCATCATCATCCAACAGGAACATACGCACAAACCACTCAGGAACCCAGTCAGGAAAGAAAACACTGCATTGAGATGATATACACGATATAGTAGGGTGGAAAAGCTCCGATATGGATCAGCATACAACGGAGCAACAAGGACGCCCGCATGGTCCTCGCGCGGAGCAGAGGCATGCCAACATCCCGTTCTTTTTCTATCTAACCTTCCAACCTATTTCCAAACACTCGTATTACGTACGTATTTAGTGGGCTACAGATACAACAGTCAGTTGTGGTTCTCCGCGATCACGTAGGAAGTACAATGTGGATGACTTACCATCGGGCTGAGCAAGGATGTACTCAACAGCCTTGTCAACTGTATCAAAGAAATAAGTATATGGTCCTCCACCATCCAGTAATCCAATCCGTATGGTATTAACTTACCACTGAGGATGCCGTCTGCCTCCTTGTCAGGGATCTCAATGCTGAATTCCTAGTTGGGGGAAATTCAACGTCAGCGAATTGTTCCGGTGATGACAAGAGGACTCGGGACCAGTGACATACCTCCTCAATCGCCATCACAACCTCCACAGTATCCAGGCTGTCCAGTCCAAGGTCATTCGTGAAGTGAGAGGCGCCGTTGATCTGTTGGATTCAAAACAGTAAAAAAATCCGGTTAGTGGACTACTTTTCCGAGGAGGCGAGCCGGAGCACCACTACGACTCCGGAAAGCGCAGAATCAACGAACCTTGCTGACATCGGAGACCTATTCATCATGATCCGTCATGGTCAGTTATCCAGATTCATATCTTGTCGGCAAAGCTGAGGGTATGGATGCGAATTCGACAAACCTTGTCAAAGTTCTTCAAGAGGTTGACTATCCGACCCTCGACCTCAGTCTTGTCGAGACCGGCAGGGGCGGAGTAGAGGCGAACACCCTGATAAGCAAACCGAGGAGCGAATTGAGCCGGACGAGCCACGGGGGAGCTACGGATCTGGAAAGCAGCCGGGGTCCTGACGGAACGAGGCATAGAAGCCCTCAACGAACGGACAATAGCGGAACGGAACATGATGGCGGAGAAGGAAAAGACGACACAAAGGCACAGCTGCTGAAAAACAACTTCGAATTGAGGACACAAGCGGGGGTGGGAGAGGGAAAGAGGACGAGCAAGAGGGAGTGAGAGGGATGCAGACGTGACGGAGGTCGAGATGGACAAGATTCTCTTTGCGGCTCGACGGCAGCAAAATCCTGCCGCCGGCCAATCAGCTGGCGGCAGAAAGGAATGACCTAAGCCGACCGACGAACACCCACGCAAAGCAGAGCAACTTCGACTTCCTCTCAGAGAACCTCACCAGTTCGTTGTTCCCCCCCTCGTTCATCCCCCCTCCAATCCCAATTGACTCTCCTCTCCCGATTCCCCTTCGCTTTCTTCCTTTCTCTCACAGCGATGGCCTCTTCTTCATCTTCCGTCGCGAGGCTAGTCGCCTACCGTCGGCCTACGCCGTCGATTTTGACCTCCTTCCGTCCTTTGGCCTCAACCGCAAGCTTCTCGTCCTCCGTGTGCCGGGCAGCCACCCCAGCTGGTCCTCCTCAACCGGGCTTCCGTTTGCCTCCGCCGAAGAAGTGGGATCAAGGCTCAGAGTCGTCCCTGGACAAAGCCAGCAAATATTTCCTCATGGCTGAAATGTGCCGTGGCATGTACGTCGTGCTGGAGCAGTTCTTCCGACCGCCGTAAGTTCTATATTTTCCCTCCCTCTAGCCCTGGTTTGGTTGTTCGATATCGCTGTCAATAGGACTGGATTTCGAATTGGGGTTCGTTGCGACGATCAAGACTATTGGACAGCCTGACTGATGTAATACCGTGTGATTCTAGATACACGATCTTCTACCCCTTCGAAAAGGGCCCCATCTCTCCCCGTTTCCGTGGTGAACACGCTCTGCGACGCTATCCCACTGGTGAAGAGCGATGCATCGCTTGCAAGCTCTGCGAAGCCATCTGCCCGGCCCAGGCGATCACCATCGAGGCCGAGGAACGTGAAGACGGAAGCCGTCGGACGACTCGGTATGATATCGATATGACTAAATGCATCTACTGTGGCTACTGCCAAGAGAGTTGCCCGGTCGATGCTATTGTCGAGAGTGAGTCGTGGATCTCTCTTTGTGAACGAAAGAGACCCTTAGACTAACTTATTACCTCTCACAGCCTCCAACGCCGAATATGCCACTGAGACCCGTGAAGAGCTGCTGTACAACAAGGAGAAACTCCTGGCCAATGGTGACAAGTGGGAGCCGGAAATCGCGGCGGCTGCCAGAGCCGATGCTCCTTACCGATAAAAAATATCAACTGCTTTGGATCAAGGACACTAATTTATACGGTGCCATGTTCTCACAATCCCAACAAATGTCTTCCATGGGATTGTTCAAAATCAAGAGAGGAAAAGGATATAACTTCCATTAAAAGATATCTGAATGTTTTGTCCTTACCGCCGTCAAAGATTTTATCTTCCCACTTGTATGTACATAACTAACGCTTAGCCTGCCTTATTACCACATGTACTCGTCGAGTTCGCGGGGAATTCTCATGTCTCTGGAATTCTGGCCTTGTCTTTTATTTATTATTATTTTTTTTTTTTGTCTTGATGTTGGAGGGAATCCTACCGGGCTTTGTTCATTTCTTTTATTTTGCTGGGAAATAAATCTAAGAGCCAAATTCATTTTCTTCTCCTTTGTTTCAGGCGCTGTGTCTGTTGTGAAGCATTGGTGAAAAATACCAAAGGGCATAAAACTAAAAGGCATAAAGTAACAAATCCTACAAACGGAGAACTATGTTTGACCTGGACATGTCCTTGATATTCGTATCAACAGGGAAATCGCTGCCTATGCACAAAATAAACACAGAACCCCCAATTAAAACCCCCAACACCAGATCTCCAGGTCCATCACTCCACAATTTTCGTGCTCTTTTCATTTTTACCCCTCTTTGGGATCCATTGTTGTTGTGCCCTATCGAGAGAGGAGAGCATGGAGAGAGGATACCTTCCTGATACGTACAGTATTACATCCTAATCAATCATCCAATCTCCTTCATTTCTTTTTACCGCCGACCTTGGTTTTGAGGCTTCCCTCAAATCCCGGTCTGGCTTTCTTCTTGCCTCCAGCGGTCTTTTTGCCGCCTCCTTTTTCTTCCCGTCGCTTGCGAAGATTATCTTCACGTTTCTGCTGCTTCACGTCTTTGCTTCTCTTCACGGCTTCAATCCGGTCCTTCCACTCCCGCTCGGATTTCTTTTTTGCGGACTCCTTCCGCTTCAAGGCCTTCTTGAGGAGTGAAGTGTCATCGCGAACTCGTTCTCCGTGGGCACGCTTCTTGGCATTCAGCCACATGTCTTTCTCCTCGATGTCGGCCCGCTTCTCCTCATCCAGGGTTTCGAGTCGAGCCTTCTTGGCCTCGGCTAACTTGAGAGCCGCGGCGGCGTCTTGAGGACCATGGCGCTTGTGTGCTTCCCGTGTGGTCGACAGGCTGGGGTCTGCGACCTGGCCATCTGCGAAGACAACACGGCCAAACGAAAAGTTGTTACTAGAGCTTATAGAGTCGGCCGGGGAGCGTGGCGATGCAAGGAGTGAACCCGAGCCGCCAGGGGAGAAGCGTCGGGCCATGGCTTCGTCATTTGCCCGTTGCTCTTCTTCCTTGGCCTTCTGTCGCAGCATCTTCTTATGAGCCTTGCGTTGCTCGGCCTTTTGTCGCCGGGCTTCAATCAGCTCTTGGCGGTTCCGAGCGGGCTTGCCATTCAGGCCGTCGGCATGACGAGCGGCACGTAGCTCATCGAGACGTTTCTGTAACCGCTGCTTGAGTTCTTCAGGTGTGGTCTTGAGAGGTTTGAGTTCGGAAGGGGCATTTTTGGATGCATCACTGGAATCGGCTGGGGGAACGATGGAAGATATAGAAGAACTGCCTGATTGGGGATTGGAAGTGTCAAAGTCCGGGGAGTTGGGCGATGACGAGGACAACTGCTCGGTCTGTTCTGGGTTGAACTCAAGCGAAAGGCCCTCGGCGACAGCGTCCTCTCCGTCATCACTATCACCAGCATCTAGGGAAGGCTTCTGGTCGTTACTTTTGCGATTGGCGGGCTTCGACTCTGGTGTTTGTACTGCTTCACCCACAGGTGTCTGACTTTCCTTGTTTGACTGGCCCAGTTTTTCCTTCTTGGCAGCTTCTTTGGCCTTTTTCTTCTCTTTTTGGTTCGCTTTTTTCTGTGCCTTCTTATCTTCCTTCAATTTCTCTCGAGCCTCGCCATCTTCGGTAGATTTGGCTGGAGTTTTATCCGCGCGGTTCAGCTCTCCAGATTGTTTTTGCTTTTTAAGGTTGGCATCGCCTCTCTGGAGTCCCTCTCTGGGAAGTTCCGAGCCTAAGTCTTCCGCATCAGAGGAGCCAGACTCATTCTGTGCTTCTTCCCTTTTGCGTTTCCGTGCATTCTCGTCCATGACATCCTTGGCTGTTTTGGCAGAATCTGGGTCCAGTTTCGCTCGTTTAGCTTCACGGGCTTCCTCTTTTGTCTGCTTTTTGCGTTGCCATTGGTCCTGTTAAAAGGAATTTGCGGTCAGCCAAGCCTAAGGGCAGAACCAGCGACGAGACCAGGGAAGACAGAAAAAGATGGTAAATTTTGCGCTAAGCAGGGGATAAAATCCATGGTATGCACATACACTCCCATCCTCTCCATAGTAATATTTTGCAGGGATCAACGACAGCAGACCATCGAACGCCTGGGCATGGCTTCGCAGCCGTTCCTAACGGGGGGAAAAAAAGCCGTCAATTTTTCAAGCCGTATATAGAACAATGCATGCAGCGACATACCTCAATATCATCCATCTTATGGTACCTGAATAAATCAGACTGTCCAGGTTCCAAATAATCCGTACAAATACTGTACCTGGACGTTGATGGGTCTTAGGGGGTTCAGACGATGTTGCAAGGCCGTGATACCTCGAAAAAATTGGGTGGGTGGTTTAAGCCTTGGCATCCAAATTCCTCCGCTCGGCTCTCACCGCCTGCACACACAGACAATATTTTTTGCTTATCAAACGCGGAGATAATCCATCGAAGTGGGATATCCCCGTTGTCGATATGTGACAGGTCAGGCCTCATTTAGCACGAACGATATGATAGGATAATTTAAAAGCTGAGTCCATTTTCACATTACTGTGAGGATTCACATTATGAAATTGACATTTCTAGGAATCTTTGATACCGATAGGTATACTTCGATCGACCGTCTTTTATGAATAGTTTCTATAATGTCTATACCTTCACTTACTATTCATGTTTCACTGTTCCTTTAACCTATAGTGCTGTATCTCAGGCCTTGGTCGCTTTAATATGGCAGTTTTCCTTTTATTCCAAAGCGACCAACAGGACTCATCCGAGCCATACTCTGAAGCGCCCATGAAATTAGTCCAACTTCAGATTGTATGTTGTCAGTCCCATGTTGATCGGGAATATCTAACAAATAAGTTATGTCTATAAATCTAGTACCGCGCATCAATTGATTCGCTCCCACTTTGTTTCATTCAGGCAGGCACATGAAATAAAGGCACTACACTTGGACATTTAACGCTGTCGGTTTATCCAAGTCGGGGCATCCCTCGCTCCTGATATCTGTGATATTGTCGTATGGAAACGGAAGGGTCCAGATCAAATCGTACCTGAAGCACATCACTTGATTAGTATCGGACGAACAACCCAAACACATCTACTGGAAGCCAAAGCAATGTCCGCTCTCACCGGTCTTCAGGATACTCAGGCGGATCCTCATAGCCCAGGTCTTTGACGATCTGTTTCATTTTCCCATGTCGCCAGGAAATCAAAATGTTGCCGGATCCCTCATAGTTTCTAACCTTCTTTCCAACGCAGTGGACCCGGTTCCGCTTGCAGGATGTATCGACGGAGAGTTTGAGGTCGGTCGCTAGTGGGAGGACGGTTTCGTAAGAGCGTCTATGTTCTCCCCCTGAGAGAATTAGTTGAGTGGTCAGCTGCGCTGTATAGGGTAGACATCATTAACCATGAGACGGTGGCTTTCGCCTTACTCGAATTGACTTTTGGCGCCATGATGTGCCCAATATTGTAGATTGAGTTTGCCCCAAATATATCTCGAATGCATTGGGCCCGTTCGATACCTTCTGCGCTCAACCCACTGTCTGTTGAGTCAAGAGGCTTCTCACCATGTCGAATGATATACACTGTTGGGTGTTCTGATGCAGATATCATGACATGAGAAATGGCAGCGAGAAGTAAGATGTATACAGAAGCATGGTAGGCCATGTTTATCTAGATTTCACATGCTGCGGTAACTTCGGGTTGGTAACAATGAGTATGAAAAACGTGGATAGAAGTCATGCTGGAGCAAAAAAATAGGAGGTCCTGCTTATAAAGTATCCAATAGTCCACCGACCTTCATCTATCTGCAACAGAGGTGTCAGGTATGACATGGTCATATGAATGCCGTTCTTTGCTAGTATAGGCTTGGGAAATCCCTCGGGCAGCTATGATATACAGCGCGATCAGCACCGCACCATCTACTTGGAGTATGTGATAGCCCAGCTATAATGGAGATCACAAGGTCCTCGAGACATGTGTGGACCAGACATGCAGGTCAGGAGTGTCCCGTTAACTTTCAAATATTCAAACTTGGGGTACATTAATCTAAAATGTAGCCAATCTTGAGCGAATTTCGCTCGGGGCATGCAAAGGTCAGATGATGATCTTAGTGTATGAACAAGAATTTAACTTGAACCGAAATATTAGCCTCTGTGGTGATTTAAGAATGTACCCTGGTAGGTATTTTGTTAATTTGTAAAATGGTCAATTGCCTTAAGTCCTATCAACATCACTGCTCTCCTGGTTGCGTATTGACCCACAGTTCGTACGTCGTCCGTAGATCCATGTGAGGGATTTAGCGGGATTTGAAATCAGCTACTAGCTGCCGGTGATAAGGATATATTACCCTGTAAAACCTAGCTACCAATATAATTGTTTTTTACGCAGAAATTGTCTCCTACAATATGAATCTCCGTCTGTTCTTTTCTATATAATTAAAATTCCAACAGCTTGTTTTATCTGGCTGTCTTTGAGATCGCTTCTTGCTTTTATTGCTTAGTGGATAGAAAAATTGGCAAGTATAATATTTGTAATCTATATATTTCACGTTTCAAGCGTTGGAATTGGAACTGCGCCACCGTTTAAACCAGCAACCAAATTGTATATTAATGAATGACTTTATATCAGATACTTTTGTCTCGATATATGCCCCACCGGGTTCTATTTAATGTCTACTCAAACCACAATTTTTGTGTTTCACTACCCACTAAAATCTACATTATTTCCCTCTCACTCAGGTGATACTTGGCGGGTTACCTGAAATGTTATCACCAGACTGGAGAACTCTAGGTAAAGTGGTGCAAACTGCCATAAAGAACTGGAAATAGGATATATTAGAACTGATTCCTACTTCGCAACTAGTGTTGGGTCTTCATTTAACCCAGAGCATTGTTTTAGCGAAAACAGACATACTGTAGTAGACCAAATACTTTTGATACTGGGAGGTCGTTCCCAGCCAACTTTCAACAAAGATAGATCTCCCTCCCCTGTTTACCTGGAGAGGATATACTGTCAATCTCCACGCATTATCACTGTCAAGAATGATGGATTTGATATGTTAGGAATCGGGGTTGTTCCAGTCCGGCCATACCATTGAGTAATTTATGGTAGGATAGTATGACACAACAAACCCATCCTACATCAATCAAAGTTAACATTCTACAATAAAGTTGCCTTGTTCACGACCAATTGTCTTTTTTTGGAGGAAGTCTCCGAATCCGAGAGAGCCAATCAATCTTACTCTGGATACTCCGAAGTAAAATCAGAAATTGGAAGTCCAGTAATAGACTCAGTAGTTAATTCGCCAGCTGTTTATTACTCCCCATAGCACTATGTACTCAGGGCCGTACTCCGTATTCACCCCTTATTACCAAGAAGCATTTTTGTGGAATCCATCTTGCATAGATGGGTTAGTAAAAACTAACAAAATAATGACCGACCCAGGGTTCGAACCTGGGATCCTTCGCGGGCGAAGCCTGTATTGAGCATGTAAAGCGAATGCCTTAACCACTGGGCCAGTCGGTCTTCATTGTAGGACCATAACCATTAGGCCATCCGGTCTCGTTCAATACTTAATCCACACCCAAGGCTGTCCTATAAATTACTTTGATATGCTAAGCACTTCTGTTTCGTAATGCTATACATTCTTACTTCGTACTTACGATTAATGTGGTGTGATGGCGCTGTTAATGTCTCTTTGGGATTGTAAGCTTATTAAATTAGGTGTTCTAGGAGGATTCTGTTACTGTAGAAGAAAAGCTTTCACTGGGAGAAAGTAGTCATTTTAACTCCATATGTCCACAGCAGCAGGGAGTAAATGAGAGGAGAATAGAAGAATACCGGAGAGCAGGATGGAAACCTTTAAAGAGGTCAAATTCCAGAGGCGAAGGCCTCTATAGCTGTAACATTTGAAGGGGTTATGTACTAAGAATAAAAACCATATTGATTTACTCTGTACAGGGCGACATATTGTTAGATTTGTTTGATTTTCTATTAATTTTGCAGCTCTAATTACTTTCCCAAGGGATGCAGGCCATACCCGTCTCCTCCGCTTACCGCCCTCTCCGGGGTTCTGCTACAGCTCAATTATAAACCATATTTCCATACGAACTGGCAGATTTTAAAGTGGAATGGTTCTACACACACTTAATAGATACTTTTGTAAACATTATATATATAATATAATACATATATATTATGTAAAGTAGTATGAAAATTTTATAACTACTAAGCAGTTTTTAAGATATGCGTATTTTTTTGACATTGCCTGATTTTTATTTCAGGCAGCAACTTAAAAAATAAAGAAAATAAAAATTCACAACTATATATTAAGTAACAGTGTGTTTATTATAGCTCTTTACAGTTAGTACTATAAATTGTTGTTGTTGTGTTATTCCACCTTAAAACTGCCAGTTTGTATGGGAAAATGGATTATAATTGAGCCGTAGCAGACCGGTGGAGGAAACGCGTAGTGAATAATGTTGAGGCAATTTCTCTATGATATTAGATTAGGTACTTCACTATTACGGCCCACGAAGAGCCCGAGTTTTTAGCAGTCGACTGTTTTTATGTCTCGATAATACTAACCTTCGAGAATGAGTCTTCGGTTTTTAACCATCAAAGTAAACAGCACCCTTCAGTATTCTAACCATCTTTTCTTGCCCTGGTATGAAACAACAAGGAATGTATGTATTCCATAATAGTGTGTGGATAAGGTTAGAATGCAAGACAAGATAATTTGGCTGCCTGCCAACCAGTAATACCGTGGTACTCCCTTGTATTGTCTGCTAACTAGTAGTATTACGAGGCACTAATTTGGATGGTGAAACCCTAACCGAAAATGGAAGATCTTGTGCAACAGGCCTGCATGAATTTAGCGATTAATAGTAAACAGTAGCCTCAAGGCTGGAGTCACGGAGTGTACTAGTACTTGGAATGATAATAATAGATGTTCGATGACGTTCGATCGCTTTTCCATAGGGCTGCTAATTGCAGAAGGGATGTACAGCCACAATTGTGGCAGTGTGGATTCAATATTGGATCTGTATTTGAAAAACTACTATTAATGTCAGCCGTACACATTAAGTTAGCGGTTTTATTTAATCACTGTAACTCTGGCACGCTAATCCAAGATGGTATATTTCAGCGTACTTGAAGGCGAGTACCTTGTCAGTTGTAATTTAGTCGCCCGTGGAGCAGATGATAGGCAGAGAGCTGTATTGGAGGTATGCCTAACGTTCCGGAAAAATCTTCTCAAAATATCCCTGATCGAGGCAAAATTCGAGTTGATCATCCATTTGGCGGGGTATGCATTTGATTGTATGTTGAATACAGCGAATACTCCATAGTCGTCAGTCCTGACCGGCACCAGGCAGCGGCCGCAGTAGTAGCACAGCCACCGCATTTTCTAGAAGTGGCGATGACTTCCCTGGACGCTGGGGTACTCCATACTAGGCTCCGTAATAGGCTCGTATACCATGAATCATACCCATTCCGAGCGCCAAAATGGCCATAATGCCCCCTGGGATGGTAATTAATTTGCATCCGGTGACAGTACGGTGACTACCTTTTGTATTATTGGTCGTCCAATACCCAGTGGAATCATACACAGCCTTGGCGAACGGGGTTTCCTTGACCATGGTGGGGTCCATCCTTCATCACTCAGCCCTGTAGCGCCAGATCACCTTATCGAGTGGCCAAACATTAGTTATAAAAGGACTAGGGCAACCCCATCACCAGCTTCTTTCATACATCTCCTGCCATCTCCAACTGATTCCCTCTTCTATTACCCTCAACCAACAAACTTCTTCACAATCATGTCTGGCTACGACCAATATAACCAAGGCTACTCCCACAACCAAGGCTATGGCCAGGGTGGATACCCCCCTCAAGGTGGCTACAATCAGCAGCAAGGGTACGGACAACCACAGGGTGGCTATGACCAAGGATACAACCGTGGCGGGAGCTCCGGTGACTACTACGGCGGTGGTGGCAGTGGTGGAAGCTCCAACGACTACTATGGTGGCCAGCAGCCACAGCACAGCCAGTACGGCCAACACGCCCAGTACGGCGGCCAGCAGCCTCACGGCCAGCAGAACTCCTACAACCAGTACGGGTATGGCATATCTCTCCCTCTTACCTATTGTGCTAGGCAGTGTTGCTAACCGTCTTACAGAGGAGGCGACCAACAACAGGCCCCTGGTGGTGCTCAGGAGGGTGAGCGTGGACTGGGTGGAGCACTTGCCGGTGGGTTAGCCGGCGGCTTCGCCGGCCACAAGGCCGATCACGGAATCCTCGGAACTATCGGTGGAGCGATTATGGGCAGTATCGCAGAGGATGCTATCAAGAAGCACAGGAACAAGGAGAAAGAGCAGGGCCCTCCTGAATACGGCAACTATGGTGGTGGTAGCGGCTACGGCGGTGCTCCCCCTTCGAACCAGGGTGGTGGTATGATGGATCAGTTGGGTAACTTCTTCAACAAGAGGTAGAACTGTTCATCGCGCCTGTCTTGATTTGTCGACGACTATGCCTTGCTTTTGCTATGCCTGAACTATTATTATCTTCTTAACGTTTCGTTCAGCTGGTTGGGGTTTGCATTAATGGTCGACTATTTCTATTGGTTTTGATTTCTTAAGCCACATTGATATGTTTATGGGACATTTCTCTTTGTTTTCTTTTTGCCTATTTTTGAATTTGAGCATTCGCAGTTCAGTGATCATGAAAGCTATGGATGTTACTGTCTTATGAAGAATATTCTCTCAATGATGACTGAAATTCAGAAACAACTGTTTTGCTTCCAAACAACCCTTGGCGGGGTAAAGTTGTAGAGTTTTTTGGTCAGCATCTTGGCTTTGACTAAATGACACCTTTCCATGCTTTGTCATCCTAGATATTTCATACGATTCATAAATTAAGACACAAAAGACAACTCTAGGCCCAGGGTCTTTTGAAGTACCCCAGTTTCCTTGACTGACTCTTTAAGTTACCATTTACCTGAATGTTTGGACAAAAAAGGTACGTACCGCCCACAGATCTCTAGACTAACTGTAAATGACTAGTGTATTTCACTTTATGCCTCAGGCAGAAAGAGACATGCCAAGCCCGACATCAAAGTTCGAGCAGAAAGATCTCTTTGGACAATTGCAGCCCATGATTATACCAACATAGCACAACATGATTGTTCGGCAACAGTGCATGCGGCAGAGTACGTTAAATTCCAATAAATGTACAGGTACAACCTTTGAAATAGCTTTATCGCTAATCCCTCCCTTGTATTAGGCCGCCAGTTTCTTGCCCTCAATCGGCAGTCTCACATCTTGAACAGGTTTTATTCGATTGAGACACCTGTGGATACATCAGCACAGATTCCTGTCGAAGAGCAGTCAGCTCAACTCGAAGGTTCTTTGTCGTCTACACCAACTCCAACATCTGTAAGGAGTGCAGCAAGAGAGGCTTTTCTAAAGCGTGAAGAACAAAGTGAGCTTGGCAGCTTTTATCTCCTTTCGAGTAACACAGATTTCAGAACATAGCAATTGATGTTATATGTGTTAAGGAAACAAGTTCCACAACCTTGGAAGCAAGGTGACGAATGCGTACCGCCCGGAGAGACTTATTGAGTCTCCACCCAAACCTTCCGATATCACTCTCGAACTGCTCCTCGCATCTCAGACACACCTTGGACACTCGACGTCTCGCTGGAACCCTCAGAACTCACGCTATATCTTTGGTATTCGCGATGGAATTCATATTATCTCTCTGGATGTGACCGCAGCTTACCTGCGACGTGCTGCTAAAGTTGTGGAAGAGGTTGCCGCTCGAGGTGGCTTGATTCTCTTTGTGGGCACGAGGAAAGGCCAAAAACGATATGTGGTTAGAGCCGCCGAGCTGGCTGGGGGATATCACATCTTTGAGCGATGGATCCCAGGCAGTTTGACGAACGGACAACAGATCCTTGGCCACTGTGAGACTAAGGTTGTCAATGCCTTGGATGAGGAGTTACCCGAATACAGGGAGGCTATGGAAGATCGCCCTGTCCTGAAGCCTGATCTTGTAGTTTGTTTGAACCCAGTCGAGAACGATGTCCTTCTACACGAGTGTGGAGTTCATAATGTTCCTACCATTGGTGTCATCGATACAGATGCCGACCCCACAAGCGTCACCTATCCAATTCCTTCCAACGATGATAGTTTGCGCGCAGTCGGTGTTATTGCTGGGATATTGGGAAGAGCCGGACATGAAGGCCAACAGAGGAGATTGGAGGTAGCAAAAAAGCATGGTCAACTCACATATGAGCGGCCGAACATCAGACTGGATGTAGGCAGCCAGAACCAGAAACCAGAAACCCCAGCAGACAGCCAGCAATGAGGTCTGTTAAGTGGGTGGGTTTTTCTATGTTTTGCTTTATCATTGTCTATGTCCAAGCCTTGAATAAGTTATGGAACTGTACTTTATAGAAGAGTGTAAATCTTTATTCGTCCCTGGTGTTACAATGTATTAACAATTTATTCGCATTGTTTTTTCGAATGTCTGGGATTATCTAGAACCTGTAGAGAGATGCACTACCTTATAATTTGCCTGAGGCCAGGAAAACTCAAGTCTTCCAGGCTATTCTCCTTTCTATCCTCAACCTAATCCCAAACAGCTATAATACTAGGAATTAAAGGACGCTCTGGGGATGATATTCTATCTGTTTTCAAACTTCTAATTTGATACCAGCTATCTTTGCGATATAGTTCAATCAAACCCCCTCTCTGCCCTCCCCCGGTCTCTTCCCCCCTGTTATACCACAGACAAGACTGCTATAACCCAGCAGTAGCACAATCACCCCATCCTTTTAACACCTAAGAGTGTACACGTTCCGTCCTCGAGAGTCCTTACCCTTGTACTGAACTATGTTGCCGACGTCGGAGATGACACGCCTCTCATCCCTTTTGTGGAGGGTGATGTCCAAATTCTTCCATGCAGGGACAAAACCGCTCTGTTCATCGCGAGAGAATCCAACAACGACTCGGTCGTCTGTTGAGCTATACCTGACAGTGTACCTTGAAATACTAGGGTTGCTTGAAATACCATCGTCTTCAAGCCAAGTAGTACTGAAGACATTGTTGTGCGAGCTACTACGAGGGGGGAAGATCTCGATACCTCTGTAGTCATCCAGTTCTTCCACTGCGACTGACGCTGAGGTGCCATCCCCAGGCACTCTGGTTTGGACGGACTGTCCAACGGGTATTGCACCACCGATTCTAGCCATCAGGGGAATGCTTGTCCTCCATTCAGAAGGTACCTCGACCCATTGCCCCGAAGCCAGATAGGTAAACGGAGTATTCATGTTCACGTACTCATAGTCGAACTGAGAGTTTGTCTTCCGGGGCAGGTACATCTTTCCAACGCTTACACCAGGCTCATAAACCCCTCCAACAAGGATGGTGTCACCAAACCAATACTGCTCTTCGCCTAACTTGAGCGTCTTCGTCCAGACTTCTGGGTCTGTTTCGTACCCCCAGCCAATCCAGCGCTGCGGAGATGAGGCTGTGAGATGGCTTTCTAGGCCAAGAGAGTAGATATATGGCAAAATTTCATATTGGCGCTTGATTGCGTCCCGGACTAGCGGTGTGATTTCGGGATACATCCATGGCTCGATGACTTCTCCTACCGAGTTGTTCTCTGGTGATGTTTTAAAGCAGTTTATAGCAAAACGTGGCGAATAGATACCCAACTGGATCCACCTAAGAAGTAACTCAGGAGAAGGTTGAGACCCTGAATATCACGAGTTATATTATCGGCCTTCGCGAAGTGTTAAGCGCAGCGAAGACATACCTTCGAATCCGCCAATGTCATGACCTGCGCACTAAGGTACGTCAGAAGGGCTCATGTTTATCTACTGAAAGAACATTCACTAAAACTCACCTGCAGAAGAGACATGCCCGTGTTTAGAGACAAAGCATTCGACCCCTTCATGCTCTCCCAACTTGTCATATTGTCACCACTCCAAGTGCTGGCTGCATACTTCATTGTCCCAGGGGTGGCACTTCGGGTCAAGACAAATGGTCGGTACTTGGGTTCTAAGCCGAGGAGAGCATCGTGGAAAGCTTTCCCCATGAGCTCAGTGTGCATTGCACGACTCCAGAGTCCAATAGTTTTGTCTTCATTCTGAGTCTTCGCGGCTTCACCAACAGTTGGCTCATCAAGCGCAGCCTGCCAGTCATCATTCGGGAGCGTGTATTCATTGTTATCGTTCCACATTCCGTCAATACCTGCTCGTTTTAGGCTCTGAACTCCATCATACCACCATCTGAAAGCAACAGCGGAGGTGAAATCAATGTGGCATTCGTCATCCCCCGTTCCGCCTCCAGCGCTCCACAGTCGCATGTACCCTGGTTTGTTGGTGCCCAGGTCTTTGAAGAACCCACCAGCATCGACGAGTTTTTTAGAGTCTGGATGAGAGGAAAGTAGAAAAGGCTTAATATTGGCCAGGAGACGGATTCCTCGCGAGTGATACTTTGTAATTCATTCCTCTGGGTTGGGGAATCGGTGTCGATTCCACGTAAACACGTTGCGTACCTTGGGCTCTGTATCCGCAATCGAATAGCCTGAGCTCATCTGATGGGCGAAGCATGGTATTCCATGCTCTTTCAACTTGTCTGCAAATTCCATGAGCACTTGATGTGCCGGTGGCTCATCCATCGCAGTATACTTGTATCCACCGGAGATGTACCCATACGCCCAGCGTGGAACAAGAAGCGGGAAGCCAACAAGTTCTGCATACGATCTCACTGTATCTTTGAGGGTCTTTCCGACGATCAAGTATTGTTCAAGACCACCGTGATCTTGACGGTAAACTTTGAAATGCCCCCAGAGGCCGTCCACTTCTGATCCAACAGACCAGGAGCCTCTGCCATGTGTCGTCGAAAAGATCGCCACGCACCCAATGGGAGTCGCTTTTATCAACAAAGGTATATGTTATAAAGGGGATCGGTGTTATAAACATCGTATCCGAAGCTGTCAGTTGCAGAAAGAAGGAAATGACGACCGGTGAGATCCATAGGAGCTCTGTTTTCACCCAGCCCAACGTGGAGAGCATCACGGGAATGTTCTGTATAGTTGGCGATGCCTGCTCCATCTGCAACATAAGAGCGCAAAGGTAGATCTCGATGCAGTACTTTGTTCTGGCCCTTCCAGGACAGTGAGACAACCGGAGTGTGTTCCCACTCTACTGAAGCTACCACATCTCCGACTTCAATGGTTTTATGAGAAGCACCGGCAGTCGTGGATATTTGACTTTTGTTTAAGCTTGATATCTGTCTCGATACATTCGGGTAGGGAGTGAGAGCATGGTCTTGAGAAGTGAAGGTGACCGGAACACGTTTTCATGGATTGGCTCGAATGAGAAGTCAAAATATCGTTCAGCTGTATTGCTCGAGCGGAGGTGAACTGCTGTATAGCTTGATCCTCCTTCGGGTGAGATTTCTTGATATCCTTTCGGACAGAACTCTTTCTGCGGCATGATTGCTCAATTGATCGCTGTTAGGGGATGAGGAAGAAGATTACACTGTCAACAGAGAAGACAGGCCTCCAAGCTTAAGAATGATGCCGTATTTGAATTATTTCTATCGTCATCTCCTGGACCCGGGGGAGTAGAGTTGTGCTTTACCTCTATGTACTGTAGAGTCGGATTTCGGGAGCCATCTCCGACACCCATTAACTACTTCTCCAGAACTAACTTCCCCAGCTTCTTATCTCCGCATCTTGTTCCCCCGCAAGGCTTAGCCCTTAATTCCAACAACAACAATTGTGATGGAAACAGTATCCACCGTCGGCTTTGGTGGCCGAAAGCCGATCCTAGATTTCTAGGACATCAACTAGTATCCCCACCTCAGCGTTCACGATAATGGCTCAATTGGATGATGCATCAGACGTTGTACGACATAGCTCATATCTTGTCCTGTGTCAGGTCTTCTTCGCTTCTTACTGGCAAGGACCATCAAACCCTTTAGCTCACGCCACTAATTGACTCTGCGTGATGGCATACATGGCCATCGGGCTTTGGGGTATCTCATCTGGGGTTGATAGTCTCTTGATTTCCCCACGGGGTTCTCCATAACTTTGCTAGTGGATCAATGCTGCCACTTAAAACACGTCTATATATCCAATTCTAACACACTGTGAGATCGTTTCTGGTTTCACTTTCGCTTCAAGCTAAACTAATTGATCTAAACCATACCCTTTTTATGGTTGTGAAAATTTCGAGATACCTTTTTCTCTTTAACGATAGAAACCAGCAGAGAGAAAACAGTGCGACGATGTCACAACAGGGGCAGGGCTTCTGTGGAAAACAAATTCAGGATGAACAAATTGAACATGGTCAAACGGAACCCATTCAGAATGTTTCGCAAAACGAGCATAAACAGGACAAAGCTCTTGAACTAATCGAGGATTTGGGGCATTCTACGGTGCTCACACCGGAAAATAATTCTAAGGTACTTCGAAAGATTGATCTTAGGCTTTTACCTATTCTTTTGGGGATCTACTTTCTGCAGCAACTGGACAAATCGACCCTTTCATATGCATCGGTTTTTGGATTGATTGAAGATGCCAACCTCAAAGGCCAACAATATTCATGGCTGGGGTCGATCGTTTACCTCGCACAGCTCGTTCCTCAGCCTATTTTGGCCTACATCTTGGTGAAAGTACCACTGGGGAAGTTTCCGGCATGTACAACTTTCCTCTGGGGCATCGCCGTAACGTGTATGACACCGGCAAACACGTTTAAGGGGTTGTTGGTTTGCCGACTGTTATTGGGACTTTTTGAGGCTGGAATCCGTGAGCTCTACCCCAAATCCCATAACATTGTATCTTTCTCTCCTGCTCACATCAAACTCGAAAAGCCCCGGCTTTCATTGCAATCACCCAAATGTGGTATCGTCAACTCGAGCAACCTATGAGACTTGGCTCATGGTATGCAATGAATGGTGTAGTGTATATGGTACGTTATTGCTCCTGGTACAAACTATTCACAGTTTTCATACTAACGTAGCTTTCTGTATGGGAAGTTTGGAAGCCTTATCACATATGGTCTGGGCCACATAGAATCCTCTGTCCTTAAGCCTTACCAGGTGAGGATGCATCCTACAGATCAAAATGTGCATATAATTTAAACTGACTATTGTGGTATACCAGATCATCTTTTTGTTCTTTGGTCTTATTACTACTGTATTTGCCTTCGTCGTGCTGTGAGTGGAAACTTTGGCTTATTTCCTGCTCTTCTAACGGTTGCACAGGATGTTCATGCTTGATTCGCCGGTGATCTCTAAGTTCCTCAATGAAGAAGATAAACTTGTGGCGATCGAGAGGTATAGCCATATAGGGTGTAGAAGCTTGGTCAACTGCTTACGGGATGATTTAGACTTCGGATGAACCAGCAAGGAATCGAAACCCACGAGTGGAGGTGGGATCATGTCAAGGAGGCTTGCCTTGATGTCAAATCTTTCTTTTGGTTCGCGCTGATGTTCTCCATCTCGTAAGTCCTCCGCAAAGCATTTGGTGTTTTCAAAGACGAGGCTTACAAGAATGCAGGATCCCTAGTGGCGATAAAGATTTTACGGATATATAATAGGGGTTGAGAATAGAAGTATCCGGGCTACTGTACAAGAATTAACTAAGGCTTTTTGCCCATGACGGAGCCTTGACTAAGCTAGAGATCTAACATAGAGTAACTGATACTGGCCAAGTCGATTGACAGAGTATAGCTGCAATCAAAGTTTGTCACACTCATTCATTGCCTTTGACATCAATGGGGCCTTCAGCAGAATCAAAATAAAAAACATAATAAAATAAGCCTTGATACCCAACTGCAGACCAAGAAATCATGATGAGCCGGAACCTCTAATCGGTAAACGCTAATGTTAAAAAATCTAACCAACTTTTCCCCTCATTCCTGTTGAATATGAACGAGCCATGGATATCAAAACAAAAACAAAACAAAAAAAAAAAGCTCATCAGAATCAAGAGACAATGTAAAGCAGCAAAGTCACATCTTGAGATGGACACATGTGTCCCACTTAACCTAAAGCTCTCATGGTAAGTTCGACCCTAGAACCCAGTATACATCAGTGTCCGCCCTCGATATAAGTTAGAAAAAGGAGATTGTTTGAACATACACCGCAAACGTTCCTGCCGACACGGGCATGGCTCTCAGAAGGGTCGGGCCCAGCCCCTTCCAGAAGCCACCGAATCCCTCTGCAGCGTAGGTCTTTTTGAAGCAATCCCTCATGCTCTTGAACTGCTGCTGGGTACCGAACTTATCACACTGCATCTTGCTTTTGACAACGTCGAACGGGTAGCTGCTCAGCCAGAGCGCCTCACCCGCCAGACCGCCGTAGGTGGCCACCTTGAGGCTGGAGATGTCCTCCCGCTTGATGTTGTTGCGCTTGGCATCCTGGTTCATCAGGTACTCAAAGGTCAGGAACCACATACCGTACGCCTGAGCCTCTCGGAGAATGGTCACCGCCTGACCACGGAAAAGACCACGGAATACCCCGCCCTGCGAAGAGAGCTTTTTGATGCAGTCAATCGGGCCATTGTATAACCTGCTCGCCCCGTGAGGCTGAGTTTGCAGGCGAATACGGACGTGTTCAATAGGCCCCGAGAGGACGGAGTTGGTGACACCCGCGAAACTTCCAGCCAAATAGTATTGCCCGTAGGAAAGCGTGCTGACGGCATATTTCTTCTTGTTCAGTTCCTCCAGACGTCTCCGAGCCTCATGGAAAGCGCCAAATTGTACACTGACCTGGTATGACGGTCAGTTTCCCCAATTGCCGTAATAATCATAGGGACTTCGAAGGTACACTTACGCAGGCACCAATTCCAATCAATGGGGTTAACGTGCCCTTGTAAAAAGCGAGAGGGCCTTCATTTTTGAGGATCTTGCTGGCACAATCCAAGGCATTGGAATATTGCGTGGTGGTTTGCAACCGCACCTTGACAATATCTGTGGTTGTTTAATAATTTCTCCCGTGCACTTAACTGACTAGTAGCTCTCTCCGCGGGGTCACTAACCAAACGGTTGTCCTGTGCGCTGGTTAGTACTGCTCTTGACCCCGTCTCTTGATTTGCATTGGAAAATAAATAGTATATCGTAGGGATCATGTTCATTCACAAACCCCGCCCGTTGCAGGGATTAACCAAGAGACTCTATGCGACATACCAAGTAGAACCTGCGCAATGCCACCAGCGGCACCAGCGCTCAAATCCTTGATTGTACGCAAGGCCCCGCCGCCCTTCTGCAAATCCTCAAAGGCCTCAGATTCCATGTTGACTTGATCTAAAGAGCAGGCTTCAATTGACCCGAGAGTATTAGGGATGAGAGCAGGAGAGAGAGCACGAGATGGACGGAATTGGCGACGACAATAACGTGCTTATCGGGGACCTTCAAATGATGGCCTCCGATTTGCACCCGATCCCGGGCGGGAAACCAAAGGTGACCGTACGGTTTGGTACGGTTTGGTACGGTTTGGTACCGGCTCGGCGAAGACGCTAGGCCCGTTCGGGGATGTTTCCCTTACAGGCCGGAATTTGGCCCCGAGGAAAACTGCTGACACAATGGAAGAAGATACCTGCATCCTCAGAGTCCTGCCCCAGTATGCACCGGCGGGTGGTTTTGGAGGTGAGTATCATCCCAATGACCCTGTCCTGTATGCGCTGTTGAAATGCCTGGTCTAATATCAAGCCAACCGCAGCTCTCCCGCCGCCATGGTGTCGACTGGTCTTGCGCGACCCGACACCGAGATGCAGCTTTTGCTCCGGTCCTAACCTACGTCCCCCGGCGGAGTTTTCGATCGTCTCTCATTTCTTTCGATTCCTCTGATTCTCCCTCTACAGTAGGGATAGGCGATCCTGGGGCTGGCTCTATTTCAGCTACGACACGCCCCAAATTCGGTGGTCGTTGGGGCGGCAAGCATGTGCAGGCATCTGCCGGCCTCAGTGCGGCAGAGCAGACCATGCGCGATACTTTGATAACAAAGGGTGCGGCAGAAGAGCAACGGCAACAGCAACAGCGACAGCAAAACCAACCGCATCATCACCTCCACCACTACCAACGTCGTCGGCATCAAAATCAACACGCTGAAGGACCACGCGGTGAAAGACACCGTCGTTTCGAGCCGGCCCCCGATGGGACGGGGATGTCAAGATGGCAGAAACAGGGGGAAGACCCCCTTCAGCCTGATAGACAGTTGGAAACAAATGTCGTGGAACTGCCAAGGCATCTTCGACGGGTTGACTGGATTTGCCCAGACTGTCAATATAACTGTTTTGGAAAACATTGTGTTTGTCCGCGCTGCAAGGCCGCTAGACCAGACCTCCATGCGCCTCCCCCCAGACGAGTTCCAAAGTCGGACAATACAATAGCAGTCCGTCATTTGGACTTACACCGGGCAGAGAAGGGCGGCAAAGGTGAAGATACATACTATGCTCGGAAACCGACAAAGTCGTTCGCTGAAGGGCTCTCCAAAATCGAGAAGGATCAATGGCACCGGCAAGAGCCCAAATCCAAATCTAAGAAGAAGAAGAAGGCGGATGAGAAATTGGCGGATCTGTCGTGGGATCCATCATCCCTGGAGCATATTACAGCTCCTACTGCTGTTCAGCGCGGAAAGGCGTCGAAACATAAGGATAGCCGCAAGCAAAGACAGTATGAGGTAGAAGAGGACGAGTTTGACGAGGACGAAGAGCGTCGTCGTCGTGAAGATCGCAAGCAGAAGAAGAGAGAGAAATCGCGACGAAAGGATGTCGAATCGGCCCCAAGCCCACTGTATCTCCCCGAGTTCATCAGTGTCAGCAACCTTGCTGATGTTATCGGCGTGCGTCCGGCATTATTCGTCCGGCGAATGGAGGAGATGGGATTCGAGGATGTTTCATATAGCCATGTCCTCGACGCTGAAACGGCAGGCCTAGTTGCAACCGAGTTTAACTTTGAGCCAATCTTTGACACTGGAACGGATGATCTGGCAGCTGCACCGGAGCCGGAAGACAAGTCCTTGCTACCGACCAGGCCGCCGGTGGTGACCATCATGGGCCATGTTGACCACGGTAAAACCACTATCCTCGACTGGCTTCGCAAGTCATCGGTGGCTGCGTCAGAGCATGGAGGCATTACGCAACATATTGGTGCTTTCTCCGTGGCTATGCCCTCGGGGAAGAAAATCACCTTCCTCGACACTCCTGGCCACGCGGCCTTTCTGGAGATGCGCCGGCGTGGTGCTGACGTGACCGACATTGTGGTCCTAGTGGTTGCTGCCGACGACAGTGTCAAGCCTCAGACCCTCGAGGCTATCAAGCATGCTACGGAGTCCAAGGTTCCCATCATCGTCGCCATCAGCAAGGTTGACAAGGAGAACGTCAACCTTGAACGGGTCAAGCAAGATCTTTCTGTCCACGGGGTCCATGTGGAAGACTACGGGGGTGATGTTCAGGCGATCGGGGTTAGTGGGAAAACTGGTCAGGGGATGCTGGAGCTCGAGGAAGCCATTGTCACTCTTTCAGAGGTGCTCGACCACCGGGCAGATGCTGATGGCAACGTGGAAGGGTGGGTGATCGAGGCCACGACCAAGAGCTATGGCCGCGTTGCCACCGCGCTTATCCGACGGGGCACGCTGCGGCCGGGGGATATTATCGTCGCTGGAAACACCTGGGCGCGTGTGCGTACTCTCCGAAATGAAGCCGGGACTGCAATCCCAGAAGCCACTCCAGGAATGCCAGTCGAGATCGACGGCTGGAGAGAGCAACCCTCAGCTGGCAGCGAGATCCTACAGACGGTTGACGAACAGCACGCCAAGGAGGTGGTTGAATACCGTCAGGATAAGCTGGAGACTCACAAATTAGGCCAAGACACGGTGGCCATCAACGAGGCTCGTCGTGAACTCCTGGAAAGACGGCGACAGGAAGGATCCCAAGGCGAACAACAAGGTCAAGAATCCCGTCAGGACGCGTCCGGTCCCCAACCCGTCCATTTCATCATCAAAGCCGACGTTGGAGGATCCGCAGAGGCTGTTTTAAACTCCGTGACGGCAATCGGCAACAATGAAGTCTACGCGCATGTGCTTCGTTCCGGAGTCGGACCTGTCGGGGAGTTCGACATCGAGCACGCAGCCACTGCCAACGGTCATGTCATCTCATTTAACATGCCCATCGACCCGGCCATGTTTCGGATGGCGGAAGCGCGAGGCGTGAGGATCATGGATTACAATATCATCTACAAGCTCATCGACGAAGTCAAGGCGACTTTGAGTGACAAGCTCGCTCCGTCGGTGTCCCACCGCGTCACCGGAGAAGCCGAGATTAGCCAGATCTTCGAAATCACCCTCAAAGGTCGGGAGAAGACTTCCATCGCTGGTTGTCGGGTTCGCAACGGAGTGATCAATCGAGCCCGGAAGGTCCGAGTCTTGAGAGGCCAGGAGACTATCTATGATGGTAAGTACCACTATCTCCTCTTATAGGGTAATTCGATTCACTTTTGCGAGACGACTAACGAGCTGTTTACCCAGGTTCGATTTCTTCTCTCAAAAACGTCAAGAAGGACGTGACCGAGATGCGCAAAGACACAGAGTGCGGGATTGGGTTTAATGACTGGAAGGGCTTTGCTGTCGGTGATCACATCCAATGTTACGAGGAGGTTTTTGAGAAGCGATATCTCTGATCTCCCTACGTTGGATTTTTGGGAGGGTTTCTCCTATTCTTGTAACATTATGCGGTTCCTAGGTGACCACTTTTTTCTCTTCGAACGGGTATACTCTGATAGATATCATTGGGAGTGGTGGGTTGGTTATAAAAAGGAGAGTGAAGGGAGAAATTTGGATCCTATCTATGTACAATACAATCATACCATCATATCGTAAAGCACACACAAACCCACTAAATATAAGGGTAGGATACCACTATTGTGCCTTCCACCTAACTCGACTCACCCACTTGGCCCAATCCTGAGCATCCTCCCTCTCCATGATGCGATCAACTGTATACCACTCACGAGCCAATTCCTCATTACTGGCCATGCGATGCACAAAGCTATGACACGCCCTACACAACCACGCCACACTATTCAACATCCACTTGTCATGCCACCCTTTCTTCAGCACCTTAGCATGCACCCCGCGCGGAATGAGATGATGATACGACAGCGGGATCCAGTCCCGTTCACAGATCTCACACGCCGATGACCGCGTCGTTGCCCACATCGGCGGTGGCTTTGTTACCCCAACCACATACTCGGTTATCACTCGGGCGAGAAAATCCGGCACGTCGCTGACGTCCGGGATGAGTCCGTATACGGAAAGCGAGTCGGCGACCGAAACGGGTAAAGTATCCAGCAGAGTCTGCGTTGGCACAGATGAGGTGTATCGATCGCTCAGAGTGGGAGTGTGTTGGACCAAGGAGTAGGAGATCGTTTGTAAGTCCCGAGGCAACGAGGTGAAGATCTCACTGGCTAGAAACTGCATTTTGTCGTCAATGTGGTTATATTAGTGTGCGGGACTATCGGTTTAAGGAAGTAGTATACTCTGTATACGATTGGATAGATGCAGATAGATAGATTTGGGCAGAAGTGAAGTCTGCTTGGATATATTTCCCATCCTGCCAGACCTCCCCTAAGGATAGTGTACATACGTCAGTGAAATCTGCCAGTTCCTCTGGATCAGTCCGAACGGGCAATGGAATTGTTGAGATTTGCTGCGAGAGTTCCAGGTCATCTTCCTTCACATTACGTCTGCCGACGGACTTGTGGGCTTTTCGTTTCGGCGTCTTGGTCGGTCGATGTACATTGGATTTCTCGACGATGGCACTCGACAGACATTCGCGAAAGATCGAATAGTTAGAATCGGCGGACTCGAACGATGTCATCGGTAGGTTTTCGTTTGGTCATGAGTGGAGGAGATAGTTAACTTGTTGACTACGAGGGTGCGCTGACATCATTCTACCAGAGGCTTGGCCGCTGAAATAGGAAAGGAATCTCCATCGATATCATTACTGTCAAGTATACTCGGTATAGATCGCTTCCCAACCAGGCAATGGGGACAATGCAAGACTCCTTCCTAAATTTCTTGCGAAGAGGGACGCTCCGTCCTTATTCGATTGATTGATGTGTACCACCAGAACACCACTGCAGAAATCCCGCCGGTTGCTCTCAACATGATCATGATTGACTGCCTACCGACCTACCGATACTATTCCAGTGTATGCCACAAAGCTGTAATCATTTTCTATCCTCTTCTAAGATCTGATTCACAATGAGTCGGCGACCAACGGTTCGACAACAAAAATTGAATCAGCAATCAACGACTCAACAAACAATGAGCCAACAAACAATAGTGGCTTTTGAACTCTACGGCACTCTTCTCTCGCCCAGCTCTCTGATCGAGGAGCTGAGCAAACATGTGCCGAATGCGTCAAAAGTCGCTAGAGCGTGGAGAGTCCGTCAGCTCGAATACACATGGAGACTGAGCAGCAAGGGTACGAATGTGCAGCCCCCACTGATGCTCCGAGCTGTTGTCGGCTGATACGAACTTCCTGTAGAATGCTACGTCCCTTTTAACGAGATCATCCGAAACGCTCTCATTCATACTCTCGACGAGATGGGCTACGGCATCAGACAGCCGGATTTGAAGAAGATACTCAGTGCTTACGACCACATGCCTACGTTTGAAGACGTGGACCAGACGTTGGATCAACTAGCCGAGATTGAAAACCTGGCACCGATAATCTTCACCGATGAGACTGAAGAAAGGGTCTCTAAGTCGGTTCTTCAACCCGTACTTCACGCGCCGCCTATGTCGCGGCAGACACCGAAACTCAAAGAGGTTATTTACGTGGACGGTTTGCTGAAGTACAAGCCGGCAGCCGAGGTCTACGACCACTTAGCACGAAGGGTTGGGAAGTCGCCCCTGCGGAGGAAAGAGATCTGGATAGTCAGTTCTGAGCCGGCCGACATAGTTGGAGCTCTCCACGCCGGCATGAAAGCCATCTGGGTTGATCGAGACAAGAAAGGGTGGAAGGACCGGGCTGCACCCCATCTGCACCCGTTCTACACGGTAGCTTCTCTGGAAGGAATCATAGTTCCCCTGCAACTAGCAGCATCATCACAAGGGCGCTATGATTAACGAATCCGATCTGACTGAATAATATTTCCACTGTACATTCCGGCTTGGATGAATTGGAGTGTTCGCTGTAAATATTTCCAAACGCTCCACGCAGGAAGAAGAATTTGGGGTAAGGCAGCAAGTTGGTCTGACCTTCTATTTCCCCTCCAGAATGATCCATGGGAGAATAAGGATCTCAGAGTGAATAAGAAGGTGTGATCAGTATGGAAGAGAAAAGAAAAAAAAATTTCGGCGCGGAAACGGGGAAATTTCATTCTTATAACGTGTTGCTGACCGCCCGCTTATCGATAGGGGGTCTTGGCGTTTTGTTTTGTGCCTCCAATGCTGTACTGTACCGTACTCGTACTGCCCGAGCTTCAAAGTTGATAATGTACATCCGTCCCCCGATAGTATCATCATCCATCATTCAGTCTCTAGGTCTTGCATCCATCCTGCACATAGCTTTTTGTCATTTGCTCAACCCCTCATTTTCATGTTGTAGTCCTCCGCCATCATGATGTCCAGGTCATGGGATCCCAGCAGATCTGCTTGGCTATATCCGTTCCGGGTCCGTCTCGATACTGCTGGCTGCCTGTTCGCCTTTGGTCATCGTCGCTGACGCTTTTCGCAGGGGATCTACTATTTTGCATCACATCGATACGTCTGGCCCTTGTTCCGAGCGCGACTCATCCCCCTCATCTTGCTGTCAACATTTATTTGCGTTCTTCTGTTCCTGTTCGCATACCTTCCGCAAGTGGCTTTTCTCGCCATCTTCCATGGCAAAGGTGCTTGGGTGAACGGGGCCTTTTTAGTTTTAGAAGAGGGAGCCGTGATTGTGGCGCTCCTCTTCGAGGCATTTTTCGTGGATGAGACACTAGTGGACATATTCGACGCTGTGCTGGTGCACGAGGGACAGGGCGAGCTGGTCGCCTCGTCCCGCGTGTTGTACCCCCAAGGCGATGATGTTGTAAAACGACTCGGCAAACCCACCCACAGCGCCGTCTACGCACCGTTTTCCCTGCGACAGGTGCTGGAGTTCATCTTCCTATTACCACTGAATTTTATCCCTGTGGCTGGTACGCCGATGTTTCTCGTGCTCACCGGGTATCGAGCGGGGCCTTTCCACCACTGGCGGTATTTCCAGCTGCTGGACCTCTCCAAACAACAGAGGAAGGAACGAATCCGACAACGACAGTTGCAGTACACCTCGTAAGTTTTTTTTTTTTTTTTTTTTCCTCCCCCCGGCACCGGGGACTTGATTTTTGACCATCAATGCAATCTACAGGTTTGGAACGGTGTCCCTGTTCTTTCAACTGGTCCCCATGCTGAACATTTTTACCCTGATGTCGACTGCGATTGGATCAGCGCTCTGGGCGGTGGATATTGAGAAAAGAAAAGGTTTCCTAGAAGCGACGCCGAACCAAGAAGGTGATTTTCATGATGACGATGATGGGATGGTCTGAGACCTTTTTTTTTGTTCTCCTTGCTGTGATTGCTATATATGAATAGATTAATGATCGTACTGTATATCCATCCCGTCAGTGTCATGCCTCCCTTTTCAGGCAGTCACCGTCTCTCCGCTGACGACGTGACACCCCACGCCATTGGGCGATTTTCCAATATCTTCTGCTTCTCTCACAGTGACTGCAAGAGTTAATCAACCAGATAGACCCTTCCAGGATTATTCTAGTGCTGGGGTATAGCAGGTGGTTGGTATGATTCCATAAAATGCGAACGATCTAGGCTTCGCTCCGAGACAAAGGACAGACACTTTTTAGGCTGGTTGCAACGTGAAGCATGGAAACGTTCGCCTATATCCGCATGGATAAAATGCCCCGGAAGTCTCTGTGTTGGTCTCTCACTTCTCAAGACTAGTGGAAGAAAGTTTGATTGCAGAGCTGCAAGATTGCGGTGCTAGAATCTATACGCCCGTGTGTGATATCACAGACCGATCACCAATTGAACGTGAGTTGTGCGAATCGCAGATACCTCCTATAAAGGGGTGCATTTAAATTTCCGCTGTGCTGAAGGTACCTATGCCTATGGGCTACGCTGAGGCTAAATGGGTCTGCGAGGCTATTCTCGACGAAACCCTCCACGGGTTCCCAGACCTGATTCGTCCCCTCGTGACACGCCGGGGTCAGATTGCTGGCTCGTCGAGGAGCGGCTATTGGAACACCGTAGAGCACCTGCCCTTCTTCATCAAGTCGGCCCAGTCCCTGCGCGCCCGGCCCGACCTGGACGGGGTCATGCAGTGGATGCCTGTACCTCAGTGCCTGATCTCGTATTGAATCCGAACGCGCCTCACCCCGTCTACACGTCGACAACCCCGTCGGCCAGCCTTTGAAGGACATGAACAGAGTCCTGGCCCACGCCCTTGGCATTCCAGAGTCGACAAGCTTTATCCCCTTGAAAGATTGGGTCAGGCGCATCAGGGCCTCGCCTCTCGAGTCCGAGACAGAGAATCCCGGCGCAAGACCAGGTATACCGGACTGGCTCGAGTCCAACTTTGAACGGATGGCCTGTGGGGGACTGATTTTGGATACCGAGCGGGCCCAGGAGCATAGCGGCACCATGGCAAGGGACGTCGGGCCTGTCAGTGCCGAGGTGGTGTCTAGGTTTCTGGATTATTGGAGGAAAGTGAGCTTTCTGCATTAATACTAACTACCTACCTACCTTGAACTCGTGTAGTTTTCTATGACCTTATATAGACATCTCCAGGCTTTTCTGCAAATCTAAATGAGGATTTTCTTAGGCGATGCTAGACATTCTTTAGGTAATGTTACAGATTACACCTAGCACGCCTAGGCACAACTAATAGACTAAAGTAAAACTACAAAAGTTCGGTCTGCCGGCTTACTTCTCGAGATTGTGAATCAAGCGATGAAATGACGAGACACCCCTACTACACTAGAAGGGTGGCTTTCCCAAAGCGCCGAGTTAAGGTTGGGAAGTGCGGGTAGCCATGTCTGGGAGAAACATCAGGGATGGCAACTAGAATAGTATTGATCAGTAAATTCAGTTTGCGTGCTATATGCGTCGAGCAATTTAGTAACATTAAAAAAGTACGTCCTATGTTTTTAGGGCGATTAGACTGCCAAAGCGTGGCTGCACTTTTGAATAAAAGTCAAGCTACTTCTAAGTAGTTGCATTAGAACAGAGTGCTAATTTAGATTCTAATTCTACAAGGTGAGTCCCTTTGTATGTGACTTACAGGTTCATCTTGAGAGAACCAGAAATGTGCGCCTTAATATAGAGATACCTAACCAATCTTGAATTTTCTGCGATCCATCAAAAGCGATAGGCAGAGACAAAAGCAGCCGGAGGCTATCGACGTGATAAAAACGCGACTGATCGCGTGCACAATAGCTGCTAGGACTTCCTGTTGCTGAGCGGGATTGAGTGTTTCCAATAGATCGCTCCCCGCGCCTGAGATTAAACTCTGAATCTGCACATTGTCCAGAGAGGGAAAAAGATGGCGAATCCCATTTTCGGCCAAGTTCAGAAAGATGGCGTTTGCGATGGACAGTGCGATGGCAAGCCCTCCTCCTCGAGCACACATAATGAATCCAACGGCGCTCGATATCTCCTGGGGTGGAGCAAGCCATTGTGCAACAGCAAATGGAGCATTTATAAACATGCCAGTGCCAATTCCATTGAGAACCATCGCTGCGTAAATAAATCCGTTTGAAGTAGATAGATCGATATTGTAGAGCATGCTGTTGGCGGCAATGACGAGGGCAGAACCGGCGACGTACCATGGCATGCTGTATCCCGATCTTGCCATGAGTTGGCCGTTTAACATGGTGAATGCCGCCAGTGAGCCGATAAATGGTAATAACCGTACACCTGCAAGTAGAGAACTGCTGTGTTGTACGAACTGAAAGTATAGCGGGATGAAATAGATGGTCACAAAGGACGACGTCCCCGCAGAGGCTCCCACCAAGAACTGTATCAAAAGGCCTCTGTGCTTTAGGAAATGAACCGGAAACATTCTGTGCTGCGGGTTTGACCAAACTTGGTGAATGCTTAGCGCAATAAACAGAACGCCCGAGACGCAGAACAAAGCTATGTCTTGGGCGCTGTTCCACGCAAAGGTTGCGCCGCCAAATGAGATTGCCATGAGCCCAGAGACATAAGCACCGATTACGAGAGTGTTTCCTATCCAGTCAACAGCTTTCATCCTGTCCCAGAACTTCACACCCGGCCGGAGATCACGGGACGGAAGCAAGAAAAAATACGCTGGAGCAAAGGCGCCTCCAATGCAAAGATTGATATAAAAGGCCCATCTCCAAGTTGTGGATGCATTGGAGGCAAAGGCTCCTCCAATCACAGGTCCTAGGCTGTAGCAAAGATGCCATGGTCAGTACTAATACTTTGTCTGTTCCCAGTCTCCGAAGAGAGGGCTACGGCACTCACACTGTGCCAAAACCGAATACCACACCGATTATGCCGATGTACTTCGGCCGTTCAAGAGGTGTAGTGAACAGGGACAGCAGCATCATCACTCCCAAGTACATTCCTCCGCCGCCAAGGCCAGCCAGAGCACGTCCGATAATGAGTGCATTCATGTTGGGCGCCGCCGCGCATACGGTCGAACCGATCTCGAAAATCACTACGCAGAGCACATAGATCCATTTTGGATTAAACTGGCTATATATTCGTCCCCTACGAATATTAGTAGTTTGTTGAAGGAACTCAACTGTACAGGTTCGAATTGGTGCAAAAACTTACCAGAGCAGATTAGTGCTGGCACCTGCGAGAAGAAATGACACCGATAGCCAAGGCAATTTATCGATTGACCCGAGCTCCGCGATGATGTTTGGCTGAACATCAGCGACAATCGTCTGATCCAGAGAGAATAAGAACACACTTGACAATATGGCAGCCACTATACGTGTATTATCAGGAACCGTATCGAACTTGGAGTTATGGAACTGATAATCCTATCTGAGCTTACCACCGAACACCCACTTCATGCCATGTATATCTCGTGGGGGAAGAGCAGATGATCCTAGCGGCAACGGTTGTATGCGATCCGACGACGACTTCACGGATTGGTTCGTGCTCGCTGCGTTGTTGGATGGCTGGTCCTCGTCGGGGTAAATCTCTAGGCATCGAGAGCTTTGTCGAGAATCGATGCAGCCATTCGCGGCCATTCGAGGCTGCAGTTCGATGTCGGTAACGCTGGTTTCCGACATTGTGTTGGATTGAGTTAAGGGAGATGTTAACTAGAGCGTGCTCGCAGAGGGGTTCGAGAGTAAGCCGAAAGTACTCTGTGGGCAGAGTTCAAGTACCCAGCTTGTATTCCGCGCCGCCCCATAAGCATATCCGCTCTCGGTGTTAATCCAGCTAACAGCGAGTACTCCGTAGCACATTGTACTGGGGATCCACTCTCGGAGTTAATCCAGCTAACAGCGAGTATATACTCCGTACTCCGTAGAACATTCTGGCGCCCGTCCTATGCATAGTACACTATTGCAGCGCGGCCAGGGTATTGGCCCTATGTGACCGCTGGTGTTGAAGGCATAGGTAAAACAGGATGTTTCGGGTGGCTCTCGGTCGTCCAAGTACACGTGTGGAAGATGAGTCATGGCCGAGAGTTTTATAACACCGCGGCGTAAGCACGGGAAATATGACATTGTCTTTGTGTTAGTAAGGCTACTTTCATTAATTAGGGCTAATTCAAAATAATAACATCCTAGGAGGAAGCTCCTATGTTAGTTATGAACTTTCTTTTCGTTCCGCTCAAAATCTAACACGCAACGTGCGACATCCAAAACTGTCTCTTCGAGACTTCGGAACTCCACTCCTAAGAGTTCTTTTCACTTTGGAATTATCAATGGAATATGCACCTGGAGGTAAGGAGCTTGTTCCAGGTTTGCCAAGCGGCGTGCGGTCACTCAGTTCGGGGAAGTGAAGTGGGATCTGAGAATATCGCAGATATCCTGGAAGCTGTACTGCCTGGCGCACAGTACAAACCGTTGATTTCCTGCCTCCGGAACAATCATAGCTCTGAATTGGGCATCTGCAAGATCCTACAGAATGTTGGTTAGATCAAAACAAGTATCAAGCAGGACGACTTACTCGGACGTCGACGCAAGTGTGTACAGGGATGTACGGCATGGAAGCATCCTTTGTCGAGCTGAAGCAAAGCTTCCACAACCGAGAATTTGATTCGTCCAGGTCGCTGATGCTTGTGATGGAGTGCCGCGAAGGACCAAAGGTCGCAGGCGGACATAACGTCACCAAGTCATAATGCGGCTGTTCTTCTTTCATAAACATCCATGCTATGTAGATGACATTGCCTTAGTACCGTATCTGCTAACAGCAACCAGAGCAATCAAAGTATCTTCTCGTTCCGCAAAAAGCTTACTAGCTCTGTAAGCTATCGACGGATCCCCGTGCACTGCCCTTCCCATGTAACCGGTTCCAATCTGCTTCCGTATAAAGCCTTGGTGGGTCCGAGACAAGGTTGTCGTAGTCAATCACACTGGCGCAGCTACCAGTCCAAATGACTCTCTTCACGTTAGGAGCATTGTCTTTCACGGCTTTGAGCAGGTTCAACGTCCCCTTGATTGCCGGCTCGAGGAACTGAAGATTGCTTCCCACGTTCCGGTACGTGAACGGAGATGCAGTATTATATACGGTGTCAAAAGGGGGGGGGGTTCCCTGTATCGCAGCGTGGTATGCTTCCGGTGCGACGATATCGGGGACGATTGTGATAGCTACCTGAGATTGCTGCGCGGCGAAGTCCCTCAAGATCTTATCGCCTTTTCTTGTGTTCTAACAGCACAGCAGACGGTGAAGCCGTGGTCAAGAAGCCGGGTTAGGATGTGGGATCCGATGAAGCCGTTGACCCCGGTGAGAAGGGCGCGACGCGCCATTTTGCTTGTCGGGAGGTGTGGGCTAATGGGTTCCCTTGTAGGAAGATGTAGAGGGAAAAGTATGGCCGAGGTTGGAGAGTGAGAAATGAAAATGTCTTGTCCGTGATGTGGTAAGCCGATTTAGTGGCATTAAAGAGAAAGGATCACTCTGCGTTGAGCTCCATCCATTAATATTATGGCGTGCGCATACTAGTGACATTATGAGCCAACAATCGGGTAAGGAGAATATACTGGGTCCCGGCCCCCCCACCTCTTTTCCCTGCAGACCCCACGCCACTATTTACACTTCCGTCTATTAGTGTCGGCCCCGATATAAGACGTGTTGATTGTAGGATTCACATTGCTCAATTTACTGTCACGTAGTTGTATTAGAATAAGTTATTGTGGGTCACCTGAGCTGGTAAGACCTGCTTATATATAATATAAGTCTAGCCCTAATACGGCAGTAGTGCGGTTAGGATAAAAGATAATACAGTATTAAAACAGGTGCTCCAGTATTCCCACTCAGCCTAACTGCACACAACACAAATATACTAATAAGATCTTCTATTTATAGTCTGGGTTTAATCCTTGCAAGTCTTATTAGAAACCCAACTGTGTGCAAAACCCTTATTAAGAAGGATAAGACAATTAGTGTAAACAAAAAGGTACTTATGTGATGGTTTGGTTGTCTCTGCGCTAGCAGAGGTAAAACCACTTGACCATATAATAGGTACAAGACGACTGATCTATCCCTATATAGGAGCGAAGGCCATGCCTGAACAATACATTGGGTTCAACTCTTGACAACTTATATTTCACCTATGATAGGCCCTGATGAGCTAGCTTCACCTCCATCAAATAGTGTTAAGCGCAGCTTACCAGCCAAGGTGTGTTGATCTTTACTACTGATAGGAGCCGGTTACTGTAGCTGGTCACATGTGATACATGTGATATGGGATAGAGATAAATACCTACTGGTCTATGGAGCATCCGGGGAACAGTGATCAGTTCTTGTACATAGGTGCTACCTATGTTTAGCGTACGAGTGCATGCAATACCCTATCGCTACTGCTATCTAGCCTTCCCACTGGTTTATCTGTGTTATTCTAGGCGCACCCCTTAACAATGGCATCTTAGTAGTGAATGTATGAACCTTTGCATGTGATCATTGCCTGACAGATATAAAAATGATCCGCTCAGAAAATTATTAAAAGATAAATTATCAATAAAATACTGTTATATATATAACTGATGTAATAGGAGACTTTGAAATGCCAGTGTTCTTGTAGATTGTCCTCCAAATATCGGGTTTGGTTTAGAGTATAAGCTGTCGTCTAGGCAACTCACATTCAGTCCTACCACTATGTAGGTAGCTAGAAGATGCATACGAGAAATGTGGACTGACAGTGCTAGACAGTCCAAATCTGTCTACGGAAGCTTAATTAAACTAAGCAAAACAGATGTACATTAGGTAGTATAACCACAAGCTACGCAGCGAGCAAATTAATCGTCAAACGTATATCAAAGCCACTCGCCCACAGCCCGTAAGCTCTCACATCGCACCGTCTCGTCTTTGTCGGCCATCAGCTCCATCACTCGCGCTTTCCCCCCGAGTATCTCCAGCTGATACCGTCGCTCGGGAAGCTCTTTCAGCAGGTGTCCAGCGTCGCAGCACGCGATTGCAAGAACCTGCTTGTCATTGTCTCAGTCCTTGGATATGATCTCGGTGAGTTTCTTTGGGAGAGCGTCGTTGGCATCGTCAAGGATTCGGCGCATTGTCTCTCCAGAATGTGGGATTTCGGTGAGGTGGCGACCACCGAACTAGCCCGATTGTGGCTCGGCTGCATACTGATCAAAAGGTCATCTGGGTCTTAATGTACTCCTCCAGCATGTCGGACAGGTATTTCAGGTCCTCCAGGAGGTCAGGGTCGGTCAGATGGCGGCCGGAGATGTTCGAGAGTAGGGCGGGGAGGCGGACAAACACCGCTAAAGAGAGCAGGGTCGTACAGTTGGAGGAAAGAAGATTCCGGGGAGTTGTGAGCAGAAGCAGAGAGGCTTTTCTTTAGGGGACAGACGGGGGAGGTACGAATACAGTTGGATAAACTCATATGGATGGATGCATTTAGCAGGGTCTCTAATTAATTTTCTTTATTTCTTCTTTCATATCTACAAATCAAACAGTCAAATACGCCGACACATACCCATACAAGTCATGAGTTAACCCACTGACAAAGAGAAATGGATGGACAAATAGAGCCGAGGACATAAATAAATGAGGGATAATAAATAATACGAATCGTAATAAAACAGACCATCCATCCACCATCCATCCATAAATTAATCAACCAATCAATCAATCAACGACATTGTCATCGGACCCAACACGGTGCTTTCAGTCATGACCATAGTCATAGTCTCCGTCTCCGTCTCCGTCTTCGTCACTATCCTGGTCTTCCACTCTGTCATGGTCTCGGTGATGGTGACAAACCCGGCGGGCGTGATCGGAACCACAGAGAGTAAATGCGGATCCGCAGCTACATCCGATGGTGGATGAGTATGAGACACAGCAGCTACACTGGGATTATGCGCTTTGGTTCCTTTCTCAACCGCCTCGTGCGTCGTCGCCGTGGTGGGATGGGATCCCTCTGCTGGGGTGGGATCGTGAATAACTATGACGACGGTCTTGATAGATGTGGATGTAGCGTGTACAGTTGAGATTGGCTCGGAGTCTGCTGGGATTGTAGTGGTATGGTGCATGGGAGGGAGACCAGGATGTTTGAGGATAGAAGAGGGATCCGATGGAGGTTTGTTGCCCTTAGGGGTGAAGGTGGTGTATATAGTAGAATCGTCGGGGGCGACTACCACAATTACGGGGTTCGACACGGTGATAGGGGGTGGTTTAGAGGTGGTACTGGTACTAGTAGTGGTGGGACTGTGAATAGGTATACCGTCTCCGATAAACGGTGCAGTTTTGTTGTCCGTTGGGGCGATATTTCTAGAGTCTGATGTATATTTCGGACTGACTGGTACTCCATCTCCAATTAAAGGTACTGGGGTCTGATGCGGTGGCGACTTGGACGTTGTCGTTTTGAAAACCGTGGGTTGGGTGGGTTTGCTGGAATCGTGGCCATTATTGGTATGTGAGGATGTTGTCTCCGATGGTGCTCGAGAGGGAGAACTGCTCGATTCAACCCCCGGTAGTAGTCCTATTGTGCCAACGGCCAAGCTGGAAGTCGTGGTAGACAACGGCGTTTTGGACGAAGAGGGAGTTATCGCGATGGTTCGCTCAGCCTTATGCGAATGAACCACCACCGACGAGGAAGAGTGAGACGAACGAGACGTCGAGGGGTGGTCTTGATCTGGCGTGAAATGCAGATGAACCGTTATACTTGAACCAAATGCAGCGTGAGAAGAAGATCCAGTTGGCCTCTCCTGGCGTGGAGTTGTTGGAGGAGACGACACAGACACCGTCGATCCCTCACTCGCATGAGCCATAGACAGGAGGCCAACGTCCGGTGAGCTTGAACTGGTCGACTTCGACGCCGGGATTGCAACGAAAGAGGGAGAACGCATGGTTGAAGTTGATCTTGGGAGTGCTCCATCCATGGAGGGGGTGATGGGGATCACGGTCAAGCCCTCACCGACATTGACAGACGCTTCTGCCTGGCGATTGTGCGGAACGAACGACGAGGGTTGAAGTCGCGGTGTTGAGTTTGATTCATATAGCTCCAAGTCCAAGTCCCTGATTTTGGGGACAGAAGCGATCGGGCCAGCCGAGCAGCGAAGGATGAGCAGATAGTGAACGAGAGTCCGATGTAATAATTGCATTGTGTCATGGAATGGCAGGAGGCACTAGAGAAAGCAAAAGGCGAGAGTTCAGACAAGCCAAGGAGAGACATGTCGCTATGAATATCGACGACTCATCATGACTGAGAGATTATAAAAATGAATAAAAAAAAAAGAAAAGAAAAGAAAAGAAAATCAGAAAGGAAAGATGCTCAAAGAATGAAAGACCCTCAAAGGAATAGTTGGATCGGAAGAAAGGCAGCCAGGGGAATATCCGGCCCTTATAAAGGTTCCAAGAACAGAAACAATAAGAAGCTTCTTTGACCTTCATCCTCGTCGAGTGGACCTTGAAAGAGAGAATGGTTGGCCATCGCAGGCATCACCAGGCGCGCGACACGCGAACGAGATGACACCGACCGGTTGATTGGCGCTGGCATCATCGCAGATGAAACACGACAGTCCAGGATCTCTGTGGCTATTCTGCACGAAATCATTCCTTTGCCAATGGTTTGTAGATTCGTTTAAATATGACACCGTGGCTGGGGTCTCAGGTCTGGTCATGGAGAAGGGTCTACTGAGTATAATTCTTAGGAATCCAGATCCATAATAACTTCATTGTTGCAGCTGAAGCCAGCCAACTAATTGACAAATGCCATTAATAGCCCCCGCACCCTGGCGGTTACAAATGAAAAATGCCCTTCACTTTCTAGCAACTCGGAATGGATGGCCGATCCCTTCAAAGGACTGAAACTTCCCATCGACATGCTTGGCATCTCCATAGTAATGCAGGCGATAGGTGCCGTCCTCGAGCGGCTGTGCGTTCCCTACATTGTAGAAATCATCCTCGATGTGCCACTGGATCGTGACCTCGCTGTGTCCCAGAATCAGGTTGGTTCTCTTCCAGCGGTAGACCAGGTTCCAGTCGTGGTCATTCCGCACGACCTCCCAGCTCTTGCCATCCGAACTCTGGCGTTCGACGGCGGCAAACGTCGACTCCAGACGGAGATTGTTCCGAGGATTCGCCCCGACAAATGTGGTGTTCACCACGTCGCCAGGGCCATAGGTGGCATCATCCGCTGACGAAACGACAGCTCCGAACGGCTGGTTGATCGGATGACCATCGTACACGACGGACGGGATGAACGTGAGTGATTTGTCGGTGTTGATCGGAGGCTGGATACCGGAAGGGATCGATGGTGCGGCGGCCGTATCACTCCCGAGATGTGGGAGATACGTGAGGGTGAGATTGACATAGGCCGCCAGCGTATGGGGTCCATAGAGGGTCGACGCTCCTTCGTAGCGCTGCACCTGGTACTCCTCCTCGGTCGCCACGTAGTGCGCGTAGCTGTTCGACGGCGCTCCCAAGACGACCAGCGGGTCCCGGACCGACAGCACGTCCCGGGCGGATTTCGCAATTGCCTCCTTCCAGCGCCGTCCGGACATGGTGGTCGCCTCGCTCGTCGAGATGATGATGAACAGTTGGCCCACGCGAAGGACCTGGATATCTAAAATATTCGGGTCCCACGTGTACGGCAGATGAAGAGCGCCCACGTCGAGGAGGACTTCTTTGGGGGCCTGGCATTCTTTCTGGGCCCGCGACGGCTCATGGATGAAGGCGCGCGCCACGTACCACAGAGGATTCTTGTCGGCCGGCCCCGTGCCGTTTTGAGTGAAGTCAAACATGCCGGGTCCGTCGGTGGTGCCACCAGCGAACGAGAACCCCAGGGCCGCCGAACAGGTCGACACCTCGCGGGCGTTGAACGGCGACACAAACGTGTAGCCGGACATATCCTGATACAGGTGGAACGAACGGACGTCGGAGCTGGGGCTCACGTGAACCGACTGGGACTCTAATTCATTGTACAGCTTACGCGCCGCATCGTACTGACGTCGGCCAATATCGAAGCAGCTTTTGGCGCCGTCATCTTTCTCGCGGAAATAGGGCCCGCGGCCGCGGCACTTCTCCATCGTGCCTCCACAGGTGCTGTCGGAGTAGCGGCATTCCTGCCCCGAACCATCTTCGCACCAGGCGCCCAAGGTGTTGGGGGAGGTGTCACCCACGTTCGATTGCGAAAACCCGGCGACAAAGTCATCGGCGAACTTGTCATCCCCCCGGACACTTCGTTCAAAGAGCCAGGCGGCGACTCCCTTGTTGTCCCCCGTCACCAGGGTATTATTGTTGTACATGGACGTGCCGTGGACGGGGAAGAATGACAGGACGGCGGTCGTCTTGTGGTCCGACTCCCGGTCAAACCGCAGCAGTGTCATCGTCTTGTCGACGTTGGCGGAGTATTTGGCCTTCTCCTCTTCAGGGTTGTGGTCGTACGAGTATGGACTCCGGTTAACGTTGGCGCCCTCGATGTCGATGGAGCCGAAGCGAAGACGCCCTGGGGCCAGGCTCTCATGGGCCCGCTTGATGGATAGCAGGACCCCATCCACGATGGCTTGGTAGCTTTGCTTATCGAAGCCTTTATTGGGAATCTGCGGTAAGAGGTAGTTCATCCAGGCCCCGGGCCCAGAGTGCGAGTGCGTGCCAGTGAGGGCCACATTGCTCTCGCCATAGCGCGCATAATCACCTCCCAAGCTGGCCAGGCCCTCGAGGACCCCATGGCGGATCGCCGTGTCGCCCGTTAGGGAGTCAATAATCAAGTAGATGAAAGTATCCTCGGGTTTCTCCGGGTTGGCGAAGATAAACGCCCGAGAAAAGATCCTCTGTCGTAGACCGGTCCCGATCTGATCCAGCATGGCGTAGCCACCGAACCCTACCTCGACTACGGGCCTGCCACACGAAGATTCGTTAACTCACTGACACATAGAATAACGGGGGGAAAGAGATTAATAAGTACCCGGTGATGTCCGCTTTCCCGGCTCCCAGCAGAAACAAGCCATCATCATTTGAGTCCAACGGGGCAGCCCTATCTTCCCAATGAGGTCGAGTATTGACGCTGAGCGGCTGCCGATGATTATCCGGGGCGATAGTCAATAGCAATAGTAATACAAGCAGAGCCACGAAGGCGCCAGCAAAGGCAGCATCTCGCCTGAGGTTCGCCATGCATACGGTAGAAGAGACGATCGACGGGTTGGATATCCGCAAGGGGCGGTCATACCCAGGGAAAGGGGGAAATACCCCGGGAAACTTATAGGTGCTCGAACGTGCATGAAAAGTGCCGGCGCATGACCGGGGAGAATGCAATATGCAAGGCGATTTGCAACTTCAAAGCGCTCCCTGTCTGGCAAACGAAGCGGAGGGTGACATCGTCTGGTGGACTAGCCTCGATCGGGTATCTCTTCAGCCCAGCCCCGCTGATGATCGCGAAGAGTTCAATCCTTCAAAGTGTGCATTTGACGTATCTGGCACGCGGCGACCGACAGGACAGAAAGCTTGTGACGGCTGAGGATACGGATTCCTCGGATCCCTTGATGGGTGGAGGATAATGTAGAGAGGGCCAGGTAGATGACCTGCATTTTGGACGGATTTTGATGAACATACAATCCAAATGGGGACAAAATAAACAATTCCACTATTGACTTAATTAGCCTTGGTGGAGCCACTATTCATTCATTATGGGGTACTCTATCGATGCTTGCTGTGTCACTCGGTACGACCGTGCATAGTATCGTAAGTAGTCTCAGTCAACTCCAGAATCTGATTTCGATCGTACAGCCTTAAATAAACTGGTAAATTCATATGGGATAGGAATTTGTAGTTTCAATGAGAGAGAAGTATACAAAGTGTGTTATGCATAACTATGCATCACGTGTTTGCTGAGTCACATTCTCACCGCCCGTCGGCAGAATCCACCGATTTCCGGCTTCTTTTCAGGTCTTTTTTGACTTCTGTAGCTTTCTATCCCAGTTGACCTGACTTTCACTGTCCCTTGTATATCGTCTCGCTGTCAATATGCCTCTTATCAACGAATCTCACGACTCCCTCCCATGTAGGTCAAACCCTCTCCCCCCAAGAATGGGATTCCTCGTCTTAACATTGGAGGTGGTTCTGTAGATATCGATGTTGAGCCATCCGCAGGAGCTCGCGCGCGGGCTGAAAAGTTGATCGTGGCAGAGCTTCCATCAGACTACTCGTCGTCCATCCATCCGGCTATTCCCGCATTCCCCGAACCCCGGTTTACCCCTCTCATGCAACAAGAGGTGGAACGGAAGGCGCGCGGATTTCCCTTGGTCGGTGGGATCGATCTCTCGCGATATGAGGCCCCCGAGCCCCCGACACGATCCTCGGATGCAGGATCCGAATCGACGCCGGATCTGGATGAGTGGCGCCAGACCTTACGGAGGGCATACACGGCCAGCTCCCATTTGTCCATGAGACATGAGAACCTGGCGCTGCTGGAGGAAAACGGCAAGAATGCGTGGCTGATTGGTAACTCTCAGCTGGAGGAGATCCTACGAGGTCTGGAGAAGGAATTAGTCCAGACCAAGGAAGCTGCGGAATTGGTCAACAAGCAACGGAAAATCGCCCAGGAGGCGAGCCAAGGAGAGCTGGCGGGGTTGGAGGATTCCTGGAGGAAAGGGGTGGGTGCGACTCTGGATGTGGAATTGGCTGCGGAGAATCTCCGGCTGCAAATCCTAGAGCAGAGACGTCATCTTGCACAGCAGCAATCCCGGTAGGGGGGCTTGTTCCATTGTTGGTTCGTTAGAACCCTGACTCTATCATAGCGTAGTGTCCAGCTAGGGGCCACCGAATGATCACCGAGGAAGCCCTTGGAGACTGGATGAAAACCCCCAGGAAACAATTCCCCATTCGGTAAGGTCGAGCTGTGTGGGAAAGCAGCAGTATCGCCTTGATGCTTCAATCAACACCAAGGATGATCCCCTGGGCGACGCAGCAATGCAGTTTGGCTCGTTGACACTTGCGCTAGCTGTTACCATTACGGGGAGGAGTCCTGTCCCTTTTGCTTTCCTGTTGCCATCGACCACATCTTGCTTCGGGCTGTCTATCTGAGGACGAGATGTTTGTAGTATTGCCTGTTCAGTCGACCTTCCATTGATGATTGATACCCTGCAATTCTTTTTTTCTCCTTTTTTCTGTCTTCTGCAGCGCTTGTACACTCAAAGCATCTGCGAACCATGAATACGAGCACCTCAGTAACAGTATATGATGTTCCCTCTTTGCAGCGTCGCTTTTAATTGACTTTTACTGTCATCGCCAGATATGCTGACTGGATCGACGATATAAATGTATTCTGAATTCGCAGCTGGGAGGCCTCTTCCCCGTCAAGATCTTTACATCACATTACAAGAGATAGAATAGATATCCTGCGGAACGATATCGTGTTAACAAATGTAGCACAAGTGCAGTCCTCGGCTACGGAGTACGGGTTTCCGCCTTCTTGCATGAAATCTTTATTTCCACCATATGTCCTAGTATCTACTCCGCATAGAAGCAATTCCAGAATAACCTTCCAACCCTCTCTCGGAGATAAGAGCCGGGGCTAGTCTAGTCTACCTTCGATCGACGGTTCCAGTCAACCATCTGCTTGCACAATCCCTCCATCGTAGTAATTGGTGCAGAGTAGCCGAGTCCCCCCTGTTCCGGAGCTAGGCGCGCGCGAGAATCGTCCGCGAAAGTGTGGACATTCGAGATGTAGAACAGCGCCGGTTGGAGTTCGGCCAGATCACCCGTCACCCCGGGAAGCCAGGGAAGATAGAGGTGTTGCAGGAGAGCGTACCCTTCCACCAGGTAGGACAGAAGGAGAAGGGGGACCCCCGGCACGCTCGAGAACACGACGGGGACCTTGCTGAGAGTGGCGAGGAGGAGATAGACATCGCCGAATGTAACGGCGGGGTTGGGATCCGTTACGACAAACGACTGGCCGCCAATGTTGGGCCATCGGGTAGGGTTCGCAGTGTGCTCGAGAAGCCGCTGTTCGTACAGAAGATGGGCAACGGAAACATTCTCCGCGTTGACGAAATTTTGGATGATCGGGTTGAGCCAGCTGGAGATTAAGTTAGGATGTGTTTCAGCCCGCGCGTCGAGAAAGGGAAAAGGGATGAAAGAGCCCGTACCTGAGTCCACCCCCAGATTGCAGATATTTTCCAGTGACCGCCGCATTGTCGTTGCCCACGCCATAAATTCCATTGGTAGGACGAATGCAGCCCGTGCGGAAGTTAGACGTCAGATCATCGGCCTCGCGGATGATATGCTCCGCTTCGGCTTTGGATGCGGCATAATTGGCGAAGAACTGGCCGTGTTCTTCGGGCAGCTCGTTCGAATCGCTCAGGACCTGCACCATGTTCTTGGGCATCTTCGTCCAGGGAGGGATCCAGAACAAGGGCCGACGGAGGCCGACAGAGCCCGACGATGTGGCGATCAGACAGCTGGCACCAGATTTCTTCGCAGCTTTCAAGATATTGACCGTCCCGCCCACATTCACGTTCCGGCAGAGAGGCAGGAAAGCCTTGTGTCGCTCTGCCGGTCTGATCACAGCCGCACTGTGGAACACGGTCAAGGGCCAGCCGGCGACGGGTTGGGGCCATAGTTTCGAGAAGGCATTGAGAACAGCACCTTCGTCCGTGATATTGGTGGGGACAAATGCCACTCCCTGGTCAAGGATCTCCTGCAAGGGCGCATGTAGGTCCAGAACACGGATCGCCTCAGGGTCCTCTCCGCGAGCCAGGAGGTGTCGCACCACCCAGTTGCCCACCAAGCCTGCGAGCGTGGTTAGCGATATCGTCCCTGTATTGCAACTCGAAAAGACGCTGTGCGGTAGGGCCTGGGAAACGCACCGGATCCACCCACGACAATGTAACGCCGGTGCTGTTTTGGAGGCAGACTCTTGCGCACGTCAGTCGGCGATATTTGCACTTTTTCATAAGCCGCCAGGATCTCTTTGACCGTCCAGCGACGGGGTGAGAGGCTATGCGCTTCTGCGGGAACCACTTTCATCCCACGGTTGACGTGATACAGGTAGAGAGCTCCTAAGCCCAGGAGGCAGACCAGAGGAAGCAGAAAAGCCATTGTCGCGGTGGTGTCCAATGTGAGAACGAACAGGAGCCAACAGCTATAACATAACACTTCTGGTGTTGACCACCGCTGGCGGGGAAAGAAATAAGGCCTGAGCGCCAGCGGGGATGGGAGTCATTGCTTCGACCGAAGCGACATGTGGCCAGCCGAGCGAGCGCAGTGAATGTAATCAGTCTCTCCCAGGAGGCATGTAACCCAGCAGCCAGGGAATGCATCATTGGAGCAGCATGGTTGCTAAACGAGGCCCGGATCTACTGCGCAGTAGTCTGTAGTCCCTGGCGAGGGGTGGTGGTTCTGGGACTACCTAGTTTAGTGACTTCGGTTAGAGAAGGGAGTTCCACCGAGAGGTCCACGTGGACCTCGCTACTGTGAAGCGATGCATGAGGTGTGAGAGGATGAGGTAATAGAGGAGAGAAAGGGAAGAAGACGAGGAAAAGATGAAGCCCCAAAGGGGTGGTGTGCTGCACGTGCCGCACGTAACTCTGAGTTGATCCCACAAAGAAATTCGACTTCAAGGATCAATCGTATATTCCAAAGGATGGAGCTACTGTGTATATGGATTGTACTCCCTTACGAGTCCACTGAGTGGGGACAGGTTAATTAAGCCGGCAGGCAGCTGTCGATGATTCGAGATATTATCCAGAGACTACTCTGTGATTGAGTTGTGATGGATCTCTCAACTCCAGATACGCATCTCTGGTGCGAGACCATCATGAGTTCATGACCTCTCACTCAATCTCCCCTTCTTCCTCCTGGAAATCCCCTCTCTCACCTAACACAAGCCTCGATCGGCAAACCGGCACGGGCGGCAACCCCGAACCGAGTCTCGCTCGCTGACTGGGTCACACCGTCGCTTGGCCTTGACACAGACGAGTGGAACAATGCCCGGTGGAGTCAGCGCTTAGCTATTAAGTATCTAGTAGTGGGGTAAGTCTCGGATATTCTCCCCAGCTGTGGAATGGAGAAAACTAAGTAAAGTGTGCTTCTTGCTTCTTGCAGAGTTAGGGCATCGCTTGCCATTCGACCCCGAAGTATAACACGTTTGTGATGTCTCCTGCAGACGAGACCAGCCTGTTAGGCACGATGGACAAGTGAGCAGGATAGCCCTCCAACATACTATGATGGGTGGGGTCCATCTGCCGACGATCTTATCTCCTCGGCCTGTGAAATTGAATTCCTTCTGATGCTGTCGCAAGCATGGTCCATGTCTACGGGCCGGGGATACCCCGTTCCAAGGAGCTTCAGGTTCGGGGAGAACCTGGTCTTTATGGGAGAGCATGGAGACGATAGGCCGGATCCAGTGCAATTCTATCACTCATCACAGCCACAGGCCGGCAGGAAGCACATCGTAAGAGTCATACTGGTAGAATATCATCTCGATCGAATATAACACTCTATACGGATGCCCCACCTGCCCAGCGTTTTTAATATTATTAAGAGCGCTAACCATCAGCCTGCAAATAAAAGTGACATTCTCCCAGATTGCTGTCTGGCCCATGTTTGGTTCTTGAGTTGATCTGGACCTCATTCTCTCTCTTTTCTTCGATCGCGGAATTTCCTCCGCTTGTTCCATCCCAGCTGGACCCACCCTTGTTCCATATAGCTGTTAGACAGGGGTGTCTTTTTGTATAGAGTGCAAAAGATAAAGGTCTGGCCTTTATTATTTTATCTTTTAATTTTTTTTTAAAAGTGGGGGCTTTCTCATCGCATGCCCTAGGATCAACTTCACTGCATTGTAGCCTCGGCGATTGCAGGAGAATCGGTTCTCTTGTCACTTCCTACGGCCATGTCCTCTCGGAATATTCTTCCCAATTCCCAAAAACACCCCCATCATAGCCACGATGACTCCATGGTGACGGATACTCATTCCATCGACGGGTCCACTACCTCCGAGGATTCGATCGAGATAGAAGAGCTGGCCCACAGTCTGTCGGTGCATACTTCTCGACTGTCGCAGCCGTCGTTAGCCAGGAAGATCACCTCTATTGCGACCAATGCAACATCGGATCCGAATTACGAGGTAGACTTCCAGGACGAGTCGGACCAGATGAACCCCAAGAACTGGTCGCTGAAGGCCAAGTCATTGTGCATCGCGGTGCTATCATATAATACACTGATTGTGTACGTCTCGCCCGGATAGAGCTATTCCCTCGACCATTGTTGTGACCGGACGAACGATCTGACAGGTGCAGGGTCCTCTACTCCACATCGTACACCTCGGGGGTCACCGACATTGCTGCCGAATTCAACTCCTCCAATACCATCGTGACCCTGGGGCTGACCTTTTACCTGATCGGCCTGGCCATAGGATCCATGCTCACGGCCCCGCTGAGCGAGGTGTACGGTAGAAAACCGGTGTCAGTGACCTGTCTGTTCATCTTCACGGTGTTGATAATTCCCTGCGCGCTGGCCAAATCCGTCGTGACGCTTGTCGTAGTCCGATTTTTTGGCGCCTTGTTTGGCAGCGTCATGATATCCACCGCCCCCGGCATGGTCTCAGATCTGGTGAACGACGAGCAGCGCGCTCTGGCTATGTCGATTTGGAGCATCGGCCCCGTGAACGGTCCAGGTTGGTCTTGCTGTTCTTTGTAAACCCTCGTCCGTTTTAATCCAAAACCCCTAACTGATCGTGTCCACAGTTCTTGGTCCCATCGTCGGAGGTTTTGTCACACAGTATCTGGGCTGGCGGTGGATGGACTGGATCGCATTGATCCTGTCAGGAGTGGCGTTGGTCTTTTCCTGTATCATGAAGGAAACCTATGGGCCTTTAATCCTGCAGAAGAAAGCAGCATGTCTGCGCAAAGAAACCGGCGAATCTCGCTGGTGGTCTCGATATGACCAAAAGACCAGCCTAGCGGAAATGTTAAAGGTGAACCTGGGACGACCTTTTGTCATGGCCGTCTCCGAACCCATCTGGTAAGTCAGAGGACCTTTTTTTTTGTTTTTTCCAAGGCGATATGCTCGGGAGCTAACGTCACCCTCCCTGTCTGACAGCATATTCTGGAACATCTACATCGCCATCGTCTACGGTATTCTCTACCTGTGCTTCACAGCCTATCCCATCGTCTTCCGCAACATTCGGGGCTGGTCCCTGGGCCTCTCTGGCCTGGCTTTCTCGGGCATCGGCATCGGTTGCCTCATCACCATCGCCTGTGAACCGCTGATCCGCCGCATGATCAACAGCCACCATATCGATCCCGAGACCGGCAAAGTACCGCCGGAAGCCATGGTCTCGATCGTCTGCATTTCAGCCATGCTTATCCCTGCCGGCGAACTGTGGTTTGCCTGGACCTGTGCCCCGGCCTCCATTCACTGGGTGGTGCCAATCCTGGCGGGTGTTCCTTTTGGCGCAGGAAACACTGGCGTCTTCATCTATGCGTCCAATTATATCACCCACAGCTACGGCGTGTACGCGGCGTCCGCCATGGCGGGTAATTCCGTCATCCGGAGTGTGCTGGGGGGTGTCCTGCCACTCGTTGGCACATATTTGTACTCGGGGATCGGACCGAACTGGTCTGGCACGCTGCTGGGGTTATTGGAAGTCATCATTATCCCTATCCCGTTCGTATTCTACAAGTACGGGTACAAGATCCGAGAGAAGAGCACGTTGATCTCCCGCATGCAGGAGGATAAGAGGCGGCTGGAGGGGAAGCGAAAACGACTATTGCAGAGGTTGGAGGCGGCCGCCGCCAACGCTGAGGCAGCCGAGAAGGAGAAGATGGATGTCTGATTGAACGCATCATATGAACCGCCGCCAGAGGCATTAGAAACGCTTAAAAACGTTGGCAATGCCTCTCATCTTGTCTCTTTGTTTTGTTTTCCCCCTTCATACAAAAGTTCCCTTAGTCCTACATGGATGGCGTGGCTCAATTTGGTCATTTCGTTAGAGGCGCATATACGGCGTACCTGTTCACGATAAGCAACGAACCATATGCATAACCAGAGAAGATAATAGATAATAAGTTGGTTGATCTCAATGAGAAAGAAAAAAAGAAAAGACATTCGGTTTACCTCATCGTTCACGCAGTAGAAACTAAAAGACAACTTTAATCTGGCCGTCGAACCCGCCGTTGCACCTCCATCGACTCGTGCAAGATTCGCTCGTACTCTCCTAGCCCAATCGCACCGGCTGGGAAGACCATGACCGCTTCAACATAGACAGTCTCGTTGGCATCTATCGACCTCCTCACATATCCAAGCACATTGATCCATGACCCCACGCGCAGTTCTTCCGACGTGACCGTCTCCAGTACCGGATTGATATCGACTGACACGGTCGGTGGATCGGAATTTTGTCTACGTCGGGGGTAGTGGTGTTCTAAAATCAGATGACCTGTAGAGACAGAATAGGTCCTTACACTGATAATTGAAGAGCAAAATGCATGGGGACATATTAGCACCGATACGCATCGAGAACAAGCATGAGGCGAAGAACAAAGACTGTACATACCAGCCGAGAAATCGGATCTTGGAGTCGGCGGGGATCGATGCAACGTCGGAGAGAAAGACTCGCCTGGAGGGAAGAGGACCGCTCATCCCTCGAAGACGCAGATGAGAAGAAGCATTATTGAGGATTCAACGAGAACGAGATCAACATTCATTCCGTGGCTGTTCTTTGTATACGGGAGTTCTGCACGTGACTTGATGCACCTGATAGGCCGTATGTCATCGGCCAAGAGGGGAAAACGCAAGTTCGTCCATCTCTCGATTTCTCTCACTCTCCCCTCTCGGTCTCAGTCGGCAGCATTCTCTCAACCTAGTCCAACTCGCTCATAAACTTGTCCTGTTCCATAGCTGTGAACAGAGATCACCCTGTCTCACCCCTGTACCGATCCTCCACGCTGTCCAACTTCTCCCGAACCTCATCTGATCTCGCCCCTCCGCTATTATCGTTGCCTTGGATTCCACCGATTTCCCCAATCTAGAGGGAAGAGGTTCCCAAAGAAGGGGCTCTTCTAGACTGCAGGAACAGGAATACTCCCTCGCCCCCTCCCAGTACCTTTCGAGAAAGGTGTCTCTATCGGGTGGGTAACAACTCCAACAACTGTTGACAACACGCCTGTCCCTTATCATTCACAATGTGGTCGTGGTTTGGTGGCTCTGCAGCCCAGAAGCGGAAGGATGCGCCTAAAAACGTAATCCTAATGCTGCGGGAGCAGTTGGATATGCTTCAAAAGCGAGAGAGGCATTTGGAGAATCAGATGGAGGAGCAAGAGGCCGTGGCGAAGAAGAACGTCAGCACAAATAAGAACGGTACGCGATGCTGCACTTTCTCGGTTCCCACAATCCCCAGGTGCCATGGCTAACTGAGACTGTCCGATCCCAGCTGCCAAGGCTGCTCTTCGACGAAAAAAGGTCCATGAGAAGAACCTTGAACAGACGACGGCACAGATCGCCCAGTTAGAACAGCAGATCTATTCGATTGAGGCGGCGAACATCAACCAGGAGACTTTGAACGCGATGAAGGCGGCGGGTGCGGCCATGACACAGATCCATGGCTCGATGACGATCGACAAGGTCGATGAGACAATGTATGCTTCCCTCATTGCCTGCGATCGACGGTGTGCTAACAGGTTGACAAAGGGACCAACTCCGAGAACAACATCAGCTCAGCGAGGAAATCGCGCAGGCGATTACAAACAACCCGGTGGGCGAAGTACCAGACGAATCCGAATTGGATGCGGAACTCGAGGGCTTGGAACAAGAGGCCATGGACGAGCGCATGCTCAAGACCGGCACAGTACCAGTTTCAGGTCAACTTGCCAACAGGTTACCTGCCGCTGGGACCGGAGAACGTACGTCACCCCTTTTCATATCATTTCATAAATTTACTCAATCTAACGATGAACGTGATGCACCTAGTCAAAACCAAGCCACAGCAAGCCGAAGAGGACGAAGAAGCAGAGCTGGAGAAATTACGTGCGGAGATGGCTATGTGACAGTTATAGTCTTTTCTTCGTCTTCTTCTTTTTTTTTTTTTTTCAATATTTCTTTTCTCTCTCTCTCTTCCTTTCCTTTACTACTTTGTCCCATATTTAGATCAGCAACATGGCCAATACCTCCTCTGCGTTCCCTCAACTTCTTCCTACTTCTTCTCTATCTTCTTAACCAATGATCGATCAGTCATGTGTCCATGTAATCGCGACTATGGAGTTATTTGCCGCGTGCTGCCAGAGAATATTCCTTTGATTGTTTTCCTTATTGTCTTCCTCCATTTGGCTCAGTTCGGTTCGGTTTGATTTGATTTGACTTGATTTGGTCTGGTCTGGTTGGGTTTGGTTCTTTCCTAGGCATGCATCACCATGACACTGTCCCAGCGGAACCAACGGTGCATTTTACTTTTTCCTGGTGTCTGTCTTCTTTTCGTCCATGTCTGCTACAGGGTTTGCGTCTTTTTTTTTCTTTTCTGGATTTTTGACCCACTACCTATAAACGTACCTTGACTTGGGTACCTTGGCTTTTAGTCGACTTGTCTACCTAGTCTGCTAGGTCCCTACCTACCTACCTACCTACCAACTTGTGCACATTGCATGGCTTATTTTACGTAAGTGGAAAGACTTGAGTCTATGTCGAAACGAGGAGATGCCCTGTTCATTTCTATATCTCCCTAGGTAGTATTTGGAAGTAATATTGGGTCAGATCTGCCGAAATTCATGTCGAGATGCGAAATGCCTTCTAAAAGGGGGCATATCATTAACAGCAACCGCCGTAGACCAGACGGGTCTTGGAGATCTGATCTGAATTCACGAACTGACAATAATTATAGAAGGATAAACCAGTGGCCCTCTTCGGTACTGTGGTCTCTAGGAACATAGTATAGTATGAAAAAAAAACAGAGACATTAAGGTGAAGTTAAATCAAACCTCCAATATTGAAATGCACAAGAACTCCGTATTTTTTTCCTTGTACCACCCGTGAAAATTCAGCCCGACTTGAATACTAAAGTTGATACATAACAAGAAAGATAAGAGTCCAGTCAGCGGCAGGACCAGGTGAAAGGATCCAGGAAAGTTGCCTATGAGGCTCGAATGTCAAGAATGTCACCAGTGTTCCCGATTCGCGTTTATTGCGGCAAATAATCATGTCGTAGGCCTATGGAAACCATGTATAGCTCTTCAGCGGAGCTGTCCGAGCCCCATCGGTCGCCTCGCTGCACCACTTGGTCTTCCATTCCCACTCATGCGCAGCGGCCTCGACGAGTGCTTCCTTGCACTCAGGAGGCAGCTCCTCCAGGATCTCGGAGCTCACGAACTCAGGATTAGACGGATCGGCGATACTGACAAAGCCATTCATACCAAGGTCATGCACGCCGCCATCTGGTCCAGGAATACCCATATTGGAGTGTGGTGGAGTCTCGTAGTGGACATCGTGAATGGCAAAGCGGCGTGAGAACGCAGCTGGGGTCGTCGAGAAAATTGATTCATTTCCGGCTTCCTCCTCGCTCTTTTCATGCGATTCGTCGGGGGCAGTCGAATCTCCGGTCGTCGGTTCCTTTTCAATACTGCCATTCGTCAGGCTGAGCGTCGACATTTCCTTGGTTAGTTTAGCTGCGACTCGCGGATCAGGAGGGGGCAGACGCTCCCAACGGGCATGAGAGGGCTGCATGATTTTCGGATACTGCATGGCATTGGTGTGGATATCATAGTATCCGTCCAAGTTCGCGCGACGTGCATTCAGAATCAAGGAATTGTAATTACTAGCAACCAAGAGGTTAGAAAACGAGAGTCGATCAAGCACCATACTCATGCACATTGTGACTTACCTGGCCTCACGCGCATGCTCGAGCATCCAGTTATCACCAGTGACAGTGACCTTTCGCTTCTTGGAATCAACAGCCTTCCCTGTAGGTAGAGGTACGGAAGGTGCGCTGGTGTGATAGACACTGCTCGCTCCGTGCCATGCCACATATTGATTCTTGTTATACGGTTCTCCTGGTGCAGGGAGTTTGTCCTCAGGGACGGCCAGTTCACCCTCGACATCCCCGCGTTCCCTGGCTGCCTGGGCATGATAGTCATCAACCACTTTTCTTCCGCCAACAATAATTTTGGCACCAAACTCTCGGAACACCGATCGAGCCGTTACGACACCGATAGCTCGGCCCTTGTAGGAATGAGGGATGACTTCTCTCTCAATGAGATCGCGTTTGGCTTCATCGTCAATGATGATCTTGTACAGGAGTTTGTGCTTCTGGAAGAATAAATACGAATCCCTGAATCCAATACAGCGAGCTGGTTCGGTGGACAGCATGTAATGCCGGTCGCCTCTGTTGAGGATTGTAAATGTGCGAACCCGGTACTCTCGATCACCCTTCAGAACTCCGTTTTTGTCTACCTTTGTCTCACCTTCCGGGTCGTCCGGCAAGGCCACTTCGTCATCGATAACGTCCATCATATTTCCTTCCTTGTCAATGGGCACCTGAGTGATGTGCGACGGTCCCCGGTTTCGCGCCCATCTTCCACCACTGGCAGCCGGACGTCCACGCCTCCTCTTGACCGGCGTGCTCACATGGATCGGAGTCTGAGGTGCGCCCTCGTCGGGCGCGTCCCAGTCTGGCGGGCGATTCTTCGGAGGTCGACCTATACGCCGTTTTCGCGGGATCGCGGACACGCGACCACCTGTGCGTGTGGGTGTAACTGCCCGCGACGGGGGGTTCGAATCTTGTGTGGGTGTTGCTGCGGTCTCCACTTCCTGGGCGGGTTCGGGTTGTGCTTCAGCGTCATGGTGTTCCTTTACTGACGCGTCACCCGGATCTTCTGCTACTGGGGAGGATGCGTGTGAGGCCGGCGCCTCCGCCATTTCCTCATCGGAGGCATCAGGAAGAGGTGGGGGGACACTCCCTATGGGTTTGTTAGAACACGCGCCCTCTCTATGCATATTCTCTGCGAAGTAGAAAAAGGGAGCGCGGGAGGAGAACTAGGCATACTCAACGATTGCGCCGCTGCCTGAGCAGCTGCTCGTAGCTTGCGGGCCATCACGGCGCCAGGTGTTCAGAGTGGGGAGGGGGAAGGGGGGTGCTTGCCAAAAACCGCAAGTTCCGGCAGGTCTGGTTGGTTCATGAAGCTCTTCAGGTCGTCCCTTCCCACAGCATCGCCAGAGCCGGTCGGAAGATCAGTTCCGCCGTCCCGAATAAATCACGTGATAAATTATTATGCCTCAGGCCGGAGCGGCTGTGCCACGTGCCTCTCCCAGTGGGCTCCTCCTCGATCAAAAAAGGCACTAGACTATCTTGGCACTGGCTAGGGTTTGCCCCATGATGTCATGGCCTTTCTACACCTACGATGTACCTAGATGGGCATTCCTGAACAATTCCTTTGAGGAAACCCCGTGCCCCGACTGAGTCCGGTCAACAGGACCACATCCAGAATGTGTAGACCATCCCACGAGTCTGTGGCATGGGACTGGTTCTGTGTACAATGTGTTTCAGAAAACATCTCCCTTCAGCGACAGGAAGATTGTCAACGGTAAGGTATGCACAGACAGAACTATTAACGTATATGAAATCCATAGCTGCATAATTCCAAATTCACATGTCATGCAAAGACTAGCAAAATTGGAATTCCCGACTCTTTCCTCTCCGCCGGCCTAATCTCCACAGACTTGGCATCAGATGCAACATTAAGGAGGGGGGGAATGGGGAAGACATTACTACTAGACCATGCAACAAGAACTTGATTGAATTGTTCACCAGGTCTCGATAATCTTGTCTATTTAAATAAAAAAAAAAAAAAAAAAAAAAAACCTTTTTCTCTTTGGTTGTCTCCCGCACACTGTCAATCCTCCGAGACTACAAGGACTCGTGGGATTCGGGCACATCTCGCTCCCTGTGTGCTGCAGATCAATTACACAACCACGCTACAGCTTGCAGATGACCTGCCTACTGACTGCGCACAAGTAGCCTCAAAGCTACACCGTTCTCCCTTGCCGATCGGCGAGGCCGCTGTTCGATAACCCATCCCTTAGTTGGCAGATCACTGTGGCTTAGAGGGAAGCTGCTAGGATCCTGGTTCCAGGTTCCTCATTGCAGGGCGAGAAAACTCTCTGGGAAGCTGGTACACAGCTAGCTTACATAGGTACCTAGCTGGACCCTGCTATCTGCACGCACCACCTCAAGCACTACGTCACAGCCCTCCATGAGCTTATGTAGTCTTGACTGCAAACGTTGCCCCCCAACGGTGGCTGGCTGATTCTGCCATCAAACGAAAGTCGAGGCCGCTAGGACCTACGGCTACCGTTTTCCACTGCGCCTGAAGCCAGCAGCTGCTCCGGGTCTAGTGTAACGTCGGAACCGGCCCTAAGACGGTTGCCCGGAGCCTGTGACGGGCGGATAGAAAGAAGATGATAGTTAACGTTCCTTACGTGAATGTACCTAATACCTCTGTCTCGAGAAATGTAACTACGTTTGCCTTACGTCTAACAGATGACCGGGACACTTTAGCCCGGGAGGGGGCGCTATCTTCCAGGGCCGAGTAAGGGAGGTGCATACGCCGTAGAAGAGGGAAAAGAGGAAAGAAAACGAAAAGAAAGTGAAAAGAAAACTATGGCCTGGCTGTTTGTATAGCAACAGGACAATCCCGTAGTTTCTTCTAGTGCATTAGTTGAGATGGCTGGGCTGATGAGAGATATTCTTATTAATCGGATTAGCTGCTTGCACTAGCTGGGCGGTGTTTTGTCGATCAAACGCCATTGATACAGTCGGATCTACATCTCGTTTGAATAGCTCCCCTCGGTCTACCTGTTTGTCATTGATCATTGATTGATACTCCGCAGATAGTACGAAGTAGATCATACTATGTAGGCAGTGGTACTTGGTAGAGGCCCTGGAGAACGAGAACCAACGATCGACCAAGAAGAGTCATTGCCATGTACCCCGCCTTTTTGGAGAGCGAGGAGGTGGCGGGTGGAGATAGAGCTCCGCAGAGACTGATTTTTATTATCTACTTCCTACTATGTACGGAGTAACTATTCCTCTTGATATGATCATCCTCATTACAGTGAGGGGATGGAGGATTTGCAGGATCTGAAATATCAGAGAGTCTACGTTGGAGCGATCATCCGATAACAGAACCTTGGTACCAGAAAAGGTTCCGCTGCTGAAACTCGCGTGTCTCAACTTGTCCCGGTTTCATCCACAAGACGAATCCATGAGACGTCCGTCCACTCTATCATCCGACCTTCGTCAGTTGTCACCAGCTCCTGTTTTTCTTTGTTTGAAGGATGATTCTGAGTTAAAGCAAGTCCATTGTGAAGACCTAGCATATTTCAGCCTTCCCCCCTTCTGCAGCTAAGATAGGGTACCCATTCTTTTTGACCACCTCATCCTATTATTACCTGTCAGCCAGCAAGAAATGTGGCTCAGGACCAACTTTCACCGTGGCTCCATTACAGTCTCCTCCATTAGTATTAGCCAGCCATATCGCCCTCTCCACTGGACGTGAGGCTTTTTTTTTTTTTTTAATAATAATAATAATAATAATAATAATAAATTTCGTTAGGGGGGAAAAATTCGCCAGAAAAAACACCCCTCCCATTTTTCTTTCTTGACTTTGCCTGTTTCTTAGGGATCAGGACCAGCGTCTGACACTGGTTCCTTCGAAGCTTCTCCCGGCTTCCAGCAAACTTCAACCTTGGTATAGAATTGGAGATTGTTTCCATACATGGGTGTGCCTACACAGTAGGGACATAGGATAAAAGATCTTAAAAATAAAAAAAAACGTAGATATACAAGCATAAGGGGGAAAAAGGGGAGAAGGAGAAAAGAAATATAAGAATAAACATTGGGGTTGACCTCCTGAGGGGTTTTTGAGCATTCAATATCCCTCATCGTGGCCACGATCATTCTTGGTATTTGTTGATGACACTCTGAGTGGTCCATTCAGCTTACCTCCTTCTGAATCATCCTACTGTACATACTGATACTGGTCATGTTTCGATGAGTAAGGACGGGTTCCTTACGATATAATGATTCTTGATTCTTGATTCTACTTTATTTAACTCAATATTCATATTGCCTATCAACTCCCGATATCCTCTCCATTTCGACCACCTCCATTCAGCGCTTCAGCGGCAGCTCAGGTCATTTGGCTTCAGCTTCGAACTGTCAACGCCACCACGAAATACTCTCTTTTTTTTTTTTTATGACCCACGCGTTTTCCTCCTTTTCTACCTTTTCCCCTGCCATACGGAGACCTCCGTCGACTATACCTAATCCTCCTATCGCCACCTTCGGAACCAGTCAATTGCCTGGAGTGATCACGATTCACTAAATGTCCGTCTGGGCCTGACGCTAACCAAGCTGGTCGATTCGCCTGCCCATTCTTCAGGTAAGAAGCGAGCACTTGTGAAGTGTGAACCCCATTGCCTCCGTTCGTTTCCTTGCCCCTGTGGAAGCATACCTGGTTCTTCTCGGCCTCTTCTTTAAGCTCCATGGTTCCTGTCCCGATGAATTAATTATTAGACGAATCTTCCTTTTAACGCGCAAATTCCTCCCAGCCCTAGATCTTCCCCAACCCCTCCTCTCTCTTTCTACCTTTCTCCTTCGCCTCCTTTCTCGCCTATCATCCGAATCCGACCGGGATCCATCCATTCCTCCATCCCGCAATCTTCCTTAGTTCGCCGTTTCTTCCCCCCTCAACTTCCGCACATTGACCGCCTTCTTCCCAATCTGTCATCGCACTGAACAACAGGTTGCCACTCCATCATCAGTATCTACTAGTGGAGGACCTGCGATCGATCGTTTGCACTTTTTCGTTTCTTACCTTACCTTACCTTCTTTCTTTTACGAATGGGAAGATAATCATGGCTGCCACGCCAAATGGATCTGATGTGCAGGATAGTGTGGAATTACTGAAGCAGCCAATACCTCAGAAGTGAGTAATACCATTTTTTGTTGAATCTTGCTGTTTATGTGGATTTCTGCCTTGCCTCGTGGGAATGAGAGCCAAAATTTCTTTCAAAAAAAAAAAAAAAAAAAGTCACTCCTTCGCTGGCATTGCAGCTGGAATCGTACCTTTTTTCCTTTTTTTTTTTTTTTTTTTTTTTTTCAATATGGAGGAACTGTTTTGCTTTGTTGTTCATCGTGACGTGACGCATTGGGCGAGGGAATTTTTTTTTTTTTATCCTTTTTTGTTTTCCTTTCCAAAAAAAAAAAAAAAAAAATATACATAAAAATTAAGGCAGCCGGGCTCCCAACAAGTGTCACATCCCCAGCCTTACCGTTGCCTTCTGGAACGAAACCTGCAGGAAGCTGCAGGTTTGGCTTTTTGGTTACCCTTCCCAATGCTGACCATCACCATCTTGCCCTCTTCCCTCGTGATCGTGGGCTCTTGTCTACTACGATCAAATACCCCACCAACACCCCCACCATGTCATTTCGGCTATGCTTCTTGAACAGATCGAGCTTTGCACCCCGACTTTGGTTCATGACTAACTTGTCCATCAGCAATGTTCTGCCAGATGACGACAATCAGGATCAGATCGGCTCTAAAAGTCCAACACCCTCGGGTATAGCAACACCACAACCCGATCCTTCGGACAAGCGTCTGCCATCTATAATGCACAATTTTATTCAGGTTGGTGTTCCCTCTAGTGATCAACTGGACCCTTTCAAGCCACAGACCTTTCCTTCTGAGACTCCTGCCTCCGCCTGCAATGTACAGTCTATTACGCCCGCGACAGGGACACGGGATGACCAAACCTCCGGCCGTTCTTCTTCCTCCTCCCCTTCGGGGTCTTATGTCATGATGGATCGTGTCGAGGCTTCGGAGATGAAGTTTTCGCTCGCATCCCCAGACAAGAGCCTGGTAACACCGGAGTCCTTGCCCCCAACGAACCTGCCCACCCCTCCGTACTGTTCCGCTTCTTCCCTTCTTCAGAAAGATTTGGAGGAGGCTGAATTGGGATCATCAGTCCCGGACAAGGGCGTGGGATCGATATTTAATGCATTGAGGAATTATCTTACTCCCGCGGGAAGCACTTCCCCTGAACCTCCAGTCCGCCGTCACACCTCTCATCCAGTCTCCAGCGTGTCGGACGATCCAGTTCTTGCCTCTCATTTCTCCAATCCTACCCTTCCATGTATCTCTGATGAATTATGTTTGTCGGAAGCTCCCCTCTTCGACCATGAGAAGCCGCAATTTTCTATGTCTTCTGAAAACCTGGTGAAGCTAACTGGAAATGTGCCTGATCTTTCTCTTCTAAAGAATACACCCCCTCTCACTCCTCGAGCAATGTCCAACGAAGGCTCGCAGACCGACAAGAAACCCGTCACGTCGTCGCCACCAACATCGGAACCGGTGCAGTCCGATGACATCTCCAAATCCACCGACGAGATCACGGGCAAACTGAACGAGGCTTTCCCCCCTCAATCCGATGGCCCTCAACAACCTGCTCCCCCCGTTGCCTCGCTCAAGGGACAACTCTATGTCAAGATCTCCCAAGCCAGGGGACTTCGACCGGGATTCGATCCTTACGTCGTCTGCGTGTTTGAGTGGAATGAGTGCATCTCGAAAAGTGCTCATGATGAGGAGGAAGCCTCGTTGGAGCGCCAGAAAAAGGAGCAGGAAAAGTCTGACTTCGAGGCGGGTCGGCCAATGGCTATTCCCATGAAGAGCCGCCAAAGTAGTAACAATAGTGCTCTCGAAAGTCACGATCACCGGGGACAGGCACCCGTGACCGATCCTCACTGGAATCATGAGGCTACTTTGTAGGTCCTGCTCTTATTCCCCCTCCCTCTCCCCCCACGTCTGTCAAACTGCCAATATGCCGCTGCCCACACCTGAGTCTTATATGGTTTCACTGACAATCCACCATTAGTGATGTATTTGGTGACCAGTCAGAGGTTGACGTATCGGTGTATGATCGCAACAACCAGGAGGCGTTTTTAGGTCATGTACGATTATGCGTGAACCTCAATGAAGATAACAGTCGGCTGGAAGGATGGTTTCCATTGAAAGCTCGGGGAGCCGGTGACTCGCAAGTCTCGGGTGAAATCCACATGGAGATGCGGTTCGAGAAGACAGGAAAGAAACAGGTTGGCCCAAATGATTTCCAAATCCTGAAGCTTATCGGCAAAGGAACATTTGGACAGGTCTACCAGGTCAAAAAGAAGGACACGCACCGAATCTATGCTATGAAGGTCCTGTCAAAGAAGGTGATCATTCAGAAGAAGGAGGTGGCGCATACTCTGGGCGAGCGAAATATCTTGGTCCGGACAGCGATGGCCGCGTCGCCATTCATCGTCGGCCTCAAATTCTCTTTCCAGACCCCCACGGATCTCTATCTTGTCACGGATTATATGTCGGGCGGCGAATTGTTTTGGCACCTCCAGAAGGAGGGCCGATTCCAGGAAGCTCGCGCCAAGTTCTACATTGCTGAGTTAATTCTGGCTCTTCAACATCTTCACGACCATGATATCGTTTATCGCGACCTCAAACCGGAAAATATTTTACTTGATGCGAACGGACATATCGCTCTCTGCGATTTCGGGCTGTCGAAGGCCAATCTTACTCAGAACGACACCACGAATACTTTTTGTGGGACGACGGAGTATTTGGCTCCGGAGGTATTGCTTGATGAACAAGGATACACCAAGATGGTTGATTTTTGGTCGCTTGGTGTCCTTGTGTTTGAGATGTGCTGCGGCTGGAGCCCTTTCTACGCCGAGGACACGCAGCAGATGTACAAGAATATCGCTTTTGGCAAAGTCCGGTTCCCGCGAGACGCCCTCAGCACGGAAGGGAGGAATTTTGTCAAAGGCCTTCTCAACCGGAACCCGAAGCACCGGCTGGGTGCCAAAGACGATGCCAAGGAGCTTATGGCACACCCGTTCTTCCATGACATCGACTGGGAAGCATTGGGCCGTAAAGAGGTTATTCCCCCATTTAAGCCGAAGCTGAAATCCGACACGGATACTTCGAATTTCGATCCCGAGTTTACGAATGCTCTCAACGCCTCATTGAACGACCATGCGGCAGCCGTGGCCAATGGGTTCATGACCGCATCGACGCCACTTTCCCCAGGAATGCAGGCTAATTTCAAGGGTTTTACGTTCGTGAATGAGAGCTCCATTGATCATCACATGAAGAATGAGGGCGGGGACCACATGGACGAGGATCCCTACACGTGGCAACGATCTCATCATCCAACCGGGGACGCTATGGATCATCACCGCATGAGTGGAGTTCAAAAGACAAACGAAAGCGGGGAGCCTGGCATTTTCAACGTTGATGATAATTTTGACATGTGATTATGTCTGCGATGCATGATGATGGAGTTGTGATTTTTGCATATATCCTTTGCCTTTTTTTTTTTTTTTTGTTGCTGTACATGCCACTGAGTGGGCCTAAAATCTGGGTTGCCCTTTTCCCCGCTACATATGATTCCTCCAGGCTGTGATTAATCCTTATTTTTAATCATAGTGATGATTTTCGTTTCTTTCTATTATCCTCGGACCATTTTCACGGATGGATTGGTTAATCTTTGTTGCTGGACTCTCACCTCAGAATCAACTCTTTGATTGTCCATGTCTCTATTTCTACCCCCAAATTTTCCGTTCCATTTTGCTTTTCAGTTCATGGATATCCTAGCCCTTTTTTTTTTTTTTTTTTTTTTTTTTGTCCGTCCTCCCTCCATACAGCTTTATCGGCTCAATTTTCTTCCCTATTGCTTATTCTACCCACGTGGCCCTCTTTTTTTTTCACTTGGTATACCGGAAGCGCATATCCGGTGGGACAAGATGAATATTGTTATGATAAAAGGAGATTCCTCTAGCGGCGTTGGTCAGGCAGCATGGCGCGGTTGGGAGGTCCAGTGCAGTCAATCAGTCCAGTTGGATGGAAAGAATACATGAGATGAATATTTCATGCTCTTTGTGCCTCTTTCGTAGGATTGATGTTTTTTTTCTGTGATCTACGAAGGAAAGATAGTCTATATATATTGGAAGCAGAGGTTGTATATATGTGTATACCAAATACGAGTGTGGATCAGATATGGACAAAATCGCGAGTTCTCTTTGTAGGGCTAGGGCTGGCACGATGTCATCCCTTGTGTCTTGTCTGAATGGAACTTTGTCTGAATAGAACTTTGTCTGAATGGAACTTATGCAAGACACTTTGCTAACTAACTAGTTAACTAACATTAACTATTCTTTCTCTCAGGCTTGAGGTTTCTTGCTGTCCAAAGCCAATCGAAGCGGGGAAGTTATATTGCTTCATGGCAGGTGTCCAATAGTTGAGAATAGGGCAGGAAAAGGGACCCTTGGCATCAGTTCCCGTCCGAGTCCCAGGCTTGTGAGAGGCCGAGGATGAGATGCTGTTTCGGCTAACTTTCTTGGCCATAGCAATCAATCAATCAATTATCAATCAATGCGAACTATGAATTAGTAGCTCCACTGAGTCCGCGGAGCCTCCCCTTTCACCTCCCAATTCATGCGAAGTCCTCGTGGACATTGCCTCGAGAAAATCCACTATACCGCTAGTCATAAACTAGCAAGGTATACAACTACACTTATAATACTAACCCTTTCCCCATAACGTTGCATCATGATCGTCTCTTGGTTCTTTTTCGTTGTCGTTACTCAACCCCTTTAACCCCCTCGACGAGGGTCCCAACTCGTCCGGGGAAAAAAAATAAACAATAAAAAACCACACGAGATGCGTTTCCTCGGCGTGACCGTCGCGTTGGTGGCTTTGGCTGCTGCTCAAGGCTCATACGGTACCACATCTTCTACATCTTCCAGCACTGCGTCGGACACTTCCGAGCCTTGCGCCAGAGTCAGCCATCTCCTCAGGAACAGTGACAGCGACTACATCCCGGCTGAGATTGCATACAAATGTCTAGCCTCTGTTCCGGTGGCCGTCGAGGCTGATCAGAAACTCATTGACGAATTGAAACTCCTGTGGGAGTGGCATTCCGAAGTTGGCTGGCTGAAGAACCCTCCCTCGAGCTGGGAGTTGGGCTCCGTCGATCTCCTCGCCGAGCTCGACAAGATCAGGGAAAACCTCGGCTCCTATGGCAGTGAATATGACGTGCAGCTGGCGATTCAGAAGCTGGCAATTCGCACGGGCAACTTCCACTTTAACTATCAGCCGGATATCCTGCAGGTCTTCAGCTTTTATCGCTCGTTTGCCATAGCCACCGTCTCCGAGGACGGGACAAAAATGCCACTTACCTACGTGGCTGAGGATTTGATCCTCAAGGAGGACGACGACAGCATTCGTATCTCCCCGATCTCCATGGTCAATGGCCAGGATGTTCAGAAGTTCCTCAATTGGGTGGCGTCCGCGAGCCAGTACACTGACCCTGATGCGCGGTACAACAATGTCATGTACAAGGCCAACCAGATCAGCTCGGCGGGGAGCTTCAGGAACCAGGAGAGCTACCAGGGCCCGGTCTCCAACGTCACGTTCGCCAACGGCACTTCGCAAGTCTTCACAAACCTCGCTTACAGCAACCTCGATTTCACCGAGGTGACCAGCGGGAAGACGTTCTTCCAACAGTTCTGCACGGGGAAGGTTTCGGGAATCGAAACCCTCCTGTCCAGTAAAAAGTCTCCACCCCATCGTTGGAGCAAGAGGCAGACAATCCTTCACGACGACTACCCTAAACCAGTCGTCGAGCACAGCAGAGGAGCAGTTGCGGGCTACTTCATGACCATCTCTGGCTTCACGGATGTCGCGGTCCTTAAAATCATTTCATTTGACCCTGAAGATGACACGTTGAGTGAGTTCCAGAAGACTGTCAAACAGTTCTTGGCCAAGTGCACTCAAGCAAATAAGAAAAAGCTCATTATCGATCTCCGCGAGAATGGTGGAGGCTCTACATCTCTTCTACTTGACACCTTCATGCAGCTGTTCCCTGACATTACACCCTTCAGTGGTCAGAGATACCGCGCACAAGAACAGTTCAAACTTATCGGTGATACAGTCAGCGCACTCTGGAACAACAAGAGAGGCCGGGCCTTGGCTAACTTCCAGACTGCCATGGGTACGTGCAACCAACGCTGGAAAGTAGGGAAACTACCCCGAATGATTGGCTGACGGACTTATTGTAGACCAAGGCTTTAGTTCAGATTTGAGATACTGGACGTACTGGAATTTTCTCGATACCAACGGCGAGACCTTCTCCACGTGGGATGACCTTTACGGTCCTCACGAGTTTAACGGCGACAATTTCACGTCGATTATTCGATACAATGTAAGTACCCATTATCTCATGACCCTAGATATGTAGCTCATAAACCCAGTTATCCAACAGCAACCCCACTAGCGTGCTGGTACCAAACTTCACCTTCCTCGAACACTCATCGACATCCACCCCGCCTTTCAAAGCCGACAACATCGTGATTTTCAGCGACGGACTGTGCGGATCCTCCTGCGCCTCATTCCACGAGGAACTGAAGAACATCGCCGGCGTCAAAGCGGTAGCTGTCGGCGGACGCGCCCAAACGGGTCCTATGCAGACCATCGGAGGCACCAAAGGAGGCGAAGTGATCCCGCTGGTTTCTGTCTCCTTTGGAGTCAGTCAACTACTTAATCTTACCAACATACTCAGTACTGGTGATCTCGACCAGCCTATTATCCAACGCCTTCTCAATACCGATCAGGTCTTCAATCGCGCGGGGGACACCATAAGTCGACTTCAGGTTCAGGACCAGGTCCGTAAGGGTGATAAGTCCCAGACTCCTCTCCAGTATATCTACGAGGCGGCGGACTGTCGTCTCTGGTATACGGCTAAGATGCTCTTGAATCCGGAGGAGGCATGGGCCGCGGCGTGGAATGCGCATACGGAACGAACGATGTGTGTGGAAGGATCGACGAATCACTCCTCTAGTATCAGTGGGGGGTTTAAGCCTTATGGTCCGCGACCTCTCGATGGAGAGATGGATGATGATGAGGAGTCTGTCGCGCCGGTCTCAAGACCTACTTGTCTTCTTATTATGGCTGTCGTAACGGTGATCGCACTTGTCCTATAAGCCATTGTGGCTTTTCTGACCTGCGTTTATACTTCAGTCTATACTATTTTTTTCTGAAACTATATGTAAATTTAATCTAGTCATGATAGACGAGTATATAAACAATTTTATATTTCATTTGAAGGAGTTTTCTTTGTTTTAGGTAATGTGAGTCCCAGTGGAGTATTGAAAGCGATTGACACTGAACTGTGTACGAAGGAGCCGCGAAACGTCAATTACATACTGTGTATGGATTAAAATAGCTGCTGTTCTATTTCTGTCTGGGGTAGTTTTATTGATTAAAAGATTTATATTATTTTTTTGCCCTCTGAAGTGATCATCAAGATCGGTACGATTTCTGCTCTGAGAGGATTTCAACCAACGGCTGCCGTGCCGTATTTATCTTGTATGCTCTCTGACAGGATGACGATTGCCAGATGGCTCGTTAGCGATCATTACTTTATTCAGGATATACAGAATCCAGTCGATCATGTGCTATCCTCGAACCGACATTCCATGGGAAGAAATATCTGAGTTCTAGAGTATGTAGTACTCCGTGAGGGTAGATGGCTCCAACACGAGTACTTGTTGCAGATGATATTGCATTGACCCGCCGGATACGATAGGATGAACCTGTTTTTCCTGTACGAGGACTAGACGGATATTGTTTTTTCTTCCCGTCTCTCAACATGTGTAATATAACTACGGGAGTAGATACGGAATTGTTGGTTAACGAAATGAGGCCCATGTTTTACGGAGTGTGGTCCCTCAGAATGGGGTCTGCTCCACTCTGCTCAGTATCGACTTCAGAAACAAACAATTGTGTATTCTATAGAGTAACTGTACGGAGTACTTCGGCCGTAGTTATCTAACTTCGAGTGGAGGACTAAATCATTGGCAGTCAGTAAAGGCCAAGACAGTACTTAGCTACCTACTAACTACCTAGTACTGTGTAGTCAGGATTTCGGGAAATATCCCGCAAGTAGATACTGTGTACAAGGTTGATCTCCGGAGTATACTCCGTACGCGTACTCCGTCCAAGGAGAGGGTATGCGGATATGAATGGATGACGTTGTAAAACCGGTCAATTATCAACACCCTCGAGACTTCCACTGTGGCACTGATACCGTGGACCCGGTAAGACAGTGCATCCACTTCATCAACAGATGTTTGGGAATGATATTGTCATTCCGAGATTCCTGTAGTTGTTGTGTGGGTTTGGAAACAAAGAGCGCTCCATACATCCATACAGGGTACTACCTTATGCGGCATGAGAATGAGCCGAGGATCAGCCAATCTAATCCATTTTTAATGATGTGAACCGACGGGTGGGATGAGCCCTGAGGATGCTCCGATGGATGGGATAACTTGACGTATAAAGTAAACATCGGAGCTCAGGAGTGCCAGGGCCATCATCATGAGGGTGACTTCAGCCAAGCTCGTGTACGTACGAGTCTTGAGACCGATAGATGATCATGATGGCGATGGCAATGACCGACAATGCGATGCTGAAAGTAATAATAGTTTGACAAAAGGGGTTCGCAAGGAACCGCCCCAAAAGGGGCTAGTTTCACGTTCTTGAGGCCAGCCAAGTGTGGTCCACCACGCTACTCCCAACACAGACTAGCGTCAGGTCTGTCCATGGGATTCACTGGATTTTGCTCGAGAATCAATCGCATCTCAATAGTTACTCTTCTGCCTTCGATGCATTATTGAGCACAATTATTTACCAATAATAGATCATGCCTGTGATGATGCATTTGTATCCACAGAAGTCCTTATTTGATGCCTCCACGATGGATCTGGGCTTTGAGAGGAGTAACTCTCCAGCTACCACAGACTAATAATACCCTACAGAAAGTCAGTATACGTAGCCACTCCCCTTTTGGCGCTCTTGCAGTTCCCCCTGGGCAATTCGAGTCTTAGCCCCGAATCTCTGACTTTCTAGCGTCCAGTTCCCACCCTAGACGACTCCTCTGGCTCGGAAAATTCCCTTTCCCCTGATGGCTACTTGCAGATGACACGAGTTCTCCGCTTTTGAGCACGAGTTTCTGGCATATTAGTCGTGAACCCAAGATCCTCATTCTCCTGGTGGGGATGATCGGCCCTCGAGTGCCGTCCCAAGCGCTCCTAGTTCTGTGCTGCTAACCTAAACGAAAAGTGGCGTGTCCGTGGTATGTGTTCCTACCTTTGTGTTAAGCTACCATCACTAATGGACTGCTTACATACAGTAGTAAATAGTACTCACTACTCTGTATTCAGAAAGTATGAACTGATGCTTGGTCCCTGTCATTGGAGTCCCAGTTCAATTCCTAAAATAGCCGTCTTTTTCCATCCTTTTTTTGTGTTTTGCCTCACCCCCATCTTTGCATCGTTCCAGAATTCAGACATCCTGAGACTGAGAGCTTACTTATTTCTCCCCCCTCTGGGGCCATTGGAATCAGTATTTATTTTATTTTTATTTTTAGATCTGTTTCCCCCCTACGCAGGATAAGCATAACCCAAGTAGTGGTGCAATATCTTCCGGCACATACCAACGCGCTCTCCTTTCTTTTCCCCACTCTATCGCTTCTTTCCGTCCGTTCCCCTTTACTTTGCTCTTTCCTCCCTACCCGCTCCTATTGCCTATTGACCATCGTTTGATCGTTTGGATGATCGGTCCTCATGCCAATCAAATGCACATTCAGTGTTCAGGATGAACGTTGTCGCCACTAGACCCGAGAGCGCTGCTGGGCCTTTCTCTCCTTCCTCCCCTCACCAAAGCGTACATGGTTACAAAGATTCTGCCGCGTACACGGCCATGGTACAGCCAGTATCCTCTCGGACGTCATCGGTCTCGTCCTTCAGAACCAATTACAGCGTGTCGACTGCCCCTACCGCCTACTCTCCTACCTCTCCGAATTCGTCATATCACCTCTGCGACTCAGCGGCTTCTTTAGACAAGATCCTGGAGTCCGTCTTCAAACGACTCCCCTACGAGGTCTACGAGACAATCCTAGATCAGCTGCAATATCTGCATACAGGCCCAAACCAGTCTGGTTGCCTAACATGCTATCAACGCGATTTGCATGCCCTCTCTCTAACCTGCCGGCCCTGGGAACGGGCTGTCAGAGCACGACTGTGAGTGCGAATGTCGTTTTTGGTCCTTTGCGTTACATTATTCATGCGTGTCAGAGAACTGTGCTGACTCAAGCCTGTCACCCTCATAAGATACAATCGGATTCATCTTATCGGAAATGATTCACCAGCTCAGTTGAAGAAGTATCGGTTGAAACGGGGAAGCCGGTTGAAGCTGCTCAGACGAACACTCAGGGAGAGGAAATTGCTGGCCAATCTTGTCCTCGAGCTTCGCGTTCCGCAAATAGATTTGTTCTTCACAAGCGGCAAACACGGTTCTCCGTGGCAGGAATACCGAGACCTGGTCGCATCGGTTGTCATGGTCTGCCCCAACCTGGAACGGTTGCTGGGCTTGACAATCCCATACAACCACGAGTATGACCGGTTGACCCATGCATTGTCGACCCGGCGAAAGTTGAAGGAACACACATGGATCCTGGGCGAGGCTCCTGAAGGTTTAGAAGCCTCACCTCGTAGCACGTCGTGTCCCGGAAGCTTAGGGCCCTTGCAGATGTTCGAGTTTCTCGACTACCACGTTTCGTGGACGAGCCTCAAAACTCTGATGCTTTACGGACTGACTGAGAGCAGTGCGCTCGAGCCGAGCATCTTCCTTCGCATGTTCAACCTGTTGCCCTCACTGGAAAACCTCTGCATCGCAAATTTCAATACAGATGCCTTTGCAGATAGTGCTTTGCTCTGCTTGCCCCCCTTAAAATCACTTCGACTGGAGAACCTCCCCGGTATTTCAGATGCAGGTCTATCACAATATACTTCACGTCCTGAGTCAGAGTCTCTGCAGGCGCTGGCTCTGATCGAACAAAACATCGAATCAATGCTTGTGATCTCGAAGATTTTGGCGTCCTTACCCCGACTGGAGCAGTTCAAGATTGTCCAGGGTAATAAGTCTCCGATTCTAGATACAGACAGCATGATTTTGCAGCCATTATTGGCTTCGTCAAGCCTCAGATATCTGCATTGGGATGTCGCATGTCCAGACCCAAACACCGCGCTTACGAGACTCGATTTTGCCCCCTTTATGAAACCACCGAAACACATCGACACACCTAATTCATATCTTGCGCAGAGTATCCTCTCTGGGGGATTCCCTCGTTTGGATGCTCTCCGTGCTCCTTCTGACATCGAGCCTCCGGGTGTTCTCCAGGGGGTATGCCAACCTATGCCCAATGGCCGGGCCTTGCTGCAGCCGGATCGATACAGTCTCCCTCGCAGCTCCCACGGCTCTGTTAGAACCCGCCCGCTGGCCCTGCCAGCTGGTAATAATCTAACCTCCGCGCGAATTCGCGCCCAGACGTTTATCGACATGGCAGCGAAGGATACAGAAACCGGAATGAGAGTGCTCATCACCGATCACTCTGACTCTTACGTACCTGACAATGCCCTGGAAGATGTCCTATCAGACGATGTATCAGATATGGAAATGAATGATTATGGGTTCTTTGGATCACGGGAGCAACTGAAGGAGGATGAAAACTCCTCCCCTAAGGACCGTGAAGGGCCGGTCACTGTGTTTGACTTCCGAATGCCAGCTTACATGGGTAGAGTCGGCGCCAGGACCAGCGAGAAGGATGTGTCAATCCCCCGGTTTATTCTCCGTCCCGATATCCAAGGGCAAGAGGCCGATGGGGGTCTTGTTGGTTGGAAACACATCCTGGCCTCCAATCAATCATTAACATATGCGGCTGGGGTTGGGGTTAATTGCTTTGGAAACAAAGGAAACAGTAGCCCTCTCCCTGAAGAACCCCCTTCTCCTGTGTCCACTGCAGGTACGCGCTTTGGTTGGGGTAGCATTGGCAGTCGATCGGCACTTGGGACAAGCCCCAATACACCCACCACGCCATGCACTCCGATGAGCGTTGGGTCCACAACCGCACTTCCCTGGGAGAAGGACACATGTACGGGCTCATGGAACTATAGCCATAAAAACGGTCGTGAATGGTGGTTCCACACTGAACGAGAACGTCCAAAGAGTGTCGAACTTGTTGATATCACACGGCTCCTTTAAACCATAAGCGCTGCAGCCCTAAGGGCTTCTTCGTTACAGGGTTACTCTGACTCTACAAGTAGCCATAAACCTACTTACTTTCTCCCCTACCAATTTTCTTTTGAACAAAAAGCTGCAGCATGCATGGACCATACGAACCTACATCTGCACGCAGAAATGGCGTTTCGGTTAAGCCTAATGGGCGATCACCGTGATGCCTGATTTGGCTAAACGCGAAAAATCCGTCTGCTGAGTCTATTCCTCTCTGCCCGGGCTCTCTCGCTTCTAATGGATCATATCAAATTGGGAGCATCAATTTGCGACGCAAATGATGCTTCCCCTTACCTTCACTTTCACCTCCAATATATATATACCCTCACTTATATTCTTTATTCCCAGAAGAGAAACATGTCACGTACAATCCCCTGCATATACCACCACCTCCTTTAGAATTTCTTATGTCGGGACTTCCCATCAAACAGTCACATGGCGCTCTGGATGAGCTGGCAATTATTGGGCATGGGCGCCGGATCACAGTTAACTTTTTTTTTTTTTCCAGCCCTGGTATCTGGCACTACCTCTTTTTGTTTAAACCTTTTTGTTTCTTTCTTCTCGTCCTACTTTCGAGTCGACGAGCACAGCTTAATGCTTTTGTACAGTAAATAAGGTGTACTAACTGATACAGTTTATTAGTGCATAATGTAATGCAGTATTGTATTATGCTTTAATCTATACTCTTACTAGTAGGATTTCAATCTAACCTACGAATACTGATGATTCATGTCCGCGTAAAGTTAGCTGTTAAGCTGGGAACCAGATACATTTTACGATATATGATTTCCTATTTATCTAATCTTTTTTAAGCCAAACAGACACCCTGGAAGGGTAACAAAAGAGCATTGCCCACGTGCTTAATAAAATAATGAAATTAAGGTCCCAGTGTGCATAGATAGATACATAGCATTTAGTAGGCCGAAGGAACAGCATAGGAAGGATCATCAACTTGACAAAATTCGTAATGAACGGCATCTATCCACCCCTTAGACGTAGATGCCCATGTTCGTGTCCTTCTTCTTGGCCTGTACTTCGGCAATTGCATCCACATAGTGTTCATGGCCAACCTTACTCATGCCTTTCCGAAGAGCAATCATACCGGCTTCCACGCAAACGGCCTTCAGCTGGGCACCGCCGAACTCGTCCGTGCTACGTGCCAATTCAGCCCAGTTGACTGAATCTTCCACGGTCATTTTACGGGAATGGATCTGCAGGATATTGGCTCGCGCCTCCTCGTTAGGCAGAGGGAATTCGATCTTGCGGTCCAATCGACCGGACCGGAGCAGGGCGGGATCGAGAACATCGACACGATTCGTTGCAGCTAGAACCTTGATCCGATCGTCCGAGGCGAATCCATCAAGCTGGTTGAGAAGCTCCAACATGGTTCGTTGCACTTCACGGTCACCGGACTTTTCCGAGTCGAAACGTTTCGTACCCACAGCATCCAGCTCGTCAATGAAAATGATCGAAGGCGCCTTCTCCTTCGCAAGAGCGAAGCAGTCTCGGACAAGCTTAGCACCGTCACCGATGAACATCTGTACCAGCTGGGGACCGGCAAGCTTCAAGAACGTCGCGTTTGTTTCTGCCGCACAGGCTCGAGCAAGAAGCGTTTTACCGGTACCAGGAGGACCATACATCAAAGCGCCTGGAAAATAAAAAGAGAAGTTGTTAGTTAAAGGTGGGTCGAAACGAGATATAGGAAACGAGAACTATTTCATACCCTTTGGCGCCTTGATACCGATCTTCTTAAACCGTTCCGCTTCCTTCATCGGCCATACGATTGCCTCAACGATCTCTTCGATCTGCTTGTCCAAGCCTCCAATGTCTGTGTACTTCTCTGTCGGCTTTTCATCGACCTCCATAGCCTTGACTCGGTTATCATATTCAGCCGGTAGTGTATCTAAGACAAGATATGAGTCCTTGTTGACTCCGATAAGGTCACCGGGCTTCAGCTTCTCATGATCTACCAGACCGATGAGAGGCAGGTAGATAGTCTGACGAGTCGACGTTTTGATGACAGCCGACTTGCCCACTCGAGTAGCGTCAAGGTCAATGTTGGCTCCTTCCTCGGCCGCTTCGGCCTCGACATCCAGATCCAACAGTTCAACGACATTGCCGACAAGATATGGTAGCTGCCTAAGAGATAGAATGACGGTCAGGAAACCCTCCCAAAGAACGACGATTTGGAATCATGGCACTGCCAGCCGAGGGTGGTGGCGATGAGTCGTGGGATGACCACCACCCACGAGGAAGAGAAAGTCAGACGAGCCATCATACCTGTTGTTTTCAATCTTCTCTTGATTGTCTTTGACCTTTTCCCTCATTGTACTCTGTTCGTGTGTCAGCCGCTGGTATTCGCTTTTCATTATACGCATTTCGTTCTCCAGCATCCGCCGTCGCTTGACGATGTCCGCTGTGCTGGAGTGAAGGATCTCCTCATCCAGGATGTCTTCTTCTTCTTCACCCTTCTTGTCGGCATCATTCATCTCAGCGTCACCATCTCCTTCAGGTTTCTTGCCATCGCCGTCGCCTTGATCCTTCTTGTCTCTCTGCTCACGCTCGAGGTCGTCAAGATCCTCTAGGGTTGACATGACGGAGGATAGCTGAGGAATATAAGCAGGATTAAGTCGGCAGCACCCAGGGGGCCCAATGTATGAGATGAAGGAGCACGAAGGAGGTCCAATGAGAGAAAGTGGTGAGTATGGGTGGAAGGACCTGCCAGCAGCTGTTGAGCTCCGACCAAACAACGTCAGCCGTCCTGCCTGTGGCACGTGATCGTCAGGTGTACTCTGCTTACTCATCTCTCGATGTCAGGCATTGCAGTGTCTTTTGGCAATATACTAGGTAATATGTACATAATACCTATGCCTCATAATGCTACACTGGTCACACCTACATACAAAAGGCTTATAGCTACTGCAGTTAATAATTACATCACCCTAGATCTCAACCATCCGCTCAGTAATAGTAGCTAGGGTGGCCCAAGTGCTCATAGAAGGTCCCAACTCTCGACATGACTCCTTTACGGCCAAATTTCAGGAGACGGTATTTGGAGACGAAATCGTCATTGTTTACTGGACGCAGTTAGTATCTCTCTCACACTCTCCAAGACCACGTAGTGCCCCAGGGAGGGTGAGGAAACTTCAAGAAGAGAAAAATAGGATGGGGACACCTACTATATCCACCGCACATTCTTCGTTTTCCAGTGAATGCTGAGCGACCGTGAAGCATTCTCCAGTTATCAAAAACTAAGCCATTGTCAGCCAATTATCGTGAAGAAAGCAACACCAATTGTCCAAGTACTTACTAAGTGCCGTACCGGGTTCCAGCTGCGTCCAGTACTGCATCTCCGGTCGCTGAATGATATCGTTAAAGTGGCGAGCTGCGGCATGCCACTGGGTCTGTTGCACCAAGTTCCAGTCCTTCTTGGGTGCCCGGTCATAGTTATTCCACCGAATTTGGTACAGCTGCTGGAACTCCGGGTGGATGGAGAAAACGGGGGCCTGCGTCACAGGTTGTATACAAGTGTCCTCATTACCACTTGCATGGAATGGCTGAGGGATTGACGCTAGATATTCGCAATGGTTGTTATTTTCATCGCGCAGAAACTCGGCAGCCCGAAACCCATCGACAAGCAAACTAGCTCCTCCGTCACCGTCAGTATGAGACAGAAGGTGGAATAACTGAAGCCGTGCTGGATCAGTGAAATACGTGTTGTCTGTATGTGCACCAAGCAATTCTGTGGTATATGCAGTATCCTTGAAGGTTAAGTCGGCTGTGAAGTCCCAGAACCCACCTTCAAAATATCAGTAACAGTGCTACAACCACAAGTGTATAGAGTAGAACATCGGGACTCTACCATAATGAGTATGCCTGATGAAGGCTATTCTCTCCAACAGAGCTTGTGTAGATTGTGGGTCGACAGGGACACCTGTTACAAAACAAAATCCATTGAAAAACTTTGTAAGTGTTAGATAGGCCTTGTTAGATACTTGGGGGCTTCATGACACAGCTCACAATATAGTCCAGCCATTTCAGCAAAGATTTGTCATCAGACATGACTTCAGAATACGAAACTGTCGGTTTGGGTTGTTCGCTTTTAGATTTGTGAAGTCTAAACTCGAGCGTTAACAGAAAGGATCATTGACTAAAAGATAGAAAGAAAGGAAGAAAGGAAAAAGAGAGGTTGCATACCGAATTTTCATGCTCCAGGATTTCTCTGGCATGCGCTTCCCATTGGCATACGCAGACAGCCATTTAAATGGGTATACACTACGGTGTCCATCAGACCCTTCTATAAAGTCAGCTTCTATAACAAGAACCGGGTTGGAGGGTCTGTACACTGTATCTCCGCTCCATCCGTAGTATAGTGGAGCTTCTCTATTTTGACATCGGAAGGTATCTGAGCCAAATCAAAATAAGGGTAAAATGTTAACCGCGTAGCGTAAGTCAAGGGAATCTTTAGACCATCTTACCGAGAAGGTGTCTACTATCCTTTGCTTTGTATCTGGATGGATACACTTGGAACATTGACAATTGTCCCTGGTGTCGGGCAAAGTGGCTCTGAATTAGTGGCTGCATTCTATACATTGATAAGCATAATAATCAATGCGCACCTCAGCCAAAAAGTTCCACTGTTGCATTACATTAGCATATAACTCACACATAAAGGACAGGCTGATAGGGCACTGTGATAGCCTACTTACTAAAGACCGTTGCGTGTACTGGATGTTTTGAGGCTAATATATTCACCCTTATGCTTATATTTCATAGGAAAAAAAGGCGCATATTGTTTCCCACGAGAAACAGGGTTAGAAGCAGGTTTTGAATTTGTTGATTTTGCGAGCGATGAATTTGCCCTTGCCAATGTGATTGATGATGGTTTATGGCATGAAAAAAGTTGCCGTGGATTCCTGTATGAAAGTCCAAGTCTAGCTGGGATACCGCGGCAACCGGCGGGCTATACAAAGGAATAGTTGTCAAAGTTGGCCCAACATATATCACATGGAAAATACCGCTATGCCCATTACTCACGAGTTCAAAACATTTCGAAACAAACGAAGGCGACATGCTAGTGCGATGTCAACGATGGCCCCGTATGGTTGGGTGGTAAAAAGTAGTAACTTACCCGACACTCTTAAAGTGGCTAGAAGCCCTAAGAGAAGAAACTCGGCTCATATTCCTGAACTGCTTGTTCAATGGCCGTTGAGGAGGTCCGAAGAAGCTAGTGGGCCATTCCAATGCTGTCTTCGGAGTAGAAACTGATGAATCTTCCCAGCTGGCCACGATGTCACGTGCATCACATGTTCCTCCTTAGTTCGGATGACTATAAATCCCGTGATGAAATGTCAGTCCCGTATATTCCCTTTCTTACCTAGTGCCTCATAATACGCGATATATTGTACGTACCTCGCCTTAAAAATGCCATTCTCAACCCTGTCGTCATAATACTGTCTCCTGAATGACACCAGGTCTCTACAATTATGCTTGGTGGACGGCCATCCCCTTTTCATCCAACTTCTACAGAGCATAGACCGTTGTTGTGTGCCAGCCATTACCAACAGATACTCAGTCGTGATTGGTAGCCCACTGGGCAAGCAAAGTGGGCTAACACTTGGTGGTTGAGATGAATTGAGGCAGGTCTTGATGAGAACAAAGGATTTGATTCTAACAATATATGGAGACCGGAAGGAGTTGGACTGAGCGTCGACTCGGGGTATCTACTTGGGGAATTCGAGGAGCTTCATAATCATCTCTTGTGGAAGTCATCTCTCCGTATCGCGCCGAATAATGATGCCCGTTCCCCTGCCTTCTTCCAAAAACAACGCCGTGCAATAGGAAAGTTTTTAAGAAGAGGGAAAAAAAAAAAAAAAAAAAAAACAGAAAACCAAAACATGACTTCAACATCAATGCCCATATCCGAACTTTCAGGTATGCTATGCTGCTCACACGTAAACCTTCTTGCATTTAAGAGTATGGCCTATTGGAGGCCCGATACAACAATCAACAACCGATAGACAACACATCATCCAAACCCAGACAGTTTAGCACCTTTCTTAATTAGCTCAGCTGCAAACGTGGAGGGGAGGTTCGCTTGCTCACATTTTATAGAAACAGCTACCCTCCGAATAGCGCAGTTGATCCGTAGTCTCGAATTTGTATGAAATAGAGATATCAAGGTCACGCTTGTTCTTATCATTGGGCTTGTTTTCCAAGACTCCAGACACGGTTTCCTCTTCCTCGACGGTCAGAACGTCACGCAAGTAAAAGACGGTTTGCTTCCAATGCGTGTACTTGGCGTGGGGGCCTGTGGAGAACAAGATTGGCTTGTGGCAGGCACCAAATTCAATATCAAACCAGGCAATGATGGCATGGATAAAGTCGTTCCGTTTGACAGGAAGAGAAAAGGGAACCTTGAACACCAAGTCGGCCGGGGTGACGGTATAGAGATCGAAAGTGATGACGGCACAAGGATCAGTGACCATGGCCTTCATCTCAACGGTGTCGACAAGGGGCTCCGTTAGAGCAATCTCCTTCATTGGGCTGTAATTGAACCCGTATACATTGTCCCAGACTTGAGGTAGGTTAGTATTGAAATGCAACCGATATCTTCATATAGACCTTACATCCAATCTTGTCATCCTTGTATTCGCCGTCTTCAATAGCGGCCAAGTACATGGTAGCCTTGTCGGGGAAGATTTTGCCCCCGGGGACGAGATAGCGGTCTCGCGCATAGAGGACGGTATCCAACATGCTCTCGTAAAGAAGGAAGTAGCCCATCCATTCCGAAATGATGATGTCAACCTTCGGGTAGGGGAGAACAACCTCTTCCATCTTTCCTTGAAGGAGGGTGATCTTGTCTGCCATGCCATTGACAGCGACAATCTGACGTGCTTTTTCGATGATCGAGGACATATCAACACCGATTACATGCTTAGCACCGGCCTTGACAGCGAACCTATTGAGTGATTCATCATATCAGCAAACTAGGCCCGGCTAGTCGCATTGGGGTTGAACACGTACATGCTGAGAATACCGGTTCCACACCCAACATCGAGGACGACCTTATCTTTGAAGATGTGACGGTTTTGATAGATTGCATCGCGGTAGGATCTAGTGCGGACATCATCTTTCTGGAGGTTATAAATGTATTAGTAACATAGAGTCAGTTCAGCAAGGTTTTACTTACAAGCATTTCCTCGTGGATGCCTGAATGAGTTTCAGGGTTAGCGGATCAGAAAGCAATGAAGCATGGTAAATATTCAAGTCATTCTGTGGTAATTACCATGATGATCGTAGCTATTTTCCCTGTCAGCAACAAGCCATATACACATGATTAAATAGCCTCTTTTCATACCTCGTGAAATAGCGCACTTCAGCGTGATCCATGCCCACCATACGATCTGCACTGCTGGTCATCATACCAGCAGGTTCTGCAGATTGTTGTCTCTCGGATCCATTCATATTCACGAATCAATGTTCTCTCCGACACAAGAAAATAAAAGGAAAAGAAGAAGAAAATGAGTGATAAAATAGACAAGGTATGAGAAAAAGCGGAAAAAATTCCAGGGCGTGATGCAATGATATGGAGGAGGAAGGTCAAGCGCCTTCGAGGTCCCTGTGAGGGCACTTTTTTTTTTTTTTTTGACTTTTACCCTCATTAGGCACTCCCCCTCCGCACTGCCAAAAAAGCCTGGCTTCCAAATAAGGTTAGTCAACACTAGTAGCACTAGTCCCGTTCATATTGTCAGGTGATCTAAGCGTCTTTTTATCCCATTAGGCTTAGCGTCCTCTCAAGCAGAGTCTTGTTCTAAGTACTCCGTACAATGAGTTACTCGGAGTATTACACAGTATTCGGATGTTGAAAAGTACAATAGAAATCATTCTGAATGTTACATACTAAGTTCTTGTTAATTCTACTTTTTTCATTGCAATGGTGTATACAACCCGTGCAAATGCGACCAACTCGATAAGCCCTATGGGGTCATGTAAAGGAGAAGGCTTTGTTTGGTCACCGAGTTTATCCTGGAGTCTCATTGCCGAAAGAGCAACAAGGGTCACAGTAGTAAAAGCACTCAAAGGTCCAAGATGAAACCCACAGTCCTTTCGCAGAAGTTGTGTTGGCCACAAAGTAATTCTTCTAAAATTCTTGAATAATGAAGCCCACCTAACTTTTTGGAACCAAGTTGAAATGCCAAGATGTTTTCGACAATGCTAACTACTCCGCTCAAATACTCCAGTTGGTACGCCTCCTAGCTTCAGTTTCTTTCCTTAAGCTTCCTCGTTCCAACGGCCTACCTCCCCGAACACGGAGAACACAATGGTTCTAGGATCCGCTAGAGGGAAGGTATATTTTTACTTGCTTTTCCTTCTAGTTGCTACATTCATTGGAAAGACAACGGCCTCCCTAGGTGACCATCTCCCAGACTTTAAAGAATGTGTCAAGGTACGTATACGTACGGTCCTTCCAAGCCGACAAACTAATCCGCGAGCCAGATCTGTCAATCTGAGAACTGTCAAGACGGAAATACAGCGCTTCGTATGTCTTCCTTTTCCGTCATTTTGTTCACCCTACATCTGTTCAAGTTATCTCCTACTAACTGCTCTTCTGTTTCAATAGCGTTCCATCTTCGTCTGCTGCTCTGGACTTGCCCTGCCGAATGTGACTATACCTGCCAACATGTTGTGACCGACCGTCGAGTAGCTCGTGACCCTCCAATGCTTAATCCGATTGTACAGTTCCATGGGAAATGGCCGTTTCACAGGATCCTGGGCGTGCAAGAACCTTTCTCCGTTCTTTTCTCCTTTTTCAATTTCCTTGCCCATTGGAAGGGCATGGCTCGAATTTGTGAGGTCATCCCATCTTGGCACCCCTTACGGAGTTACTACCTGGCTTTCGGATACTTTGGTCTAGTATGTTGGACGTTTAGTATGCTCTTTCACACTCGGGATTTCCCTTTGACGGAGAAGCTGGATTATTTCGGAGCCGGCGCGAATGTAATGTACGGTCTTTATCTGGCTGTTATTCGAATATTTCGCCTGGATCAAGAAGATCCCCGCTACAAACCGACTTTACGCCGTCTTCTGACTGCGGTCTGTCTTATCCTCTACACCCTGCATGTGTGCTACCTTAGTTTCTGGTCCTGGGATTATACCTATAACATGATTGCAAATATTGTGATCGGGATGACCCAGAACGTCCTGTGGACGGCCTGGGGCATTATCCGCTATCGCAAAACTAACAGATTCTGGACGGTTTGGCCTGCCCTGATCGTGGTTTGGATCATCTTAGCTATGAGTCTGGAGTTGCTGGACTTCGCGCCTTGGAAAGGCCTGATTGATGCTCACAGTTTATGGCATTTGGGAACAGTGATCCCAGCCGCCTGGTGGTATTTGTATGTTGGACCTGTCATTCGACGCCCAGTTTACCGGAGTGCTGACTGGCTGTATTCGATAGGTTTCTCGTTAAAGATATTCAGGATGATGTGACTGGAATCAGGCTCAAGACGTGAAATGGCCTAGTTATGGATCCGAGTGAAATATACGATATCTACTCTAAGCTGCGACTCTTTGGGACCCAACATTCGATCTGCACTAAGATCCCTTCCACATCCAAAAATTTTCTTCGAGTATACAATTTTTTTCTTTTTTCTTTTTTTTTTAGGAGCGTTAATTTTATTTCCTTGCCAAAGAGAAAGACAATACAGTAGATAGATGATGCTTGTTTGACAGTCTTCCCTCGCTTTCCTGGGCGGTGTATCCACTCACCGCACGGTGCCTGGGGCAGTACCACGGACGAAGCTAAGCTGAGACTGTCTCACCCACCTCTTGGTCACAGGCTGTACCTTTTCCCTCAAGTTTTTCTACCTCTCCCACCAAGATCTTGTACCTTCATTTCCCCCTTCCCTCTCACCTTGCGCCTCGTTGAAATAATTGCCTTCCAGCGGTTCCCACTCAACTCTTTCCTACCCCATTCCTGACCATATCTGCGCCACAATGGCGTCACCGGCCATTCAGAAAGCGATCTCAGAGGCGGCAGCGCAGTATGCGAAGCCCGAGGGGACGGTCTTCCAATACGGTACCGCGGGGGTAAGTCCGCTTGTCATATCGTTTGGTCATATTTAATGGAGCTGTGATGATTAACGTTGCTTTTCTCAAAGTTCCGTATGAGGGCGTAAGTTTATTATTTTCCTCTCCCTTGAAGGATCGATCAGCCCCGCCTCCACAATACCCCGCGATCGCCTTGCTGTTTACACTTTGACCAACGTTTCTTTTTAGCGACCTTCTCAACACAGTTGTCTTCGCTGTTGGCTTGCTTGCTGGGCTTCGGTCCAAGAAACTGAGTGGGCAATGGATTGGTGTCATGGTGACGGCCAGTCACAACCCGGCCGAAGACAATGGTGTCAAGCTGGTCGATCCTATGGTAAGTCACAAAAAAATTGATAAAATAAAGTAAATAAATAAATAAGAGCGCATGTAATGGTACTAACCGTTTCTTCTGTACTAGGGCGAGATGTTGGAAGTGAGTGTGATCGCAAATCTAAATTTCAGAGGGAAAAAAATACTTAACTCTGGTCTGAATAGGCTGAATGGGAAGCTTATGCCACTAAGCTCGCCAATGCCCCGATGGATAAGATCGCTGAGGTGTATGATGAGCTCATTAAAGAGATCGATGTCAGCATGGAAAACCCAGCTCGTGTTGTCTTTGCCCGGGATACTCGCGCCTCGGGCTCGCGACTCGTCAGCGTTCTCGGCTCTGCACTTACCGCTACAGGGGTTGAATTCCTCGATCTGAAGTATATGACTACGCCGCAGCTTCACTACGTCGTCCGTTGCAAGAACACGCTGGGAACACAGTACGAATATGGCGAGCCGACAGAACAAGGGTATTACGAGAAACTTAGCGAGGCTTTCAAGAGAGTCATGAGGGGTGTCAAGATCAATGGCTCTTTGACTGTGGACTGTGCAAACGGTGTCGGTGGACCGAAGCTGAGGGAGCTCATTAAATATTTGCCTAGTGCAGAAGAGGGTGGTGTTAACATCAAGGTTGTCAATGACGATGTTATCAACCCCGATAGCCTTAACTTTGAGGTAAGCATTTTGCTGTACCCTAACGTTCTGCTCTCTCTAACTGTAGTCAGTGCGGTGCCGACTACGTCAAGACGAAACAGCGTGCTCCGCCATCATCCAAGGCGGCTGCGCTTGACCGCTGCGCATCGCTGGACGGCGATGCTGATCGTCTCATCTACTACTACGCCGACGAGGGCAACGTGTTCCGACTCCTTGATGGTGACCGCATTGCCACGCTTGCTGCTTCTTTTATTGGCGATCTTGCCCGCAGTGCTGGAATTGCCCAGAAGCTCAAGATTGGTGTCATTCAGACCGCTTATGCTAACGGATCCAGCACCGACTATATTGAGAAAGTGCTAAAGCTTCCCTCCGTTTGCACCAACACTGGCGTCAAGCACCTTCATCACGCGGCCCTGCGTTTTGACGTAGGAGTCTATTTTGAAGCTAATGGGCATGGCACGATTACCTTCTCAGAGAATGCTCTGAAGACCATCAAGAGCACGGAGCCCCAGTCTCCAGCCCAGCAGCGTTCCCTCGAGTGTCTCCAAGCCCTCACTGATTTGATCAACCAGGCCGTTGGTGACGCTCTCTCCGATATGCTTCTGGTTGAGGCTATCCTTGCTCATAAGGGCTGGAGTCCGAAAGAGTGGCTGGCCACTTACACTGACCTCCCCTCACGGCTCGTTCGTGTGGAGGTTGCGGACCGTTCGATTTTCAAGGCCTACGACGCGGAACGAAAGCTCGAATCGCCAGCTGGCCTCCAGGAGAAGATCGAGTCTCTGCAGTCTCGTTACAACAAGGGCAGAAGCTTTGCCCGTGCCAGTGGCACAGAGGACGCTGTGCGCGTCTACGCTGAAGCAGCCAGCCGATCTGAGTCTGACGATCTCGCTACGCGCGTGGCCAATGCGGTCCGCGAGGCAGGTGCCGCCTAGTATATTCTATCATCACCTAGAACACGAAAAGCATATATGTGAATGCTTCGATAAGGCCCTATCCCCAGCCGGGATGAATTACTGCTGTCTCTATGTCCATAGGAACGAAGGATTAAAAAGGTTCAAGGGGAAAATCAGATTGCGGTACAGCTAGGTCTTGTTGTTTATTGAAATATCCAGGGATAGAGTTATGGGACTTATTATGAAATGAAATGACGAGTTTAGTGTTGTTATTGAAGTCTTATTAACTACACCGTACTCCATAGTTAGTCTTGCTGGTATTATGTAGGCCGCGCTCAGAAAAATCATGGTGCCGCAGAATTGTTGATCCGAGAGTCTCCCGCGGATTAGATCCGCTTTTTCGGACCCAGAAAAAAAAAGTCCGCTTCTTCTCGAGATATTTGGAACTTCATTGAAGGGCAATTTCTTTCCCTTATCCACAATTCTCCTATAAATTTCGAAATGGCGAAAGCTCGTACCAAAAAGCGCACTCACGTTCGTGCGCAAAATGCGTCGGCCAGCGCCAGAGGCAGCAGCGCATCATCGATGAACAAACCCCCGAAATCTATGGTTATCCGAGTCGGCGGCTCTCAAGTCGGTTCCAGTGTCAGCCAGCTGGTCAAGGATGTTCGTTTGATGATGGAGCCGGACACAGCTGTGCGATTGAAGGTGTGTTATTCAGATATACAGAACCCGTCTGCGGATGACCATGTTACTGATGCTCATTTCTCCAGGAACGCAAATCAAATAGGCTGAGAGATTACACGACCATGACTGGCCCTCTGGGTGTCACACATCTTATGCTTTTCTCGAAATCGGCTACAGGGAACACAAATATGCGTTTGGCTCTCACGCCGCGCGGCCCAACCCTTCATTTCAAAGTTGAGAAGTACTCTTTGTGCAGAGACGTTGAGAAGGCTTTGAAACGCCCAAGAGGTGGAGGTCAAGACCATAAAACACCGCCTCTTCTGGTGATGAACAATTTCAACTCCCCAAATGCAGACGAGAATTCCAAGGTTCCAAAACGCCTCGAGACTCTCACCACATCGGTCTTCCAGTCTCTTTTCCCCCCGATCAACCCGCAAGCTACCCCCCTCTCTTCCATCCGCCGCGTCATGCTACTGAACAGAGAACTCTCGTCCGACTCGCAAGAAGAAAAAGAAGACTCCTACGTTATCAATCTGCGACACTACGCAATTGCTACGAAAAAGACCGGCGTCTCAAAGCGTATTCGTCGTCTAGATCCTAAAGAAGTTCGCAACAAGGAGAAGAAAGGCTCTGCGGTCCCTGATCTCGGAAAGCTAGAGGACGCCGCTGACTACCTGCTGGATCCGTCCGCTGCAGGCTATACCTCTGCCAGTGAGACCGAACTGGACACCGATGCGGAGGTTGAGATCGCGGAGAGCACTACGAAGAAGGTCTTGACGAAGAGAGAGATGCAGCGCATGAAAACGGGGGAGAGAGAAAAGGCTCAGAAGAAGCTCAATGCAGCTCCGGGCGTCGAGAAGCGTGCGGTGAAGCTGGTTGAATTAGGACCCCGTCTCAAACTCCGGCTCATGAAGGTCGAGGAAGGTCTGTGTGAAGGGAAAGTGATGTGGCATGAGTTCATCAACAAGACTGAAGAGGAGATCAAATCTCAGGAGAAGACCTGGGAACAGAGGAAGAAAGAAAAGGAGGCGAGGAAGAAGCAACAAAAGGAGAACATTGAGAAGAAGAAGCAAGAAAAAGCGAAAGCCCGGGCTAATGGAAAAGGCGAGGATGAGGATGAGGATGACGAAGATGAATGGCTCAGTGATGACTCTGATGAAGACGAAGATAGGGAGGATAAGGATGGCGACGACGATGAGTCCATGGAGGAGTAAAGGCAGACATGTAGGAGTGTATTCCATGACAACCCTATCCCATGAGCGCGGAAGAGAGGACAAGAAGACAATTTATCGGTTAGAACGAATTTATACCCGCAATTGTTTGGTGACCACGAGAATCAAGACCGTCCCGGAGCAGAGATGTTCAGCTATTCCAATCTACGTCCATAAATAGGCATCACAATCGTAGTCTCATTCATCACCGCTTCAACTTCTCGTCCACAAGGCGAGACACCATCTTTTCCAGGATACTTATATCTCCTCCCCCCGTTCCCGCAAAGTAAGCCTGGACACTCTTCTCAACATACTTTCCCACCATATCAATCTCCACATTGACATCATCACCAGCCTTCTTCGCCGCCGTGACGATTTTATCCTGGGTGTAAGCAATAAGCATAACCTCAAAATACCCATCCGGACCATCCACGACCTTAGTCACGGTCAGACTGGCCCCGTCCAGCGCCACAAAGCCCTTTTCCACGATATACCGCATCACTTCGATCTCGCGCGGCTGCAGACGGACCGTCAGCGCGTTCCCGTCCGGCGTGACGGAGAGGATCTTTGCAATCGTGTCGACATGGCCCTGAACGAAATGACCGCCCATCCGGGTCTCGCCCAATACGGCTCGCTCGAGGTTGACACGGGAATTCGTTTCGAGGGATCCTAGATTCGTGCGGCGGAGGGTTTCGGGGGCGACTCCGGCTTTGAATGAGGTTTTATCGAAGGTCGTCACCGTGAGACATGTTCCTTTGATTAATTTATTTAGTTTTCGTTTTCTATCAATTATACGTTCTCTCCGTCCCTCCCTCTCTCCCGAGGAATGGGTTACTTCATACCATTTACACTGATACTATCACCCAGATGGACATCGGCGAGGATATCCTCGCAATCGGAAATAGTCAACGAGGTACCTCCACCACCGCTGGATGAGGTATCAAGGGGTTCCAGGGATGAGACCGCTAGGCAGAAGAAACAAGAAAGCTACATCAGCGCAAGAGCTCAAGCATTTCTCCCTCAACGAGCTAACTCACTCCCGATCGCCTCCACCAGACCGGTAAACATGATGCTATTCGATATTTGTAGAAGCAGATAGCCCAGATGGAACAATATTCGTGAAATACGAAAAGTATGAAAGAACATGGACGGTGGAAATGCGGCGGAGCGCGGAAAACGAATTGACTCGACCTCGGCTCCATCGGCGATGTGGACGGCCGAGAGAACTACTATCTAGTACCTAGTACTTACCCCCCAAAACCTATAGATAGATAGATTATTACTTCTGCCTTGTTTCTCTTAACTATTCTCCACAGTATTCCTTTTTTTTTTTTTTTTCCATGTCTGACTCCCGAATCGAATCGCTTGATGATGCATGTCCTCTTGAAGTTACACCGCTCTGTTGTTGCCCGTCCGTCTGTTCTCGCCGCTCGAAGGCGCACGCAACAATGGCGTTTCTACTCCAGCGCAATTCCCCCCTCCAGTGATACCCTTCCCCTGGCAGGAATTCGTGTTCTAGATATGACGAGAGTGTTGGCTGGTGTGAGTGATTCGACGCTCCTCTGGTTCTTGGTGCCGGGTATACTGATGGCGATGCACTGTAGCCATACTGCACTCAGATACTAGGAGATTTAGGGTATAAATGGCTTCTAAACGGTATTGTCATTCTACGGTATCGCTGACTTCAGATTCCCGGGAATTAGAGCCGACGTGATCAAAGTAGAACACCCCGTTCGTGGCGACGACACCCGCGCCTGGGGTCCGCCCTATGCCAAGTACCAGAATGAGTCGCATCAGGGCCCCGGTGAAAGTGCTTACTACCTTGCGGTACGTGGAGAGTTCATCCTTCGAAGTGATTGACGACTATCATGGATGAGTCGCTGACTTGTGCGACAGGTCAACCGCAATAAGAAATCCATTGGTCTCTCCTTTGCGCACAAACCCGGAGTCGAAATCCTGCACCGACTTGTCAAAGAGTGCGACGTGCTGGTGGAAAACTACCTTCCGGGCAGCCTCAAGAAATATAACATGGACTACGAATCACTACGGTCTATTAACCCCAAGCTGATCTATGCTAGTATCACCGGCTATGGCCAAACGGGCCCATACAGCAACCGGGCCGGTTACGATGTCATGGTGGAGGCCGAAATGGGCTTGATGCACATCACCGGAAACCGGGATGGTGATCCCGTCAAGGTTGGTGTGGCCGTTACGGATCTGACCACCGGGTTGTACACGTCGAATGCCATCATGGCTGCCTTGCTGGCCCGGGCACGGACCGGGAAGGGGCAGCACATTGATGCATGTCTAAGCGACTGTCAAATCGCCACATTGGCCAACATTGCCAGCTCCGCTCTAGTCAGCGGGGAGAAGGACTCGGGGAGATGGGGGACCGCCCATCGTGAGTTGCCCCGACCTGGCTTTTTGTTTAAAAAATAAATAAATAAATAAATAAAACAGAGAGAGAGAGAGAGAGAGAATGTGTGTGTGATGAAAAGGCTGGCTGACCCTTCCAGCATCCATTGTTCCCTACAGGAGCTACCGGACGAGGAATGGAGACATTCTCTTTGGGGGCGGTAACGACAGGCTCTTCGGGGTGTTGTGCGATCGTCTAGGGTATCCCGAGTGGAAGACAGATCCTCGTTTCGTCACCAACCAAGACCGTGTGCAGAATCGAAAAGAGATCGATAGTCTCATCGAGAAGAGGGTCAAGCAGAAGACCACGCAAGAGTGGTTGGAAATCTTGGAAGGTAGTGGAATGCCTTACGCAGCCGTCAATGATATCCAGGGGACCCTGAATCATTCCCACGGTAAGCTCTTCTCTCAAAGTCCATGCATCGAGTGCTTCTAAACCCAGCGATATAGTCCAAGCTCGTGGAATGGTTACGGAAGTCGACCATCCAGCATGTGGTCCCATCAAGGTCGTCAACACACCCATTAAGTACTCCCACGCGACCCCTGGTGTCCGGACGCCTCCCCCAACTTTGGGCCAGCACACAGATGAAATCCTTGGAGACCTCCTGCAGTACAAGCCCGATGAGATTGCTCGGTTAAAGCAGGACGGAGTGCTGTCATAGAATAGTACTGACTCAGACACGACTAAGCGGCATACATGCCCGTGAAAGTAGACAAAGGGATTTAGAAGACCCCACGACCAGTATGTACTAGCCAATAGAAGAATAGACCGTGAATAGAAATCGCTCGTGCCCTCTCATGTGGAAGACGCTGCTGGCGACGAACAGCATCACGTGACTGTATATTGAACTTTGGATCCGGCACGAAATGAAGCGCACCTGAGCTGCCTAGAGACCGCAGAGACGCCGGGTCCTCGTCTTGTCCTCACTCCACAAGCCAGAATCGGAGCACCTGTCGATTGACAGTTACGTTTGCGTTTCACTAGCCAATCTAAGGGCATGTCACCACAACATGGGGTCTCTCCCTCCCTGGCGTCTACTATAGAGACAACGCCACCCACTACCTCCGGGCCACGACCATCGGCTTCCAGCCTTGAATCGTCCTCGGTGCCAATTACATCCCATTCGGTACAGCGGTCGTCCACCACTCCCGTTTCTAGTAAGGTTCATATTCCGAGATTATCGGCGGCCACCACCGAGCTCCTTGCTCGGGTCACTGGGAATATCAAAAGAGAACAGCAACAGCAGAAGCAGCAGCAGCAGCAACAACAGCAGCAGCAGCAGCAACAACAGCAACAACAGCAACAGCAGCAACAGCAGCAACAGCAGCAACAGCAGCAACAGCAGCAACAGCAGCCAGGACATGAACCCAGCCCCCTCAGGTGGACTCAACCGGCCTTCAGTCAATTGTTGAACAGTTATCGGAGTATTCACCCCGCAAGCACAATGAGGGTTTCTTCCACGTTCATAGAATTGCCCACAGCACCGTTCGTCTACTCGCATCATATGATGGCACCGAAGACGCCTGTGACATCCCAACAGACCGGCAGCATCTCTACAGCTCCCAAAGATGACCACGGGAAGCCACCGAGTCTGGTTACCATTGCCCCTAAACCATCGGGACCCTCGTCGGCGGGTCTCTTGGCAGCAGCAACTGGAGCATCAGCAACAGCAACAGCAGTAGCGACACAACCACCGCCCCAGCCCGTGGCTCCAGCGGCCCAGTCTTCATCCCCAGCGGCCTCCTCAACTACACAAAAGAAACCAGCAACGAGCACCCTCCAACGGAGAAGTACGATGCCTTCGAATGGGACTAAACGTAAAAAGAGGCGCCGACGATGGGATGACAGTGATGGGGAAGGCGTTATCCTCGCAGGGGATTCTAGCTCGGATGAATCCAACATTACGCCAACGGCCACCCAAACGAAATCCGGTCGACAGGTGAATCGTCCATCGCTTTATGTACCGGCGCCTGCCTCCCCCGTGACTGTCAAGGCGAGGAGTGACTCCCTCGATGCTGCTAGCCTGGCGGCCGCTCGCAAACGCCAACGGGTGAATAGCCACAAAGCCAAGGATAAGTATATCAACTGCATCCATTGCCAGAGAGGCCATAGTCCGACGAGCAATGCGATTGTTTTCTGCGATGGGTGCAATCAAGCATGGCATCAAAGATGCCACGATCCTCCGATCAACGCCGAGGTCGTCTCAGTCAAGGAAAAGGAATGGCTCTGTCGAGGGTGTAAACCTGTCGAGATCACCATCACGCAACCGACAGTGGTGCGCAGCAATCCTAGCTTAAGCGGGCCATCATTCCATCCTCCGACTCATCATCCGGTAGCAGTGCCCACGCTGGAAGTAGGCGGCGAACGCTTCTCGATTGATGACCGACGGGGGTTTTTGTCGCGCTTGTCACATGCCACGCTCGTCGAGCTTCTGGTCACCATATCTAATAGCTATCCGACCATGCCCATGTTCCCTAACAACCTGAAAGCTTTACCGTCGTCTCAGTTTTCCTTCCGATCTAGCGTTCCAGCCGTTTCCCCCCCTTCTGCTCAGACCAACAGCATGAGTTCGACATCAGGGGCTGAGGACATTACTGTCCCAAGTGCCTCCGCAGCAAACAGGCCCCTAGACGAATCTTCCGCTGACTCGGAGGACGAGTTCATGGATCATCGTCTGTACCCGCGAGCTGGAAATGGAATCCGACTGTCAACCAATGTTGACGATCTGGATATCTTACGAGAAGACGTCCATTGTCCGACCTTCAGCTACGCATTCTATGGATCCCAGGTTCGGGCTTAACTAGATTACTGGTGTTTCTTTGTCCCTTTCTTTGTTCTTTTTTTCACTGTTTTGGGAGTACTGGGTTATACCACTGCATATGGAGGTGTTCTTCATTAATATTTACACTACTAGGTAGATCGTCCATGGAATTGGTCATCTTCATCGTCATGTCATACTGATTTCCACTTGTAAGAACCATCGTCTCTACACCTCACGCTATCGATACGCCGTATCTAGACACAAGGAGACCGGAAACCTCTTCAATCGACCTCCCAGTACAATGTCGCTACTCAATCGGACGGGGAATCCCACACGACATCGGCCACACTTCTCCGTGGCAGAGACACCACATCGGTATCATCGACCTCGTAGAATAGCAGGAGACCCGCCCGATCGTCTGGTTTCATCGCGTCGGCACACATTCGTACAGTGCATGTCTGACCCTGACGCACAGACATGCCAGCGACAAGGGATCCGAAGACCCTCACGGCGTAAAAGCATTCCTGACGTTATTAGCACCCATCACAGCATCGAGACCATACCTGCGGATCATCTCCGGCACGGGGATAGTCCCTCGGGATCGGCCAGCGTCCCCCTCTGTCGCGGACGGTGGTGCAGCCATGTACAAATCGTTGGTAGGCAAGCCGACGAATCTGACAGGGAGATCGAAACGGAGGATCTCTTGCGCCAACCGGACCCATTCCTCGGGACGAAACAGCGTCAAGCGCGAACAATGGCCCAACATCACCCGTTTCTCGGTGGTGCGAGTCATCCATTGGTTCCGATGCAGGGCGTCCAGAACATATCACACCGCTGGGGGGGTGGGGTTCCTGATCCCGATCTCGATGATAATCCAGATGGAAATCCAGATGTTTGTTCAGTTGACGGGCTCGTTGCACCACCCAGTCGATATTCTGCCATGCTGTCTCCTCGCTGGATTCCACGTAAGGGTTGGCCCTAGTATGTCGACCGAATCTCGCGTGAGAGCTTCGTCCACGACCGTGCGATTCGCGGCCCCGTCGTCGTCGCCGGACAAGATCGAATCCTGCGCGACACACCAGCTGGACCTCACAGATGTCTTTCCATCCGGTCTTCAGTTCCTCCCCCGCGTCTAGACAGGTCAGTCCCACTGTGCGGTTGACCTCCATGAAGGTCTCAGGGGGAAGACCCCCGAGGCGACGGACTCGGCGAGTAGCCATTCTCCTCGTTGGAAGCGGTCGGCGGGGTGGAATTGGGCTTTGGCGTGCGCGGTCAGAGACCGTGCTTCGTCAAAGGTACCGGTCGATGGGAGGGGGACGGAGAGACAATGGTGCACAAAGGCTTCATCGAGGTGGATGTGTAGCTGGGTCGGGGTGGTGGGAGTAGGAGTGATGGCATCGATGGTGAGATCCACCGAGCCGGAGGCGAGTTGGACGTGCATAGGTTGTAGAGGAGTGAGGTGCATATCTGGAAGATCTGTAGTGCATTAGAAGTCCAAAGGGTTGTATAGTAATATCCTGTTAATGTTTATATATCGGATGGATTCCCCGCCCCACCATCACAACAATCACTCATTCATCTAGCTAATTCCCTATCATCTCTTCTTCACCTCTTCATCTCTTCATCTCTAATTTATTAATAACATGGTCCTCACCCTCGATCTCGTCCTCCGCGTCCTCAATCGCACTCTCCTCCATCCCTGGGTAGCATGGATCGGAGTCCTCAGTCTCCGCGCCCAAGTCACTCCCTACACACATCCTGCCTTTGTCCTGGCCACCTCGTATGCTATCCTCTTGACGGTTCTCGCGGTCGCACGCGTCTTCAACCACCGTATCGCCTACGGGGTGCCTCGTCCGGTGGATCTGACCGACGAGGTTATCGTCATCACGGGCGGCGCCAGTGGTTTGGGCCTTTTGATTGCAAGGATCTACGCCTTGCGCGGCGTCAGTGTGGCCGTTTTGGATGTCTGTGATGTCGACCGTGTCGAACAGAGTTGGGAGGGGGAAATGTCCGCTGTGCATTACTTTCGTTGCGATGTGGGGGATCGTCGTGTGTTGGAGGAGACGTTGAGGAAGGTTGAAGTTGAGGTATCTCTCTCATTCTATTATACGATCTGTATTGGATTGCTGGATCAGAGTCTTAATGTGATACGGATAGTAAATATTGGTACATTATACTAACTTGCTATTCATAGGTTGGGCCCCCCACAGTACTGGTCAACTGTGCCGCCGCCCGCATCAATGGCAAGTCCCTACTTTCCCTGTCGCCAGATGCCTTCCAGAAAACCATACAGACCAATCTACTCGCCGCTTTCCATACCTGTCAGCTGTGTCTGCCTCGAATGCTGTCCAGTCCCACCGGAGGCACTATCGTGAACATCAGCTCCGTGCTCGGTCAGCTGTGTCCCGCCGGCCTCGTCGACTACTCGGCCAGTAAAGCCGGTCTCAGCGCCCTCCATCGCAGCCTGGAGGCGGAGCTCCGTGCGTCCGGCGAAGACATGGTGAAGATGGTTTTGGTCGAGACGGGCCAGCTGTCCACCCCGCTCTTCAACTCCGTCCAGACTCCCAACGCCTTCTTTGCCCCAGTTCTTGAACCCATCCATGTCGCGCAGGAGATCGTGTCCGCCATCGATGAAGGCAAGGCGGGTGTCATTCGAATGCCCACGTTCGCGGGATTCGTCAACTGGTATGCCGTGCTGCCCGTCAGCTTGCAGCGCATCGCTCGGTATTTGAGCGGCATCGACCATGCCGTAGTTTCTAGGCAGCCAGCAAACCATGCACATACAGACTGAGGAACCATGGGGTGGAACGAGCAGACGGGCTATATATAAAGGGAAATGACCTGGTCGAACTCGTTTAGCCATTTGAAACTCGTCTTCGATCGTAAGATTGTGCCTTCCCCAGTCCTCTCCCGAGACAAAAACGCATCTATTTTTCCGCCGTCAGGATCATCTTCTCCCGCTCGCTCCGTCTCTTGGGCAACGCTTCCTTCTTGGTATGCTTCCGAACATTCTCCTCCCGTCTTTTGATTGCCATAACTTCCTCCCTCTTGATCTCCCGGGCCTTCTTGATCGTTCTCGGCACGTGGCGCTGGCGCCGGATTCGTTTGATTTCCGGCATGTGCGAGTATCTCTGGATCAGGGCCTGGTCGTACTCGAGCTTCGACCGCTGACGAGCGCTCTTGATTCCACTGCGGTCTGAGGCGTTGGATCGCCAGAGACGGATGTTCCCGTCGTCGGAACCGGAGAGGATGTATTTGTTGTCGGGGGTGAACTTGACTGAGAAGACACTGCATCAAATAAATTAGAACGATCAGAAAAAAAGAAAAGAAACGAAATAATCAATAAACTACTTACCGCTGCATTCTCTGCGTATGATAGATATCGCGCGAGTGACCCTGCGCTCGGTTCCATAGACGCACGGTCCGGTCGTACGATGCCGTCACGAGCTCTTCGCCGGTCGGACTGAACTCCACGTCCATCACTGCGGCAACGTGGTCTTTTAGGACATTTAGAGCCCGGTCCATCTTTCGCATATCAAAGATGTAGGCGTTATGGTCTTCGTTGGCCACGGCGAAGTTAAATGCCTCCATGGGATTCCACGAAATCGCGTTCGACGACAGCTTGAGAACTAGCTTGTGCAGGGGAGAGTTGGTGCGGAGGTCGTACATGATGATGGAACGGTCCATGCCCGTCGACGCGAGGATCGAGGTCTCCGTCTGGTTAAATGCGACCGCGGTGATCGTGTCGACATTAGTGGGCCAGTGAAGCACTTGCGAGGGCGTCGAGGAAGGCCGTGAAATATCGTAGATGGAGATCTGAGAAGAAGCGACCGCGAAAGAGGGAAGGCTTCGATGGTGTGTGACGCTCGTAAAGGCACCCTGTCCCAGATACGTTGCCAGAGGAGGCGCCTCGGGCGAAGAGTTGTACGGGTCCCACAGCTTGACAGTCTTGTCGCTGGCACAGGAGAGTAGCTTGCGCTCCGGTGTCCAACACACCCCCTTGACGATGTTCTCATGAGCCTGCGTATTCCAGACCTCCCCCCGGGTCGTCAAATCCCAAACTTTCACCACACCGTCCCCACTACCGCTCGCGAACCGCTCCAAGGAGACGGGATCCTTCGCCATCGAGTAGACTCCGTCCACATGACCGTCGCCCATCTGTGCTATAAAAGGCGCCGCAAAGAGACGATCAAGCTTCGTGGCATTCAGGGCTCGTGTGTACTCGCGAGCTCGCTCGAATGGATGCTGACTCGGGTCCAGGTTCCGGGGCTGTCGAACGACAGCAGACCCCGGAGCCTGCTGCGAGGATGTAGGACGAGAAAGAGCTTTAATTTTCTAACAAGCGAGTCAGTAAGATGTAGCTTATTCATAGGAAGGTGAGTTTTTAACAGCCACTTACCATGACGCTCTCAATTGGGGGGATTTATGGAGGAGAGGAAAAGAATCAAAATGAACTCCATCGTATTTTATATAAAAAAAAATATTAAAAAAAATATGGTTGGTTCGCCAAGCCGCGGGCGGTGAGCGCGGCAGAGCAGTGACGATTCCCAATTGAGGCCTGCGTCCTGCTTAGTGTAGCTTGTCATCAACCCTCAGCCATTCGTTCACCTGCCTGTCCTTCAACCTTCCTAGTCTCCGTCTCTTCGGAATCTAATCCTCCCCTCACCTTCCCTCACCCCGTATACTATCGTCCCAGCCATGGCGCCCTCCTCGACGGCCGCTCAGCGAATCGAGGAAGCTCGGGCTCTTGCAAAGAGCGCCCCTTCCAAGGCTGAGAGTACCTACAAAGAGGCCCTGGCTCAAGGCCCGGGATCATCAGAAGCTTCATCTCGTAACTACGAGAATGCTCTGGTTGGATTGGGGGAGTTGTATCGAGATGAGAAGAAACCCCAGGAGATCGCGGAACTCATCAAGACCAGCCGGGATTCTTTCTCGTCATTCGCCAAAGCAAAGACAGCCAAGCTAGGTAAGTGGGAGTGGAAGAGACCAATTTCGTGGCGGCTGGGATTCTTTAGCTGACTTATAGGAAAAAAGTCCGTCAGCTTTTGGACTTGTTTAGCGAGATCCCCAACACTCTTGATATTCAGATCGCCGTCATTCAGTCCTGCATCGACTGGGCCATCTCCGAGCGGCGGTCCTTCCTTCGACAGAACCTTCAGACCCGGCTGGTAGCCATCTACATGCAGAAGCAATCCTACTATGACGCCCTGAGCCTCATCAATCCCCTCCTGAGTGAGCTGAAGCGACTGGACGACAAGCTGATGCTGGTCGAGGTGCAGCTACTGGAATCGCGAGTGTATCATGCTTTGGGCAACCAGGCCAAGGCACGCGCGGCCTTGACGGCGTCTCGGACATCGGCCGCCTCCATCTACACGCCACCGAATCTGCAAGCCGGCTTGGATATGCAGAGTGGCATGCTGCATGCGGAAGAGAAGGACTTCAACACCTCGTACTCCTACTTTATAGAGGCGTTGGAGGGATACAGCTCGCTGGATGAAGGTGAGAAGGCGACTGCAGCGCTTCAGTACATGCTGCTCTGTAAGATCATGTTGAACCTGGCGGATGACGTGACGAGTTTGCTGGGCTCTAAGCAGGCCCAGAAATACGCTAGCCCTCGGCTGGAGGCCATGAAAGCGGTGGCGCGCGCCCACGCCAACCGATCGCTGGAAGAGTACGAAAAGGCGCTCTCGGACTATCGATTTGAACTCGGCAGCGATGCCTTTATTCGGAACCACCTCCGCCGTCTCTACGATGCTATGTTGGAGCAGAATCTGATTAAGGTGATCGAACCGTTTAGCCGGGTGGAACTGGACCATATCGCCAAGATGGTCGGGCTGGACACGCAGCAGGTGGAGAGGAAGCTGTCACAGATGATCCTGGACAAGGTGATCATCGGGGTCTTGGACCAGGGCTCGGGATGTTTGATCGTCTACGACGAGACGGAGCGGGACCAGGCATACGATGCCGCGCTGGAGACCGTTGAGAAGCTAAGCAACGTGGTGGAGGAACTGTACACGAATCAGGCATCGCTTCTGGAGTGAAGAGGGTCTTTGTAATAGGGTGATATGATTGCATTATGGGGAATCCGATTGATTAGTGGTCTCTTTGTGTCTCAGTTATGTACCTCGTAATTAAGTACTCGTATGTAATAGTAGGAGCTGCCGAATTGGGTAAAGCGCGTCGCGGCAAAATAATCGCGAATAGCGCCAACCGACCAAGACAGACCAAAAGGCAAAGACAAGACCAGAACTGGTCCTTCCTTTTCATCGCTTCCCAACCCCCCCAATTCAATCCGATCTAGTCCAATCCCTTGCGGGTTGCGAGTCGAGTCACTACGCCATGAACGCTCCAATGCAGCCCGCCTACGGTCGTGGCTTCCCGCAGCCCGCCCAACGATCTCCTGCCACGCCACGTCGCGGACCGCCAGCTCCAGGTCTGTTCCCGGCCCCTGGATTTGTCTTACCTGGCACTTTCTCGTCCTAACCTATATTTACAGGTCCTGGCATGCCGGTTCCTATGCAACAACACCCCGTGGCACCTCAGTATATGCCCCCGCAGCGCAACATGGCCCATCCCAACGACGCCGCTTTACGCCGGAGTCGCAAGCCCACCGACAAGAACATCCCCGATGGGATTGACGAAGTGGTTGTCGGGGAAGGTGTGCAGCAGTACAAGAGCCTGCGGGATCTCGAGAAGCGCCTGGATGCCGCAATCGTCCGCAAGAGGCTGGACATCCAGGATTCCATCAGCAAAACCGTGAAAAAGTACCGGACCCTGCGCATCTGGATATCGAACACGGCCGAACTGCAGCCCTGGCAAGGTGCCAGCGATGCGAATGGATTGGATCCAGGGAGTAACCCCGGCTCGGGACGGTACAAGGTCCGTATCGAGGGACGCCTGCTGGATGATGAGAACGACCCCACGGCGGCCGAAGACAGCGAGGACGACGGTGGGGAGGCGCAAGCCAACGGGGATGATCCGATGGAGCACGATGGTACTACAGAGACCAAGAAGTCGTGTGACCCCAAACGCCCAAAGCAGCGCTTTTCGCATTTTTTCAAAACTATCACTGTCGACTTTGACAAGGCTTCCACCGTCCAGCCGGAGGAGGTCAAGCCGGTCAGCTGGACCAAGCCTCAGTTGCCGGTCAATGCAGTTTCGCTTCCCCCCTCCGCTGATTTTGACTCTCTTCAATTCTCTCGAGCGTCGCAGGAAAACTTGAACATTACCATTAGCCTTGTTCGAGATGAGACTCCTGAACGTTACAAGCTTAGCAGGGAGCTGGCCGAGGTCCTGGACGTGGAGGAAGAGACTCGAAGTGGGATCGTCCTGGGCATCTGGGACTATATTCGTGCGATGGGTCTGCAAGAAGATGAGGAGAAGCGTCTGGTCCGCTGTGACCATCGTCTTCGATCGGTAGGTTTCCTTTCCTCTTGCTGCTTTATTGGGGACTGACACTAATTTCTTTCCTTACAGATCTTTGGTAGAGAGCAGATGTTCTTCCCGCACATCCCCGAGAGCATTGGACCTCACACTAGCCCTCTGGATCCCGTCAAACTCCCGTACACCATCCGTGTCGACGAGGAATTCCACAGAAACCCCGCTCCTACCGTTTACGATATCCAGGTGGCGGTGGAGGATCCTCTCCGCGCGAAGATGCTGGCCTTGACACAAAACCCTCAGTATTCATCGGCCATGCGACAGATCACCGCCCTGGATGATCAGGTGTCGTTGATTGTCCAGGCATTGACGCACTCGCGCGCCAGACATTCCTTCTACACGGCACTGAGCAACGACCCTGCGACGTTTGTGCGACGCTGGATCAATTCACAGCGTAGGGACCTCGAGACGATCCTGGGCGAGGCCACGCGCGGCGGCGGTGAAGACGGTAGTGGACCCGAGTTCCGCCGTGGAGGAAGCGAGGGTGTTTGGGACACGCCCGTGGCCCGGGAAGCTGTACGATATATGCTCGCCAAACCAGAGGCGGCGATGGGACGGTAATCTGGATAGCGTTGGTGTTTTCTAGTCAGCCCTGGACGGGAGGGAAAATACATTTGGTTTGGAGGCGCTTAGGTGGTGTTTGGATTTGGTGTGCTTTTTCATGTTTTGCTTTATCTACAGTTTCTCTTTGTCTTTTCTTTTTGTTTGGATGTGATAGTAAATCCAAGGCGATACCGAATATTTCATGTTTAAACTTGTCGTACTAGCTAAGCAGATACAAGTATAACAGACTGAGAAAGATCTAAACTCTATGATTTCCAGAGCAATAAAAATAAAAGCAAAATTCCTGTGACAGACTCCATGTCCAACCTAAAACCAAGGAAGACCACCCAGGATGGGAGATAGAGAAGCAGTCCCGTCGTAGTAAAAGAGCAATGTCCATGATCCAGCTCACATCAAGGCCCCGAGAAAAGGAATCTCTCGCAATGCAATATGAAAAGAAATCAAATATAAGCGATTCAATCAACATATTACTTAATTAAAAAAAAAAAAAAAAAAAAGGCTTCGTTTGCATATGCTATTCTCAACTACTAGTCACCACAATATCTTCTCCATTTATAGAAAACTGTCTCAAATCCGAGAAGAACCGCCGGTAGAAGCGGACGTCACATCGGCTTTCCTTCTACGTAGTTCATCGACGAAACCGGTATCCACGGCCGAGGCAATGGTGCCAGCCACCGCATCGCCGTGGAACAGACTCCCTTCTTCCTGTTCCAGCTTGGCGGCCGCATCGAGAACGACCGTTTGTGCGATATAGATGTCCTCCTTCAACTGGGAATCTTTCTCCTCCGTTTTGGTTGTCCGTGACGGCGCGGCCGATGACGACGGAGGGACCCGAAATCGCTTCATCACGGTCTCCACCATCTTCGAGAACCAGAAGTAGTTGAGGGAGTTGAGGACTAGATTAGCAGTGACGTAGGTCAGGACCAACCAGGTCGGGACCCCGTTCGCGGTGTAGGAGGCAAAGCGGGAGAGTTCGGCGGTGGCGGTAGTACTGCTGCAGGTGTCGTCGAGGCAGTGAGAGGTGTTGTCGAGGACCGAAAAGACTTGCGAGGAGATGTCGATCGGAGCTCCCGGGAGGGTGTGAGAAGCCCAGGTCTGCTTGAGGGCGTACCACATATCTCGGTAGACGAGAACGGATTGCCAGGTCCCCCAGACGAGACGGCAACAGAAGAATGTGAAGAGAAGCATCATGCCGTTATACCACTGTAGGTTACTTCCGGTCATGTTGAGCTTGTCTAGGAACCAGTGGATATTGAGGAAGGGGCTGGAGAGCTCATAGAGGATGAACACGGGCGAGTAGAAATTGACGAAGGGCCTCTTAAAAACAAGCCACAACGAATTAGCGCCGGGCTCTACATATAAGAGGAGAGAATGCGTGCAAGAGAACGTACGTATCCAAAGCTAAAGACCCAAAGAGCACTGATGGCATGGAAGAGCATGCCGATTCCAAACATACGGATATAGATTGCACTGACGATCAGATCATAGACAAAGTATCCAGCCGCGAAGGCGCCCAGCATCCCACAGACGCCGGTGTATCCATAGACACGTTCACCGACATTCATTGACTTCCGCTCCTCGTCCGCAAACATGGCCCATAGGGCCACGACATTGATGAAGATGCTCTGTACCAACGACACCACATGGACGTCCCAGTTCAGCTTGGTTCGTCGGTTGAGCTGGGGGTAGTGACGGGGGAAGATAAGCGGCGACAACCAAGGGGAGAGGATGAAATGGATAAGCTGGTAGACGATGAAAGCGATGAGGACTTCATGGATGTGATCAGAGATGGCAGGGACATTGAAATAGATCGCCCAGGGGTCGACAGCATCTCGCAGCCATGCTGGAGGAGGGGGCAAGGGGTCCAACATGTCGACCGCTCTTTAACGAGGAAGCGACTACCCGGGCTGCAAAGCTCCGATAGCGACGCCTCAGGGGGGAAGCAAAAGAAGGGCCACAGAAACGGAGTGGAGACTTAGACAGACTCCAGGTCAGCCATGGTGGAGAAGAGAGCAAGAAGCGTTTAAAAGACAAGAAGAGCAGAGAGGAGAGGATGAGGAGAGAGTGAGTAATGATGCGCCTCGGCATGTCGCGTGCCCGGCAATGCCTGATTCGTGGGGCTGCCACAGTTGGGATTCCGTTGGGGACGGCTGACTCAGCGCGTGACGGACCACCTGACGTGGATTCCTCAGGCGACAAGATCCCATCAGCTGATCCCATGTACAATTACAGTCATTTATTTTTGGACCATTCATTCCAGTCAAGCTGTGTACAAAAGAAATAAAGAAAACAGGGCTAAAAAGCATAGGAAAGTACAAAGGGAAAAAAAAGATATTCAACGCCGAGAATACTCAACTGCCCGACTAGAGGAGAATCGGAAGAATCATCATATCAACAAGTCGCTTGCTCAGCCAAAAAAAGAAAAGAAAAAAAGAAAACAAGAGGTGGTATATCACAAGGAATCGTCGATATCAAAAATGCTGCACACTCGTCACATGTCGTGGATCAGGTCAATGGTTTCTTTTCGGATGTTTATCCCACCGTGCTTGTGAGCTCCGGACCAAGTCCACTGTCACTATGTTGCCCGTAGAGTACCATCTTGGATGCCTCCGCATCTAACTCTCCCATATCTGAGTCATTGGCTGGGTCGTCGCCTTTGGTCGTCTGAGTATCGTCTTTTCCGTCCGAGGGGTGATCTCCTGACTCATAATTCTCTATAGCAGCACCGATGCCTGTGGTGGAGCTGGCGGTACTGACTCGTCGATCAGTGGAGACAACGCTGCCAGTTCCGTACACCATGCTGTCTGTATAGGTTCCAGTATAGCTGGTTCGCCGCTCCGTGCCTGTGTCACTCTCCTCCCCGCTTTGATTTTCTTCCTCCTCCGGGAATGCTTCATTTTCCTTGTTGGCGGCCGAACTCCTACCACCCCACGACGCTTTGCGCTGCGAAAAGTTGGATTTGACCGAGTGGCTTCGCTTCAGGCTGGTAAACCCACTGCTGGCGCTGACCTGCCGGTCCGTAAAGCCCCGGTTGCCCGTAACGTGACTGAGACTAAGGATTCTTCTCTCTTTACTCGCGTTTGATGGAGCACCAGAGCTAGCCTGCGATGGGGTTTGGCCTCGTTTCTTCAGGGCCAATCCAACACTGCTGCCCAGAATACTGCGGTGGTCCTTGGCCGTGCTGGCGTTGCTAGAAGCACTGGGCCCTCGGGCGCGCGAACCACGAGCCTTCTTCATATTCAGGCCGGACACGTTGTTGGGGCGACTGAGAAGCACACTGCGAGCATGGTCGAGGACACCTTCCAGGATTCGTTTCTCCAGGCTGTCCGCCCGATCTTCCATGACTTGCATCTCTTCCTGACGGAGCTCAAGTGCCATTTCCAGGCCCGCAACCTCCTTGTTCAGAGCCGTGTTCTGCCTGGCAAGGTCCTCCTTTTCAGCTTTCAGGTTGCTGATTATCTTTAATAGCGAGTCCTTCTCCTCGCGTAGAGTAATGATCTCAGCTTCGACCTGTTCTCTTTGACCATTGCGCCTTTCGAGTGCAACCGCGGCGTCCTCTGCTTCCTTACGTCTTCGTTCATTCTCATCCGCGACCATTGCTGATTGAGCTGCGAACACCTCGTTCATCTTGCGGGACGTCTCCATGATGTCTTTGTGCATCTCATCCAACTTCATCATCTGAGTTACCGATTGTTCGGTGTTGGTTGCGTGGCCCAGGAGAGTATCCAGCTTCTCATGTACGGGTTTGTTGGTGTTTGTAGCGTGAGAGAGGAGTTCGTTCAACTTGTCGCAGACTTGACCATTGCTGCTCGTAGTTTGGTTTAGGAGCTCATCAAGCTTCTCATGTACCTGATCATTTGTAATGTGCTCCACTAGGATGTCGAGCGCCTCATGCACCTTTTCGTTCTTCGCATGATCCAGGATACAGTTAAGTTTCTCGTGCACTTGACTGTCGTCATACTTCTCCGGCTCAGGCGGCGGAAGAGCAGGGAGCATCTGTGGGATGGTTGAGGGTAAGGTGGACAGGTCCATTTTAAGGTCTTGAGCGGACCTCTGGGATTGGTCGTAATGCTCGCCAACGATGGACAGGATCTGCTGGATAGGCTCAAAAACCTGTGGATGGAACTCGTGTAGCGTATTCTCTACGCGATCCGTAGCCGCGGCAGCTCGTTCAAGGTCGATTTGGGCTTTCTCTTGTTGCGTTCTAACTTCATTGTGCATCTCCTCCATCTTGTTGTACGACACGTCGACCCTCTCGAAGAATGTTTTCATATCGATACTGACCCGTTCACAGGCTTCGTTGACACTGCTGCCCATCGAACCTATGACAAGTTTGATGTCCTCTGCAAGACTTTTGGTGTTGGTGACCGCCTCAAGGCTGGCTTCATCACGCTCCATGGACTCCGAGAATTTCGATTCCATGGCAGTTTGGGCCTCGTCGTATTTGGTGATCACTTCATTGAGCTTTTCGTCGATCTTGGAGCACAGCTCGTTGACAATAGTTGCTCTGGTTTCATCATGCTTAACCATAGCCGCAGTATCTCGCTCTTCCTTTTCCAACTTGCTCGCGTCCTGTTCGCCACGCGCGCGTTCGAATTCTCGATGGATGAGCTCTGTAAGCTCATTGACGCTTTCAACTGTAGTGAAGCTCTCCGCAGAAGCAGCCAGACCTTCGAGAAGTTCCTTCAGCTCCGAGAGCCCTTCGTTACTTCCGTCTAGCTTGCTCTTTAATTCATCTCCAAGTCCCTCAACGACCATGCGAGCCTCATCAACTTTGTCAGCCAGACCAGCATGCTCCACTTTTCGTGCTTCAAAGCCTTGGGCGGTCATCTCGTTTTCCGCTTCGGTCTTTTCTCTAAACTCAGCTACTAGAGCACAGAGATCTTGGATATCCGTCTTCGTCGGCAATGTCTCAACATCGGGAAGCTTGAGCTCATCCACCTGAGTTTTGACCTCGAATATCATGGCCTCCACAGTCTGAAGGTCTGCCTTGACAAGTTTCTCAGTATCATTCTCGTCTTGGGTCCCCTTGCCCTTCAATCCATCAAGTGCGATCCACATGTCCTTCATGAGAGTTTCGAGGGTACCAATCTCGGACTTTGTCGGGCTTTCTGCCTCCAATCGCATAGACATCTCGAATATGGCCTCCTTCGTCTCCTTGACTATGGCTTCCAAGCTTTCAAGTTGCTCGGCTCTCGCTATTTCATCAGGAGCGGGGAACGTCATCTCATCCAATTGAGACTTCGTGTTTCGAAGCAATGTCTCGATGGCATCTGTGTCCTCCTTCTTGGCTGCTGTTTCATCCACAGGGTTCTCGCGTGCTACAATTCCTGCAACAGACCCTTGGAGCTCGTAAAGACCTGCCAGAACCTCGTCCAGATGTTCCTTTTTCAGGGCGTCTACGGACGGTTCGGTGGCGCGAGGGGTTGACTCTATGGCCTCAACTTTGACTTGAAGCTGAGAAATAAGAGACTTAAGTCCTTCAATATCGTTGCTAATATTTGACTCATTGGCAAGCATCAGCTCACCCCCTCTAGTCATTTCGACCTCTTCGGAATTTTTGTGAGAGTCACGTAAGCTTTCGACGTCTGCTTTCAAGGTACTGAGCCCTTCTTTCAGAGTATCGAGGAGCTCTGAATGATCAGATCCTGCTGGCCTCTCAAGGAGCTTCGCTAAGTCTTGTCGAATAGTACCCACACCATCTTGAAATACGTCGACTAGCTCATTGGTGGAAAAGACATTTTCAGGGCTGTCTTTCACATGGCTACTTTGATTGTGGAAAGTCTCAAGACTTTCACGAAGAGCGGCGATGATGTCCTCCTTGTCAGTCCTCGGTTCTGCAGGAACAAGGCTCATATTCACGGACTCCCGAAGACCTTCAAACTCTTGCTTGATGACTTCAGCAATATCCTCTGCCTTGCCAGCTTTCTGGCTTTCTGAGACATCACGAATGGCGTCGAGAATTTCATCTTTTTCTGTGGTCACATTGTTCCGGATAAGCAAGCTGCTGAGAGTGGTTCGAAGGTGCTCGAATTCCTTTTCCATGGCGTCGAGAAGCTCTGGGGTATCTGGGTTACCACGGGACCCGTTCGACAGCGCAGTATCTGTGATCGTCTTCTCCATGTCCGCTTGCAGCAATCGAAAGCCTTCTTTAACGGTGTCCATTATCTCATGCTTCCCAGTGGCTTCAGAAGCGGTAGCGGCATACCCTTCAATCTCCTGTCGTATAACAGTGATTCCATTTCTAATAGAATCTAAAACCGGTGAATTATCTTGTTCGTCGGACAGTGAACGTTGCCTTGCTTCCTCTTTCATTGTTTCTAGCTGTTCCTGAAAGCGTTCCAATATATCCCCAACGTTGTTATTGGTAGAGGTGGTTGCTTCCTGCAGTCCGGCCGAAATGGCTTCCATCAGGTCATCCTTGTTAAGCTCAATCTCCCTGATCATTGAGTTTTGGCTCTCCAACCCTTCTGCAATCGCATTCAGGATCTCTTCGCGGGAGATGGCAGGCTGGACATTAGTGCTAACAGCAGACTGCTGGGCGAGGAATGCTTCATTGATGGCATGCGTGACGTCTTCCTTTGTTACATGGGGTCTCTCCATTTTTCTGGCCGCAGAGAAGTGTACCTCTATCCCTTCTGACACAGCACCCAAAATTTCATCCCGACCCAGGCCAGAGTCAAGACTTTCCCTTGTAAGCACACTTTGGGCAGTCACTGATTCGGTAACTGCGTGCAATATTTCATCTCGAATGCTGCTCAAGTGTTCGGGCTCTAAGGAACGGGGGGCTGGTTGAATGGTCTCAAAGCATTCTCGGATAGTCTCTGCGATCTCATCCTTTGTGATGCTGGGTGGCTGCACAAAACTCTGCATCCCAGCTTGTACAGCCGCAAGAACTTGGTCGTATGTTACAGCCTGTTCAAGCTTCGGCTGATACTCTTTGAGACCTTCCGCAAGACACTCTAGGATTTCATCACGCTCGAGTCCGAAGTTCTGCAACTCAATCTCAGGCTTGTACGTCTCCCAAGCTTCTCTGACTGTCTCCAGGATGTCCTCCTTCTGCATTTCGGTTCCTTGTGTCTGAGCATGTAATTGCGACCAGTCCATGTCGTCAAGGGCGTCTTTGACAATCGAATAGATAACTGAGCCGTCCGTCGCAGCTCGCATCTCCGAAAGAGAAGCCGAATTATGTCTGTTCTCGCTGATTATTGATGCCAATTGCTCCTGGAGCTCGTGTAGGCAACCGTCAACAATTGCGGAGATTTCTTCCTTGCTGGGACTCTTCGGCTGGTCTTGCATGGCCTGAGTCTTCTCCATTTCTTCAAATTGTCGAGCCAGGTTCCTCCCCATTCCTAACACTTCACCACGGAGCTCTCGCACCAGCGCTTTCACCTCATTCGTGAGTCCCCCTCCCTCGATAACGCTGCTCTTCACCCTGTTCATGATTGCTAGCATATCCTCCGTAACCTTATTATCCGTGTGAGCCAGAGACCGTGGATCCGATACTTGACCATTATTCCCGTGTGTTACTTCCATATCAGGCGCCAACAACTGTTCAGGGTCTAGAGTCCTTGACTGAGAGCCAGTGAAGTCGGGGTTCGTCGATGGAGGGATGTGGCTCGCACTGAACCTAGGTTGCGAACGTATCAGCGCCTTGCTCTCTGTGTTGTCTTTCACGACGCTCAAAATTTCTTCAAGCATTTGTGTGATGTTGTTATCTGCATGGTTGCTAGATGTATCGGAGATGGGTCTAGATTTGATTTCTTCAGCCAGTTCAACGAGCTTCTCTTGGCCTTCTTTCGTGGCCATTTCTCGAAGAACTTTCTCCAACAGCGCAATACTGGCAGAGCCATCCGAGATGGGTGCGGGAGAACTGCACAGCTCACGCTCCATTGCTGCGGCGAACGGGTTAGGGCTCTGCATTCGTGGTACTGAATAACTCTTCTTCGAACTCGGAGAACTATCCGATTCCCTGTGGTTAATATCTTTATCAGGGCCCAGGAGAGTACTGAGATCCCACCTTGTGGCAGCATCAGGGTCCAGAAACTTTGCAGACAGACTTGAGGACAGATCGCGGAGGCTTTTCCGAATATCTTCATCTCGGGCATTGGTGGCAGCTTTAAGACTGACGAGGTCCGTGGCATTGTCTTTACTTCGACGGCTTAGTTGTGCCATCTCTCGTTGGAGATTGCTCGCAATATCTGTGAGACTGTGGATTTGTGTCGATAGAGACTCAAGGCTGGAAGGGTTTGCATGGTTAGGCACCACGAATGGATCGGAGTCATCATTCTTCAGCTGTGCTTCGCCCTCCTTCGGTAATTGCATATTTTGCAGGGCCAACATGGTGGCAGAAGGAGGCGTGCTTTCGCCAATAATCGGTTTGGACAGGTAACGATTAGAAATGAGCAAATTGGGGGATTCGCGCTCCGACTCCCGGGTGTCTGGCTCGTCACTGGTCTTTGACGGAGTCTTCTCCTGCTGCTTGAAACCCGGGTCGAGAATCGACGCCTTTAGTGGCCTTTCTGGAGACCTGCTTTCCAGGTAGTTGAGAAACTCCGAACGTGTGTCAGTGCTCTGCAAAGACTGCATGCGCTTATGGAACTGGCCTTTGATCAAGGACTTCTCGGGGGATGTCTTAGGTGGCATCGGATTTGTCGTATAAGGACTGGGAACGTTTTCACGCATCTTTTCTACAAAGTTTGCGGCGACAGCTTGAATACCTGGGGAGACATTTCCCTTCGTTGTAGGACTATTGTAGCCGGGATTCAACGGCAATGGCGGAGGCGCGCGTTCGGGGTCGGAACTGTCCCACCTTCGTTTCCACGGTTTCAAAGTCAGTCTGAAATAATCCATGGTTATATAGTAGAAGAACAAAAAATGACCCCTTGTGGTGAGGCTTTAGCCGACACGTACATGGGTACTGATTGATGTCTAAGAACAAGCTCCCTATCGTGGGAACTTTCGCGAGCGTGAGACGGCATAGTAGGACCTATAGCTCTCGCAGCAGGGTGGAATCGTCAATGTTTCAAACACAGACGAAATTGGTTATGTAGCTGGAATGCGCGCAAGAATGATCGTCGATTAAGCTCGTAAAGGCATATCAGGTCATCAAAACAAAACTAAAAGAGGCAAATACCAAGTGCCCTGGATTGAATCGAGAAAAGTTCAACGATAACAAACAGATGAGAACCAAAAAGACAATGAAGAAGCAAAAAATGACTATACGCTTGCTATGAAGAAGGGAAGGGCAGAGGCAGGGGAGGATAAGCCAAGCCTGAAAAAAAAATGCGACGGACGGTGCAAGGCAAGAAGGAAGAAGGGTGTTGAACACTGAAGTAGGTTATGATCAATTATGTAGAAGACTAAGAAAACACCTGAGTGGAGTACGATGCCTCGAGGAACGGTAGCTCATGGGGCGGCAACTGCAACCCGGCCCAATCTCCAGCGTACACATCAAAGCTGCTCTCATAGCAACGGGTGGCCCTTTGGTTGTCCGGTAAACAATCGTCACCTGGGCGGTGAGACTGGCTGGGCCAAGTTTCTCCGGGATTCGAATGGGGTCAATCCCTATGGGGAAATATTCCTAGAAAGGACTAGTGTCCTTAACTTGGTCACCCGTCGGTAATCCAGCCAATGAAATTGGGGCACACAAAGCCGCTTGCCCTGATCCCGTGCCTTTGTGCACTTGGTGAAAAAAAGCACAGAATCTCATTCTACTCGACCGAAGCACTTCGACAACCACCCCATCGACCTCGCTGCGCTCACCGGGACTTTCACAATGAAGTGTGAGTAAATCGCCATTACTTCTCGATCTCATGCTTCCCCCCCTTTTCGATCCGAGCTGACAGAATGTTACTATAGTCATGAAAGTGGGCCGTGTGGCCATCATCACCCGTGGCCGGTATGCCGGTAAGAAGGTACGACAAGAGAATTCCGTTTTATTTTATTTTATTTTATTATTTTATTTTTTGGCGAGAATGGTTGGGGGGAACACGTGGAATCGATCGAGGGAGGAGAGACGAACCCGAGAAATAGCGATTTCGATATGAAGTACATCGGGCGATGGAGGAGAAAAAGAACGAGGATCAATTGTCGATTATACTAGAGGGATGTGCTGACCGGGGTTTTCTTTTGCGATATTGCAGGTCGTCATTGTCCAGCCCAACGACACTGGTTCCAAGGCGCACCCCTTCCCCTACGCCATCGTTGCTGGTATCGAGCGTTACCCGTTGAAGGTCACCCGCCGCATGGGCAAGAAGACTGTTGAGAAGCGCAGCAAGGTGAAGCCTTTCATCAAGGTTGTCAACTACAACCACTTGATGCCCACCCGCTACACTCTCGAGCTTGAGGGTCTTAAGGGTGTTGTCTCCGCCGACACTTTCAAGGAGGTCTCCACGCGTGAGGATGCCAAGAAGACCGTCAAGAAGGCTCTTGAGGACCGCTACACCAGCGGCAAGAACCGGTGGTTCTTCACTCCTCTGCGTACGTGCAATTCTAAGATTCCAAACACTCTGCCGAGCACGGCGCTGACGATTCGCAGGTTTCTAAACGGGGTATTTTTGGGCGTTATGTTGTTTAAGCGCACAAGGTCTTAGATGAGGCAAAGGGAAAAAAAAAGGCATCGAGCGCATTCGGTTCATGAGCATGGGACGGCCGGAAGACGTATACCATAGCTGGAGAAAGAATTGGGGATGTATCGATGTACAAGTCCAGTACTTGGCCATCTTCTTTAATGAAGGAGGCTATTCAGATCTGGTATCCTCTAAATGAAATGGAAACATGAACAAATTCAAGATTCACCTTTGTTTCTTCTAACGATTGCTGCTATACTACTCACTCCCGTGGGTTTCCGGGTTGCCGCTGCTCCGGATTGAGCATGTCTGTCTTGCGTGCCCTCTGTGAAGGGCATTGGGTTAGGGCATGTCCCCTCTTAGCATTGCCATCCCCGCCTTTAACACATTCTTTCGGTAAACATGGCATGGGATAGCCGAATAGGCGACAGAGAGCGTGATCTCTCAACCCATGTTCTATAATAGTAACCGCGCTCTCGGCAGAGGACTAGACAGGGCTATGCATGCAAATCGGGAGTGGTCGGCACGGAGTAGCTCGGGGCAGGGCAGGAAGGTATCAACAGAGACTTCACTAGTTAGTAGTGTCGAATCGCTACCTACCTCCCTAGTACTACGTAGAGGGAAACCGTAACAGCCCTCGTATTCCTCGGTTCTGACCTACATTGGACTACTGCAATGGTTGCATATCAGTCGCACCGTTTCTCAATTTTTCTGGTCTAGACAGTCGGGTATTATGATTCCCTTCCTTCTATACCTTGGTGCATGCAACTGCATGAGATAATTGTGTCGTCAGTCAGATGGGTTCTCTTGGAGAGCTATTTGTTGGACACCGGTTTTGCAGCCATCTATTTTAAGGAACAGTACATGTTGTACTACTACGTCCTGCTTGTCGGTCCGGGGATCCGGGCCAGTTAACGTACTCTGTACGCTCACACATTGTTCGATCATATGAAATAGGCATCATAATCAGTCGCTTAGTGTGCCTGCCGTCGCACCGCTAAACTAGTTCCTGAGTATCATTGTGAATAATTTGTGGATCCCAGCACTACCTAAGCATAAATTAACAAAAGTACAGAGTACAATGTAACAAATGCACCAGACAAGGTTCTAAGAAAAGCAACTCCTCTCCAGACTGAGGGGAAAGTGCTCAGGCCAGGGTCTCTAAACGAGCTGCATCACTGATCTACGAGGGATATCTGTCAATGTGCCCCAGACAACGGTTGGCGATCAACCGACAGATTCCCCTGTTTGGCTAATGGGAAGATATCAATATACATGAGCAAGGACGCAGTTCGGAGTACTAAGTTCTGTCTGATCCAGTGACAACTACTGGTAAGTACTCAGCGATAGAGCAGGACTCACTGGTATGAAGTCAAAGCAGGCACAATAAAAAAAAAAAAAAAGAGAGAGAGAGAGAGAAAGGAAGAAAGAAAGAAAGAAAGAAAGGAAATAGAAAGAAAGAAAGAGCGCACATACACACATAAATACAAGGATGAAATCAAAATTGCGGACCCTTTATTTGCACCATGTTTGGATTAATTCTGAGACTGAGTATGAGGGTCATTCATTATCGTTGCCAACACTGACAGGCGGCTTTGAGACCCGCAATCACATGTTAACCACATATCTGTTGCATCGCCATTTGCGATAGGTAGGAATACCACCAAGAACTGGACAGCCCACCCGCTCGTTTATGCTTCAGCCTCTTTCGCCACTAGGATAACGCAACCTTGGTGAGCTCATACCCATCAATCAACTAGTTGACAAGCTGTGTGGAACTCTCAGAGAAAGGCTAGAAAGCTCAACTCGAAATTTGAGAGACATCGAAAAAGGATGAGGATGAGGAAGAAAAGAGCACACCACAAGCAACATCACTCCTTTCCTGCTTATCTCCCAAGATCAAGTCCTGTACGGGGAGAAACGGCGTGGCCGAATCATTGGGCAGGGAATCAAGAGGACTAAACGTCTAGTCCCGGTCGTTCCATTGATCAAGTTTGTCTCCCCGGTCGGTTTAGATGCAGGTTATCGGGGACGAATGGGACGAATGGGACGAATTGCCGTCTATTCTTGGGCCGACCATCTCTAGCCGGAGCTCCAGCCCCCGATGAGACGATAGTGATGATTATGATATGATTCTTTTTGCTTTTGCCCCTCCCTATATGGACGGCCCGCTATCACATGCGGGCATGCCCATACTGGCATCAGTAGTAAAAATTAAAATAAAAAAGTCCAGTAATAAAAGTCCTTCGCCCCCTAGCATCCGTAATATCTTTCTTTTCTCCTCTATCATCTGGAATTTCTTGGATTTGAAATCGAAATTCACAGCTTTCCCTTTTGCTTCTTCTGTTTCGGGGTTTCTGTATACCATCGTCCTGTCTTGCCGCACTCTAAAGTAGGGTTCAGTATCCTAACTCTCCCTAAACTTTCACCTTTTTCATTTCTGTGCTTGCATATTCTCCTTTCCCCTCCCTTTTTCTATTCATCTGGTAGGTTTATTGGACTTGAAACTTGAACGTGGTCCTAACATTGCTTCCCAAGAACATATGCCACACGCTGAACGAGACACGATGGGCGACAATCCAGTCAACGGCGAAATTCCTCGCTCTTATTTCATCCATGTAAGCTATTACATTTGCCCCCTTCCATCTCGAGGCTCTGTGGACTGGTTGACTGACCTCTGTTTCTATAGCATCTGGCTTCGTACCCTGTCGTTTCCGACTCGATCACGGTGCTCAAATCCAACAAGTATGGCGCAAAGTCCTTGCAATACGCCGACGAAGGCTACAACCGTCTTGCCAAACCGTTCCTCCCTTACCTATCTAAACCTTACGGCTTCGTTGCCCCTTATATCGCTCGCATGGATACCCTCGGGGACCAGGGATTGACCAAGATTGACTCGAGGTTCCCAATTATTAAGCAGGACACCGAGGAGCTCAAGGTGATGATCCACGATGGTGCTTATTACCCGGTGCGTTTCGCTGGGGAAGTGAAGGGTCATGTCTTCGACACCTATGGCTCCGAGTACAGTAAATGCGGTGGTGATGGAGTGGTTGCGACCGGCAAAGCTATCATCACTACCAGCCTAGTGCTGTCGCAGGAGTCCCTGGGCTACATCAGCTCTCTGCTGCAGAATCAGACCACGCAGGTCAAGGATGCAGTCAATGATAAGAAGGATAATTAGTTGGTCATAGCTGTCGGGGTGTGGAGTTGGAGTGTGAAGTGAGCGGGCATTGAATGTGTTTTTTTATTTCTTCCTTTTTTTTTTCCCTAGAAAGTTATGCTTCTGGCTGGTCTTCCTTTTTTAAGCAGGTGTTTTCATCTTGTCAAGCTTACAGTGTTCTTAACTAGCCCTTGCCCAAATCGCATCTTCTCAGTACTAGGAATAATTGGGGAGATGGCCCGTTTTCCTAACCCCCCAATCCATTTTCTTTTTTCATTTTCTATAAAAAAAAAATGATACGGTGTTTGTTTTTACATGTGAATTACTACCATCATGTAGGGGTCACCAAAGTCAAATGCACAGCAACATTGTTGCATCTGAAGTTTTTTTGGTGCCATTAACTGATTGTCTGACATGTGAATTGGCAAGGCTAGCATGTGATTTCTTGATATGGATAAATCACGTTGGGTCCACATTCGGTAGGAGGGCGCGTCAAACGCGTCAAACATCCAATCTAAACTTGATCTACCGACTTCCTGGGTAGATCAAGAATAAACATACTGACTGCTACTACCACCTAGTGGATCTGATTTCTCTTGCGTATCACTAGTCAGAAGCAACAAGTTACCCTGGGCTAATCCGCCGGTTCTTTTCTTTGAATCAATCAAACACGATGCCTCTTGTTCGCAAACGTCGAGCAGTACGTCCCTTCCAGCCTCTCCAAGACCAGACAGGTGAAACCAAAGTTACTAAATAATATTCCCCGTTTCAGGAGCCAGAATCCCCCAACAATTACTCCAGTTCTCTGGAACGTGAAAGCCACGTATCTGTCGAAAATGCCCGCCGTCGTCGCAGACGGACCGATGATGCCGTTTCTAGTAGTGACGAATCGGACGAAGTGGAGGCGGGTGCCCCGAGTAGTACCAATGTGATGGTGAACAAACTGGTCAGGTTAGCACTGGCCAGCGAGTATTCTCGATTGCCAATTCGGAGAACCGACATCAGCACCAAGGTTCTGGGGGAGCAAGGTTCAAGACAATTCAAGACTGTATTTAATGAGGCGCAACAGGTCCTACAGAGGATTTTTGGGATGGAATTAACCGAGCTGCCTGGCAAAGAGAAAGTGTCCATACAGCAGCGAAGAGGTGAGAAATCCTGCCTACTTTCTTCCCGGTTTGTGTGGTCAGCCCTATACAGGGTTTACTGATTTTGATATAGCCGCCCAAAAGGTCGAACGTCCTTCGTCGACGAATAAATCTTGGATACTGACTAGTACGCTACCGCCTGCTTATCGGAATCCCGAGATTTTGCCTCCAACGAAAGCACCTTTGGAGGGCATCTATACTGGTTTATACTCGTTTATTATTGCGGTGATCTTGCTCAACGGGGGATCCCTTCCCGAGCAGAAGCTCGACCGCTACCTGAAACGGACTAATGCCGATACATATACGCCCGTCGACCGCACGGATCGATTGTTGCAGCGTCTCTGTAAAGAAGGTTACTTGCTGCGAGTCCGCGATATGGATGGCGGGGAGGAAGTGATTGAGTACATGGTCGGCCCGCGAGGGAAGATTGAGGTCGGGGCTCAAGGTGTAGCGGGTTTGGTCCGTCAAGTCTACCGTCAACTGAATCCCACGGAAGACAACGATATCACTCCCTCCGAGAGGAATAAAATGGAAGATTTCGAGCTGCGCCTGGCAAGGAGTCTTGGGTTTCCAAAGCCCGCTCGGCGGACCGACAACCAAGCTACGAATGAGGGTGACGATGCAGACAATCAGCAATCGGAACAATCTATGGAGTCTGATGATGAGTCGGATGAGAGCGGTTGAGACAGTTGCAGTATAGTGGTAGGTTCTGTGCGTATTGATACACAGGTTGGCTGGTGCTTTATAACTCATTTAAGCAAGATCTGTTGGATTTTCTGTATGAATGATCTATGAGAGTATGAATTGGTATGGATGTAAATAATACAAGGATTTTCCTACGTACGTACATACATAGCCATCCGTATTGTGAACATGGACATTACCTCGTTCAGCGCCAACATCTGATACCATGAATCTACAAGAATGGAAAGATTTATCCTACAGTACATCTTGTTCGGGGCCTGCCTCTAGTATCAACATCAAACGCCCGGGGTACATTTCAACCAATCCATAGGACTTTATGTAGAAGGGAAAGAAATAGCCATATCATCACGGTCGTATATCTATGGAGAAGGATGGGAGAAGACGAAAATAGAAACAAAGGAAGAAAGTGGGCAGCCGTCGCTGATGACTACCCCACTCATTTATTTACTCGCTATCGCTGGCACTGCCATGAGCAGAACCGTTGTCTGCATCCTGATGCAGGCCCTCGGTAAGTATGTACTCGGCTTGCTGTAGAGTGGACTTGATCTCGCTGTTATTGTAAACGAGCTCGGCAGGCTTCTGTCCATGTTTATTTCTGACCCGTGGGTCACAGCCCGCTTCACACATCATCTTAATCATTTCCAAGCCAAGCTCGGAGTCCTTTTCGTTGGCGTACCGGACTGCGACATGAAGTGGGGTATCTTTATCGAGACGAGTGAGGGGGTCACATTCGAAAAATTGGATATCAAAAAGAGAATCCATTATGTCGTCTACAACAGCATCGAGTTAGGTCGGGGATTATTAACAGTGGCGATGGTATATACTCAAGGCTGCGGGAGCTCAGCAGGCAGACTTACAGCTTCCGTATGCGGCGCAGATATGAAGGGCATGGTTCCCCAATGGATCTGTGACACTGTTGAAGAACTTCGCCACTTCTTCGTTCGACTTCCCCTTCAGGTCCTTCAAGACCTGTTCAATCAAATGGAGCTGGTCTCGTCGACAGGCTTCCACAACGAGCTCCCGATGAGATGCACCCTAATCGGTCAATGCCTGATTCCTAAAGTGATATACATCAGGCATAAGCAACACTTACATCGTCAGCCATAACTGTTGATGGAGAGCTTTTCGCTGAAGTGAGAAGAATACCAATCTACTCTCGAAGATATACTGCGTAGATAGGTATATGAACCGCGTAGTAAAGGTGATTGCGCGTCTGGGCCGGGCTGAGTGGGCAAGGCAGTACTCAGGAGGCGGACTCGGATAAGGGCGCGGATAGCCGGTAACAAAGAGATACTCAAAAAAAGTGAGTACGTATAATACAAATAATCACCAAATCAGGGCTTTTAGTTGTTCTTGAAGACATCCACACGTACCAGAATGTTGGAGGAGGGACCAGACGATCACCATTGGTGTTGTTGACAGGCTCCAGGGTGCCTAGATCTTATTAGCAGGCAGCTCCCCGCTGCATAATTCCCGCCCGGAGAATTAATTGTGCCGTTCCGTCTGGTCTGCCCCGCGCCCAATGCCCGGAGCCGCAAGGGAAGGCGGTAAGGGACTGTTTCTATCCGCCAACGCTGTTCGTTGACAAGGGCAGAAGAAACCGCATATGCGCCCTTGCTGCAGGACGGTGGAAGCAAGTACACACAGTTCTCTGGTTGCTTTATGCAAGTGATATGTGATGAAAGAATTATTTGCTCCAGATTGTCTGACTAATACATACTACACACTGCTGCCAGCACCTACGATCATTTAACAATGCCATTGACCTGTTGTGTTGCTCCAATCTATGTTGCTCCCTGAATTGGAAGATAGTACTAACTTGGGTTGATCGATCTATCATATAGTCTGCCCCAATTGCAGTAATGCACTAACGATCTCACGAGGAGAACCGACATCCAGACATCCTCTTGGAATCAACCGATTCGAGTGCCGTACATGCCCTTATCAGTACGCTCTGGACCAAAGTTGGTATGAGAAGACCCCAATGAAGCAAAAAGAGGTGGAAGATGTCTTTGGCGGCAAGGAAGAATTTGCAAATGCGGACAGCATGGCCAGTAAGTGTGGTGTCTCATTAAAAAAAAATGTGTATATATCATGGTGGAGGCTGACGTGCATCTTCTTTTCACCCTTGCCTACAGCTCAATGCCCCGCAGAGAACTGCAATGGAGACCGTGCATACTTCTTCCAGCTGCAGATTCGAAGTGCAGATGAACCCATGACTACATTCTTAAAGGTGCGTTCTCCCTCGAACGCATGCGGGCGGTTTTGTATTTACCTCGCATATACTGACCGTTGAGCCGAATAGTGCACTACATGCGGTGCCCGATGGAGAGAAAATTAATCTGTTTGATTGAGAGTTATTTCAGATGGTGTGTGGTGAGAAGGCAAAAAAACGACATGGTAGAGCTTCTATAATTATTGGGCTGCTATTTGTAGGTGGTGATTTACATGGAGTTTCGAGATACCCCTCAATGATTATATGATTATTACTATCTAGAAAATTTTTCTCATTAGCGGCGGCAGATAATCGTCATTTTTGGATTGCCCAAAAAAAAAAAAAATATATCATGGTAAAGCTTGGGTGTCTGGAACCGGATGAGGTTGACTTTTTTATTTTGCCTCCCGAATGTACCAAAAAAAAAAAAAAAAAAGATGAGGGCCATTGACGATCTAAACTGTAGGGGAAGGGGAATCAAGTCTATTTCTATGTTTTGTTGAGACTGATGAGTTTTTTACAATAACATTGTTACTTATAATTATCATCATTTTATATTTTTGTTTTTTTCCTACGTTGACCTCACATCTCCAAAACACAAAAAAGACCTCCTTTGTGGATCAACGGGCGCATGCCACCGCTGCTTTGGCAAAGCTGCGTGTATTAAAACCCCTCGAGGAACAAATCAAATGTTTCGGCCGCCGCGGGGTTCTGTTGCAAACAGGTCCAACACTGATAGGAAAAAAAAAAAAAAAAAAAAAAAAAAAAAAAAAAAAGAACCAGCCTATCTTCTGCGTTGATGCCCAGTATTTCAGTCCAAAATCCACCGAAAGAATTTTCATTGTACACAGTTCGTAGTGGAGGCCGTCAGCGCACCGAGCACAATGGACCCAAGGAAACGTAGGATCCTCGATACCTTAGCAGCAATTTCTGGGCAAGAGCAAAATTCGAAAGGCTCCGCCATGAAGATTTTGCGCTGGTCCCGCACCTTCCTTGTGGGGCCTTGACCCCTCCATGTCCAATGATAAGAGCGGCTCGCCAAGGGTTAGAGCCCGCCGGTTACCTTAGTCATCTACCTTCTCGCTTGCCCCTCCATATAAGGATTTCCCCCTCCTCCCCTCCCACAGAATTTTTCCTCTTTCCTCCTTGTCCGCTTCAGTACGTATATCATCCCCCTCCGCCTGGATTTCATTTCTTTCCTTCTTCATCCTCTTACTGACTCTTCTCTTTGCTCAGTACCTCTACGCGATCAGCCGTAGTCCCTGAGCAAGTTTTCAAGAACTCTTCTAGTATCTTACAAAGAACTACAAAAGTTCATTTCTCCAACCGTCAAAATGGGGTACGTTTCAACTCGAGCGTCTACTGATTTCCTTACTGGACGAAAAATTCCATAACATTAAATGCTGACATCCTTTCTCAATAGTAAGGAAGACAAGACTCACATTAACATCGTCGTTATCGGCCACGTCGATTCCGGCAAGTCCACCACCACTGGTAAGCCGACCGTTCTCCGTCTCGTACACTATCCTGTCATATGATACTTATTCCTCGTAATAGGACATCTCATCTACAAGTGCGGTGGTATTGACCAGCGTACTATTGAGAAGTTCGAGAAGGTAAGGAAATCCTTCTCCCTCCCTATCCATTCACGGTCCAGATGTTCGTGGATGCTAACCATTCCCGCTACAGGAAGCTGCCGAACTCGGAAAGGGTTCCTTCAAGTACGCCTGGGTGCTTGACAAGCTCAAGTCCGAGCGTGAGCGTGGTATCACCATCGATATTGCCCTCTGGAAGTTCCAGACCGGCAAGTATGAGGTCACTGTCATTGATGCCCCCGGTCACCGTGACTTCATCAAGAACATGATCACTGGTACCTCCCAGGCCGATTGTGCTATCCTCATCATTGCCTCCGGTACTGGTGAATTCGAGGCTGGTATCTCCAAGGATGGCCAGACCCGTGAGCACGCTCTGCTTGCTTTCACCCTCGGTGTCCGCCAGCTTATTGTTGCCCTCAACAAGATGGACACCTGCAAGTGGGCCGAGGACCGTTACAACGAAATTGTGAAGGAAACTTCCAACTTCATCAAGAAGGTCGGCTACAACCCCAAGGCCGTTCCCTTCGTCCCCATCTCCGGCTTCAACGGTGACAACATGCTTGAGCCCTCCCCCAACTGCCCCTGGTACAAGGGTTGGGAGAAGGAGACCAAGGGTGGCAAGGTCACCGGTAAGACTCTCCTCGAGGCCATCGATGCCATCGAGCCCCCCGTCCGCCCTGCCAACAAGCCCCTCCGTCTGCCCCTCCAGGATGTCTACAAGATCTCTGGTATCGGAACTGTTCCCGTCGGCCGTGTCGAGACCGGTGTCATCACCCCCGGCATGGTCGTCACCTTCGCTCCTTCCAACGTCACCACTGAAGTCAAGTCCGTTGAAATGCACCACCAGCAGCTGAAGGAGGGTCTCCCCGGTGACAACGTTGGCTTCAACGTCAAGAACGTTTCCGTCAAGGAAGTCCGCCGTGGCAACGTCGCCTCCGACTCCAAGAACGACCCCGCCGCTGCCTGCGAGCACTTCACCGCCCAGGTCATTGTCCTCAACCACCCCGGTCAGGTCGGCGCTGGTTACGCTCCCGTCCTTGACTGCCACACTGCCCACATTGCTTGCAAGTTCGCTGAGCTCCAGGAGAAGATTGACCGCCGTACCGGAAAGTCTGTTGAGTCTTCTCCTAAGTTCATCAAGTCTGGTGATGCTGCCATTGTCAAGATGATTCCCTCCAAGCCCATGTGTGTTGAGACCTTCACTGATTACCCTCCTCTTGGTCGTTTCGCTGTCCGTGACATGCGTCAGAGTAAGTGCCACTTCTTGTCTCCCCTCTCCTTCAGCTCAAAGCTAACCGTCGTTCAAAGCCGTTGCTGTCGGTGTCATCAAGGGTGTCCAGAAGAGCGCAGGTGGTGCCGGCAAGGTCACCAAGGCCGCCCAGAAGGCCGGCAAGAAATAAACTGTTTACGACGAAAGTTGATAAAATACCAGTTTCAATTTAGATACGAGTATGTAGAAAAACTGCATACACGAAATGAATTTCTGATTGCTTCATGCACTTTCGCCCGATAAATTCATACTAAATTTTTGTAGTCATCTTGACAAGGAGGATGATGGTAGATCCTTTTAAAAACAGTACCTAAGGTGGTAACGCCTTCGCCGTGCACCGTGCTATCTCCAGGGACGTGATATTTAGATTTGCTTGTACTTGCGAGGATTTGACAATGCGCAAGTACTTCAGTCTCTGCTGTATGATTTATTTGTCAATCGGAAAATTGTTCATACGTATGACTCCATAAAAAGAAATCATTTTCACTGGTACTGCGAATCGTCATGCTCCGAAGAAGACTGGGGAGTTTCTGGTGAGATTCACCTCAAGCAACGCAGCGAACTTAGCTACGATTCACCCAAATCCTGTTGTTGGCTTTGTGCCATTACCTACGCGGTTGTTTACTCAGCTCTGTATGACTTTTCCACCTGAAGTAGTGCCACAGTACCTAATATACCTGCATTGACTGTGTTTATCTTCCGACTCTCAGGTTTTATATAGATGCACCTAGAACGTCAGCGACTAAAGCAATCAAACTGTATCTTTCAAACATATCCTCGATCAGGTCCGAGAATGTATATAGAAAGAGATAAATATCTGGATATACATGTTTATATTTTTTCATGAATACCGACAAGATCTCATGATGATGTCACCAGTTGTATGCCCAACTAGTTGGTGCCTGCCTGGGGTATCCCTGTCTAGCTCCCTCCAGCTGACATATAAGTCGGTGTAGGGACACGCCATGCGTACAGCCTTTATCTACACTAGCTCTCATCGTGGAAAAGTAAGAATAACTTCCATCCAACATCGTCATCATGAGTTCTCCACAGTTCTACCCGAATGCACTCACAACGGTCGACATCGAGCCCGAGTCCCTCCAGAAGACCCTCGGGGAGCTACTCGTGGCGGTGCGCCGAGGAGTAGATATAGTCCAACATGGCAGTCCTCCCTCAGCCAGCTGGGGCACTGCCGGTCTATACACAGGAGTTGCAGGTAAGTTCTGACGGAAGTTGATTCGACAGGTAGGGGCGAATACTGGGTGTCGGGATGAACGAAGCAGTAGATGCTAAGCACTAACCCTGATACTTATTATCTTAGGAGTTGCTCTCGCCTTTCTCAGACTCAACCATCAAGCTGCATCGTTGAATGAGCAAGGAAAGGATCCGATTGACTTTGCCAGACTCGCTAAAGAGAGGATCCCATCAACCGGTCCGAATATCAAACTGGTACCGGCAAGATTATCGCCCGCGGGTTCGTCGTCTCCAACCACCGCGGCTGTGCTGCGTATCGTATCCGGGGATGCTGTGAATGATAGCGATATTGCAATTCTTCAGGATGCTGTTGACCTTGCTCTCCAAACTGGACATATTGTCCCCCATAGCGGGCGGATGATGGGGGTTGATGAGACCTTGTTCGGCAGAGCTGGACTACTATGGGCGATCTTGAATCTTCGAGAGCATGAATACGATGATCATGCTAGAGCATCCTTGAAGCCGATATTTGATGCTATCCCCAAGCTCGTAGACGTCATCGTCGATGCAGGAAGACAAGGCCGGAAGGATTACGTTGAAAAACGTGGCGAAGAAGATGCTCTTCCATTGATGTGGATGTGGATGGAGGATCGTTATGGTCTGGGACTGTGAGTGTCTATTCGGAAATCTACACCAATTGAAAAATAAGTCAAGCACTAACCGGGTGGATCCACCAGTGTGCATGGGATGGGTACGTGCTTGCATCATTAAACAATGGTGGTTGATCATTGTTGGTCAGACTGACATCTTTACAGCCGGTATTCTCGCGGTTCTGCTTGCTTGTAAGCCATCGGAGCTCAACGACGGTGCTCTGCGCAATTACTTTCCCTGGATAGCAGGCACCATCTCAGGCATATGCAAGATATGCATTGCCAGCGACGGCCATCTTCCCACGTCCATTCCTCGGTCCCATTCATCATCCAGACGGGCTTCTGAACTGGTTCAGATCTGCCATGGCAGCCCTGGTGTTCTCCTGCTCATGGCCTGTGCAAGGAGGAACGTAGTTCTGATGTCCAATTTCTGGGAACCCACCTGGGATGAAGCCATCCGTCAGGCAAGCGAGAGGGTCTGGGAAGAAGGTCTACTTCAGAAGGGTGGCGGGCTTTGTCACGGTATAGCAGGCAATGCCTGGCCGTGGTTGATGCTGCATGACAGCTTCGAGTACGACATCGGCATGATTCAAACTGCGAAGCGCAATTACATCGAGCGAGTCCAGGCTACCGACAGCAAATGCACCGAAAATGGACTCACGGGCGATTACTTCCTATCTCGAGTGCTTGCGTTCCTACTTCATGCTCGGGACACTCGTCCTTATAATATGTCTGCCGATGCTTACCGCATGCCTGATCATCCATTTTCCTTGACGGAAGGGTTGGCAGGCACTGTTTGTGCGTGGGCTGAGGCGTGCGTCACAATCCAAGCGAGACTGCGGAAGATGCAGCTCGATGAGAAGGGACCAATTTCGGGAGATGCTCTCCAGAATGACCCTGTCTTTCGAGAGCTGGAGAATCGCCAATTAGGATTTCCTACTATTGCCCACTATAAACCAAACGGTTTACCCTGAGATGGTAATTGAGCACGGAGGTATATTGAAATTGGAGTGAAAAAAAAAGGGAAAAAGTTTCAATTGCTTCTTGCTCGCTGGACAGTCTCGGGTCTATGAATATGCTATGTGCCCAAGGATAGGGAGAGTGAAATGGAAAAGAAATCCAAGCGCTATGCTAAACTATTGAAATCGCTATGAAAAATTAAATGACAAAGGTGAATATTAAAAAAACGTAAATCCAGTCCGATATATCGGCAGCTCCCCGGGGGTTTCAAAGTTGCCCGGAGGTGATTCAACAGCAACCCTCCAACGACGCCAGCAATGATTTGACTGGTGATGGAGATCCCCGCAATAAGTACAGGGGGTCCTAATTTGCTCTGGGGCGCGATTTTGCCTTCCTGGTTCAGGTTGACTGTGGCTGCGATTCCGGGACTTATCATGTTGTGTAAAATTAACTCGACGCATCTGTTGAATAACATATTCGTTGATTTCCTCCTGACTGGGCCGTTTATTGTGTCCACGGACAGTATGACGACGCTTCGGATATCTATCATCGCGACTCATTTGCTGCATGACGAATTCGTTGATCTCATCCTGAGAGAGATCCTCAGGAAGTGGTGGTGGTGCCATACTCGACGAGGCGACTGGAGACTCTTCTAGCGGAGAAATAGCCCGGAGTTTCTTATCTTCTCGCTTTTCCCCTCGAAGGAATTTCTCATGTTCGACAGCCAGCTCTGCAAGCTCCTGAAACGTCATTCGGTTCGCTGGGTTCGGTGCGTTTATTCGACTATCCTGGAGCATATCCGTCGCCCAGTCATCCCACTCGGTACGCGACTTCAGCTTGGTCAAAAACAGAGTGTTGATCTGTGCGTCGGGGATGCTAAAGTTATCGTCTATCTGGGTGAGACCCTCTCGCATGGCCTGGATCAGCGAAATGAAGTCGGCGACAGGGTCGGACTGGGCCGAGTCGAAATCCACAAATTCGCTGATTTGGTGGATCATCCGCATATTCCGCTGCCAGACATCCATTTCGGCAAATGAGAGACGCGGGTCGCGATGGAATATCTGGGGAATGAGTCTTGCGTCCAGGAACGAGGGGTCCGCTTATGGATTGTTTTTCTCAGCATTGCTAGTAGGGAGAGGCGTGACGTCATGTGAGGCTTATCTAAGGCAGTCTTCATCCTTTTTGATTCTCATGCTAGGGGAAGCATTTCTGTTACAACTGTACATGAAAATCTATCTCTGCTGCTATGTACCTGCAGAATTACTGCTACTATACAAGTGTCAATGTACGACTAAAGAACCATGGAAACGGGCTAACTGACCGGCTGTGGATAGTACGTCTCCGAAGTATTGACACAAATGAAATGGAACCCATGCGCTCAATATTGATTAGGGTATATCTCTGGGCACCACAAGTCTCCTTATAGCCCTTTATGAGCTGTCGTCGGAGTTGGATTGGTCGGTTGGCCTCTTTCTCTCCCTAGCATCGTCTGTATAGTCCCGGACTACTGTTGAAAACCCCCCTTCGCGCCGCCATTTCCTGCTTCACGCAGTTAGCTAATCCAACTTCTTGCGAATTGATGGTAGCATGTCTTAGGGATTTCTTCTCTAGATCTGTTAACTCTGAGGTAAATCAGTCCAGGGCGATACCTCTGAAGCACGCATGGACGATCTCACCACTTCTTCACCTTTATAATTCACTAAGTCTCGGAGACTCTCAACAAACACATAAACATAATTGAAGCAGGACTTGCTGTTCGTATCTTTAACTGATGTGTGGAGCTTCAGTCATGTTGGGTCAAAAATAACCCACGTCATCTGTTTTCCATTGATTGCCATTCTGATGCGCGTTCTGACTCGGTGGAACTTGAGCTCTGAGCGTCGCGTTTTCGATTTGATCACGCTATTGATTTATTTGTTCGTTCATTTGCAAGGTTTGGTTGGAAATGGTATCTCTAACCGCCTCTGCGATTAGTTGTCATGCCTTGTCGACATTGTCAGGGATTGTCGACGTTAACCCTTTTCAGTCGAAGGAAACACAATATTCCAGTTGCTGTCTGTATTGCTTCATCCAAGGAATGCTTCCATGAAGGATCATCTAGAAGATGCCGATAAATAAAGGAATAACAAAGTTTTTGATATAGACGAGACGAGCACCGGACCCACGGCAGGTTGCACATACCCTTCTCCAGTCTCGCCTCTGCAGCATAAATTACCGGCTTCAATTCATTGTCAATATTCGTCGAGGACACAACGGGTGGAAAAAATGCCATATACAGCTCGAGAACCTAAAGACTCAGGCCGCGTAATGTCGAAAGCATCTCCCAAAGTAACCATATACATAGTCTACCGTAGATTGATACACGCCCGATCCAGCTTGATTCTCCCACACTGGTTGAAGCGGTTCAGTCGGATGTCCGTGAATATGGCAACCCACTTGGTTTCCACCACCACTCCCACCATCGGGCACGGTTTACGAGTATTATAGAGATTTGTCTCGGATCCTTATTTTTTTGTTTTCCGTGGCAATTGGGCGCTCCTGTCTCACTTCTGGATTATTGGCACTTCGGGTCCAATATTCCGTCTTTCTTAGCCCAATTAGACGTCCGGCTGGATACTATACTTGCATGCCAGATAAGAGCACCCAACAGCCGCATTGGATATCCTTGAAATAGGGGACTCGGTTCGTGTCTTGGTTGAGGGCGAGCATGAGTTCTACCGGGTGTATCCATGAAAATTGGCCTTATGAGGTTGCCAACAGTACCTGGAATGAACTCCAGGTTTATTTTTATGGATGCCGAACTGGCCGGAGGAGAGTAAGTAAGCTAGGTCTTGGGGCTGCCACTCAGATTGACCTTCCATGAAAAGTGACCTTCCATGAAAAGCTGGAGGGAATGGCCATCTGAGACTCATGGACATCGTGGGCCTCCACTATGGGCTCCTTGTTCGCTCTATCTTGGTATCGTAATGCATATATTTTCACCGATAGACTATGCTGTACTGGGATCTCCGACGGAAATAGACAGATGATCAAGAGATGGCTGGAGAGGAAGAAGATAGGTGCTGAAAGTGAGTTATATACTACTATGGAAGGTGAAGGTCGAAACGGTGTAACTGGTGAATTGTATAAGTAGAATAGGATTTTTCATACTAAGCATTCACAGTTGATATTAATTCATTCTATGATCAGAATCCGAGCGATGAATTAAATGCTCCGGAGTGAAAAGGATAACAAACACCACTATACTGCTAGTGAAGTTGCATGCTTCTGTAGCTACTCTATATTCCTCTACTTCATTTAGCAAGATATTCTTTAACTACTTCCAGGTGATGTAAAATCGTGTAGAATCGTCGTGCCGTACTATATAGTCATGTGATCATCGCCTTTTCTCATCCATAGCATCTAAAACACCACCATCCATCTTCGACCACCGTCCATCTTCGAAACGTTCCGACTGATCTAACAGCCCCTTCGCTCTATCGCTGTAACGTCTAATCCCTCCTTACGGAGTAGGTACAACATCGAATGCCCCACCTATGAGCTTTGTCGAATACGAGGAGTGGCAGTGCTAGTAAGTCCATCTTGCTGACGATGATGGATGCTTTGGGGGAGCGGCTTCCTTGGCGCTGTTGAGACCATTTCTTTCCTTCGAGATCGGCTCTTAGTTATGCCACTATTATCTGTTTAGCTGCAGAGCTTTCCTGCCTGTGACGTCGATTAGACTAGGACGCCCCCCTACTCGATCTTATACGGTCATGCTATGCTCTTCCAAATCTTACTGATTCTCCACCGCAAAAATGGACACGGTGCCTCCATCATACCAGACGGCCACCACCAAAGATGCATGGTCTATTATTGCTCAGTATATACCATCCAGTGACCTGTGTGCGGCCACCCTGGTCTGTCAAAAATGGCATGGAATCTTCATGCCCTTTCTATGGGGCAATCCGGCCTCGCATTTCGGCACCGACAACGATGCTGTCTACGGTAACCTCTGACCTGGAATCTGCTGCCACAACCCCTGCTAATTAGTGCCATTAATGATACTAGTCGCCCTGACAAGATTTAGGAGGACTTTAAAGTATGCAAGGCTTGGGGTGCGGATGCTCACCCATACTCTCCACCTCCCCCCAGCCCTGTCAGAAATCTACGGGGGTCCACGACCAGAGTGGTTAAAGGAAATTCTCCACCATCTCCCAAACCTGCAGTCCTTGGTGGTTTCTAAATTGCCTTTCTTCGACCATAATGCTATGATGGCTTTAAAAGGCGTCACCAGATATGATCAACAGGCAGCCTCTGCGGTCCCTTGTACCTACAACATCCGTCTCCTGTTGGCAGACCAGGAGCCGAACGCCACGTCACAGGGCCTGGCAGAGGCGCTGTTGCGTTTCCAGGAACTTGTTTATCTTGATTTATCTTATACCACGCCGGCTCGAGATCGTATGGTCCTCTCTTCGCTATCTCAACTAGAGCATCTCCAGGTGTTGAAACTACAGGGCATCGGTTTAAAAGACACCGACGCGGAATTCCTGGCCAACGCCGTTGGCTTAAGAGTCCGGTTCCTCGACCTGCGCGATAACATGCTCACAGATATGGCTGTCCGGTCTTTGTTGCAGGCTTCATTCCCAACCCACGGCGATTCCGCCGGCGACCGCCGACCGAGTGCTGTGCCCGTGGGGACATTCGATTCTTTCCTCCGACTGCCACTGCCATTCTCCAGCCCAAAGTGGCTCAGCTCCCCAACTCTGGATGAGCATTTTTTGAAAGCATTGACCCAGCCCTTATCGGGTCGTTCATGGGTAGAGGATCTTTCACATGGTGGCATCACACATCTCTATATAGCGGACAACCAAATCACGGTTGAAGGCGTTGCGAGCCTCTTAGCCTCAGCCAGGCTACATGTACTTGATGTGGGTACGGTTGACACTGCAGAGTCCCTCCATAAAGGGCAGCGCTCTCTGCTCTCGCAGCCCCGCGACAACCATCACAAGCTCCCTGGGGCTGAAAAATTGATTCCGATTCTTGGATCTACTGCAAAGGAGAGCCTGACATACCTTAGAGTGCATCATGCCATCTGTACAGCTGATAATCCATATGAAGAATCAGCACCGTCAACTTTTGCCCTGCCTGAATTATCAGCCGAAGCCCATCATGCAGAACAGCCGGTTGAGTTTGAGCTAGAGGCTACGAATCAGATCCACGAACTCCCCACGAATGAAGCCCCTGTCTTTGAGCTCGAAGGATCTCCAATTCCGCAGCCATTAGGCTGTTCGGCAGTTGGATCTGCCAAGCGGACTGTCCACGAAGATGAACCGCTTCCGGAGCCGAGGCGGGGGTCTGTTTTTGCTCCTGAGGTTGCTGGCGAGGGACAAGATACTGTCAATGGCCATGCCCCAGCGACCAGCCCCCTCAAAGGACTTTCAATATTGACTACTCCTGACCCAGGTGTGGGCTCAAAACCAACAGGGGCGATTTCGCAATATGGCCTTTCCCTGTCAATGGACGACGATCTTCGAGACCAGAAAATCCAAGAGCTCATTTCCAAAAGACCCAAAAGTCTGACTCTCCCTCGACGAAACCATAAATGTAACAGCTTTCCGTATCTGCATCCTTCCCATGTTCCACACTTGGAGACATTGGTACTGACTGATGTTCCGTCTCATGTGCCTGCTGACTCTCACTACCTGAGACACCTGAAGCGATTTATAACAGCCTGCTCAAATGAAGCGCTACTAGCCGTTCTTCAAGCAGGGTCAGACTATTCGCTCCCCCCGGGACGGCACCGGGCAAAAGCAGAGCAGGAACGGGCTGGGTCTCTCTTTGCTTTACGGCGCCTTGTGCTTGAGATTACCCCGACAAACCAACTAAGTGGATCAGCCCGACGGACTGCGTGGAAGCCCACCGGTTTCCAGAGCGGAGCGTCCAAGTCGAGTACCGGAGATCGAGATCTGGAGAATCTATGGACGGCGTCAATGGATGACTTTAGCTTTTTCGACGAAACTGAGTGTGGAGTTCCCGAAAATGATCCCGGAAAGTACTTCCCCATGGCTGCTCTCAACGAGAAAGTTACTTTGATCCCTGGAGAAGATGATTCCGGACATTCGCGGATCTCAACCCCAGACAGATCTTCGTCTCCGGGGCTGCTTCACCATCACTCCTCATTACAGAAACACACTGGGCCGGGTTCAACCAATAACGAGAACGCCCAAAAAGACAGGAGTATGTCCCCGCCTCAAGCAGAGGTACCGACGATCGGCCTTGTCGCCGAGCTAGCCGCCTTTCGTCGCGCGAAGAGGATCGAATATGAAGAAGTGGTGCGACGGGATCGAAAACGACGTAGCACAGTGGGGTTTACCTCCCTGCTCTCGCCCTCGCCCTCGGCCTCGTCCGTGCGATCGTCATCACCATCTCCTAGCGTGCCGACAACGGGGACCGTTTCAAAAGCGCAGCTAGCCATGGCATATTTTGTCGAGGGACACTGGAAAGGAGAAGTGAAGATCGTTCGCAACGCAGCGCCCAAGGGACGGAGCGGCGTGGTGGACATGTACGGGAATTACTTTGAGAAAGGCTACTTGTATCCTTGATGATGCGGTTGGAATCTTGAATGTTTGTTTCGCAGATGTCATCATTTGCATATAACTATGTACTTTAGGTAAGTCTCAGACCAGGACGATACTGTATGGCATGGGGAATTATACGTGGGAAGAACTCCGTACTACGACGCAATGCAGGCCATTTGCATCCATTATCTTGTCATTTGTTTTTCAGTCGTTAACCCGGCTCAGAAACCCCGGTGTCACCGAGGTCAGCCATCATGATACATACAACGGCCTCACGATAGGTAGGCAACAGGCCAAAGATTAGGTACCCCGTCCACAGGAACTGAGGCCACCCAACTTGTCACGAGTGATCGTTGGAAATTTCTTCTTTACCTTTTTGTCATGCTGTGGACATACCGATGCTTAAAAATTTTGTGTTTTGTTTTTAATATCGTCTCCTGTCCACGGATGACCCGTAGTGCAAAAGTCTTCGACCCCGAAACTGAAACCCATTCATTCCATTTGAACCAAGTAAGAAAGTTTGTTCAAGATAAAGAAAAAAAAAAACGAAGAGAAACCACACAGAAGCCTTTTTAAAACTTATTCCATTTTCTTCTCTGGTTTTTTTTCCTTCCTTACATAGCCTTGGCGGCCTGAGGGGGGTTCAGCTTCTTGCCGTCCTTGTTGTACCTGATACGAGGGGGAGGGGCACGGTTGCGACGACCTTCCCGGGAACGGACACTGTAACATTGCTGTCAGCTTTTTGACGTTCTGCCCATGATCTGAGAGAGATCTATAGATATAGATATATATCCGAGGGAGTGTACGTACCGAACAATCTTGCCGTGGATAGCGCAGGAGACGCAGTACTGCAGCTTCAGGTACATCTTGGGGACGGCATAATCGGTGAAGACGGAGGCGTCGGAGATATCACCTGTAGAATGGGAAAAAGATCCGCGAGTCAGCCCCGAGTGTTTACACTAGGATATCCCTCCAGAGTCGTGCTTGCAACTGTTGTTCATCTCAATAGCTTTGTCGTCTTTCCTCTTCCTCTGTCTTGCTCTGCCCTCGCAACGTTCTCTTCGGCCACAACTCTTTCCGAACAACAGTGCGCGCGAGATGGATAGTGGGATTCAGGTGCGGGTTATCAGGGCTCGAACATACGGATGGCAGCGGACTCGACCATGTTGCGGATGGTGAATCTCTTGATCGCCTTATCCTTGGGAGTGCAGCGAGCGCAGTTGGAGCAGCGCACGGGCTTGACGTGGCCGCGGCCGTTCTTGTTACGACCGCTAGAAAAAGAGAAACACCGGTTAGTTTTCTTGGATAAACAATTGTGATCGCAGATTCCTCATTTCCGGTTCCATCTTTCTTTCCTTCGGATGGAGTTCGTGCGGCGTCGTTGAGAACGCAACGACCTAGAGGATGGACGGCATGGGAATGGATCGGTCCTTACTTGTTCGCCCTCTTCTTGACCATCTTGACGGATATCTCTGTAGCAGTAACCGGTCAGAGAATGTACAGTTCGGGAGAAAGGGGATGGCGCGTACGTGTCTTGTCGGGGTGGGATGTCGGGAGGCAGGAGACTCTCGTGATGGAGTTGAATCGGCGGGTTTCAACGTTGTGTGCGGCTAAGCGAGCCCTGGGTCACGGGATGTATGCCTTAATGCCGTGTTGCCTGACTGCCTTAATTTCTTTCTGCCTGCAGATGGCCTGAGCCATGTGATCAGGCTGACCGCCTCGTACGGTCAACATTACCATACGTATTGGGTATTATGTTTATTACAATTTAAGGAGCACTGACTTACGGACTTAGTTCCCACTAGGGAGGTACCTCATGGTACCTCCTTCCTAAGTATAGCATAGCACTACCGAGAGAAGGTGGTCCCATTGCCTGCCCCGTGACCTCAGCCCCTGTCCCTCGGAATCAAGAGGGATTAATTAATTAATATCAAGTACTCACTCCATCGACTCGAGTATCTCTTTGATTCGGTTTTATTTCATTGCAATTCCTTCTCCCATCTCTTCTCCGCCGCCACTCACCCCTTCGCCATCCCTTCTTCCCCTCCCTCCATTCTCCAGCTTGGTGTCATGTCGGCGACAGGTACTTATAGGGGAACCACCAGCCAGAAGACCGTCGGGAGAGGCAGGCTGCCCGACTTCGAGAACGCTCCGGCATCCCACATCCCACGACCTCGTCCAGACAGCTCGTCAACGATCCAAACACCGCATACCTCGTCCAGTGATATTGGGAGTTCCACCATGAGTGCCGCCAGTAGCCGACAGCGACAGAATCAGTCGAAGCGCGATGAGGTATGGATCTTGTTTTTCGACCTGGGTTGTTTACGCTACAATTTGTATTGATTTTGATTCTTATTGTTCTATTTTGTATCTATTTATTATTCTTTCTCCCCACTGCCCCCCACAGTGTTCTACGTTTTGTTTTTATTTATTTATTTTTTTTTTTTTGTGTCCCTTGTATTTGTTTACACCTCTAAAACCATGTCCAACTCATATCCTGAATAGGCGATCCGTCGAAAAATGGAAGCGGACCTCAGCAAAAAAAAGCACCATCCCACCAGAGCCAATCGCTCCCGGAAGGCTCCTCCGGGGACTGTGCTTGCCCTGAAACCCAGTCAAGCCCTGCAGATCAAGCCCAATACCACCGTTGCGGAGGCCGCCCAGTTAATGGCCGCAAAACGTGAGGACTGTGTGTTGGTGACCGACGATGATGATCGCATCTCTGGAATCTTCACCGCTAAGGACCTGGCCTTCCGGGTCGTCGGAACGGGCCAGAAAGCGAGAGAGATCACCGTAGCCGAAATCATGACGAAGAACCCTCTCTGCGCGAGAACAGATACCAGCGCCACGGATGCCCTCGACCTTATGGTAAGGAAAGGATTCAGACATTTGCCGGTGATGGACGAGAACCAGGATATCTCAGGTGTTCTTGATATCACCAAGTGCTTCTACGATGCTATGGAGAAGCTGGAACGCGCCTACAGCTCGTCTCGGAAGCTGTACGACGCGTTAGAAGGTGTGCAGACGGAACTTGGTTCCAGCCAGCCCCAGCAGATCATCCAGTATGTCGAAGCCCTGCGCTCGAAGATGTCTGGTCCTACCCTCGAAACTGTTTTGGATGGTATGCCGCCGACCACGGTCTCCGTGCGAACCTCCGTGAAGGAAGCCGCAGCCCTAATGAAGGAGCACCACACTACGGCACTGTTGGTGCAGGATCAAGGGTCGATCACGGGTATTTTCACCAGTAAAGATATCGTGCTCCGGGTTATTGCTCCTGGACTGGATCCGGCCACCTGCAGTGTCGTTCGGGTGATGACGCCGCACCCTGATTTCGCTCCAAGCGACATGAGCATCCAGGCTGCGCTTCGCAAGATGCATGGTCCGTATACCGCCCCGTTAGCCGATGTTTGGTAGTTAGAACTGACATGATGTGGTGCTAGATGGCCACTATCTGAACCTCCCGGTCATGAACGAGTCGGGCGAAATCGTGGGCATGGTGGATGTCCTGAAGCTCACCTATGCTACCCTGGAACAGGTCAGTACATTCCAGCGAAGCCCGGTTGGAGACCGACTAACGGTCCTCTAGATCAACTCGATGCAAACTCAAGATGAAGAAGGCCCGGCTTGGAACAAGTTCTGGCTGTCAATGGACCATGAATCGGACTCCATGGTCTCGGGTAGCCAGCAGCAAACCCATCATCGGTCAGTCCTGAGCCCTGAGTCTGCGAAGCCTAGTTATGACGCGAGAGACAGCGTTCTCCCGAACGAGTCTGCCTCCCACCACGGCGGGGATGAGCACTCGGAGTATATCGACCACCACCATCCAGAGCTGGTCCCATTCCCGTTCAAGTTCAAGGCCCCCAGCGGCCGTGTGCACCGGGTTAACATTCTTCAGACGGCTGGCATTGCGGACCTGGTGGCTCAAGTCTCGGCTAAACTGGGCCACGAGGTGGAGGCGGTTGGAGGCGCGGCCGTCTGCGAAGACGGAAGGCTGAGCCATATGGGGTACGCCTTGAGTTACCTGGACAACGAAGGAGATACCGTGTCGATCACCACCGATCAAGATCTGACCGACGCTGTGACTCTCGCACGGCGATCGCGTCGGGACAAGGTCGATCTCTTCGTTCATGACCCGACCGAACCCCCCGTACCCGCCCCCGTCGAACCGCAGCCGGCGCCCCCTAAGCCGGTGGAGGAAAAGAGCTCCCCAACCCCTGAGGAAACGTCGAATCCCGAGCCCGTGCTGCCCAAGGTCCACGCGCAGAGCTTCCAATCGTCGCCACTTCCAGAGGAACAGTACATTGCAGGCGTACCGAACGATTTGCTTCTTCCGGGGGCGATTGTGACCCTGGCGGCGGTGATTGCCGGGGTGTTTGTGCTGAGTCGAGCTACGGCGCGGTGATGGATGAGGGTAAATAAATGGGTTGTGTATGTGTAGGAGGAGCAAAACCCGGACTCTTGTATTTTTCTTTTGGCATCGATCCCCTTGGCATTTTTCTTGTTCCTAGTAGCGATTTTTAGGTTTAACATATCCTTGCCTGAGTGCTTGAGTGCCTAGATACCTCCTTGCCTAATCCTTATGTGACTGCCTGACTGCCTGAGCCAAGCGCCCAAAGCGGACTAGTGCTGCGCCTCGACCGGGGGGAATTTTTTGGTTGTTCTTTGGAGACTTCATTCACTTCATCCCACATCCTCTGACTCGCTCTCCCTGCTGGGATGCTGTGCATTTGTGTCGTGTCTGGCCCTGAACTCTTCGTTTCCTGTCCTCTGACCTCGTTGCTACGGGTCTTCTGGAAATCCATCTCCCCCTACTAAACTAGTCCCCCCAAAATTAATTCCCTTCTAATCTCTCCCTACCCCACTTACCTCTCCCTCCCCTCGGACGCAGCGCCAAACCCTCCTTCATCTAGTCTCCAGGTCTTACATTCCTAGACCTCGTCGTCGACTGAGACGAGATGTCATTGCTGCCTCCTGAAGTACACTCGGCGCTCTCGCAGCTGCTGCGTGCGCTGGGCACCCCCGACAACGCCGTCCGTACACAGGCGGAAGAACAGCTGAACAATGATTGGATCCAAGGTCGTCCAGACGTGCTTTTGATGGGCCTGGTGGAACAGATTGAGGGCTCAGAGGACGCTGTCGTAAGTTCCTCGGCCTTGTGGCTTTCCAGTGAAGCTGGGGGAGGACGATGTTCTCTACCCTCTCCTTCATGCTTTTACCAGTGGTGGATTGATTGTATGGAATACTGATCCACGGGGATGGTCCATTTTTCTCGATAGACACGAGCCTTTGCCGCAGTATTGTTCAGAAGAATTGCAACCAAGACGCGGAAAGATCCCGTCACAAACGAGGCCAAAGAGCTTTTCTCGACACTCACCACAGATCAGCGCTTGATCATTCGCCAGAAATTAGTGACCTGCCTGACGAATGCGTCAGCAACAGACGTGCGAAAGAAAATCGGAGATGCCGTAGCGGAGATTGCGAGACAGTACACCGAATATGGTATGCTTCCTCGTGGAAACCCTACTGGATATCACCGAACCTGATTGAGTGACTGCTTCTCTAGGTGACCAATGGCCCGAGCTTTTAGGAGTGCTCTTCCAAGCGAGTCAGTCGCCCGAATCTGGCCTGCGCGAGGCTGCCTTTCGGATCTTCTCGACCACCCCCGGAATTATTGAAAAGTCCCACGAGGACGCCGTGGTGGGGGTGTTCAGCAAGGGTTTCAAGGATGACAACATTGCTGTGCGCATTGCCGCCATGGAGGCCTTCGCTTCCTTCTTCCGCTCCATCTCCAAGAAATCCCAGCCGAAGTTTTTCCCCCTGATGCCCGAGCTGCTCAACGTCCTGCCGCCGCTGAAGGAGTCCTCCGAGAGCGACGAGCTTTCCTCGGCCTTTTTGGCGCTGATTGAGCTGGCCGAGGTCTCCCCGAAGATGTTCAAGAGCTTGTTCAACAACCTGGTCAAGTTCAGCATCAGCGTCATTGCTGACAAGGAACTCAGCGATCAAGTCCGACAGAATGCCCTGGAGTTGATGGCTACCTTTGCCGACTATTCGCCCGGCATGTGCAAGAAGGACCCCCAGTTCGCGCAGGAGATGGTAACGCAGTGTCTGAGCTTAATGACCGACATTGGCATCGACGACGACGATGCATCCGAATGGAATGCGTCGGAAGATGTATGTTTTGTGTTGACCCGCATTGAAGGAAGATCTCTCGCCTTCTCCTTCCCGCCTGGATGCTGACTGACCTTTTTTTTTTTTTTTTTAACAAAGCTTGATCTGGAAGAGAGCGATCTCAACCACGTCGCAGGTGAGCAGTGCATGGATCGCCTGGCCAACAAGCTGGGTGGTCAGGTCATCTTGCCCGCCACCTTTTCCTGGATTCCTCGGATGATGTCGTCCTCAGCCTGGCGGGATCGTCATGCCGCCCTCATGGCCATCTCAGCCATCTCGGAAGGCTGCCGCGATTTGATGATCGGCGAATTGGACCAAGTGTTGGCCCTGGTCGTCCCCGCCCTGCAGGACCCTCACCCTCGCGTCCGGTATGCCGGCTGCAACGCGCTGGGGCAGATGAGCACCGACTTCGCGGGCACCATGCAGGAGAAGTATCATAACATTGTACTGACCAACATCATCCCCGTTCTGAACAGCGTGGAGCCCCGTGTCCAGGCGCACGCCGCGGCGGCGCTGGTCAACTTCTGCGAGGAGGCAGAGAGGCGGGTGCTGGAACCCTATCTGGCCGACTTGCTGCAGCATCTGCTGCAGCTCCTGCGCAGCCAACAGCGCTACGTACAGGAGCAGGCTCTGTCCACTATCGCCACAATTGCTGACTCCGCCGAGAACGCCTTCGACCAGTACTATGACACACTAATGCCCTTGCTCTTTAACGTACTCAAGGAGGAGCAGTCCAAGGAATACCGCCTGCTACGGGCCAAGGCGATGGAGTGTGCTACGCTGATCGCGCTGGCGGTGGGCAAGGCAAAGATGGGCCCGGACGCCCTGAACCTGGTGCAGCTGCTGGGCAACATCCAGCAGAACATCGTCGATGCGGATGACCCACAGTCACAGTACCTGCTCCACTGCTGGGGCCGCATGTGCCGCGTCTTGGGCCAGGATTTTGTCCCCTATCTTCCCGGGGTCATGCCCCCGCTGCTGACGGTGGCGGCCGCCAAGGCGGACATCCAGTTGCTGGATGACGAGGAGCAGATCGACCAGGTGGAGCAAGACGAAGGCTGGGAACTGGTGCCGCTGAAGGGCAAGATCATCGGCATCAAGACCAGTGCGCTCGAGGACAAGAACACGGCTATCGAGCTGATCACCATCTACGCGCAGATTCTCGAGGCGGCTTTCGAGCCGTACGTTCTGGAGACAATGGAGAAGATCGCTGTGCCCGGCCTGGCCTTCTTCTTCCACGACCCTGTTCGGGTGTCATCAGCAAAGCTGATCCCGCAGCTGCTGAACGCATACAAGAAGGCACATGGGGAGTCATCGCCCGGGTTCGCGCAGATGTGGAGCAAAGTGGCGGAGAAGATCATCGAAGTGCTGAGCGCGGAACCGGCGGTCGACACGCTGGCGGAGATGTACCAGTGCTTCTACGAGTCGGTGGAGGTGGTGGGCAAGAACTGCCTTAGCCCGCAACACGTGCAGGCGTTCATCGAGTCGGCCAAGTCGACGCTAGAGGACTACCAGCTGCGGGTGAAGGCGCGGTTTGAGGAGCGCGCGGAGGCGGACGACGGCGACGAGGAGAACCTGGACTATGAGTACGCGGTGGAGGATGACCAGAACCTCCTGAGCGACATGAACAAGGCGTTCCACGCCATCTTCAAGAACCAGGGGACGACCTTCCTACCGGCGTGGGAGACGCTGATGCCGTTTTACGACACGTTCATCACGAGCCAGGACCCGACACAGCGCCAGTGGGCGCTGTGCATCATGGACGACGTGCTGGAGTTCTGCGGGCCGGAGTCGTGGAAGTACAAGGACCACATCATGCAACCGCTGGCAGCGGGCCTGCAGGACCAGAACGCGGCCAACCGGCAGGCGTCGGCGTACGGCGTGGGCGTGGCGGCGCAGAAGGGCGGCGAGGCGTGGAGCGAATTCGTGGCGGCCTGCATCCCCAGCCTGTTCCAGGCGACGCAGATCAACCAGGCGCGCGCCGAAGAGCATGTGTTTGCCACGGAGAACGCCTCGGCCAGTATCGCCAAGATCCTGCACTACAACGCCAGCAAGGTGTCAAACGCGGCCGAGGTCGTGGCTAACTGGATCTCCACGTTGCCCATCACCTTTGACGAGGAGGCGGCGCCGTATGCGTATTCGTTCCTGGCCCAACTGATCGACCAGTAAGTCTCTCTCTTTCTATCTTTGGTAGATATGCTAATGTGCTAACGTCTCAGACAACACCCGACTGTCATGTCGAATGCCGACAAGGTGTTTGGATATATCGTACAGGCGCTGGAGGCAGAGACCTTGCAAGGACAGACGGCCGTGCGAGTGGCTCGCTCGGCCAAACAGCTGGTGACCGCCACAGGGGTCAATGCCGACCAGATCCTGGCGGGCGTAAACCCGGACAACCAGGCGGCAGTGCGCAGTTATTTCCAGTAGAAGAGCACGAGGGATGGCAAGGAAGACGAGTCGAGTCTGATCGAGTCGGGGAGAGAAAAGAGAGACGAACGAATGGGTTGCTAGATCTGTCTTGTCTACGTGATAATGCGTTTTTAATTTCCTGTTGATGTCCCTGTCATGAATCTATAGCGTCTACCGTTGGTGACCTTTGCGTAGACTTGCTTTCTTTATTTTTATTTATACTATTATTATTATTATTATTGTTGTTGTTGTTGTTGTTGTTGTTGTTGTTGTTGTTGTTGTCTGTTTTCGGTTCCTATGGAATGAATCTCTATGTATACAATACACGTGTACCCTTTCTCGAGTCAGCGATGTTCATGCCGAGTATTCAGATCAAGAACCTGCAGACCTAATATCATTCATCCATGAGAAATCATCATTTGGCACTATGGCAAATACCTCTTCCCAGGATTTATCAGGAAGAAGGATTTCATCAATGTCAACTATAGTAACATCTATTCTCTTCAAGATCTCTCGGACGTCATCACCTCTACTGCATCCATAAATGACTTATCCATGCCCTGAAAAGCGGACTCAGTCTCGCCTCCTCCAGAAGCTCAAACCATCACTCCTGCACTCGAGTTTCTCTCTCTTTTTGGTAATACTCTTCATCTCTGACCTGCCTCCAATAATCCTCATCTATGTCCTTCTTGCAATGATCCTAATTTTGATCCGATGGCAGCTCAGGCTTATGCCCGTCACCATGCATAGACAGACCGTTGGTCATTAACCGCCATACAAAGAGTGCCCAATGGAAGAGATCACTCCGTGGTCCTGGTATAATATTGCAATTGAAGCCCATATCCGGAAAGCCCACCGGTAGTAGAGCAATAGCATAGTCCGATCCAGATCGGACAGAGCTGAGCAGTCCACAGGAACATTAAGGACTGGCAGTCGATGTCGCTCAAAGGGTAGCCTCCTGGAATATAACAAAGATACTTGACAATCCATGGATGAATCCTCCTCATTGCCATGTTTCACTTCCGTCAGCCTTTCCATAGCAAGAAACTCATACACCCGCGCGGCATTCTTGGTATACTGATGCACCCCTCGGGTTCAAGATAAATAGTTTCCACTGTATACCCAATGTCTGGACCTGCCAAGGAATGGTGCCAGAATGCAATACGTGCCTGGATGGGATAACGTCAAAATTTCTTATTTAGGACACAGGAGGAAAAGCCCCGCCGACCGTCTACCATGATCGATGGGATGATGCACCATCAGTCTATCCTAATAAAGATAAGCTTCCTCAAAAAATATACCATGGAAAAACCCGTCCGTCAAAAGGCTTTCTGGTCTGTCCATCGAAACGCATTGCTAAGGCCCGACAGACAGCCTTGGGCTCACGGATATAGAAGAAGGATACAGGGAAAAGAGTTCAAGGTGAAGATTATGAAATTCACAATGAAAATTGATGCCATTCGATAACTTGATCAGGAAGGAGATGAAGGGGAAGGAAGAGACCTGATGTTATCTACCTATATTCGTAGCCCCGTCGACAATCACCGGGTTGGGGATGGAATGCACCTGATATAGCTCTTCGAGGACCATTATGTGGGTGCATTTGTCTGGCGTATAAGTACGGATTGGAACAAGAGAGAAGAAAGTCAGCTTTGATGGGCATCCAGACTCCCGAGTATCAGGCCTTCAATCAGTATGGAGAATGAAGCTGGACCGAGATAACAACAGAGAACTTCTTTTCGGCCACGGAAAGAACCATTGGCTTTATGTGGGCGAATTTAGTATTATCATGTATTTTTGATTAAATTAGGCTATAGAAAGCGGCATAGATAAACGTAGGTAGAATTGAGAATGCCCATTAGCATGGCTGTGCAGAAAGCTATATATATATTCGTGAAAAATACGTCTCTCTCTCCCATTAGTCCTACCTGACCAATCCGTTGTCCTGGGTCGTTTACGCTACTTGCTCCAGGATCTCCACCACTTGCTCCTTCTCAGTCAACGGAACCGGATTCGTCTGACACCAGCGATCGTGCAGGCTGTTAACAGCCAGCGCGTCTAACTGATCGCGTCCAACTCCCACCTCGTTCAATGACCGCGGCAGGCCCAGTTCGCGGATCACGGCATCCAACACGTCGCCCAAATCCGCCCGACTGCCGTCCAAACCGCGCCGTTGGAGCACCGACGCCACTTCCGGCAGGCCGACGAGGAAGCGACGCAAGCGGTCTTGATGCTCGTTGTTGGCGTGATGCACCGCGTTGAACTTGCACACGGCAGGGAGGAGGATACAGCTCGTCTCGCCGTGACCGACGCCCAAGGGACCGAGCTGTAACTGTTAGTATCTAGTCTACTGACGAAGAGAAAAAAAAAAGAGAGAGAGAGAGAGAGCACCTGATGCCCAATTCCATGACTCGCACCTAATTGCACGGCCTGACCACTCGTACAAGCTGCCATGGCATCCACCGAACCCAATTGACACTGTAATCGCGCCTCCAGGTCTCCCGGGTCGTGTTTACATCGCAATAACCCGGGCATCAACAGACCCAGCGCATGTAAGGCCAATGCATCGGTCTTTTCATTCGTCACCGACAATGACACGGCCACATACGTCTCGACGCAGTGATCCACCGCGCGCACCCCCGTGCTTAACCAGATCCGTTCGGGCGTAGTTGTCGTCAGCTTGGCATCGAGAATCACCAGTTCGGGGCCGCGCACCGGCGAATGGAACATGTGCTTCTGTTTCGAGACATCGTCCGTCGCTCCGGCAAAGTTCGAGTATTCTCCGGCCGACAGGGACGTCGGCACCGAGATTATAGGGATCTGGGGCCTGTGGATATCCGGTCGTTGATTCGGTCCCACAGTCAGAGTGGAGAGGTCATTGACGGTGGCTACAGAGTTTGCGATGGCCTTTCATTATTAGCACTACGTTAATTTCTTCGTCAGAGATAGAGAAAAAGAGAGAGTGTGTGAGTGAGAGAGATACCAACGAAATCAGCTTGGCCCCATCGGTTAAACTCCCCCCTCCAATCGTGATCAAGAGATCTGCCTGCACGCGTCGCACATCATGGACAATCTCTAACACCTCCGACCAGAGCGTATGGCTCTGCATACCGATCCGAGTCCCCACGAGGGTCTCCTTGCCCAGGGCCGTCTCCATCTGTTCCAGCACATCCGTGTTGCGCGCCAACGACCCCGAAACAATCACGTAGACTCGCGTAGCCCCAAAGGTCTCCCGCACGTGGTGTGCCGCCGCTGTGGGGAAGGGTATCCCGTAGGACAGAAGAGGACGAGGTCGGTCGGCGAAGGCAGCTCGGACGGTTTCCATTTTTTTAGTAGTATTATCTTTTTTTCTCTTTTAGAATCTTCAGCTTTTCGTTTGCTTTATTCAGATGGTAAGAGGATTCTTTTTTCTGCTTTGTTAAGTCGGGGTCGATGAGGGGATGAAGTCATCGTCACGGGATCCTGCATTGGTAATCTAATCGGGCAGGTGGGGAGGTGGGGCCGAGGTAGCGGAGCGGAGAAGAGACGAAGGGGAGGAATGCTTGGAAGATTATGTCAAGAATTCAAGATACTGCAGAACGTCATTTCCCATAAACACACCAAAACGCCGTGATCCAAATTTTAACCTCAGCAAAGTGCCTCCTATCTCTCACTACTACATGTAGCAAGTCTGAGATCTCATTTCAGATAAGTCATTAAGCAAGATACGTCGCCATGTCAAAAGCAAATGTAATTCATTGAAAAGAAAGCCAAAAAAAAAAAAAAAAAAAAAAAAAAAAAAAAAAAAAAAAAAAAATAAATACTAAGAGCCACTGCGCTCGTCCTCATCTACTGCAGCTCGCAGTTCCCATACAATGTCGTAGCATTCGGCCAGCAGTGCGTTCACACTGCCCTGTCCTTCCGGAATGTCGCTGCCGACGTAGAATTTGCCGTCTACTCGCATGTTATCGATCGAGTTAAGCTGTAAGATGTCAGCCCATCTGAATAAGGATTCTTATGATATTCCCATCATAGGATATGAATAACACACCTTCATGCTGTAGGGATAGAGCTCGCGCGAGTTGGACACGCCACCCGACTCTTTGACCTCAAGCAGACACCGCCGCAGGGTCTGCAGTTGATTGTGCACGGGCAGTAATGCTTCTGACACGGGCTCCGACGAGATCAATAGCGCGTAGATGTACCCGTAGCTTCTTCGAATCAGGTACAACAGTGTCTGACAGAGTATGTTAGCCACCTTTCTTTCCCGGAGGCACCGCTAAACATTCGTACTCGCTGTGCATGGATGTCTGCTGTTTGTCCCTCCGCATCCACAAAGTTGCCATTCACACGGGCCTCGTCAATGCGATCCAGCTTCCGCTGGTAGCCAAATAGGTCCGTCTCCCGCAGCGACCACGCCTGCGTCACAGACAGCCGATCCAACTGGTTGCGGATCTCAAGCAAACGCTCGTATTGTTCCTGAAACCGCTCATCGATTTTTCCCTCCCTGTTGCAATGTGAATAAGGAGGGGAAACCATGAGTGTTTTGGGAAAAGCGCAACCACCTACCGTTCAAGAACGATTTCCGTCCATCGCCAGCAGCGATCCTTCAGTTTCTTCAGGTCCTCCTGGCCGGCGAGCAGGGTGCCATCAGGGCCCACAAAATTGCCATCTTTCATCGTCTCCTCGATCTTCTTCAATTGATTCTGGAGTCCACTGACTTCCGTTGCGGAGAACTACAATACCGTCAATCAGTTTGCCTCCGCCACCCAAGTAAAGCAATGCGTACCTTGGAGCGGGTGTTAACGGCCGACGTAGACCGTAGAATCGAGACGAGGGTCTCGTGGGTCGATGCAAGATCCGAACTCAATACGGCCAGGCCACCTTGCAACTTCTCCAGTAGCAGTTGACATCTTTCCAGGCGACTCTCTAGGAGCGTCAATAGCGCCGGCGAGTACGCATCGCGGCAACGTTCAATGGTTTCTCGCATGTTTCCGAGGGTCTTGGTAATTGAGTTGAGGTCTTTGGAACTGTAGAAACCAGCCTCTTCGAGGTGATCGAGCAATCGCTATGGGGGTTCCAGAAGCATTAGCTGGACTGAGAAGCCGGCGAATGTATTAAATATCCTGACTTACCTGCACAGTGGTGGTAAGAGAATAGCTGTATGTCCCTCACACCATTAGAAATACAACTCCCAGCAGAGGATACATCATCGGAGTTAGAGAGTCCACCTACACTGCGGGCGCTTCATTGTTCCTTCCAACCGTCAGGAACAGCAAGGAAATCAATTGGAAACAATCGTCCAGGACGTAATCGACTAGATCCACGGAACAAGAATACCAACGTCAGCCCAATCTTCCAATATTTTCACGCTCACCGGCAAGGCCCAGATTGCTAACGTCGGTTGTGTTGCAGCCGCCGATCCCCCTTCCGCACGGCATTGAGTTTTTCCACTTCCGCAATCACTTCTTCGTACAGTGGAAGCACATCTCGGGATTTGATATAGGATGACTTATCCTGTTTGAGTAATAGAAGTGCATCTCGAGTGCACAGCAGCCGGTCAAGAATCGGTTGTTCGTGCGGATTCAACGGAGCGGATACGGCGGGGGAGTCCATGACGCCAAGAAAGAAAGTGGGAAGGTTAATGGGAGATAACAGGAGATGGGACGATGTAAAGAGGGAGGAGAGAAAGAAAGAGAAATTAATAGTTGGGAGAAGAGCCAAGAACTGGAACAAATGGTCAGTATTCAGATTCTCGAGTGTTGAAAGGGACAAGCAGAAGCGAGATGATCGCTGCAATGCGGGCGATCGGACGATGATGGCATCGAGCAGCGATATTGCTTGTTACGGACTAGCGCACAATCACGGGATAAGCAGCCACACTAAGCCTCATCGGGGTAGCCCTAAGCGAGGTCACGCGGCGCCACACACAACATTCCTTCCGCTCTGGGCGAAGCGGCCGACTGACTCTCCACGACGAAAAAAAGACCTCCATTTTCCTCCTCTTCTCTTACTCTATCCCTCTCGACATTCACGTCCTCGTCAGTCAACCTCCCTCCGTCGACCATCATGTCTACTGCTGAGCTCGCTTGCTCCTATGCGGCCCTCATCCTCGCCGATGATGGTGTCGAGGTGACCGTACGTATTTATTCCCCGGTGATATGGTTTTTGTGTGAAATGGGAGAGAGAAGGAGAATCGATGTCAACCAGTGATCGCAACGTGAAAAAGGATCGCGGGGAGAACACGACAGGGATATACTAGTGATTTATGAGCAATTTGGACTGATTGGTTTTTTCTTGATCTTCACAGGCCGACAAGATCCAGACCCTCCTCGATGCCGCCAAGGTTCAGGAAATTGAGCCCATCTGGTCTTCTATCTTCGCCAAGGTATATACTTCGAACCTGTATCCGATGGGCAGAATGTCCGATAGATCGGGAACCGCAGATGAATTTATGATCGGCTGCTTACGCTGGATTTTACTTTTTGCAGGCTCTTGAGGGCAAGGACATCAAGGACCTCCTGACAAACATCGGCTCCGCCGGCCCTGCTGTCGCTGCCCCCGCCGCCGCTGCTGGTGGTGCTGCTGCCCCCGCCGAGGCTGCTGAAGAGAAGGAGGAAGGTAAGCAAATCACTTGATTTGGGACCCTGCAATTGGGGAGTCGACAGAGCTGACCCTATGTCTACAGAGAAGGAGGAGTCCGACGAGGACATGGGCTTCGGTCTTTTTGACTAAGCACCTTTATCCGTTCGGCTTTCCTGTTTTTCCTTTTTTCCTCGTTTCTTTCCTATCTCCATTTCTCCCGCGCATTTCTTGTACCCGATACTACGCGAACGCACGAAGACCAAAAAGGGAAACATAAAAAGAACCAACGGACAAGGACATCCTGTGGGACTGGGCGCTGCGCTTGCATTATGGGTTCCGACATGACAGAGGTACTGGACCGGAGGACGCTAGGATTCCAGCCATCAGGAAAACCAGGAATTAGTTGCATACATATGGAAGATCGGAGGCAAGATCCTATTACTCTGTATGCTATGTTTCGAGTTTTAGCTAGTTTCGAGCTTTAGATGCCCAGCTCTCATGCCATGTCTGTCATGCGACCATGAACAAAAGGTTTCCGTCTGCATTCTCTGTATAACTATATAATCTGTGAAACACCGTCGGTTCCTAGTCCCTTCAGGTGTGATTCTCTTTTTCTTGTGTTTCTTGTATACCCACTGCCATCAACGCCTTTTTTTCCCCCTTGGGGCACAAAATCTAAACCATAAAACCGCGCCATGCCCATCCCAACCCTTCAACTTTTGAGTGTACAAAATAATAATAGAGCATGAAGACAAAGCATTCAACTTTTACGATAGCCCCCACAAGCAAGAGTCGATCAACTCGCGCAGATCACGTACAGACACGATAACCGGTTAGCGCCAAAGGATACAGTATTTAAAAGAAAACAGGGGGAAGAAAGAAACACTGCCTTTATGCCACCGCGGCAGTCGAATCTGTCACGGCATAGAGGCGAAACTGTATGAAAATAATAATATCTTCGATCATGGTCCCTAGGGATCCAATCAGCCAAGGAATATTCGTGACGACGTAATTTTTCTCCGTCGAGTGGCAGAGGATCTAGACAAGAGTCAGTTGGAAATCGTTCCCCCGTCATGAGATTGCAAGTCACTGGGTATTAGGACTCACCCCGGCGCCGTAGGTCAGGTTTCCCATTAGGGAGAGAATGAAGAACAACAGCGAAAGACCTGGATGGATACTGCTTGTTAGTAGCTGGTCCTCTTTGACATGCACAAGCGCTCAGGAGCACATTACCTTCGCATGACCTGTCGTAGTAGTTCTTGTAGATTTGCGGGAGACGTGCTCTGGGAGGTGTCAGTCTCTATAAGAGTTCAAAATATGATTCATAAGTTGGGAGAATTTGAAAAGAGGCGTGGACGTGCAACTCACCCGAGATAGCAAATGGCACTGAAATATCCCACCAGTTGCGCACCAGCTGCCATATCAACACCACCGTTCAGATCCTGAGGAGCGGGTTTCCAGACTCCCGACTGCCAGGCGACCGTCCACCCGGCCATACCAATCACACAGATAGCCAGCACACTGCTAAGATTCTTGACCCAAGCCTTCCGGCCCGTATCGTTCTCCTCAATGATCTTGGCCAGCGAGTCGTCAGACTGTCGGCCATGGCTAATACTGTCAGCCCGTTGCGCTGTCCACGAGCGACGTCGCGAGGCATTCGTGCTGCTGTCCGGGAAGTTGTCGCTGAAGCGCCGGCCCAGCAATGGAGTTGTTGGGTCGGGGGTTTCGACGGAAGATCGGCGTCGATAGAGAATTTCAAGGCGAGAGTTTCGGGCCTTGTAGTAGAGACATTGACCAATGAGGACTCCGTCAGCGATACAGAAGTAGACCGCGATGGCAATGATGACGGGAACCAGCCTGGCCCAAACACCTCCGATTAGGTTGGCGACGTCTCCGACAAACCAGACGAACAGGAACAGGAAGGAGATGGCTTCGGCGTTGCCATTACGGTAGTTTTCGATGAGTTGAGGCACCTGTGCGAGGATTAGTATGACTTCTCTCTCTCTCTTTCTTTAATTCGTTAATTCTTTTTATATTTATTTTCATGTTTTGTTCATTCCTCCCACCGTATATCAGAGTCAACATACCAAGAGAAATATCCAGCAAGTTAACGATATCGAGCCCAACAGGCCCGATGCCGCTTCGCGCGGTGTCAACGGCTCGGTCTCTCCAGGCGCTATGCTGGCTTGCGACCAGAGGAAAGGCATTGTTTCTCAGGTGGCGCGAGAGACGAACTGTACCGGCTGGACATGGACGATTATGGTAGGAATCGACTGAGGTGGAAGTAGAGAACCAGGATGAGGTGCACGAAAGTAGTGAGTCGAAAGGGTTGATGACTTTTTTTCCGTGTCTCATTCCGGAGGATGACGACTGAATCCAGAGTTTGGCTAATTAACTGCTAATCAATGACTGCGGGTGGGTCCGTCGTAGAGAATGTTTGACTAAGCGGGAATGACTTTCATTCTTTCATTCTCTTCTAGCTACTGCTATTCTCAAGAATATGGTATATCGTACACCATTGTTACAGTTCCGTCGAATCACTCCTCTTCATCCTCATCGTACTGCTGCAGTTGCAGCTCGTCTTCCAGCATATCCACCACCATCTCCCCCATTGCCTCCCGGATGGACCCGTGTAAAAGCCTCTGGCGCGCATCTGGCAGCACCGCGTCAAGGGCATCCACATACTCCGTCAAGGGAGAATAGTCAACTACATCCCCCCAATTCCCTCGGTCGACGCCGTATTGTCGGAGAAAAGCCTCGAGGGTGAATAGGCCGTCGCCCAAGAGCCATTGCTCCAGCAGGGGCTGTTGCTCGGCAGTGGGATGTTGTGGACGAGCCAAATCCCTCTCGCGTTCGCCCTCGGCGAGTCCATCATCACCGGCCGCCTGGTCCTCCCCCCGTTGGAATCGAGGGAAATGCAGGGCGCCGTTCTGGAGTTGGTCCAGAAGGACTTGAAGCCATTGGGGCCGACCCACCTCGGGCACCTGAGACAAGTACGATGGGGTGGGATCGGACTGCTGCCGGAAAGCGTCCGAATCGTACGGGGGAAGGGGGTCGGACGCCGATATCCGTCCTGAGATAAACCGGCTGGGCAGGTGAGTTGTGACGCGAGGGATATCAGAAAGAACCACATGACGGGCGATATCGAGCGTGATCTCGGGCGGTTCAACCGGCTCTTCCTCTCCATCCAGGGTGTCGGCAACCTCCACAATCAAAGAGACGGCCTCGGGCGTGTTCCAGAGATCCTTGGCTCGTGAAATGTAGAGTTCCATGAACAGTTCGTGGGCATCCGTAGGGGGCATCTTACCCCAGATTCGCTTGGGCATGGGCTGGATGTCGAGTTCATGGGCCAGTTTGCAATACACCCACGGGTAGCGCGACATAGACCGACGTAGTTGTTCTCGACATTCTTTGGGCTTGCCCAACCGGAGATAAGCCAGCGCCAGTGAGCATTGGATGTTCGGCAGCGAAGACCAGTCCTTGCTCAATCGTGTCTGCGTGCAGAGCTCAACAAAGTGGGAATATTCTCGGCCCCGAAGAGCCAGGTTATCGAGGAGGAGTCGGATACAGTACGGATCATTGGCGTTCAGCCCCAGTAACATCTTGGCCCATTCGTACGCCGTCCTCCACGTTCCCTTCATACCAAGGTTGGCGATATACCGCCAACCGACCAGCCATAGCTCCCGATTCTCCATATGAATAAAGTCCAGCTTGGCTTGGCCTTCCTTGAGGCGGATTCCGAACGACGAATGCGTCGAGCGACCAATGTTAAACAGGGCCCGCTCGAGGAGATCAGCTGAGACGGCATGATCCCCTTGGTGTTTGGCGATTTCCGACACCTGTAGAAGGGTCGAGATATGATACGGATTGTATTGCAGGAGCTGGATCATCCGTTGAGGATCCATCGATTCAACACAAATGTCAAACTGCCGCTGCACATCCAGGTACGAGGCGTTATGAAGAATCCGGTACACAGTGGCACCAGTCTCAAGCTTCTCTGCCAGCTCCATGCCGAGACCTCCACTAGAAGCCCGAGGCCATTCGTCCTTGCCTTGCATGAGGACGTTCCGTCGTAGTGTAACCCCAGCCAAGCTCTGTCCTCGACTCGCAGGGCTGTATCTCCCTGAAAGCGCCTGGCCGAGATCAATGGTTTCGCGGTTCCGGTCTCTCCTACGGCCTGTGCCGGAATCTTGCTGGTCGAAATTCTCTAACACCACGTTGCCAAACAATCGGCGCATTTCGTTTGTCGCATTGAGAAACTTCGGCTCGATCGCGAGCAGGTCCTCGGGAGTCTTTGCAAATGAAGCATCGCGGGCAGCTTGTGTCGACCCGGCCGCGGAGGTAGTAGTTCCTGAAGCGAAATGTCGAGGGTCGACTGCCAGTTCTTTCAGTGCTCGGTCAATTTCGTCTAGCTCTCCATCCTCCAACTTCGTAGATGCCAGTCCGTCTGCTGCATTTTTTGTTGATGCCTTCTTCTTTTTGGTCTTTTTCTTTTTCTTTGAGTTGGTGGGGTTCGTGGGTACGATTTCTGTGGGCACGCATTCTGTGGGCTGTATCACAGGCTCTTGGATGTCCTCGTTGGAGCCTTGATCATCTTCATAATCATCGATGTCATTTAGAAGGTCAAAGGTGTTCAATTTCGGCTTCGACAACCGAGCGGCCGGCTCATCGTCGCTGGAGTCGTGCTCTTCGTGCTCTGCCTGCTGCAGTTCTTGTTCGCGCAGCTTCTGCAGCTTGCGAAGGGCGCGGGAGGACATTCGGATCCGACAATGGATTAGAGAGGGCCTGCGACTTGGTGAACTGAAAGAGAAGAAACTGTTCCTTTTCTCTGGCAGAAGGTCTGCTCTGCTCGATCATCAGTCATCGACTCATCCTCCGTTTGGAATCTGGCGGGGGATGACGATATAGCCTATTCAGGACTAGTTCTGTATTGTCGTACTAACGTCACCGTACCGTATGGTATTGTGGTCACTTGATAGTTCTGCCTTGATGCCTGCATGCCTTACTGCCTGTCGCTCTCTGCATGGAATAGCATCATCTTAATTCCTCCTCCCTCTTTCTCTCTCCAGCGTCGCCGGATCTCCCCCTTATCCGTCGCTTCTCCCCCGCCGATCCAATGCGACGTGCGGCTCTTCAGGCTTTCCGTACTGCTCGCCGTGCACCAGTATGGAAAGTCACTACTAGGAAACCGTCTTCAGTGTCGTTCTCAAGCACTCGGCCATTCGGCCTTCGCCCGTCGTCCGCCGGTCACTATCCGCCCTTTATTTCTGCACCGCTGCAGTCCTCGATGCATTTGCGCAGGTTATCCATTGCAGTGATATCCACCGTGGTTGCTTCTGGAGCCTGGTACGCTTATCAGGGCAACACGTCGGCACCCACCCCAGTGGCAGGTCTTAACGCCACATCTCCATCGCAGCTACGCTCGATCGCGACGTCCGGTGCACATGCTGAGGGCTCCTCCGAACCAACCCGCCGAGCTCTTCTGGTAGATAATGATCAGTTCTACACCGCCACCCTCTCAGGAGAACAGCCTCTTTTCAAGCAGACCGACGATTCCGACCGACGAGTGCTCGAGATGCTGACGCCGGAGCAAGCCACCCAGAAGTTGAGGAAGAACGAGGAGTCGTACCTGGTGAACCGGGGCAAGGGAGTTGTCCGTTACGACGTGGTCCAGGTCCCCAGCAATTCCCCCATTGAGGATGACCATGCTGAAAAGATTGTTGAGGTGCCTTCGACTGTCGCGGCGGTCAAGGAAGGTGAAGCCAACAGTGATTGGATGTTTTGGGCGATATTTGATGGGCATTCGTAGGTTGTCCTTCTTGTGGAAATTGAGAACTGAGCCGTGTCTAATCAACGTCTGTTTAGTGGCTGGACAACCTCAGCGAAGCTACGCAACGTTCTGATCTCCTACGTAGCCCGGGAATTGAATTCGACCTATAAAGCTGCTGCCACCGATCCTTCCATTCTCTCCCCTACCTCCAGCGCCGTGGACGCCGCCATCAAGCAAGGCTTCGTTCGCCTCGACAACGATATCGTGTACGACAGTGTCAACAAGGTGCTCAAGTCCAACTCGCGGCGAATGGCGGCTGAGACGCTTGCCCCCGCTTTGTCTGGTTCCTGTGCCCTTCTTGCTTTTTACGATTCACAATCACAGGACTTGAAGGTGGCCTGTGCCGGTGACTCCAGAGCTGTCTTGGGCCGTCGTGGTCCAAACGGAAAGTGGGCGGCAACAGCGCTCTCTGAAGATCAGACCGGCGGCACGCCCTCTGAGATGAAACGTCTACGAGAAGAGCATCCTGGCGAACCCAACGTGGTACGGAACGGACGAATTCTGGGCCAGCTTGAGCCTAGCCGTTCTTTCGGTGATGCATTCTACAAATGGAGCAGAGAGACGCAGGAAAAGATCAAGCGACAGTTCTTTGGACGGACCCCTCACCGGCTTCTGAAGACGCCTCCGTATGTCACTGCCGAACCCATCATCACGACCACCAAAGTCGAGCCCAGCAAAGGTGATTTCGTCGTTATTGCTACCGACGGTCTCTGGGAGATGCTGAGCAACGAGGAGGTGGTTGGACTGGTCGGACAGTGGATTGAACAACAGAAGCTTGGCGCTATGGACGGAACCAACAAGGGCTGGCTACAGGGCTGGCTGGGATTTGAGAACAAGCAGCTGCCCGTGGAATCATTGAAGGAGACGGGGACGGAAGGCCAACGTCGCCCTATTCGTCAGCAACAGTACGATATCTCAGGTGCCGCTAGTCGTTTCACCGTGGAAGACAAGAATGCTGCCACTCATCTCGTCCGCAACGCTATGGGCGGCAAGGATAGGGACATGGTTTGCGCTCTCTTGACCCTTCCGAGCCCATATTCTCGAAGATATCGGTAGGTTACCGCCTTACATACACTTTGTGATCCGACGAGGAACTAACTAATTCTCCTTCAGGGATGACGTAACTGTCGAAGTGATCTTCTTCGGTGAAGGCCCCGACACGCGCAGTATCTCGATCAATGAGGAAGCCAGTGCGTCAGAGGAAAACGTCAAGGCCAAACTGTGATACTAGTTGGTAGAACCCCTTTTTTTCCTTTTCTTTTTTTGGTTTGTCTGGAAAAGGTCTCATGATACCTGCTGTTTCAGTATTTTATGGTAGAGAATATCGAGTAAGAAGCTGGCGTTTTACTGCTGTCCTGGTTTATTGCATAAACATGCTCCTAGAATAATTTCTTTCTCTTTCTACCCCCTCCCCTTCTTTCTGTGAATAACTTCTCTCCCAATCTTTATGTCCCAATAAAAACAGGAATAGTCACGTGGGTGACAAGGAACAGAACTAGGCAGTGAATGCACGTGAGCAACTATGCCCTGAGAAGAAGTAATTAATATTGTTCGTGCTGGATAAAACCACCAAGACCAGACTAAGATTTGTATATAATATAATCTTAAAGAAAGAGAGCAATATAGTATAATATTACTATTATTACAAAATATTTACTATATTTAATAATAAGTAACAAGCAAAGTATAGAGAGCAAGTCTATAGAGGCTAAATTTATCTTGCGATATACTTACACAATGTTACCTTATAATAGGAGAACAAACTACTAAGAGTCTTTAAGATATTAAAAGGATATAGCACTGCCACACTAGAAGATTACTTCACTAACAGGAGGTATCTACAAGGTTATGTTGCGTCTCCACTAGGGAACCTCTAGTCCAGATAGTGCCGTCCAAGAGGGAGATCACATCGTTGTGGAACAGGAAGAAACAAATAGCAAGGTTGTAGTCACTGTATTTCTTGTTCCTATATTTCTCTTTATCTGTCCTCTCTTCTCTCCCGAAGTTACTTTCTTTCTTCCCAGAGTGTTATTAGTCCTAGATTGTTTCTTTTCTTCTTTCCTCTTTCTCTCTGCCTAGCCAGTTCTCTTCTCCTGCTGTTTCTATTGCTAAGAATTCAGGATTATTATTTTTTTTTTTATTGTTATTAGTTTTGTTGGCATTTAAGGCATCTCTGTTTTGTGGAACTGTGTGGTGCGTGTTTGTGATATCAAGTAATCAAATAAATATGTATGTTCATTTTTCATATCTCCAATGTTGCTTCTTGCTGACAGACACAGCAATCATGTCGGCCCATCCCACCCATTCTCTTAACGATGATGAGAATGACATAAACAAGACCAATGCTCAAAATACCCAAACTCCTAGCCACAATGACCACATGAACGCAGTTGTGTGGTTGATCATCGCCTCCTCGAGAGGCCAGCTCGCTGACGCGGTGATGAATCCGGCTCCAACCAACGGTCCTCTCAGCCCTCCGGCCGAAAGGGTGGTTGTAGCTATCTGTGCTCGACGTCTGAACCAGGGCGAGACGGACAGGATTAGATACGTCCGCGAATGGAGACACCGCCCCTGGGTGGTAGAAACGAGCGCGAGCAGTACCTAGCGGAGCGACCCAGAGCCCTTCCGGCTCATCTCGATAACGAGCCCAGTCGGGACATGTCGGGATACCTGGCCTGACCGTGGCGACTCCATCATGACCACTTCCTCTGGGCTTGCCGTGGAACTGTCCCGGCCATCGAGCAACTTCAAGTCGTTTTAACTTCAACCCTCCAATCCTGGAGTCTTTTGTCGCTGACCGATTGAATGGGGTCAACGCCTATAAGCAAATCACCTATCTCAACACTTATTTCCCCGGCGAGACCTACTCTCTGCAGCGTGCCGTGGCGAGAGGTGTGATTTGCGAGGCGGACATTGACCATCCTGAGGCCCACGGCGGTTTCCAAGAGCTGGACGTAGAGCAACACAACCCCGGTGAACCCGAGTATCGTCAGCCCGTCCTGCCTCGCTTGGATCATTTGACTGGAGTTGTCTGGACGACGCGTATCTGGCATTGTACTTGGGAGCCCATCCGAACACTTTCATTCGTGACTATGACTGGCTTTTCGCATACCCTCTGAGCAAAGAATTTATTCGCCTGCGAATGGCTCAGATCCCATTTTTGAACCTGACCTCTGCCGAACTCCAGAGGCAAGTTGTGCGTCGCGAAGGATACCCTGACTGGACTCCCGTTAGACTCTCTACTATCAGAAGGTGATCAGGCCCTAAGTCCTCTAAACAACGGTTGAACATATTTTGTGCTTTCATGTGCAGATAAACGATCCGTGATGACAACACATGGGTCGGTTGCAACTTTCGAAACTTTCGTTTCTTTCATTCCATTTTCTTTCAATTTGCAACTTTCCCAAAGTCACACCAAGTGTTTTCTTGCTCTTTGTCTTTCCCTTGTCGAAATCATTCCGTTCTAGGTCAAAAAAAAAAAAAAAAAAAAATACAAATAAAAGGGCAACTTCATTTCTGTTTCACAGGCTTTTGTTGTCCTAGTGGAGCATATCCGATATAGATCTGCCGCCATGGTTTAAGGGGTTGTCTGACAAGCATATACTTTTCCAGAATAAATGTCTGCAACGTGGCAATATTCGTACTACTAATCCAGTAGATCATAAGCGCCGAAGGCATCTCATATAGATAAGATGAAACGCCAATATTCAGTGCCAGAACCTGAACCAAAGCCCTGATCCCTCGCAACGTAAGATTCTTAGCGAGTTCCATCCGCGGCAAATCAGCCAGTTCCGAAAGTGTAGGAGCCTTCCAGCCCATACGGATATTCAACAGGATCGAGAGCGTCAACGCAGCCGGAAGAATCCCCGTCGAGTCACCTGCCAGCAGGTCAGGAAACCAGAGAGCACCCTCCGTGGCTAGCGAGGGCTCAACGGGAAGAAGGGGAGTGATGTCCGTTTCCACGGAAGACGAAAACCGAGAGAGCAGATATGTAGCGAGTCCCTTGTCGTTACCAGCCATAGCTCGGAGGCTTTCCATCACCGAGATCCACACGGGGATCTGCAGGAAATTGACCGGTTTCCAAAACCGAGCCACGTTCCATCGTCGGTGCAAGATCTGCTGTCTCTCTTTGACCCTTTGTGCTAGCTGGCGCATGGCGTCTTGGGGCAGAATGGGCGAGTCAGTCGAGACATTGACCTGCTCCCGGATAGAATTCTGGTAATACTTGCGCCAGGAATAAAGCAAAGGTGTCAGATCTCGCTCTTTCCGGGCTTGGATTTTGGTATACACCTGCAATGGCATTGCGACTGTCATGCGGACAATCAGTGCAGTCAGCGGGATAGACATAGCCCAAGGGAGGCCACTGCATGAATGAACAGCATGGATGAACCCTGATGAGACTTCCAGGACCTCAGTGATAAAAGGCGAAGGCCTTGTGGGGTGAAAATGTCGGATATGCTGAAAGGCTGTCTTGCGCGGAAAGCGGAACGAGCCATGGAAGGATCTCATGATTGGCACTTTTCAATAAAAGAAGATTGAGAACAATAAGAATGTTAATACTAATACAGAAGAAAGGAAAGAGACAGATATAACAGGAGAAACTAATGATATAGAACTCCCACACGGACGCAATGACAATGCAAGCGAACGATTAGTCTTGAAGCTGCTTGGGATCTAGCAGAAAACAATCACTGACACGTGATTCTCACGTGTAATCAGACCATACCTATTACTGTTACTGTATATACAATACATACATACACACACATACCGTACGTTATCGATAGGGGACAGTCGCAGTTGCCTCATCACTTTCTCAAATCCCCCGTCCGCAAGTTCGGATGGCACAGTTTGCTCAGTGGTCATGATGCTGTTTCTACTCAAGACCCTGATTACGACCCTCGCCCTCCTCGCCACCTGTGCCCTACTCCCCCAGCTCCCCCTGGGTCTTCTCCGCCTCATCCTTCGCAGTGTCGGATGGGTCATCCAGAAAAGAACCAAGGCTCGAAGAGACCTTATCCTCTCGCGCGTCCAGGTAGAGGATGACGAGGTTCGATCGAAACGGACCAAGCCATCGTCCAGTGGTTTGGGAGAGGACGAAGATTGGGAAAAAGTCGATTCCTCCAGCTCCAGCTCCGGGACAGCTGGCCATAACCCCTCCGGAGATGACGAGTGGGATGGGATTATAGGCTTCTTTCACCCATTCTGGTATGGCTGACTGGTCTCTCCTTTTTCCTCTCGTTTGTTCACTGCTAACCATAGGTCGACAACAGTAACGCAGGCGGAGGGGGAGAACGGGTGCTGTGGGAAGCTGTGCGAGTCACCCAGAAGCGGTGGCCGAAGGCCACTTGCGCCATCTACACCGGCGACCATGAAGTCACAAAAGCAGCCATGCTGGAGAGAGTTCAAGTAAGTAGGCAGACGACTCTGTTGCTGGTGTCAACCTGACTTTCTCACACGTTCGCGCCCCCGTCTTTCTAGAACCGATTCAATATCCAACTCCATGCACCAACGGTGGTGTTGATGTATCTCACCACCCGTAGATATGTTTTGAGTAGTATGTATCCCTATTTGACGCTTTTGGGCCAATCTCTGGGTTCCCTGGTGGTGGCCTACGATGCATTCACTCTACTGGTGCCGGATGTTTTCATCGACACGATGGGCTACGCCTTCGCGGTAGCCTTCTGCAAGCTGCTGTTCCCCTCCGTCCCGACAGGCGCCTATGTCCACTACCCTACAATATCCACCGACATGCTGCAGTCCCTAGACGATACAACTGGCGTCAAAGGAGTCAACTCCGGCGCCGGGAAGGGCCGGAGGGGCCAGATCAAGCGGAGCTACTGGCTCGCATTCGCGCGCCTCTACGGTTGGGTCGGAGGCCATGTGGACGTCGTGATGTGCAATTCCTCCTGGACATCGGCGCACATCCGAACGATCTGGGGCCCCTCGCGGCGCACGTCCACGCACCCGAATCCCACCGTCGTCTTCCCGCCCACCGCGGTGTCAGAGCTCGAGTCGACCATCACAGTGGACGCGGAGACCGAGAAACTGCGCGCCCCGATCATCCTCTACATCGCCCAGTTCCGTCCCGAAAAGAACCACCCACTGGTTTTGCGGTCGTTCGCGCGCTTCCTCGACGAACGCAGCAAGAAACCAACGGCGGCATCGCAGCCTGAACCGAAACTGGTGCTCATCGGCTCGGTGCGCCATGCCAGCCCCGACGAAACCCACATCTACAACCTGCGGCTTCTGGCGCACGAACTCCACATCCGCGACCAGACCACCTTCCTGTGCGACGCCGGATGGCAGACCATCCTTTCTCACCTAGGTTCAGCCTCCATTGGCGTGAACGCCATGTGGAGCGAACACTTCGGCATCTGCGTGGTGGAATACCAGGCCGCTGGTCTGATCAGCGTGGTGCATGACTCTGGGGGCCCGCGCGAGGATATCGTTGTCGACCTGGACGACGGCGCCACGGGATTCCGCGCATCTACGGAGGACGAATTCGCCGCAGCGTTTGAAATGGCCTTGGCCCTGCCCAAGGAGGAAAAGGTGGCGATGAGGTTGCGCGCGCGGAAATCCGCTCTGCGCTTCACCGAGGAGGAATTCGGAATCAAATGGGTCGGAGAGGTCGGCAAGCTCGTCCGCATGCGAGCCCGGTGACGTTTTGAGATGGGACTTTATCTACTCTATCTATTGACTTATATCTGGCTTACTTTTAGATACTACCTACACTACTAGATGGTGGTGTTTCTTAGATTTAGACTCCTACGCAGATGCTCTCCGGGAATGGAAGCTTTAGATGCCATTTTTCAACTGCAGATACCCACACAGTTTGTTGTAGTAGCTAGTCTAGCCCACGTTGTGGGTAGATCTCGCTAGAATAAAGTCGCCATAACAGTCTCCACTAAAGATTCCATTCTAGAGAGGCATGTTGACTGGGATGGATGCTTCTATTGCTCGGACTATTTATTTTTTTCTCTCTCCGGTCCAAGTGACACTCCAAGACATAACTCCGAGTAGATGTCAACGAGCATAATATCTAAAAAGAAAAAGCAAGAAATTCATTGCCCCATTTGAAGAAACACTGCCGATGGAGATTCCCTAGGGGTATGACGACTCATTGTAGACACATAACGACGGTCCGCAGTCCTTGCGGTCCGAGGGGGAATCAAAAAAAAGAGATAGACAAAAATGACAAAATATTGCTCGAGACAACATCGATCGAAGAAAGCCAAGGTGAAACAGCATATAAACGAATTTCAACCTGCCGTGATCTGGGTGATTCCTGTTCTCCAACCTGTATCACCAACGCCAGAATCCCTCTCTATAGAGTAACCAAAACCCACTACAACAGACTCGCAATCCACGAACTTAGGTATAGTTCCCATACCACCAATATAACGCAGAAAAGAAGATAAAAGATAAAAAAATCTCCGTGTAAAGAAAAGGCAATAGTAGATCGGAAAGCGGAAGAAAAAAGGGAAAGGAAGAGTAGAAAAGATGAAGCGAGCAATCGGCGGTAAAACATTGTCATTCCCTCCATTCTGGGTTGCCATAGCTGTCTCCCGGATTGGCCCCTAGCATCTGGCCCTGATTGTTGACTCCATACAAATTGTCCTGAGGACTGTATCCTCCACTCATGCCGGAGACACTACTCATGGCGGACTCGTCGTCTTCAAACCCGAACTCGCCACCGGAGCTGGCGTCAAAACTGCTACGGCCGCCAATATCACTCGGATCATCCGTCGAAGCTGCGATTTGATCCCACTGGAGCGTTTGCAGGGCGGGATATTGCGCCAGCAACGCAGCAGGAAGAACGAAGCCACCCGCCTGCTGCCCATCCATCCCGGATACCATGAGTGGGGGGGGAACTGGCTGCAAGTGCGACTGCTGTTGTCGGTCCATCATCGACCGCTCTTGCGACTCTTCATCGAGTAATGGTTTGATACATATGCGACCGGCTTCCGATCTGAAATGACGGCCCAGTGCATCAGCTCGAGCAAACCGGCGGCCACATCCCCACTGCCCCCCACGGGAAAGATCCCCACGACAGACAAACTTTTTCTCTCCGGAGTGCAATCCTTCGTGCCGCTTGCGGTCATGCTGACGGGCAAAAGCCTTTCCACAGACGGTACAAACAAATGGTCGTTCGTCCGTGTGAGTGCGCAGGTGGGATCGTAAATTGTAGGCTCGGGTAAAGCGTTTTGGACAGAGATGACACTGAAACGTCGCGGGATGCTTCTGAACCCGCTTCGAGTCATTGGGGCTGGCGCCCGGTCGCTGGGGGTCTGCAAGGCCAAGGATGTAGTTGCGGCTGTCAATGGAGGATGTCGACAAACGTCGGGATCGTGAGGGCGATGGATCTCGGGAACTGGGATTGCTTTGCGGCTGACGACCAATAGAATCAAAAGGTGAGAGCGATCGTGGTGAAGAGGGGGCCAGAGGCTCCAAGCTACTCGTCGTTGTCGCGGGACTCCGTGATCGAGATGCAGGGTGAGCATACGGATCGGACTTACTGCGCATGCGGCCTGCCGGGTTTGGTTAGCCTGGCTATTCCTTGGAGCAATATTAGGTTCTTAAGGGGAAGGGGGGGATCACATACGCATTGAAGGAGGTGGACTCAACGAGTCCAAGTCCGTTGCTGGCTTAGAGTGAGGGAAAATCGGGTTCCGAGACGGTGGCGCAAGCTCCACATTAATAGAGGGCGGCGCCATCTGAGAGGCTTGTCCTATATCTCCCCCAGCCGGTATCCCCTGGGAGACGTTAACAACGCCATCTGCGCCGCTCCCATAAACGTCATTGACGGACGGTGCAGGGTACTGTGGGTGTTCTGGCGGAGGGGAAATATAAGGAATATTGGGGATCAGCTCCGCCCCTTGCTGGGGCATCAGTTGCGGAGAAATGTAGGGACTGTGTCCTGGGCTGATCCCATGCGGCTGACGCTGGTCCGACAAGGTAAACGACTCAATTCCAAGCGCTGCATTGTCGTACAGCCCGGGATCATTCTGAGGCGCAAGCAGTGGGGAGGGGTTGTTCTCCACGCCATCAAAGGATTCATGCTGCGACATATACGGCGAGTGAGCGGCGGACGATACCTCCGACACCTCGGACGGAGCTCGCCGGTGGCCTTGGAAGGCAGCGTTCCCCATGACGGCTTGCCAATCTGATTGCGAACTGCTGGTCAGGTAGGTCGCTGAGGCGGGATCCAACGAGGTATGGCGAGAGTGCTGCGGGGTGTAGAAGGTGCCCGGGGTGGAACTCAGAGGAGAAATGGGGCTCGGGGAGGAATGGTGCGGGTGCTGCTCTTGCGGGGACATCTGTGGAGAGGCCGAGGGATGAGGCGAGATCTGGCCGACGAGGTCGGCAGGGTTAACGCCATGATTAACCGGTCGGTGCATCTGGGGGTCCAGCATCAGCGAGGAGTCGTACTCGGGAGCGGTGGTGCTGTTGGGGCTGTGATTCGGAAAGGCGGAGAAGTCGTATGCAGCGGAATCTGAGTTCAACAAATTGGAGAAGTTGTCTTCGGATGACGACTGGCGCGGCGGATGCTGAGACAGAGGGATCCTCGCCGAGTGGTCGAATTGGTTCATCAGTCCAGGTTCGAAGGACTGCGGCAATGATAGGCTGTGGGGAAAGGACTGATCTGGCGGGGATAAGGTCTGCTGTGCGCCCGGTGGAGAGAGGTAGCCGCCGGAGCTGTAGGTGTAGGAGTCGGCGCTGGGAGAGTTGGCGCTGGGGTTGTTCTGAAAGGAGGGCACGGCGACAGATGGATCCAAAGTCAGACCAATCGAAGGATGGCTGTATTGCTGCTGCTGTTGTTGTTGTTGTTGTTGAGGGTGATGGGGTTGGGCCGACGGGCTGACACTGCGATTTTTAACCGCCGCCGGAGATTGGCCCGAATCCTGAAAAATCTCCTGTGAAGCCATCGCGAGGGATTGTATCCCAGAATAGATACCACGCGAAGCAAGGCGTAAGGCGAGACAGGTTTATCAATCGGGTCGAGCTAGCGAGCAAAAGGTCCAAAAGAGGGCGGTGGGGGAGCTGGCTGATAAAGAGAAAGGATGAGAAATAAGAACGATGGAAGGACGAAAAAGATAGGCAGAGAGGGGCAGTGACAAGTCGCGACGAGCGATGGTTGGCAGGAAAGAAGAGGGAAAATTAAATTGGTGTCAGGCCAGGGTTTCTTGCAGCCGTGGTAGACAAAACGCAATGTGGATGAGGTGGAAAGTGCACCTTGCAACTCAGCCTCGCGCGAGTATCAGCAATCGGGGCTCTGGAGAGGGTTCACCATCTCCAACCAAGAGACGAAGGAGGAGGTATTTATCTCACTATCTGGGATTGAAGGATAGTCAAATTTCCTCCTTGATCTCCAGGAAGGACGTGAGATGATAATGGAGAGTTGATGATTATCACGAGAGAAGAGAGAGGGGGGAAGGAAAGGAATGAAGAGACTCTCTATCCAGGAAAAGTACGGATTGTCCCGTGCCGTACAGTATGTGTATCTGTATGTAAGCTTGATGTATATATGGTATTGTCAGGACCTAGATAGATTACCGGTCAATTCAATGAATGTAATGGCCTAATGGCCTGAATGCCTGCGAGCCTGGTTGCCTGATTGAAAGCTGCTACACATATATCCCCATACGATACACAGACTGTTCTTATATACAGAATAGTTACCTAAATTACAGTCTAGTTGAAGGACAGCGATGGGACTCGTGTCGACGAGGGAGCTGAAAGTCCGGCATCTAGAATATCCTCTCTGCCTTCAGACCACATCAGGCTGACCACCATTGCATTTCTGGTCTAGAAAGTCAGCCTAACCCTATTATTAGGTCTCTCTTTTCCACTCATCCAGGGTTGAATTCATTTCGATTTCACTCTTGCTGGTAGGTTCGTGCCCTATCCCGATTCTGGCAATCTAAGTGGGCTCCTCCGATAGCTTCGTTGCACAGCCACCCGGCTGAACCGTCGGTCTGCACTCAAGTCTCGAGGGTCCTTCTAAGTTAGCCCTAAATTGTCCCAAATGATACGCACTTTATTCGCGCCTATTGCTATTCTTTTTAATTTTATTTATTTATTTTTGTCATCCAGCGGGCTGTATTGCGTCCACCTAGAACTATCTCAGTGCCATTGGAGCCTGCCGACTCCAGGATATGTATGGGAAGCTGCGAAAAAAAAGTTGCATCCTCACTACGATCCCAGTCGAACAAACACAGCCGCATCTAAATGAACCTAAACACCGTCACACTCTCCCGTACCTGGGAGCTATGGTAGTCGATGCAGCTGGGCCCTAGCCCCGCATTGTCCACCCAGGCCGGTTTCCAGTAGTACAGTCCCACGCCCTCAGTGGTGTCCTCCACCGCCGCGGCCACCTGCTGCAAGAGCGTCTTCTGTCCGGAGAAGGAAATCGGCCTCAGGTTGGCGGGGAAAGCAGTGTCGGTGTTTGGGCAAGACTCGGGCCAGTTGGTATCCACCACCAGTAGGGGTTTGGAGTAGGCCGACTGCACTGGCCCAGGCTGGACTGCAGCGCCAACGGCGTCGCGTGCTCGTCGAGAAAGGGTAGGAGAATACGACGATAAGATCCTAGTCCAACGAGTTAAGCGTCCCCATGTCCAACACGGTGTCGTAGAAGTACCTCTGGGCGCCCAAATCCCAGCCGTTGTCGAGGCGGATCATGATCTTCGGCTTCATCTCTAGGGTCGAATCTGTTGCATACGTCCAACTTGTAGATATATACTTCCCAAGAGGGTGTGTCAGTGTCTGTGGTGTGCCAGCCGGAAGGCGCCTCCTGGTCTGGGTCAGCCAATTCGATTCGAAGAAAGAGGCGTCCAACAAGGGTGAGATTCTACCTTGTGTTTTAGATCCGGCCCTCGGCCCGTGTATCACTAGTGCAAATCCTAGTAGATGGACATTCAAGCTACCTTGATCAGTTTAGCAAGGCTGAGGTTATAATCCAGGTCATAGGAGCCATCGTTGGGATTCACCTTCATGCGCTGTTGAATCGAGTTGACCCCATTATCCGCAAGGATCTTCTCCAGGGCCTGTGTCACGCCACTGAGGTTGTAGGTGACCTATTTCTTTTCCTCAATAAGCAGAGACAAGATATCCTCCACTTCCCCCCCGGTAGGTGGGGATGGTGATGAGGAGAGGAAGCCAGGGAAGAAGAAAGGGGAAGATCATATTGGCTGCATGTGGGATATGGGACTCTACTGGACATGAAGCCGAAAGTCGCGGACCGCAGATGAATTATATGCCATCCCAATGAACCTCCTGTGAGTGCTCCACGGACTTTAATCAATGTACAATAGTGGAAAGTCCTGCATTCGGCACGGAGCAGTGCCTCATAGGGCGACTTCGTACCTTCATCACTACAAGGCGTTGGCATCATTGGTGTGAGCATCAGGGCCTGATACACTGGAGTTCGCAGATCCTCGCATGGTTCCCTTCTACCCCGAGCTTGTCTCACCTCAGCCCAAGACTACAGTTGACACAAATGACATGCGGCGAGGTGGATTATCGGATGAACGTTTGTATTGTCTCTTCATCCCGTCCGCATAAACTCTCGCGGAACGGCTCTGTACTCCCATTCAACCCACGCAAATCCCAAAAATCATCATCGTCGCTGTCATCAAGCCAGACTCCCTTGGGTCATAGCCGGCCACGCTATGGGTATTTCAATTCCAAGCCCCATAACGACATTGCATACAAGAAATCACAACGTTCCTCGAAACCGGGAGGCCGTAAACAGACACAACATATATATAAACGCAAAGTGCAAATGGGAGGCATGTAAAGAGAGGCGAGCCAAGAATTCCCATCATCTTTTAAAGCCCGGCCCACAAGGAGTTAGCAGGGAAGAAAAGGTAGAAACACAGCGGCCAAATATAAACGAGCCACCAAAGCGAATATATATACAACGAACCTGCCTCTCCACCGCAAACCCTAAATTAAAGATAATTGAAAGCTCCGTAGGCTGTATGCTCATAAGCCAAAGAGCAAACCGGACAACCCAATGTAATAAAATGACATACATGCACAAACCATGACCCAATAGAATAGAAGCCATCGGAATATGAACCATTACTCCAGTGTCAAGAGAAAGAAAAGAAAATCATAAAAACAGAAAGAAGAGGTAAGGAGGTATGAGAATAAAGATGGGTAGGCTCAGTGAACATTCGACTATTTCAGTCGCGAGTGCTAGTCACACACGTAAACTCCCATTATGATTTCGAGATGTGTTTGCCAGGGACGATTGGTTTCTGGGGAGTAGCCTTCTTTTTCCCAATGACGAGGCCTTCATCCTCCGAGTCATCCTCGAAGTCATCTTCGTCGTCACAGTAATACCGAGATTCGTCTTCCTCCACCGGTCGAGGTAGACTTGGACGCCGCGCTTTGACAGTTTCACCCGTACGAAGGATAGAAGGAACCTGGATCGCCGACTCGCATTCCTTGTCCCCCTTGTCCCTGACAAACCCCTCGCCAGAAAGCGAGGACGCACCCGAGACAACGGACGGGATACTTGGGTGTGAAGTGCTCTGAGATATTCCGCTGTAGTCATCGACTGAGGATGAAGAAATGGTAGCAGCGGATGGAGGGGATGTAGTCAGCCCGACGGTGGATTGTTCAAAGAAGGCAGTATCGGCAGGACACTCCATGTCCCGGCGTTCTTGCCCACTGATTACGTATGGCTCGCTATTGCCATGGGAAATCATCTCCCCTTTGACAGGAGTACGTTCGAGATCGTTCCTTCTCTGGCGTAAGGCTTCTTTGGTAAGGGACAGGGGCTCACCGGAAGCTTTGCCGGGGAGTTGATGAGATCGGTTGCGCCGATGTCCTAGGTTCTCGGTCCGAAATGGCAGCGATTCCTCGTATACCAACAAGTTAGAATGATGGCCAACTGCGGAAGCGACACTCAAGGCCAAGCTAGGCTCGGAGTGCCGGTCACCGTCAAGTGACGCTGCTTCTGAAAGAGGCCTTTCTGGGCGCTGTTCCCCAGTCTGAAGTCCTCTTGCTAGCCTACGGCTGGCTCCGCCAAATAGGCCACTGACATTCGTAGTCCCGGATGTTTCGACACGGGCTGAAACACCGGTTCGTCGAGACACCGAAGATTCAGTGGCATTGGACGGTTTGACCGTCTTTGCGGACTCAGCAGTAGACAATGTTGATGTCGCACGCTCCGGGGGTTCTGGTCGAGGGGTGCATCCATTAGATTGCATCGTATCGAATTGCACATCTTGGAAGTAAGATGACTGCTCATCCCGGCCCACAGGGCTTGCAGTGACACTTTGTGAAAGGGGGTGTTCACCATCTCTAGTCAGTCGAGAGTGCCGAAGAAAATCCTCCTCCCTAAGACTGGCTCGTCGGTTGTCCCAAAGATGCTTTCCAAATGAATTGCTACTTGACATAGTAGATAACGATTCCACTGACGGTGCTGTGCTAGGCGTCCGTTTCAGATTGTCTTTGTCTTTTGACTTCCCGGTTAAATAATTGGACCATTTGGCAACGTTGGATCGCACACGTTGGATAAACGGGACCTTGCTGACAGCTGTAGTAACTTCTTCATTCGATACTTCAATCCGCTTTCCTTTGCTCTGATAGCCGGGATCGGTCTCCTCCACCCATGATCTAGGGTTTGGCAAGCCATCTAAAACCCAGGGGTGGTGCTTGATCTCTTTCACGGTGATCCGCTTTACTGGGTCCTTTGTCAACAGTCGTTTCAGAAGATCATATAGCTCATCATCAATCTCTTCGTAGACGAGCTCATGTTCCATACGTTTGCTGTTGTCCGGATACCGAGGCCATTGGCTGACAGAATCAGGGTCATTTTCAACAGGCTTTAGGCGCTTTCGCGAAATAAAGACATCTTTCTTGACTATAGTCTGAAACATGCTATACTCGTCGTCCGAGACAAATGGCAGGCGCCCAAAGATCATCCCGTAGAGAGTCACGCCGAGAGACCAGACATCAATAGCGCCGGTGATCCGAGGCACGCTGCCAATGGCATCCACAAAATCGTCACCTGTATAGCACAGCTCCGGAGCGTAAAAAGCGGGAGTCCCAACGGTCTTAGAGAGCTCTCGAGCGTCGTCTAGTTCAGTTGCATCAGTCTCCCCGACTTGCTCTTCATCTTCGTCCCTGATGGGCCGCCCCAGGTACGAGACACCAAAATCTGATATCTTCACGCGATGACTGCTGGTGACCAGTAAATTCGCAGGCTTGATATCACGGTGTATGATGCCTTGATAGTGGAGGTACTCAAGACCGAGCAAGGAATCTCGGAATGCGTTACGAGCTTCGGTGAAGGTCAAACAAGGGACATAGGACATATCGTCGTCATCAGAGAACCATTCCGGCTCAGAGGGGGCATATCCAAAGCTGCTAGAAGCGGTGCTGAACCGCCTTTCGAAGTTGAAATCTGCATAGGCGCCATACATACTACCTTCCACTGCAGCCAACGTTGATTCATGGGCCGACATGAAAGAGTGGCTTGGCGAGGATTGGATATCTTCCTGGCCCACTATAGAACGGCTGGACGTACGGGCAAATGACATGTCGTGTCCGGGTTCCTCCTCCTCATCTGATTCGGCACCATGCTCTAAACTCCAAGCTGGAATGGGACCTTGCTGTGCGCAAGCTGCCTTTGCTTGACGCCGTTCACGTGCCCTTTCTCGTTGCTGACGGAGGTGCTGGGCGGTTCTGACATACTGCAAACTCTCCTCCATAAACGATGGCGAATCCGCAATGCCCGCCTTTTCGCGCTCAAGCCGGTTTTTGTCAACATGCACGATTTCTCGCAGACCTCGCCGCCGCCAAATGATCTCACCGTTCTCAACAAATTCAAGGACTATATAAACTTTTTGTCGATTTGGATCGTCAATAACCTCTAATAAACTGACCACATTCGGATGACGCGCCTTCTTCAAGATGGCGACTTCTTTCTTGACTTTGTCTTCAGGATTCCCCAGCTTTCCCAAGCGACGACGTTTCGAATAGCGCTGCACAATCTTGATAGCAACCTTTTGGCGCGTAGTCACATGGCGACCCAGCTTTACTTTCCCATGCTCACCCCGTCCAAGCTCTTCGAGGATTTCATACTGATTAATTAATTTATTCCCGGTCACGAGATCCCGATCCACTTCAGCAGTGTGAGTCCTACCAAGAAATTGTTAGCTTGAATTCATTACGATCCTGTGGATGGCAATCGATGTAGAGAGGAGAATCAGCGACTCACTCTTTCGGCGGTTGCATGTGCGTTGGGTGGAGATATGGACTGCTAATGCGACCTTCATCGTCCGAGCCGAGTGGGGTTGAGCTTCGAACGGAAAAAAGACCCGGACTGGATATGGGAGTATTGCCGGCCGTACGGGAGGGCCGTGACGGCGCAAAGCGAGTAAGGATCTCGGTGCGCGATGGGTATGAGCTCCGGGAGCGAAGGAACGGAGGCTGATAGGTAGGGTGAACTTGGGATTGGAGAACAGCGTACGATTGGTCTGGATAGACAGGGTAGTCGGTGGATGGGGCATCCGACTGTCCTAAATGCGAGGTTCTCCGAGGTAGAGAAGGGCGTCCAAATACACCGAGATCGGAGCGGACGTCAACCACGGAATCCTCATTCAAGGCCTGTAGCGAGCTAGAAGAGGTTCTGGTAGACGGCGACCTGGAGGTACCTGAGGAATGGTAGAGATGGGAGAATGGATGACGTAGAGATGTTTGACCGTCCGCTACATCACTTGTCAGCGGAAGTTTGGCGGTTGGGGGCCTGGTAACAGTCTGCTTAGTGTCCGCATCTGTCGAGGTCGAAAGTGATTGCTCTGACGCCTCGCCAAGCTTGTCGGAGCCCCGTCTGTGGACACCGTCTGAATTCTTGCCATCGCGAGTAGCGGAAGTAGTGGGCTCCTCTAAAGTAGGTGCTGAAAGGGGGCGATCAGTCATTTTCATGTCTTAAACTGCTAAAACAACTTGGTACAAGTTGCAATAGAGCATCCTCCTCTCTACTTGCCCTTCTTCCTCTCTCTGTCTCACTGCTCTTGTTTTCTGGTCTCGACTTCCTGGTGTGTTTCTGCTGCTTCTTCGTCTTCTTCCCCCCCTGTTCTTTTCTTGTTTTGTCTTCTTTTCTTTCTTTTCTTTCTTTTCTTTTAACACGAGATCCTTTTGTTTTGTAATTCTTTCCCAAATGAACCGCCTGATTCAGGGCGAGCTAGCGAGAAGCTCTGGTGATGCGCACGAATGAATCAGCATAACTCTCTCAGAGATCGACTCGGCCGAATGCCATAACAGCTATGCAGGTCAACTTGGCAAGGGAAACCGTGTGCCCGACAACGGGGAGGTGGGAAAATATCCAGGCGATAGGCCTGCTATAGCACCAGGATGCAGTCGAGGATCGCTTGTCTCCGGACACAAGGGTTTCGGGGGAGGTGGGGAGAGTCGGAGAGTATCGTCGTTTATTGCTGAGATGGGAGGTAGACCAGGTAAGAGAAAGAGTAGCGGTTTAATTCTAGAGCTAGAGATTGGACAGTCGCAATGGAAAATCTATACCGTAAGTGCCCCTCAAAATGAATTGTTGGGTACAAGAGCGGATACAAAAAAAAGAGGAAGAAAAAGGTGTCTGTAAAATAAATTATGAATATGTAGATGAGTAACGAAGAATAAACTGCGAAAAAGGAAAGGAACTCCGTAGGAAGTGGGAGGAAAGAAAGGTAAATAGGTCAGGAATGGAAGTAAGAGGAGGTAAAGAGAACAAGGTGGTGGTGAAGGAGGAAATGTGTTGGTGGGAGTGACCAGGGACCGATAGGAAAAAGATGGGATGAATGACGACGGTGGTAGTACCTTAGTAACGATCAGGTAGTATTATGGGCGAGAGAGGGTCGAGCAGGCTTTTGTCAGGTGGATTTGGGGGGGAAGAGGAAAGGAGGGGATCAGTACTCTGTAAAGAGGGACGAATGAATTGGGTACTGTCACCGTCCGTAAGGACATGGAGGGCACGAGGGCAGGTACAGTACAGTGCCTCTTCATTGGAGGTAGTAGTCACTTCGCCTTGACTTAAGGCAGGGTTTCTTTGAGGGATCAAGCGCCAAGATTGCTGTTCTTTAATTTTCTTTTTTCTGATTCTTTTTTTTTTTTATTCTACGAAAGCCAACGGAGAAATTCACTCGTCAATTAAAATAGTTTAATAAATCCAGTGACAACTGCCATTAGCTTCGACATACGTATCCTCAGGCACTCTTATCTGGCCAGTCCTTTTGTAGGTTCACAATCGGTGCTAAATCGGTGGTATCGTAACTGACCGGTAAGTTTCGTACTACTAACAAGTTAGACGTAAACTGCCTTAGTAAGAATACTCTTTGTAGACAAGCCGGCTCGGCCGACCATCCGGACTGTGGACAAGGCTCTTGGCGTTGTCGCTGGTTGGAAGTTGGGACCGTTTCCTCGTCCATGTCTGGTACCGACCAGAAGATCACTGTAGTCCATCCATACCTACGGAGTAAGGTAGTAGGTACGTAGTAGGTGGTATCAGCACATACTCTGTATCCACTGGGATCTTGACCTTCAGCTGGAGACTTTTGCGTCAGTCTACCTAGATTGGAAGTCAAGGATGGCAGTTTCATGGGAATACAAGGATATCCATCCATTCTACAGAATATACCCGACGGAGTACCTCTTTCCAGGAAAGTGGCGGATTCTCTTCGCCAAGCACCCATCACATTACGTAGGGACTTTCTCCATCCACCAGTGTCAAAGAGTCATGGCCCTTGCTACATCACTAACTCTATTAAGGTCGCTTTCTCCTGTCCTTGTATGTAGCTTATTATTAATTCCTGACTGTGGTAGGGAGTTTTATCCCCATCATGCGTACTCAGTAGAATTAATCCGCAGTTGGACCCTGTTCTGACCTACTTGTCCACAGTACACCGCCACCTCACTGCATCTAAACTAGCAGGGGAGATGGGAAAATCTTTATTTTACTAATTTTATTTTTTTATTTTTTTTTTTTTTTGTAAAGAAAAAATGGCCGACTAATTAACACCTGTCACTGTACTATTCAAGGGGGTCTGTTTAATCTTTGGATCGTGTTCCCTGGGTCCACTGTCCATTAGCTTTTTTTCATCATAGTTCTACTTCTATCTGGACATAACCATTTTTTTTTTTCATTCCTTTTTTTTTTTTTATTTTTTTTTTTTTTTTTTTTGGTAGGTGGGGGACCACAAGTATTGCCTAAATTATAATGGAGCCCATTGCGACGAGCCTCATTATCAATATTGGCCCATAGCATCATTGCAGTTCATTTAATTTAGTTTCTTAAGACTTGGCAGTCCGTATTCTCTATCAGTAGGTGGGATTGAGGGAGGCATTATTCAACATCAACCCCTCCAAAAAAAACAAAACCAAAAAAAAAAAAAAAAAAAAAAAAAAAAAAAAGGGCGAAAGTAAGAAAGAAGGAGAGAAAAGAAAAAAATGGTTAGGTCCAGAAAGAAATCAAAAATCTTTGCATCTACAAGTATGCACATTATAATACTCAATATGCACGAACTTCGTAATTCGAGGATCTTGAAATCTTGAACCTCTATCGAACCACCGTCCCAAGGTTCTATCTTCCAGCTAGTGCATCTTTACCAAAGACGCCAATGCAACTTCAACAGCGCCAGCTCTCAATCCGAGGAAGGCTCTTCCTGTTCCCTGGTTCTGTTGGAAAGCTGTCGAAACTTACAGTCAACATCATCAACACTTATGCGTATCAGCCTGATTCCGTCCATGCGGCGTAGTTACCATTCAACATCCTCCCCTTGATGGACTAAGGTATAGAATCCGCAATTATGTCAGTGCAGCCTATTAGCCGTCTTCCCGTCATCCGTGAAACATTGCAAGAGCTCTGATCTGAATTGAGCCAACTGGAAACATCATGTCTCTCGCTGCCCAGTACTCTGGGTAACCTCCCTGAATAGGACGGTCGCTCCATACCCCCTAGCACCAAAGACATATCCTTGTATCTACTATGTAGGTATATTCTGTTGCTTGTCTGACTGGGTCCTGCGAGAACTACGTATTGGCGTGCATGCGCTTTCTCTATCCTTCCTGGGGAATGGAGAAGTAATGTCATTGGAGCCTAATATCGATTTCCTATCCTATGATACGTTATATGTGCTCTGTACATGCCTATATTACTCCAACCCCTGTATCGGCCATACAAGGTGTCACTTAATTTCTCCGGGTAAAAGTGAAGCAGGCGAATGCGAAAGTGTAGGGAAACTGAGACACCACAGGTAGGACATTTTTCCGGGTTGCTGCTGCTGCTCTATGGTAATATATGGATGATGATACCCAAGGAAACAGTTAATACGTCATGTCTCGTATTCAATGTAGACGGCATGATCATCCTTATCAATCCTTCCAATAGGTTCATGATTGGAGAAGCGGCTACCTAGGCGGGTGTGCGCACAGGACAACTGGACGACCCGCAGTTTTCGCCTCCTCTCGAAATGACAATATTGGACGTTTCATGTTTGATATTCCATTTGCCACTGGGGGGGGGGGGAAGAATAAGCGTACATTGTACAGATGATGGTGGGCAAGAAGGGAAAACACCCTTCTCCTCTTCCCCATTTCATGGCCACTCCAAATCCGGTGTCGTGCAGGACGACTCCGACCTGACCGAAGACCATTGGCTCTCCATGTCCGAACCAAGCTTTTTAGCGTCATTCGGCTGTTCAACCTAGTGCAAATAGTATTCGTAATTGCGAAGTAATGTCTGTCCTCGGTATCAATACACGGACATACTGTCGGATATCTCGAGTCGGATTCCTCGAGTCGCTGGTACTGGGGAGGTAGCTCTATATAAATACTACCCAGGAGTTAGGTAGCTTACCTAGTAATAACTCACTCCTGGCTTAGGGAGAACCAGAAACAACCTAGAAAACATTAGTCAAACATGGACATCCATCCAGCTTGTTGCACGGCAGAGTCTGTGCCTCTCTGGTTGACCAGGTTATAATCCCACTCCTTCACTTGCCCTCCAGGCAGATCGATTGCCATAACCCCTGCAGCCTCATCTCCAAACTGGTCTTGCTGCGGTTCATCCCACCATTGCACCCAATCAGACTCCCGGGGGGATACGAGTCCCACTTCGATCTTTGTCGCTTGGACGTACGTTCAACAGCCTTTGATAGGTCGATTCGATTCTACACTAGCCACAGAGAAGACAGACAGAGTGTCGTTGATTCGGTCCATGCGTCTTGCTCAAACAATAGACATGGCATGGCATGACATGACATGTCTTTTCCGGGATATTGCATCCACTATGCGTGAATTTTTTATGTACAGAAAGTTCTAACAGCACTGACCTGATTCGTAGCCACCTGAGGAGATGCATACAGCTAGCCAGTACCTACCTAGGTAGCTGGACAGGCTTTCATTTCCTGGTATATGAACGGGACGAAAAGATAGGGAGACTTACATCTACATCGATCCATGCTGCCATCTGAATTGTGACTGGGACTCCGCGCCCAGTGCTATCGGGATGGATGGATTGAAACCGTCCATCCATTCATCTATCCCTCCTTGTATCTCAATATCGTTTCAGAAGCTCTCCTCCGGCCCTGGATGGACTCACTAGCTCGGTTTGCTGTGCCATAGTTTAGGTGACTTTTGAACTCACCCCCCGGTCATCAGTTGGGTCAGGAGGCAACTGGATATTGCGAGACCTCCCGAGGAGATCGATTCCAGTAGATCAATAGACAGGAAGGGCACCCACCGTGGAATAAACGAGGGTATCATTAAAGGGGGACGGTGTAACCCATCGCCGTTGGATTTCTTCTGATGACGAAAACGAGAAACGATACCTATCTACTATCTACCGGAGAGAAAGCCCGAAGTATAGGGTGAATCTCACTATCCCGTCCATGGGATCAAGTCGTCCGGACTGAAATATCATCATCCCCTGGGATAAACACCACCATCGCTCAACTGCTTACCAGGACCCTGGGGGAGATTTGCCCCACTCCAGTGAAGTTTCCCCTGGTCGCTGACAGCTACCTAGTTAGAGACGATTTACTCCATACTCGATGCGGATCGACGAAGAGCACGGACTCCAGGGTCAAATAATTCACCGTCCCAATATCGCCACCCCCATGGCCATCCTGAACGAGACGAAGAGACCTTGATCTGTCCTCCAGGAGCCCCGCATCGGCCCCACGAGATCCCTCGTCTGGAAAGTCGTGCAACGCGACAATCTCCATCTATGAACGGGGCGGTACGGATTACTCGTGTAGTACTCCGTAGATGTTTCTTTCTTTCTTTCTTTTTTTTTTTTTTTCCTCCGACGAAAAGCGTGGCATATCCTGGATTACCCGAGAGAAGAAAGAAAAGAAAAAAAGGAGGTGGATAGATCTCAATCACTCTGGTCTCTGTTCTGGGGATGTGGATGTCTATAGACCGGTGGTCAGAACGTCATACCGTCATCTACTTATTAAAGAAGAACCTAGATACGGGGAGTCAATATGCCAGACGGTCGAGGGTGGCTTATAAATGCATTTTTAATCCCAATGGATCTACGAGAATGGCTAAAATCAACTGTGGGTTGATAGTGGGAAACAGGGGCATCCATAGTAAAGTGTTAGAGATCTTTTAGTTTAATGTACTGATATTCGTTCAATAAGAAAGGCTTGTAAAGAACAATATTCTGGTATCCTTCATGGGCTCCCTGACTGTCTTGGATGAATGAGACTGCTAGAATAGCCCTCGTTACAGAATATGACAGCCATGATAGAACAGTTTCTATCTTAAGAACCAACATATAGGGCTGAACCGCTGAAGAGAGAATGGATCCACAGCCACCACGAAGGGATGAAGAAAACACATGCTTGATAAAGACTAGAGTGTAGGAAGGATCAAAGAATGGCCAGTTAGTCCCTACCACAGTGGTGAGGCCGTGCATGGAGGTCCATTGTGTCTCACATTCTCCACTAGAACTGCAGCATTCCTGGTGGGAGATCGATCGGATATTCTTGATAAGATCTATTTATTATCCATCATCCATCATCCATCATCCATTAATTAATCAACATCACAAGCTTACGCAATCCCTTTTCTTGGATCAAATCTATGGAACCTTCTCTCCACCAGCGGCCGTTGCCAGTGCAACCGCCCGTCTGTTTACCGACGGGTAACCGCGAACCAATGGTGGATGTCATCCTCAACCAACGTTGTACAGCCTAGACCATGGACCATAACGATGACTTTAATTTTAATTCTCTATTGACTGTTGATTTGATCGGCCTGGTTGGATTGATGAAATCTTGCGTCGGACCCGATCAGTCACCAGGGTGGGCCGACACTGCTGTTTACAGTTGACGTTAGCCTACTTTCACCCCTACTGCTGCATTGATTCCCTTCGGAACGCGAGCGGATTTCTTCAGTTCTTTCTTCAAGTTCTTTATACTTCTCATGTTCACGAATCTTGGTCTCTATCTCTCGTGAAGGAAAAGACAAGAAAAGAAAACTTCCTCTACCCCTGACACGACGTCGATGAAGACGACGGCCACGTGGGTCAACATCCATCGAGCTCGTCTTTCTCCATGCCGGGGAATCTGAGCAGCGACATCGAACGAAAATCGACAGTTTCTCTAGATGCGGTGCAGCCTGTCTCCGGACGTCAGAGTGTTCTCGAAGCCGTCGGAAGTGCCTGTTCTCTCCCATGGATGTTCGGTTACACCGAAGCAACGGAATGCACAGGCCCGTCGGCATCAATCTGGCCTCGACATATCTCTGCTTCCTGCTCGTTGTTGGCCGTATTCTAGCGGCTGTCCCCTATATCCCCTCGTATCTTCTGTATGATTCGCAGAACAATGCATCTTTCGCCTACCTGCTACGGTCGGAGAGCCCCGAAGGCACCACGCAACTGCTTTCCCTGAATATCTCAGAGCAGGTCGAGAGCGCTAGCCCCAAGTATAGGACTCTCTTGGAAGAGGTGCCCTTCCGGGTCGACAATCAGACGTCATCCTTTGTCCCGGTGATCGATCGGCATGGCATTATCAAGGCCTACACTGGCAACTGCCAAAGTGGACAAGAGCATGCTGCGGTATGGCAGTTCACTCCGGACACTAAAAGCTCCATCGGCAACGGGACATGGGAAACGTTTGCGTTGAATGGAACGGACGACCAAGAAAAGCCCCGAATCCGAGGCCCAAACTACCTCTCCGGAGGGTTTTCGTACGCACCTTCGAACGATACCGACACCTCAATCTACGCTTTTGGAGGCATGTGCCCATCGCTCAGTGTCTGGGGGGAAACATGGATGGCGGCTGCCGACTACTCGCAGACTATGACCGTTTTAGACCCTTCGGCTTCGGACAGCCCACCTTCCTATCAAATCTCAACCACGGGCGAGCGTGCGCCCCCGATTCCAGAAGCTGGATTTACAATCACCCCGTTACTGCCAACATATGGCTCTACCCCAACCGGCCGATTGCTACGACAACAGAATTTTTTGATGATCGGAGGTCATACCCGGCATGCGTTCATCAACATGTCCCAGCTGGCTGTCTTCTCGCTTCCCCAAAATAGCTGGAGTATCGTTGATGTTGGCTCTCCTCTGAATATAGAGAAAACGGAACTCGCCGTTCGCAAGACCCCGGTCGTAGAACCCAGGTCCGGACACACAGCCATTCTTTCACCGGATGGCGGGAAAGTGATTGTCTTTGGAGGTTGGGTCGGCAATACCAGTGCCCCTGCCAGACCTCAATTGGCTGTCCTTGAGCTAGGTGATGATTACACGAGCCCAGGGGGCTGGACGTGGAAAATCCCCTCCGAGGAACGTGGCGGAAGTGTCGAGGGAAGTGGGATTTACGGACATGGCGTGACGATGCTCCCTGGAGGCGTGATGATGGTCGCAGGAGGCTATCAAATACCGCGGCCTTCCAAACGATCAACAACCGGTCCGCAATTGAATACACAAATTCACTTGTACAACGTCACTTCCGGCAGCTGGGTCTCTTCCTACGCAAATCCCAACCATCACCCGGCCCAAAAAACTGGGGACACCGATACCGAACGTACGATGCATTCATCTACATCCCGAACGATTGGCCTCGGCGCCGGACTCGGATTAGGAATCCCCGCTGTCGCTGGTGCAGCTGTTTTCATTTGGTTCTACTGCAGGAGGCGACGTGTACGCCAAACGCGAGATCAAAACCTGCGGAAGCTAGCCTTAGATGCGCAAAGAAATCACTTCTGGGGTCAGGAAGACCCTTTCATAGCTAGCAGTATTCGCAGACCCCCTATGAGAGAAGCAGATACCAATAGTGACTACCCTTGGAACAACAACCGAGGCGTGGGACATCCATCCAGCTGGCAGGATAATGGCGATGCTGTTGCTGAGCGAACGGGACTACTCATGGATACCCCAAGCCCCACGAAAAGCAGTCGGCCCATTCTGAACGCTAGAATGTATCGACCACCCGCACCGTACAACGAATACCGGAGAAGCGACGGCACGGGCGACATCCATCCAATTGACGAACGTGAAGAAGACGAAGCACAGCCCTCGGAGCAGATGGCTGCGCGTGAATCTATGGAACCATTCCTCACCCCTAAAACCACTGTTACGATTCCCGACCACCCTTATGCTACGGAGGACGCTGTGCCAACAGTAGCAGCCGGCGTTGGATGCGATGACGACGAGCACTCCTCCACGGGGAAGAATGACAGGACTTCCTCCAACCTATCCGATTCCTCGACGTCGGTCAGGTCAGCCCATCCGCCTAACGGCACGGTTTTCAACCATCCTCCTAGTCTACGCAGCAGTGGGCGCGAGTCGCCAGAAAAGTCGTGCTCCGCATCCAGCCATAGCAGAGAAGGTCCACACAGCCGACCCGATAGTGCAACGATCCCTCACGAGAAACGCTACTCATCAGAATCCTTTTCTACCGCCCACACAACCCTCTCTCAGCGACAGGCAGAGGGGGAGCGCCTCCTGCAAGAAGATGGCCCCGAGCCTCATACGTTCGAACTCTTCCCGAGGCCTCTTTCCATCGCCAAGCCGAGGGCCTCCGAGTGGATCGGCAATGTCCGACGAGTTTTGTCGGTAACTCGCAAGCGAGCTCCAGCAAATGACGACTGGACCAATGCTGCTTCCGTGGCGTCAGGGATCGATCGAGGCAGCAACGTTCTCGCACCCAGTAAGGCCTCATCAACACACGACGCTGGAATTGGTATGCAGGTCCCGCGAAGATCCGTGAGCGCGTCGGCCGAGCTGTTCAGACGAAAGCAAGGCGCCCGCGATTGGGGGGCAGGAAACCGAGTTTCGCGCGACATGAGCTTCCATACGCTCACGCGCGATGATTTTGCCCTCGATGGGCTCCTGGATGTGATGAGCGAGGACGAGGACTGGGACGTAGAGGGAGCTGCCGAAGGGAGACGGGTCCAAATAGCATACACGGTGCCCAAAGAGAGGCTGAGAGTCGTCAATGCCACCGCTCGCGATATGGACAACTTCTCCGAGAAATCCATCAGTCGAAGCAACAGCGAGGCGTGAGTTTCTCTTCTGTGGAATTTTGTATAATGGTATCCCTTTTTTTTGGCCTTTTTTCATTTTGCGCCCTTCAGTGTCTACGGACCAGCTGAACATACATATCTCTCCGAGGACTGGGTTGTATGTTTATATTCCATTCTTTTTTTTGTAGATTCCTTGATATCCTGGTTGGTATTTTGGTTTTGAGATTTTTCCCTCCATTTTTGGGCTGGGTATTTTTGAATTTATAAGCGCACTATATTATGGAGAAGAATTTATGTGTGATGTTTATGCCCTGAGAATGAAAATGAAACTAAACGAACTTGTTACTAGGTAGAAGAATTGATCTACTGTCTATTATCTAGATAGTTACAGTTGCAATATCAGTTGGATTATGACCCAAATGGTGAATAGAAACCTCGTATATTGTTTCTAAATATTGATGTTAATATTCAGTCTATTGATGTTAATAATACCAATTCATTTCGAAATCCCGAAACGGAAAGGAAAATGCCAAGAAAACAAGTATAAGAGAGGGGAAGAGGGGGGGGAATCATGAATGCCATCACAAATGAAACTCATTGAATCAGAGGTGAGATTCTCACGCAGCACCGTGAGAACCAATCGTTGGACGGGTCGGAATCGTCTTGGGCAGAGGCGGCAGGAGGGATTTGGCGCTTTCACGAGCATACTGGGCCATCAGAGCGTCCATGATAACTAGAGCAGACATGGCCTCGACAATAGGGACCGCACGGGGCACCACGCACGGATCGTGACGGCCCTTGGCTTCCAGGATACCTTCCTCGAGACTGTACGAGGCAGTGGTTTGGGCCTGGCCGATCGTCGCTGGGGGTTTGAACGCCACCCGGAAGTAGATCGATGCGCCGTTCGAGATGCCGCCCTGGATACCACCCGAGTTGTTGGTCTTGGTGGTCAGCTGCTGCTTGGAGCTCATGTCGTTGCCATTGCGGATTTCCACCTCCGATGCCACGAATGGATCATTGTGGATCGAACCGGGCACTTCGCAGCCGCCGAACCCGGAGCCGATCTCGAATCCCTTGGTGGCCGGGATACTGAGCATGGCGTGAGCAATCTTGGCCTCGAGCTTGTCGAAGCAGGGCTCTCCCAGGCCCACGGGGACGTTTCGGATGACGCACGTCACCGTGCCGCCGATACTGTCCTGGTTATCCCGGAACTGCTCGATCACCTTGGTCATGCGTGCGGCCGCTTCCTCCTTGGGACAGCGGGTGGGGATAAACGAGTCCACCTTGTTGCGGTCGATCGTCTCGAGGAGGTTCAAGAACTCGGGATTGGTCGACGGAGTTGGATGTTCCGGGGTAGGGGGGACCAGGTGCTCGTTGCCCACGGAGGACACAAACGCTACAATCTCGACCCCGTGGGAAAGACGCAGGTACTTCTCCGCAATGGCTCCAGCCGCAACACGACCTGTGTGGAAAACAATCATCCGGTCAGCAACGTTTGTATCATCGCTTATCCGTGCATTGGAGGGGCTCTCTCACCGATCGTCTCGCGGGCACTGCTCCGGCCACCTCCGCTGCTGGCCTTGACACCATATTTCTCGAGGTAGGTCAAATCGGCATGGCTGGGTCGAGGGTACAGATCCATTGTGCTACCGCCATAGTCCTTAGGTCGCTGGTCCTCATTGCGAACCATCATGCCAATGGGTGTACCCAGGGTGACGCCGAATTCGGTACCCGACTGAATTTCCACGCGGTCTTTCTCATTGCGAGGGGTTGTCAGAGCGCTCTGACCAGGACGTCTCCGAGTCATCTGAGGTTGGATATCATCCTCGGTGAGCTCCATCCCGGGAGGGCAGCCATCGACGATGCATCCGACAGATCGGCAGTGGGATTCACCGTAGCTTTGGAGACGGAATAAACCATATTAGCTGGCCATTTTCCGATATGTTTGTCTCTTTGTGACGGTACACTTACGTGGTGACCCTGAAATGCTCTCCCCATGTCGACATGATGAGTCAATTCGTCGCTGCACAGAAAGAATGGCGGCGGCGTAATTGAGCTACGCAGCGCTTCTTGCTCTCAACACTACGTTAGAGGGATTCCACACCCAATGAAAAGGAAAGAAGAATGGGACCGTGAGAGAAACCACGGGAATAACCTTTTCCTGGATGGAACCACGCGAATATTGAATATCGTAGAATGTTCCAAAGTCAGGCGATTCTCAGCTGCATCTTTTCAAGCCCGTCGCGGTTTAGCGCCCGGAGATCGGAGTATTCGATGATCACTTTCGTACTGTACGGACAGAAGTATGGTATGGTATGGTATGGTACCAAACGGCGACTGTACCCACAGAATGAAGTCAAGCATCGAGAAATGGAGCAACTATATCGAGTCTATCCTCTCTCCTGTTCTTCCTCTACCTGCCCCGTTTCTTCCTCTCAATGCTCCCCTTTCTCCCCCACGGCTCCTACCTGCGATCATCCTCTCGCTTCCTCAACTGGTATGGTTGTCCGCCCGTCTTCACTCGCGTCTTCCTCCGACGGAACTCCTCTCTTCCCTCCGACCAATTCGCCCAACTAGCCAGCCGTCCATCCGCTCAGCACCAGATCTACCAATCCTTCTCGACTGACCCGTACGTGAATCTGTCGATTGAGCATTTTTTGCTAGAACATTCACCACCGGACTCGAGCATCCTCTTTCTCTATGTCAACCGACCGTGCGTCGTGATCGGCCGGAACCAAAATCCATGGCTTGAAACCAACCTTCAGGCATTTCACAATGACCAGGTGAAGCGCCAAGCAGAGAACCCCAGTGATGATGATGGCGGTGGTGTGGAGTATGTCCGGCGAAGATCGGGAGGAGGCGCGGTTTATCACGATGAAGGCAATCTGAACTACTGCGTCATTTCACCCCGGACGACGTTTACGCGAAACAAGCATGCGGAGATGGTGGTGCGGGCACTACATCGCGTTGGTGCCACCAATACCTGCGTCAACGACCGCCACGATATTGTTATGTCAGTAGGGGAGGCCCAACCGCGAAAGATCTCGGGATCAGCGTTTAAACTGACAAGACACCGCGCCCTTCACCACGGAACCTGCCTGCTAGATAGCCCGAACGTCGATAAATTGGGGTTCTTCCTCCGGTCACCTGCACGGGACTATATCAAAGCCAAGGGAGTCGAAAGTGTGCGGTCGCCTGTAGCCAATGTCTTCTCGACGTTAACCGACGCCTTGACGCCATTCTCGATCCAGGGCGTGATTACTAGCATCATGGAAGAGTTTGCCCAACTATACCAGGTCGATCCGGATGCCTTGCTTCGTGCGCAGCGGGCCCACGCGCATGACCCGGAATTGTATGCAGGAGAGAGCTGGGTCGCAGGAGCTGTGGGAGAGCTCCAGGGCTATGGAGAACCGGAAATTAAGACCGGGATAGCTGAGCTTAGGGTAAGCTTCTTCTCTAAAATTCATATAGTGCATCACTAATATGAAGCCCTGGACAGTCTTCGGAATGGAAGTACACTCAAACGCCGCAGTTCACCTTTTCAACGTATTCTATCGATGATGATCCTCGGGAGAGACCATCCCTGCCGCCCTCTTTGCCGGATTCGGTGAGACTTTCTCAAACATTTTGTTTAGTAGTTCTTTTGCCAACTGACAAAACCCCTTAGACCCGTGTATTCCTTCGCCTGAAACATGGCACTATTATCAAAAGCTCCATTTCGACCTCGTCAGACGCATCGGTAGCTGACCAACAGGCGAGTCGCGTACATGAGGCTTTGAATCACCGAGCCCTCCATGAGATCGACCAATTGCAGTGGGATGCGATTCTGCAGGAACGCTTGGGTCCAGAAGTGAAGTCAAGCAGTATACAAGAACTGTCGAAATTTATTGGGAGTAAACTAGGCTGTTCTTAAGAAGCCTTGACGAGGGATGTTTACAGAGTACAGAGTAGAAGCTGTTTATATACAACCCATGTGTACATTACCGATACTGCAGGTTCTAGGTATGCAGTACATATGTATAAAATATTTACCTGACAAGATGCATATATTGATATCCTTTCCATTGACATTTCATCCGTTTCATGTTCGCAAGCGGGTCATATGACCGCACCGCTCGACTTCTCCGCATCTCGTAGAGCCACAACATACTGTATTTCAGTCGCAACAATACGAATACGCTCGAACTATTGAGCGCCCGAAATTGATATTTTGAACCCGCGCTGGAAAAGTCCAGGGCTCGGGTTCCGCAAGGATGATCCGTTGGGGGGTGCGTATGCAGACGATGGAGCACTCTGCAGCTGAATCGACGTGAAGTTACCTATTGCAAAAATGCGGTGGCCAAGGAATGAATTCATCTGGGCGGATGCGATTGTAATCAAACATCTGTTGCAACAACTACAACCCAAACATGCCCGAGGACAACGGCGTGACGCAACATTCGGTCTAATATTCGACAGAACCAGAGCAGCTCCCACAATGGAGCCTGGGTAGGCCAAGGATTTTGACACCACGAGTTTTGCAATTGACGAGAATGGATTAACTGATGCGGAGTAAGAAAGCACAGGAAAGGTGTCCTGAAGAGTACTTGAAGAGACCATTCCATTTCTAGAGGCCTTCTGTATTCTTGGCTGTCGAGAGTACTTGTGGATGAAGGTTGAGAATCTTGCATCCTTCGGCATGGCTCTATTCAAATTTCGGGTCTACTTTGAGCATGGGTCTCCTTTGAGCATCATCGCACTGCTCTCGGTACCGGAGAGTCTAGCCCTCGAATCTCCTGGCGGTTCCAAGAAAATGCGTCGGATTGGGAGCAGAGCACGTACGACTTGGAGATCAACCAATAGACCAAGAACCAGATATTGTTCATGTCAGTTCTACCGACTCGGTCCTAAACCCCTGGCCTGATTCTTCGTTAGAATCCGGTGAGGAGACTACAGTTCGCGTGCGGTCCTTTGGACAAGATGGCCGGCTTGATACCTCTTGATCTGACTCCTTTACTGTCGAACCGGGCCTCCAGAACGCGAAGGACCGGCAGAATGCCGCAGCCATTGTGTCTGATCGGCCGACAGAAGTCAACGAAACCCATCATCCGATCTTGTTCCGGGAAGATTTTAAATTGGATCAGTCGTACAATTCTGCACGGCTGTATATCACAGCATTAGGATTGTACGATGCCCGAATTAATGGAAAGCGTGTTGGACACCATGTCCTGACCCTCGGTTGGCAAACTTATATCCATCGTCATGAATACAATACCTACGACGTGACAGATCTCTTGTAGCATGGCCAAATACAATTGGAGGAATCGTTGGAGAAGGTTGGTATGCTGGCCGGCTAGGATTCGGTGGAGGACGACCCAATATCTATGGCGATACACTTGGAATATTGTGTCTGCTAGTTGTTGTGAAGCCAGATGGAAGCAAAGAATATATCCCCAGCGACCGAACAAGGAAGTCAGCGACTGGCCGAACCATATCATCCTAAATCTACGATGGCGAAAGATACGACTTCCCGCTGGAACGCATCGACTGGTCAGAGCCTTGTTCTAACAGCACAGGCCGGCTCGGGTTCATGAGGGTTCGTTCGACAACATCCAACTGGCTTCCCCAGATGCTCCCCCTGTGCGACGAGTCGAAGAAAACAAACTTATGAAGGTATTTCTAGCACCTCGGGCAAAACCATCATGGACTTCGGTCAAAACCTCGTGGGGTGGCTGCAGGTCTGTGTAAACGGGCCAAGGGACCAGACAATCCAGTTCATCCATATAGAATGTGTGTATATGTCCCCATTGATTCACTTTGTACAATCCTCGCAGACTAGGGCTAACCTTACAGTAGTTGTGGAAAATGGAGAAGTAGCAACTCGTTCGTTACGGCAGGCGAAAGCAACCGATCACTTCACACTCTCTGGTAACGGAGTGGAATAATGAGGGCAATCTTTCAGCTTTCATGGGTTCCGCTATGTTCAAGTGGGTGGTTGGCCACATCACACCACACCTCTAGATGAAGATGTGTTCACGGCCATTGTGGTGCACATCGATATGGAGCGAACAGGATGCTTCGAATGTTCAAATCCACTTATCAACAAGCTCCATAAGAACGTACTCGGGAGCATGAAAGGCAACTTTCTCAGCATCCCAACCCACTACCCTCAACGTGATGAGAGATTGGGCCTTCGCTGACACGGCGAACTTCATTTATGCCATGGCTGGCTTCTTGACTGGTTGACTAAAGTGCACCCATTGGAAAAAAGAACGGTTCTGGTATGTGCTTCAGTATCATCACTGGGCCTAGTGTGAAAGAAGTGCCTGACGAACACAAATATTATGCCTTTCGCGGTTCCTAATATCCTTGAAGCATCCCCTACTGCTACCTGGGGAGACAGTATTGTAGCCGTGCCTAGGTATCTCTACTGGGACCCATCTCGTCGGCCATACCCTGTCCAATTGTGGTACTTCGGACGTTTTCTACCAGATTTTTCTGCACAAGAAAGTCCCCTCATGGCTATATCAGGTGTTGATGAACGGGACGACCACCTGGGAGCGTTGGGACAGCATGCTACCGAACGGTAGCGTCAACCCTAGGGAGATGACTTCCTTCAACCATTATGCCGATGGATTGGTGGCTAGCTGGATGCACTCGGTCATTGGAGGACTCAATCCTTCTGAATCGGGACACAAAAAGCTCAACATTGAAGTAGTCCCTGGTGGTGGACTCCGGGACGCGCATACTAAAATACAGACCCCCTACGGCTTGGCCTCTACCCAATGGTGGTTAGCGACCAGTCTGGGCAAAGATTGCAAAGGAACGGACTTCCATATACTAGCAGAAGTTCCCGAATACTTACGCCACCATCGTACTTCCTGGGACTAAGAGCAAGAAGAAATCCCTCACAATGTGGATCAAGGAACATCGCTAGCAAGTTAAATGCCTCCAGGTCAATTAACCCTCCCAATAGCTGTAGATATACAATAGCTTGGTTATCTGTAGTGTGCGCATCAATCAAACAGAATTCGCTCGAGTTAATCGACTACGTATCATGGCAGTGCTCGGACAGTCTGGAAGGGCTGATCATCCATGCCACGCGCTCTTTGACGGCGAAATTATCATGTTCATTCCACCAATGACCAGATTCTCGGGGATGAATTGTGGTATGCATATCGGGCTTCAAGCCAATCTCGAACCCACCCCAGTCGATGATCTTAGTGGATGGTTGCTATATATACACATATGTCCTAATAGAGCATTGTCATTCGAAGTGCTTCGATACCACGCCCCCATTTGCCTACCCCCAAGTAATGGCTGAAAGAGCAAACGGAAAAACCCCCCACCCATGCCTTCAGTCGATCATCCTTTCGTTTCGCAGTGACCTGCAGGATGCTTATCGGGCACCCCATGACTCCTCCGCTTTACCCCCGGCGGCAGCCGCGTTAAGTCGGAAGTTCAACCACACACCCAGTTTGAAGAAGCTGCTCAGACGAGAGCTTTGCACGGCCTCTATGGGGATTGACTTCCTTATTAGGAGGATCATATCCGTATGAGCATGCAGCCAGCTGGCGTGAAGGCATGATCAACGGCAGCGATCCGAAGATTCCCGAGCTCTAGGGGGAGATCGAGGACCTCGACCAGCGGATAGTGGAGATGTGTCCTATTGGGTTCACTCTGGCGGCGGCTCATGAGCTTTGGGATCCATTGACGGACCAACAGAAGGCGAATGTCACGAATTGGCTCGTGAGTGTAAATGACCGGGAAATGCTTAACACAAATTGGTATGTCGCAAGGAGACATTGCCCGCCGCTCTCGAGACTCATATTGCTCTTCGTATAGGCTCTGGTTCCAAGTCTTCGCCAACCTGAGCCTCAAGAGGAACGGCGCACCTTACTCCCATGTACGCATCGATGCCGGTATGGATCATTTGGACACCTTCCATGTAGGAGGAGGCTGGAGTAACAATGGTCCCGAGAGCCACCATTAGATGGACTATTACTCGGGATCGTTTCCATCCAGTTCCTTCAACTGCTGTACTCCAAACTTGCGCGGCCTCGGGATGGAAGATACAAAGAGCGCTCCAGAGAATTTGCGCAAGTCTTTGTACGCTATTTTGATCCCGACAGTGGGTTTTTCTGATCCTTACGGAGGCAGAGCTACTGACCACACTGAACAGACAGTACGATCTCTTTGGACGAACCATGACATACCGGTTTGCCATGACTGGATTCCTGGGGGCTCTGGGTTTCACTGATCGAGCTGCCTGCTCCCCTGACCTGGGGGTGGTCAAGGGCCTACTGCTACGGTACTTTCGCTGGTGTGCGACCGAAAAAGACATATTCAACAGCGACGGCACCCTCAACCTCGGGCACTCTCCCACGAACATGTATCTGACCGAGAACTATAACTCCTCCAGCTCACCATACTGGTGCTACCTGTCCTTTGTCTCCCTTGCACTGCCCGAGTCCCATCCGTCTGGACAGCTCCCGAAGAGCCCTATCCCAGTGCTTCCATTCTGGCGGTTGCAGCCCTGGAGTATCCTAAGCACATTGTAGTCCATCGGGGAGGACATTCATTTCTACTCTCATCCAGACAGGCCTGTCACTATCCATTGAAAGTAACTCAGGCAAAGTATGGCAAATTCGCCTATATCGCATCCTTCGGACTCTCCGTGCCTACCCGGGCCTATCAACTAGAACAACATGCCCCCAGAAGTATGCTGGCTTTTTCTGACAATGGAGGCGATATTTGGCACACCCGACAGCAGTCCCTGAATGCTCGCTTCGAATGGCGCAACGAGACTCCCATCCTCGTCTCGGATTGGAAACCGTGGCCAGATGTCGAGGTTGCGACCTTCTTGGTCCTTCTCCTTGAAGGCAGCGAAAACTGACATATTCAGACCCATCGAGTCCGCATTGCGTGCGCGTCATGACATCGGAAGGTGCATTTGCTCTCTAAGGATGTCGTCGCGATAACAGCCGCATTTTGGGTCGTCTGGCCGAGCAGTTGTCGGAGGGAACGCTGCACGAGTCCCAGTGAGCTCTCACGGCGTCTTCGGCGGGCACTGTGGGCATTGTCGAGCTGGAAGAGTCGTCCTAGCCGACCCAATTCAAACCTCCTACACGGACGTACTTTACTCTCTCATTGTTGGGAGCCAACCAGGCGCCCCGGGACCAAGCGCTGGTTCGTAAGCGCGGTTCTTTGCTATTCCTACAAATGGAAAGGGGGATGATCATGTTGGATGGCGAGAAAGATGGGGGAAACCACCGGGCATTCCGGAGTGGCTAGGCGAGAAAATGAGTGATGGAATAAAACAAGACAGTTAGTTGTTTAAGCCAAGCATAGACGATCATTAGCGGAAATTCACTCGCTCATTAGGGTTGATGGCATCAGCAGACTGCCAAGTCGGGTTAACGCTCTCTTCCTTATACTCTTCATACTCTTCATTCCCATCTTCATTTATCATCTCTCCATAATCTCTGCATCCATTCTCCAACTTCATTATCCTGGCCAATAATGTTCGTCATCAATACGAAGTGGTCCTCTCCACAGATCGTCTGGCATTCCTTCCCCCACAAAGACTAGCTCTGTACTAACCAGCGTTGCTAGCGTCTTGCCCTTCATTTGTCGCCCCAACTCTATTACCATCCAGTACGACGCTACCCAGACGGAACGGAATCCTCCCCGTCCTTTCCCCTCTTGCTAGGGTTGCAGACATGCTCGGAGATTCGTGGAATCCATTTCACCTGGCCCTCCCCTGTTTCTCATGGCCCTGGTCACCTCTCAAACCGCTACTATTGACCCTAAATTCTTATACCCACTGGGTGCCATGCCCGTGATAGGCCATGTTCATCCTCCGATGGAACTCGTATGATGGTTTTCATATATTCTCTCTCTGCCATATGTTGCCCCATGTCTGTTAAAGTGGTGACTTGTTGAACGGACTTGCGGTCCTCCACCCCCTTTTTTTCCCTGGTGAATTATCTTATGAGTTCCCCTCATCACTATCTGGTCTGCTGCAGTCCTCTCTCGAAGCTATTGTCTGAAAATTTCCATTCCGACCAAAATGTCGTTTCTTCTACGGAAGCTCGTTCACAATGAGGCGATGCGATCAGATCCCAAGGAAATCTACGGATGGAGGGTTTACATGCTTGCTTGTTCGGTCGGTCTTGTTCTAGCTACGCTGCCCTCCATAGAATCTTTGACTCTGACTTAGTACAGGCATGTTTCGGTGGGATGCTCTTTGGTATGGAGACCGGGATCATTGGAGGCGTCCTTACCATGAGTCCTTTCAAATCGTAAGTCAGGAAGTTGAAAAAAAAAAAAAAATAAAAAATAAAAAAAATAAATATCCCCCAATCCTCGCGCTACGGGGATCGAGATACCAACCAGCCAATAGAAAGTATGGCCTTGAGGGTCTCGGCAGTATAGGGCAGGCCAACCTTTCTGCCAATATCGTCTCGACCTTACAGGCGGGATGCTTCTTCGGTGCCCTCATCGCCTCCCCTGTGGCCGACAAATGGGGCAGGAAGTCCGGCTTGATCACGGCGTCGATGCTCGCCATCATCGGTGTCGTGATGCAAGTCGCAGCGGAAGGACATTTGGAAGCTATGTACATCGGACGGTACGTTACTCTGTCTACTCCTTTCTCCGGTCAGCCATGATGGCTAACCGCGAGGGTAAACCATTCAGTTTGATCACCGGATTCGGCGTCGGCTTTGCCTCGATGGTCAATCCGCTTTACGTGTCTGAGAACGCTCCACGAGCCATCCGTGGCGGTCTCACGGGTCTGTATCAGCTCTTCATCACGACCGGTATCATGCTTGCCTTCTGGATTAACTACGGGTCGCTCCTCCATATCAACGGCACAGCGCAGTACATGGTGCCGTTGGCCATGCAGGCGTTGCCAGCCATTTTCCTCCTTGTTGGCATGCTGCTCTGCAACGAATCACCCCGATGGTTAGCCAAAAAAGATCGCTGGGAAGATGCCCGCGCAACCCTCTCTCGAGTGAGAGGCCTCCCAGCCACACACCCATACGTCGATAACGAATTCCAGGATATCGTGCAGCAGCTAGAGCAGGAACGGAATCTGATCGGCGGCTCGGGATTCTGGGACCTCATGAAAGAGATGTGGCTGATCCCCGGAAATCGTAAACGAGCCCTGATAAGTATTTTCCTGATGGTCTGCCAGCAAATGACCGGCACCAATGCGATCAACTACTACGCGCCCCAAATCTTCCAGAACCTTGGGATCAACGGCAATACCACGGGTCTCCTCGCCACGGGAGTCTATGGTATCGTGAAAATGGTCGGCTGCGCCGTCTTCCTCATTTTCGTCGCCGACTCGCTCGGCCGCCGTCGCTCCCTCCTGTGGACATCCGTCGTCCAAGGCCTCACTATGCTCTATATTGGACTGTACATCCGCATTTCTCCTCCGGTGAAAGGTGAACCCGTCATCCCGGCGGGCTATGTCGCACTTGTCTGCATCTTCCTCTTTGCCGCCTGTTTCCAGTTCGGATGGGGGCCTGTCTGCTGGATCTATGTGTCGGAGATCCCAGCCGCCCGACTGCGAAGTCTCAACGTTGCCATCGCTGCAGCAACGCAGTGGTTGTTCAATTTCGTGGTCGCAAGAGCGGTTCCAAACATGTTAGCCACGGTCGGGGCCAACGGTTATGGGTACGTTCCCCTCTTCCCCTAGATATAACAAATCCGAAATTCCGAAGAATTCTAACCCTATCTTGATGCAGAACTTATATTATATTCGCCTGTTTCTGTCTCTCTATGGGAGTATTCGTTTGGTTCTTCATTCCCGAAACCAAAGGTAAGCATTCCCTAGTAGCCTACATTAAGAAGATTAAGTATCGTTAACTCAGTTTTCCATAGGCCTCTCACTTGAGAAAATGGATGAACTCTTTGGTGTTACAACGATGCTGAATCACAAGGCCTCCGACAAGACCACCAACGCGGGGAGGGCTATGCTAGAGGGGGGGAACAGAAGAAACAAAGGTGGTCAGATGACGGAAACAAGAAAGGAGAATGTATAAGATTATTTATTTCCTCATTCGCATAGTATAGTATAGTTATAGTATATCGGTTGTCTTGACTGAGGGTAATCGTGGTAAATTAATGCAAGTCAATTTTCAATCTCAGATTTCTATACATATATCCCTAGTTGAATTAATCTACAGGTAGAGGCTAAACGTTTTACAATTCAAATATTCTGTACATAATTCAAGGTCGTAAGTCATATTCCGATCTGGTATGTACATCCCTATTGCCAACAAAAAAAGTAATGGATGATAGACGGATACATAAGTAGAGACGAATGCGAAAGATCAAAACCGCTTATCACCGCCATGATGCAAGGAATCGAACCAAAGAATCAAGTCTGGCTCTAAAGGGTCAGCACATAAACAAAACGGGGTCAAAGAGAGAACGAACACGCCTCTATCGAAACAGCTACTAGCTTGCCTTGTATCATCAGAGGTATCATAACCGTGAACAAGCAGTCAAACACAACAACAGCCCAGAACAATTTCTTCTTTTTAAAGAAAGAAAAAAAGAAAGAAAGAAAAGTGCAACTCAGTACAAGTTATCATATCAGTATCGACCAAAATTGTCCGCTGGGGTTCTACGAACCCCCGCACTCCCACTCCCATGGATTCTCTGCGTCTGACTGCGGGTCATGCGTCGATGAGGCCGGTCATCAAGACTCAGGCCTCCTATTCCAGGGCCAATGTCAGATCGTCTGGGCGAGAAAACGGGATCGTTGTTGCTGCTCCCTCCATAACGGATGTTTCGGTTTGTGTTGCTGGTGGCTGTTGTGGTGGCGGTCGCCGTTGTTTCGGCGTCCGAGTCCCGATCGAGAGGATCTGATGCGTCGGATTCGTTTTCCTTCAGACTGTTCAGACTGAAGCTGTGGACCTTGTTGAATCCCCCTTGATACGTCGAAAAGGGGGACCGCTGCTGTACCTCAATGGGTTGAGTTATAAAACTCGATCCGGGTAACGTGGAAGAGAAGGAGAGCGGGGGCACAGAGGACTGAGAAGCAAATGACTGAAATCCAGAGTGGTGATCATTCTCCCCCTGAGGAGAGACGCTCGATAGGTCGCCGCGGGAGGTCTCGATGCGATCAAGCTGCTGTGGTTCTGGTTGGGCAGGTGTGTCGGACAGTGGGCTTCTGCTAACCGAGAACTGGTAGAGAGAAAGCAACCCCAGTGCCTCCTGCACGGCCATAAAGACCAAGAGAAGCTTACCGTATCGGTCGAAATAATGGCGCTCGAAGGAAGCACGGGGCAGGTTCCCTCCCAGATAGACGGCTGCCGCGAGTTCCGCAATGTAGACGAGAATTTCCATGCCGTTCCAATGCACGATGGGCTGCTTCAAGACTTCCAAGAGGGCGAATCCTGCCAGAAGACTTACGATCCCTAGAGATACCACTTCGATATAGTTTCCAGGCACCGCCCCATAGCTATACTGAGAGAGGAGCCAGGCAGTAAGAGAGGCTAGAAGCAATCCCAGCCGAAGATACTGGAAGATGAAATAGCTTTGCAAGTCGGTAGACCGTTGGGGTCGTTGGTCTGCCGTGCCTGGCTGCGGTTTCCACGAGTTCTCCCCCTCGTCGTCCTCGTGTGATTTAATGGTGAACGTCCGATCAAACAAATTCTCCAGCCCGGTTGACGCAGCATGATCACTCGTAGGGAAGAACTTCGGAGGCGCAAATACGGGGTCCGAAGAACCGGTGTTTCGCTGCCATGAATCCAACGACTGAGCCGGGGCACGGTGGAATGGGTTGCGCTCCACAACATGTTCGATGGGCTTCTGGCGCTGAGCGGGTTGGTTGCGTAGATTCCATGACGGGGGTTGGGGGGCAGCGGGTAACGATCCATAGAACGGCAGAGGACCGTCCAGAACAGAGCTAGAGTCCCTCGGACGAACGCTGACCATTGGTCGGATTTCATACTGAACAGAAGGCGTCCAGTCCATGTCGTCTTGTCCCTCCGGCGGCGGCGTGGGGATAGCCAGCTCCCGGGAAGGAGTCGACTGGGGAGTAGCTAATTTTTCAAGAGGGAAGCGCCGAATGGCCTGCTGCTGCACGGTTCCGTTGGGGGTCATCGACGACTGCTTGCTGCTGCTGAGATTGGGTAGGGGCGAGACTCCGGCTTTTCGTTGCGGCGTTGCTGCCGGGTTGTTGTCCGTCCATGTCACTAACGGCCGAGTATCGTATTGCACAATGCGCCGAGAGATGGCAACGGACTACTCTTCAGTCAGTGTCATGCTATTGAATCAATCCACATGTGATGAACGTGGGGCCACCTACTAAGAGTGAAAAGAAGATCATAAACACGTGGAGAGCAGGGGGTAGTGAGGGATCGAGGCCACTTGACGAGGGATCGCGGAGAACGGCCCAGAAAGCGCATCGCGCCACCATGACAATGAGTTGCACCTTGTAATACTCCCCCAACCCCACAAACCGACCACCTCTCCCTTCGACCTTCAAGCGCAGTTTCGGGTTGTACCACAGGGCAAGAATACCGGCGACAAGAGCCAGCCCGGCGTAAGGCGCTAGATCTGTAGAACAGTCACCAGGTACCTGCCGCGCCTGGACTGTGTGCTGGATGCATGACAAGATTGAGGGGGATCGAAAACTTTCGTCCGGATCTCGCAGCGGGTCGTCGACGGCCAACGCGCTCCACAGGTTCCAAGACAGTTGACCAGCAATGCTGACCCAGTAGCCCATGGCGCCGGCAAATACCAACAGACTCCTCCAATTCCATTTTCGAGCCTGTCTCGCCGCCCTTCCCGCCTTACTCCGATCCATCATCCGTCGCAGGTGATCTGATTTGGCCTCGTAGCCCGTCTGACGGATGCGTTCTTTCACGAGAGGTTCGCACCGGGCACACACCTGGGGATAGCGCTCCTCGAGGTTCTTGCGGAATTTAGGGTATTCCCGTTCGTAGGCGGCGTAGTTAGGGTCCTCCGGAGAAGGAAAATAGGCGGCAAGGGCACTCGTAAACAGGTGCTGATGGCGAACGCACTGCGCACAGAAGAGACCGGAGCCCGTCAAGTCGGCAGATTCGAAGGGAGGATCCGATGCATCGGGGCCATAGAGATCAGGATTGGTTTCGGTAGTGGGAGGATCAGTGATGTCTCCTTTCTACGGAGGGGTTCAGCAGAATGAAATAAATAAAATAAAAAAATAAAAACAAAATAAACATAAAAACAAAATAAACAGCGTAGGAGTATGAGAGAAAGACCTACTTCATCTAGATGGTTGACGGCCTCGCAATGTTGACATCGCCATTTGCGGAGAGGGTCTCGATCGGGACGAGGAGATCGACGTCCACAATAGAAACAGTTTAATCGCTTAGCGAAAAGAGGGGCCATATCCAGTCATATCCAGCCCATCGAGAGAGAGCGGGAGAGAGAAAGAGAGAGAACTGGAGGTGAAGCAGAAGGAGTTTAAGAAATTAAGGCCGAAAATCATCGCCCGGACCACGTGCCGCAACCGCCAAAAACGTCCCTCTTTCTTTTAAAAAGTTCGTTCTCTTTCTTCGACACCAACAGACACAGCCATGGCGACAGACCTCCGCACCGTCCTCGCGAGCCTCGGGGGTATAATCATTCTGGTGAGCGTGTGGGCTGATCTTCCTTTGTATGATACTTATATGAACTCGTCAAGACTACGGCTTTCCGTGCCCTCACGAGCGCCCTCGTGTCCGTTCCACGATGGCGTAAAAGACAGACTCCCACCCATCTTCTGATCGTCCTGGGGAGCGGTGGTCATACCGCAGAGATGTTCTCCATGCTCCGACGTGCGAAGCTTGACCCGTCCGAGTATACGCATCGCACCTACGTGGTGAGCTCCGGCGATCACTTCAGTGCTCGAGCAGCGGCTAAGTTCGAGGTCGACCTCCTGGACTCTACGGGATCTTACACCGTCGTCACGGTGCCTCGAGCCCGTCGCGTGCATCAATCCTACTTGACGGCTCCATTCTCTGCCCTGCACTGCTTCCATGCCTGTCTGCTGGTGTTACGGGGTCGTCATCCCGATCAGAAGCTATCGCACCTTCCCATGGCCTCTCCCTACCCGGATCTCATCCTTACTAACGGACCGGCTACGGGAGTTTGTGTCATTCTAGCCGCCAGACTTCTCCGTCTGTATCATAGTCTAGTGGCCTTGTTCACGTGCAGAAACCGTCTACAGGGGACCGGTCCGGCCAACCAAACCGACGGCACGCAATGGCTAATCCAGGATTGTTTCCAACTTCGTACGATCTTTGTAGAATCATGGGCCCGGGTGACCAGCTTGAGTCTCTCGGGGAAATTGCTGCTTCCTTTCGCCGACCGATTTCTCGTCCAATGGCCGGCATTAGCAGGAAAGAGAGCATGGAGAGGAATGAGACCAACAGAATATGTCGGCACCCTTGTAGAATGACCAATGGTGACCTTTTCTGCTTGTTTACTTGCTTCTGTATTGATAGACTTCCATGAAAGAATGAACGAATGAATTACTAGGGTATACACAAAGACTCCAAATGCTCCGACAGTGACACGCGATAGTTAGTGGGCCGAGCGGGGAAGCCTCCCTGGTCGCCTTCAACCCCTCTTTCCATCGATTATTCTTCCATCGTCTTCCTCGTGTCTCTCGGTCGAATTCTCTCCGTCGAATCCCATCACCACTATCATGACGTACTCTCTGCGCGATCGCAATGTCTTAGTCACAGCTGGCTCTCGGTATCTGCTCTACCATCCGTCTCGTCCAGATATAAGATCACTAGATCGGAAGCTCATACCATCTATCCACTAGGGGTCTAGGTGCCCTTGTGGCTCAGAAGTTTGCAGCAGAAGGATGCAATGTCGCTATTAATTACATCTCAAGCAAGGATGTCGCGGAGAAATTGGCCTCCGAGCTGCAGACCCAGTACAAGGTCAAGGCCATTACAATCCAAGGGGTAGGTCCTCTTCTTACACCTTGGAGAGAGTGCACAGGATCTTTAACTCATGTGCGATTTAGGATGCGAGCCTGCAAAAGGATTGTGCCAATGCCGTCAAAACCATTATCGAGCAGTTTGGGGGTCTGGATATCATCGTATCCAACGCCGTAAGTTCCCCATCGTCCAAGAAGCACAGGCAAATCTGATCAAATGGCCGGAAAAAGGGCTGGACCAAAATCACCAGATTCGCTGATTTGGATGCCACAAACGAGGAGGACTGGGATAGGGTACGAGGGACTCTCTCCGCCAATGATAGATAGAAGATGTATCTAACGAGTCGTCTCGTCCACCCGTTCAATAGTGCTGGTCAACCAACGTCAAGGGGAATCTGCATCTCTTCAAGGAGGCGCTCCCGACTTTCAACGCTAATCCCGAGGGTGGTGTCTTCCTCATGACCTCCTCGACCGCGGTAGGTGGTTGAATGCAGGTCCAACCGCGAGAAGAAGTGCTCATCTCTCCTCCATCTCTAGGCCGTCGCTGCGACTGGGAGTAGCTTGCCATACTCCGTGACAAAGCAGCTGGTATAACTTCTACACCAATTCGCCCTCGGGATATACGCCGCTCATGGCTAATACACACCACCCAGGCTTGCATCTCATGAAGTGTTTCGCACAAACCCAGGGCAACAAAGTTCGGGTCAACGCCGTTTTGCCCGGTCTTCTACTCACCGAATGGGTCAGCAAGTTGTCTCGGTTATCGCGATTGCACACAATGCTAATACTCTCCTAGGGCCAACGTTTCCCTCCTGAGATTGTCGAGCTTTATAAGCAGAAAACTGTGCTTAACCGAGTGGTCAGGCTCCCGGTCTCTCCTAAAAGGCCCAACTATGCTAATCGAAGGATTAGGTCGACCTAGAGGACACGGCCAATGCATACATTATGCTTGCCAAAAATTCCTCCATGACGGGGCAATCAATCCAAATTGGTAAGTATTCCAGGTATCTCAGGCACTGGCCGTCTACAGCAAGGCTAATTCCACAGATGCTGGCCTCGTTATAAAATAAATTGAAACGCACCTGCACACGAAAATCTTGGCAATTTACCTTACTTAGCATTAAGACTAAGGTACTGTAGTATCTAGAGTTAGTAACACATAAAGTCTTCTCTTCGTCTCTTTCATTTTTCTTTATTGTAGTGGGTTGTAGAACGGCGTATATTTGGAGGTGCCTGAGGAAAATGTTCGATCTCCGACCATCCGAGCTTTGAAGGCAGCTCGAACAGCATCTGCATTTGGCTCTCCTTCCACTTTCATTTGATCCACGCGCACCAGTTTTCCATCCTGGGTGAAAACATACAGGCTTTTCCCTTCTCGAGGCTCAATCGGAGCGATGCCATCCACAAACGGCAATCCCGGAACAAGAGAGAAAGCTCGAGAATCTGGCGTGGGTTGCACTTCCTCCATTTCTGTAAAAATTATCCGTCGCTGTTGGAAGGATGGAACGCCAGCAGAATGGTCCTTGGCTACCAGAGCTTTGCTCCAAAGTGGACCCAGGACGCGTTTCCGCTTATTGACCTCGGCCAAGGTCCAATTTGCCCAGTCGATATGTCGGTCCTCTGTTTGAATCTTGGCTGCATGGATCAATGGTTTATCTCCTTCCGATGGGCACCAGCGGTGTTCGTCTACCGGGGGAACAAATACCCCTTTCCTAATACCATCAACAAGCATCCGCGCCCCCTTTGGGGCAACGAAATCCAGGAGCTGTGGGACTGTACATGAATCTGGGTTTGGTATTTCAAATCCGGGAGAGGGGGTCTGGTCAAGAATGACGCCATGATCGAACCGCTTGAGATCTAACGTCTGAAGAGTAACCCCGGTCCTGGTTCTGCCAGCCAAGAGTGTATGATGTAGAGGTGCAGGACCACGGAGGCTGTAGATTTGGACGGTCAAAATCTGCTTTTTTTTTTCTGTCGGTCACAATTTGAACATACTCGGGAAGTAATGAAGGATGGACATTCAGCCCTCCATATTGTACGCCGTTCAAAATGCGCGCTGGCACAAATAATCCAAATGATACAGCCACTATCAGATTGATAGGACCCCCGGCCAATGTGGGCAGCTAGGCAGTGGTATGTCAGTACACATATAAAGCGGGAAAGATAGGACAGATAATACCGTCCAGCCTCTAAATGTGTCGATCTCATGGATTGGAAGTGACAGTTCCGTTGCGGCCGCTTTTATAGGAACTATGGGAGACTTTTGTAAGCGAACAGCTACTAACATACGGCATTTTCTTAGGCCAATTACCCTCTTGTATTTTCTTCAGTCCTCTACCCACTCTTTTGCCTGGTCTACAGACAACGTCGATGGATGCTATGCGATCCGGTCGACTCACATGCTCTTTATGGAGAGCTTTCAAGGAAGCGATGCTGAACTCATCCGACCCGCAGAAGAGAATACGAAGGGGATCGTAGGACCTCGTGGTAAGAAATCGAAGTGCAAAAATCCGACCGGCCCCAGGATGTCTGTACACACAGAGAGCCCCTGGCCCCCGTGAGAGGAACATGGCGTCGACGTCTACTCGAAACAATGGCCTCCGCGGGAACTGGGAAGCTTATAGGTAGGTCCCCCCACGTGATGTCAACGCATCGACACCCCAGGCCAACTACCTAGTACAGAGAGGATCACAACTCTCAACTTCTCCTGAAGATTCCCCCGTGGGCTGTGGCTCACAGTCTGACGATGCGATGCCAGAAGACGATTCTTCTTCGGTAGCTCCTGCGCAGCTCTCGTATCTTACCATCTACAATCCCCTTCTCGGACCGACCGACGAAACTATCCAAGACCAGATCGTCTTCTATACCTCCAGATTAGGTGAACCGCAGCGGCACAAGAACTCGGAGGCTGGGCCTAACGACAATGGATCGAACTATGAGCACAATGAAAAATTGCGCCAGATAGGACTAGTGCAGGGAATGGTGAGCTTTGCCAGGTGGGGACCACCCTTGGACGAAGAGCTCCGGAATTGCGCTAAACAACTATTCCAGGAATTTCTCGGAGGGTAAACCGGTGGAGTATGTGGAAACAGAAAAGTCAAATATTCTCCTGCATGAGTTGGAAAATAACTGGTGGATTTTGGCTGTAAGTGGAGTTTCATGGAATCCGCCATGGTGCTATCTATGATGCTGAGCGCTACGATCGTGCAGTCCATCGACCTGACTCGTCTTCCAACCACCGATACTTCCACTGGTACAGCCCCGTCTTTTTATTATTCTTCGAGAGAGATGTGCCCTCCGCATCTTTTGATCCAGCAACTACGACGTGCTCATTCCATTTTTCTACTACATCATGATCGGACACTAGATGCCCTCTATCAACGGGTGGGCAGGTCGACATTCTGCAAACTGCTCGACAGCTTTTGGTGGAAATTTGCATGGAACTGGGAAGTTCTCCTTGGTGGAAACCCGGCCGTCGACATGTACAATGGGATCAAGCTTTCCGCTGGCGGCGAGCTTGGCGTCGGTGTTGGTGAAGAAGAATGGGGAAGTGGAGAAAGAGAGGTCTTGGAGGATTTTGTGGTCAGAACTGATGGTCTTGTGGATCTAGTTGTCTCGCGGTTTGGTGACCCTTGGATGCCAATTGAGGACCAGGCAACCTGCAACAAATCAGAACTTGAGAATCAGAACGAAACCATTGCTGGATGGCTGGGTTTAGACACCCACCCTAGACCATCGGATGGTGTTATATTCTCAGGGATGGGAGCCATTTCTAGGCCTTCGGTGGCACGAGTCTCTCAGTGGATGGAATGGATATACCGTTATGGCCCTGATGCCTACGGAGTCGGCGAAAATCCAACCTCGCCACGACGTCGAAAGCAACGAAAAAGACAACAAGGCCGGTCATCAAAGGACTCAAATAATGAATCAAGCACCACTCCCGTCGCACATACCGGCTACAGCTTCTCCCCGGGTATACCCCGCCCGCTAGTGACGGGGCAACCACAAGAAACTGAAGCAGGCTATCAAACAAGTAGCGGGAGCTCCCCAGCACCAAACGAGATTGGGAAAGATTGGATGGGTCTCAAAACTGAGACGTTTGTGAAATACCTTAAACTTGGCTATGGCTCGTCCTGGGGCCCCTCTGCTGGAACAGCTAGCTCTCACCCTCGCGTTGAGGCCTTGAAACAAGAGGATGAGTCGACAAGCGTGGACAGGCAAGCAACCTCTACGGCAGCTACACAAGAAACGTCTGATGAAGGCTCCTCGAAGTCTGGAGACGCCCCCAGCTCCAAGAACCTAGGGAGATTCATGATTGGGTTGCATAATGGTCTCGATACCCGGTCTATAGAGGACGCTGATCTAGCGGACAAGCCACCAGGGGGATTAAATGAGAACATCATGCAGAGAGCATTGCATGTTCATTTGACAGCTTCGAACGAGGAAGCTAAACTGCGAGTAGCGGTCTATATAGTAAGCCCTCCAGTGCAGGCTCTTCTAGGCCTTTGGTTGTCGCTGCTAACCAGGGAAATAGCATCAACCGTTTATATATACATTTCTCTTTGATTCGGAAACGCCGTCTCTATCTGACCCTTCTCTCTACCGTAGCATTCATCACCAGTTGAGCCCTCTCCACAAACCACTCATCAACTCGACGTCACCAGCGAACGCGGCAGCGCGAATCTCGGTATCCGAAGGAGCATTCGATATCAACCAACGCTTCCTAACCAAAAACCAACCAGTATACGACCTGGTCTATGACCCATCTAACCTCACCATCCGTACTTCGATCCCCAACATCCCAGACCTCGGCACCCATCCTCCGGGTCACCCAGACTCCAACATAACGCCCTGGTTGCGCGTTGAGAGCTTGAACATCCACCACCGACTCCTCAGCACGTATGTCGAGACGCGATCCCGGCCGCTAGAACTGGAAAGAACATGCAAAACCAGCCGTGGCTGGTGGATTGTGTGGGTACGGTTTTCCGAGTCCGACAGCGGAAACATACGAAAAGGACCGCCCATCGTCGTGTCCGATGATGTTCGTCAGGAAGCGTTTCTGATCCGAAAAGCAAGTGACCACGTCTCCTCGGTTGCACACGCGCGCAACAGCAGCGGATCACGATTCTTCAGAGACCTTAGCGGAGCGTCTTCACCGGGCCTGGCATCGTCACGCACCGATACAGGACCCGGGAAACTCGTAGAGGGATTGGGGCTGGATGCTAGACGATACATTGAGAATTTACTGAGTTTGAATAGATGAATGACAGACACTGCATTGATCACCGTTACCGGACCAAGACTTTCGCGGTGTACGATGCAGAGCCCAGGTATCTTGGCTAGTTAGGTATACAGAGCCCACTGTAAACATATAACACTAAAAAAAGATAATATAGATATAAAAAAAATACCGTGATAATCCCTGCCAGCCCCTGAACACAGAGTATTTATGACAGTCATCCACTAATATCCTAACACCTATCCAGTAACATGTACTCGTCTGCTTCCCTGTCTGTCAGTCACTCAGCATACTCCGTAGTATCCACCCACTACTTGGCTAGCTGGTAGGTCGATATGTACTGTGTACTTAAGACGCAGTGCATGTACGCCGTACCAGAAATGTATGTATAGTATGAGTACCAGAACCTAGCTATCTACTGATATGGCCTTATCATATTAAACACCAGCCACCGAATAAATAACACTGTATAACTTAAATTGATTCCATATATAGATAGATACTGTGTATCCGATAGAGTTGTCGTTCTAAATTAGTAGCGGAGGTCCCCCTTTCAAGGACCTAGGTACTAACTAGTCTGTTACTATCAATAACCGAACATTGCAGAATAAGATATCAGACTTTCACGGGGGTACTTTTTTCGTTCCTTTCTTTTTCTCCTTTAAAAAAAAAAATTAAAAAAAATGAGGTAGCTAACTATTTTTATCCCGAATTTTAAGGGAAACCAGATAGACATGGTACAAATTCACCTACAAAGGACGTACCTACGGACCTCGGCATCCTGTGCTTTACAAAGGGGAAACGTCCTCTGTAACTGGTATTAAAATATGCTTGTAGTAAATACATTTGTATGCGCAGACATAAAATATAGAATGGATAAGATGTTGGTGCTCTACTCAGCATGTCCAGTAGAGCTGCTAAATGGGGGAAGACAAAAGGGCGCATTGATTAATAGATAATAATGGAGTGGTTCGCTAAAGCATTCTTCTAGTATCAGTTTGTCGCCAATTCCAAAAGGTGACAACTCTGATCAAGACGAAGTAGCAGAAGAACCCAAGAACCAAAGACAAAATCCATGCATTCTCTTTAACCGGAACAAGATTAAGACTCTGCTGGGGAAATCCGATGCGATAGGGATGCCTCTATCCGATCACGACTTTCCGACTTTCGTGCTCCAACCCTCCGACCATCATTGACTTACAGGACACACGTGAAAAAGAAACGCCCATCCCCAATTGCCCTGCGATCGGCACTACTCAGGGCAGCAATGTCCTGGTTTTCGCCGGTAAACGGGCAATCCGCGGTGTCTTATCATGGCAATCGACCCGCTCCGTAGGCACTATGGAGAGCTGGAAAAGAGAAGAAAACAAACAAGGTAATGAAGACAACGCCTCCCTAGAAATAAAAAGAAAAATAGACACGTCTGCAAAATAAGAAAGTCGACCAACTGCATAGCCAGATAAATCCCATAAACCTCATGTGCCCGTGATAGAACATTACCCACTCGCATCCAGGCACAAATTGGAGCACGCCAACGGAAGACCCCTTCTGAGGAAAAAGAAACAACCAAATAGTCGAGACGCTTATCCGTTCATATAATCTCCACATGAAACAGACCCTTCACGAAGGAGGCAAAACTAGTTTACAGGATGGTGCACTTCTTATTCTTCTTCTGAGTCTTGGTCAAAAGAGCGGCCCGGGTTGCAGCCTCAAAGACTTCACGGACACCCTCGTTGGTCCGTGCAGAGCACTCGAGGTACTTGTAGGCGCCGATCTTCTTGCGAACCTCCTCACCCTGGGAGCAAATCAGAATCGGTCCGGTTGCCGTGCACATTGGGGATTTGGGAACACATACCTGTTCGGGGGAAACAGGCTTCTGGGAGGTCTTGTTCAGCTCCTCATTGGTCTTAGGGTCGTGACGGAGATCAACCTTGCATCCAACAAGGATGATGGGGAGACCCTGGCAGAAGTGAAGAACTTCGGAAATCCACTAGAATATGGTCAGCCGTCCTATTCGAGGGACTCCTAGGGGTCCCTGTATTGTAACTCACCTTCTCCTGGACGTTGTCCAGGGAATCCGGGGAGTCGACTGCGAAACAAATCAAGATCACATGGGAGTCGGGGTAGGAAAGGGGGCGGAGACGGTCATAATCTTCCTGGCCAGCAGTATCCCAAAGAGCGAGTTCGACGTGCTTGCCATCAACTTCAACATCGGCGACGTAGTTCTCGAACACAGTGGGGACGTAGACCTGAGAAACAGATCAGTCAGTTTGGGTGTCCGCCAACAGACGGGGTTCACTGGCTCGCATCGACCACACGAGGGTAGTGGAAGTGCCAACAGGTGAGGAGAGCTAACCTCAGGGAAGGTTCCCTTGGAAAAGACACTATTGAACGAAGTTGATCAGGATTTATCTTTCTTGCCCAAGCGGGATGAATGTCAACAAATTGGAGAGACTTACATCAAAAGACAAGTCTTACCGCAGGCACCGTCACCCACGATAACAAGCTTGCGACGGATCTCAGCCATCTTTGAAGTAAAGGAAGAAGATCAGCAAATGATGAAAATGGAATAAAATTCACTTCAGAAAGAGCAGCAACGACAAAGGGGGGGAATAGAAAGAAGTTGTTGCAGAAGTTGATGGATGATGAGGCGGTGGGAGAGATTGAAGGCTGAGAAGGGGACAGGTCAGGCGCCCGAGGAAAAGGGTTAGTTCAGCTAGGTCAGTGATCACATACGGTCCAGGGAGGAGCAACGGCGCGGATTAATATACGGGAGCGGAGGAAGAGAGAAGGAGACGAAGAAAATAAAAAACAGACAGAAGAAGAAAAGAAGAGTAGAAAGAATGCAAGAAACTCAAAGAAGATGAGTTTCGTGGGTAAGAACAATAAATGGTATTATTGCGAGGACTCCAGGGGAGCTGGGTTGGTTGATGGATTGATGGGTGGAAGGAGAGAAGAGGAAAAAGAAAGGATGGGGACTGACAAAGACAAGACAATAATCAGCAGTATTGTATGGGCGATAGGTTAGTTCGTTATCGACTGGCCCTGGCTTGCTTTCTCTCAGGGTGAGTCGCTGAGGCTCCCTGCTCCCAAGTTCACTCACTTAGTAAGGAGCCAGGCTAAAAGCTTTGAAACGGTTGGCAGCCGACACTTGCCCAGCCCCATCAGCTTGAAGCAATGTGGCTGTGCATGTGTATTGTCATGTTTATTTTTATTTTTATTACAGGTACTAAGTTGGAAGTTAAAAATTCTATCATTTCATCGGTTCCAATACTAAAAATCTTTGGTCTTTCTTCAATTTGACGAAAAGGAAGGAAGGGGAAAAAGAAAAATTCAAACTGTCTTGGAGGTCTCCTTTTTCTTGCGATTGGATACTTCGCTGCTTATTTAGATGCCTAGTTTCGGTCTCGTCCATTCCTACCAAGGTCACAGTGGCTGAAGAACACACATGTCCAGGTATCCGACATCCCGTATACGCTCGCACATGTATGAAGTGCATACATACTTGATACATATTTCAATACCGATGTAATACGGAAATCAACTTGGATGTGGATTGTTTCAATATGAGCTCCGACTTTCGGACCAATAATTCGCCCGACTTGCTTCTTTCTATGCTTCCAGATGCTGGAAACCAGACGGTGTGAACATGAACTACATACGGGACATGACATTGCATTTGTACACTGAATTTTGCGCTGCAGAAGGCATCACGATCCTCTAGGGATATTAGTTGCATGGACACGTCAATCCCCCTGCCATGCTGTCAGAGCCTAGAAGCCTGCGGGCACTCTAAATCCTCGGGGTTTCGGCTGCTCTGGCTCCATCCTTTCTTACTGAACAGTCAATATAGCCCTTATACTCTTTTACCAAATACTTAGAACAGGGGCATTCTTTCTTGATAGTCTTGTGTCATTTTAAGGAATACCAGTCCATTACACGGCCTTAGTTAACTACACTCTATCCCAAACGGATCAATATTATCGGCTCCTAATCCGGGGCTATCGATGAAAGACGAATGATTCATGATTTGACATGAGCTAGCTTTCGAATTGAGTTTCATCTGCATATATACCGTCAAGATGCCAGAGTCCGAAAGTCATTCTGGACTCAATTGAGTTCGACAATCCAGGATGATATCAAACCCAATAAGGATGTGCTTCCATAAGTACTCCGTAAGTAAGTTACTCCGTACCAACCGTAACGTCAGGTGGTCATACGAGGATGTACTATACAGTAAATTAAAGTACGTGGCGGTGCAATACATCTGCCAGTCCCTAGCCACATCAGAGTGGATAGACGACTCCAATGTTACCCTCTTGAAGTTACTGCCTACCAGATAGAGTAGCCTGTTTTCTTGGTGTCAAGGACTGATTGGTACTCTGTCCTGCGTTCTCTCCACCAGAAAAGTTGTCATTGCAAGAGGCAGCAAATAAGGCAGCCTCTGAACTGTACATATATGTATGTACAGTACATCCCGGTACTATTACCGCTGTACAGTACCTTGCGAGCCATCTGCCATGGATCACCACGGAGGATACGCCTTACAGCTCCTACTTGGCAATACAGCAGTACCTACCGTCCTGGAGGACCGCAATGACTCGGTCAAGATGACAATCTTGCTAGTCGTTGGTCTATTCTCACCTACATACTTAGTTAGCCTGGGACTTCTTAGACCACTCAGACCGACAGATGTTCGTGTTTCAACACTTGTTCCGCAGAGCCAAATACAGTCGACATCTGGCATAGCCTGTGGTCATCCCACTTACCCATTCCCCCTCCCTGGTGGTCAAAATCCCTCGAGTATACAGTCCCTGCATAGCTTTTCTGACTCTATATGACATCATGGTTAGCATTATTGCGTGGTTGGCCCTTCTCATGTGAAAGATCCGTGCTCTTTCTCTTCGGGTTTTTTTTTTGGAAAACCCCATTGAGTCACTCAGGAATTTTATACTTGATAACTAGGGAGTAAGCTAACCTGAAAGTCTACATGCTGTCGATTGGTCCTTGTCCTAAACAGCGCAAGATCCTGGGTCTGTCATATGCAGGCATTGATCCTGTTGGACATAGCAAAAAACGTCCAGGCGATAAAATACATGCTATGTCTGAGGTCCCAGTATTGTCTAAGGAAGACAGTATGCCTGTCCTTGGCATATCTCTCCAATACGGGAGCCAAATTGCAAAAGAAGCAAGTGTCATTCATCAGATAGGTACATTAGAATGTCGCTGGGATACTAAGCTTAGAATCCTTTATATCATATGACTCAGGCTCTGAGTTTTAACCAAAGCTCCGGTTGTTTTTGCCATAACAGCACTAATTAACTCTTCGAGGATTTGCAAGTAACCAGTAAAACATCTTGCATTTTGGTGGTTTTTAATAGTTTGTATGGTTCCACGATCTATGTTGGAGAATATCTCATAAAATATACACATTCTAGGTCTTTCAATTGAATCCTACCATCTTACTTTCCCAGCTGTCTCCGTAGTACAGACTTAGTAGTACCTATGAGGCAGAGGAGCGCTGCTGCCCTGTGTTGTTCATTCACGTGACATGACATGGCCGCAATTTTCCCTCCCGAGCCATTCGACCACTGCCTTTCGATGATCCCGCGGAAACGTCAGCCATCACCGTGGTACCACGCCGGTCAAGATGCAGAAGATCATTCGAAGGACAGCACTGGCGAGGAACCAGGCCCAAAGGAAGGCCATTCGTGCAGCCAAAACCGCCGAGCGCGAAGAATTGAAGGATTCGTTGAGACAACGGTTCGCATACAACCGCATAGGACTCGATGCCATCCGATCCGAGAGGCAACGACGCCGTGAGGATTGGATGCGAGGGCCTCTCGCGCCCCAGCGGGACGCTGGTTTTGAAGGGAAGACGTTCGGTGCGTTGTCACCGCAGGCAATGAACCCACCAACCATTCCCAAGCACCTACGCAGAAAGTACATCAATATTGCCGCGGGTGACCGAGTGTGTATCATGAAGGGCAGAGACAAGGGCAAGATCAACGAGGTCACCCGGGTGGATGTGACAAATGAAACTGTCACCGTCAAGGACCTCAATGTGGTATGGACACCTGGCAAGGCGGCTTCTCGTGATCGGATCTGTTCTTGACTGACTCGCTGTCCTCTGCAGGCCGATGTACATTTCCCCGAATGGCTGAACCAACAGTATGGGAATAATACTCCCTTCCAAACGGTGAACCTGCCTCTCCCCATCGACGACGTCCGACTGGTAGTTGCCCTCGATGACCCGACCACAGGACAAACGCGAGATGTCCTGGTGGAACACGTTTACGGCGGGGGTCCCATACTGGAGCGAGTCTACGGCTCAGACACTCCTAAGCATACCCGATACATTGCCGGCGAGGATATCGAGATTCCATGGCCTCGTAGTGAGCCGCCGGCAGCGAAGGATGAGGAGTGGGACACTCTTCGAATGGAAGTTGAAACCCCCACATGGGTGCCATCACTGCACAACGCGCCTTTCCCCCCAAATGTCATGGACGAACTCCGGAATAAGTTCTCGAAATATCGAACGAGACATGACCCTGAATGGGTGGAAGCTAAGAAGATGGAAGAGTACAGAAAGGAATACCTTCAAAGCCGGTCTTTGCTGACACCTAAGGGAGAGCTCATGGCCAGGATCCAGGCTAAGAAGGAGGAGCGCTTGAACGCCAGACGAGATGCTGATGGCAATTACCTCCTGGATGATCAGACGGTCGGATTTATCGAAAACTTCATGAAAGAGAAAAAGGCTGCCAGGGGTTAAGAATCCGGTCAGTGCGGATTTGGCATTGCGAGGGCTTCTTGGTTTTATTTTTTATTTTTTTTTTTTTCCCTTTCCGTTGTCTTCTTCACACGCGTGTATACAACTTGAATTCCTGTAGTATAGAAATCGACTGTATAAGATTCCTCTACTCACTGTATATATAAACTAACCCAGCTGGACCCCACGGACTCTCATGACCAAGAAGCCCCTACGTAGGGATCATCATGCCCTGTCGAGATCGCAGCATTTCCACGAATTAAGATCGACTATTGGAATCCCCCCCAAATTGCGTTGGGATGGGTTGGTTGATTTCGATGGGTCGACAACCCGCCAGGGGAGTCTCGCAGTGCCTTATCCGCTCTACCTCCCCCATCTTCCTCGGTCTCGCAACTTCCCACCCCCCAAGTGTCCGATGTTGGATTATCTGTTCCTGGCTCACTGTTTTGTTTTTTGATTATGGCATTCGCCACCATCAACTCCTCTGCTACGAAGAGTATTCCAGCCATTGAAGACGCTTTTGCTGCCGAACCTTTTCTGAAAAAACGAGTTTACGATGCGATCGGTACGTCCCTTTTCGCTCGATGGCTTCAGGTTCTGCGAACTATTTGAGGATTTTTTTTTAAAAAAAAAAAAAAAAAAAAAAAAAAAAAATAGAATAAATAAAATTCTAACTACAGAACTGATTTCTCCTTTCTCTCCAGGAACTACCCCGCAGCATATACCTCTATTCGAAGACATTGCTCGATACACCTCCAGCCTGCTGGCCAGGAACGCGAACAACCCCCTTCAGCCTTTCAAGACGTCTACGGATGGCCCTGCGGTGAAGAAACGAAAGCTACAAAATGGGGATGCCACGGGAAATATCCAATCGTTAGGTGATCTGAAAGCGGATATGCCGCTGCAGTTCTATATGCAGGATGTGTCGTTTGCTATTCCACAGCGAAAAAAGCTCTTGCTTGAGATCACCGCCGGGCGCGGTTACCTTCGCGCGAGGAATCAGACCTCAAAGGAGATCGAGTTTGGGATCCCAATGGACAAGATACGTAAGTCTGGCGCATGGCTCTTTTTTGATTGATTGTTGTTTAGCTAATGCTATCTTGTGCGATCGTAAAACAGAGCATATCTTGTGTCTTCCAGTCCCGGAGAAGAACCAGCGACAGTTCAACTTTTGCCTGATCCCTCAGTATGGTGACGGAATCAACCCCCCTCCCGACGGTGAACCTGTACCCGAGTCGATTGTATGGACAGTCGCCGACGGGCCTCCCAAAGCAGCATTCTCGGGGGATGGCCAGCAGCTTGGAAACAACGAGGGAGAGACTACTGAACGACTGGTCCGACAGGTGTTGAACGATAACCTGTTACAGACGCAGGTGGTGCGTCCGGAGGATAAACAGTTTGTGAGTGCTATGCCGGAGGCGCATCGCAAGGGGGAGAAAGCATATCATGTCAAGGCGTTCCGTGGAAGTAAAGAAGGTACGGTACAATCTTGGTGCCGTCTTGGTCCTTTGTTCCCCGATGCTGATCGACATGCATCCCACAGGTTACCTGTTCCTTCTGTCTACTGGAATACTGTTCGGATTTAAGAAGCCGCTGGTATTTTTCGCCCTTGAGAATGTAGACTCGATCTCCTACACTTCAGTGCTCCAGAGGACCTTCAATCTGAATATCGCGGCTCGATCTTTGAACAACGATGAACCGCAAGAATTCGAGTTCTCCATGATCGACCAGGTGGACTATGGCGGCATCGATGCGTACATCAAGAAGCATGGTCTTCAGGACGCCAGTCTTGCTGAAGCACGACGGGCCAAACGGTATAATGTCAACGGAGCAAAGACAGAAGAGGAGGGTGCTGCCACAGCAGACGCTGCTGTCGAGGAAGAAAGTGAGTTGCAGAAGGCACAGCGTGAGCTTGAAGACCAAGAAGACGAGGAAGAGGAAGACTACGACCCCGGTAGCGACGGCGACAGTGACGGAAGCGGTTCTAGTAGCGAGGAGGAAGATGACCAGGACGGCGGGGGTGATGCAAATGGGGAGGATGGCGTTGATCGAGATCTCATTGCAGAGGAACTTGGGAGTGAGGCGGAAGACATTCCAGAGGATCAATTGTAAGAGATGTAATTATATCTGGTGCGGAATATTGGGGGTGACACCAGCAAATCTGTGAAACGCAGAAGAGCCTCTGGCACCTGATATGTCTTTTGGATGTACTTGTATATCTTACCTTCTCACCCGATTTATTAGCAAAGTTACATGATGATTTAAGAGAATAATGAGCTCTAGTTTAGCTATCTGATCAATTCTATGGTAAAATCCAGAAGACCCGGTTATTCCTACTCAGAATAGGATGTCTTTTAGGGTTTGCGATCCCAAACTTTTTCCCAGAGAGGGAGGGGAAAAAAGCTCGAAAAATCAGAAAAAAAGGCCATAGAGTATTCGTCACAACATATAAGCCAGGAAATAGTCCACCTCTAACTGGATAGATGATGAGATAGAGTTGCATCATATATCATCGACGGCCGTGGTTGCAACCCCATCCCACTTTCCCGGGCGAATACTCCCTAAAAGAACACCCTAACTAGGTCAAAATGTCTCTTTCTTCGACATAGCCTAATTCTTTCGTCACGGAGTCACTCTTTTTAACTCTTTCACTTTATGTCTTTTGTTTTGTTGCTGTTGTTCATTCACATAGAGACACTAGAATGGGCCTTCTGGAGAAAATCGATGACGTCGTCGAATCTATCGCCGACTACCGCTTGGGAGGATACCATCCCGTTCACCTCCACGACCTCTTCAATGAGCGATACGAGATCACTGGGAAGTTAGCGCATGGTCAGACTTCAACGGTGTGGCTTGCCTGGGACCAGAGGTGTGTCGATTCCCTTCCTAATCGATATATCTATCTTCCTCGTGCTGACACTAGATACTGTGCGTAGGCTCGAACAGCAGGTGGCATTAAAGATCGTAAAGGCAGACGCTTCGCGGGATAACAAGGAGCTGGAAATCCTACTTTACCTGTCGAATCCAGATCTGGACCATCCCGGGAAAAGGCATGTGATAAAACTACTGGATCATTTCGAGCATCGTGGTCCGAATGGTATTCATCTGTGCCTTATATTTCCAGTGCTGGTATCCGATGGCAAGGAGATGGTTCTCGCGGGTAAACCGCGCCAGTACAGCAGTGTACAGGCCATTGCTAAACAGATTCTGTTGGGCCTGGATTTTCTTCATTCGCAGAGCATCATACACTGTGGTAGGCCGCCTTGTTCCAATGTCAGAGAAAGAAAGAAAAAAAAAAAAAAAAAAAAAAAACAGAGTGGGAAAGAGCTGAATACTGACCTTCCCTGTATACCTGAAACCTGCCAATATTATGTTCGTCCTCGATGGTGTGAGCTCGTGCGAAGGGTATCTAAACCCTCCCAAACTTTTGCCTGTCCAGTGTCTCGGTGACAGTGGGCCGAGGTATCTGATGGCTTCTCAGAGGGCTCAGGGAATTTTTGATGAAACAGACCCTTCTATGCTTCTCGTCCAATTGGGTGATCTGGGCGGAGGTAATATCACATCCACTGCATTTTCGCTGCGTGCATAGTATATATATACTAACAGATCATGGCAGCTGCATGGAGTGGTCAGTGCCCCGAGCGGCCAGTAACATTGATTCCATTGCGGGCACCAGAATTGGTCCACCGGAGTGAATGGGATTTTAAGATTGACATATGGACCCTGGGTTGCCTGGTATGCAATCATCTGTCCCTTGTGGAATCCTGTCTAATGCTTGCTTTGGAAGCTCTTCGAATTGGCGACAAATGAGCCCCTATTTTCCGTGCCTTGTCTGGGTCTCACTGCAGAGCAAATAGACCAGGAGCACAAAATCCTCATCGACCAGATAATTGGCGAAAGCAGCCAAATGCTTGAGTCGTTTGCCTTCTTCCTGCTAGAAAGGCTTCGGGCCAATCCCCAAGTCACGAGGAGACCGCATAACCTTGTCTCATTTCTTTGCTCGATGCTACAGAGAGACCCTCGGGCACGAAAATCAGCTGCCGAGTTACTGAAGGATCCCTGGATGATGGGGGAGAAATTTTGGTAGTTTGGAGGTATGATAAATGTTCGAGGCTGATGACAGGAAGCGAATGCTGCATACATGCATGTATACTCGACTCGAAACAGTGTAAGGTCTGGTTAGCCTTGGGGAACAGGCCAATGAAATTGTTTGTATGGGGGAATATAGATGGATACTGATGTCCCGAAATTCTTTTTTTGTATAATAAACCGTGCCATCGGCGGCTGTTGATTCCCATGCTAAAGTGACATCAATATCTTGGTCATTACTTCCACCACTCATGTGTGCTTTATCTACCATGCAGTAGACAAATAAAACATCTCGGACCAATTATCTTATAATATATAGACCCATTTCAATCCCAATGGTATAAGTTTTAAATAAGAAGCACTACTGTCTGCAGTAATACAGAGAGCAGTGCAGTGGGTTACTGACATGTCAGCTGGAGAAAAGTTTGCCTACAGGACAAATTGAAAGGAATGTGTAGGTATATGCTGCATTAGGATATCACTGCAATCAAAAATCCTACAGTTCAAAAGGAGACAGATGAAGGGAAAAGATACCACTATGTGCCTAGGCATCTCCACAAAAAGGAATGTATGGATGTCCCAGAGGAACCCTCAACTTTGGCGTTATTAGCACCACAGTCTAATCAATTTAGTTGTGGACTTTCTTATTAAACTTGGCTTTAGTTTGACATAACAAGGCACGCCTATTAATTAGTTAGTATTCTATAGTTTCTAGATTAATCTTCTACTGTTTTGTATTGTTCTTTCATTCAGTCTTTCCACTTATGTTCCTTTTTTTTTTAAGAAACTAGATCATAACATGCAGGGAGAAGTTCTCCGCACGGGGAACGATTATTGAGTATAAAGAGTATACCCCTGAAAGGCCTGCTATTACTTCGTAGATACGAAGCACCTGTCTATGATGAAGTTAATGAACCATAGTATGGAGTAAATAATAAAGCTATTATTGGTGGCTGTAACCTTGGGTACAATACATGATAGATACAGGAAGTTGATCATCATGTCCATGTCTCATATTCTCGGATTGATCAGGGGCTCAGATGGCCTGTGTGGAGAGATGCAAGTCTGTCTCCATGCTCCGTAGTGAATATTATTTACAGAAATTCTGTATATGTTCCGCTGCTGGAGCCGTCCATTTTTCATGCTTTTTCCCTGAGGCCACTAAAATTTGGGGGCGACTATTGGAAGACAGGAATTGGCTGGAGGAGATTCGTTGCAGCAACTGCTGTCACTGTGATAGTACCATGGAGTACCTAGGTATCAAACTAGCTAGGTAGGTCCTTGGCGGTGCTAACTGCTAAGCTATTCTTTCGATCGGGAGTATTGCCAGGTATGGATGAAGTTTTTTCCTAATACTCGGTTTCCATACCAAACTAGAATTCCTATCGATGATGGCATTCCACCGAAGCCGTCAAGGTACTAATCACTCCCACAAAAAGCAATGATAGTAACCGTGGTAACAAATCTGGGTGATCCCTTACACATGGATGACGGTTTCTTCCATTTCATTTATTTATTTATTATTATTATTATTTGTCTTCTTCTACCTGTTAGGTAAAGCAGTAGACCTCGTCAGTGATATCAATGACAGCGTCAGGAGCTTTCTACCGTATCTTCTAGCTGGCCAGAACCCACCTCGGACGTGATTAGCGTCCGGCCCTGAACCGTTCGTTACCAACAATCGGAGCGCTAAGGGGTCGCTAGAGACATTAGTCAATTGGGTCAAGGCGAGTCCAGGCCGAAAGCCAGAGTTCCGCAGCTGGAGAAGGGGGAACAGCCAGGAGGGTTGAGGAAGATGACCTCTCTATATATTCTAGCCTGTACATACCTACATACTCCATATATAAGTAGTAAGGAGTACTCCGTACCTGACAATAAGCATCCATTTGTGGCAACGGTTACCTAGAAGAGCATAGGCCTGGGTAAGAAATAGCGCTAGTCAATACAGTGCCCAAATTAGGTAGGTACTAGTGCTCCTATGTATGTACTACCAATGGTACCTTAAGGACCTTTGCTAGTGAAGAGAACGGAGGCCTAAAAGTTACCGTACGGCCTTGTCCTTAGGCAGCCGGGTAAGGTACCTTCGGTTCGTACGGTACGGTATGTCAGGTACTGGCCAGTAGCAGGCCGCCTTTCGCCTGTCTCCCTTCTCCCCGTCTTTTCTCTCTCTCGCTTTTTTCCCTTCTCCGCCTCATTTTGCTTTCCACCCGGTTGGTTGGTAACCGTCCATCCTTCTCCTTCCACTCCTCTCTCTCTCTCCGAGTCTGGACAGTACATACCACTAAGTACTAAGTACCTAGTAGCACCACTGCTGGCATCTGTCCCCTCTCTACCCACCTCCATTTGCTCCTCTCTCTTTTTCTTCTTCCTCCTACCTCCCTCCTTCTCCCTCTTATCCTCTGCCTGCTCCCCAATCCGAATCAGCCACTGCTCAGTGCGGTCTATTCGTACTGCCACGCAGCTGGTTTTTCTTCCTAGGGGGCTCTACCTTTATTTGAAAAATTAATAAACAAAAAAAAAAATATAATAAATTTCCGCTTCGTTCTCTGGCTTTAGAGCGCTCCTGAGCTGTCAGCCCGCAGACTCCAACTGTCGGCCTCCGAACTTCGCCAGATCCTCCTATCACGCCCTTCTGTCAATCGATTTTTGTCAAGGGTTGACAATTTTCTCATCGGGATTTCCGTTGCGACAATTCCGACAGCATTCGTCTTGCTGTCCGCCCTCGGTTCGAACTGTCCTGGCACCGTGAATCTATGAACGAATGGTCCAACTTGTAAACATCAGGCTTTCGGTGAGGCCCCTCGGATGCCTCCCCCTTAGGCTTGTTCTCCCTTGATTATGCGTGCCATTCGACACTGTCGTCCAGTTGCTGACTTTGCCGATGTATCTGCAGACTAGTCTTTCACGTGCCGAGCTCTTGGTCGAGTCTTCCGCGCCCATTGTCCCTTGGTGAAGCCACACACTCCCCCGGTCTGACCCCCGATAGAATCTTGCGACTATGGCATCCTCATCGTCCAATGTGGTTGGCGTCCACTATAGGGTCGGGAAAAAAATCGGCGAGGGTTCGTTTGGTGTTATTTTCGAGGGTACAAATCTCCTGAACAACCAACAGGTGGCGATCAAGTTTGTCAGTGCACCGCGGTAGAAGATAGGTCGGAGGCTTAAATGCACTAACAATACTAGGAACCCCGGAAGAGTGATGCCCCACAGCTTCGCGATGAATACCGGACATACAAGATTCTAGTTGGGTGCCGTAAGTATCCCTCCTAGTTTGTCTTTGATGAGGGTGATCCTGTCTGACCTGGTGTAGCGGGCATCCCCAACGTTTACTACTTCGGCCAGGAGGGTCTGCACAATATTCTAGTTATTGACTTGCTGGGTCCTAGTCTGGAGGACCTCTTCGACCACTGCAATCGGCGGTTCTCTATCAAGACCGTCGTCATGGTGGCCAAGCAGATGGTGCGTTCACTCCTTCCCCGTTGGAATCTGTCGGCTAACGTTGGGGTTCTAGCTTTCTCGAGTCCAAACGATCCACGAGAAGAACCTGATTTACCGTGACATCAAACCCGACAATTTCCTCATCGGTCGTCCCAATACGAAGGCGGCCAATGTGATCCATGTAGTCGACTTTGGAATGGCCAAGCAGTATCGGGATCCCAAGACCAAACAACACATCCCCTATCGTGAGCGTAAGTCGCTGTCCGGTACAGCACGCTACATGAGTATAAATACGCATTTGGGACGAGAGCAGTCACGTCGTGATGACCTGGAGGCTTTGGGCCATGTATTCATGTATTTCCTACGAGGCGGTCTTCCGTGGCAAGGATTAAAGGCTGCAACCAACAAGCAAAAGTATGAGAAAATCGGGGAAAAGAAACAGACGACTGCCATCAAGGACTTGTGCGATGGATATCCAGGTACTTCCCAACCCCAGCCCCTTTCCCCTATGCCTTCTTCCACATTGGTCTCAGTGGTACTAATTAAACTATTTGTAGAAGAATTTACGAAGTACTTAACTTATGTCCGTAACCTCGGTTTTGAAGACACCCCCGACTACGACTATTTGAGGGATCTTCTCACGCAGGCCCTAAAGAATGCCGGAGATGTCGAAGATGGCGAGTATGACTGGATGAAACTCAACAATGGAAGGGGCTGGGAATATAAGTCCTATTCGTCTCAACAGCACCTGCACAACAACGGACTTCCCAATTCGTCTGCCCGGGAGCTCCATGGGCAGCAGCTTCGCGGCAGTCAGAGACCTGGTGTGACGGCAGACCGTTTAAACGCCGCGCAGCCCCCGCCTCCTTCTCCAGCAAAAGCTGGAGCTGGGAAGACGCGCGAGCGACCAAACGTCGCCGGCGGGATACCAGGCAAGCGCCAGAGCGGGGGACTGGAAACAACGCCAACGGCGTCGACGCTGGCCCAGTTCCAGAATTCAAGCGCAAACATTCCGGGTCGCATAAATAGCCCTGCCAACCCGACAAGAAATAGCCAACAAGCTCAAGGCAACAGCAACGAGCCGCAGCCCACTTTCGTTCAGAAGGTGATGAAAGCGCTATGCTGCGGTAGGTGATCTATCAGATGCCCACGTGTCTTGCCTTGTGCTTATTACGGCTTTCTGTTAGGTTGATCCCAGGCTTGCGCGCGGGAGAATAAATAGCAATTTTACATTATCCTCCGGCCATATTGGCTTTCCGACCACTTTTACAGTCTTCTTCCTTGGGGACATTTGGGAGGACGGTTGAAAAGCAGCTTACTACTTATACGGTTATAAACTGGACACTCCCCCCATTTTCTTGAGTCAGGCTTGGACGGCTTTGCAGATCCTGCTGGCAGATGATGAGCATTATATGGGCTGGGGAACGGAGGTCCTGTTCTTACCTTTTTTTACCCATTTACCTTTTCCGCTTTCAATTTCCATTTCCTTTCCCCTATTTCAAAACAATGAGTATGGTTTGGATAAGCAAACCACTTCATTCCGCCCCATTTCGCTCATCAGACAATACATATACAACCCGAGGTAGAGTGGTCATAGCTAGGGCGACGTCGTCCCTATCTCATCCACGTCTTTCGTCATCATATCCATCATCTTGAACACTCTTTGTTATGGTGCTACGGCTTGGAACGGCGAACTTTGAATTTTTTTTTCTTTTTTTTCCTTTTTCCTATTCCATAGTCTTGTTTTTGCCTCCCTTCGACAACACTGCATTCTGGCATGAGAGCCATTTAATATTAGATTTTCATATTGCGTCAGACTACGTGACCGATGTCCGTATCCCTATTGTTTCCAACCGTCTCGACTCTACCATCGTTTGTTTTCGGTTTGTTGTGGATGGTTTTCCGATGGGTAATAAGCATTAATGATGTGGCAGAATGGCGTTTGGCATTTCCGATGGAATGGCCTCGAGGGTGACCCATTTAGCGAAGCATTTAGCAACTCCTGAGTGTTTGCATATGCCGAACGGGACGCGTGAGAGAGACATACATGGAACATTGCATTGGATGAGTTATGTGCAGTTTGTGGCCTTTTTTTTTTTTTTTTTTTTTTTTTAATGTTTCAGTGTCTATTTCTCGGGAATTCTTCCGGACCTCCGGTGTTGCTTTGTGTATGCTGTTGTTGTTGGATCGCCCTCCTACTTGTTTCTACCCGCAGTTGTTTCATTATGAAAGAGCCCATTGATCAGAACACTGTTTATTTGGCCAGCGGTTTATTGTGGTTGCCAGGTTAGATGGATAAAAGACCATGTTTCATATATTTTTGTTTCCCGGCTGGATCTACTCTGTGTGTGTGCTGTACATTTCTTTACTCTTTTTTTTTACCTCCTGGAAGCTGCGTGTTCTCCGATATATGAGAGGTAGCAATAACCCAAGCCTACTTGGCTGGCGTATAGTATAGAAGTCCGCTATACTTATATGTTTATATGATCAGCAACTTGGGTAGAACAATGTACAGCAGTCAATCACCCAAGCAAGCCATCAGTCCGTCCAACGACTTCCCTGTCGCCAATCGGAAGCATCTAAATGATCATACGACTAGATACCTTCTTCGTAGGGACGGGTGATTATGCAGCAAGATCGACATGTCCTCCGCATCCGACCTGCCGAATCCAGTGCCATCGTCGCTGACTACCTGCCATCTTGCAGGGGAGCAGAACAGAGCACGGTACAGAGTACGAAGTACATGGGGAGAGACAGAACTGAAGCACCTCTCTTACTATGGAGTAAGTAGGTTAGTGTTTCGGATGGAAACAGATACAGGCAGGAAGACAAACAGAAAGACACAACAGGATATGTCTAGGATGAATTTAATGATTAATTCGTTTAATGACCTTGCACCACCTTCCCTCTTACTCTTACTTACACTTTGAGAAACATCCCCCACACACATATATACACACACAATGCTACTAACCAACCGACCAACAACAGACATGGAAAATTCAACAACACTCAAAATGATTGTCACAATGCAGATCACGCATCACATTATCAAGTCCACCATCATTCACTTTTTTTTAATTTATCCTCTGCATGTTTCGGGTATCCATGATGGATATATTTAATATTTAATATTTAAATAGTTAAATATCCTGTTGATAGGATGAACTCTGTATTTCTACCCTGTAGAAACTTGTTCATTGAATGAATGAATGAACGGTTACATTAATTGGCTGTATATTATTGATTAGATTTACTTATTATATTTATTATACAGAGCCCGCTATCAGTTAGTCAAACACGTCGGTGAACCGGACAAGAAACGAGGAATCTGTTTCCAGTTTCAATATTTGTCCCCATTGCCACTGTCCATGCGAGTCTAGACTGTCAGATTCATTGAAAGAGAAAAAATTACCAAAAAAAGAGAAACAAGGTATTTCAATCAAGGGTATCATATCTATTTCCATATCCGTAAATGCTAACTCAGTCGTAGGTCGTTGTAGAAAAACATGGAGAAGGGTGCCGGTGCTAGATACACATGCAATCATGTCGCCAAAGAAAATACAAATCCATCAACCAACGCCGAATCAAAGTAGCCACCCATCCCATTTCCATTCATGATAAAGAGAAACATCTATCGCGTGCGGGAAACACAAGAAATGCTCGCTTGTTTGACCTCGAAAACGCCTGCTATGTAAATATGCTGCTAGAATGTAACAAACCAACCAATGCGCCGCTGCACATTACACCTGTCCACTCATGTCGAACATGCTTTATGTGAGTGATTGCCCGGAGAACAAATGATCGATTGTGTAAGATGAAGGTTCGTGGAGAATGTAGAGAAGTCATGTGTAGTTCTATCATGCGTTGAGGGGACGCCTTCTTTGGAGCTCCAGGAGAAGAAAAGGTCGTTTGGTCAGGGTACCAGGTTATCGTCATATCCCCCACTCAGTCCATTATGACCCTACCAACATCAGGTTGATGGGTCAGTATATTTGAAGGTCACAGGATAACTAGTCCTCCGTCCCGGGCAGTTTCATGCTCCCTGAGCTCCCATTGCCCGATCGCTTTTTGAATCCTAGCTTCATTCCCATTTTCTTCCATGGGTTGTCGGGACGATTCTTTGGGCTGTGGGACAGGTGCATCGACTGCGGGTCACTCGAAGGCGGCGTGGTCGGCGGCGTCATGGGTTCGCCAATGCTCGTATTCGACTGCAAGCTTCCCGAGTCATCGGTCAGCGCACCCGATCCTGAGTCGCCGCTTGCGCTAGAAACAGGCCCCGATGTGCGGTGGCTGGATTTGCCCATGGAGGTCATAGCGCCCAGAGAGAAGTTTGGTCGACTATGATGGCCGGACGAAGAAGAGCCTAGGGAGACAGGTGGCCCCAAATCCTTCGACGACTGGGGAGACAAACGCCGGCTCTTGGACCGACCACGCTTGGTAGCGTGGTCATCGAGACTTGCACCCGACACAACCGTCACTCCCTCGTGGGAGAACAGGGATTCCGATAATGGTAGGGCATGGGCAGATGAGGTGTGTGCGTTGAGAAAGGGAATGAAGATCGACTCCTCCATCAACTCATGCACAAGCTTGACAGCGGCATCGAGGGTCTCGGGGGGTGGGGGAGTTGTTGAATTTCCATGGTGAAGGATTTCATCACGGACATCGCTGGAGACGTTGATTTCGCGCGGTGATCCTGGAGCGATATAGGCAGTCAAAAGCCGCTCCCAAAGCATACGCAAATGTTCGCTTTCAGCGCAATCCGAAATAATCGGCGACTGGTTGAGTTTGTGGCTGAGCGAGTGATATGTTTCACGGTAGCGCTTAGCTTCCAAGGTAAACTCCAAGGTCTCTAAGCAATGGTTCTGGGAGAGATACGCCATAAACGCACTCAGTGTGTAAGGGGGAGGCGCCGTGTTCGCCAGCACCTCATCCAAGGTCGGTCGCATGGGGCAAAATGCGCCCGAGGGGACCACCAGACTCAGCGGACGTGGACTGGATAAATCCATGTCCTCGTCCGACTCGCTGTCCGATGATGAAGACGTTGGAGAAAGTTCAGGCGTCGTACTGGGAGAGTTGTTCCAGAAGAGTAGAGGTGGATGTAAAGTCTTCTTTCTGAGCATCGCGTATAGCGTGCGAAGAACCTTTTTGAATAGGATGTCCAAGTTCGTTATTGCACCCTTAAACTTCCCGAATCCGAGCACATGCAGGATATGGGAGAGGCTGCAGTATTCCCTAGTCTGAAGACAAGTCACTTGGGCCGTTGGTTTAAGACCACCGCTACTATCCGATGAGTTGGAGATGCGAGAAGCCGTGAAGGTTGCGCAATGACAGTATGGAAAAGTTGATTCAGGTAGTCGGATAACAGCGTTCGGAAAATGGATAGTAAGTGGAGAGATCTCAGTTAACGAAGGGTGAGATCTGATGATAGAGAACAGATTAGTCGGGTTCCGTGGGAATGAGAACCGGAGGCGAAGGGAGAATCCCAAAGGAAATAGGAGAAAAGAATTTAATAAGGAAAAATTTTATACTAAGACAAAGCAAAAAAGAAAGAGATGACAAAAAGAAAAAAAGGGAAATTAAAATAGTGACAATGGTAGCGAGATCAGTCTCAAGAGAAGCGATAGGGAAGACGGGAGTGGGGAGGATCTTAATAAGAAGAATATGGTGGAGAAGGGAGTGATGCTGATCAGGTCCTTCACAGAGTTCAAAATCCTGCACGGAAGCGTCGAGCAGCCGGGGATTTGGTCCACAGGAACAGACCGAGAAAGACCTTAGGGCGGGAAAGAGGGTCTAAGTGGCTCGACGAACAACCCAGTTGGCTGGATTAGAGGCAGACCCAAGGAAACAGTCCACCCAGTGTATTTCCGCCACAAATCATACGCAAGTATACTTCCCGGTCGATCGTAGCCAGGAAGTTCTTGTCCTATCAGGCCGACGTCGGCGGAGATGAAGGAGCCACTCAGGACCAGACACTGACAATTGGGGCGATGATGCCAGAGGTCACGTCACTAGGTAGTGGTGGAAGTCCTTCTGGGGGGGTTTGCTTGTCTTGTATTTTACTCCGTGCTTCACAGGAGGCGAAAAGAGTACAAAAAAAAAAAAAAAGGCAAGGTAGAGAGGTAACAAAAGTCATAAGGTCAGGGACAGGGTTTTTCTACCACCATGTAGGGCAGGAAACAAGAATAGACGCAGACACGCACAAACACACCAATCCACACGCACCCACTCGGGAGGATCACGTCATGCCGCCTTAGGCTCTAGGAGACTCAGATAATGAGTCGCGAGATAGGGAAGCCACCAAAAAAAGGATCCGGAAGGTCCTCGGTGGGGATTCGGTTTGAGAATCGTGACGGTCAGTGGTCCAACGAGAGTGGGGAGTAGGATGGATCTCCGTCCTGGAAGTCAATCCAGAAGAGAATGAAGGAGTGGGCCCACGCAGGTGGTTGCATTTAAGTGTCGTGTTGTGTTGGTGATGGTGTAGAGGAAAGAGTTTATGGTGGTAGAGCATACCATCCAGAGTGGAGCGAGTATGCTTCTCTATAGGATGGGTGACTGATTGCTGTTCTGCCTGAATACTACTCACTTCGAGGAATGTGCAATGTAGAAGGGGGTGTGGAAAGAAATAAAAAGAAAAAAAGAAAATGGAAAGGGAGGATCAAAAAAAAAACACTCACCACGCAGATCAAATGCGACGTTCCGCAATAGAGCATGCAAAAAAAAAAAAAAGAAGAATTCTGTCTGTACGAAGTACTCGGTATTGTTTCTTAGACACAGGCTGCAGCGAAGCAATGGATAAATCAAAGAAATAATAATGATGACGATGATAGCGATGATGATTGATTAATAATGTTCGCCCAGGCAACCTGTGGATTGAATGGATGGTTTGGATCAGACAACTTTCAAAATCAGAAACATAACATCATCTACTCTAATCGTTATTATAAACATTAAAAGTAAAACATCATAGGAACCAAACTTCCAAGGAAGTCCAGAAGGATCTCTCTCAGCTTTTGTAGGAGCACCTGATGCGAAGCTCTCGGGCTCCCAATGGAATCTTCTTGGGTGTGGGGTGGCGACAAGGCTCGTGATGTTGTTGGCTGGTGGTTCTGGACTGGATTCGATTGCCCTCCTCTTTTGAAACTCCTCCACCAGTCTGAGTCTAGTAAGTTAATAATTACCATGGAATAAGGTAATGCATGGTATATGTAATTATGACACTTGATGCTTACTACTATACCATGTAGGTAGTTACCTACTCCGTAGGTAGGTAAGGTAGCCCTCAACTAGTTCGACCGAAACCACGTCGACGTGTTTTCTTTTCCAATGAACACATGGCTGAAGGTTCCATGCTGAAGGTTCCATGCTGAAGGAAACCCGGCAGCAACCACCCCCTCCCTATCGCTCGCTAGCCGGTCGGACTAGAATAGAGGTATCAGATCGGTCTTACGAATTCGCGTCTACTGAGGGCAAGTTAGCCTGAACTAGGCTGATACCTATGAACTCTACCATCCTACCAGCATGGAGGAAGTACCTATGGTCCTCTCCTTCGGCCAGAAGGCGCAAGACGGCCTGATGGCGGTTGTGCAGCGCGGATCCTGACTAGTCATTGGCCAGGGAATGGCAGGATCTGCAGGTTGCCAAGAAAGTTGTGCATCCACAAGAGGCAAGGGGTGGGTTAGTTGCCTTCCACACTCCCTTACTAGACCCAGAGCGCAGACTTCTACTAAACTCCAACGAAGAACCATCGAACTTGCAATGCAACTGCAGGGTTTGGGTGGTGGGAGTTTGGTGGATCTGCAGCCAAACAGTCAGACAAAGAAATAAAATGGCAGGGTATCTACGGAGTAAGGCGGAAAAAGTACTCCGTACTTCATAGAAAAAGAGAAAGAAAAGGGGAACAAAAAAAAATGATGATGATGAAACATCTCCTAGTGACATTCACTGTACCACTGACTGTACCAGGATAGAGTGGTAGACCCAGGTACCAAGAGGTATCTACCTATTTTGTCAACCTGCTGTACTTAGCGTCGTTGACCCTAGTAACTGCCTAGGATCTACCTACCCTGCCAGCTATGCTCTTCATGCATATCTACGCCGTAACCCTACCCCATCTTGATGTTTAGGCGACTCCATTCCAGATGTTGTTTGACAGACGGCGTGTTACCACCAATACTGATCCCTGCCTAGTTTAGTTGCTTTCCCCAAGTTGTCTGCAAGGGCCTGCAGACATGCAGGACCGTGTATGTGTCACGGTGTGGCTTGAAATATGAATTTCTAGAAAAAGATGCCCCATCATAATTATGAACACAATAATGATCCTAGCTCCTGGGTACCTACTATTTTAGTCATACACTATATTACGGAAGATTTTATCATCATTTGCATAACTGTTCTCGGAAGTCGTAACGCTGAGCGGCAAAAAAAAGAAAACGAAAAAAAAAAAATCTTTTCCACTTTTCTAGAACCTCAAAGGAACGGCTACAGAATCATGAAGAATGCTCGCCCCAGTTTTGACAGTAAGGAAAAAAGCCCGCCACCCTTGCATCGCTCCAGCGAATCAGACGGACACTCGGCCCGTCCGTACGTGGCTTAACCTGACCAGTCAAGGCTGTCCTGTCCAACTGTGGACGGTGGCTTTCGTGCGTGTGCATAACTTCGCGAGGGGCGTGGGCATTAATTGTTTCGTAGGAGATCCAGCCAAATCCACAAGGTCTTCAGGGATTGGATGGTGCGACCCCATTTCCCCTCCTTCTCCACTCTTTTACTCACCCACCAGGCAACCCAACATAGCATACACGCACAACCGCCAGTGTGCGTTGGCGGTTGCCGCCGACAACGTGTTTCCGCTTTTAGATTGGTATGTGTGGCTTGGGTGCCGTTGAAACCTCCACTTCCTCGTCTCCGGGAGGATATGGATGATATTTTCGCTCTTTGTCTGCTCCTAAAGCTTGTTAGTCGATTGACCCGGGCCGCCTTGGTGGCGAAATAACGACCTCATATCTCACGGAGATCCCGAACCGTATTCCTCTGTACCAGTATGTATCTGCATAGGTATCTCAGAGTACTTATGTAGGCAGGTAGGGTTACGTTGTACACACATGTGTAGTAGGATGTACGGAGTGCTTGCATTGTAGTCGATGTCTCTCCTGTGTCACCCATTTTTCGTTATCTGGCCACAATGGAATGAGCGGGTACGTGATTTCCGTCCAGGAATTCCATCGGCCGAACAGTCTAGGTCAAGGTCACACAACAGGCTAAGACTCGAGAGGGATGGATGAGATCTTCATTGCTCCATACATAACACATCCCCCATGGTTTGTGCGTCGGAATGCTCTCGGGGTTGTTGACGTCTGTTTAGGTTTACTACCGAGTTTCCCGTCAGACCACTGGTGATACACTGATAATATCCGTCCCTGCAGATCATCCTCTGCCTTTCGGTATCTACGGAGTGCTATGTATGTACGGAGTACTGTATGTACTCTGTATACCAAAAGAGGAGTGGTTGGTTCATTGGCCGGGTTTCTAATAATCTAACTTCGCTGTCACCGTATGATCTCCTCCATTTTCCCTGCATAATTGATATTTAGCTGTTAGACAATTAATTAATCAATTAAGTAAAGACATGATCGATAGTTAAATTTAATCTAAATGGGACAGATCAGGTTATGTCAATCCCAGTTCTGAGACGACAAGTTACAAGTCACGTTGAAAATTTTTCTCTTCTAGAACTTCCATGGAAGCTTTTTTTTGTTCGGCGCCACCGACGGAAAAAAACGGAGGATTTTCGGCCGCCAATCCATACGCTTTGTCGTTACTTGCCTTCCTATATTGAACCAGGACAATCCTGACAATTGATTGTTATCCCAACTAACCCAAAGACATCTATTGACTTTGCTGCAGAAAAACTGGCGTGTCCCAGCGTACCACGGTGGCTCCTATTCTTTCCGATACTGCCTAAATAAGACGCTATTGAATTTTATAATAGCTCGAGCATATCAACGATTCCAACGTAGTATTCCGTGGATATCCATTGAGTCGGTTGCGTCCACCGGAAGCCGTATGAAGAGATTGCCCCCAAGGCCAATAACTATTAGGTGATGGATTTGTTTCCCGATGGTATCCCTATCATGTCTAGACCGGTTCTCGGAGATCGAGATCCACTGTTGACTCCCACGATAGACCAAATCCTACAGTGAAACCGCATTCGCGTGGACATTGGGATTGACCACATCCACTGTAGCAATTGGATTGATTTTTTTGTGCGGTTAGCTCGCAATGGGCCAAAGTATGTTGTGCTTAGCAATCTACTAGTTGCAATGTCGTGTCTGCCCGTTGACAGCGGTAGCATACCTGTCATATAGCTCCAACTGCTGACACACTTGGCGATGCAGGCTCTCTCTCTTTTCTATCTATTTATCTGTTAAGTCCTCTATTCTGAATATTAGTAGAAATAGATCTAGCCTAGTTTAATGTATTATTAGATAGTACTAGTGACTAATAATCTACTTAATAGTTCTATGAAATATTAATAAAGATATAACTATGTTGCCTGTATTTCTACTATATCTACTAAATACAACATGACTATGCTTTTCTTTACTCTTACTGCCCGTGCAGTAATATCTACTATAAGTTTATTTAAAAGTGTTGTAAATAAGAGTATATTACTTCTATTAGATATCTAGACTCCGTGGGTACTTCTAAGCTTATTATAACTACACTACTACTACTAGGCCCCCAATATGGTCCTGGATTTGACATTGAACCCTTATTTTTTTTTTTTTACCTGGGATATATTAATATACTATTTTTGGTTCCGAGTTGCTTGATGCATATATTATTTATATATTCAAATGTGTAAAGCATCTTTGTAGGATGTGGATACTCCAATCATGATTATACTGAGAAACCACATATTTCCGCATGTAGATTGAATTTTCCAGCTATTGCTCCTTCTTAATCAAGTAATCGAGTGTATCCATGAGAGGGTTTTCTTGTTAGATTTTATTAATTTAATGGTAGCAAACAGTCGAAATCCCCGTTGGTTGCGTAAGATCTTGAGGCACAAGCACATTCAACTACCAAAACCCGGGCTCTTAGTGAGCTGGAATGGTGTAGTATCATGGAAGCCGGGAGAATTCCGTCTCAACATAGGTATCGAAGCTCTGAGATGCCAGGCCCACGATGAAATCACGAAGTAGTCTTCTAAACCCCATTCAATATGGTTATCTTGTCGCAAGTTTGGAATCAAGTATGGATATATACTACGGCTGTAATAACAATTAGCAAGAAATCCAATTGATGCACACTTTTAGTGCAGGCCCTGGTTAAACTTACCTGCCCCATCTCCAGCTGATAATACCACTCAACAATCCCCAGCTATCTTTAATTCATTTCCTTAGAATCTCCCACTCGAATCGTTAACGAGCAGAGAGTTCCAGGATCGGCCTAGTATAAGTACACCCGCAAGATTGCCTGGACCCCTGTATCTTGCAGGATCCTGACTCAGTGAGACACATCTTCGTGCATTTATCTTCTGTCCAACGGTGAACCCAATACGAGCCCATCTAGTGCAGCTCACGGCCCACGGAATCTCTCGGAAAAGTGTGTAGTCCGTCCTTAGGCTCAACTCGAGGTTTCAAGGATTGGCAGACGGAGTAAGCTAAAATAGGCAAGCACGAGCTGCATGGAGAGTGTGGCTGAAGCGTTGTTCCCAGTGACCTGCTAACAATGGGATAAATACGCTCCATTGAAGTTAGCTCGTTTTTCAATTCAAGTGCAGTCAGTCTCAGAGATCTCCAGGCCGATTACTATCTTAGCGGCGTATCGTTTCAAATCAACAGCAGCCCTAACATTGTGAAGAGCTCGTGCTAAGAGCTGTCCTGGAAACTCACGAGACAATCTTGTAGATGTTCACTCCACAGCCCATTGCAAGCGCCAAATGAAACATGACGACACCTGAAGTGTAACGGAGTATCTTTCCCATAGGACAGAGCCCAGCGAGGAGTACGTGGCAGAATGGATTCTAAAATTGACAATTATTTCTCCAAAAATAACTGGCGCTATCATCAGTGATTCTCATCCAATGGATACAAAAAGGGTGATGGAGCCTCTTAGCGCCCTGTCGAGTGTGAAATTAGCGACAGATTCTAGAGGGAAAACTGATCATCGGCTAGAGTCACCTCCCAGGAACACCACAAACCCCTATGGCGTTCATGGATCTATCGTTCAAACCCAGGACTCCCTTATTTTGTCTAAGGTAGATGGCAAGATCCCTGTGCCTAGATCAACCTTGACAAGCACAGAGCTTCTGTATAAATATTGTGCCAGTGAAAGAGACACAGGGGCGGAAACATAACGCTTTACTGGCAGCAGAAAGTAACCATTGACTCGCATATGAATTTTGTAGATTTGGTAGGGCTCGTTGGACACATGGAGCTAAGCTAATTATCACATATGACTCTTCGCCTGGACCTTGTTTCCAAGGCACCAACGCTCACATCCCAACCCGCATGCGCTAAGGCTAGAATATACCGACTGCAACGATCGTTTTCATTTAGGAAACGCAATGTCTTCGATATGACGTCTATGATATACGCCGTGTCAGTTTGAGTTTCACTTTCACTCGTTGGTATAGACAGTACTCGCGCAGCAAGCAAGGCATGCGCCCACGCCTTGAGTTGTGTCTCGATATTGCTGGTATTCTTCAGAATAATACCCGCATGCCAGGTACGGTTGACACAGTGTAAGGCCAGAATGTATGACTCTTCCTTGAAGATGGAGGTGAGCCGGAATATAGGGAGATAGGTTTTCAGGGACGTGGAGGACATGTGGGAGGATGAAGAAATTAGAAACTCTTGGACAGATATTCCAATGCGGCAGAATCCTAATTTATGTGCCCTTGGTGGATAAAATGCGGTAGAAGTCCATTTAAGCCTTCCATCCATTTCAAAAATCCTTTCTCGTTTGGCCACCTCCGCCGGAGATAGGGTGCACCATTTAGCTTGGACATGTTCTATCTCTTTCTCTCTCCCTTCGGTGGGATAGTTGCTGTCAAAACCATCGATAGTGAAACCAGGGTCCGAATCGAATAGGGCTGAGAAGACAATATTCGCTCGCTGTTTGTTGAGGCTCGTCATTTGTACGGAGCGCACTGCTGCATAGTTCAGGGCTAAATGGAGTGTAAGAAGAAGGATCAAGACAATCCATGTTGCGACGTAGCTCGTGACACGTGAAACGACAAATGATCCGACCTGCATTTTTGTGAGTGATTGCAGTGCATAGAGACAGTTGGGAACAAAGCATACAAGCATGCCAATGAGGGAGATGATGGTTTCTTGCGAGGAGTCTTTCTAGTCATAGATGTTAGTAGCCCTCTTATATCTTGCTCTCGGAGGTGAATCCGGCTAAACCTACAGCATTCACTTCGGCGAGATTCCCCCATCGAGAAAAATGCGCACTTAGGCTCGCCTTGGAGCTCCCCCCAGCAACACCACACATGGCCCGTAGAACGCTGGCTGTGCTGAGAACAGCAACTCGGCCAACTCCTGCGGGGACCATCGGAGAGAGACAATCCAGCACCATCGCAACGTCGTTGAATACATCGGCTGTTAGTCGGTACATTTTGCACTCCGGCTCGAGGGCTGTGCCGACTCGATGAGCGAAGAGGATGGTCGCAACCCGACCAGAAGAGTCCTGTAGAATATGCAGTAGAAGTGCAGATGTTGGAGAGGCATTGGCATTCCCTACGCCAACCCCTATATTTCGATGACCGTTAGCCACTTTCAAGGACAATTGAACAGTGTGTGGGATTACCTTGCAATACTGCCCTCGAAGAGAGAAGACCAGCGATGGAACTGCTGAAGGCTTGGAGGGAGTCCTTAGGTTTACCATGTTAGTTGATGTCGAGTCTGCCCTGGGCTAGCATCGCCAACTTCGAATGCCATATTATGTACAACTGATATACTAGCCGCGGTACTAGTACGCTGGCATGTTAATGTAAAATTGGAACTCACGAAAATCTGGTACCTGGAGTATGGATTAGGAAGATACCGGCAATATGACCACAATTCGGAGTGACTTACGGAGCATAATCATCACTGACACTGTGGGGGTATCCAGCAGGGAGGAAGACATCAGTAAGGAGGTTCAGTAGAGATGCTAAAGACCATGATGAAATGGAGGAAGAAAGGTTCTATAATGTTGCGGTTAGCCCCTGGTTCTAGGTTCTTGTTATTGGGGAGTTGATTGGTCGTTACTAGGGAATAATGTCATGAAGGTTTGAAGGTCAAGGGCACTTACCATCACATCAATGCGTCCGCTAGTTTTGGAGGCATCCCCTTGACTTGTGGTGGGAAGTGGGGATTCTGAATAGATATAAGTAGCTGCCGGATGATTGGTCTCATCTACTTCAGTGAAGGTTATGTGGTTGACACTATCGGATGCCATAGTTTGTAGTTTCTGGGTTGAATCCTAACTGAGAACCGTTAATATAAAACTAAGCTGGGTAAAGACGCCCAGTACTGGTTTTGGATTTGGGGGAGAAATGTTGCTGTTATCCTGAAGCGGCGTGGCAGGACGTGTTCTTACTGTCACGAGCACGTGTGACTAGGACGGCCGCTCTTACCTTGTAGTTGTAGGTCCTCAGCATCACACAAACGTCAATCTACTGCTATTAAAATCAAATGGCATTGCAAAGATTAGAAATTCTAAATGGTTTAGGTTATGGTGAAGAATGCTTTAGATTCTAAAACTTGTAATAATGATTCGCCCGGAGTCCAGTGTAGAGACCACGACCATATCAAAAACAAAGTCCCTCAACCTGACAGCCCACCAATCCGTCAGGCTTTTGAATAGAACAAAAATCAAGCATACAATGCATGAATGGTGGGGAAAACCCATTCTTCCACAACCAGATGTCAAGTAAACCCAACAGTGCCCGCCTTAAAAAAAAGTAAAGAACATAAAACCGCTAAGTATAAATGACCAGGAACCACCAGCGCCATGATAAGGAGCAAAATGAAGTCGAAAAAGTAGGGGCTAAAAAAGGTGCAGGAGATAAGTCCTGAATGGAGTTCTCCAATGGAGGTTCAATTCACGATCGGAAGTAGACTAGGCAGTAGTCACCGGACCTCGATCGGTATCACACGGGTTTCACGAAAAAGCTGGCTCCCAGCAAGTCTAATAACTCTTTCCCAGCACCTACGGGCGCCGATGGGAGAGCAACTCTCATCATATCACCTCGGGCGGAAGCGAACCGCCTCTCTCATTGCAACGTGCTACTGAATGCATCGTGCTCATCCGAATACTTTCTTCATCGCATTATCTCGCATGTGTATGGGAGATGCGAAGTTTAAGCGCAGAGACTGGCACCGCCGGTCTCAATGGCTTCAATCTCGGCTTCAGTCCAAGGGAGACGGTGGAATCGGGAGGGAAGCTCGACACGGTCGAAAAACTCTCCTTGCCTGGGCTGAATGGGACCCAGAGAAGCGCCAGGGTTACTGCCGATCGCACCTGGAGCGAAAGAGGCACGGCTCAGTGGACCGTGCTGTTGGGCCTTGGAGCGATATGCGGCGAAAGAATCAGGAAGGATACCCGAGGGAGAAGCGGGATGAGGACGAGGGGTGTGATCCACGGATTCTGGAGAGGAAAAACGTGTTAGGAAGCCCCGTCCACCAACAAATGCATTGCTAAAGACGGAGGCACATACGGGGCACGGAACGTCTGCCAACGAACCGGATAAGAGGAGTCCGGGCAGCGGTACGGAGACTAACGGTCGCACGCATTTTAAATAGGTGATAAAACTGGAAATCCCAAAGTTCTAGGTGGTGGGGTTGAAGGAAAGGAGGGATTTTGCACAATCCGCACGAATTGGAAGCGAAAATTAAGAGTAATCCGCTACCGTTCGAAGCGACCGAAGTGGGCGATTATGAAGGTAGTCCGGAAGCTCCTGTACTAGCTGAGCGATTGCTGAAGTCTGAGACCAAAGAAGTAGAATATTATATACAGTGGGATGGGAGGACTGAAGGAGTGAGAGAGAGGTAGAAGTGATAAGGAGAGGAAGAAAAATATTAGAAGAGACAAGACGGAGGAAAGAATACAAAAAAGACTTCTGGGGAGGGGAGGAAATCGGAGCGGAAGCGAGGATGGTTGATAAGCTGGCCGGGACTGAGTCTCCGTTAGTCGTGGGAATTAGTCGTACGGTACGGAGTAAGTACGGGACGGCAGTAACGCCAATACCGACTCGTCCCGGAAGTCGTCCTGGAGGAGATTGACTTTGGCAGTCTGCCAGTACTTTGCTTGTACTTGGCTGGTAAGGGAAGGTCCTGCCTACGCCCTACATCGGAAGTAGCAGGCTAGTACCTCCGCAAGGCAGCGGATCATAAGGTTCAAGTGTGATCAGATGCTTGGATTTGGAAATTCCCCAGAGTGAGGTTTCCCGTCGGCCCTGATCTTTTTCCTATCCGGCTCTCTCGGTGAAGGCACGGTTGCTTGCGCCTGACATTGACGAGGCTAGTCTAGTACTTTGTAAGGCTTACCTTACCTGAAGCTACTAAAGCTATCTTGCCAAATGATGATCGTTTGCGACTTCTCACGCCATCGGACTTCACCTGCTTCTCAACAGAAAAGAAAGCCTTAACCTTAATAAGCATACCTTTCATCCAACCCAACGCTCGTTTCGCTATTCGTTCCCTCATCCGAACAGGACCACTTTCATTTTCTCTTCAGTTTTCCTCATTAGGAGTCCATATCCTGGTGGTATAATACGATACCTAAATTGGATTCCCTATTCTGCATCCTATGTGACCCTCCCCCGCTGTATTTTCATTTTCTGGGACACACACAGAAAAAAAAAAAAAAAAAAAAAAAAAAAAAAAAAGAAAAGGTCATTAAAGAAAACCGAAGCTTGGACCAGGATCCCAACCCGAGTTTTCCCGCGGGTTACCACTTTTGAACTGCCAAATAAAGCTCCCAGCGCTACTCCGTATTCGTGCCCGGATCTAGGCGGTGGTGGTGTGTGGGTGTGCGCGCTGTCTACTTGTTCAGCCGTTGTTGTCTCCCATTTTTCTTGTGATCATGCATGAGCTCTTACTTTTCGCCTCGGTTCCGGCGCATCAACATCATGAGCTCCTTCAGCAGCTGACAGGGTTGACTGCTATGCAGCCTAGTCATCGCTTAGAACGTCGTTTGGTCTTCAAGGCCTACCGGAAGCCAGGGTTGATCAATACCCGTGTCGGGGCCAGCCAGGAATTGCAAGGTGCGGAGGTGCAGCGATTGAATAAAATGCTCAATGGTGGCATGTTCTATACGCAGGTGGTCGGGCCTGTCTCTGAGGCAGACTTTGGTGCCAAGCCTGCACCCACCTCGCTTGGAGATACTGATGTGACTATGTCCGGGACTGATGTGAAAAATGGTCATTTCTATAGCTACGACAACCAACCCTGGAAACTGGAGTTTAGAGACATTCCCGAAGCTGGCACTCGATCGGCCGTAACAGCCCGGCTGATGGCCAGCGCTGGTCTGCCCAAAGGAGATATTTCCACCCCCATGAATGCTTGGGGGTATAGGTTAGTAGCCATCCTGTGATGGATGAATAAGCTAATCGCATGATCAATTTCCTGTGCTGATGGATATCGGCTAGTTTCATATCCGAGTATGTTGTGGAGGGGGATGTCTTTATCCACAACGATATCGTGATCTTCCTTCACCGGGTTCTGCACTACCCCGTGGAGAGTCATGAGCTACGTGAACCCCGGCACCAGCTGCCTCCTTTCCAACAGATGTCTCCGCTGGACAGGACTGGAGGCTATGTGCTGCAAGCATCCATCACGGTCCAGGATGGTGGCAATCAGGAAATGATGAAGACTGCTTCACAGCATCTGTTTGGACTTCGAGAACAGCTGAAGTCGGCCGTCCGGCTGGAACAGGCGGATCGACTATCTCTTGACACGCGAGCAAAATGAGCCATTTACCTATTACTCTTGTTCTCTGCACATGTTCGATACCCAGGGGCAGATTCTCCCAGTAGAATTAGTAATTGATCGAAGATTTGTATGATGGAATTGATAAAGTATATAAAAGATATCTAACGATCGCCCGTTGCGACAACAATGTACTATAACATCGCTACATAAAAATAAAGCTCAGCTCACCACCCTTCTAACTGCATGGATGTTCTTGAATCTCTTGAATCCCGTGACTGTACTTGGTCTGTGATAGAGCATGTGACTTCGTGAAGCTTAACGCGCGTCTCTGCGCGTCAACGTCCGCCCAACCTCGGAGGAGCCTAGATTGATCTCTTCTCAAAGAACATCTCTACCAGGATCCTAAACAGACCCCCTTCCCTCCTTTAAACTATTTTTAAAATTCTCCCTCGACCTCAACTAGCAAGGATGGTCGGGGCTCGGAGCACAAAGCGGGCACTGTCCCCAACTCGCCCTATCTCCCCACCGCCGCTGAAGAGAAAGGTCGAATCGTCCATGACAAGTAAGTGTGCATAATGATATAATGTTATGAAGCCGCCGCTCACCACTGCCACACATCAGAAAAAACTGTGTCCTCATTCTTCACACCGACGTCACAGAAACAGCCCGAGCAAATCACCTGGAGGATTGTGAACAACAGTCTGGTGATTGGGAAATATGTTAAAGACCCAGGTCATAAACAACCTCTGGAAAAGCCAAGGATTGCTGCTTTTGATTTCGTAAGGGAAATTTTCATTTTCTATCAATGTTCGAGAACAATTCAGAGACTAATAGATGAGGGAAGGATTCCACCTTAGTTTCGACCGCTTCTGGGAACACGTTCCCAAGGAACGCGTCGGATTGGAAGTGGTGGCATGCTTCTGTGCCTTCTCGTCTCAAAGAGTTGGACGCGGATGGGTATGTGAAGCTTTGTGCAATGATCTTACAAGACCCGTCACTACTGGGGGACCGGCTACTTCATTGATTGATTAAATTGAGGGCTGACACTTGTTAACAGATACAAAGTTGTTATCGTGTCGAATCAGAAAAAGATTAGCCTACAAAAGGAGGTGAAAGGAGGGCGAAGTGATTCTAAAAGCCTTACGAACTTCAAGGAAAGAGTGGCAGCCGTCATGAAACAGCTGGATATTCCTCTATGTGTCTACGCTGCCACTCAAGATGACGAGTACCGGAAGCCAAGGCCTGGAATGTGGAAGGAGTTCTTAGATGACTATGACTTTGACGTGAGTGGAGTAGACTTGTCGGAGTCAGTCTTTGTTGGAGATGCAGCTGGACGGCCTAGAGACCATTCCCAGGTCGACCGGTAAGTCGGGCCTCAGCGGAAAACAAGCAGTCTCAGCCTGACTCTCGCATTTAAGAGGATTTGCTGCGAACATCGGGGTTCCATTCAAGACGCCTGAGGAGTTTTTCCTAAATGCTGCCCCGGAGCCACTCGTGGAACCATTCAACCCTCATTTATATCTGCAGTCTGACCCAGCGGATAAAGGTGCGTGAGGAGAGTCAGGTCTAAAACACCCAGTCCACCCAAAGGTGGCTGTTTACCTTTATCTTCACCTCTTTACCTGGTGAGCAAACTGCAGAAATTTGGCAGGTTTTGCTAACCTTGCTCGGACAGTGGACGCAGAATTTTCGCATCAAAGCCCTCTTGAACTGATAATCCTCTGCGGTAGCCCTGGAGCGGGTAAATCAACCTTTTACTGGGATTACTTGGAACCATTGGGATATGAACGAGTGAACCAGGATATCTTGAAGACGGTACGCCAGCAACCTACATCCGTGCTCAGTTCCTGGGCCAATGTATACGTATCCCCCCCTGGGACTGAAAGGAGTGCCAGCGACAACAGTTTTTTTTTTTCTTTTTCTTTTTTCCCTTCGGAAAAAGCAAGAAGAACCGGAAAGAAAAACTAACGAAAGGATTTTCAGCGACCAAAATGCATCAAAGTGGCTAAGGAACACCTTGCAGCCAAAAAGTCCGTAGTAGTTGGTATGTTATTGCATGACCCTTGCATAGTCCAACGTTTTACAACGGAATCATCCCATCTTTCCCTCCCGACTCTCTCTTGTTCTTCGTTTCTTTCCTTTTTTTGGGTGCCCCCTCGTCCCATGCAAGAAAGACCGTTTGGAAATTCAACGGCCAACATGCCACTCCTTACTGACTGAAACTTCCCGACGCGGGCGGGGAAATTAAAAAATCCTAATAGACAATACCAATGCAGACCCGGAAACCCGATCTCACTGGGTCGAGGTAGCAAAGGAATATCAGGTTCCTATTCGTTGCGTATATTTCTCTGCGTCGCCGGATCTTTGTCGGCATAACAATGCTGTCCGTGCTGCAAATCAAGACCTGGTACGTGCTACCTACTTTGTCCGTAGATCCGAGGGCACGGTTACACACGCATATACTGTCGTACACGCAGCTGGATGAAGTAGATTGCATGGGTGATATGCATCGATGACTCCCCTAGTTGTCTATATTCTCCCCCCCCCACTCTCTCTCTACCAGGGATGAAGGCAGAAGAGGGGGGGACCTGTACGTTCGGGCCTATACTTTCGACCGGTATCGGACTGGACAACTGTCTCGTCCTGCGTCTCCGTGCTTGTTTTATTCCCATCGTGTTATGCCGATGCAATTTCTTTCTTCTGAGTTGATGCATCTTTGCTCATGTCATTCTCTAGAATCCGGAGTCTCGTTCCTTACTCCCGGGAGTCGCTTTTGGTGACTTTCTCCGCCGATTTAAAGCGCCTTCCTTGTCCGAGGGGTTCGACGATATCGTTCGTGTCGACTTCCGTTTTCGAGGGAACCCCGATGCAAAACGAATCTGGAGCCAGTATTGGATTTGATCCTTGACGAAATGGGGTTCGAGGATGGTGTACAGAGTAGGTAGGTGTCTTAAAGGGGGGGAGATTGATTCATAATTGCCAGGGTCTGCATATAATTAGGGTCGCATGCAGGATACCAAATTGTCCGGAGATCACCAGTTCGTCGGTTGGCTCGGTTAATTTGTTCTCTTGTTTCGCTTTGAAATACATGCATCTAGCAAGGCCTGCCTGCTGTACATATTTTTGTTGCAAGGAGTTCGGCAGTCCCGTTATGAAGAGCGATATTACTCACATATAATTATCTAGAAGCTGGGTATTAACGAATTATATATATACATATACAGAACGAATAAAATCAAGAATGATACTTTTTGTGAGACACCCGAATATTTCTATCAGATACAGCGGGTCATAATCACGTAGGGGGAGGGGGGGTATAATAGGAAATGGAATGCTTGGAACACCGATGATCAGCAGAGACGCCCCTCTTCTGTTCTAGACCCTCATTTTCTTTTCTTTTCTGGGGGCCTGCAACACTTCTTTCACATTCCAACCAGACAGAACTCAATGCATAAAAGACATCGCTCGCAGACTTGAAGCAGATGCACTTGGTAGTACATCGAAGGACTGTTACATGCGGATGGGGAAAGTCGTCCATGAAATCGAGGTGACTGGAAGAACAAATGAAAATGCAATGCATCGTGCGTTAAGGAGCGAATTGTGCCCTGTGAGTCAGTAGTCACAGCCACGGGTCATCAGTCATCAATATCGGATCACAGATCAGAGACAACGGAACAGAGAAATGATCAAAAATAGAAGAAAATATAAAAGCAACATTAATCATCACACGCTGAATCATGTCATCCAGGAGGCGTAAGGGATCATTAGATGTTGTACATCAATAAAGCCTCGCACAGTAATTCTATTGTCGTCGTTAGGGCAACAAAAAAAAAAAAAAAAAAAGGCATAGAGAAAGATGAAGTATGCTGCAAGAGTCTAGCTCTTGGTGTTAAAAATGTCAAAGTCTCAGGGCCGGGACACAAGGTCCTGGAAAAACCTGAGGAAGCTCCGTTTCAAGGAGCGGCTCCGACCCCGTCCAGAACCCGTCGTCGCCGGCGCAATCTTCATGGGCCCAACTATCTCTCCATCGCCCAATTCGGGAAATTTGTCGTCATGTAGGCGGGGGATTTTTAGTTGTTCGCATGGATCGCAGTCGGATTGGACAAGACGTAGTTCGGGGCCTTGAGTCGCTTCTAATTGCGATAGCATTGTCTCATGGTGGCGTTTCCATTCGCAGTTGATCGACTCCCACTTCTCCTCGGTGAGCTTGTAGATATTGGAAGTGATCCCGTAGTGTTCGCCCGTGCGGACCAGATGTTTGGCGAAGTTGCACTGGGCGACATCCCATTGCGCTCGTAGTTGCTGGAAAGATTCCAGATCGTATACTTCGGGCACGTACGGCTCAGGCTGGATGGTGAAGTTGGCATGCCCGAGTTTGTTCGCCCATTCATCATTGGGATCCGACAACACAAAGGGAGAGCCTTCGCCGGACACCGTTCGTGTCGTGCTGGCGCGTGGGCGGTTGAACGATGCCACAGACGGCTTGGATGACAGCGGCGGCGAGGGAGCGGTGGCCAGGCGTGGTGGATCTGAGGGTGCAATGGCGTCCGAAAGATCCTCCGACATGTCCGCCACTGAGGGTGATTGCAGAGGCGAGTTGACACGGGGTGCAGCTGGGTACACTGGTTCAGTACCCATGAAGGGAGGAAGGAGCGGGGTAGTCGCTTGGGGCGCCGACTCCTCCTGGCTCTGACGATTGGCCTTGACAATGTCGATGGGCTTTGCACCGGATTCGCTGATGCGCTCTTCGAAGATGGTCCTTGCCGGCGAAGGAGGAACGGTCATAGAATCGACTCGGGAGATGGCGACCCCAGTCGGGCTGGCCAGTACAGAGGAGGCGGAGTTGGTACGGGATCGCAACTCAGTTGAGACGGCATCCACACCGTCAGGGGCGTCGGATGCATGCCGGGATCTCCAGCGCGTGGAGATGGTGGATATGCGAGACCCGATACGCGAGAGGCCTTTGGCGGAGATACTGTCCGAACGTCTCTTCTTCGGGGAAGGCGGCACGTCCATTCCGGCATCCGTGAGGTCGTACTGGTCCGAATAGTTGACAGGAGAGAAGTAATCTTCCAGTTCGGACACACCCTGGTCGAAGTGTTCTGGGTGGGTTAATAAGACAGGACAGAAAAAAACGATCCCTATGAAATACAATCCGGAGGAAAAAAATTGAGATACGGGGGCTGGGAGCAAGGGAGACATACGGAAATATTCTTCCTCGAGGTCCCTCGCTTGAGCCCCACAGGGTTCTTCTTCCTTTACTCCTGTCAAGGGATTCCTGGAGGCGCTTTCCATAGAATTACCGTGACCAGGGGATGAAACTAAGGAGGACACGGAGCTGGAGAAGCGGGTATGGCCTTTGGCCGAAAAAAGTGAGACAGCAGGGGAGACGGGGGTGGACGAGGTGGCTGTCAGTGGTGACGGAGGCGGTTGTCGCGACGAAGGCGATAGTTCGGCCATAGCATCGCAACTGTCACGCCTTTTGGCGTCTAGTAGTTGCGAGAGTTTGAGCATGACGCGAGAACGATATACTGAGGACTCCTTTCACGAGCAGCAAAGTTGACGGAAAACAAAGGCGAACACACGAGGGAGAACTTGGAGTGGCGTGTTTAGTTCTTATGAAAGCACATATCCACTTGTTGGCCTGCGCGTGTTCCAAAGTGTACTGATTTTGAAACAGAGGGGAGGAAAAGAGGAGAAAGAGAGACAGACAAAGACGGCCAGAAAGAGCACGAGAACAATGAGCCTTTATGATTCCCAACGGCCCAAGAAGACGTGGCGTGGCGGTGAAAGACGGGACGCGAGGAAAGAGACGAGCACCGACTGACAGGATAGGGCAATATCACGACCAACCGGCAGGAGCACTGGGGGGCAGGAATTGCCTGACGCGAACAGGAATGACTGGGCGAGGCGGGGAGAATGGCAGGCGGCAGGGTAGACAAGAGTGAAGACGTGGAGCACGTCAGTGGATGCCGCGCGAACAGCTGGCCCAAGAGGCAAGTGACAGCTCAGTGGGCTGCAGTCAATCGAAAGGCGTTGGGAGGTTGACAAGAATGGATGGAAATAGAGGAGAGGAGAGGAAAAGAAGAGAAAGAGGAAGAGAGAGGAGATAGAAGAGAAGTGGAGGAGAATCACGAGTTCTGAAAGAGTCAGTCTGGGAGGGGAACACAGCCTTGGTTGTCTATCGCATCGACAAAAAATCCTAGGAATTGCACAGTTCTTGACAGTTCTGATCCATATCCCTGATTTTCTTTTCTTCCTTCTTTTATTTGTTTTTTACTCTCTCTCTCTCTCTCACAGAGACTTTCTTTTTTTGTATCTATCAAGTCGCTTGCTCTTCCACCTCATTTCTGCCAAGCATTCTTTTGACAGTCATCCAAAAAAAAAAAGATATATGTATATTAATAATTAAAAAAAAAAAAAAAAAATATAGCGGGAATTTACCGAAGCATGTGCAATTGCTCCGTTCAGTTCCGTGGGTCGGTTTACACTTGCCACGGTCCTCCACCCTTGGCTGCTGCTGCTTGGTCGAATCGTCCGTCTGCAGCGGAGAATAGACGCGTTACTTCTGTACGATTTAGTATTTCCCTCTGGTCGTGCTTGGTTAACCCCCAGAACCCCTGGCATAGAGGATACAGACAGAGGCTGGACAGAACTGGGATACATCCGGTAGGCCGATATGATATGTATTATGACCTGTTTCCTCCGCCTGTCCAACGGCGCGTCATCCAACTTGGCTTGTCAGCTTGGTAAGAAAATAAAAATAAAATAAAAATAAAATATACATACAAATATATATATATATATATTTTAAAAAAAAGGCACTAAGCAAGCCAGAGACCCATCGTGAAGCGACAAGACAAAGAATGGTGTCTAGACTCCAACCGACTCAACTGGTCCCGCTCAGAACTCCATTGCATTGACATAGCTCCAGTGGCAGACTCTCTCAACACTGTGCGACCAACATTGTTATTCCTTTTAGAAACAAGAGCAAAAAAAAAAAGAAAAGAAACGAAAAGAAAAGAAAAAGGTCCATAACCTATCATCTCCATTGTACAAGTCTCGTTGTACCTATCTCATAGTATTTGCGGATCTTAATACATTTAAATTCCCAGTAACTGCTGCTGCTGCTGCTGCGCAATCAATCAATTATTGCTCTCTGTGTCTCCCCCTTTCCCTTGTTCTCGCCTAGTTTAACCCACAGTCCCCAAGGAGTAGATTCATTGTTTGTGGACCCTGTACAAAGTCGTGACCATTCTGGCGTCTCCCAAACTCTGGTGCCGACGTCAGATCCACATGGGTCAACCACCCTTTGAAGGTTCGGAGCTAGAAAGGCCGAAGAAAGAAAGGAAGGATGAGGAAAAGAGAAGAACCCTGGGCAATTGCCGGAAAAAGAACGGCTTGCCCCCAACTATGAACCATGGTTCTCCAGTAGGGTTCATACCTAGTTGCATTTCATTTGGTGATAGTTTGGTGCAGTACAGAAACTGTATGGTGACCTCTATATTGGATATGTGATTTGTAGAAACCTCCATCAGTCATCATGCCGACTGATTACCGATCAGACTCAGAATCTCAGATGCCGGTTGGTTAATCGGACGTGCCATCGCCGTGTAACAGACCATAAAGCGTCTTCCTGTCCATAGATCACCAAGAAATCTGACGATGGTTTAACTTTCTTCTTCTCTTCCTGCTACAGTGTACTCCTGCTGCTGGTGTTGACGAGGATGAATGACGCCATCCAAGGAATGCAGCACGTGACATCATGATGTGCCCGAAGGAGTCACCATCAACGGCTTCATCGTGACTCCGCTGTTTGCCTACTTTCTGCCTACCAGGGAGTCTGTGTCCCTCTGTCCATCCTCCTGTCTCTCATCCCTCCTCATGAAATCGGTCTCCTTCTCCTTTCTGCTGGGAGCTGCCACTCTGGCAGTGGCTTCTCCGCACCCTGCAATCCCCCAGAGCCCTTTGCAACTCTCCTGGCCACCGTCCCCCGCCAACTCCCTGGACGACGTCATTAATGCCTCGCCCTTCCTTTCTTTCCATCGAGACATTGTGCAGATTGCGTCCGTTTCCGGAAATGAACGCCATGTTGGCTCTTTCGTGGCCGACTTTCTCCAGTCCCACAACTTCACCGTCATCAAGCAACCGGTGACAGGCAAGAAGAATGGCCAGCACCGCTTCAATATCTTCGCTCACCTTCCCTCCAGCCGGCCGGAGATTCTCCTCACGAGCCACATTGATACCGTTCCGCCTTACATCCCGTATTCGCTCAACCGCATCGACCACGACTTGCCCACGGATGACGCGGCCACCATCCGCATCTCGGGGCGAGGCTCCGTCGACGCCAAAGGCAGCGTGGCCGCTCAGGTCTTCGCGGCCCTCGACCTGCTGCAGGATCATCCCGATGCGCCACTGGGTCTGCTTTTCGTCGTCGATGAGGAAGTTGGCGGAGACGGCATGAGGGTCTTCTCTGAGTCCACCTTGAACCCGGCCCCATCCTCCTTCCACACCGTCATCTTCGGTGAACCTACCGAACTGGCTCTTGTCTCCGGCCACAAGGGCATTCTAGGCTTTCAGCTCATCGCCAAAGGCCAAGCTGCCCACTCTGGATACCCCTGGCTTGGACGGAGTGCCCTCTCCGCCATTCTCCCGGCCTTGTCCCGCGTCGACCAGCTGGGTGATACTCCCGCGCATGAAGGCGGTCTCCCAACCAGTCCCAAGTACGGCCGCACGACCGTCAACATCGGCAGGGTGGAAGCAGGCGTGGCTGCCAACGTGGTGCCTGCTTTCGCCCGCGCGGACGTCGCCGTGCGTCTGGCAGCCGGGACCCCGGACGAAGCACGGGAGATCATCCGACGCGCCGTGCAGGACGCCACCGATGGCAATGACGATGTGTATGCTGACTTCACTACGCACTCCGGGGGTCACCCGCCTCAGGACCTGGATACGGATGTCCCCGGGTTCCCAGTGATGACGGTGAACTACGGCACCGACGTGCCCAATCTGAAGATCCACGAGCGGCCGGACGGCCCTGTCCGCCGATATCTATACGGACCTGGCAGTATTCACGTTGCCCATGGGGACAACGAAGGTCTCACCGTGGCGGAGCTGGAAGAAGCCGTTCGCGGATATCGGAAGTTGATCGACGCGGCTTTGAATCGGAAGTAGTTTTAGACCCATGTATATACACTTCCTGGTAGTCAAGGATTTGGTGTCTGGCATCTACGAAAGTATGTCATTTCATCGCATCACGACACGAGCTTTATAGTTTCATGCACAAGTAATAGCTCGGGTTTCACTTCAAGAAAAAGACCTGGAGGGAGGAAAAAATGAAGAGCAAAAGACCGAACCTGGATGTTTTTTGTTCTATTCTAAACAGGAAACTGTAAAAGACACGGGTTAGATCCGCCAGCAGAAGAGAGCTTCTATTCGAAAAGCCAAACCCTTTATATAGATCAGCAAAGGGGCCGGCACAAAAATCCAAACCATGAGTATAGGAGCGATGGTATGCTCCTCTCGCCACACTCCATCGCTCACAAAACGAAGTCCATACGTTATCTCCCTATTGGGGATAATGGTAATATTCTCAGCAATCACAACGCACAATCGAGCTAAACATTATGGATCCCTAAGTTTTCGTGTCCATCCCGTCTTCAGGTCGCCTCCTAGTTTGAAACGAGGCATGGGGTGTGCTTCGGTGTTGAACACGTTCTCTTCGAGAGAGAGAAACTCTCGATCGGAGAACAGAAGATAGAAGTATTTGAGGGTTTCAGCCATCCAGAAACTCTCCGTGTTGTCTCTCTGTCCTGGAGGGAGGGTGTTGCAATTCGACAACGAGGTGAAGCCGACAATGCGCGGACGGCCATGGGAACTGGTGCTCGAGTCAGCCTCCGTTCTGGAGTTCGAGGAAGGTTGATCATTCTCGACAACGGCAGTGTGGCGGATGAAGGATTTGAACATCTCCCAGCCCCAGTGCCGATAAGTTTCGTCCCCAGTAATCCGGTACATGTAGAAAAGGGACTCGACTGTTTCCGGTCGTTGCAGATTGTGCCGATCTTGGTTGTGGATGTTGATATCATTTCTCCAGTTCAATGTTTTATCGCCTAGCGGATAAAGAGGCTGGGACTGAAGGGGGAGATCTTGTTGCTGAGACTCTCGATTGCCTGTAATCATGGTGGAGTGGGGATACAAGTCGCTCATCATTAGCGGAGTGTCATCCAGCTTGAAATAGGCAATTTCAGGAGCAAGTCCCGTCGACGTAGCGAGATACGTCGCCCAGCAGGTCTTCATTAGCTCACGCGCAATCAGGATCTCTTCATCATGTCTCTGGGTCCATCCGGGTGACTTTTTGGCTACCGACAGGGGCATTCCGCCAGTTGCACCCAGGGCAATTGTTCCAGGCAAGAAGCAAGTCAAATGATCCATCTTTGGTAACAGACTCTTGTGAAGTCCCGACGGTCGTTCGCCCAGGACCAACAATCGAGCGCCTTTCGAGTACGCGAGTAAGTGCTTGCGGATACCCGCAAGGGCCTCATCCCACATCTCCTTATACACCGGCTCTTGCTCTGAGGTCTGAAGATACTGCTTAATGAGATACTCTGGAAGGCATTGGAAGTCAGTGGTCTTCTACGGAGAATGGAGACTTCCCGTGGAAGTCACTGAGGGAAGGTCGAGTCCGTACCATAATATGAGTCCCCTCTACTGCCTAGACGGATATTGTTCCCCGTAAACTTCCCAGTTTCCGGGCTGATGAAGATTGGTAACAGACCATCCTCCATTTTTTGGTCATCCACGACTTGTATGACCTTCTCCACAATCCGCCAGTATTCCGCCTCGCCAGTCAGCTTCGCAAGGTATTTGAACTCCAGCTGCACTGAGGTAGCCTCGGCGGTGGACGAAGCACCCTTGTCAGCATGCGACGGTATCCCTTCGGAGGTGTTGAGGTTCACACTAGCATAGGGTATCCCAGATAAGGATTCAAAGGCCCCCGCCAAGCGCTCTGCCAGGTCGGTTGCCTTCTCGATATACAGGTCCTCCCCGGGTGCGCCTATGTCGTCGTCGGCAACCGGGGCGAGGTCTGGACGAGAGGTAGAAAGATAATGTGCTGAAAGAAGGCCGCCTAGCATGCGAATAGTCGTCTCAAAAGTGTTCACATCATGATCCTGATTGTATCGTAGTGAGTAGTGAATCCAACTGCGAGCATGTTGGACACGCGAGGTCAGATTCATAATCATCATCGTGTCTAGCGCATCGACAATCTGCCAACCCATGCCACCGGCGACCATCGTCTTTCCACCTTTAGCAATCGGGTGATACTGATCCAATCCTATTGGGGAAAGTTTGTGTTAGCAACGCTGGTTTTCCTAATTGCTTAACGGATCGGCTGTTGGGAGGAAATTCCTCCCTCACATACCCCATGCATACTGCTCATAGCCATCCCAGCTGACGATGAAAGCATCCCTGACCTTCTCTCTTCGTGCATTCCAGTCAACAGGCTTTTGTTCACCACCATCATAGGCGGGTTCTGCGTCGTCGAAGCGCTGTACCCAGGCCCATAGCTCCTCCCCTTTGGCCGAGTTGGGCATCTTCAAACCAGATCTACCCCATTCATCAGGCCTAGATAGGTAGAACCAGACGAAGGCCAGAAATAACAACATAATCCCTCCCTTTAAAAGCTTCCCCCGTCTCCTTGACCCGGTGCGCCGGGGAGCGAAAAACGGCTTATCCTTGTACATAGGGAGGGTACGACCGGCACCGAATACACCGTTTAAATTGTTGGCTATCCCAACTGATTGTGAAAGGCCATAGCCCGGTAGCCCGCTGGTTCCAGGGCTCCGACTCGCAGCACGCCAATTGTTGCTGTCGAATGGTCGCTGGGGGGAGGAAAACGAGGGATTGTTTGGAGGATACGGGAAAGGCATGTCCCATCAGTCGGTTGCTAATCTAGTATCTCCACCTGCCAGTCGCTAAGGACAGGCTTGGAAGGTCAAGTCGCTCTAGGAAGGAAGTCGTATGGATATTGGCATTGGATGTTGTCGCCTTCGGCCCTCGTTTAAATGAGATTCTCGTTATTCACCACTGATTTGCCACAGAAAGACCTCTACCTTAACATAGATCACTAGGTAGCGCTGGGAGGAAAATTGTGAAAGGGATTCAACTGGAAGAAGACAGAAATATCAAGTTAGTCGGCAAGTAATACGTGTTACGACACTCGAAGGATGTAGGAGTAACGTAACCGAAGCCGATAGCGTTTGTTGATCCGGGAACCACCAAATGGCTGCAAACCGATCCAAACATTTCAGCCATTCGGGGGGGGCCAAAGATTCAAGCTTCATCTCGCCGTTAGCTAGTGTAGCACATGGGGATATATGCAGACGGTCATATACTGCGCAGGTAGGTATGAAGCGTAGAGAAATATTATTTCTCTAAGCCTAGGATATCAGTAACTTCAGATTACAACTCGCCGCTTTTAAGGTGTGTGCGAGTGCTACCTACTTTCTGAGCCACCATTGATTCATAAATAGCCACTAAGATCTAATAATTATATAATTTAGTGGTATCTTTAAGAACAAGTCAATTAATACTTTATTTAGACTATACTATTGCTGTTATGGACAGGTGCCTATAAAGAAAATGTATTAATGTACTGAACGAACCATGGGGTCCACCCGATAAATCCAAGGCAATTTTGTATTTAATCAAGATTTAGAAAGAAGTAATAATCAGTTACGTTATGTTTAATAAGTAGGCCGGTTGCTATACTTCTATATTAGTCCCTTAGCGGGCGTTATAATTCTTATAAGTACTCCCTATCTTCTATGGATGGATACTCTGATATGACTACAGTATATCAATATCATAGGAACTTTTTCTGCTTAATACGGTCTATCATCAGTACAGTTAACTAGCCTAGCTTCTTTAAGAACAACATAGTATGAGGTCGAACTACGGTGATAGTTCCTCGCAATAGCGACAGCTTGGGGACACGTAGATAAAAGGTATATCTGGAGCTAGAGATGAGTTTAGATAACTAGAAGCCGAGAATTGTATTACAGCTGCTCGATCACGAACTCCATACATAGAAAAGCAGTGTTTCTTTAGCAAATACCTAGCACATTTATTTTTCTTCCGAACGGATTGCTCCCGATATTGCCTGAGGCAATCCCCTATGTATCGAGTCACCATGACATCTATAAAATTTCCCTCGCCTCCAAACTTCTTCCCCTGCGTCCTACTTTCCACTATTCGCTCCCCCACAACAGTCCAGTCACCTCTCCCTTTGATAAAAGATATATAAATCTAACCAGTTGCTCTACGAAGCCGCTAACACTTCGCTGTTCCCACAGGGATTGAAAGCCCAGCCAGTACAATGCAGTCACATTCCATGTAAACAGCACCAAGCTTCCGCTAGGACAGCGCTGAAGTGGCCCCTCTCAAGGCTTCTTCTGCCCTATTCCAAACATCTTCTCACCACCCTGCATGCACACTCTATATTGATTACATTCCTACTATCCCAGTGAGCTCAATAACAATTGCCTTGCATCATGCGATGACAGACGAATTCATTCGGTGCCTTAATGATGATCAATATTTGATATCGAAGGCACGACGTTTGAGTGAAACCTATTAAAAAGCAAAAGCTGTGCAAGTCGAGCATATATCTTTCTGAAAGGCACCGAAGGGTCTCCCCTCAGTTCCGGGTGATCAGTCTTCGCGCCAGTTCACCGTTATGTACGGGTCGCTATATTGTAACATCCCACCCACCTGCCTTAATGACGAGCCAATGTCGGGATTTTTCGCATTCTGAAAGGCAGTCCAGGAATAATAAGTTATGTGGAGTTGAGAATCATGCCTAACATACAAGCCATCCTCTACTGGGCCTCAGATCGTAAGAGAGATCGCTTGCAGATGGCTGTTGACTACAGCCTAACAAGAGCATGGTATTTCTGAGAGGCACTAGAGTGATCTAAAATTGGGCCGCAGCTGAGCATCATACGCGCAGATAGAACTCTTATCGTTGACCCGAGCCTCGGATTATAACAAGATCCTGGGAATCACCTGCCTTGATTATTAGTATTGAATATAGCTTAAACAAGTGCATGGATATATTACTGAAAGGCATCACTAGGTCCATATAGGACGTGGTCTATCGAGTATCTACTCGAGGAAGGACAAAAGACGAAAAGGAATTTTGCAGAAGCATGAGAAGCTTGGAATTTTGGGTGCGAGGCTGCAACACTGGAGGCCGCCTATCGCGACTTCCTATAGCTAGCTCTACGGGCGTTTGGGGAAACGACCCGCTCTGTCTATCCTACTCCCCGAGTAGCTACGGTGGGTTCGGGAGCTTAATACGGAAGGTTCTCATGATCTGACAAGAGACGAAAGTGATTGTGTTTTGCCATGTAGCAGCCAGGATTAATTGCCATAGGAAAGAGACTGTTCCCATGCCCATCGATAGACATCTTCAATTAAGGCTGCTGGCATACTCCGTACCTACTTTAGACAAAAGGGTGAGAGCCTCCAAGCACAGCTTTATATAAGACTGCTGACATCAAAAGCTTAGATCCTCTTTCTAAGTATTAATGCCCAGTCTTCTGCCAGGTGCTACAATACTCTATAATTATCTACGATTATGCAATAAAGCCCTAAAAGCTTCTCAAAGGAGAAAATTTTTGTATAGCAAGAAACGACTGATAACTAGAGGGTATATATAGTTTCCCTTGGAACACATACTCACTATATAGTCAAACATTGAAAACGGGATCAAATTAAGGCATGTATTGTTCCAGCCAGTCTGAAGTCCATTCCACTTGCACTTCCTCTTTTCGCTCGGCTCCATCGCTGAGTATTGTTTTTCCTTCTCCTACTTGACAGTGCCGTACTTCGCAGTCTAAAGAGGCACTCATCGGCCATTCTACATTTATTTTATATCTAGCAGCCAGCTCCCGCTAGGAATTCATTCCTGAGCAGCCCAGCCATCCAGTACACCAACAAGTTATCGAGTCTTAGGGTAGTCACGAATCCCGTTTCTACCACATATCTGTACGGAATACCTCTCCGATAGCCAATCATTACATCTGATACTAAAGATTGTCTTCAGTTGACAGTAGGGAGAGTTTCTCTGCCACGCAAGGAAGGATATCGTAATTGTGTGAATGCAGTATAAATTTAGGCTGCTTATTATTTTCCGCGGGTAACTCTTTTATTCGAGGTCAGCGAGAGGCAGAGCTTCCTGAATTTGCTTCTATATGTCAATAAGGGTTCCTTTGCGGGTGCTTTGTATGCTACGCGGAGAGTGTACTTTGGTGTAAGAGGCTTATTTGTCTCATGGTTTATATAATAGTTTTGAAGTTACTCCTGCAGACGCGCGCAGAAGCTTCGATCTCGTACCTGAGGACAAAGCAATGTCCTGCTGTCCTGCTGTGGATTTGCAGAGGGAGTTGGATGCCAATGCTACCTTGATCCAGGTAATTATCATCAGCTTTAGTATTTTTAATAATATTGTCTTTTACGAAAATGATCCTATAAGAGGTGATGAATAGGTAGATGCATCGTCACGCCAAGTGATTTATTCCAGGGCAATATCTAGCGGAGTTAGTATACATCAACCTAGGGGATTGATGTTTTGCGTGTACTATCCCGATGATAGATTTGGCCTACTCTCTGAGTCAATGTTGTCTCTTACTATGGGTATCAGCCCTCTCCTACCTTTACCTAGTTAGTCAGTCGTGGCTCCACTTGACGATGTGAGGCATATCCTGAAATCGCCCTCTTCAGCAGAGCTTCTACTAAGAAATGAAGGAGGTATTGGCCCTAAACCTTGAGGAAAGTGATTTTCTATATCGAATAAGGAGAAATTCACAGATCGTATATGGAGACATCCTTGATGGAGACAACCTTCCAACTTATTACAGGACAGACGGCTACGAGGTTCTTTCGAAGCTGCGGAAAGTTCTGGAGTGGGAGAGGAATGGAAAATACCTACTATTCTTCAGGTGAATTTGGACATGGCCTGGACCTCGAACGACTTAGCGTTCCTTGTACCATCTTTTTGGAGCTTTTAGACCTGACAAGGGTCTCATGACGCCAGATGCTAGAGGTTTATCAGTTTTACTATTGGCTGTCATCAGCGCATCTCTCGGCCTGCCAAAGAAGTAGATATAACCTTCTGTAGACGGAAATTTACGTGGAGTCGTTGAGCCAACCGGGCTTATTAGACGGTGATTTTTCTAAAGAATGGCTAATATTGAGATGATCGTCCGCAACAGAAAAGTAACTAAAGTTTCTGGTACTCCAGCTTGCCTTCCAGCTTCTTAGCCTCGGCCACCTTGCGAACCGCCCGATTGAAATCATCCTGGTTGATCGCATCTCGGTAATCCTTGATGGTAATCAGACCGCTGTCGTTTGAGCATCAGTAAGACTGTCGTCAGAAATGGAGGCAAGGGAATCGGGGACATACGCTTCCGTAACAACGTTGCGAAGATCGGCACCATTGAGCCCATCACTCATCTTCACCACGCTCTCGAAGTCAATGTCGCCATCCAGTTGGACGGTGCTCGAGTGGATCTTCAGGATCTCCAATCGACCAACTTCGTTGGGCAGAGGGATCTCGATCTTTCGATCCAGACGACCAGCTCGCAACAAAGCCGGGTCGAGCGTATCGGGCCGGTTCGTGGCCATGATGATCTTCGTCTTTCCAAGATAGTCGAACCCATCCAGCTGATTAAGGAGCTCCATCAATGTCCGTTGGATTTCTCGGTCAGCAGAAGTACCCTCAGAGAAACGTCGACCACCGATAGCGTCAATTTCGTCCATAAATATAATACAGGGCTCATGTTCCTTGGCGTAGCCGAACATCTCTCGTATTAACCGTGCAGATTCACCAATGTACTTGTCAACAATAGCAGAGGACACAACTTAAGCGCAATCAGTATCTTCTCACTGCTGGGAATCTAAAGTGGGCTGGTTACCTTTCAAAAAGTTGGTCTCAATGGAACTTGCGACGGCTCGTGCAAGTAGTGTCTTTCCTGTGCCGGGGGGCCCATAAAGTAACACACCTTTGGGTGGTTTGATGCCCACCCGTTGGAAAAGTTCTGGGTTCTTCAACGGCAGCTCAATCACCTCCCGTAGCTCTCGAATTTGTTCATTCAGACCACCAATACCGGCAAAGTTGATCTGGCCGGGATCCTCCAACGACATGTTGTACACCAATGGATCAACCTCCCGCGGGAGCATCCGCATGATAGTCAGAGTGGTCATATCCAGGGCGACACGGGTGCCCTGTTTCAATTTCGACCTATCGACCTTAGAGCGGCAGCCGACAACATATCGAGGCCCGGAGGAAGCCTTCACAATGACTACTCAATATCAGCATCTGAATGACGTAAAACAACCGAAATCCTCCCTGTATGGGACCAAAGAAGGAGTGAAAATTCGAACAAAGCAGGTAAATATGGAAAGACGATAGGTTACAACATACATCGTTCCTCATCCAACTGTTTCAACACTTCACCAATGATCTGACCAACACTTTGCAGAGCCTTGATGTTCTCTTCAGAGATGTCAAACTCCCTCTGCAAATCCTTGATGCCCATCCGAAGTGTTTTCAACTTTGCCTCCCATTCCCGAAGCTCCAGGAGGCTCTTCTTGTAATCCTCGAGCGCCTGCTCCCTTTCAGGATCACCGGCGCCGTTCATGGTGACAAAAGATCAAGAAGTGCTTAAATCGAAAAATAAACCGAATCTTAGTCTATACAGGCCACAAAGATGAGGTTCGGGTCCACACGGGAAGCTGAGGGTTCCAGATACACTGGTACGAGAGGACTGGTTGGGCGCGTCTAACCTCCGTCAATGGAAGCCAGCTCGGCGAGCTGGTGAGCTTACGTACGTACCACCAACCACGCCAGGGAAGTCACCTGACCAGGATCGATTGGGGCGTTGTTAAATACACAGGCAAAACTCCTAGTTTCACAGGTGACTATACCTAATTGGGAAGTGCTTAGTGACACAGGTTTGATTATACCTAATTGGGAAGTGCTTAGTAACACAGGCTTGACTACACCTCAAGGGAGTCAAGGCGTTGCCATCCTTTTAATTGCCCATATAAAATTGGCTATAAGCAATTTGACTGAAAAGCGACTATTAGGCATTAAATACAATGTTTTTAAACCAGGTTTAACTCTCTAATTAGAATATAGTGATCAAAATTCCACTGACACCCATGTTAGATCCCCCGATCGACCGCCTGCCGTGCCCAGAGGCCTTAAGCCCCCCCTTAAGCCTGTCCCTGAGGCATTGCTTGAGGTCTTATTTGCCTTGATGCTTCGTTCAATACCTTTTTTGATGTCTGAAGTAATACCTTATTCGATGCTTCAAGCAACCAAGTTATTGCTTGCCCCTCCACTGTCTTACCACCTGCCTGCTTAGCTACCGCTGCCTTTGCTGCCTCGCCCTCTCGAATAGTTTGGCTATACTAAGCTATACGGACAGCGCGGTCAACTCGCTCCTAATATAATAGCTCTCGCCCTGGGCGTTCCTGTTTTTGACCACCGCGAGGCCGGACAATCGACGGTTCTAGCACTAAAAGACGGGTCTGGATTTAACCTCTTAGATAGTCTATATATTTCCTATTTAGGATATGACTAAGGCACCTGTGTAAATATAAATGCCAAGAAATTTAATTTCTACGCTAGCCCTAATAAGGTATAGTCACCTGTGAAACGTAGAGTTTTGCCTGTGTATTTAACAACGCCCGATTGCGCTATAGTCACGTGGGTTAGGTGCCTGGTTTATCAGGCATTAAGCTGGAGTCCCGGTAAATCTTTTATCCGACACCAATTCAGGCACCAAGGTGTCACTGTGCCGGGCATTTTCGTCATTACGCAATAGAGATTAAGATGGAAGCTTCCAGCAAGGAAGGTAACGCTGAAGCTTGAGGCATACTGAGAGCCATGATCATTCAACGGATTCCTAATTACTTATGAAGCTTTCTTGCAAGAGATAGAAAATAGAGGTCGATATCTAGAAACGTCACTGACAACAACAGTCCAGGTGCTTCATACATGGAGTAGCCGTCAGGTACCTAGGTAGCTGCTACCTCTAGAAGGAATTGGCCGACGAAAAGCGGATTGCTTCCCAGGAGGTTTACTTCAGAGTAGGAAGGGAATAAGAATGTTAGCCTCATGAATATGGAGATGAATGTCTTCGCCCGCCTCGCCCCGAGGGAATACGGGAGATCTCGCGTCACTGCATAACAACGTCTCAACCAGCGAGCGGACTGCCCCACCATCACGCTGGAAAGACTCGGAGGAAAATGACGCTGAGGGTTTCCCCAGTAGGGTTCCAGCCTCATACAAGAACCGGGCCGTTTCCACCTGCACAAGGGACCTACTACTTACTTCAACTATCGACTCGTTCCTGACCTCTTCTTCTTAACTCACACGTACCATCCCAGCCAACTGACTCACTTCGTGAGTAAGTATGCAGTGCCCTTCCTTACTAAGTTACCAACCCCTCCCCACCATCCTACCCTAGTGTTGTTGCTTGGCCCCTCTTGTGCCTTAGCTCTATTTCTCTCTTAATGAAGATGTGTCATATAGAGAGAGATGGAGAGGATGATTGCCATCATATCCATCCAGACTGGCTACCAGTCCATCTCCCCAGTCTGGTCAATGGATTAGGTAGTCGGACCTCTCCTCACCTACTCTTCCCCTTCCTCCTCCACACTGGTGATTCATCAAAATCATCCGCGCTCTCTTTTCGGGTCGTCGGTGAACACCACCCCGCTGCTAGACCCCCTTCCCTACAACAATTCAGAGCTGCTGTTTTTATTTATACTCTCTGGCCCCCTTCAGATCTTTTAATTTTTATTCCGTCCTCTCTTCCCCCATTCTCTTCCCTGGGAATTAAATTGACAGATCAATTCAGCCTTTCAAAATGCCTATCTCTAAGATCCACGCACGCTCCGTCTACGACTCACGTGGCAACCCCACCGTTGAGGTTGATGTTGTCACTGAGACTGGCCTGCACCGTGCCATTGTTCCCTCCGGAGCTTCCACTGGTGCGTAACCCCCTTAATCAGGCAGAAAAAGGAGAGCGGATAAGATGGAGTACGGTCTCTGTCTCTCCTGGGACCCGGAGTTTCAAAGGCTGATGATAGTCGAGTTTAGGTCAGCACGAGGCTCACGAGCTCCGTGACGGTGACAAGGCCCGCTGGGGTGGAAAGGGTATGTCTATGATGCTGTTCCCCGAACAATGCTCCGGGCGGCTTGAACTAACAAGGTTGGCGGGTGCTTAGGTGTTCTGAAGGCCGTCAAGAACGTCAACGAGACCATTGGCCCTGCCCTTATCAAGGAGAGCCTTGATGTGAAGGACCAATCCAAGGTTGACGAATTCCTCAACAAGCTTGATGGAACCGCCAACAAGGCCAACCTCGGTGCTAACGCTATCTTGGGTGTCAGCTTGGCCATTGCTAAGGCCGGTGCTGCCGAAAAGGGTGTTCCCCTCTATGCTCACATTTCCGACCTGGCGGGCACCAAGAAGCCCTACGTTCTGCCCGTTCCCTTCCAGAACGTTCTGAACGGTGGTTCCCACGCTGGTGGCCGTTTGGCCTTTCAGGAGTTCATGATCGTCCCTGAGTAAGTGCACTCGTCTCATTTTCCGCGTAGCTCTGTTGTTCACCGACGACAATCATACTGATCTGGTTGACAGCACTGCCCCCTCTTTCTCTGAGGCTCTCCGCCAAGGAGCTGAGGTCTACCAGAAGCTTAAGGCTTTGGCCAAGAAGAAGTACGGCCAGTCTGCCGGCAATGTCGGTGACGAGGGTGGTGTTGCCCCCGATATCCAGACTCCCGAGGAGGCTCTTGACTTGATCACCGAGGCCATTGAACAGGCCGGATACACTGGCCAGATTCACATTGCCATGGACGTTGCATCTAGCGAGTTCTACAAGGCCGATGCTAAGAAGTACGATCTTGACTTCAAGAACCCCGACAGCGACTCCTCCAAGTGGCTTACTTACGAGCAACTGGCCGACCTGTACAAGTCGTTGGCCAGCAAGTACCCCATTGTCAGCATTGAAGACCCCTTCGCTGAGGATGACTGGGAGGCCTGGAGCTACTTCTACAAGACCTCTGACTTCCAGATTGTTGGGTACGTATAACTGTTGCATCATATATCGGCCGGGTTCACAGAGCTCACTGTATTCTTAGTGATGACCTGACAGTCACCAACCCCCAACGGATCAAGAAGGCTATTGAGCTCAAATCTTGCAACGCTCTTCTCCTCAAGGTCAACCAGATCGGAACCCTCACCGAGTCTATCCAAGCCGCCAAGGACTCTTACGCCGACAGCTGGGGTGTCATGGTGTCCCACCGCTCTGGTGAGACCGAGGACGTCACCATTGCCGACATCGCCGTTGGTCTGCGCTCCGGTCAGATCAAGACCGGCGCTCCTGCTCGATCCGAGCGTCTGGCTAAGCTGAACCAGATTCTCCGTATTGAGGAAGAGCTTGGTGACAGTGTCGTCTATGCTGGCCAGAAGTTCCGCACCGCGGTCAACCTGTAAAGCAGCCACAGGCGATATAACTTTCCTTTACTTCTTTTGCACCAGTCACGGGTATTTTTTCCGGCGTGCAGAATCCACCCGAAATGACCTTGTTTTGACTTATTGGCAGCGTTGTTGTGGAGAAACAAGCTGCAAAAGTACCATCGCAGATGACCGTTTGACCAAGATTTATGATGACGAATAAGCCTATTATAAGGGCATATAATGAAAAAGTGTAGTTCAAATAATCCCGGTCCTTGGGAGTATAGTATTAGTGCACTCTGTAGTCCCAGTAGCGTTTCAACATCCGTACATTCTAACTATAGACCATTCTATATCAGCATTTTACTTTCACGGCGAGACTTCAATATCGGGCATCAAGGCAGTCGTTCCACGTGACCTGCCCCACCACCCGATTGAATCGAAGTCGAGTTGGCTCGGGTTTGAGATGGACGCTTCTTTGCCCCTCCAAAATTTCCGCTGCGTTGTGCTCTCGTCCACGACAGTTCTTTGAGCTGGGACATACGTTTGATCTTTTCTCTGCCGCCAGAGACCTTAGACCGTGCGAATAGACTGTCATTTTTGTGCCTTTTCGTCGATTATTTCCATTATGGCACCCTCGAAGTGGGGTACGTTCTTTCTGGCCTTTTTTTCTTTTTGTTTATCTTTCTTAGCTCTTAGCTGAATATCGGTGGTGGCCTATTCTCATGGTAAAATTTTGCTGACGATTCCCGTTTTTAATCTTTTTTTAGATGATGAGGAAGAAAGTACTTCTCCTCCCGTGGTATACCGCCGCAAATTCGATGATGAGGAAGAGGACGATGTGAGTGAGCCCTTCCCCTTCGCTCCCCGGACTAGCATTCTCCGACTCAACTTGCATATAATTCATGACAACAAATGTGCTGACGTGATCTGGAATAGGTTCTCGACTCCTGGGATGCCGCTGAAGATTCCGAGGTAGAGAGGGAAAAGGCGAAGAAAGCGGAAGAGGCCAAAGCCAAAGCGGAGGCTGAAGCGGCTGCAAAGAAGAAGAGCAAGGCGCAGCGGATACAGGAACACAAGGAAGTGCGGCGGCAGGCAGAAGAGGACGCCACGGACTCCGAAAGTGACGAGGACGAGGCCGAGAAGCGGGCTCGTCTCCGCCGAACCGAGAAGGACTCAGATCTCAAGCACGCCGAGGATCTGTTCGGTGACATCGATCTGAATCGCAACCGGGGCACTCCCAAGGCTGTTGTTGTCAATGACTCGGCCGACCCAACACAAGCGGTCGATCTTTCCGCCATGCCGCTCTTCAAGCCCACCACCAAAGATCAATTCACCCGGTTGACGACTACCCTGGTGCCGCTGCTGACGCCGCAGTCGAAGAAACCGCAGTATGCGCTGTGGGCGCAGGACTTCACCAAGCAGCTGGTCAGGGAGCTGCCCAGTGCGGATATCAAGAAGATCGCTAGCGCTTTGACGACCATGAGCAACGAGAAGATGAAAGAGGAGCGGGCGGCGGACAAGGGTAACAAAAAGTCCAAGGCGGCGAAGACCAAGGTTTCACTGGTGACCTCAAGAGATAATAAGATTGATGCATCTTATGATGGTGATGGCTTGGATGATGATGATTTCATGTGATCGTTTTGAAAGTGAATTTTCTACCTTGCCTCTCTTCGCACTTCCTCTCTACTTAGTTGCCAGTTACATTGTCAATTCGACACTTATCTGCCAACCTCTCTATATATTCTCCCCCTTCTCTTTGTATATCCATCGATAAACGGTTCGTTTCTTATCACCCCGTCTACTAGCTTCTATTAATGATAGATCTTAAATTTGACTCCATCGCCGTGTTGTATACTCTATTTTAACCCCAATGTAAATGGAGAGCTCCTATATGGCTCTTCTCATGGATAGGCCTTGTTCGGCGTTGTTTTTTAACGTCCGCTAACTTGACCGTCGCACATCGGACTGTCCACAACATCAAGTTTGTGTGCCCTATGGACACCGTGCCTTCAAAAAACCAGCGTTGGTTCAAGCACCATGTTCTGCCTGTTGGTCAAGCATCCGCTCGAGTATTTAAAATTAACTACTAAATAGTTCCCAACATGTGTCCTGGAAGATACGAGTGGGCGGCAAGAAGGAAAAAAGGGGGAAGGTGGCAAGTACACAGACAAGAGGGAGAAAAAAAAAAAAACAAAAAAAAAAGGTGGAATAACACAATGTAACTTGGTCTGAGGTGGGAATAGAGACACTAAAAGAGAGATACATTCCACTCGGACCTCATTTTCTTCACTGTCCAAATAGCAAACTCCGCCGGCCAACCCACGAGATCCCGAACATGTAGAAGATATGTGCCGGTCCAAACCAGTCACGCTGCTAAAACATACCTTCGTCAACACTTCCAGGGAGAATTTGAACGTCAAAACAGGCACACTGAGCACACAACGCAGGTTTTTGATACAACAAAAAATCATTCATCCCAGTCTTCTAAGACGCAGGGGCTGGTGCAGGCTTGGCCTCCTCACCCTTGTCCTCGGCGGCCGGCGCGGACTCCTCCTCGGGCTTATCCTCCTTGGAAGCACCCTCGGCCTCATTTCCATCAGAAGAGGTCCACAGGGTCAGGTTGTCACGCAGCAGCTGCATAATCAAGGTGCTGTCACGGTAGCTTTCCTCCGACAGCGAGTCGAGCTCCGCAATAGCGTCGTCGAAAGCCTGCTTGGCAAGGTGGCAGGCACGATCGGGGGAGTTCAAAATCTCATAGTAGAAAACGGAGAAGTTCAAAGCAAGGCCCAGGCGGATGGGGTGGGTAGGGGTGAGGTCAGTCTGGGCGACATCCGTGGCGTTCTAAAGTAGATTGTAAGGGGCATATAATACTATCGGCTGAGGTGTTAATGGTATAGCAAAAACGAACCTTGTAAGCCTCGTGGGCGGCAGTTGCAGCAACCTTGCGCTTGTTGCCAGAGGCAAACTCAGCGAGATAACGGTGGTAGTCACCCTTCCTAAACATCGGATTGTCATCAACCACGGCACTTGTAACGCTATCTTCTGAGCCAACTGCACTTACATCTTGTAGTAGAAAACCTTGGACTCGCCAGTCTCGGCCTTGGGAATGAGAGAGTCGTCCAAAACATCAAGAACATCCTGGCAGACATTCTCCAGCTCCGTTTCAATCTGCTGACGGTAATTACGGATGATGGTGACATGCTGCTCAGAGCCCTTGGACTCCTCCTTCTGCTCAATGGAGGAGATGATACGCCACGAGGCACGACGGGTACCGACAACATTCTTGTAGGCAACTGAGAGAAGGTTACGCTCATCGACAGTAAGCTCGCCTCCAATCTGATGCGGGGTCAGTCGTCTAGGACAACAGGATGTGCGGGGGAAATAGTTCCTGACGGCTCAACAAGGAGGGGATGCATACGTTGGCGACTTGCTGTGAGAACCGTTAGCGACCATATTCTAACTAGCTAGTTGTATAGCGTTGATCAAAGTAACTGCTTACCTTCATGTAGGTGACCATTTCTGTGAAGGGAAGGGACCAATCAGTATCAAAAGCATCCGGGCGACAACAACACCTAGAAGATCTTACCATCGTAGCGCTCAGCCTGCTCACAGAGCCGAGCAAGGAAAGTTTTGCTGGTGGATGGGAAAACAGGTGGTTAGTGATCCAGATGTTAGCGATCGACGAAGGCAATCTGGACCCTTACCTCTCACGCTACCCGAAGAGACATTGTTAGTACGGTTCCCATCGGTCGCATCAGGACAAGAGAGTAAGGAGAGACAGATTGCCGTAGAAAACAAGATATACGTGGTTCATACCACGACAATAGGGCGAACAGCTGAGAGGGGTTGGGCTGGAACAACATACCTCAGAAGTCATGATGATACCGTATGGGTGATAGGGTTCCAAGAAGGGATAGGGTAGTTGGGGGGAAGTGGATAAGGCAAAGAGACCAGAGGCGTTCCAAAGGGGAGAGGGAGAGATAGAGGAAGAGGCACAGAACAGAAGAGAAGGGTAAAATTGAGGGTGATAAGACACAAGAATATTGGTGGATGCGACACAGCAACAAGAGATGAACCGGTGAGGTGATGGCCAGCAGTCACTCTTGAGTAGTCAGCTTAGCGAGAGTGAGAATGCGGTTGTTTGCGGTGTTTGTCTGCCATGGGTGCCCCAGGAAGAAACACCCCATCCTTCGTCCATGGACCCTAGTATGCTGTATCTCCACTACTCATCCAGTTTGTCCCCAGATTCCTTCGTCGACAAACGCTGAAGGTGTGAGCCGCAAGGTTTGATTCTGATAGTTAGGGGATCTATATTTATTTATATATCATCCACCCAATGTGTTACGATCAAATACATTATAAGTAGCCTTTCCAAAGCTCATATCCAGATAGAAGGAGAGAGAGAAAAAAAAAAAAAAAAAAACCCTCAGACAGACCTATCTGCTGGCGGACCAGGTCTACAATTGACCTACCAGGGCTTCAAGAAATCCCTGCAAAAGAATCTTTACTATTGCTACCTCAAATTCACCCAGGAAATCCGAAAAAGTATATACGGCTAATGCTAGAGAGTACTCTTCCATCTAGTGAGGCCGTTCATCGCCTATAGCTGTGTCAAATTGAGTGAAAGGTGCAAGGTCTTACGATTCTATACATCATATTACTGGGCCTTTGGTACTTATCCCAAAGCCATCCTTTTGGTGACCATCTGACGAATACTCTGATAGAGTAGGCGGCTTTTGTTGTACATCAGCATGGCTTCACTTCGAAAGGAAATTGTACAGAACTATCTATCTACTAGGACCTACCTGCCTGCTTACTTGGCCAGCTGCATCAAGCTGGCGCCTGCAGACCGATTCTTACGGCCACACAATGGTCTTTCCCACACCCCTTAGACAGGAGGTCCTCTAGCCGTTCCATGGACATGCCTACAGTAGGTACTAGTACATCACCATAGTTTCCTAGTCAAACCCCCGTCAGAGGAAATATGTGAGAAGTGTTCCATGGACATGGACGAGTCATAAACTACCAAGAACTCATGCACAGAGGTTAGAAGGCCAATTAATTAAATACTTGGCATCGGGGACTGAGTGGCTAGGAAGATACCTACAGTACTGTCATCGGTAAGACTCTGAGGCAAGATTGATAGATAGGTGGAACAAATCATGCGCGGTTTTGGATCTTAATAGCCACCATACATTCACCAAGTCGATGAGGAGCGGGGCACCCAGGATGGTCCAGAAACATGGAACAGCCTCTTAGCTCCGGTCTTAGAGGCAAGGCATCACTGTTTCTTGGTGGGGAGCCATCCGCTGCGACCCCCAAGTGGGATGAATAATGTAAGCATGGCTTTCAGGTGTGGGACAGTCATACAGGGGGGCGATACTTTCAATACTGGACAATACCTATAAGTAGACTACGTATTGGGAAGGAATATGACCTTTATAGCTCCTCGTATCTAGTTCGTTAGTTTTACAAACTAGGACTATTTACTAAGCATACATCCCATCTTCAGGGTCTCGTATTTCTCAATGGGTATTTACCGTACCTTGTGAATTTCCATCCATCCTATCAGTACCTAACTAAGGTAGTAGTAGTCCGTAGGTACTAGGTAGTACCAAGTAAGGGACGTGCCTCTCGGCTATGGTACCGTACCGTTCAAGTTCAGCCCTGTAGTTTATTTACCGGCAATCTCTGCGGCGTGACGGGGGGCCGATCGAGCCAAAAGAACACGTTGAGTGCCTGAGAGAGTAAACGTAGTTCAACGGCCTTCCTGCAATGATTCTTTTCCTTTGTTAACCGACTGAATTTCACTTTGGAAAGGGATTTTTTTTTTATTTTCTTTATTTTTAAAAAAGAAAGACAAAAAAAAAAAATATTAAACCGTCGTTTTCCGTCTTTCTCTCTCCAACTGGGTATATTAATATTCAACCCCCTTCCTCCTCTTCTAGATCCTTCCCACTCTTCGGAGTTGCCCAGGACGCTACTGCTCCGTATTACAATTCACTCCGGCCACTTGGCGTTCATGTCTTAATCTGGGTATATCCGGTTTCCCTCCATACCCTCTCCCTCTTTCTTTTCTTTTCCTTTTTTCTCTCTTTCTTTCTTTCCTCTCCTTTCTTCTCTCGTTGCTCCCCCGACTCTCGCCACCCTTTTCAACTGCTGTGGTCGACCATGGAGCATTCCTACCTCTCTTCCCCAGAAGAGGTGCTAGAACACTTCGGTGTCTCCGAGCACACGGGTTTGTCGCAGGCTCAGGTTTCAAAATTGAGGCAAAAATATGGTCCAAATGGTTAGTCGCACCCCGATCCCACGCCCGTCGAATGGAGCCCGGAGGCTAATACGCTGCCTTGGATGTTTAGCTCTTGCCGAAGACCCTCCAACGCCTCTATGGAAGCTTGTGCTGGAACAATTCAAAGATCAACTGATCCTCATTCTTTTGGGCTCGGCTGCGGTGTCCTTTGTCCTCGCTCTCTTTGAGGAAGGGGATGACTGGACGTCCTTCGTTGACCCCGTTGTGGTATGTGATTGCAAACGAGCCCTTTCTCCGTGTCGCGCGCATCACCAGGTAGCTGACTGCGTGCCATGGTTGCAGATCTTGACTATCTTAATCCTCAATGGTATCGTTGGTGTCGCCCAGGAAAGCAGTGCCGAAAAGGCAATTGCGGCCCTGCAAGAATATTCCGCAAATGAAGCTACGGTTGTCCGTGAAGGCAAAACCCAGCGTGTCAAAGCGGAAGACTTGGTACCTGGAGACGTAGTCCATGTCGCGGTTGGAGATCGTGTACCTGCGGATTGTCGCTTGGTTGCTATCCACAGCAACAGTTTCCGGTTGGACCAAGCCATCCTGACCGGTGAGAGCGAAAGCGTTTCCAAGGACACCCGCGCGATTCACGACAAGCAGGCGGTCAAGCAAGATCAGATCAATATGCTTTTCTCAGGAACAACGGTTGTAAACGGGCATGCTACGGCTATGGTCGTTTTGACTGGGGGATCAACTGCCATCGGTGATATTCATGAGAGCATAACTTCCCAGATTTCGGAGCCAACACCCCTTAAACAGAAACTGAATGATTTCGGTGACATGTTGGCTAAGGTGATCACCGTCATCTGTATCTTGGTCTGGGTGATTAATATCGAACATTTTAACGATCCGTCTCACGGTGGTTGGACCAAAGGAGCTATCTATTATCTCAAAATCGCAGTTTCGCTGGGAGTGGCAGCCATTCCTGAAGGTTTGGCCGTTGTCATCACCACCTGTCTCGCTCTCGGCACTCGTAAGATGGCCAACAAGAATGCAGTAGTCCGGTCTCTTCCCTCCGTGGAGACCCTCGGTAGCTGCAGTGTGATTTGCTCCGACAAGACCGGCACCTTAACGACCAATCAGATGAGTGCAGCGAAGATCGTCTATTTGAACAGGGCTGGTGACGATGTCGAGGAAATCGATGTTGAAGGTACCACTTTTGCGCCGGAAGGCAAACTGTCACGCAACGGCAAGTCTCTGCAGAACCTCGCGATCTCCTCGTCAACGGTTCGCCAGATGGCCGAAGTCATGGCTCGCTGCAACAGCGCGACTCTCGCCCATGACCCAAAGACCGGCGTATTTTCCTGTATTGGTGAACCCACCGAAGGCGCCCTGCGGGTTTTGGTTGAAAAAATTGGAACTAACGACTCTGCTACTAATGCCAAACTGTTTGGACGGCCTGCGTCCCAGAGGCTTCATGCTGCTAGTGCGCACTACGAGTCTCGGTTGCCGTTGAAAGCAACCTACGAGTTTTCTCGCGATCGAAAGAGCATGTCTGTTCTCATCGGTATGGGCAAGCAGCAAAAACTCCTGGTCAAGGGTGCTCCTGAATCCATACTCGAGCGTTGCTCTTATGTGATACTGGGGCCTGACGGATCCCGGGCGCCCCTCTCTAAGAAATATCTGAGTTTGCTCTCTGATGAAATTGTGGAGTACGGAAATCGTGGTCTCCGTGTCATGGCCCTGGCCAGTGTTGATGATGTGGCGGCCATCCCCCTTCTACGCAACGCTAAAACTACCGATGAATATGCCCAGTTGGAACAAAATATGACTCTCATTGGTCTCGTTGCTATGCTTGATCCTCCACGCGTTGAGGTGGCCGACTCGATTAAGAAATGTAGGGAGGCAGGTATCCGGGTGATTGTCATTACTGGTGACAGCCGAAACACAGCCGAATCCGTGTGCCGCCAGATTGGCGTATTCTCTGAGGGCGAGGATCTTACGGGCAAGAGCTACACGGGCAGGGAATTCGATAGCCTGTCGCAGAGTCAGAAGCTCGAGGCGGCCAAGAGTGCATCCCTATTTTCGCGTACAGAACCCAGCCATAAGTCTAAGCTCGTTGATATTCTCCAATCATTAGGACACGTTGTTGCGATGACGGGTGATGGTGTTAACGACGCCCCTGCCTTGAAGAAGTCGGACATCGGTGTTGCTATGGGTACTGGCACGGACGTGGCTAGGCTCGCCGCTGATATGGTCCTGGCCGACGACAACTTTGCTACGATCGCTGTGGCCGTCGAGGAGGGGCGATCGATCTACAGCAACACCCAACAGTTCATCCGGTATCTGATTTCGTCCAACATTGGAGAAGTGGTCTCGATTTTCCTAACTGCAGCCCTGGGCATGCCGGAAGCGTTGATCCCCGTGCAGCTCCTTTGGGTGAACCTGGTCACTGACGGTCTACCTGCGACGGCTCTGTCTTTCAACCCTGCAGACCATGATGTGATGAGACGGCCTCCCCGAAAGCGTGACGAGCCCCTGGTCGGCGGTTGGTTACTGTTTAGATACTTGGTTATTGGCACCTATGTCGGTGCTGCCACGGTCTTTGGCTACGTATGGTGGTTCATGTACAATGCAGAGGGACCACAGATCTCTTTCTGGCAGCTGGTAGGCCTAAGAATAACTTACCTGGGAATTTCCCTCCTGGGTTTCGTTACCATTTTGCTAATATGTTGCGCAGTCTCATTTCCACAAGTGCTCTGCCCAATTTCCTGAAATTGGCTGTGAGATGTTCTCGAACGATATGTCCCGTTCTGCATCCACCGTGTCACTTTCAATCCTGGTTGTGATCGAAATGCTAAATGCCATGAATGCACTTTCATCCAGTGAATCTCTTATGACCTTCGCTCTCTGGAATAACATGATGCTGGTCTACGCCATTATCCTTTCAATGACCTTGCACTTTGCTATCTTGTACATTCCTTTCTTGCAGGGATTGTTCTCTGTTCTCCCTTTAAACTGGATCGAGTGGAAGGCCGTTCTAGCAATCAGTGCTCCTGTGATGTAAGTTCGCTCTGTTTCGTCTGAGACGTCACCCATTGCATCCATTGCATCTTGCTAACTCGCCAAAAGATTGATTGACGAGGTGCTCAAAACTGCGGAGCGTCGTTTTTATAACATCCCTGCAAAGAAGGTTGGATACCAAAACGGAGCGGCCTCTAAACCCAAGATAACATAGATCTTGGTTGGCTGAGTGATGACTTCGTATCCCAAGGGTATGCTCATGATAAATATAAACATAGGCCGTTGGATAGTTGTGGTTATTTCCGTTCACTGGCCTTTTTCTTTCCCCTGGACACATGTTGGCGGCATACATGTATCATGGTAGATATTCTTTAACGTCTAGAGAACAATGAAGAAATGAATACCTCCCCAAGGAGTAATATAGATAAGTGCCTGCTCGAGTGATTTAGGAGTCGACACATGCAGCGAGCCTGGGTCACGTTGGCGCGCTCGTGACTTGCAGGAGATTTCTTGAATGGCTGGGTGGACAGAGTGTGTTTCCAGACGCAACCATGCACGATGACTAAGAAGGTTGCCCCATCTATGAGCCCTATCTATCTATTGAATTATTATTGCTTTGAGGTCAGGGTTCTTATACTAGGCATGTGAGGGATTGTGCCATCTTTTTGAAACCACGCAAGCATAAATGACTCGGATCATAATCCCTCTTAACGCTCGCCATCTAGACAATTTAGCCTAATTGAAAAGGGCCGAAAATTCGGCACATTTTGATAACCGTGCAGCTCTACTTTAGCAAGTGGCTAATTCTGATCATAGGGCCTATCAAACTTCACCCCGCAGCAGTATTGCGGGGGAAGTAAACCTTCACGGGACAAAGCCAAGCGAGATGGGCTACTAGATGCCCACCATCTTTACAGGGAGTACGAGAAATGCAACACCGAAGTCCAGACTAAAAAGCCTTAGGCTTAGGGCGGCTAAACCGTTAGAGGCTTGTCCGCTCGTGGCATGGGAGCACATTCCCAGCAATCGTGGCGTGTCACTGGTGGCTTCCTAGGGGTTCGACGATCTTTTCCCCGGATTCCATGTAATGTGGAGGAAAAGGAAGACGTCTGGGGATGCATAATATCCCGGAGGATGGATCCTCCTGTCCTGTTTCCTGCCTAGGCCCAACTCTCCACTTCCCCTCTTCCTGCGACCTTTTTTTTAGCCCTCTCCAACAATGACCCGATAGGTGATTCCAGGTTGAGCGGAAAAAAGGGGAGGTGGCCGATGACTCTCACCTAAAGAGTGCACCTAGAGGATTTATGATGCCACTAATAAGCTATCTCCATGTAGTAGTACATAATGAGACCATGGTGGTACGATTGCATCCTTCTTTTTATCTCCACTTCCCATCATGAGCATTCACTTACGGAGGTTCTGACAACCTTCATCCCCAGTCATATCACACTGATTCCCATCTGGGAGGATGGGACTCTTGCAGTTTTTAACAACCCGTTCGGGATTTCGGGTTGATAATAGCAAAACTACATCTGCAGCAACTCTTACTTTACGCCAGAGCATATGGCCTTTATCACTCGTTACTATTCTCTTCTTTTTATGGGTGAGTCATGGACGGAGATGAAGCGGACTTAAGCTTGAACATATATGTATTCTATGGAATCTGGGGTGCTAATTGCATATATAGGGATTCGCCTATGGCTTGTTAGACACCCTCAATAAGCATTTCCAAGAGACACTGCACATTACTCGGACTCGCTCCGCTGGACTTCAAGCTGCTTATTTTGGGTAGGCATTATCATATACTTATATGGCACGTTGCTCCATAATATGACCGATAAATTAACGAAAACCACCAGTGCCTACCCATTAGCTTCCTTGGGTTATGCGAACTATCTACTTCGACATTTCGGGTACAAGACCGTATTCATCTTTGGTCTGGCCCTTTATGGCATTGGCGCCCTCTGTATGTGGCCGGCGGGCTTGAACCGATCGTTTGGAGGCTTCTGCGCAGCTACTTTTGTCATCGGCTCAGGACTAGGCGCACTCGAGTCAGCGGCCAACCCCTTCATTACCGGTATGTTGATACTAGATCTTAGCGTCGGGAAAAGAAAAGAAAAAGGTGCTGATAGCATATTCTCAATTAGTCTGTGGCCCCCCAAAATATTCTGAGATGCGGATCAACCTTGCCCAAGCGTTCAACGGGATTGGTACCTGTGTTGCCCCAGCACTAGCATCTTATGTTTTCTTTACTTCAACCAACGACGATGTTAATGCTCTCAAGCGCGTCCAATGGGTGTACCTTGCCATCGGAATCTTCGTGTTTTTGCTTGCTGTAGTCTTCTTCATCTCAAAAATCCCCGAGGTCACCGACGAAGATATGGCATTTCAAGTCTCCGAGACACATGTGGACGAGCAGGATCGACCTTTCTGGAAGCAGTATAAGCTATTCCATGCAACATTAGCCCAGTTCACTTATACCGGTGCTCAAGGTAAGAACACCCCTCTACATGTTGTTGGCTAAGCTAGTTGTAACCGGAGTTAACAATCTTTGTTTCCGCCATTCCAGTCGCCATCGCAGGATACTTCATCAACTATGTCACGGAAACTTGGCCCGGTACCTCGAGCTCTACGGGCTCCAAATATCTAGCTGGGGCCCAGGGGGCTTTCGCTGTAGGCCGTTTCCTGGGAGCAATTATCATGAAATACGTAAAGGCTCGTTGGGTATTTTTAGTCTACCTCTCTTGCACTGTTGCCTTTATTGCGGCATCCACTACACAAAAGAAAGAGAGTGGTATAGGTACGCTAGCCCCTTGGGTCCATTTGTCCCAGGGACCAAAAATCTTGCTGGAACAGCACAAATGATGGAAGTCAAGAATGATAGCGCTAACAGTTACAAAGCAATGCTCTTTCTTACCCTCTTCTTCGAATCTGTCTGTTTCCCCACCATTGTTGCTCTGGGGATTCGCGGTCTAGGACGCCACTATAAGCGTGGCTCCGGCTTCATCGTCGGCGGTGTTTGTGGTGGTGCTGTGGTGCCTCCGATCTTAGGCCATGTGGCCGACATGCGGAACAGTACGGTATTTGCCATGATTGTCCCGACAATGTTCATGGTTGTTGCGTGGACTTATGCCGTTGCTGTGAATTTCGCCCCTGTTTATAGGGAAACGGTTGATAAGGTCGGCTCTAGTACTATCGGCCTGAGGGAAAGCGATGGCACTAACGGACAAGACGTGGAAGTTGGGGTGATGGGGGACATGGAGAAGCCCCAGGAGATTCATGTCGAGAAATAAACTTGTCGGTGTTATTTGATGCCATTCTGTCGCATACTTCGACCAAACTTGTTCACAAATTCGATCGAGGCACTCAGAATCCAGCAAATGTATAATTATATAGACGCTATATGCTAACGAAATAAACAGTTAGGGTTCATGAATGCTTTTTTCTATACAGAGTACATATAGCGAAGTAATACCAGCAAGACTCCAATACAGGTAGCAGATCTAATCCAACGGGTAAATAATGTATTGATCAAGGTAAATCATTGCTTGTGCCAGATCCAAGAACCAGCTTTGAGGGCACTCGTCTAGGGGAACCAAAAGTGGAATCAAGATTACATATGGTAATAAGGGGTCTCTTCAGAAACTTGCGGAGCCACTAGGCACAAATACATGGTCACAACAAACATTAAACAGAAAACTGATATGAGAGTAAAGGACGGGGTGAACAAATAAGGTACACAGAAAGAGAATATAGATGAATGAGCGGATGTAATATTAAAACAAGAGGAACGAAATGGGCGAGGGAATGATATATACTGGGACATAAGGTGTGAAAAGCATCTGAAAGACTCGGAATTGCTTTTCATCCTGTCTAGAGAGGCTCAAGAATCGCTACCAAAACAGAGAAACAGAGAAAAAAAAAAAAAAAAAAAAAAAGAGGTCCAGCGCCACACAGCCGTAAAGGGGTATAAAAATGCGAAACAGGAACATCAATCAATCAAAAGCCACTTCTATTCTAGATTCGTCAGTGTTCAAGGCAGACCTGGCTTATTAGATGCCACCGATTTCGGCGAGACGTCAACGGCAACGTTGCTGTCCTTGGCACCATACGGCTTCGACTCGGCAGCTGCCTCCAATTTTGAGGCTTTAAGCGACGAGAAACGGGGAGGACGCATTGGGCCTGCATCAAGATCAAGAGCAGGAGCAAGAACAGGCTTATGGGACAGTCCAGGGGAGTCTGTAGCACTGACTGCCCTCATGTGATCCTCCGAGTTTACCACATCAGTGGGTGACCCAGGCTCCTCCTCAGTCCCCGTAAATGTGTCCACTTCTTCAATATCTTCATCACCTTCTAAGTCTTCCTCTTCTTCAATAATTTGACTTTTCCTCGTTGCAGGCCGAGCTGCACCTGAAACAGGTTCTGGCGTCCCAATGTCATTGCGGGGAAATTCCGGTGCGGAGATGCCACTAGAGATCATTAAATTGGCCGTGTGAGACATAGGGCCTTTGAATGCCAACTTCTTCCGACGGGCGAAAACAAGGCTGGATGATGGAGAGTATAGAAACGGTCCTGGCGCCGCCTCATTGAACGTTGAGTTGGTTCTCCCATTAGGTTCATCCACTTCACGGTATCCAGTGTTTATACCTCGTACCAAGCGAATGTTGCTGGGGAAACGGGAGGAAGCACCTGGAGTAGTGGGAAGCACTTTGACGGAAGTGTGTGGCGATTTTGAGACTCGAGCTGTTGGAGTAGACGTTGATCCGATGCTATTCGATGAGACAGACGACGCCTTCGAATGGGTGTGAGTATGGTGGATGCTTCGGATAGAAGATACGGAAGAGGATGTAGACTTGCGGCCACGTAAACCAGCAGAGGATCGTCTGTAGGAGCCCCTTGGCGTGATCGGAGAGGGTGACAAAGAATTTCGGTGGTGAGGGTTACTGGTGCTCAGTGGACGAGGTTGGCGAGGATATGAATGGCGGTGGTTGCGATATGAAGCGCTGCTCGGGGCCAGGCTGCTGGCATTGGATGCACGCTTCACTTGCGTCGGTGTTGATATGTCACCTCGATTGGCAATAGTCGAAGAGGTTAGGGCCGGTTTTCTCCCGGCTTCCTGTCCTTTTGCAGGACTCAGTTTATCTGAGAGAAACTTACGATGTCCAGGTCCGCCAGTAGCTTTCGTGTGAGGTGACTTGGCTCGTTTTGCAGACTCCACAAACCAATGTTTCAAAGATGCTAGCTGGCTGATGATCGGATACTGACGGCGACCGGTACGACGCCTGAAGATCCCATTGTGCTGCGTTAGCTCAGGCTGGGATGCGCTCACGTGCAACGTGCTTGGTCTTGAGCGTCTCCGATCCTTAGGGGGGGGCAATGGGCGCCGTCGAGTAGAACTGGCAGAACGAATCGAGTCTTTGTCAATGGGAGGAGGGGGGGTGCTGGAATCAGGAGATTGCCCAGGGGCTGGCTCTGGTAGGATTGGTAGCTCGGGTGGGGCAAGTTGCGAAGGTAAGCTGCGTCTGTCTCTCCGGCCTCGCTCTTGTAATGGCACATTTGCAGAAGCATGTCCTTCTTCATCAACCTCGACAAGTGCTGACGACCTCTTCTCCAGCCGGCTACTTGCTACACTCAGACGGCGAAGGTTCTTTGCCTCCGCTTCTCTCTCTCTCCGCTTCCGTTCTCGCTTCTGCTCCTTACGCTGCTCCTTTTCAATCAGCAGTGCCCACCAGCCAGCAAGAGGATCGCATCGTTGAGAGAGGACATTCTCCACCACCTCATCGATATTGACGCCTGCACTTTTCATCCGTTGTAGGGTGGTTTTCTCTAAGGATGTTGAAAACGCCGGGGGACGTGGGATTTTCAGTATCGCCAGCTGCTCCGACACATGCTCGGCAAGGAACGGATGCGCTAATATTTCCCCAAGGCTAGGCCGGATCAACGGTCGCTTCGATAAGAGAAGGCTGATGAGGGCCTTCGCATCGTCAGGGAATTTGTCATTGAGGACAGGGTCCTCTTTAAGGATCCGCGCTTTGGTGACAAGGTCGTCGTCTTCGTCGAACGGGAGTTCCCCCGCCATCAAGGCATAGAGAATGATACCTAAGCTCCACACGTCTACTTTTTCGCCGGCGTACTTCTCGCCCTTTAACATTTCGGGGGCACTGTAACATATAGTGCCACAAAACGTTTGCAGGTAACTCGCTTTGCCTTCGTACTCGCGTGTGAATCCAAAGTCGCACAACTTGACATTCTCATGTTTGTCGAGAAGGATGTTCTCCAGCTTCAAATCCCGGTGTACGCACGACTTGCTGTGAACATAAGCAACTGCACCAACGAGCTGTGCGAAAATCTTTTTGACCTTATCAATAGGTAGCGGGCCATGGCGAAGCAGATAGTTGTAGAGCTCATCGCCTAGTAGCACATGTCAGCAACGGCCAACCATCCGCCCAATAAGTTTATTCCTACCTGGGCAGTATTCCAGAACCAGCCACACTAGCTTTTCTGTTACAATAACCTCATAGAGACGAGCGATATGAGGGTGGAGAAATTGACGATGGTGGTGAATCTCGCGAGCCAGGTTCGTATCGCCTTTGTCAGACGATTTTAGAACAACCTATTTACGTTGACAATCAGGAAACATGAACAGACGATGAAAAGTCTATCGGTATACCTTAGAGCCATTTGTGAGCTTATGTGTGGCAAGGTAGACTTTGCCAAAGGAACCCTTTCCGATCAATCTCCCGAGCGTATAGTTCCCTATACTTCGAAGCTCCTTTGATGAGAATTCTCTGAGCAAGGAGATATTAGCATCCAACAAAAAAACAAATGTAGGGGAAATGCCTAGCAGAAGTGCTTACTCCAGTAATTCATTGTAAGATTGAGCTAGCTGTTCGATGCGCCGAGTCGTAGTCAGCCAAGTTCTTTGCAGGACCGATAGCACTTTGAGGGGGCGGGGTCGCGCGGTGTCTGCAATCCTGGACAAAGCACATCAACTGAGAACAAACCTTTTCCTTTTGCTTCTGGGCTTGAACCTCCGCTTTCGTCCTGGGAGGTGGCATGTGTTAAGATAATGTCCACCGGTTCTTGATTTCTCGCCAGGTGTGGTAAGGACGTTGTAGATTGCTGAGACGGATCCCCGGGTAGTTGCAGATCGCCTGCGGTGGCCATTCAAGGAACTGAGCGGAAATGGTACAGTGTGGTGGAAAGGGGTAGGGGACCAGGACGGAGGTTGGAAAGCAGGCGTAGGGACCGAATCAAGGGAGTTTGGTTTGACGCAGTCGGTAACCGACGGAACGAAACGATTGAGCTAAACCGTGTTGCGACGGGGGGATTAAGATTCCTTATTCTGTATAGAGAGTACTGAGTAATCCTTTTTTTTTTTAAGGGGGGGGCGGGGACAGAAATAAAACGAAAAGGATGGTAATGATAGAAAGAGAAAGCCTATGATGAAGTTATAAGGAGCCGTTGGCGGATGGAGCCGCAGTCTCGGAAAGCAGGAGAGAAAAGGGATCCAAGTTGGTGGCTGCTAAGTGATACCTAACACCGGTTAGAAGAGTAGTTGGTTCAGATGTTCAAATATAGCCCGGAAGGAAGAATCTGCTCCAAAAGGAACCAATGATGTCTAAATGGGAGAGAGAATTACTAACTGAACACCAGAAGGAGGACGGGTTAAAAATCGCCTCGCTGGATTATCTGTCAGACGGGGCGCCTGGAAAGGAAAGAAATAATAGAGGTACTCCGTAGTCCGTATGGCGATGAGGGATGATAGATGGCTGCTTACAGGGGCATACCATACATTATTAATTCAGGAAGTAAAAATAACTAGGCGACAGTTTATGTTAGCAGTAGGAAGATGTTCTACAGCGCCAAGGAGACATTTTATTTATTCTGGATTCTGCTGGCAGAATGCAACAGCAAGCTCCGGGAATAGTCTTTGGAAACATTCTAAGAGTCTTCCAGTGTTCAAGAGACCACAATATAAATTTTATGGGCTCCGTAGGTGCAATCTCCGTGTTTTTTACTTGTTATTTAGACTCTGGAGTTGAAGGTTGTTAACAGGTAACTATGGAAGCTATTCCAGGGATAAGGGGTAGAGCGGTCCACAGGAAAGACAGACCGGAGTATGTTGTTGGAACGAGCTGGAATAAAATATGTATATATATATATATATATAAAACACCGGAATTATAAAATCAGAAACACTATTAACTACTAATCCACAGCTAGAGACCTATAGTTAGACTATATAGTAATTCTGGCGGTAAGCTATACTAATTAATTCTTTCTTGGCGTTACCAGAACGTTTCACTCTGTAGGCGGTCAGTCTATCACTCAGTTACTAGTACATTGACAGTATGCATGAATTTAAAGGCCAATGTTGAGAAGCAGAGAACAGGGCATAGGGGGGAGAGGAACATGAGGAAAAGAAGCCCCCCTTTCTCAGAAGAAGAAACAAGGAAGGGAACCCCAGAAGATTTTGGGCTTAAACTTCTAGAAGCCTGGAGTTAATTCAATCCAGTTCATGGACTTCAACTTTAAATTTAGCCATCTGCGTTTCAATATGTCGTGTGGAAAATGGAAGCTCTCCACACTATTGGATCCCAGCTCTTAGCAACTTATCATGAACCACACTGTACATCAAACCAATAATTCACCATGCAGGGGATGTGGAGAGAACAACATCATCTTTCTTGCGTCTGATTCCTATTCAGTATAACAAGAGGAAAGGGGTAGAGATTAACATCTGCTAATTTTCTTAGTTGGAATACATCTTTCTAGTAATATGTACTTCCAGTGTCTGCAAGTTATGTACATCAACCTATATATAACTATAACAAATTGGTAGGGCCGGAGAGAAATCCCAGTATAGTTACATATTTCCTTATTGCTGGTGGGGGTTGTTCCATTATCTGAAGGAGATCAAGTCCTTTTTTTTTTTTTTTTTTGCCTTTAAAAGAGGGAAAAAAGAGCTTGTGTATCATCATCTACAGAATAGAAGTGGACATTCCAAATTGGTTCTGATGCGGCAAGCTCCAGAAATAAGTATATAAATAGTAAAAATTCTACAACAGCAAGGCAAGATGACCGAGTGGTTAAGGTGCGCGACTCAAGCAACCGCTTGCTCTGGACAACCAGTGTGCCTTCGCGTGTCGAAAGACGCGGGGGTTCGAATCCCCCTCTTGTCATATCATTTTTTTTTAAGATTTTTATTAAAACATAATTAATAATGGCTGGTGTGTGTGTTGGTGGTATGTGTAAGGAAGGATCTGACCGAATGGCTACGTCGATAGATGGATAGTACGACAAGAGTCAAACCATCTATCTGGTTTGATTCAAATCAATTTGTTACCTATGTCCAATCTATTTGTTATCTATGCATATTCTTTTTTGTAGATCCCCAAATCTGCTAATGCAGCTCATATATAGGTATAGTACTTCTCCAAAAAAGACCCGGTGCTCGCCTTCCCCCGGAATCTGATACTGGCTCATATATTTAGAAAAGTGCAAGTAAAGTATGAAACATCTCACTAAGACAGCTGTCCTTAGTCCTGGTCCCGGAGGTTTCATGTTAATAACACCACTGGTTTAATTATCGCAACACGCAGATAGGATTCCATTGACGCGACTAGGGAAGGCCGTATGATGACCGCACGCAACTTACTATTTAGGATACCAGGGGTTCGACACTCTAAGCCATCATATCCATGTGTATCATCTAACCCGAACAGGTCTATCGCAACTCAACCCGAGATCAACCTCTCTCCTGCCACCAGGGCAGCGTGTGCAAATGTCGCACTGCGCGACGACTCGCGCATAGTGCTGGATCAACACTATCAAGTCCCGGCTCTCCCTGAAAAGCGAGCGACACCATTCCAAAGTAAGAATGTAACAGATCTGCGGGTTGTTAGTTGGATGTCAGAAACATGACCCAAAACAGGACGGTTTCAAGCCCTACCCGGTGGCTCGCCGACGCCTTTCCCAAATCCACCAACGATATGTTGGGTCTTCTCAAGAAGATATCGCCGATTGCGAGCCACGTCTACCAAAGACAATCTATCCATCATCTGAACCCTTCGTGTCAGCTCATTCCGTACGTGATAGTACGCGCACTGGAAATTATCTTACAGCGAGCGTTGCACCGTTCCAAAACGAATAACACGTATCAGCGTACTTGTTACACCGGCCATTAAAACCTGCCCATTCCAATGACGCTTGGAGTGGCACTGAAGTGCTAGGGAGTTGATTGATCTTCTCATCTAGACCGAGATTTTTCATTGTCCCGATTAAATCGCGCTTCTCATCAAGTTCACAGTCATGGTCACTGCCATCCTCCTTGTTGTCATTATTGTCGGCATTTTCCTCGTCGCCAAGTTCAGGTGTCTGTCGCGAAACAAGCCATCTGACCAACGACTCGAATGCTTCTGTTCCCGGTGCAAGAAGCGCTACTGACCCGTCGCCTCTCGACAGACGATCAAGGAAGGTTAGGGCACCAATGCCGCAGTATGTATGCCCAGCTATGATTCTCTAATGTGAGAAACGGCCATCGGGGAGCAAGGGGATGGAATACAACGTACAATGCGATTCGCATAACGGAGCTTCAGATATGCCCCCATCGTAGGTCTTTAAATTGTGCCTTAGTAGCTGGTCCAGGAAGAAGGAACATGGAATACCCAGAGGAATGAAAGATGCTTTGTCTTACCTGACAAGTTTCGATAAATTCCACCAATTTATCAACATTTATATCTTCGACTTCCCCAGGCACGTCGTCGCCGTTACCCCTAAGGATATACCGCGTGCCAGCAGCGAAACAACAGAATCGTAGATCACCCCCGCCCTCAATTTTTCCACTGGGGCCAAGGACCTCACCAAAGCTTCCATTTTCGCGTTGCATCTTCGGAAGCCATTGTAGGCACTCGGTTCGCTTCACTCGAAATAAATCATCGCCCAGGATCACCAAGGTCAACAGCGCAAAGAACGTCGATGGTACATTTGCCGGGTCCCAGGATTCATTGGCCAGGTTCCGTCTCTCAAGCCCGAAATCGGCTCCTGGGAATCCACGAAACCCCCCCGAGGGGACCTGGCAGTGGTAAATCCATTGAATGTATCCCTCCCGTTCTTCCGTGGTCGTTTTGTTCTGCAGCTCCCCTAAAAGGTCTAGCCCAGCGATGGTAAAGAAGGCGAGGAGGATGCGATTCGAATCGTTGGAGGTATAAAAGTGTGGTAAGAAAGTCTTGAGGCAACGTAGGAAGTATCGGACATGACGGTCTTTATTGAAAGCAGCTTCCATAGCGTCAGTGTTTGCAGACTCCAGTAAGTCTTGGGTCATGTAAGTTGCTTGTAAGAGATCAAAGGCTTATTATAATGATCTGACTCCCTACAATTTCCTGTGGCCGTCGACAATCACCACTTTTTCTGCATCTTTTTCTCTTCATGAAGTGGGCGGGTTTCGAGAGGCTACGTGAGCAACAACGGTCGCAACCCCACATGTTTTTCCATGTAGGAAAGGGGAAAATAGCTCAGAGTACCAAGGAGAGACGTCAGAGATAGCTAAGGAACGCTAATTTCCCGCCAATGCCGGCCATAGCATAGTTCAGCATTGTTACCATCAATTCATATCCTCCCCTCTATAATAAACATGAGACTTTTGTCATCAAAAACTCTGATCCGGGCACATGCCTTGTTTCTCTTCGTTCTCGCCGTGTACCTGATGAGGTCGCCGGAAGTTGTCACTGATTCTGATGTAGTGTTCATGTTGGGAGAAGTTTTGCAGATAGTACACTTATCCTGTTCCAATAAATCTCCAGTACTTATCCACTGACAATCCGGTCACCTCTACAGGATGCAGCTCCGTCGCTCTCACGCTCCCAGTCCCCCTTTGCTCTGTGCGGAATTCTCCTCATCGCCAATGCCTTGGTTGACTTTATCCTCGTCACCAAACTTCCCCGGATGAATGAAATCATTGCCATGGCGGAGGCTTCTAGGTCCCAGTCTCCTGTTTCCGTCGCCGGGCCTTTGCGAATGAACCCATTTATGGCACGTCTAGCCTCTCTCTACTCCGAGATTTGGACCCTGCTTTCCGCCTCGCGCTTTTGCCTCTTCTTCGCCGTATCGTTTTTCATCTACCAGAGTAAGCCGTCGGCTTGGGGAGTGGACGTTACGAGGCCACCAGTACCTGCGTATGGGGCAGCGCAAGAAGCTCCTTCCGGCCTCGACCAATTGAAGGACCGGGTGATTTTCACATATGGATTCATGGAGATGATGTTTTGGCTTTGGGTAAGATTTTGCCATCCGTTTGCAATGTATTATTATGATTTTACTGAATACTGGTAGATTTTTCTCACGGTTCGTGAGGAGCGGCAAGAGATCACTTCCCTTTTTGCGGAACAGGAGCAATAAAGAGGTAGCAATCTCTGATCCTTGTGCATTTGAGGGATGGAGTCTAAAAGATACATACTGACGAATGATTTAGAACCATAGAATTATTCCCGATAGAATATTTATTTTTTTTTTTTTTTTTTTTTTTTTTTTTTTGGCTCGGTTGAGGCCCTAGATTTACGCCCACTTGGTTGAGTATCAAACTGGCCAATGCACAGCCCCAGCAACCGTTAAAATTAAAGACAATCACTTTCCCACAACTTAAACAGCGAACCTGGTTGTAGATGCTCCGCTACTTATATTTTCCATAGCAAAAAGGCTGTTTATGCTGACATCACCTCTACGTGAGATTTCCCGCAGCTTGATTTGCTCATGCAAGGAGTGCAAAAAGGGCTGCACTGACAGCGGCAATGAGACTGGTATCTTTGCCATGGACGACTGCAGCACTACCCGTGCTAGCGGTGGGCGACTCTGAAGGAGAAGTTGAGCTTCCGGTGCTACTATCAGCCTTGGAGGAGGCTCCTGAAGTAGCTTTGGAGGTATCCGAAGCACTGGTGGTAGATGCATCATTAGTCTTGGCTGACGCGGTGGATGATGATGCAGAACCCGTGGAGGTCTCGGTAGCGCTGGCGGATTTTTCAGTAGCAGTGGAATCTCCGCTTGTGCAGCTAGCGCTGTCGGGAAGGTCCTTCACGCCGACTCCAGTGCAGATCTGCTTCGCAAACTTGAGAGCAGCTAGTAATAATTATGTGTTAGCACCATGCTTTAGAACTGGATGTTTATTCTAGGGTGAATGGTGTGCTGTATGTACCTTGCTGATCATCATCCGAGCACTTACTGGACACACAGCAAGAGATACCCGAGATGAAGGACTTGTCTGAGCAAATACAACCGGCATTAATTCCACAGTGTTTGGGAATCGAACCAGTAGCACAATCTTTCTGTTGTTGATTCATTAGCCCAACCATGCTTGCAAGGTGTCACGGATAATTCAAGAAACACCACGGTTGTCTGTATGTATAGGGGGATACACACCGCGCAATCTGGCAGACCATCCATGCCCTGAGCAACTACGGTGCCGAGGAAGGCGGCAAGCGCGAAAGAAACGTGCACGAGCTTCATGGTGATCAGTTCTCAGTTCTCTCAGTTCTCAGTTCTCAGTCTCAACGTCGATGTATGTGAGGGGAAAGAGGAGGTAGGATGAATCAAGGAGTGAGAGGAGCTATTAAAGAAAGAGCCCGCGAGACTGTTCAAGGGAACGCACCAGGTACAGGAAACAGGGTAGCAGGAGCGCCCCGCTCAACGTGACACAGGAAGGGAAGCAAGGTATGCACATTACGGTCCAATAATTGTAGGCTAGCGGTGACACTACTCTGTTAATACTATCAGCGCTATTACTTAGTTCCTAAGGTGCTCTGTGTATATTTAATATTCGTGGAGATGGGCTACCTACAGCCTACAGTAGAGCCGACATGTTTTGAATTGTATACTCAGTTGCGCAAAACGTGGAGAAATTATCCTTGCAATGTCTGTGCTAGTTTTACATAAAAGGATGGCTGTACAGCGCCTATTTCCATGTTCTGAAGGATGAGGCCAGCTCCACTGGGATCCAAGTTCTCCCCCGGATCTTTTGTGGGTGCATTTTCATTTCCCCCCACAGGTTGTTTCGCCAGTGGGTCGGTCAATACTATGCTGCAGGCGACAATCCCTCTTGCGGAAACCCTCCGTCGTCCTGTCTTTCCTCCTCACTTTTGGGACTTAAAGCGATGAGCATTTACATTGCTGAGTCGAGGCGACCAGATGCTCAGCAATGTTTGACATCCATGGATCATACATATGTATCCATTTCTTGTGCCCAACGTATGTCTACGGTGTCCATGGGCAGACCTCTGAGAGACCTACGCCGAGGGCGGTCTGCTGTGTGCCTTATACTCCGTAGGACCTAACAGGCTCTCATACTACTAGTACCACGCCACAAAAAGATAGCACGACCATTGATTTGATTAATGTCTTATTGGCGGGTCTCATTTGTCGATCTTTCAGTTGTACTCATCAGTGGGGTGGTTATGTATCCCTTGATTTCTTTGCTTATACTACGGAGTACTCCGTGCACATAATATAGGTGTGAAGTACTATTCACATCCACTCGGCATGTTACAGAGGGATTTAGCCAAGGGGTAAATGTTTAGAATATTGTCTGTTGTATTCAAGGGGATTAATAAATCAATCGGATTGTAAGCACTGGCTCGGAGCTGCTGTAGATCAATACCAGGAAGTATCCTTTCTCGTTTTGGAGTGGGTGTCGATCACAAGGTCTGCATTTCCGCAGCCCGCCTAATATACGCAATCTCTGCCTATGGACTCTACCGAGCTAAGTAGGGATAGGCTTGGCCCTTTGTTCTTTTTCATTTCTCTTTTTGCTGTTATGTAGATATCATCCCTTCGGAACCCAGTCGGACGTTCTGTTTTGATTTGACCCAACTTTACAATGATGGAGCAACGTCTGAGAGATCCGTCATTCCAATAAAGCAGAACCTCCCTCTCATCTTACCTCTCTGGCTTTGGTGGAGTGATTCTACCATCACTAGACTAGATATCAGGCACTCCCCCCACTCCTACCACGTTTCCCTTCCTTTCTCTACGACTTGAGCCTCCTCGCCATTTAGGGCCTTTGCGGGCATATTTCAGATTACGTGCGTCTCGGGCTTGTCCAGCGCACAGTCAACATGGGCCTTGGTGTTTTGGACGACACCGTACTTCCCCATGTGCCAGGTACGTTCTCTTGACCTTTGAGTGACAAGGGCTATCTGCCGTACTGTATTGGGAGAGTTCTTACAAGGCGATCGAACAGGGACGTCCGATATCCTTCAAAATGAATGCTCAAATGAACAAGATACCAGTAACATCAACCTCAAATACGACCGTTCGGGGACGACTCCCATTCTCCTCGTCCCTCAGCCAAGCGATGCCCCCAATGATCCATTGGTAAGTCGGAGAGAACTGCGTGAGAAATATACATCATTAGTTACTCCCAGCTGATATTGGAGCCCAATCTAGAATTGGCCGTTATGGAAGCGCGATGTTATTTTGCTTGTTCTCTCTTTCGTGTCGGTACTTTGTGCGACAACTAGTTCCCTCATGGCTGCCAACACTGTAACAGTTGCACTCCACTATGGCAAGAGTTTTACTTCCGTTGCACTTCTCACAGGGTATCACCTCTGCGGAGTGGGTGTGGCTGGGATCCTAATCGTTCCCACAGCTCGCGTATGGGGCAAGCGCCATTTGTTTCTCTTGGGGAATATTTTGATGGTGGTCAGCTGTGCCTGGGCAGGCGGGAGCTCGAATAGCTACCAAAGCCTGCTGTGGTCTCGCATTTTCCAGGGAGTTGCTTTGGCACCTTTCGAAGCCTTAGTCAATGCGTGCGTTGGTGATCTGTTTTATGTTCACGTAAGTTCAAGCCTTCATCTCTTGTTCGGCGTAGTATACTAATGTTGGGACGCAAAAGGAGCGTGGGAAGAGAATGGCCCTGTCTAATGTTGCCCTCTTTGGGGCTGCCTTTCTAACGCCAGTGCTGGCCGGTAAAATAACACATTCGCTTGGGTGGCAGTGGACATTCTACCTTGTGGCTATTTTCACAGCGGCAGTGTTTCCCCTCACTCTTTTACTGGTTCCTGAGACGGCTTTCAGGCGTCCAGACTACTTAAACACCGATTTCGAGCAATCCAGTGACCTGCAGTCCGAGATCAGCATCAACCCACCAGTACAGCCGAACGATTACATAGATTCCAGAGAAAGCCAGACTGCAGGTGAACAGAAACAACGGCCACACATTAGCAATCCAGAGTCATACAGCGAATCTGGAAAAGAAGAACCTCAGGGAGCAAAGACTCCTCCAAAGGCTTCGTATCTCCAATTCCTGAAGCCCTTTAATGGAAGGAAGACGGACGAGGACTTTGTCAAGCTTCTCTTGCGGCCGTTTCCCCTTTTCTTCCATCCCGCTATTCTTTGGGTAAGCCTCAACTGAAGGCAGCAACCACTGATACTGACTGCGGCAGGCTTGCTTAATCCAAGGCGCAATAATCGGTTGGACTGTTTTTATCGGCGTTGTATTGGCGGCGATTTTCCTGGGTCCTCCGCTATGGTTCAACGAAGTTCAAACCGGGTACCTGTACACAGGGGCTTTCATCGGGTCCATTCTGGGCTTGATATTGTCGGGACTACTTTCCGACTCCATGAATCGGATCATGATCAAGCTAAACAAAGGAAGATATGAGCCTGAGTTCCGTATCCTCCTTGTTATCTTCCAATTGATCTTCAGTGGTGCGGGGCTATACGGTTTCGGCATTGTGGCAGAGGATGTAGGAAGATACGGTTGGCTGGTGGTGGATGTGTTTTTCGCCTTTGTTGTAATTGGGATGGTCATGGGCGCCGTGGCTAGCGCACTATACATCGTTGATGCCCACCGTGGGTGAAACTGTCGTCGATTTTCCTATTAGATTATTGATACTGATGAGCTATTATCTCAGGACAAATCGCCATCGAGTCGTTTACGTGCATGCTGATCTTCAAGAACATGTTCAGCTTTATTTTGACATTTTTAGCGTATGACTGGCTTGTGTCCGATGGAATCAGACCGGCGTTTCTGGCTATATCGAGCATTCAGATGGGCATCTGCTTCTTGAGCATTCCTATGTGTACGACCCCTTCCTGATGGAAAACTGCAGCAACATTCAAACCAGCTGACATGGCTTGTTTTCCTAGACATCTTTGGCAAAAAGAACCGCTCTTTCTTCGCACGGCATGATGTCTTGAAGGCTCTGCATCTCCGATAAGCGATGGATGATTGGATTTACTCTGTTAGATGGGTTGCCATAATGAAACTGGCTATATAATACTTGCAATCGATTCATTTGTGATACGGATGTGCTGAACCCCAGTATTATTGCAATGAAGCTGTCCTTTCGAGCGAAAAAAAATTAAAAAAAGAAAAGAAAAACAGAAAATGTCAGTATCCGAGTAGCTAATTACCACCCAATATGACACTTCATGGTCTAGGCCCTAAGATAAGTCCATTCTCTACTCAGCTACGATCCGACAATCCACCCTTAATAGAAGAGTTCACTCCTGAATAATCTCTAGAAGAACTAGAAACAACCAGTCAAGTTGAGTAAGCGGGTGAGAATACGGCAACGATCCATAAAAAAAAAAAAAATGGTAAAAAAAAAAGGTGCAGTCGTCGAAAACGGAAAGATGAGGAATGCTACTCGACAATTCATCACCACCTCAATTCTCTCTCCCCTCGATGACCGTGACATCCACGTCTCCTCATTCTTAGCCCCCTAACCTACTCCTGAGTCTCCTTCTACTTGAGCCATATCGTGACATCAGCGACTTTGCAATCCCTTTTCGCTTTCCTCCACTCTCTCAGCGCGACAATTGCCAAGCTCCTAGAGAACCTTGGTTGGGTCTCTGCAACCAACTACGTCACCAACGACACGAGATCTCCTTTGTTCCCAAACTTCCCGGGCATCCATTCCAGAGTTGAAACCCCCCTCCCGCTATTTCTGGCCTTCCTCCTACTTAATTTCCCCCCCCCTCTTTTCCTGGTTCTCTCCTCGTCTCTGTCTCTCGACAGGCATGCCTATCTCTCTTGCTGCTATCCCTTGTTTCCTGCAACCGGCTGCCGACGTTATCTTATCATGGCAACCATCGAGCAGCCCCCAGCTCAGCGTGCTGCGATCTTGCGCTCCCGGTCAGCCCGGTTAGCAGATCAAGGTAAGACTGATTCTTCTGCGGGAGGGCTTTTGGCTGATTCGTGTGTCAAACAGCCGCGACAGCTGCCCTATATGTGACACATCCAGAAAGATTCTCAGTTCGCGAACCAAGAGCAAGAGACGTAGATCTATCTGGTAAGCACAGCCGTCTTTTGGCCCTTCTGCATGCCACGCAAATACTGCGTCAATAGAGTATTGACAGTTACTAGCCCTGAAAGAGACAGGCTCACGTCCCGGCTTCAGTCATGCTTCTGCGGTAGCCGCCCTGGCGCATGCAAAGAGCAAACAGCTTGAGATAGAACAAACATCCGCTGCAGCGCCTTCTGTTCCAGTATATCCCGCGGAGACACCAAGCCAAGAGGGGTACCAAGCTGCGATCTGCGCCCTGAGAGGCAGCAGATCAGTCGCGCTTTCCTCTCCCACGCCTTTGGATCTAAAGCGTGAGAATTCAACCCCCGGCAGGTTGACAGACGCACGACGAGAAATTACTGTGAGGGAAAAGGCCATTCGTGCGGCCACGGGAGCTTTCTACAATAGTAGAAGGAGGTCAGATTCTGCTCCTATCGAGACGTCCTACAGCGCTTCTGGTGCCAGAGATGGTTTCCTTGACCTCGACAACGCACTGGAGGCTAGCAGAATACAACACGTTGCAAACGCCAATGCCCGCCTCTTTACTGCATCTCCGCCTGTAGCCCGTGACGTGGAGGAGCAGAAAAGGAAGAGTGTTTTGCAGGCAGCTGCAGTTTCCATGGCGCGGGAAATGTATGGCATTATAGAAAGTACGGACGAGGGTCAGGTGTCTGCCGCCATCCCTGCCGCCCAAAAAGGCCATGCACGCGCACAGTTGCAGCAAACAACCAATCAAGCAGGCATCGGGTTATTGCAGAGGGCAATGAGCTTGCAAGAGACCGCTCAAAAGCGTGCTGCTGAAAAACTGGCCAGCATGCAGGATGAGACTGTCATCTACCGAGAGTACTATGGGGTTGAGCCGCAGAATACGCGTCCCAGTTTACCTCTTCGCAAGAGGAGGGCCTCGATTGACTCTGACACGTCCACGTTCGATGCAGAGCGGTCAAATGAGATTCGACACCAGATGACTAGTCTACGGTGGAGACTCGATAAGGTAGATGATCAGCGACAAAAAGATCGTGCACGGTTAATGGAAGCCGCAAGGAAGAATGTCGACGCAGTCATCCAGGACATGGAGATGCGTGCTTATGCGGAGACTGGTCGTCCTCCCCCGTCGATCCGGAAGGAACAGGAGGAGGCAGCCCTAGCCCGTGCACAGCATGATATGCAAGATATCGACTCGCGACTTGCTTATAAGGAGAGAGTCAATCTTGGGGCTCAAACGTACGTTGAAATGTCCGACGTGGAGGCGCTGGCCCGTTCACGACTCCAGCCAACGTTTGACGAAATCAATGAACGTGCAGAGGCACAGAGAGCCAAGGATGTGGAGCAACGATTGGATGAAGAAGAGAAATTACGCCATGACGCCGTAGAGCGCGAACGAGAGGCTGACACGAGGGCTGAAGAGAAACGGCAGAGAGGTAAGTGGCTCTGTATCCTGCGTCTACCTTTTACAATCCCGTGATCCCTAATTCGATCACAGAGGCCGTGAAGCATGAGATGAAAGTGAAAGAAGAAAGGTCCTGGCCCTGGAAACGGAAGTCAAAGCGAAGTCAAGGCAATGATCAACCCAGCGTTAAACATGAGACCGCAGCAGACCAAACCTGGCTCACGGCTGGGACAGCCGCCGAGGTCACACAGCAGGAGACTGTCCAGACAGACACTGTGATGGGCGATAATGAGGCCTTTGCTTCAGGCGCGGCCGCAGAATCAACCCGTAACGAGTCCACCTCGAGGTCGGAATCCAAGCTCAAAACGTGGATCAGTAAGCTGGGAAGCCGTCGGACCAGTGCCGCAGCGGCAGCAGAAGCGCCAGTAAAGGCTCCAGTAGAGGCATCTGCAGAGGCATTCGCGGCATTCACAGAGACCGCAGAGGCACCCGCAGAAATATCAGGAGAGGTAGAACGAGTTCCGAGTGAGGCCGAAGAGGTGAGGCCGACCTCGAAAGATGATGCACGGGCTGCCCCCCTCAGATCCCATCCAGTGACGGCTAATGATCTAACCGGGACGCAAGGCGAGACGGTCGATCAAACCCAGCCCGAGGAGCGGCGAACTGGCGACGCACGGGAAGTCGAGCAGGGCTCGGAGGCCATTGGCGACAAACGGTCTCGGCTGAAGTCGAGGTTCTCCAAGATTATGTCCATGGGCTCGCAGGAGTCCAAGACTAGCGGGGTTATACCGCATGACAATGAGAGTCAAAGGGTCGAACACACTGCCGCTGACGAGTTGCACCACGTTCAAAGTCTTGAAAGAGATGAGTTGCGCGAGAGTGCCGCGGAACAAGGGCTGCCAGCGCCTCCTGCCATTGGGAAACGACTGAGTAATGGCACGGGCCGTGAATCGCGATTCTCGGAAGACTTGTGATTTCCTGTATCCTTCTATTTCTGTTATCTCTATGGCGACTGAGTTTGGGTTATGTTTGTATTTTGTGGAAGGGAACCTGTACTTTGTGCAAAATGTTTAGTATCTCGAAGACTGACTGGGTCAAGGGGTTAGCCCTGAATGTATGAATCTATTTTCCCGTATATATATATATCTTACCCATGGCTATATGGATATCCATTCATTCGGGCATTCGACTCAATCCCAAGTTTCCCCGGAGGTCGAATTTAATTATTATATGACTTATGATCCGTGCGGATCAGCAGACCTACCGACAGAGTAGAAGATCCTCATACTTTCTTCATGGTGCCTCCTCACGACCCCGTCAGTTCGATCTCGACACCCCCGATCGCCCGTTTGACAATACATCAACTTTCGCGATGTCCGTCGCTCTATCAAATGACGGTCGGGATGACCGTATGTTATCCGCAACCCACGACGGGTAGTGGCTCCCCCGTACACGAACACTGAACATCAAATGGCAGTTCCTTCTCTATGTGGAAACTGAAATAGCGGAGGTTTTGTATTATTTTCCTTCTTGCTTCCTTCCTTTCTTTCACCCGCCTCTGTTCTTATCAGTGCCTATCAGGTAGCACCTTCCTAAAATGGATACAAATATATAATTTCAAGAACCAGGCGTCTCTTAACTTCGAATGTCATTTATTGTATGAGGCTGATGGTTCAAAATACTCTGATATCAGCAGGTCTTTCAACCTTTTGTGTGGCATCACATGAAGTCATCCAGAAAGTTTGGATCTCTATCGTGATTGCTGCTTCGTTGGACATTTTCTTCACTCATCAAATCATCGTAGGCGTGATCTTTCTGCCACTTGAGTTGTTCTCTTTCTCTTTTTTCCTGCTTTTCCTTAGCCCGATGTTCATCTCTTGTTTTCCTCTCCTCCCTCCGCTTCGCTTTCAAAAACTCCTCTTTTTCCACCATAAGGTCTGGGAATTTCTCCACCCGCGTCTTATTGAGCCTATTGACAATGGCATTCTCACGTTCTCGAATGTGTACTTTTCGGACCAGTTTGGGATTGTGGAATGAGACCTGACCAGTTGCCATAGACCCATGTTTCATTAGATTGGACCAAGGTGTGTAGATTATCGTAACGTTGTCCTTTTTGTTTCCTGTTCCACCAGTAAGCGTTTCCTTCGTTCCCAAACTCGGTTGACAAATACGCTAGCTGACCTTCGATTGAATTCGCCTTAGTAAGTTGCGCACAGTCGTCTAGGAGCGACTGCGGGATGTTGTCCCACGTTTCGCCATCACGGAGGCGGAGGTAAACGTGCGCGCTAGAAAGATTATCAACATGGAACTGGTCATCGCATTAGACTGCTTCAATGGGAAATATTTGCTGCATGAACGAACCCTGCACGGTAATCCAGAGATCAACCATTAGCGCTTGCGTCAGTGGTAGACTATCACATGGTCACAGTACCAGACATCCTTCTCTAGCCCATATTTTATAAGATCCTCATCTTGTAGAAAAGCGATTGTCAGCCTTGGCCGCCTCAAATGTTCGGTGATACTGGCCGTCGTACTCTCGAATTTGTCCTTCCCCACATAGATGAAAGCAGAAGGTTCAACCACGTTCGACGTAAAATAGTATACCATGTTGTGACACACTCCAGACGATCTCAGTCAAAGGGTTTTCCGCGTTGTTTCGTCAAGGTCAGTAATTAAAACGGGAATATTGAATTGCAAATTAGATAAGACAAGTGGGGAGAAATAGATTTCTTTACAAGTGGTGGGGTACTCTTGCATAACTAACTTGTACGGACATAAATTAGTCATCATTCCAATTCAATCCACCTACAGAAAATTGTGCTCGTCCTGGAATGCGGATTAATCATTGCCCTTTAGGTGATAATTATTGAAATTGAATGGCAGACGCTGTGCTGAGATAGTATTACCAGTCATCAAATATCAATAACGACATGATAACCTAGATCCAGTATTAGGAAGGAACATTCAATAGGTAGTTATGTTGAAGGCCTAGTTTAACTATTTATTGTAATTCATACGAATATGTTGATTTTCTTGCTAGAATATATTAGGCCATTAAATAATAGTTCAAGGCCATTTAACTAACTACTGTTTGAGCCTACCAATTATAAGCCCAGGTCAATTAATACTATCAGGCTGTCAGCTTGTTGGGGGTTTATTGGGTTTTTGGAGGGGTTTCACATGATCACAATGGTACTCTTAAATTGTTCTAAACTGGAATATATTTTCTGAAAAGAGAAAAGGAAACAAAGAAAGGAAAGGAATAAGGAAAACAATAGCAATCTTGGAGATGAAGAGCTTGCTGAAATAGTCCATTCGATAAGTCTTTTCTCCCACCCTTTTTATAAATTTTTTTCTCAAATATCTATAAAAAACAGAAAGTTAATGTACCATATATAAGTATTTATGCTCAGGCACCAAGACAGGTCAAAAAAAAAAAAAAAAAAAAAAGAGGTGTTGTTTATAGTAGGTATAGAGACCTACTGCCAAAAAGTAGTCAAACTTTTACTCATTCGTGCCTATAGGTGAAGATACTAACTACCTAAGTACATAGATACCCTTCCTTACTCTAACAATGTACATACACTGTACCTATGTACTGCATCAGGTAGTATCCATGTATGGTATGGTTCGTGGTAGTTAGTAGTCTGTATTTATTATTAACATCAGCAGTGTTATTTTTTATTCCTTAATTTTTCTAACCTCGGCTTGTTATTTTAATATATTCTGCGATGGCATGATCAAGGTAAGTAACACTGAATTCCATTAGATTTACTTCCTATCCCCGGTCTATGGGGTCTGCGAGTCATTTAATCTCCCTAGCCCTCAGGCCGATCAAATCAATTTAACGCAAACCTGTCCAGTCCCCACTTAACTCCTGCACTGGACCATTCGTTTATGGGTAAGTTGTACGCGCTACTGTAAGACCTCATTGGAAGCAACCTCTATATAGGCCATGGTAGTGTCAACTACGTGGCCAATTTGACCTCCCATTACAAAATTGCTTATTTTTATATACAAGAAACCCGCTTATGATCTATATCATCTCATTATATTCAATTAATTTGGTTCCGTGACAAACTACAGAGCACTCCTTATACACTACTACAATAGAGTATCCAAACTAATCCAACACCTTACACAAAAATATGTTTCATATATGAAATTTCTATTTAAAACCCAAGAATATGTAATACAATTATACAAAGACGATAAAATATACACTTCTTTTTTAAGAAGAGGGTTGAGAATAGTCAAAATCTGTCTTACGCAGCCTCAGTATAAGTAATTTCAGAGGCGTTCCAAATTAATTTCTTATAACTAGATTTTGCCATTGAAGTTTAAAACAGCAGGAAATTAAGAAGCTAGACTTCTTCTTGAGATAGCCCTATAGCTGTTCACTTGCAACTATTTGGAATCCATTAACGACGGGAATATTAAAGTACTTTTTAACTTTTAACAATCTAATTTTTTTTTTACTTTCTTTCTTTCTTTCTTTTTTGTTTTCGCTCATGCCCATGCGCTAACTACAGAGTACATATGTACAGCACGGGTGAAATTTTACCTCGTATTTCAATAGAAATCTAGATGCCCACTGGGTACTACCTATTAAGATTGAGATGCCTTCTACGGGCACCTCGGTATGTATGTCAAGTAGTAATTAATTGGCATGTATGCTCCGTATGTAAGGTAGGTATAGTTAGAGGCGAATACCCATATATTTAAACATGTAGGTGTACCTAGCAGCAGCAATGGACACAACTTGTTCCAAGGTTACTGGTTTTATTAAAGCACCTCGTCAGATCACCTGAGACCTATTACCTAAATGCAGAGTGGAATGGGACCAGCAGTGTACCCACGACCTTCCATGAGGATGGATATCTGGAGCAGCTGCTTGTTTCGGTGTCAGGTAGTGCCAACCCTACCGTGGAGCCAAAATCGGATCCTTTCCTAACATGATGAAAACCGTTACGCCAAGGGTTAAGTGCTAGATGCTGCTACAGCGGGTGAGCCCGTACAAAACCCCACCCGCCACATGGCCATTTCCAACGGGAACAGGTCCCTCATGGAAGGATTGGAAGAATGCTACGTATACTCTTCTTAGGGAAGGGGAGGGCGTTTCCCATTTGCCCTGCCTCAGAGCGTATGGTAGGTAGGTATGTATGATCCTAACGGGGAACCACTTTTCTTTGCATCTATCGGTCAAAAGAACAACAAATAAATGAAAACAGTATAGCGCAGTCCACAAATAATACCACGCAATGGCCTGTCCACAAATTACTGGGGCCAAACCAACCCAAAATACTACAAATAGTTAATGACAGCAAGCAAAAAGTAGATACTAGAGAATTCGGTCAAAAAGCTAGCCCAGGGAAGGGGGATGGAGGGGGAAAGAAAGAAGAGGCAGTCAGAAAGTAGAGCAGAAGAATTAAAATCAGTTCAAAACCAGATTTAACCCACCCCCTCCACATCTTCCCACACACACAATTACTCCCACACACGCACATTCCTTACCCCCCATGTTTCCTGATTGTAAAAGTAGCTGTACACATTTGTCCTTCGTAGCAGACTCGATCCACGATAGCCCACCCCCTGCTCCACCCAGGTTGCGTTAATTTGAAAAAGGTTCGGGGGGGGGGCCTTTGTCAAAGAGCAAATTTCACCAGGGATTTTGATGGAATATTTCCTTCCTCCCACCCCCTGCGATCAGAAATTGGGCTATTTCTCCGTAGACCATCCTCTTCAATTCCTACGGTTCTCTTTCGCGAAGTTCCTCCAATTTGAAGCCTACGACAGTCAGCATTACCTCACCACCTCAGGGAACAAATCATCCCTAGCCCACATGGCCAATTCGACATCATTGGCAAACCAAGCTTGCGTTCGACAAGCGCTAGAACACGCCCGGAACTCCGAAGATGGCCCTGATAGTCGAACAAGTGCAATCCTCGAGGCCGCCATCACAGACCTATGGCGCCGGATAGAAAGTCAGCCTGACACCTACGTACTGAACCGTGACGAATTTGCATTGTTTAATTATTTTCTGTATCGATACACTGGTTCGACTGTCGCTCAGAGTGCGGTGCAGCGGTTTTGGAACAATTATCGACCCGGCTCGAGTGCCGACGGAAGCAAGTCATAGTCAAGAAACTTGGCCGCAACATTGCGTCTTCCGTCGTCCACCGCATACATACATGCTCGTCATGCCCCGCGTGACAATCAGTCTGTCCTGGAATCTGGAATACCGGAATAAAAACTTCTCCTATTTTCTCCATTTTAACCTTTTCTTTTTTCTCTCTTTCTTTTTTACCTTGTCTGGCAGCCTTCTTCCTTCCACTATTATTTTTATTATTTTATTTCATTTCCTCTCCGCCCATTTTTACGGGCAATTCTCATGCATTCATGGTCTTGGCAAGCCGGAAGAATTATTTCTGACATGGAGATCAGAATCGAGAGAAGGGGGGAGAGACAAGAGAGACACACTCCACAGGACTATTTGTCTTTAACGGTGCCTGAATTCATTACTTATCAGCTGTCCTGAGAGTTTAGCCAAACAGGTCAATTCTCAAGGCTGAATTGGTACGTGTCCGGTAACCAGGCAGATTATTTCCGTGGGGCAAGATCAAAAACAGTCATGGCTGCATGGTATCAGATTTTGATGTTGATTTTTTTTTTTTTTTTGCCCTCCTTATTATCTCGCTTTACTATGTATAGCTGGACTACATAGTTTGCATCTATTTTTCTCGGGGCATTGTCTGTGTGATTATCTTTTCATATCTTCCTTTCTTCTTATGTCCTTAATAGATCATCATTAGGAGAATGTGCTCTGGTTTTGTTTTTTCTGAAATCATTTGCAATTTCTTTATATTTGTTTCCTCCTTTTCCTATGCTAATTTCCTTCATCATAATAGACTAAACCTGGCGTCTGCATTTTCTCTTGTACTGTGAATCTGATTTTTGGACTGCCTGTTGTCCAATGCGTCATCCTAACCTATCCACTGTTCAACGTTGTCGAGAATCCAGTAAACGCAAGAGGATCTATTGCATGTGGCCTCTTAATATTATGAGACACATTATCTCTCATCAAAATCAAGTCTGTGGATTTGTTTGGTGCCGTAGAAACAACTTAAAATGGGTTCGTCCCGATCAACATCCATTATGATATGGATAAACATCTACCAAGTCCCTAGTCAGTCCAAACCCCTCCTATATGAAATATGATGGCTACGGGATGGATCTGATATTTTCGGTCAAGGATACACATGACCTATAGGTATCATATAGATTTTGAACTCTGTATTTACAGGGACTAGGGAATTAAATATGGTGAGCCAACTACCAACACATTCTGTTCTATCACTATTACTCGCCATTATGTCACCACGATCCATGGGTCTAGATCCTGCTATTCGACTCTCTGGTTACCTGTACTGGATAGCACCATTCAAGGAGGCATGGTGGATGGACGACGCTACCTACTACAAGGGAAATCTTGCCAACGTCTTCCACACGGCACACTTCCGCGGATGCCCTCGCTGACCTGCTGGTGGGATTCTGACTAAATCAACTTAGATACCATTATCGTATTTGGAGGGGAGGGCGAGGTGCGGCTACGTGCAGGTGCCATGTATCTCATGGCTTTCTAGGCTGTTCTGGCGATAGGTACTGTTGCCATTGGATAGAACATAAAAGCATAAGGATAATCTAGTAAATTAATTGAGTTTCTTAACGCCTACTACTGGCAGGTGGCGTTTCCTACCGTTTACCCGCATTTTGTAATCAAAAGGTGCCTATACTTAGATAGTATGTACAACCAGAAGCATAGGTAGAGCCATATGTATAGTCTAAAGATAGCGAATGCCCCTTTCTCTTAGGTTTCAGTTATTTTTGTACGATATAGCTTGCTGCAAGGCTATATATAGCTTGTCTACTTTTATAATATTGGTGTAGAGGTCTCTTAGAATTTTCCTAGGAATGTCATAGTCGCATAGGACTGCAGGTATATAGAGCCCCTACGATAAGATGATTCATCTAAAAGCTTAGGATAATTCGTGCTACATGGACAGGAAGGAGAAATTGGGCTCCGCGTTACATGGCGATACTCCTACCAAGCAGTATACCGAGGCTACACTCCCTAAAAATAAGTGGTTGTGTAGCAACGGGAAGAAGTGTATGTATAAACTAGGTTGATGCTTTGAGTTCTTTCGCAGGCACAGGTTTGAAATTTGAACGACCCTCCCTACCGCTCGTTTCTAGAAGACAAATGGAAATCATTCTTAAAAATCAATATTCATGTTTTGGGTCTCAATAACTGTACAGAAATTCTAAGTATGTATACATGGCCTGTTATATATGGCATGGCCATCCTATTTATTGGCTAGAATCCAAGGCAGTTAGCTTGCTAGGCGCCTCAGGGTGAATATCACTATCAAGCACATCGGCAGGGGGGTCTGGGCCTGTCAATCAACACTATCCCAACACCAAAATTTCTGGAACTATTATTACTCACTTGTCCTAGAAAACGTTTTGTGTTCTGCGATGTCCACCTCTTTCACCCTTCCAGATTCGACCTCCGCTCTGGATAATGCAAGAAAATTCTTGGGAAGACCCATGGAGGAGAGAAACCGGACGCCCTCTTTCCATTCAAGATCCTTTCGGTTACTGTCCCATTTTAGCTCCTCACCCATCAAGTCAATGATATTAGGAAGAGCTTCAAGTGCTGCTTCGGCATTGAGGAACGCCAGGCGCGTCCTACGAGCAATAACATCGACTGCAGTCTGTGCATATTCGTGGCGAACAGCATAGCGAACTTCACCGTCGACGAAGGGGTATAAGGTCGAGATCCGTTTTCCTCGAACAGGAAAACGAGCATTAGTGGGGGAAGACAAAGCTGCAACCTGCCAAGCCCGGTCACCATATGATTGCGTGAGATGTCGGGCCACGTCTGTCTCGAGCCCAAAGTGCTGGATGAGGTTGATGAAAAGTGTATTGGAGTATCCATGAGCTCCAATCAATCTGACCTGATGGGTTTGGCAGGAACCATCAAGAACAGCACCATCGGCAACCAAACCGCTTCCACCAGCACCACTGATGTCCGGAGCCTGCGACACCGGACGAGGCTTCAGATCAAACACTTTAACAGCTTCATCTACAGCTTCTTCCGCCATTTGGCGATAGGTTGTCCACTTTCCACCAGCGCACGTTAATAACCCGGAGGGGGAAACAGAAATGAGGTGGTTGCGCACTAGAGCCTCGGAGCTCTTCACTTTCGGATCACGGACTAAAGGCCGAATACCAGACCAAGCAGCCAGCACATCACTTCGCTCAACGTTGATATCTGGAGCCAGATAGCCGCGAACCTCTGAAAGAATCCAGTTGATATCTTGTTCGGATGGTTCGGGCTGAGTCGTAATCATCGTTGGGTTGTCTGTGGTGCCCGCGATTGTATTGCCTTGCCAAGGAAGGAAAAAGATGACGCGTCCATCAGATGTAGAGGGATCAATAAGACCCATGTCTGAAGGACTGTAATAGCCTGGAAGGATGACATGGACGCCAGAGCTTGGCGCTACAATTTCCTTCACTTCCTGGTCGTCCATTTTTCTGATTGAATCTGTGAAGGGACCGGTTGCATTGATAATCCCCTTCGCCCGTATAGTGAATTCATCGGCCTCTTGCCCATTCTTTTCAGAGATCACATCTTTTAATTGAGCGCCATTCAATTTACCGGATGCATCCTTAGTTAAGCCAGTCACCCGCATATGGTTGACAACAGTACCACCATACAACGCTGCTGTCATTGCAAGTGAAACGTTCATTCGAGAATCATTGTGAGCACCATCTAACGTATATGAGAACTTGAGGGAGATTTAAAAGGGCTTGGTTCTGGGTGGTCACGTACCGTAGTAAACCATGGCGCCGAAAAGATTATCCTTTCTTAGCATCGGGAATGCGTCAATCGCCTTACTCTTTGGAAGAAAATAAGAGCTTTCAATTCCCTCAGATCCTGCCAAGTAGTCATAGAACTTCGTTCCGGCCCAAAAATAGGGCGCTTGCCACCACTTTTGCACAGGAACCATAATAGGGAGCCAGCTAGACAAGTGAGGAGCTGTGTTTAGAAAATACTTGCGTTCCCTCAATGCTTCCTTCACGAGTTTATACCTGGAAATCCCCAAGTCATCAGCATTCACGAATCAGTAGCATATCACCAGTATGGGAATGGTTTGAGAAACTGACTGGCTATAATCGAGCTCCCATACAGCCTTTTCTAGGTAACGGACCCCGCCATGTACCAACTTTGTACTCTTGCTGCTCGTTCCAGCACTGAAATCGTCTCCCTCAACAATGGCCACTTTCAGCCCACGTGTCGCCGCATCAAGGGCAATTCCAGAACCCGTGGCACCGCCACCAATAACAAGGAGATCATATTCAGAGCTATCCCCGGACGAACTGCGCTTGAGGTCTTGGATCTGCTCTAGACGTGACTTAATTGTAGGGAAACTAGGGGGTACAAGCTTGCCCTCGTGATAGCCTGGAGGTGGAACGGCGGGAGCTTCGGAACCCGGAATATTTCGTGGACGATAGGAGACATAGAGAACACTTGCTCCCGCAGCGGCAGCAGCAGAGGTGTAAAGGAGAGGTCGCAAAATTCTGCGAGAATGACGGGCAGCCATTATACTCGAACGAAATTCAGGTCAATGAGACAGAGCAAAAATGCCTAAGGACAAACGTGGGGTGGTTGCGGTGCTCTAGATAATAATACTTTTTTGTTCTTGAAGCAATTTGTTATAGAAAACTATGTTCCAAGACTTTAATGCCTGTCCATGATCAGAGAGTTCAAGCAAATGGCCAAGAGGAGGTGAGACCAGAAGGGAATAAGAGCATACATGGACAAGGGTGGCAGGTAATGAGGGTAAGTAAGAAATCGAAATGGTTTAATATCATACCTTTCAGAAAAAGAGAGAATGTGCCAATTGACGCCAAAGAGACAAGATAAGAAGAGTATGGAGAGGGCCAAGGGAAGATGAAAAATTTAGGGGTATGTTAAGGGATTGAATACAATTGGAACTGGTCCAGTAGGCGGAAATGAGGAAGAGGAGGTTCGAGTGAGAGTCAATGGCTTCAGACAGGAAGAGTGGAAGGAGACAAATGGGCAAGGGAAGAAAGGAAACGGTGAGATGTGCAAAACTTATTTGATTGGAATGCCGGACTACCTGTCCAAAGTTGAATCGCCGGGTAACCTTCCACCTGGAGCTGCGTCATGGACGGATCGTTGGTTAAGGAACTCTTCCAGCAGGAAATGGGGGCGGGTCCGATGACGATTCTTCTGTCCCACCAATTGTAAGCTCGGCACCACCGGGTACTGGTGGGGCCCTCCATTGATCCCGTGATACAGGCAGCATCCCGAACCACAGCACCTGCATGTGACCGGCAAAGATTTGTTGCCGTTACCAAGAAAAGGCGTAGGGGAGTTCCAAGGTATATAAATAGTTTACATCTTGTTAGGAGAGTGCTCCATAATTACTCTGATACTAACCAGAAATAGATATATTGGTCGATCAAGTTTTTATTTCTGTGCACCTGACAATTTCTTAATTAATTAGCAAATGGTTCTAATCACGCAATTACTTTTAATAAACCTAAACTTTTACTTTTGATCTGCCAACTCTGTGCTGATATGCCATGGGCTATTTTTATAAAGAACATATAATCTGAGAAATACGGTACTTTGTTTAAGATAGAATTCAAGCCAAATATTCTGATAAATTATTAAGCTACACCTGCATTGAATATGTTTTTGATTAGGCTAATATAATGGGTTAGTTAACAGCTTTGCACTGTGCCCTACTTACAATAAGTGGGGAAATTTTTCTGTCTCTCTCTATTTTAGCCCTTCCTTTTCAAGTTCTGGGTTTGTTGGCCCACTCCTTTAGGTCTGTGAAGCAGTTCCAGGCCCTTAAAGTGGTACAGCCAGGATATACTTACCCAGGTAATTAATTATATACTCCATACTCAAATGATGCATTCCAAAATTATCTCCCCCTCCCAAAACCCCTTCCAGGCTCCCGCTTCCAGGATTGCAAGCAGCTCTGTATCAAGACACTTTAATTAATCTTTTATTTTTTAAAAAAAAATAAAAATAAAATAAAATTATATGTACTATAATTTAACTTTTATGTGCAGATTTTTTTCCTCATCTAGTCCTCTTCTTTTTTCCCTGTGTCAGATACCTTATCAGTGATTTATTGTTATAGGTACTTGGCTAGAAGTACGGAGTACTGCCCACTTGCAACATTTGTAGGTACTACAACAAGGCCCTTTAATACTACGGGAATTGGGCTATACTACGGCTCCAGTTGGCAAGTGATATAAAATGCACCTCACCTTCGATACTAAATAACATCAGTTTACACAGAGGATTTGTCAAGGCGGCGACTTCAGACAAGCTAACCAGAGTTTCTTTAGTGGAACTATTATGTGATATCAAAAAATTCCCATACTAGTCCCTGTGTATCACACGGTCCCCCAATTATGTTGCCATCTAATTGATTACCATCTATACCATACCCAGGCAAACATATAGATACGGTAGTCCTGAGCGATTAAATGCCTTGAACAGAAAGTATTAGTTTCCACGACTTAATTCTAAGGTGTGATTCACCAGACCATCTGATAAATATGAACCAAAAATCCTGTTGTCGCCTAGTATAGTTCGATCCATGCTGGATAGTGGCAGTGGTACTTCTTGGAGTCTAATACTGATGACATCATTTAATGTGTGCTGCATGAAGGGCGGAATATTTCCGGGTGCGGAAATTCTTCGGTTGCTTGAGCGTGTTGATAATGGATTCATCAGTTACCCCAGCTTTTCTCCCCACAAGGGGGTGTGGGGTTAGAGCTCAAAACGCGGCTGACTCGGCCTAGAGAATAAGAGCGGAGCGGAAAAGTTCCTTCCTGTAGGAGAAGAGACGTCAGAGTTCTGCCAGTCTAACGCAGTCAAGAGATGCATGGCTGTCCTATATTAATCCTGCCCGACCTTGCACTTTTCTTTATTCTCCTAGGGCTGACAGCACTTAACAGTGCAACGATATCGAACGGAAAGGAAGAAAGAAGGGAAATTCATCATGGCTATATCAGCAGCACTATTAATACTACGCGAGAGCATCCCCCAATCACATTTACAGCTATTGGCCACTGTCACCTTGGTTGTACCTGTCCTTTATGTCGCTATCAATGAATTCATACGTTACTCCGCACGTGTTCCGGGAATTAGAGGGCCCCATGGTCTACCAGTGATTGGAAACCTTGCTCAGATCCGCAAAAATGCTGCTGAACAATACCGGATATGGTCAAAGACATACGGATCCGTCTATCAAATTCAACTGGGTAATATTCCAGTTATCGTGGTCAACTCAGCAGCAGCAGCCAAGGTGCTCTTTGGACAAAATGCGCAAGCTCTGAGCTCGAGGCCTGAGTTTTACACTTTCCACAAAGTAACCACTCCCTTGCTCCCTTTCCTTCTTCTCGATCCTACAGATCGTAAGAGACTAAGACCTAACATAGATTCCAGATTGTATCCAATACGGCTGGTACTACAATCGGAACTTCACCATACAGCGAATCACTGAAGAGACGCAGAAAAGGAGCTGCATCGGCTCTGAATCGGCCGTCCGTGGAATCCTATGTCTCACACTTGAACGTGGAATCCAAAGCGTTTGTGTCAGAGCTTTTCAGGTATGGAAATGCCGGCAAAACACCAGTTGATCCAATGGCAATGATCCAACGCTTGAGTCTGAGCCTGGCTTTAACTCTTAATTGGGGAGTACGCGTATCATCTCAAGAGGAAGACCTGTTCGATGAGATAACCCACGTCGAGGAAGAAATTAGCAAATTCCGGAGTACCACAGGCAACCTGCAGGACTATGTCCCTCTCTTGCGTCTTAATCCATTCAACAATAACTCCCAAAAGGCAAAGGAGATGCGAGATCGCCGTGATAGATATCTCAATTCTCTCAACCGTAATTTAGACGACCGGATGAGGAAAGGGGTACATGAACCCTGTATCCAAGCAAACGTGATCCTTGATAAGGATGCTAAGCTAAATTCAGAAGAGCTCACCTCTATCAGTTTGACTATGTTGTCGGGAGGGCTTGATACAGTCACTACACTCGTGGCTTGGAGTATCGGCCTTCTCGCCAAACGGCCAGATATTCAAGACAAGGCCGCAAAAGCCATCCAAGAGATGTATGGCCATGACCAGCCAATGTGCGACGCCGCCGATGACCAGAAATGTGTGTATGTTGCGGCAATGGTGAGAGAATGCCTTAGGTGTGTTTCTCTTTACTCTCTTCTCGTGTATGTCCCATTTAAGAGAAAAACGAAGTTAATGAAGTGGGCAGATACTATACAGTTCTACGTTTAGCACTTCCCCGTACCTCAATTCGAGATATCACTTACAACGGCACTGTAATCCCTAAAGGAACCGTGTTTTTCTTAAATTCATGGGCCTGTAATATGGGTAAGCCGCTTCTTGGATTGCGTCTTCACCCCACACAAACCAAGTTTGTTTATTCCTAATTCCTGGTAGATCCTGAAGTCTGGAGTGATCCCGATGAGTTCAGACCAGAGAGATGGATGGAACAACCTGATGCGCCAATGTTTACTTATGGAATGGGTTATCGTATGTGCGCAGGCTCACTCTTAGCAAACCGCGAGCTGTATTTGGTGTTCATGCGAACACTCAGCAGCTTCCACATTCAGCCGTACGACGATATAGACTGGCATCCTGTTAATGGAAATTCAGATCCTACTAGTCTGGTAGCAATTCCGAGGAGATACAAGGTCATGTTCATCCCTAGGAATGAAAAAGCGCTCTCCAATGCTCTGGCTTGAATAAACTCAACTTATGGATGCATTCAGACATGAGTGGTTTGTCCTAGCCTCGTTGCCTTGGGACCCCATTCAATTGGACTTCTATCATTGATGCCCAGTGAACATTAACCTAAATACAACAATCTAAATCCAATTTTTTTTTCCTTACTTCTAATTTTCCTTACACGTCTCTCTGTGGCCGCTGGGTATTTGGGCAAATGCTGCATGCTTACACGTCCGCTACGAATGTAAGTGTTATCATGTTTATCTGATTCCCAGACGATTAGCAACGAAGTCTGTTATGATATCCGGGGCAATACAATAGCGAACCAGTTGGCTCCTTCTACTTGGCATGGCAATTTCTTAGATATATCAATTATACCGTACGGAGTATGGAAAGATGAAAGCATACTATCCAAGTACGCCTAAGCAACTACAAGCGCTACTCCGCCTGCGGGTCGCTTATGACCTTTACGTGGTATCTCATTGCAATTATATTTTCAATGTCCTATTACTAGTCCACGAAGTATCTAGCACACCTAAAGAGAGGCCCGCAAAAAAAAAAAAAAAAAACCCTAAAAATACAATCAATATAGAAAAATAAATATTAGGAACGTCTGTCTATGGTACTCTTCACTGCTCACCATGAGATCTATGGATCACTTATTAACTAACGTAACCGGAAAGCGAACGAGCCGCCTTACCTGTTTCTACGCGCCATCTTATTTGAAGCAATTCAACCACCCACCATGCCTCCAAAAGCGCATATAAATTTGAAAAATTCAGCTGAGCAAGAGGAAGGGGATCTTATTAGCAATATCTGCTTTTGGGAAAAGAAGAAACCAGCAATATTCGTCAAGTTGCACATATTTATTATGTCCCCCGTACAACTCTTCAACACCGAATAAATGGACGTCTATACTTGGCAAAAGTATGCGCAAATAGTTATAAAATGACTCCAAATAAAGAGTAATCACTTGTACAATGGATATTATTATTAGATTAACATGGAACTGCTCCCCGGCCAATCTCACATATATGAAATAGTGGATTTTTTTTTTTTTTTTTTAATAGCTAGGCATGATATCACATCCTTTCAGACTGTTAGTGATAAATGGGTATACAACTTTGTTAAACAATGTGATAAGCTTAAATTAAAACATTCTCAATGATACAATCATCAGCGCGCTAAATGTGAGGATCCTAAGCTTATTAGGGAGTGGCTTGATCGCGTACAAATCACTACAATACAACATGAAATTGCACAAGATATCTATAATTTTAATAAAACTGGCTTTACAATGGGCCCAGTATCTACTTGCTAATAGAGCTAATATGTATAAATAGCCATTTCTAGTGCAGCCAGATCGTATTATCTTTAAAGAAAAAGTCCACATAGACGGCTAGTATAAGACCTTACCAGATAACTGGAAAATTGAAGTTGGTTAAAATAAATAGGCTACTAATAAAACTGGACTGCCCTCGCTTTAAAAGCTTTTATCTCTGCTACGGCTGGCCGTACGACTGGACAATATCACTTACAAGTTTTAATAGCTAGGAAAGCAAGCATTTATAATTAAAAGGCTACTTAGGGCGCGTACACAAAGCCCTCCATCTTCTTTGGAAGTGCGATTAGACAAAATTATTAGAGAATATAAAATGGCTCTAAGACTACTGTTTTTTACCAAAATAGTCCAGATTTTACAGGCGGAAATTAAAATAACATGTTAAAAAAAAAAAAGCAACCAAGACAACAGATAGCTACTACAGAGGGACTTTCTATGTAGGAGGCCCAGGAGTATATTCATACAACAACAGAATAAGGTCCAAGAACGTCAAACTACTACACAAGTAAATCAAGGACAATCTTTAGTTAAACGAGTACGGTCGCCACTGCTGTGCTTTAATTGTCATATTCGGGGTTATACACGGAGGCAATGTACTAATCAATGTAGCAATTGATTTTCATATTGAAATGCATATATTATCTATTTGGGTGTTTTGAATGGCTTCCTTTTCACCGATCAGGAGAGGTGGCTCCCTCACTTTCCGTTTACGCTAGTTACTGATTATGCAGTACATGAGCATTATTTGAGATATTACTGCATTGAAATTTTCCTACCATGTACGTAGATGTTGATATCTCAGAGATTTGCCTGGGTTACTAGCTACCCAGGTAGTGAGTGACCTTCGTTTTTTAGTCCAGTGGAATTATTGAAACTAGGCACTATCTTTGTCTCGCATTCCCTTAAATACTATCATGTGCTCCTTAAATACCAGAGGCTTGTATTCAAATAACTAGGTAGTTAGGTGCTATTATGTGGCTATTTAATATAGGTTAGAGAAAGCTAGGGTTGGTACAGAGTACTAGGCACCTTGGGTAGCCGACTCCTGCTCCTACTCCACAGACTACGTACGGTGTATTTACTGTGCCTAGTACCTACTGTGATGCAAGAGACATGTAATTCAACTAACTGAGCAATTTGATTCGACTAGTACGATACTAACTGAATCCACAAAAACGAGATGATTTCTATGGAAGAAGGAAAAAGTGCGTGGGTGACTATGGCCGCAAAATAAGATGGCGTGCAGAACGCCCCTTCCGAATAAGGCAATTACCATACAAGGAAATTAGTGCCTAAGGCAGACTTCACGCCGAAGCCGTAACTCTAAATGTATGAACAAGCGCCACAATGTCTGAAAATTACCATACCAGCAACTTTGAGCCTTGCAATCACATGCTCCTTACCAGCCACTCCTGCTTAGTGATCAGAGAATATCCAATCCAAATACTACTATGCTGGACACAATACTTCAGTGTTGAATTTAGTTATCCAAGAAAATCTAGAAGCCTTCCTAGCGTCATGTTCTCAAGGGCGGCATTATCACCTGTACGCTAGCCACCACTCTCTCATTGCTTGTTCTCTATACGATATCCTTTCTTGTGGTGTCTTCCAGACTAACCAGGACCTCCATGTAGGCTTTTCGATCTTGTTCACGATCGTCATGCATCTTACCGCCGTGTTCTACGGGTTTGCGCTTGCCCTCGGCTTTTCATGCTCGGCTACTGTCATCCGAAACAAGGTCAGCGATTAATAAAGCGATTGGTTCTGCCCCAGTGGTACTCTTCATGAAGGGTACCCCAGAGACTCCACAATGCGGTTTTTCTCGGGCAAGTATTCAGATACTAGGTCTACAGGGAGTAGATCCAAAAAAATTTGTCGCATTCAATGTGTTAGAGGATCCTGAACTGCGCCAAGGTAGGTTGATATATAGCGGCATTCAGTACCCCCATGCACTGATGTCCTTTGAATTATATAGGGATTAAAGAGTATTCTGATTGGCCGACAATCCCACAACTATATCTCGACAGGGAGTTTGTTGGTGGTTGCGATATTTTAATGTCCATGCACCAGAATGGGGAGCTTGCCAAAATGCTTGAAGAGAAAGGTGTTTTGGTGGCTGTCGATTAAGCCAGGTGTTTAGAACCTCCAGCTATCTACTGCTCGTCTACCCTCTCTTTCTCATTGTGTCATAAAATATAAGGTTAATATATGTGACAACAACTGCCTATGCACATCATGAAATAAAGTAGTAATGGCTTTCTTTAAAGCTGCCTCCACTCCATTTCCCAGTTGTAGGCATAAATGTGCACCTTAATGCATAGCATGAGACTAAGTAATTCATATACACCAATCAGCAAGTCCCACGAAAGCACTTCAACCATAGTATCATCGACACTCCATTTTAGTCTAGTACCGGTCTAGTTCATTTTCCTTAGCCTTCTCTAAATCTTCAACGATACCTTTCTGCAACTTAGCACGTTGCCTTTCTTCATATGCCTCCCGGCTCTTCAATATTCTTCCAACGATCTCTCCAGCATTAACATTTTGAAAGGGATGGTTGCTTGTTTCTCTGAATATTCCCATCCTTTTGGGAGCAGAGTATGGGTCATAGGTGAGAGGTATAAAAGTCGTAGGGCCATGGTAAACTACGTCCGGAACGCCTAGTGGCATTGCTCTTAAGTAAGGTTCACTTGGAGAAAATGGGGCAGAGAATATAACGGCATGTATGTACTTTAGGGAAGTCAACGGAAATGTCTTTTGATGTAGAAGAAGAGGAGGGTCACTTACGCGACACTGTAGAACACAAAGCCCACGTTCAAAAATGTTCATGATAGGGTAGTTAAGTCCTTTCCAATAGTTAATCACATCGTCGTCATGGATACCTGCAACAATGTAAGCTGGACCATAGTCTTCTCCGAATTCGTCGAGTCGCTTTTTTCTCTGGTCTGGATCGTACCAGCTACGCTGACGACCGTCTACCTCCTCGTGGGATAAGACTTGTCTAAGAAATTCAATATGGCCGGATGAGAAAAGGTCAAACCCTCCGTCGACATAGACAATCCGTTGTCCTGGTTTGGATGACTTTCCTTCCACTAGCGCTTCGAAAGAGCCCGATTCTTCGACGGAGTTGTCCAGCTTCGCCGAGCTTGGACCAGTCCAAATCCAAACAGGAGGGCCAGGCCGAAGGCCACTCTCATCTGTTGCATAGTCGCGGATCTGGTGCATGAGGAAAGTGGCTGATTGCTTGCGCTCGTCCTGGTTCCCGGATCCCTCGTCGCCAGCAAGGGTGCTTTTTACGCTTTTTACAAAGTGTCCTTTTGTGCATAAAAGCATACGGCCGACTAGATCAGTTGTCGAAATACCCGGGGTCCTTTTGACCACCCGGAAACGGCCAGCGGCCTTGACAAACCGATAGCAATCATTCCCGTTGCTATCCGAAGTAATATCGTCACCATGGACGACAAATTTGCACCCATAGTGAGAGACCCATGGCAAAAACGTCACATAGGGAGCAAAGGGCACACAGCGGGTTACCCAACGACATGCCTCCACCGCAGCTACCCTGAAATCAGAAGCCGTATGTCAGCAGGCAAAACAGGGCACTTGTGGGTGGAGCAATGGACCTTTCTTTTAATGTCATAACAGTAGGTCCCTTGTTCTCTAGAATTGCTTCATCGGAGTGAACACCAACATAAAGCTCATTTCCCAATCTACGTGCCTGAAGCATCGCTCCCGCATGACCTATAAGTCTCATTTAAATTAGTCACTGCTGGATGAGAATGAGGGCTGACTTCTCACCATGATGGCTAAAATCAAAACATCCATCCACCCAGATACGATGCTCTGAGATGGGCACATCTTCCTGAGGATCCACAGGCCACTCCCCAGCTAATGGGACTATATCCTCTGGTGAAGTACTCATCCTGGAAGAATTAGGAAATGTAGGCAAAAAAAAATAAAAAAAATAAGCAAGTCTGAAGGCTCTATAAGTTTTTTTTTTTCTTTTATTTAATACTTCTTTTGTGCGCCCTGCACCGGTCGTATTGAGCGACGATGGCAACGACTTGAGAATATGTCGATACGAGGGAGGGTTGAGGAGGGGATGCTGGGGTAAAGGGCGGTAAAGTATCATGTCAAAAGACAAGAGATGCAGACACACTCTCACTACAATTGTAATATTATATGTACAGCACGCTCCCCTAAATATTGGACGATATTAATAATAAAATGAAATACTAAGCCATGTGATAATGCTGTAAATTCATCCAGAAATCCATAAATTGCAGTACTGGCTATCGTCTGGTCTACATAATCCAGGGGCTAACTACCAAAGTGGGGACGGATCTTATCTGCAAAGGAGCAAACGGGCAAACTCCCACTTCCCCATACCCAGCATTCATACTGCTGTTATAACTTCCAAGCCTCTGGCAGTTGTGAATGATTCCACAAGCTATGAGAAACAGGTCTTGCGTTTGTAACAGAGCCATTTGATTGCCTCGCCATACTACCTTTACCTACTACCACGCGAGCCAAAAAATGATCTCATCTACATTCGCCCCTAGCTTGTCCCGACGAGACACTGGCAAATCAAGCATAGGGCATGACAGCGGCATAGGAACTGCTCCTGCACCGTTGACAAGTGGAGGTGGATCATTCGGGCCGCAGAGTGCTACTGCAATTTATCAACATATCCATGATATGGCTACAAAACGAATATCTACTCTGGACTATCTAAGGAAAGCGTCAGTTGCCTCTCTCTTTCGGAGTTCCTTCAAAGGAGGTGTTTTGTGATTGGGAATTTGGACATCGCTGATTGCTCCATAGCCATGAAGGCCGCATTTATTGGTTCAACACTGTGCACTTCTCCCGCGCCGATATTAGTCGAATTCCTTACTTTGAAGCTCGTAAACTTTCACGTCGCGCCATTAACTATCTCCTGCTCGGTTTATCACTTCCACCATTGCTGGACGTCAGTTCAAGTCCTGCGGAATATCTCCGAGCTTTGAACGCTCTTTTGGTTGAGTTTGAAGCATTCCAACAAGTCCACCCACCAGATGGAAGCTCATCATCAACCTTAGCCAGGGCAAGGATTCCACAGATGTTCAAAAGGGCTGCGCATGCTGGGAATAAAACCAGAAGAGCCAGTTCAGCTACCGAAATCGGTCTGCCTATGCAATCCAGCGACCCTTCTGACTTGAAAGGCATGACGGGAAGTATTTCCTCATCTGCCACGGCAGCAGCTGCTGTCATTTCATTTCCTCACACAGAAGCCTCGGAACTTCTTCCCGGCGAGGAATATTCTTATCTCTTGACGCCATCATTGCCTTTTGAGCCGGACTACTTCGAGACGTTCGTAACATTATGCGACGTGTTAATAGACTGTTACACCCGGCTTGCCTCCTTGATATCAGCTCCCTCGGTATGCACAGTTAGTTTGGGTGAGATGTTTTCCAAGGCGGATGCCAAAATTCGAAAGATTACGGTTGCGGGTATTGTACGAGAATTTGAAGATGCAAGTCGAAATAATGCCAAAAATGAAGTCTTTGGGGTTAGCCGCGTTGTCCTTGGTGGTCTTCTAGGTTAATGTGCGATGGGCCCTTCCTCTCATTACACTCGACAGGATCGCTTCCTAATATATATGGCTTACTTGCTTTAGTGGGTTGGTAGGCCAGGAAGATGGATGTAATATATACCGGCAGACTTCTCTTATATGTTCAGTAGATGAGGATGCAGTTTTAAACTAACGCTTCAGTGACTGTTGTCTTGAACCCTGCTGCTCTATGGATACTAGGTTTGAAGAGGAGCAGATGAAGCAGCAGGTCAATCAAGAGGATTTAGAGATATCTATAACATTTATAACATGTTCCTCATGAATAGGGAGCCGTTAAACCTATATACAAAAGAGCCAGGGCTGGTAAGAACACATACACGGATAAAGCGAAAAAAATAAAGGGACAAAAAATCGCAACAAAGATACCCAGTCTTAAAAGCAAGAGGGGAAGAAGGTAAAAACGCCATATCACACCATTCGCTTGGAAACAAGTCAAACTGACGCCAATATATGCAAACGCTCGATGTGATGATGGTGCATGGGACTGTAACAAGCGCCATGAACACCGATGGGATGGGGAAAGAGATGAAAAAAAAAAAAAAAAACTAAATCTTTCAATGCTGTAGCTTTTGTTCATGTTCACGCTGCTCACCAAAAACTCGTCGACTCATTTGGAGAACAGCTTCAAACCCCTCCCTGCCCCTCTTGGCATTTTGGCTGAATCTCTCTACACTCGCCTCTTCAACCTTGTTCTTAATCTTCTGCCAACCACCGCATAGCGCAGTGATCTTCGCCTCTTGATTGAAGCTCGTAGTAAATGCTGGTTCCGCTGAAGACGGCTGATATATAACTGTCTCTCGAACGCTTAGAACATTGGACCACGTAAGATTAGTGGAGCACATTGTGACTTTCTTCAAATTTGGATCAACATATGAGATCTCGTAAACATGCGAAGTAGCGCTGCCTCCAAAAAGTGAGAGAACCCATTGTGGTACGGACTGGTTGCAGGTTATAAGGCGTTCTGTACGCAACTAAGACAAAGTCAGCAACTTTTTGTTTTGGAATTCATTGGACAAGTCTTAAAAAATAAGGAACTGAAGACACGTACAATGCCAGTAGCCGAATCAACAGTTCTGGATAAGGTATCTACTGCCACGACGTGAGGAGACTTGTCATTCCAAGGGCAATATTTGCGCCAGTTTGCAGTTGAAACTTCCTCCCACGAATAGTCGAATGTACATGTTGAAGAAAAGACCTTCATGTTTGAGATATGCAGGAGTAGGCGGGCAGGTGTAGTCCAAGTGAACTGCTCTGTGGGTGTAATAAACCCTCTGCACTTGCAGAGCTCGGATCTAATAATTGATCGCCACACGAGTGGGAAAAAAGGGAGACAGTATTAAAGCAATCAAATATCTCTAAGAAACAAAATCAAATAGAATCATGTCTAGGAGTGGGAAGTAGAACACAAAGATAAGCGTTGAGTGGCAATCCGCTATGAGCAATAGAGAAATGCTCTTTTTCCCTTCAAAAAAAAAAAAGGCTTTTGCGCCGGTATTTCCCGGTATGGTACTGAGTGGTACGGGGTACAGACGAGAGCACTTTGTGTACTAGCCAGTGCTCCACCAGTGTAATTAGAACCTTGCTGACAAAACTCATCAAATCTGCTTTTTAGTTGCTACTTACAGTGAATGCAATGGCTAGAGATAAGATAGAGTAGGGTTTAAGAAAATGGGGAATACTATTGCTATATGTATGTGCGCTCTGTGTGTGTGTGTGTGTGTGTGTGTGTGTGTGTGTGTGTGTGTGTTTACATAGACGAAGCCCCCCTGCCTTTTCTTACCCGCGTTCCTACGCATTTATAATTTTACAATGTATACTGTATGTTTGCATACAGAGCACTATCCATTGATATATGTAGTACTGTACCTACCTACCTCCTCTTGTATGTAAATATCAATGGAAAGATACTGTACTGTACTAGGTCCATATTGGAATGTAGGAAGAATTGGAGCCAAACTCTCCTCCCCCTTAGTTCCAAGCTTCCAACAGTCCGGGTGATGTGCTCAAGCTACTCCATACTACAAATATTACGATACATTCACACTCTGACTAGCCACAGTCTATGTCCAAAGTCGGATACTAATTCATATATCCAACTAATTCCAACGCCAGAGACATACTTCGAACTTTTGAACAAATCCTAGGAAATAATGGTCGAACTGCGAAAGCGCAAGGCCCAGGCACAGGCCCCTGTGACAGAGAAGAGAAACAAGAAACATCACAATTCTGCAGTGAAACAAGATACACGTGAAAAGAAGCCAATCTCAACCACTCCTTCCGAATATGTTCCCAAGGTTGGCGACACAATAGTTCTGAATGATTTCGGCGGACAAATTGAAACGAATGAGGGCAGGCAAACCACGTTGAAGGACCTTGTTGAAAACAGCCAGACTGGTGTTATACTGTTTACATATCCAAAAGCCTCAACTCCTGGCTGTGAGTCAATCAATAACCTCCAAATTCCTTTTATGTATTGATTGAATTGTTGTTGTTGTTGTTGTTGTTGTTGTTGTTGTTGTTGTTGTTGTTGTTGTAGTAAATCTGTTTAAGCAATAAAGCATTTCAAGAATGAAGGCTTATTTTGTTCAAGGTACGAAGCAAGCATGCATGTTCGGCAATAATTTTGATCACTTGACCTCGACTGGTTTATCAATCTATGGACTGTCGGCGGATTCAGCAAAGGCAAATACTACGTTTAAAACTAAACAAAGCCTCCCTTACCTTCTACTCTGCGACCCCACATTCACTCTTATCACAGCCCTGGGTCTCAAAAAGTCGCCCAAGGGTATAACCAGGGGTGTCTTTGCCATTAATAAAAAGGGTAAAGTTCTATTGTTACAAGCTGGTGGTCCAGATGGAACTGTAGAGGCTGCTCGGCAACTAGTTGCAACTCTCGCAGTCAAGGACGCCGAATAAATAATAAGCTGTACCACCCCTATCCCGGCAGGCGGCGGAGGGCAGAAAGAACTAGCAATATTTATTGGTTTTAAGAGCCGTGTGTACCAGAAGGGGAATTGTTGCCCATGTGGTGAATTCTACATATTCATTTTGTGTTGATTACAGTTTACGACCTCTCTAGCCAACCTTTGGATATATAATATGCTCTATATAATGCTCATAGTATTAAAATTACAGGGTGCATAACTTAGTTTTCTACTATCTTAGTAATTCAGCGTCAAACAAAGCTGACAATGGTAGTACTATAGTTTCATTATAACAGGGATTCCTTAATGTACTGCAAGTCATATGCAAATTAACTACTCTTTTATTCAGTCCACCCTTTCTGGTAAATGTTAGGAATCATATAACCGTCATCTCAGTACTTCAACAAGAGTACTTACGGAGTATTGGATGTCGGGAGTATCATTGTTCCGTCCTAGCGTTCCGCTCAATATTAGTTATCCCAGTAGGAACTTCGGCTCTCCCCAAGACACATCAGAAATCATTGGTTTGTCTCTACCGAACGCAGCCATTCTAATTTCTTGACTAGGTATTTATGAAGACTCAGTGTTGAGCTGATTTAAATCTGCAGAACTGGAATATTATGGTGCTCATACATGAATTTGTACAGGATCTTAACCCATCATGGGCCGCGGCTTTCTCAACGCGGCCAAGTCTGCGTCAAATGTTGTATCCGTCCATAAGGTATGGAGACCTAGCAGAACTCTCGGTATTTAAATTCAGAACCTCTTGTTTTAACCTACATCAGAAATACACCCTCCAATCTACCGGGGTATGGGAACGTATCCGCCGTCTACTCTCTATTGATCCCAATCGCTCAACGGGAGTTCCGCTTAATGCTCAATATCGTCTACCGGCTCCGGGGGCTCTTCCACCGCTATCTTATGAGGACCCTGTCACTGTCCCAGCTGGTGACATCGCGGACAACCCTTACTGGAAGCGTGATGTCCGGAGGAGTTACCCCAGGCTCAGCACTGTGAACCAGGCTCATGCAGTCGGTCTTCTCACTGTAGGGAGTCGGGCAACGCCGAAGGGCGACGTCCTGCAAAGTGGGGACGCAGGAGAAAAACAGATAGTCTCAGTCAAGCAACAGGGAGAGGAGCGGGGTCTGGCTGGTCTCTTTGATAAGGACAGCAGGACCATCCGGAGCATTTTAGGTGTTAATGGCTTACCTCCAACGCCCTGTAATCTGAACTCGTCGGCATCAAGGTACCGGCTTGGCCATGACCACGGCTATCCTGACATGTATGTTTGACCTACTATCCCGCCTTATATATGTTTATGTTCCGGCTAACATTCAGGAAGCTATCCGTGCCGTACATTTGTTTAGCTGTCATAAGACTAGAATACATAACATTTCCTACTTTACTCTCTATTCTACGTTTTAATGTATTTGTTATCTTCTTAAGTCTTCTGCTTAGTATGCCTGCTAGCTTTCCTCAGGGGTTAGGCTTCCAATCACCGTAAATTACTTCGACAACGTCAAACTGTGGGTTTACTTAGGGCAGATGGTAGACACACCCGACTATATGCCTCCATGCTACCGGCAAGTTTAATAAACGATGGGAAACGATGGGAAATGATGGGAAACGATGTAACTTTACTAGTTATAGAACAGAGAGAGCGAACCGGGCTTTTAAATGGAACTTTTGATCTCAATGTTTCCTCACAATTCTCCTAAAATAGTACTAACCGTATATGGGTTTTGGGGGATGCGTTTCAAGAAACCGGTTGACCAGACCCCTGTATCAGGTAAGAAGTCTAATACCAACATTATAAAATAAATAAGATAATACACAAGTCCTTACTAACTCATTTAACGGTTTAATATACTATACACCCCCTCTCTCTGTGAGCGTGTGTGCGCGTGCCGTGTTATAGATTAAGATACTGCAATTTATTTATAGGAAAAATAGAATAGTGCACAAAATATTCCCTTAGTCTGGAGAGAAGGTCTGCTTCTTCCTAGGAAAGATAATAATAAATCATGCATACCTCAATCAAAGGATTCTGTGCGTGTACCCCACCATTTAAGGAACAGCCCAAGTCCTACCGTTTCAAAGACTCTGCTAACAGCGCCCACAGCCACAGTGTCCAGAGGCCTCTTTTCCGTAATTAGCTGGCTGATGAACTGTTACCAGGAAGACATAGAGTCAGAATGTGTTAGCATATATCCCGAGAAATCCACGGCAGTTTTAAGTATAATCGCACTGAGAAACATACACCTGGGGCCGCGCTGGCCATGAAAATCAAGCCACCTAAATATGCTGCACCCTTGTAACTCAGTGTTCCGGTTGCGTTGATTAGGGCCGCCACTCCATAGGTCTGTAGAGCACTTCCAACCAAGGAGCTACCCCAAGCAACCACTGCACTAGCGGCCTCCTTGGACCTGATGAACTCCTCTTTTGAGTTGGCGGCCTGTGCGCGCTGGTATGTATCACCAAAAACAGGAGCAAGTATACCAAGCGATGCAGTGTGGGTGAAAAAAGTGCCCATTGCAATGGCCGATGGCTTAACCGGAGGCAAATCTAATCATAACAACTTTAGTATTAAGTCATGTGTAGTACGAAGGTAAGGTCCTCACAATGAAGGGTGGTCATTTTTGACGTCAATATAGTAAAGATCCAACAACAGCGCACACGTAGTTCAGATTGATTCCTCTAGTGGATTCGATCATGTGGATTGCAATGCTTTATATGGATTGACAAATACAAAAGGCAGGACGGTCCTTTATTTATGGCCAAGGAGAGGTCACATGCATAGCCAAAGGCCAAAAGAGAGGTGACGTCTGTATGACCAAAGGACACAGAGTATCAATGCTCAGATAACATTATAATATTAATGTTATTAAAGATATGGTGAACCAATGATTCAATGATCCAAAGCCTCTGAGACGGAAGGGAAGACATGACGTCAACCGTCGGTGGACAAGACACTGCAATTTGAACTAGTAAAAGTTTACTCCAATAGATTCTGCAGAACAAACTTTTAGAACTTTTAGCGGAATAGGAAATGATTTCTAGCCTTCTTCACTTCAGCACATAAATTGAGAAAAGGAATGGGAAATTATCAGGAAGATACTACTACAAGTTTTATAGTACAATCTTTCTTACCTAGGTAACTAGTTCCCTCAGTGCTATCCTTTTTAAGAAATTTAAAACCCCACCATACTTTGTATTCTTATCTCTCTAGCCAACTCCCACATTTCTCTTCTCTTTCCTTTTTTTGTTAGCCAATCTACGTTACCTTTGATATTCTTTAAGATTTTTTTGTGCCCTTGTCATCGGCCGCCATAACTGAATGCGACTCCCTTAATGGACGATCCTAACGCACCTGAGTCAGTTTCAACCGATTTAAATGCTGCCTTCAACATCAGCGATTCTCTTGTCCCAGCTAGGGATCTCAAGGCAGTTGAGCAAACCAATATTTCCTTTGATGGTCTGTTGGAGGAACCCCTACTCCTCGAAGAGGATCTCAAGGAAGGATGTGGAGGTCAGCTTTGGCCAGCAGGAATGGTACTAGCTAAGTATCTCTTGCGGCGACATCGCTCGAATCTCTCGAATAAAACAATGTTTGTAGACTTCTGCTTCTTTATCCCTCGTTTCTCCACTCTCGTTCTTTCTGTTCTAGAATTCGATAAGATCATTAGTTGACTCTCAAATCAGCGTTGAATTGGGAGCCGGTGCGGGCCTTGTCGGACTCGCAGTCGCACGAGGTTGTAAAATCAACAAACCACCCATATATATAACGGACCAGGCTCCCATGCTACCACTGATGGAAACCAACATTAAGCTAAACAACGTATCCACTGTTGTTGCTACAGTGCTAAACTGGGGTGGTCCCATTCCAGACTGTATACCAACGCACCCTGGTGTCATTCTTGCAGCAGATTGCGGTTACTTCGAACCGGCATTTCCTTTACTGATTTCGACTTTGAAGCAACTCTTGGGTCCAGAATCCGTTTGTTATTTTTGCTTCAAGAGACGTAGGCGTGCAGATCTGCGTTTTATGAAGATGGCAAGGAAGGTGTTTCACGTTGAAAGCATAGAGGACGATCCTGATGCGGGGACTTACAAGCGAGAAAATATATCCATATTTTTAATACGTTCTAAACCGACAGGAAATTTAACACGGGGTAAATAGTGAAGGAGCTACAATGATTTCCCGAAAAGGTATAAAAAAATAACCAAATTAGCATCCTTGACTATATTATTATAAGATCAGCTAAATTCCTCCGAACATTCGCACACATTTTAGTCTCTAAAGCTTCAATGCATCGGCTACTATAGTGGGGTTTGTCCTTGAAATCTTGTTGCCCTGGATGTCTGTGACCTCTCCCTCTTTTCCAATGACTTTGACACCGCCCTTTCTCAAGTCAGACACGACTTGTTCCCTCTCAGCCGCTTTCTCATGTTGCTGACGACCAACGTTGCCTTTCTTCTGTTTCTTGTGGAGTCGACGCAGTCTAGCCTTCGCCTCACGGCTCATCTCCTCTTTAGCAACTGACATCCCACTCTTCAAGACAACCTCCCCTGGAACTTTCCCATTGCTTCCTGGTGTATAAATCTCCTGTGGTGCAAGAGTAGCTGCACTGCCAATAGTGCTACTTGCTGTTGGCCTCGCATCTTCCATTGTGATCGTTGCGACATCGGTAACCACGTTGATGCTTGGCTGTGGAGCTTTGGGCTTATAGTGCCAGTTACTAAGTGTATCCAACTGAGAGCTTATATCACTCCATAAATTGGAGACCTCGGAATGCTCTCTGACGAGCTTCTGGTTGCTTGGGTCAACGTAATTTGGATCAGTAGCACGAAGGTGATCAGTTTCGTAAAGCTCAGCAAGCCCCTGCTGGGCTTTTGCATCGTTCAACTCAAATCGTTCTCTCTTTGTGCCTCGGCTATCTAAAATACCAGGACGCCGACGTATGACCTCGTCAAATTCACTCACAAGAATCCGATGCTTGATAAGCACTTCAATATTTTCGGAAACTTCTGCGGTGACAACTGGAACCGGCTTCCCAATTCTTTCAAACTCCATATCCTCTTCAATGAGAGAGTTAGTGGGTCTTTCGACTGCCCTAGCCTCACCACCAAGCATCCAATCCTTTTTTGCAACGTTGGCAGCTTCCAAGAGACGAATTTCATTTATAATCCGCGCGCGCTGTTTCTCATGACTTGAACGCTGGCCCACGAGGGTGGGTGAATCGTTCTCAGCGACACTCATATCATCAGCCGTGATTTCATCCTCGAACAAATCACGGCGGACATCAGACATTGCACGATCAACACTGCTATAAGAAATACTACCGTGTGGCTGCATCTCCAGGTGTGAACGTGATGACTTGGTCAAGGCCTTTCGAGGAGGCGGTGCAAAAAAGTCGGAATATTTGATATCATTTGTGTTAATCCAGCCTTTTTCGTCCGGAACACTAGCATGTATGTCATCATCTGAATTCAGTTCATTACTGATATCCATATGGTCGAATGTTGGTCCTTCTTCATCACTATCTTCAGGAATACCTCCATTATGCCCCGTGTTGGGATCACTTGAGTTGAGTCCTAGAATCGACGAATTCCTAGTAGCAAAAGGATTTGAATGCCAATCAATGCTATCGTCATCAGTATCAGCATCAACGCCCGGGCCTCCTTTAGTATCTTGTTTTTCAAATAGCTCTGTTTGCCTATTGAACTCATCGATCGAAAAGAATCCGTCGTTTAACTTAAAAGGGTCTTTGGTATAGGTAACTTGATTGTTGTCGCCAGTAACATCATTTTCTTCTGAGCATCCAGAAACACGGTCGTCGGACGAATCATGGGCGCCTTCAAATTCTAATCCTCGATTTGACGAGCAGTCAGAATCCACTATAGTCCCCAAGTCTACTTCGTCGGCATCAACAGATTCATTTGTGTTGCTCCCTGCATGAGTAGTTGAATCATCAATCCGTGGTTCTGCGGTCTCAACGTCTGCATCGTAGACTGGTTTTTGCGCAGACAACGAAGGTGCATTTAAGGCAAAGTCTCGCTTTATTTCATAGGCCGTGGACTCGAGGATTCTAAATGCTTGCTCCCAGATTTGTTCCGAAGTAAATCCATCCACGTACAGCTGCTTTATTTGCAAAACATCATCCATGTACCCCTCATCAATCTCCTGTCTCTTGCGTTTCCTCTTGTATTGTTGGCGGGTAGATTGGATTTCACTAACAGATGACGCAAGAGAGTCTAAAATAAATTTAGCAGATCCGACCGATTTGGCATAAAGTCTTTTCGTTGGCTGAAGGAAATTCCATGGTGCAGACAATGCTGTATTGAGAAAAAATTCGGCTTCCGTGTTGAAAATACTAAAATTATCACTGATTGCCTTATGACCATGTGTAGGCCGGGTGACTTGCATCTTGGCTTAAAAAGGATGAATCCTCTCACCGGTCAGGGAAGATGCAAAGGTAAGGTGTAAAACTAATCAAAATTGTACATCAAAAGACTGCAGCTCGAAGATTGTGGTTGGAAAAGTTCAAAGCCTTCCTGGCTTGGTCAAAGGCGGCTGCCGTTTTAAGTGGGACCTCGAAAAATCAGCAGAACCAGTAAAAACAATAATCACAATGTGCTCTGGACTGTTCCATACTCTCTACTCAACAATCCGAAGTAATGGCCCAGAATGTGCCTCCAGCCATTCAAATCTACATTGAGTGATAAATATTAATAAATTTTGGACCAGAAAGGGTCTGTGCAGGCGGTCTGAAAAACAGTCTACTATGTACACTAAATACTCTGTAGTAGAGGTTGCGTAACTGTACATTCCTATTTAGCGTCTGAATACGAATGAATGTATTAAGCATATACATTACCAACCACTGAGCTGTCCGTTTTTATGAGATCATCACAATAATCAATCATTGACGTGTCTGTTTCTTTATTATTTCTATGCAAAATGCCTCTTTCTCGAGAAAGCAGAATTCAAATAGCTATATATGCCTATAAAAACAAAGATGTTAAATTAAAATTAGAGGCTGCTGAAATATACGCAATGCTTAAAAGCACTTTACAGTCGGAAACGCGCGCCAATGGTCATAAACTACAAGATATTAAAGAAACAGCTCTTCTTAAACAGCTTCTAAAGCAGATAAATTTGGCTTCTTAATTAGGCCAAAGTTCCTACGCGAAATGGTATAAATATTACTCCAGGAGTGTCTCCAAGGTCCCCTTGCAGTCATTGGTATTAACTGGGTATTACATGTATTAGATGCCATCCCCGATTGTATACCAGATATACTAGGCAAATTACATATTAACATACTAAATAAAAGGATTCGAAAGCTATTATAGCATTATTTCAAGCTGTGTATGCAGCTAACCAGGAACATGGTATATATATTAGATATATGGAGGTCAGTCTGGTGAGATAGGTTCAGCTTTCTTACTTTATGTCACGTGATATAATACAGATCTCGTCGCCTCCGATACATAAAGATAATATCTGGAACTTTAATAAAATTAGCTTTGCCATAGGCTTTAATTAAGCTCCAGGTTATTACCGCTATAGAGCACAGTGGGAAGCCTAGAAAAGTTATGCAAAAACCGTGAATGGACTACAATTATTAAAGCGATAAGCTCCTTAGAGCTTATCTACCATACTTAAAAGGCAAAAATTAACATGCTGCCTGGTATTAAGAGGCTGCATGCTGGCAGTAACCATATTAACAAAGCAGAAGTTTTATCTTTATATCCAAAAGCATGGATAAAATTATTTACTACAGATAATATACGCAGTGGCTTTGCAGGAGCAGGTCTTAAATCACTTGATTAAAAGTGTTCTTGCAAAGATTACCTTTCAACTACGTACACCAACACCTACCTCCTTTTGGTTGAAGGCTCAATCTCCTCTGCGTTCCAAACTCCTTAAAATCCTTGCCAGCTAAATAACAAGGTCCGCAGTACATAGAAATGCCTTTAAAAGAGAAAGCTTTCTAGCAGTCCAATATTTTACTTATTTGTTATCTTAGAAAAAGCTGTGCAAATGACAACAAAAGCTGAATTTTCTTCTTAGAGAAAAAAAATCAAAACTGTTCGAGCTGAAAACGAGCGAAAAGGTAGAAATAAGACGAAAAGACATGCTAACTTACTGAATAATAACTTTTAAATGTCCAGGAAGGTTGTCTTGCTTAAGACCTAAATACACAACTTAGTATGCAGGTTAATAAGCAGCGACAGTAGTCTATAGCTATTGATATCTTAAAAGCAAGCTCTACCATGCTACAGCGGCTACAATATTGGGCATACTATCAGAAATTACCCAGGTAAGTAGTTCTATATTTATTATCAGTTAGGGTCGTTTAGTTCTATTTTTGTGGTTGAAAAGCTTCAAAGTTGTGATAATCGCATACAGCGGACAGCTCCTCGGTTGGTCACGTTATATGTACTCTACCTACGACATGAGGCTTTGGAGCTGCGACTTTCATAGCCATTGCTTTGTGTACATAGCCACTAAGATTACCTTTCTAAGGCTCGTCAAGTCATTAAAAATTCATTAGTAATACCGCGTGAGGATTTAGATATATCCCTACTTACGACTGTGGATTAAATCCTGGACATCCACAATCTAGTATGACATATAAGTGAGCCATGCTTGCCTGAGAATACATATGTATGTTCTATAGTGTAAAGTCTCCTTTTGAGGATTACGCTGGTTTAGCATTCACAAGTTTTGACTTCACTCATTATATCTACCATGGTAAGTGCTGCAATACTTATTAGTCTATACCAAAGGGACGATCCCGACCACCCTCCTAACATCCCATTTATCCAACAGGTACGGATAGCAGGGTATATTTCCTTACAATGTATACGCCTCACGGGGACATTAATGTTTATAGATAAGGTTCATGGTGGGAAGAAATCCAAAGAAATGTAGATAAGAAAGTTAGAGAAGCCGGAACCGTAAACTGAAAAATACAAATGACAATATGTCATATACTGACACATTAGACGTATCTTACATTTGCATCAAGCAGCAAACATGATTGCTTATTCTTATGAAAGTAAGGCGTATGTTTCTTCCCGTTGGTGTCATCAGCTGTAGAAAGATCATCCATACAAGCAGTCTTCCAGACGCATGCCCCGACTTAATACTTCTAACGGAAACTCAACGCCTATACCACATGCGCGTGATCCTCGTATGTCTCATTTTCTTCTGAAGCTGGAAAATGCCATACATCAACGCCTCAGATGTAGGGGGACCTTTGAACAATATCAGCAATTAGCCGCACTAGGAAGGGAAAGAGAGTAAAGAGCAGGGCTGAACAGACATCCAGGCACGTAGACATCAACTGGGACTATTCTATCACAACCACGGACAACAGAGTAGCTGTAGTGATAGTACCCGCCTCCATTCGCACAACTGCCCATGCTCACTACCCAGCGAGGGTCGGGCATCTGGTCATAAACCTGTCTGAGAGCAGGGGCCATCTTGTTGGTCAGTGTGCCGGCGACAATCATGACATCTGACTGGCGTGGGGAGGCTCTGAAAATGATTCCTAAACGGTCTTGATCGTATCTCGGAGTGGATAGGTGCATCATTTCAACGGCACAGCAGGCCAAGCCGAAGGTCATAGGCCACAGTGAGCTCTGACGAGCCCAATTGGCAACTTGGTCAAGTGTGGTCCTGTGTATGCAGTTAGAGATATCTGGAATACAGCTCTGCAGTATACTGGCCACAAACAAGACATATTGCATTGCGCCCTCCTTCTTCTCTTGGCTCGCCAAAGGAACCTCCTTCCGTACCTTTCCTGATGCGGTCAGAGGTCGGCCAGAGTGCCCTTGTTGCTCAAGCGCGTTTGCCGACTTAGTCGACGAGGTCGATAGCATAACAGCGGGTTGGGTTCGAAGGCTCCGCGAGGCCAGTCGCGGTGACACTATCTGATGTGAGTGGATATGGAGGTTATAGTTAAAAATTTGCGTACCGTGAAGAGCGCCCTGCACGGCGCGTCTAGATATAGGGAGCATGGTCAATGGCTTTGGGCAGTAAGCCTATTGGTGAAGATTTTGAGGTTGGGCTGGATACCTAATTATATAGGTATAATAACAGCCTAGAAGTCGCTGGCGGCTGTCAAGAACCTGCACTTGGTTTCAGTGATTATGTTACGACATTCAAGTGACTTCCTCGCGGCTCCGCACTATAGTTTACTAGCGGAACTCTACCATTACAAGCTCAATACACTAAATAGTGTGAAAAAAGCTAAGGCAATGCCATATTTCTTGTGTATTACTGTAATATACTGGATTTAGCAAGAATCGGGGAGAATTGGTGAACGTATTGTGCAGGTAAGGTAAATTTAGAGCCTTTTTATTGGCGGCTTTACAAACCTTGTACTTCAAGTTCCGAGTCCTACAAGCTTTATTTAATACTACTGGGGTGGTAGTTAACATATCAACTAACATTGAGAACTAAGCATCATTTTGGCTGCAACCCTTCGTTTGCAATTCGAAATACAAACATTAGCATATCCGATATGGAAACCATTAGAACATCACAGCCCAAAATTGCTTGCATCAGTGTAATTGGGAAAGCTGTACAGTATTTTACTACCATTTAACAGATAGGTGCTAACTTTATTGCAGGATAATCCTCTCCACACGTCGCTATTTCCGCCCTACCAGAATTCCAGCATCGAGTTTTCTTTCTTGTTGAATTCGTGTCTTGATGTATTCGAGATTCGACAAAAGCAAACTTCAGTTGACCAAGACCTAGGCCTTTTACATGCTATTGATGAGCGACTGGCGGCGTATGGCTGGCTAACTACAACTGGAGTGAAGCTGCTGGTTATAGTGGATTTGATGGGGCAAGCAGAGACTTTTGAAACTGGAAATCAGAAAGTGCCTCCAAGGAACGACTTAAAGGAATCGGACTTGAGACCGGTACGTCTGCGCAGAGTTGTAAATTGGGATGTGTCTAGCCATTATCAGGTACATTTAAAGATCGATTAGCTGACGCTGTATCCTCTCAGGTCTTCCGAGCCTTGCAACTGGCTTATATTCAGCTTTTACAGAATCCATTCTACTCGCCAAATGTTTACACCCCTATAGTGCGAGCAGCTGGCTCTGCCTACGATTCTCTACCCATCACAGATCCAAAATTCACTAGAGAAGTAAAACGTATTGGCGATTCCTGGGGACGAGGCTCAGCTTTGCTATAGATAGAAACTTGCTAGCGCAGCACTGATGGTGAAACCGTGAAAGGCACTAATATCTGGCCCTAGTACCTAGTACCTATGGTTTGCCCTGAGGGAAGCTTGATTCTTGGGGCAACCAAGAGTTCTTGATGTGCGGAGCAAAGTGTTGGTTATAACACCCTTGTTGACATGCATGGAGCAGTTTTTGCTGCAGTGTCCTTTTAGCCTGTCTAGATTGTTTCTCTTAATTGCGAAGGAGCTGATGGTAGTGCGTGGGCACATGCTATCTACTTGTAATATATATACATTATGATGAACATGTATACACTAACACTTAAATAGGTGTTTAATTATCAAGTTCTTTAAAAAAGTGATAGGTTTAGCATATCCGCAAACGTCACAACCAAAAGCAGGTTTCTGGAAGAATTCGTTTCATTTGTTTAATGACCTAAAACATGGAATTCTGTCTGTTCCAATGCGTTTATGATGCTCTCAAGCTCTCGAGGATCATAAATAGCCCAAACACCACCTCCTTTTGTCATAACCTTACCTACTCCCTTCCCTACCAAGTTTCTACCAACTTTGCCGGGGCCTATGCCTATCCATCGCTTTACTCCTTTCTCTTGATCCAAAAACCGGATACTGTCCCACCATCTCACTGTACGAACGCACTGTTGCGACAACAGCATCTTTAATTGCCCCTTGGAGTCGAAGGGCCGGCCAGAAACGTTCGATATACATGGTATTTGTGTTGGAAAGTTGATGTTCGTGTTATCAAGTGTACATTTCATGTAATCTGCAGCAGGCGCCATGATGGGGCTGTGGAACGGGCTCTCGCTGTTCAATCTCACAGCACGCGGATCGTGCCCTCCAAATTGGCGAAGCTGAACGAGAAGAGCCTTTATCCTTTCAATGCTGCCACTCAGTACTATCTGATTACTGGAGTTTATATTTGCAATCATCACATGCTCGATCGGCGGAATCCCGTTGCTCGAATCATCCATCACGCCAGGCGGCACAAGGCCAATAAATTCACGAATAGTCATGAGTAGCTCGTCTAGATGATCAGGTTCACAAATCAATGCAACCATACCATAACTCTCACCAGATTGTTCAGATGCGTGACGAGTGCATTGGGCCATAATCTCGGCGCGTCGTCGAACGATCTGGAGGGCGTTGCTAAAACCAAGATAACCCCCAGCAACTAGAGCAGAAAACTCGCCTAAACTATGTCCAAGGGTAACATCCACTCGCGATTTTGAGTCGAAGCCGAACTCCTCTTCCAAAATACGAAGAATTAAAATCGACGTTGCCATTATAGCAGGCTGAGAATTCTCGGTTTTGTTCAGTTCTGAATTCGGCCCTTCAGAGATGATTCGAGACAGGCGAAATCCTAATATAGCATCCATTTCATTTAGAAATCTCCTCGTGATGGTGGGAAAGTGATCAGCCCAGGGGGCAACCATGCCTACTCGTTGTACCCCGTGTCCTTCATAATAAATGTTAGTAAGTAGATATAGGTACTTCAAAGATAATTCAGACCAGGAAAGAAAAGGGCTGTCCGAAGCCTTTTTGTCTCGGTGGGTGCATAATACAGCTTTTTGTACCATGTTGGTTTAACCCTTAGCTGGAACTGTGACCAGTGATGTTTTGTTTGCAAAATATTCTTTGCTTTACAAAGAACAGGAAACATGTTTATGGTGTTTCACCAGAGACCATAATCTCTTAAGTTTTTGATATTAGCATATCCAATATAGGATATAGGCATTCTGCTTGATTGGCATTAGAACTTCTAAGGATATGCAGTAGGCAATGTCGAGACACCCTCCCGTGCCAACAATAAAAATGGTGACGACTAGATGTAACCAACACGTGACTTATTAATCATCCATAATATATACTAACGAAGCACCGCGGCCGCCATCTTTCCAAAAATGAGCAAACAGTTAAAGGAGCAATCAATTTTTAGAAGTAGATAATTGAGTACAGCGGACGCTGATATAGATGATGATGTCTTAATCACAAGTTTGGTGAGAATTTACAACCTCAAACATGTAGCTCACCGCCTTTTGGTACTTAGGTATTTTTGCCGTACAGGCAATCCAATACCTACTTTTACCCATCTCCAATACTTACATCTATGTACCATCTGTCGTCTCTAAAGTAAAAGTCAGTGGTGGAAAGCAAAAGATACTTTACGCCATTTTCTATACAACTACTGAGATTCATGGTTCAGTTTGCCATCTAATGAGTTATTCTATCTCTGTCGCCAACTTTTGCATGTTAATTTAACTGGCTACAACAATGTTTGTACCAAAATCAACACTCACATCAACAGCTTCACAGCGCAATCCTCGAAGGCGTCAACGTGCAGGCTCCGATGAGGTAGTGAAACCCCCAAATGCGAAGAGACAGCGCTCTATTTTGCGGAGTGAAAACGCAGAAATATCTTCGGAAAGCCAGGTGGACCATCATGTTCACCGTGAGGCCCCGGTACCTCCAATGCCTCTTATATCCAGTGAGCATAGTCTTGTGGAGACGGATGCTTTAGTCGAGAAAGACATCCCGATAAGGACCATTCAAAAACCTGAAAAGCAAGGAGGCGAACCTGATGGAACAATTGTTCTTGTTCGTTGACCCTGACCCCTACGCGGACAGAACTCGTTGGTTCTCGTAGCCACCTTACTGATACAGAGAGTACACAGTCAAAGACAGACTTCTACACGGTGTCGCAGCTTCCCACCTTACCGGACCAGATTCGTGGTTTAAAGTCGGGTAAGTTCCATTTGGGATTTATACAACACTTCATTAAGATAATCGAGCAGGCCATTTGAGATGTTTCTTCGGGGCTAGTCTTGGTTATGCCTTGGCTCTAACGCAGTCTACTGCATTTGTCTGGCCGTATTCAATTGCGGTTTCGTCGCCTTCCCCTGCTGATGTTTTCTCACTTTCCATACCTGAAGCAAGCAAGGAATCCAATAGACTAGCTCCTCTAGGGGTGCTTTTGTCCACTGCAACAACTGGGATTCCTGGGTTGCTGATTATCATGCCCAATTCTGGAAAAATCATTTACTGGGAAACCATTGCAAGCGCTGCATCCGTAGGATTACCAAGACAGAAGCAAACTGGGATCCAGACAGATATATCCAATTTGCTATATGGTGAATATGCCACAGATATTATCAACTGCGAACCGTCCGGAGTTATGGTCACCTTTTCAACTGGGCGAGTTGCACATATAACTGTCAGGGATCCCCATGGAAGGCCTGCGGTAGCCGTTAACTTTCTGCGAAGCTCATCAAAAAGCAGTCAGATTAGTTTTTTAGGTGGTATAAAGAATGCCCTAGGTGGTGGTTTCTGGAGAAAGGACCTTGCTGCCGTTCGAGCAGGTGAATCGCATCAACGAGGACAACGAGATGTCATAATTGCTACTTCATCCGGTGTTGTCGAGATTTGGGATACACATTGGAATAACGGCAGTGTTCTGAAGAAACAATTCGACATCAAGGATGCTCTATACCCCTTTCTCGGGTTGGAGCATATTGATGGCTGTGGGTTTAAGATCTTGGACTTGGCACTCAAAACTGGCAGAGCCGATACAGCAGAGCCACATCTGGTAACACTTGTCATAGCCCTACCTAGTGACACAACGACAAACAAGATTGCGCTTGTGCAGCTTGCTTTATCAAACGTTGTCCATGTTATATCATCCACCCCTATTGACCTGTACAATGTCTTTACAGGTCACCAGGATTTTAAATTGCAATTGCTGGTTCCGGAGCCAGGTGATACAGCATTTATCATAGTAGGGCAGTCGATTATACTTTCATCATTAGCGCCAACGGAGGCTTCATCGCTCAATTTTCATTCTTCGTCGATTGACTCCAATCGGCAGTCGCAAAACTTCTACGATGTTATTAACCTACGGTCAGGTGAAGGCTACGAAATCTTAGGTGCTGGTTTGGAAAGCCAAAACGTGGAGAACTCGTCACCTGCATGCTTGGCTATGGTGCGAGATTTTGGTATTATTCGCATCACGGCCTTGCCTCGTCAAAAAATTGGGCACAGTGTTGAAAGCATCCAAATCACGGCCAAGCAAAAAATTGAGCAAGCTGTGTTTTATGGGGCAATTCTAGGGAATCCTTTGAACTTGAATAATAGAAACTGCTTGGATTTCTCGGTGGACGAAATCGAACAGGCTGCATTGGAAATCTGCGGGGAGTTACTCCGTTCCGCCTCAAGATACGTTCCCACGACAGCAATTTCTGTGGATCAGAACCTACGATCACGAGCTAAGGCCCTTGATGATCTAGCATGTCTGTTGATGGAACAACAGAAGAAACTTAACCACCGAATTTGGTGGGAGCTATTGTGGAGCGCAGAAAAACTCGCAGCCCAGAGAGCCTTATGGAAAATAGAGGATTGTTCTAGAAGAGGGAAAGTGACAGGATCAACATTTCTGGGTCAGGTCATTGAGATGATGAGTGAGAAATTCAAAACAAACGTCGGCCAACAAGACGATGGGAATGACCCAGTGCGAAACTGGCTCCTATATGACACATATCGAATGGAACACATCGTTCCATGGATATTTAATGCCATAAAACCCCAGAAAGGACACTCCTCAAGGCAAGGAAGAAAGATATCAGAACAGGTACTAGAAGCCAGTGAGCTTTCTCTGGCGGTATTGGAAACGGCCTTCCGATACCGTGATGAACATGCTAGTCAGTATGGTATTGGTGATGGGTATCTAGAGGACGGAGTACTGATTGCGGGGTACAAGGACCTCCCAGAATTTTGGACATCCAAGGGCATCAGCTACCTGGAAACGGGTCACTTATTGGACTTGGAACTCGACAGCTGCAGATTGTGGGTTCAAAAAACCCTCCCAACCAGCGAACTACCCGAAAATGAGGTTTTGAGGAAACTTGCAAGGAATAGTGCAAGAAAACTACAGGTTCTGAGCAAAATGCACAGCGAACGAATTCGATGGCTTAGTGCCCAAGAAGACCCAAAACTGACTGATGAAAGCATTGCCATTGAACAAGCACATGTGAGACAACGCAGATGGCAATTATTTAAATTAGCTGGGATTGGGCAACTAGAAGACGCCATCACCATGGCCGAGAAATTTCGGGATATGGGGGCTTTGGTAGAGCTTATAATTGAATTGCAGGATCAAACCAATGGCGAAAATCCCAACCAAAGTCTACTAGGAAGGGGCCCCAGTGTCGTGGACATTGAGTCGGAACAACTCGGCAAGAAAATCTCTTTTTACTTCGAGAAATTCGGAGAGCCATGGGCAGATGCTTTTTTTTCGCGCCAAATATCAATGGGTCAGTCCGGAATATTGTTCGCGATGGGAAAATTCCAACCCTATATCACTCAATTTTTACACAAGTATCCTGCCTATTCTCGGCTGGGCTGGATTAACGATGTGGTTGGCGAGAACGATTATGACGCAGCTGCTCGCTCTTTGGAGAACCTAGCTATCGAGCATGAATCAGATATATGGAGTCATCGTGTTGAATTGTCTTTGGCGAAACTTGCGAAGTTGGCAACATGGGAAGAAAGAACTCCCCCGAACAATTCATCTCTTCATAATGACATTCGCCGCCTCGAAGATCTTGTGGAAATTGATACTGTTCAAGAGGTCATTCATTCTTACATCACACCAACTCTACAAGGCGCGATTGATCAGAAGGCCACCATTGATTTGGCAATTGAACATTTTGGACAGTCGCTTGCTGAGGATATGCCATCACTCCACGAGATACTAAGTGAAGCCTTGACTCGGGTCATAACTAGACAGGTCGTTGGTGTCGAGCAACTAGTCGACATATTGACTTTGATGGATCCTAGTCACGATCCAGAATTCGAGAATGAATTTGTTGGGAAGGAATTCTACCTGGCTTTGCGTGTTATTCGACTTAGTCCCTATGCTCAACGAGATTCGTTATATCGCATGGCTCTACAGAAGCTAGTATGGAGAAGATGTATGATAAATGATAATTGGATATCTAGGGGAAAGGCCGTCCAAGAAACGGACGGTCAATTTGAATCGTTCCTCTATGATACCGCTCTTTCCCGCACTCTTACCTTATGTCTACAACATAGTAAGTACCAGTTTGTACTTACATGGCAGATTTACTAATCATGTACAGGACAAACAGAGGACTCCAATTATCCCACCCTTTATGTTCCAAATTACCCTGGCGATGTGGAACTCACAGAGTCGGATTCCAAACTCCTTGTTTCTCGTTTCCCTCCAGAACAACGCAATAGAATTAGCCATGATCTTGACAGAGAGAATCAAATTTTGTCACAGCATGTTGAAAATGGGAAACTTGAATTTTGGTTCAACAGTTTCCTTACATCTGCTCATAGTCTTCAATCTACAGCAAAAGATGCAGATGCTATCGAGCACACCACTATTGGTGAGCAGCTTGGGGGACAAACACTTCAATCATCAAAGACAGTGGACTCGAAATTACGCTTAAGCTGGCTCTAATTATTAATTACACTCCCTTTCCCTTTCAAGGATCTCATTCTTTGATTTTCGCCTAATATGAGAGCCACCCAGTTCGTGAGTCTACACATTTGTGCCGGTCCCAGGAATACGAGCTGTTGAAAGGTAAAGTATATGCACTGATCTTATAATTCAGAAGACTGAGTGGAGTATGTAACATATTCGTGTCTTCCATAAGGTCGATATTTCTACATTATAGAACATAGTTAGCATCTTCGGCAGAAGTTCTTATTATTCAATGGCCTTAATGTCAGCCCATAGCTAACTGTTCACTTCAATAAACCATGTAGGATATGTCTAGCGCACATCCCAACATTGTAACTAGGCACCCACAAAAATATCGGTGGATTGTTGAGAGATCGATCTTCCACCCTTATTCGATTGAAGATTTCTGGATGCCACTATCGGCGCTATTATCGCAACAGGTATTGTCGACTTTAGTTACAGTGCTTCCATCGATAATGGCGCCCTCGTGTAATGTTCCATGCAGATGTTCTTCAAATACCGGCTCCGGTTCTCTGGTTTCGAATTTTGTTTTAAAGTCTGCGATGCCTTGGGTACTGCTATTAGAGTATCGCCTAGCGTTTGTGAAGTTATAATCATAGTCTTGGACCTCATCGCCAGAGCGCCCCCTGCGGTTACATTTAGCGGAATCGATTATAGAAGGTTTGGCATCTCACCAGTTCCTCTTTCCTCCTCCATTCTTTTTGGTTTTCCGGGGGTCGGCATCAACAGGGCCAGATTTGGCGAAGTACCTTGGTAGCTGCTCTTGCGACACAGCTACTCCATCATGAATTGCTGAATGATCTCGATCATTGGTCTTGTGGGAGCGTGTCACTACGTCGGTTAGAAGCCAGGGGATCTTATAATCAAATTTATGGAGGGTATTCAACAGTTGAGGTTTATCAAGGAGCACTCGCAGGTAGATAGTATGCGTGGGTGTATACTTACTGGTTGGTGTTGTTGAACTCACTGAGACTTCCCTTAGCTGTTGCTACTAAAACTAAATTTGGCCTTTGGATGTCCTAGATGACTATGTATTAGCAATATATAGGGACAACACATAATGTACGGGGCGGGAGGCATTGCTGGAGATGCTTTGGTGCATAGTTGATATATTATTTACACAAGAGCATGTACGCTTGCGCCTCAGTATAGGTACTGACCAGGATAGTAGTGAATTAACATTCTTTGATACTTACAACAGATTAGAATTTGGGTTATAGATAACTTCACATTTGCCTAGCAAGAAGCGTACAAATATTGTTTCATAAGCTCCAGGCCTGGAGGGGAAGGTTATTTGGCAGTAATCTTAAGCAGTAGTGTTGCGTGTCTACAGAGTGGATATTAATAGCACAGAGTACACTGTAGAACAAAAGACAGTACGGGCAGTGCTGATGATAGAGGGTTGGTATGTTGGGTGTTAAATTACAATTAGAGAGCTAATGACCTCATAACTACCATAATTAGGATAAGAATTGCGGGGGTTCCAATACTGTTATTATGTCATCATACGATCAACCTAAGTCAGCAAGCTAGGATCCTGGGTTGTAAGTTGCGGATATTAAAATGGCACCCCTGGAAGCAGGCACCCCCCTAGAGTCGGGCACCCTTTCCCATACAGTGTCACCATATGATTATTTTTTATTTCACCAACTATATGGTAATTTAAATGGTAATTATATTTGTTATATAATACAAAATATATATTGTTCGAACTTTGTTGCACGCTCATACTGGTCGGAACTGCATAAGTGGTTCTTAGCGATCACCCTACCTCGTTCGTCCATGCTTCGAACGTTTGACCTCGTCCACCTTCAATCTTCAACCTTACTCTAATCAATGAAATTGACTATGTTCTTCCTCTGAGCTTTGCGTGTTTACAAACTTTCTTTAATTATTTAATATAGAGAACATGTAATAGTATATTAAAGTTTTTAAAAATACCATATAAAAATATATGTTGTTATCTAAATACAGCTATTAAGACATTGGTAAATAATAAAAATATAAAAACAATATTTTAAACTACAGTATATCTTAGTGGATTTACAATTAAATCTAAAACATAAAATATTATAGCTAAATATATTATATATGAAAATTAAGCATGAATACTTAATATTGGAGGAGATATTAGACAAGATTTTTAATCAACTTTTATTTTATATATATTTCAACTTTTATAACGTAACCAGTAAGCGAGCGGACATGTAAGCCAGCCGGACACCACTGTATGCCATATTACATGCCACATTCAAGAATCATAATATCTCAACAACAACATATCGAGATGCCTTGTATTTTATTGCATAGACAGATATAATGGACCATACATAGGTGGTAAACCAAGAACTGTATATAGTGTATATTTCTGTATATTAAAATATAAGGATTTTAAATACAGTTGTATTTAAGTTAAATCTGTATTGTAGGCTAGGAATAATCTATAAAAATTAAATAAAAGAAATAGAAAACCATGTACTATGTACTTAATATATAGGACTTAGCTTCAGTACTATATTTCTAACAGTGGCTGAGATATTAGGGTCCTAAAAAACACGAATTAGTATTGCATACAGTGGTGTCCGGCTGGCTTACATGTCTGGTTCGCTTACCGGTTACGTTATATATTTTGTATGTTGAGTTATATATATTAAGCAAAAGAACATTCAACACGCTATTACAAAGCACACATTAAAGAAATCTTTAAGATAAAATACAAAAATGGCCATTTTGTATGGGAAAGTGTCAGAATATCGAGATATTCTAATTATCTAATTAAGAAACTACTTAATTAGAAAATTACTTAATTAGGAAACAAAAATCTTAGTGGCCTGTTCCGAACTTCCGAAACTATATGGCACGGATTCTAGTACCGAGATTAATTTGGAAACAGAGCCCTAGGATGTTAAAGGTATAAAAGCAGCTTAAACCCCCTGCTTAGAATATAGATAAACAATTATTCTTTAACATTCCTCGAGAATATACCTTCCTAAATAGGAAAGTACAAGCTATTCCTTATTATTATATTATATGCCTGCTATTATTTATACTTGGTATAACTTATACACATATACTATTATTTATACTTGTCGGAAGGCGGTAGAGGAAGTAAGGTATAATGAATATTATATTAGTAATATCTTTAATAGATTCTTATATTCTTATAATAATAATATTAAAGAATAAATAGATTGAATTGCTTGTCTTATTATTATAAAAATTGCTTTTAAAAACCTGCTTTTATATTCGCATTTTGGTTTCCTTTTTGGGTAAATAAATTAATATTGAAGTTCAGGTAAGACTTGCTTTAAAATTAACAGAGTTATATAGCCAATTAATTTCTTATAGAATCCTATAAAAATAGATTAAAATATTTTTATAGTTTTCTGAGACATAAATTATAACTTATAATTTTTCTATGGTTTTGCTAATATTTTATAGTAATAATTAATATATTAGGCTTTTATTTTTAATACACCCCCTTAGCTTTTAATATATATATGGGTATATTAAAGCTGATAAAGTAGGTATATTAAATAATCCTTTATTTTTTTTAATAATTTTTAATAAAATATCTTGTATATTAAGGACTTTAGTAAATTTTTTATAATTCTAACTTAATAATAATTTAGACTGTCTGCAGGTATTTTTTTAATATCTATTAGATATCTAGGTTTTTATTTTAAATCTCCTGCCAAAGCTAATAATTTTGGATGTTAATATACTTTAATTTTGTTTTAAATATTAAATTTTTTTTGGTTAAAAGATTAATTGTTTGATAGTTATCACATAAAATTTAAAATTTTTTAAGTTAGTTTAAATTCTAGTAATTCAAATAGTTGCTTCTACTAATATAATTACTTGGTTGCATTTGAAATAGCTAATAATTTAGCTTTAGTGGTAAAAGTAGTAACTATTTTTTACTTTTTTTTACTACCTAATTAATAGGTCTATTAAATAATAAATATATATAGACTAAAAGCTTTTTAATCTAAGTTATCTGTATATGCAGCATTACTGGCTAATAAAAATATTAATTTAGATAAATCTAAATTATTAATTTTGGATATCCTAAATATTCTATAGCTAGATACCTTAAGCTATATAAAAAAATTACATAATTTATTATATTTATATGTTTTAATTCAGGATTTAGTAAAAATTTAGTTAGTATTTGTATTAATTTTGTAGTGTTAGGTCTAGAAATTATAGTAGTATATAAGGCAGACCCAACCTTTTACTAATATTTATTAATATATCGATCTGAAGCTTTGTAATTATTATTATTAGTGTTTTTAAATAGGTTTTTAGACAGTAGAGGGGTTTTAGGCGATTTTTAATTTATAAGGTAAAATTTAAATATAAATTTTTTTACTATAGGTATCTTAACATATTTATAATTTTTTATTAGGTCTGTCCCTAATAATTCTTATATTAAAAAATTTAATTATTTACCAAGATCTTTTATGTTTTTAAAACAGCTGTTCGATTCTTTGCATAATATAATATAATTATATTATTAACAAAGATTATTAGAATAAAATGTTTATTTTGAAATAGGTATAGATTTTTAAAGACTGGTTTTAGACCCAATTTTTTTTTAGTGTTTTACCTATTTCTTTTTGCTATAATAGTGGCGATCTTTTTTAATCTATATAGTACCTGATTTAATTTTAGAGCTTTATTTTTATAACCAAAGCCAGGTAGAAATTAAATATAAACAGTCTTATCTAGAGCACTATTTAAAAAGGTATTATCTATATTAAATTGCATAGATTTAAGGTTAAAGGCTGCTATTAAGGCAAATAAAGTTCTTAGGGTTCTTAAAGCTAGGGTAATTACCCTAGTACCTAGGTTATTTATAATCTAAAATCACCTCTAATATATATTCTAGCTTTAAATTTAGCTAGATATCCCTGGTTATTAAACTTATATGTAAAGACCTATTTTAAAGGTAAAATTTAATAACCCTTTATATTATTCTTTAATATAGTAGTCTAGGTATTTATATTATTTAATTATTAAAATTTAATATTTGCAGCTTGAATAAACCTGTTTTTAAAAGAATGGTCTAATAGTTCTAACCAATTTTTTAGTGGGTTTGGTAGATTTTCTTAATAAATTTTCTTGTCTTTTTTTATATAAAGCTATAGAAAAGGCTTTTAAAATATAATTTATACCTTTTTAATAGAGAATCAGGTAATAGGATTCTATTATATTTAAAACCTGATGCCTGATTTATATTAGTATATTAATAGTTATCCTAAATTTTAATATTTTAATTATTATTTTTAGAGTTTTCTTAATATGATTAATAATCATAAAATTATAAGTTATTAATTAATACTATTAGTAGTGTATAAAATAGTGATATAGGTTAATTACCAAGAATTTGGTTATTTTAATTATATTCAGGTTCTTAAGGTTTATTATTTTTAGTATTTTAATTATAAAAATAATTTTTATTAAGATCCATGGGTTTGTTAATTTAATTATTTAGTATAATAATATTTTTAATAACTTGCTAAAATTTGTCTCTAGAAAGACTTTCTAAAGGTTTTTAAGTATTTTCGTTAATTAAATTATTAGTATATTCCGAGTTATAAAATTGATTTTTATTAAATATGCAATCTCTGGCTGAAATAACCCTATTTTAAATAGGGATCCATATTTTATATATATTAGAGGTAATATAGCCTACTAGAAACCCTATATATACCCTAGGACTAAGTTTTTTTTAAGTCTAGGTATATATAGAATTCAGGTATAGGCTTTATAACTATAAATCTTTAGATTTAAAATAGATGGTTTCTGGGTTATATACCCAGGTTTTTCAGGCAATTTTTTTTATATAGGGTTTTATATAGGGTTTTCCACCCTAATTACTTAGTAGGAGTCTGATTTAGAATATATATAGCTAATTTAATTACTTTTAGCCATAGAGCTTTTAGGCAAATTTATAGAATTTATTAATAATATTACTTTATAATTAAAGCACCAGCTCTTTCTGTATATAGATTTTATTTAGGCTGTTTAAGTAGTAACTCTTTATAAATTATACCTTTGTCTTAATAAAATTTACTAAAAATAAATACAAGATTTCTGTTACTAAAATTTCTTAAATTTTTAATTTGTTTTTAATATATTTTTAAAATATATTAAATAAATTAATTAATTTAATATTTTCGGTTTAATGTTATCCCCAAATAATATTTAGTTACTGGGTTATAATATAAGCATGTAAGATATATAAGTCCCTATTATATACTTAATTTATATAAATTATATCCCAGTAAATTAATTTAAATAGTAATTAGTCTATATTAATATATTTTTTTAATATTTGCTTTTTTATTTTTATTATATTATATATAGGACAATTCTTAAAGTTATTATATTTTATAGGTTTAATAAAAATATTATTTACTACATCTTTTAGATGACTTATAACCTTTTACTAGGGTGCCCAAGACATTAGTGCTATGTATATATAAAAGCTGTTTCTAATATTAGTTAAAGGTTCTGTAAGTTATAAATAATTAATTATTTTAGTTATTCTGATTTAAACTATCCCATTTAATTAAAAAAATCCTGATTAATCTTTAATATACAGATAGGCTTTTAATTATAATTTTCAAGTCAATTATTTTAAGTATTATAATATAGTCCTGCAGCCTTCGCTTTTAATACAGAGACTAAATTAATATAAAAATTGGGAATATATACAGTATTTAAAACCTTAAACTATATATTTCCTTTTAATAATTTTGTGGGGAAATATATA